CAACCCCAACCCCAACCCCAACCCCAACCCCAACCCCAACCCCAACCCCAACCCCAACCCCAACCCCAACCCCAACCCCAACCCCAACCCCAACCCCAACCCCAACCCCAACCCCAACCCCAACCCCAACCCCAACCCCAACCCCAACCCCAACCCCAACCCCAACCCCAACCCCAACCCCAACCCCAACCCCAACCCCAAACCCCAACCCCAACCCCCAACCCCAACCCCATTAATTAATTAATCAAATATTTTTTAAAAATTCATAATTTAATATCAAAATTATTAAATATTTTTGAGAAAGTAAAATCTTTTAATTTTCAATAATATCTCATTAAGTATGTATTTATGTATGGATGGATGGATTTGATTTAGTTGTTGAGGTGTTTGTTTTGAAGGGATTGATTGATAAACTAATAAGTTGAAAAATGTAATTTAGAAATGTATTTTTGATTAGAATATCTATGAATTTATTTGGATGTTTTTTAGATATTTAAAGTCAAAAATATTAATTTTATATAAGGATAATATTTAATCAGATTTGCAAACTTTCTATTCTAGATCATAATATTTTTCTTTAGAACTTTCAAAGAACTTTTTACATTCAAAATAATATAAAAAGATTGATTTTTAAATTTAAATCAATGGCTGAATTTTAGTGTTTTATTGAAAGATTTAAGTAAAATGATGCTGACTTTAAATCTCTATATCAAAAATTGAAGGTATTTAGCAGGCGCAGTATTGTGCATGATTATAATCAAGCTATTTTAGATGTTATAGAGTTTTTTTGATATTTTTTACAGGATTAATAAGAAGAATGTGTCAATAATGTGAATAAAATAAGTTCCCAAGTACCTGACTACAAGGATTTAATTGGCTATGATAAGTGCTATAAAGATAAGAAGGATTTTGATGAATATTTTTAAGCATATTCTAATCAGTTTGTAGAAGTAATACACTAAATTAAACATAATTTGCTTTTGAGTTTGTGATTTCATATTTTTATTTTATATATGGAAAAAAATAGAAAGGTATAGAAATTTGCTAGAAATCGATTGAAGATGAAATAAATAATCAAAAATAGTAAGGCGAGGCAAAAAAAAATTGTTTATAATTTTATTACAATAATCTCCTGGTTTTCAAAGATAATACAGTTAAAAAGTTATAAAATTTAGTCGAGAAAACTTCTATGAATTAACTTTGAGAGGAATAATATATGTGACATAAAATGATTCCTTAAAATAACATAGATTATAGACAAATTCATGGTGTTTAGAATTAATTATTATGATCAGATTAAAAAAAATAGAATTACTTTTTATCTATTTTAAAAGAAAATATTGTTAAATTTTTGTTAAATCTCTTTGTAATTTTTCATGTTTTTATTTTATCAGCAATGGAATCTTAATGGAAGCTTGTTACGTTGTTGGAAATAAAATTTTAAATGCATGTCCACAAAATTTGTTTAGTACAGAGGTTTTGGGTAAAACAAACATATATTAACGTTTACAGTAAATATAGACCTGTTAAAGCAGAATTGTTTAGATTTACTACTTCCCAGTCGAGTGATACATTTCCAATCCTTCGATTATTTTTCCTTTTTTTTTCTTTCTTCAAAGAAAGGACTTAAGGATGCACTCCTTTGGCGAAGTCACACAACAATTAAATATATAATTTGCAAAAAAGAAAGACTAGATTGATTGATTGATTGCTCAGATGAGAAATTTGAGTAGTTTTTAAATTTTTAATAAAAGTATAAGAAGGATGATAGTTAGAAATACCCAATAAAATAAACATCAATATTTAATAAATAAAAAAATCATATAAATTAATTAGAAACAAAAACTACAAATTGAAGAAACAAAGACAGAAAAAAAAAAATTAATTAAATTAAATTAATTGAGTTCAAATTAGAATGATGAAGCACTCTCACGAAGAATTGTCTGACAGCACAGACGTAGAAACCCTCCCAGAAAAGAAATAACTTAAGATAGGTTATATGGTCAACCCAGATCCTGTCTTTTTCAACGAATTAGATTATAAGCTTATCGATGAATTGAAAGAACTAGGTGCAGACATTGTTATGATAAATTTTGAAGATATTTACTTTAAATTTACAAGCGAAAAGATAGAGCTCTACTTCAAGAGCTAACCTCTCCAATTAGATGGTTTTATGAGCTATGGCTACATGAGCCCTGAGCATATGACCGACTATATCGAAATGGTCAAGATATTTGAATAGATGGGAATTACATGTCTTTATAATCATAAGGAAATCGAAGTATTTTCCAACAAACTCTAGCAAGCCGTACATTTCGCAAAAGCTAAAGTGCCCATTCCAAATACCTTTAATGCATATTCAGTTAAGTCTACCAAGGACTATTATTATACTTAACTAGGTTAAAAGGCTGTCATTAAATAATAGACTGATTATGGTGGTGATGGTATTAAATTAAGCAAGCATCCTGATGAAGGTATTACATAATTTTCCAAACTTAAATGGATCAATTAGAAGTCTATTTCTCAAGAGCTAGTTCCCGATGTCTGGGGTTAATCAGTTAGAGTCCTATTTATACAAGGAAAGCCATTTGCATGCGCTTAATATAACGATAAATCAGGCGATTTTAGATCAAATGTTTCCTATCATGAAAACTTCTCCTTGCCTTCTTTCATGGATAACCCAAAATTAAACTAATACTATGAAGTCGCTCAAAAAGCTGTGCACAGTGTCTCCTCAGATATTATGATCGCTGGTGTCGATTTAGTTGATTCTCCTACCAAAGGCGTAATTGTCCTTGAAGTCAACATCTGGCCTGACATGTACGACATCTAAGAGTCTACCAAAAAACCAGTATTTAAGAGCTTAGTAAGCTCTTTTTACGAAAGAGTTCAAAACAAAGTGAATCATGCAAATTTATTATCTCCCAATATCTTACCTAAATGGATAGGAGGCAATATACAAAATGAAATACCTCTACTAAACCAAAAATAATAACAAATAGTTGAATAAAAGATCTGAAATAAACTTAAGAATTAAAATTAATAACTTCTATAGAAAAATAATCTCAACCTACAACAATTTTAAATATAAAAACTGCACCAGCAAGTAAGCTGACAATACCTAACAACTATAAAAATCTAATTAAAATTGTCTAATTTGTTTGAAAAAACTAAATAACACTTTGACATAAATAAGCAAATAAATAAATAAAGCAAATACTAAAACAAAACAAGCAAATCTTAATAATAATAAATAAGTTGAAATATGAAAACAAATAAATAAATAAATAAACAAACAATCCTACTAAAACTAATTTATTTAATTGAGTTTATTTAACTGTAGAATTTTCCTTCCATTAATTCATACTCTATTTTAATATATGATTAAATTACTTATGATGAATATACATATTATTTGTCATATATATTAGTATTCTTTATTAATATTATATTAATTTTCAATTCCTTTCAAAAAAGAATAGATTGATTTATTTGTATTTTCTATTTAACACTCACAAACATACATATTTCATATTTCTTAAATTGTACATTAAAAACAAAACTTGACAAAATTTTAGAAACAAAAAAACAAAATAGCAAAGAAAGAATAATTGCAAAGAAAGAAAGGAAAGAAAGAAAGAATGAAAGACAGAAAAGAAGCTAACAAAGTTTATTAACTCGTTTTAGAAACCTTTCTAATCAATTTTTTGTTAATCAATAAATTTGAATTTTTTCTTTTAATTTATTGATTTGTAATTGTTTTTTACCAAATAAGTGAAATTCTAAATATTATTTATTTATTTACTATTCTTTAAAAGTCTCTATTTACAATTTTTTTTTCTAATCGTAAAAATTTATTTTTTTACAGTTTTTACAATATTAATTTGTATTTCTTGTGAGTGGGCTATCAAATCAATAACCAAAATAAATAAAAGAGCGTTATAGTTTTTTAGAATTAAAAATGCCTTTTTGATTTCAAGTTTACTTAATTGTATTGTAAGACAATCAAAAAATTCCATATACATATATATAATTCAAAAACTAAATTTATATTTAATGGAGAATACTCAAAAATATTTAAAACTCAACTAAATATTACTTAATTGAATAGTTGTTTAACAATCAAATGATAGGAATTTTTGTATAAATAATCATTTCAATTTAAAAAAACAGTTAGGTGTATTTCTCCTTTCTTAAAATGTAAAAATTATTCAGTAATTAGTAGCGGAAATATTTATTATATTTTTTAATAAATAAAAATGTATAGAAGAAATTTATTTATATAAATATATGGTGAAATAATACGTCACATAACTATTTCACTTATCTTAATAGAGCTATCACAGTACACCAAATAGAATAATCTGGGAGTTTTATGAGTTATTTCAATTGAGTTAACGGAGATTTTAAATTTTGTTTTATTTTTGTTTTATTTTGATGTCCTTTTTAGTATCTAATTAGATGAAAGTATACGTATATATTCAAATAATACTCAATAATTTTGATTTATAACTTTCGTCATTCAATGATCAATTTTTAAATAGCGATGTTAATTAAAATTTTGATTGAATTCATTATAATTTGAACTTCTTTACAATTGTTTGCACAAAAAAAAGTGTAATTTCATTCAATTAACATAATAAGCTCTAAACAAAATTCTACTTTGAAAACTAAAAAAAAATAGGTAATTTTTCACCATCATAATTACTATTTGTTTACTCTTAAATTATTATTATTAAATTGGCTTATTTTATAATATTGTATAGCTTATTCAATTGATATGAAAGAATTCAACTAAATAAAATTTATTATTTTAAAAATATTTAGCATTTACTTTATATGTTTTATGATTTGAAATTAGTTTAAAAGCTAATTGTTAACTTCCATATTTAATCAGGTTTTATTAAATTTATTTATGTCTAATAAATAGATATTCTTATCTTTTTGTACTTCTACCAAATTTTTTTATCACCAATCATTTCTAATTCTACTTCATACTTTTTATTTTATTTGTCTTTAATTATTTCAAATAAATTATTTGTTTGCCATTTATTTAAAATTTTTACCAATAACTAACCATTAAATAAAAAATTTATCTGCAATGATTATGTTAAGAATTATAACATCAATAACAACAAAAAATTTTATTATTATTTTAATTAGCATAAATTATTTTATTTTAAAAATCATAAAATTATTAAATTCCCAATTAATTTAACTTTTCATTTTAATTTTTAGGCATAAATATATATTAATACCTCTATAAAAAATAATGATAGGTTTTATTTTATTTTTAAAATTTAAACATTTTATAATATAAAACAAACAAACATTTTTCGTTGTAGTTTCTTCAAACATTTTATTTTAAATTTTTCCTATTTTAAAATAATTTTTAAGCAAGCAACTTGGTTCTTAATTTTATAAAAATTTTTCAAAACTCTTTAATAATTTTAATAATTTAGGTTTTTTTTATTTATTTAAATTATACCATCAATATAAGCTTAAACAATAAAAAGTAAGCTGATTAAATCTTTGTCTGTAATCTATTTTATGTTTCACTATCTTCAAATTATTTAAAAGCAATTAAATCTGATGAATTTTTTTAAATTTGCTTTTAATAATCTTCAGTTTTTATTATCTAAAAGCTACTTTTAATTTAACAAAAGCACACAAAATTTGTAGGCATATTTTAAAATATATTCTCTTACAGTTTTTGCTTTAGCTTGAACAAAATTTAATCTTTTTTTTAAATAACCATGAATGATTTAAAATTTTAGCATGCTTTATTGATTCCTATTTAAAGTTAAAATAATATTTTGCATAGTCTGTCTTTTTTTAATATTGACAGAAATTTTAAAATAGCTCAGAATTGAACAAAGATAAAAATGATTTAAAAAGTTCTATAAAATGGTTAGTTAATTAGTTCTAAATATTTATTAAAATTAAATATATTTGACATATAGAGTTAAATTAATATAAAAACTTTTAATTCATGTATATTATTTAAATTAATAGATTTGTCAAATAACCAATAGTTATAATTTAAAATGCTAATTGCTTTCTTTAATGCACAGCTTTTGAATAATTATTCACAAATAATAATGAAATTTATATTCAAACATTAGGATTAGCCCATACCATTTTAATTAGACATCTTTAGAAAACTTTTCTGGGTAGCCAATTATTGATTATTTCTTAAAAATTTAACCTATACATGGTAAATATCTTATCAAACCTCATTTATTCAATGATATTTTTTAATTTAAATGTAAAATGAATGGATTTCAAGGGAGATAAATTGAATGTGCTTAAATTTCCGTCTTAAATTATCTATTTTAACTTAGATGTCTATTAGCTGTATGTCCTAGATTTTTTTTATGCCATAGAGTAGACGAGCGAGATTCCTACATTTTTTAAAATATTATAATGATTCAATTTTAAATATGATCATTTAACATTATCTATTTGCTTTTTTGTCTATTTTGAGGTCTTTTGTAGAATTTTTTTTTTTAATTAATTCAAGCTCACTCATTAATATATTGATTGATTGATTCATAAATTCATTCTAAACAAATCTTTTTAATTAACTTATTTCTAACAAATCTATTCCTTAATTAATTATCATCAACTCTAATTTCATCAGAATTTAAAATGATTCAGCATATTAAATAATTATCCAGAAACCTTCTAATATCTCCCCCATGGCATGAAATGCCAAATTAAATAAACATTAATTGCTTATAATAAAAAATAATCATAAAAAACAAAACAAAATTTTAAAAAATCAATCAATTAATTACAACAATCATCAATTAATCAATTAATTATTATTTAATTGAATTATAATAAATAAATCCCTTCCAAATGAATAAATCATCTCAAGACGAATTGTCTGACAGTACTGATGTCGAAACTCTCCCAGAAAAGAAGTGCTATAAGATAGGCTACTTGCTAAACCCTGACCCAGTCTTTTTCAGCGAATTAGATTTAAAGCTTATCGAAGAATTAAAGGAACTTGGCGCAGATGTTGTAGAGCTAAACTTCGAAGACATCTACTTTAAATTCTCAAGTGAAAAAATTGAACTATATTTCAAGAGTAAACCACTTCAATTAGATGGCTTTATGAGCTATGGTTATATGAGTCCTGAACATATGGCAGATTACATAGAATTAGTTAAGATATTTGAAAAGATGGGTATCGTCTGTCTTTATAATCATAAGGAAATAGAGGTATTTTCTAACAAACTCCAACAAGCTATGCATTTTGCTTAAGCTTAAGTACCCATTCCTAATACATTCAATGCTTACTCAGTCAAATCTACCAAGGATTATTACTATACTTAGCTAGGATAAAAGGCAGTCGTTAAATAGTAATGTGATTTTGGTGGTGATGGTGTTACTTTAAGCAAGCACCCCGATGAAGGTATTACTTAATTCTCTAAGCTTAAATGGATCAACTAGAAGTCAATTACTCAGGAGTTAATACCTGATGTTGCAGGCTAATCTGTGAGAGTTTTATTTATACAAGGAAAACCTTTTGCATGTGCTTAATATAATGATACTTCTGGTGATTTCAGATCAAATGTTTCCGTTGCAGAATTCTCCTTGCCTTCTCTTATGAATCACCCTAGAGTAAAGTAATACTATGAATTAGCTAAAAAAGCAGTCCACAGTGTTTCTTCAGATATCTTAATTGCTGGTGTCGATTTGGTTGATTCTCCTACCAAAGGCATCCTTGTCATAGAAGTCAATATCTGGCCTGATATGTATGACATCCAGGATTCTACTAAAAAGCCTGTCATCAAAAGTTTGGTTAGTTCTTTTTATGAAAGAGTTCAAAACAGCGTTAACAGCGCTTCTTAACTATCCCCAAATATTCTACCTAAGTGGATTTGCTTACAAAACGATGTTCCCCTACTTAATTAGAAGTAACAAATGATCGAACAAAAGATTTGAAATCTCTTTACACTTAAAAAAAACTAATTTATATATATAAATAAATAAACATTTCTATGGAAAATAATCTCAAAACTACTATACTAAAAAAAAAATTGCACCAGCAAGTAAGCTGACAACGATAACAAAGGAATAAAAATTTAATTAAAATTGTCTAATTTATTAGAAATAACTTATTAACAATTTTAACAAAACAAATTTTGCCAATCAATTACAAAAAAAAAAAAAACTAACATATCAAATTTCAATAATAAGTAGAAATATGAAATCAATCAATAAATTTACTAAATAAAATTAACTTATTTAATTGAGTTTACTTAACTATAGAATTAATTATTCGTACTTTATCTTAATATATCATTAAATTACTGTATATTCTTAAAAAATTATATTCAATTCAATCAATCAATCCATCATATTATTTAATTATTAATTTATGCTTGTTTGTTTGCTTGTTTACCTATTTTTTGTGATTAAATTGTTAAGATTTTATGACAGACAGACTGACTGACTGCACTAAATATTCTTTTGAGAAATTTTCAAAGATAAAAAATAAAACATTTAAGAAAGCTAATTTTTTTAGAAATATTTAAATAAATTTTTTAATAATGTCAAAGGTAAAAAAAATAAACAAACAATATTTTTTTATTTATTAAATTTGTTAAAACTTTTTTGAGAATGAAAATAAACAAATAAATAAATAAATAGTTAGTATCAATAAATAAAAAATAAAAAATTAATTTGACAATTAATTAAATTTTTTTCTTTCGAAAAATCTTTAGAAGTCTTTATTACATTTATTTATTCCATTTACATTCATTTTTTACTTTTTTACTTTGATTAAATTACTTTCATAATTAAATAAATTTTATTTTGGGTCATATTATATGAAAGAGTTTTTATTTTTATTTGAAAAAAATAAAACCAAAGCCTTTTCATTTTTTAAGCAAAATAAAAAAAGTAAAATCTTACTTTTATTGTTCAAAATAAAGGCAATATTTGAAGAGAAAAAAGATATATTTATCTTATTTAAAAATTTTTTTTTATTGTTGTTTTATCAATTTTATTAAATTAATCTTAAAGGATTTCATGCTAAATGTAAATAAATGATAAAACAAAGAGAATAATTTTATTTACACAATTACATGATCAAATAATAAAAATTTTTACAATTACATGTGTTAATTAGGATATTAAACTTACTAAAATAATAAAATAATCAGAGATTTATGATGTTTTTGATTGAAGTTGAGGATAATTTCAATTTTATTTTAGTTAAAATTATTCGAATCAAATTGAAATTTTAAATAAAATTACTAAGTTTGCAACTCATAATTGTTTGCATCTTTAACTCCAGTAGTCATAAAAATAATATTATATATTATTTTAAAGAACTTCTGAATTTGTAATAATGATATTTCTATTATTATTGCTCAGAAGTTGCAATCACACTTAGTTAATTTAAAAAATAATGTTTAAAAGGAAAAAAATTGGCAAGTAACAAACGAATTAGAATATTTGATTTTACTAATTTAATCGTCTTAAAATTTTTAAATAAAATTTATTTAAATTCATTATTTAATAAATAAATAAATCAAATAGATTTATTAAATTAAAAATTTTTTTTTATTTATTAGAATAATTTAAAATTATAAAATTAAATATTTTGTAAAGAATTTTATTAAAAAATAACAAGTTTATATGTAGAAAGCTTATTCTAAACTAGCTAAGTAATTACTAAAAATTACTTAATTAACAATTTATTCACAAAATAATTTGACTTTTCATTTATCTTTACAATACTTGTTGATTGTACCTATAGATTTATTTAGTTAATAAAAATTAAAATTTTTTTAAAAACAAACTGATTTTTTCTCTATTAAAAAAATATTTAAAAATAAATATTCTATTTATTTTTCTAATTAATTAATTTTTTAATATCTTTCTAAGGATTTAAATTTTTTAAATTATTTTTAATCTAAGTATTTATATTGTAAACTATTAAACTAATAAATAATACTAATTACACTTAGTAAATGATAAATTCAAGTTAAAAAAATAATTAAATAAATTTTTCATTTTTATTAATAATTATTATTTTAAAATTAAGTTTTTAAACCTTGATATTTTAATAGCAAGAACTAAATATATGATAATAAAGACAAAGAGCATAGAAAATTCTTAGAAAATTATGTTTGAAGATATTACTTAATAGATACTTTTTTTAGTACTTCTCTTAAATTTATTTTTTTGTTTTGTTTTGTTTTTACAAATATCTAAATGATTGAAGTTTTAAATTTAAAATAATATTAAAAATTAATCATTTTGAAGTTGAAAATTGATATCTAATTAGACAGACAGACATCTAAGGTAATTCTTAAGTTTTTCTAAATCAGAAACTAAATTTCAAACTTCTTTTGCAATTATACTTAAACCTATATTATATTATTTATTTTTTTTAACTAATATTTTAAAAAGGATCAATAAATATATTATGGTGACTATATTTTTGCACAAAATATGTTCTATCTAAACACTAAAGTCAATCAAATAAAAGTAATTATCAAATAGTGTATTATTAATTAGTTATGCTTTTCTGAAATTTTTTTACCTTCTTTAAATTTCTAAAAAATTTTTTTTCCATTTTAATAGTAGATAAACATAATTAATAATTCTGATGGTTATATATTTATTTGATGCTATAATTAAAATTAAATAAAGCACTTTAAAAATTTGTATTATTTTTTAGATAATACTATTAAGATGAATATGTCATATCATAAATAATATAAGTTATTTACAAATTTCAGTTGAAATTAAACTTATTTTCTAAAAAATTTACCTTGTTAAAAATCAAATTTTTGAAAAAGAATGTTGTACCTTAATATAAATATTTGCATCTTATCATTAAATATAAGATATAAAAACAAGATTTAACTTAAAACTAAATAAAAAATTATTATAAATAATCAATAAAATGTAACTTGAGATTTGTAATCAGTAATTGAAAAGATTTTAGATAGATATGTAAATCCAAAACTAGTTTTGAGATAAAAATATGGTAAATTTTAAAATCTTCAATTAAGTAGTAAAGATTTTTAATTATTGATCATAAAATTTATCATAAAAGGACAAAAATATTTTAATTATTACCTTAAGTTAGAATATAAATTAATAATACTCTTAAAAAATATTTTTTAAATTGTTAAATTGATATATAAATTATATATTAGAATATAGAAATTGATTCCAAAAATTGTGAATTTTTAAAATAATCCTAATAATATTTTAATTTTTTATAAAAAAATGGCCTTAAATATTTTTAAACCATTATTTTCCTTATCCTTATTAGATATATATAAGATTAGATGAAATGTGTCTAAAAATGATTGACCCTTAAATAAAAATCCAAAATATTTTATAATTTTAATTATGAGTAAATTATATTTTTGTTTAAAAGAAATAACAATTTAAAGCAAATTACAATAAAATTAAATTGCACTTTTAATAATAGTTAATTTTTAATTTAAGCAAAATTATATTTTAAATTGAAAGTAAAACATTTTAGATTTCTAATTTTTAACTCAATCAAATACAATAAATTCAATTTTCGTTTGTATATTAAATTAGTTTTTTTATGTTAAATGCTTCTTTTAATATTATTTGATGTGGATATTTTTAGTCTAGAAAATAAATATTATTTTATATCTGAATGCTAACAAATACGACTATTTTCATGCTAATAAATAAATACTAAAATAAATAGATTTATTTATTGATTGGTCAGGAGAAAGAGTTTTAAGTGTAATTAAGATGAAAGATAAATTTATAATAAATTTAATGAAAGTGTAATTAAGGTATATCAGTTAACAAAAATAGTAAAAATTACTACTAAATTTGTTAGTATGTATTAAATAGAAAGATAGAAAGATGAAAAGTGCTCAAGTGAATGTAATAACTTGCAACTAAAAAATAAATAATAGTTCATATAAGAATAAAACCAAGTTATTATTAAATCATAAAACACAAATGACGAAATATCAAAAAGTAAAATAAAAAAGATTGAGTGGAATTCAAAACAATTTAATAATTTACTCTATGCAAACTAAATGGCATTGGTTTATTAATTGATTAACTGGAAATACAAATAATAAAAGAAAAGCATACTATTTACTTATAAAAAGCAAATTAATAGCAAAATCTTTCAAATAGGATATAATTAATAAATTAATTAATTAATAAATAAATAACTCTAGTTAATAAATGTCTTCAACTCAAAAAGAGCAAACCTAAGTATCTGAAATTCCTAATAGCCCTTAAAAAGAGGCTTCTAAAAAAACAAAGGATTTAGAAAATATTATAAAATAGTATTTACTTAAATTTATTAAGATTAGTAATTGCTCAAAGACTTCTCAATGCAAACATGATGATGGGTGCATTTTGAATGTTATTGTTAAAACAATTAAAGGACTTATTCTTGGATTCTCTGCCAAGACAGCATTGAATTTAGTAGGTCTTCTATTGAATTTTAAGAAAATTATGAAGAATCCTCTTAGCATTTTCAGTATTTTTAATGATTCAGTCAGATTTGGATGCTTCCCTGGCGTTTTCAACCTGGTCATGTAGTCTACTCTCTGCTTATTGAGGAGACAAGGATGCAATTAAACCCTACAATACTTTTTGAGTGGCTTTTTAGCTGGCTTCCTTTCTCTTGCCACACGCTAGAAAAATAATAGGTCAGTTTGGGGTATTTTCCTTCTTTCAAGAGGACTTGAATGCTTCTATCATTCCATGGCTAACAAGTAAATTTTGATAAAAAATTATATTGAAATTGACCCAAAAAATTTAAAATTAGAATACAAATCTTATAATTATTGACAAAATTATATATATATCTGTTTCTTATAATTATATATATTCTATTTAATTAAATATTTTTCATAATGTGAAACAGGGGAATCATCAAGAAAAGAAATATAGATTATACAATACTATTTAGTGTTTTGATGGTCTTCGTAGGAGGCATAGGATATGCTTATGAGCCATTATGTCTTCCTCCAGGAATCAATAAATTTTATAGACTCGTAACATGTGAAGATGATACAGACTTAACTTTCAGAAAATGTTGGATAGAAATTAGAAACAAAAAGCTTTCATAGTACGGAATAGCTCCTTAAAACCCACTTGAAGCTCTACTCTTACAAAAGAAGAGCAGAAAGCATTGAGTTAAATAAAATGAAACAATTAAAGAACAAATAAAAATAAGCAAATAACAAATAAATAAATAATTGATAATAAATTAGAAAGAAATGTTTAAATACCAAACCAATAATTAATTGCAAAGCAAGCAAGCAGTTAGTAAAAAAAGCAAACTACTCAACAAAATTCTTATATAAAAAATGATAAAAAATATATATATATAATTAATTATAAATATATTTATTTTAAGTACTTCAATTTCCAATACTTCTTGTATTTTTTATACTTAATATTTCTTTTATTAAGTAGATTAAATCATTTATCAATTCAAAAAATCTTTTATATTTATTAACAAAGTTATTTCATTGGTATTAGTATAATTAATTTATTAACAAATTTACTAACTTAATTAATTATCAAATCTAAAAGTTAAAATTTGTCCACCCACAAATTTTATTAATTTGATTATTTTAAAACTAAAGCTATAAATAGTCCAGCCAACCAAGGTAAATAAATACTAGATATTTCTCAACAAATATTTAACACTCAATACAGACAGTATTTATCAAAATTTATTATTATAGAACAATAAAAAATAAAATTTTCCTAATAATTAGCTAAAGAGAAACACAATTGATTAAAGCAGTAAAAGATTTTAAATAAAACAAATAATTTATTTCAAAAGGGTTTTAGCATTTAATAAAATTTTATATAAAAACAGCAATAAATAAATAAATTACCTTTTTTAATAAAAGAAAAAAATATTTTAAATATAATTTACTGATAATTAGATAAATGATTACCTAATTAATTAATTTATAAATAGTAATTAAATAAAAAAATCATAAATATAAATTTGCCTATTTTATTGCTTTCATTTTAAATTAAAAAATCAAAAATTTTAATAGATATTAAAAAAAATAGTTCTACTAAAAAGCTATTTATTTATAAAATCATTATTCTTATATTAAAAATTTTACTTTTTATTACAATTACTATTTCAATAAAATTTAAAAATTCTTAAAGTTTAAACAATTTTATTATAATAAAAAATAAACTATTTTGTAAGAAAATATATTTATTAAAATGAATTCGATATAAAAAATAATAGAATAATGTTAAATAAAATTATTACTAACCTTAAAATATGTTTAAAATCTATAATGGTAAAAATATTTTTACTTATATTTAAATGTAATAATTATTAAATAGATTATTAACTAAATTATTTAAATTTGTTTGTTTGCTTGTTCGATTAAATGATTAATTTAATTTTTATCATAATATTTAAAAGCTATAAAGTTACTAAATAAATAAATATGCTAGAATAGTGTTTACATAATTAATTCTATTAATTAAACATAATTGACTAATAGATTTAAATACACTTCAGTAACAAAATACAATAAATAAAGTAGTTATTATTTTTCCTTTTATCATTTTTTGAGTATGTGAAATTTGAAAATATTTGCTTTTCTTGTTAATATAAAAACTTGATACAATAGAATATTTTCATTTTATAAAATGTAAAATGCTAATATTTAATTTTTAATTTAAATTGTAAATTTTAGTATTCTTATAATAAAAGAATTTAACCATATATTTATTAATAAAAACAATTTCGCATATTAAAGTAAATAATTAATTTCAAAATATTTTGATTTTATTATAGTTTTTCCTGCATTTAAAATATCAACAACCTTAAATGATGGTATTATGATAAAAGGTTTACGAAAATTTATCAAAATATAAAAAGTTTATTCAGTTTCTTACTAATAATTAATAAAATATTTTTAACAAATACTTTCTAATTAATACACATTAACATTTTTTTAATGTTATGAAATCAATGTATTTATTTGTTTATTGTTTTCTTTATTTGCCTCTTTTAATAACAGAAAAGTAATTAATGATGAGATCATTTTTGTCATTTGCAGTAATATTTTAATTAAGAATCTGCATGTTTACAGACAGAATATGGTTAAATAATGAAACATAAAAGTGAGGTCAAGTAAAACTTTAAAATAATTCCGAATTAAGTAAGTAATCCATAAATATAATTTAGAGGGATAAAGAGTTACAAAGTAATTTGCTAAATAATTTTAATATGTGGCAAAAATTAGATAGATTAAAATCTAATTTCAATACTAAGTTTAAATGATGAAAGGTTTATTTAATTTTTATTCCTTTTTGTAGAGAATACATGTGCTAATTCATAAAATAGATGGCAGATAATACGATAATAATAGCCAACAATTAAAAAGAAAAGTAAATTATATTGCAACTTAAATTTAAAAAAACAAAATTTACCACAAATAAATCAAAAAATGAGTAAAAAATTTGCTTTGATACACTTACAATTAAATAAAAATCATGTACGTCATTTTCATTACTTTTTCTTTTATTTATTTTCAGAATTATTAATAGAAATAAAAGTAAGTAAGTAAAAATCTTTCTTCATTCACTATTTGCTTTTTGATTTAATTGATTTGATCAAATTTTACTTTGGATACTTGATCATTCATTCATTAGCAATCCTGCTAGTAAATAAAAAGGGAAAAGATAAGTTATTAAGCAATTTAATTATTTAAATTAATTAGAAACAACAACACTTTTAATAAAGTAATGAGAGTCTAAATGAAATTAGTTCTTTTAATCAGTCTTACAATTTGCTTGTCTTATTGCGAATTGAATGTTAAGGTTGATCCTAAAACAACTTTATTCGTTGATTAATTCAATAGAACTCGTGTTTATCACGGATTAAATGTTGTTTACAAAGTCTTCCCCTTTTATCCTCCCAACAATACATTTGATCCTTTAAACTCTTTTGTAGAAAAGGATGCCAGAGATCTTCGCAATTGGGGTTTCAATTCTATCCGTTTGTTTATGGCATGGGAAGCATTTGAGCCTGTAAGACAATAATACAATTACACTTATTTAGGAGAACTTTAAAAAATCGTTGAACTTTGTTAATAATACAACATTTCAGTCTTCTTAGATGCACATCAAGATGTCTACAATAGATTCTTTTGTGGAGAAGGTATGCCCGATTGGACTATTATGGATAACACCAACAAAACTTTCCCCTATCCACTACCTAAGAATTTCTTAAGAAGAGATGATCAAGGATATCCTCTTATAGAAGGTAAAAATTAATTTAAATGATACACTTGTTACTTCTAACACTATTTCGATTTATATTATTTTATTTTTTTGATACTTGATATTCACAAAAATCTATTTTAACTTACATTAACCTATTTATTATATTACTAATTAATACAAAAATCAATTAACCAACCAACAATCTTCATCCAAACTTTAAATCAAAATTTAACTGTATTTAAAACAAAATTTTAATTTTCTGAATCTCAAATAAGAATTAAAAATATTTTATCATTTTTATTATTATTTAAAGTTCATCAATTTTAATAGATATTATTTAATATTTTATTTGAGATCATAAAATATTGAAAATATTTTTAAATAAAAAATAAATAAATAGATTGCCTTAAGGTTGGTTTCTCAACTTACTATTTAACTAAAGATGGCAGCTAATAAGGAGAAAATTTATTCTTGAACTATCAAGGTTTAGCTGACGACTTTGCAAATATGTGGGGTGAAGTTGCAAAATACTTCTCAAAGCTTACTCATTTGACTAACTTCTTAGGTTATGAAATCATCAATGAACCTTTCGGTGTTTCACCTTGGAACCACTTCCTTGATTGGATATGGCCTGGAAGAGGTAACAACAAATACATGTTACCTTTCTATTAAAAGGTAGCCGATAAAATTTGGGCAAATCACCCTGACTCCATGGTCTTCTACGAACCTACAGTTGTTGATTATTTAAGTGGTGGTTTCAGCCATAACTTAGGCCATCCTGAAAAGGAAGTCCTCTCTTACCATGTTTACTGTATGGCTGTGAACCCAGTTGGTGATCCCTTCTCTAGAATACTTTGCGATATTTTAGACTCCATTTTTATTGGTGGTAAGGAAAAAAATGTCCAAAAGATCCATGTTGGAGGTTTCTTAACTGAATTCGGTGCTCTCTCTAACTCTACTAAATCTGCTGAAGAATTAGATTACCTTTTAGATAAGGCTGACAATCACTTAAGAAGTTGGGCTTACTGGTAATACAAAGGTAATCTTTTTTCAAATATTATTTTTAACATTTTTAAAATTTAAAAATCATTTAAAACAGAAAATAAATTCCTCTAAATCTTTAAATTATTTGATTTTTTAAAAAAATTTTCTATTCTTGTTAACTTTATAGAAAAGATATACAAAATTTAATAAAAATTGATAAAAATTAAGCGTAAGAATAATCTCATGACCTATTTGATAGAAATAAAATAATAATAAGAAAATATTTTCAATAATTAAAATTTTAAAATATCAACTTAAATTTTATTATTAACATTTAAATAAAAAATATTTTTGATGAGAAAAATATTAAATAAATTTATTTAAAAATTTTAAATATCTTAATGCTAATATTTGAATGTTATTTTATAAATTAAAAGGATACGCTGACTTTACTACTGCTGCTGGTCCTGGCTCTGAAGGTTTCTACACTGAAGATGGGTAATTATAAAGCAATAAAGTTAAGCATTTATCTCGTCCTTATGCTTAAGCAATTTGTGGTGAAGTTCAAAAGAGTAAATTTAATAGTAATAAGGTCACTTACGAATTGATTTATGTTAGTGGTACTTGCAGCGAGTAAACTGAAATTTATTTGAGCACTGAATACTGGTTCACAAACTTGAAATTTGAAAAGAAGGAAAACATCAAAGAGATTATTCCTAATGCTTAACTTCCTGGATACTTTACAATTATTGCATCAGAACCTAATAAAAAGGTTCATTTGATTGTTAAAAATAATTGAATAGTTTTTCTTATATGACATCACTAAAGTTAAGACTATGCCCTAAAAAGGAATTAACAAAATAATAAATAAATGAATGAATAGATAATATAATAAATAAATAAAAGAATAATTATACCTCCTTGTTTATCAAATAACTAATATATGTGGATTTGCAATGATTATTATTTTTGTAAATTTAAATACACCAATATTAATATGTGTGTTCACTTCTCAATAAAAAATTTAAAACCAAATTTTAATCATTAATCTAAATTACAAAAAAAAAAATTTTTTCATAAAAGAAAAAATATAAATATAAATTTTCATAAAAGAAATAATTAAAATAAACAATAAATAAATAAATTTGCAAATAAAATGAAAAATCATACTTCATTTTTTATCTTCATTTTAGCAATTTTTGGTAAATAATTTAAAAATAAAATTTTATTTTATTTTATTTGTTGAAAATAGATTTGTTTTATATTGCACTCGCAGGATATAGTAGCGGCCAAGAGTAAGAGTATCAGCAAGTCTATTGCTAGCTTTATAAGCAATTCAAAGAATTTGAATTTTATAATTAGATTTACCTTTTGAGTAAATAATATAATCATGCTTAATTATTGGGTTAGGATGCTCAAATAGATATCAAAGCTTAACAGAAATGCTTAGAAGCATTAGATAAATCCATTATTGATATTAGCTACGCCAAATAAATAATTTTTGAATAAGATGGGCTAATTATTTTATTCTTAAAAAATGATGAAGGATCACATTTAGAAAAATAAGTCTTATGTAAATAGTTTAGTTTTTTAATTATGCTTTGAAGAGAATTTATCTTCAATTTATTTAATGTCAACCAAAAAATTAAATAATCCTAGACCATGTAGAAAAAACAGAGTTACAATTAATTAAATTTAGAATAATATTTACAATTCTATCTTACTACTTTATCATTTGATTTATTAATTTTTTACCTTAATAAAAATTTAATTCTTAATTTTTTATTAAAGCTTTCATGATTACTCATCATTCTATGCATTCAAATACCTAATCTTAACCATATAAACATTTGATATTACAATCCAAAATTTCTGTGAAAGAATTACTAGAGCAATTTTTTTTTAATTAAATTGATCTTGCTAACTTCTAACAAAAATATCAAATTTCAGCAAATCATATAAACGAAAGTAACATAATTTTGTTTTTCACCTTGATGGAAAAATATTTTTGCTAAAACGACTTTAAGTTGGTTGCATGTAAGTAAATACAAAATATTTTCAAATTTTTTGATCATATCGATAAAAATTTGTAGATATTTAACCAAGTTGAAATTATTGATATTACAAAAAAATAAACTCATATAAAATTATTAAGACATTTAAGAAGCTTAAAAAAATTTTCTAATAAAGATTTATTTCATTGTAAAAATTATCAAAATTGGCTTTGTGTATAATGTGATGATGGATATAGATTGTAAAATCATATATGTTTTCCAGACAATAACAACAACAATAATAATAACAACAACAACAACAATAATAATAATAATAATAATAACAACAACAACAATAATAATAACAACAACAACAATAATAATAACAACAACAATAATAATAACAACAACAATAATAATAACAATAACAATAATAATAATAATAATAATTCAAACTCTAATAACTCTGGTAATAATGGAAATAGCAACTAAAATAGTAATAATAATGGAAATACAGGGAATTAAAATCAGTAAATAGTTTGTGGTTAGTTTTGCTTGAAATGTACTAGTTCAACTATTTGCATTTAGTGTGAAGATTAATATTTTTTAAATAATAATATGTGCTCACAATCTCTTCCTATTTCTGGAAGGTTTAGTCCTGAATAAACTAAAGCAACTAAAGAATCAGCTTAACAAGCTAATACAGCCTTATTGGCATCTTCATCAACAGCACAATTGCTAACTAGTTTTTCGAATCCAAATAGTTAGATGCTAATGTAAATGCTAGCTATTCAAAAAGTTTACTTTTTATTACTAGTAAATGTGCCTCTTCCAGATATTTTATATAATTTCATTCTGGGGTTATCAGGTATATAAATAAATAATTTAATTAATTTCTTAATCTATCAAATAAAATCCATAAAAAAAATTTTATTTGAAAACTTACTCACAAATCTTAATTTACTTACCAAAAGTTTTGAGAGATTGAGAAATTCTTGAAGTCCTAGAAATTTTACCTTATAGTTATATTTTTTTGGATTAATTTTTACTTTACTTTTTTATTAAAAAAGGTTCTTCGCCAGTGTCTTAAATACAGAAGATTAATTTCTTAGAAGAGATTGAAAGTTTGTATAATTAAGATAAGAATGTAACTATTGGTGACTAATTTTAGAAATAAAAAATATCTTCTAGTATTTTGATTAGTAGTGGTGGAGCGCTCTTTTTATTTCTATTTTTACTGCTCATTTTATTCATATTCTTTCTATTAATCAAATGGACTAAAACTAGTTATATCGCTGTAAAAATATTTGATAAGCTTGCTTCAGGTTTGATAGTTTAATTTAACTAGCTTCTCATTCTAATTATTTCGTTTGGGATATTCATGTAGCTGAAGGAGTTTTTTTCAGGAAACCATATTAATAATTTAGGTTTAAAAATATTTTTTGTTATTTTATTATTAGCAGTATTAGCGAGCATATGCTACACTCAAATCAAAATATCATAAAAGAATTATTTTTCTTCTAAAATAATTTATAACAGCTAGTAAGATCTCTAAAAAGAAATTATTAAGATTTTAGATCAAGATAAGGATTAAAATAAACTGTCCTAGGTGAAAATCATCACCTTTTTAAGAGAAAGAATATAGAATGATTGCTTGAAGGAAGTTACAATTTAAAGAATATACATGAACATATATTTGGCTCATGAAGCTATAATAATACCATTTATCATAGTTATGTTCAGCTAGTATTTCTACTTGTAAATCATATTCATCACATTTACATAGATACTTTTAGCTATGATCACCATTTATTTGAGGCCATTTTACTAAACAATCGATAATCTATTTTTTATTATTGATTAACTGTTGTGGGGATTCACTTTCTTTATTTTCACAATCTTAAGTTTCATAATTAATAATTTAGAGAGCTAAATAGTTCAACAAACTATCTCTTCTCAAAATATAAAAGTTCTAGATGCGCTGAGTGTATTGCTTATTGTTTAGTTGATTCTAATTTAGATTCTTAATCCTCTGGTTTCTTTTATTAAGATTGGAATGGACTTATATTACATTATTTAGTCCTATATAAAATAAAGAAAAGCTAAAAATGAACCACAAGCTGAATTAATAAACACTTCAATACAAAGTATGCAAAAAGCTATCTATAATTGACATATTTAAATTCTAACAAATAAAATTTTATTTTAAATGATAACAAATTCTATAATAAATACTATTTTATATTTATAATTAATGTAACAAAATTTATCAATTTGCTTTTAAATCTCTTAAAGTTTCTTTCTTATATTTTCTTTATATTTTAAATTATTTTATTAATTTCTAATTAAATTTTAATATTTTATTAATTACTAAACAAATTAAAAATAAATAATTTTATTCATAAACCAAATCAAATGTTTGTTTTTTATTCTTTCATTTTTTTATTTATTTTAAAATAAAATTTAAATTATTGAATCTTTTTATTTAGATTTTTTATTAAAAATTTTCTTTACAAAATACAATGTGTTCTTAAACATTAATTATAGATATCATCAATCAATTACATAAATTAAATACTTTTTCATATATATAGGGATGAATTTTATTTCTCCTTAAATCTCTATTTAAATATAAGAATGGTTGAGGTATCTTTTACAAAAAATCTAGTTAAAATACATTAATAGAGGTTAATTTGTCTAATAAAATCTTCCTTTTTTGCAAATATTTTTGACAAACGTTCTTTCATATATATGTAAGTAATATTTTACTTTAGGAATGAAAAATTTTAAGGTGTATCTATCTATGTATAAGAAGATTGATTATTCGACTATAAAAAAAATAAAAAAATTTTATTTTAAAAATCTTAAAAAAATACTAACAAACATGAATGAAACAAAAAAAATTTGCAATTTTATTAATTAGTACAGTTTTTGATTTTAACTAAGATTATGCTTCAATCAAAATATGGAATTCCTTTGAAGAAATACTCATAATGCTAGACATCTACTACACGTGTTTTAGAATCTAACTTTTGAAGTTATTCAATATCGCTTTGATCTAATTTCAACTGAAGTGATTGGAAGTTTTCTTTAAGTCTTGATGGCTTTTCAGTCTTTGGAATGACGATTATGCCTCTTGATAGCAAGAATTAAAGCAAAACCTAAGCAATAGGAACTTTGTGTTTCTCAGCCACTTTTTTGATAGTTTCATTATTGATTATGCTATCATATTTTGCCATAGGACTGTAAGCCATAACTTACATTTGTAATTTTTGGCAAAATTCAACTAATCTTTTTTATTAGTTAAAAACATGCAATTCTATTTAGTTAACGACTGGTTTAACATTTGCATATGATAATAAATCAATCAAACTTTAAGTGTTAAAGTTAGATACACCCAAAGATTTGACCAATCCTTTATTATAAACTGCCTCTAATTCTTACCACTGAACATGGACAGGTTTGTGATTGATCTAGAAATTTTCTCCAGGAGGAGCAAAAGTCCAATGCAAAAGCAATAAATCTACGTACTCAACTTAAAGATCTTGCAGACATCCTTTCACAGCTTCTTCAGTGTTTTGTTGTTTGAAAGGAAGAATCTTTGTGACAATAAAAATATCAGATCTTTTGTACTTGCCTTCGCTAAAAATTTCTTAGAGAGCTTCACCTATCATTTTTTCATTTTAGTAAATTTTTGATGTATCAATAAGTCTGTATCCATCATCTAAAGCAGTTCTAATGAGAGTAGTCATAATATCCTTATTTTTGGATTCATAAGTACCAAGGCCAAAGACAGGCATCATCTATCCACTTAAAAGCTTAACAGTGTTTGATTGAATCATTTTATTTTTTTGATAAGTAATTAAATTTATTGTTTATTTATATTTTAATTACAAATTTCTTAGCAATTATTTTAGCAGTTTTTAAATGAAAGAATGAAGAGTTTCAAATGAAAAATCAAATTTAGTGTTACATTATTTAATCACAAAATTAAAACATAAAATCAATTAAATTATTGAATCAAATTTTAAACTGATGAATTCTAATATTCTTTAATTGTTCTTTATTTTTTCTGTATTATTATAAAACTTAATCAAATTTGTTTTTTTACCCAAAGTTACTCACTTTATTTCTTAAATTAAAAAGATTAATTTTTATTTATATTCATTTACAACATAATTTATATAATTATTCTTTAGACAAATTTAATAATTCTATTATCTACTTTCCTTTATTATTTTATTTGTCATATCAAGTAAAAAGTGAATAAATATCAATCAATTAAACTGAAATATTCAGATAAAACTTTTAAAATAAATCAAAGAATATTTTAAAATTTAAACAATTTTTAACATTTTAAACTAAAATAAAAAATTATCTAGTAATATTCCTAAATTCGCTGTAAAATAGATTAATTAAATAAATAAATAATTTTTTTAATTTAGTCGAAAAAGCCTACTTTAATTATTTTTTGAAATTAAAATTTTACTATAAATGTTCAACTGTTAGTTAATTAAGTCCATCATTATTCATATTTAGTTATTACTAATTTTTTCTGGTTTTATCAAAAATTTTTATTATTGAATATTAATTAATAGAGACTTTAATTTATAAGAATTTAAATTTTATAATTCAAAAATCACTAAAAAATAATTAATAATTAGTAATATTTTTAAGACAATTAATTTGTTTTAAATAAAGAAAAAAAATGATTTCGAAAATTATTTTCTAAAAATAAAGCAATTAAAAATCAATAAATAATATATTATTTATGATGTATTTATATCTCCTTTTATTTTATTAAAATTACTAAGATGGAAATATTCTTTCAAATTTTTTGTAAAGAAATTAAATAATATCAAATGAATTGCTTATAAAAAACATTTTTCATTAATTTGAGTGAAACAGAAAACAAATTAGATATTGAAACTAAAAAAATGCTTATCGGTGAATTAAAAACCAACTACACTTTAAAGTGCAAATCTATCATTAATTTATATTTAGAATAGATTATTATTTAATAATATAGTTTTAAAAATGATTATTTTTTGACTGTTAATTAATAATCTTTTGAAATTTTTTTTGTTAAAGAAATATTATATAAACAATTTACTCTATTAAACTTGATCGAAATAATATTATGACTCTAATTAACAAACATATTAAATATTGGATTCAATTAAAGATTTTATAATGCAGTTAGATATGGGAATCGAAAGTTTCTATTTCATGAAAATTAATAGAATTTTAAGAAATGATATAAACTAACCTATACTTTTTATTCAACTTCCATTCATATTGATTACATCTATACTTTCGATTCCCATCTCTAAATGCAGCCTTTCATTCTTTCATTGATTCATAATTTAAGTTTATTTTTTGTTTGAATTGAAAAATTTTTAAACTTCCATTTTTATTTAAAGATGATTAAAAATCATCAGTAAAAATAATATAGAAAAACAAAGCAAAGCTTATTTACTTGTAACTAATAATTTAGAATATTTAATTTGTAGAAAAATCAATTTTAATTTTATTAAGAAAGTTATTTAATTGCTGGAGACACTTTATATCAAATTTATCTATATTCCAAATAAAACATCTGATTAAAATAGATAAATTAAATCAACATTCTTCAGAATTTATAAAATTTAAAAGATACTTTAATAAAAAAATAGTAATTAGCTTTTAAAAGAAAATTTAGATTGAATTTTAATATAAAAATTAATTAAAAAATTAAATTTAAAAAACATAAATAAATGGGTTAAAATAGTGCCAAAAATTAAAATGTAACAAAAAATAAACATTATGTTTAAGCATCAAATAAGGAAAAAGAAATAATATAAAAATATACTAATTTGAAGATTGGCGAAAATTTAAGAATATTAAATGTGGAATTTAAATTTAATGGGAAAGATACTTTTATTCACACTTTAGTTAGCGGAGAATAAAATTAGTAGGTTATTGTGTTGATACATGGATATTTAGCTACTTCGCTCTTTTATTACAAAATTATCGAGAATTTAAGCTAAAATTATAAAGTATATTCCATAGATTTGTTAGGAATGGGTCTTTCAGATAGGCAAAATATAGAATTTCAACAACCTAAAAATGCTGAAGTTGCTACTTAATTGTTTGTAGATTCTTTAGAAGAGTGGAGAAAAGCTCTTGGAATTTAATCTTTTAAGTTATTTGGGCATTCATTTGGTGGTTTTATCTCATTTAATTATAATTTACAATATCCTGAACGAGTTGAATAAATAATTTTAATATCACCTATGTCTGGATCATCAGTTTAACCTAAATATGATTTGAGGGATAAATAAAAATTTAAAAAATATTCTTCTAGTCTTACTTTCAAACAATCATTGTTTCCCAAATTTTTGAGATGCATGCATGAAAAGAAAATGACTCTATCAAAGTTTTTGCAATCATCTTTGATTCCATCTGACTACTTTGTAAATAAAATTATAGACTAAAGATTTGAATTTCAGACAAAGCAAGAGAAAGAAGATTGGAAAATTTATTTTAAATCTATTTAAATGCTGCCTGAGTGTACTGATCATTTAATCCATGAATTTGTATCTATGCCTTATGTCTAGCCTAAAATATCAATAGAAGAAATTATTTTATCTGGTAAAATGAAGGAACAACATATACCTATACACTATATATACGGGGGCTAAGATTGGATGGATTGGTCTGGTACAAAAAGGTTATTAAGCAATTAACAAATTATAGGTACTATAGATTACATCAAAGATGCCGGTCATTTAATACCTTTTGAGTAACCTGAATATTTAGTCAAAGAAATGCTTGAAATATTTTAAAATCAATAATATTACTTTAATTAGATGAAAAATATAAAAAAGTAGAAACAATTATAACTTTGAATAAAGAATTTAAAAAAAAAACAATTTTAACTTTTAACAATTTATTAATTATTTATTTATTAAAAACTTAAAAAATTACAAATATATTAATATACTAATCGCCATTTAAATTATTTTTCTTAATTAAATTTAATATACCATGTTTCCTTAATTAAAGAGCGCAAAACAAACTTGTTTCAAGTATAAGTAAATATTTTTTCAACCCATTTAAAAAAATCTGGTGTTAATATAATCGAATTTTATTTAATGAAAATTTATATTATAATAATTGCATTATGAGTAAGTATTACTTCAAATCCTATAAATTAATTTTTAAACATATTAATTAGAATAATTTGTCTGTTTATTATATCTAATTTTTTATTTATTTGTTTTTTATTACGAATAAAACTAATTTGGAAAAAATACATAATTTCTTATTTATTTAATATCTTTAATTTTAGGATTTTTTGCTTTGACTTTTTAAGTTAATCTAATATTTATCTAATTTAATTTTATAAACAACCCTTAAATAACAATAATAGATAGAATTTTGATTTTTTTTAATTATTAAAACATATAAAATTCACTTTTGAAGTATTTTAAAATTATAAATTACAAAATGCTGCACTTTTATTATGCTAGTATTTAGTTAGGTTCATTCATAAAAAATAAACTTACATTTTTAAACTTAGTAAAAATTAAATTAATTTTTGCAAACTAGGATTAATAATAATAATAATAATAATTGATTTACAAATCATCAAATTTTGATTAATTGAAGATTTTATAAACAAAAAGGAAAGTAATTAAATAATAACTTAGAGAGAATTAAATTAAATGAAAAAGATTTTAATAATTAAAAACAATATTCTTATTTTATTAATAAATGCTTGCTATTTGTCTCAGACAGCATGTAATTTCAATTCTCCTTAAAATATATCTTGAATATTGATTTAAATTAAATAGGTTTTATTCTTTCAGAAGAAATTAATGCTCAACACTCTTTTGTTATTACTTCGCGATATAATGGATTTCAACATGATCCTTGCAAAGTTTTTGAAGAAAATGAAAACAGCAATAAATTGAGAATAGACCATATTACCACTATGCTGTAAAACTCAATAAGAAGATTGTCTCCTTCTTATGAAGAGAAATTAGAGTTAAGTATTTTGGTATGGTCTGATAATTAATAACTACTTGATGAATTTGAAAAAAGAGCTATTGAAGGAGATTATCTTTACAAAGAAGAAAAAGAAATTTAGATTTCGAAATGTCAATTAAAAAAAAAATATTCTTTTCGCTCTTTTTCTTTTAATTCGGGTATTAATAAGCTTTTAAGATTTATTAGTTTCCTTTTAATGTGATTTATTTATTAATTACTATTAATAGGGAAATTAACTAATATTGATTCTCTTAATCAATTGAATTTACTCTTTGGGGAAAGTGGATTATTCAGTTAGTTTAATTATGGATCTCTCTATTTAGGATTCTAAAAATTTAAAGTAACTGCTAAAATGTGCCATAACTCTTGTTAATAATGCATAGGAGGCGATTCTGATGACATGTGTACTGAGTGCGCATCTAATTTTGAACTAGTAAAAGGAAAATGTTAACTCAAATAAATGTTTAAAAGTGTTAGATTAGAAGAAGATTTAAAAGATAACTCAAAAAAAATAAATAATGTTAACCAAAATTTTACCTTTCTAACTAAATGCTATAATGGGTGCATTTCATGTAATTATAGTACTGGAATATGTAAAGATACTATTAAAGGAAAAACAATTATAGAATAGCTAGTAAAAAATCAGTTCAGTAAAAAGTTATCTTGAAAGATAAAATAAACAAACAAACAAACAAACAAACAAAGAAGAGATTGAATGACCTTTATTTTGCAATTCTCTAAAAAATACATTATTTATTTATGAAATTTCAAATTACAAAAATTTGCATCTAAGTTAAATAAAAATAAATTTACATATTTTAATATTACTAAAATAGATTTTCTTAAATTTCAAAATATTTCCCAATTTATTTTAAATCTTTTAGTTAATTAATTAATTAATTAAGGTTCTTATTTTATAGATTATTTTCATCAATATCTATAAAATTACATAATGTTACATACAAATCTTTCATTTTGTATATTTTTGTAGATACTTGAAAATATCGATTTTATTCTGTGTTAAATTAGATTTATTCAATTAATAATTTTATTTTTATTTTGTCTCAAAAGATTGTTTTAGGATTTTTTATTTGAATTTGTATTTTAAAATATTAAATTTTATTTTTTTATATTTTAGTTTAGTTTATACTTAAAATAAATCAACTTATAAGAATCAGACTCGTAGAAAAATTAAAATAGTTAGATAATAAAGACTATCCAAGTTGAGTTTCAAAAGATAAATTTAATGAGTAACTCTTATTTAAGAAGAATATTGTACACCATCTTTACCAATACAGTTGGTAATATTTTAATATCTGGATTAGCAACATTGAGTTCAATAAAAGAAATAAAACAAAAATTTAAACAAATATAAGTACAATAAAAATTAAAATCTATAAACTATAAATAAAAATTTTGTTATATTTAAATAGAGAAATTTAATTAATCAATCAATACTCATCATCTTAATTAGGAAAAAGACTGTGTACGCACTTTGAAATAAATGGAACAGTGCTATACTTAGATAATTAAAATGCTAAATGATCTAAAGCTTGAGAAACTCGATATTTAATGAATCTATTTTTTTCTATGGATTAGTCTGAAAAGTCTCCTAGGTCTAACTTTGAGTGTCTTTTAGAAAGATGAGTCAGTACTAAAGCTTTAGCTTTTGCTTGAATAGCTATATCTATTGCTTCGAAGGCTGTAGAGTGTTTTGCATACTTGGCATGCTCTTACATATTTTGATTAAAGGTACCTTCATGGATCATTAAGTCTGAATCCTCAGCCGCTTAAGCAAACTCTATACAAGGTCTTGTATCTCCTGAATAGCTAATTTTTATGCCAGATGTATGCTAGAATACTATTCCAAATGCCTACGGGCAATGTATGACAGGGATAAATTTGATTTCTTGTATTCCTAAAGAAACAAGCAAAAATTAATTAAAATCCTATTTTAATTAATGAATTTCTGTTTAATCAGATTTCAAATAATTTGACAACTGCATAATTCTAATTTTGGCATTAAATCTTCTGTTATCTTCTCTTTCTTCATCTGAATTATAGTTTTCATCTTAAATGTTTTAATCTTCATTAAAACTTTCTTAGTTTTCTTTAATTATTTCTTCCTCCTTTGAAATCATTTCATTAGGAAATTATTTTTACTCTTTTTTAAATAACAAGAAAAACATAATTAATAAAAATAAATTGCATAAATAAATTTTTCTTTATTAAAATAAAATTTGTTTACCTTTTAGTTCTGTTTCTTGGACCTGATTATCGCAACATGGTTTTTTATTGTATTAGTTAAAGAGATCGTTGAGATTTTATCCATTATAATCTTGAAAATAAATGAGTTTGCAATTCATTTTTTCCATGTAACAATCTACAACTCCATACCAAGGAGCAAGAGACCAAGGCAGGGCAATATACATAAGCTAATCTTCTTCTGTAAAAAATTTTTTACCTTCATTAAAAGCTGTTTAGAAAGCTTTGTGTCTTTAATATACTATGCTTTAAAATCCTAAGTAATGGTCAGAGTGTGCATGTGTTAAAACAATTAATTTTAAATTTCTTAAAACTTCTTAGCACTCAGCTTCACCAAATTAGTTTAATAACTAATAATAGGTGCCTTCACCACAATCTAACATTATGCCTTAATTGATATTTTTAAAAAAGATATTAAAAATAAAGATATACATATGCATGTATGTATGAATAATGATGATACCTTATTTTAAACTCTACTCATAGATTAAAATGCTGCTGTTATTCCTAAAAATAGTTGGAGTCATGCAACTGGTACCTAAAAAGTAAATATGCGGATCATAATTCTTAGTGTTTTATCTTATTTAAGCATCAAAGAGAATGAATTCGTTTGATTTCATTTCTTAGACTAAATCTACCTTTAACTTTTCTGCTTCTGATTAGAATTCTTCAGTCAAAAAATATTTTTTTGTATTTTTCTAAGACAAAATTGGTTGATATGCTTATCCTGCTTATTTAGAATTAAAAATGAGCTAATAATTTTTTTTAGAAATTGTTTTATTTTTAAGATATGGAAACAATTAATTTAATTCTATTTCATAAAATTCTGATTCGCTTTTATAATTCTTAGTGTTTTCACTGATTTTAGGGAAATTTTCTGGAAATTACTCAGCAATTATGTTAGTAGCCTATACGTGTAAAAAAGTATCTGAATGATTGTTTTAAGGTATTTAAGTTTCTTTTATGTGGGAATTTACAAAGATGTGCAATGTATTTACATCAAACTTTTTCAAAAATAATTCATAATGATGACTCTTTAAGATATGAATAGGAGTCATGTGAATAACTGCGTAGACAAAGGAATCTTATGTTGTTGTATAAGAAATATCCTCACAATTAATAATATTCTTAACGCATTCTTCTGAAAGACAGTCAAATATGAGCAATTATTAGGCTGGCTAAGGATCTTCTAAAACTTCTTGTAACTTAATTATTTTACCATCTAATTCAATTTATTTATTTTATTGAAACTCTTTCATCATTTTACCAGGAATATTGAAAGATTTAAGTTTTTCTTTATTCATCTTACATTCTTATTTTTGAAATTTGATTAAATAAGCAAGGACATCTTCAGATTTAGATTGAACATAAATAGGTACAACCTCTATTTCTGCATCTTAATAATTGCCTTATTCGTTGATCATCTATCTTGCATCATTTAAGAAATTATTTTTATTTAAGCTCTATTGTTTAAATTTTTCATACAAATAAGCATTAGCCTTTTACTTATCCTAAAAGAAATTATTTGAAAATTAATCATCATATTTTAAGCCAAAAATGGAAGCCATATCATTAATTCCTAATAAGAAATTCGACATTTATTTATTATTTTCTAGTTTGTTTGTCTCAAATCCTAAAAACGAATAAGGTAGGCACTTTATATAAAATTTGCTCTTCATATCTTAAAACATATTCACTAATTTTTAAGGTCCATAAATCTTATCTTGTAATCCCATAGCATTACAAAATAGAAGAGTCATATTTGGAATTAGTCCATCTAGAGTTTCAGAAGATAATCTAGTTAAAAAGAAGCAAATCCCCTAAACAAGCTTGATTTTATTAAATTTTTAGAATCTCATAAAGTTTTCTGAGCAGTTAAAAATATATTTTTAACTTCCAACGTGCAAAATGATTGTAGGAGTCTATTCGCCCACATGATTTATTATAATTTAAAGGTATGTCTTCATGCTAAAAATAAATTAATTTATTTTACTTTTATAAAAGTTATTATTAATTTTGTTTAGTCTGAATTAATTATTTAAAACTATTTCGTCTTAAAGTTATTTTTTGAGAATAAATAAAATGTAAGAATAAATTATAATTATTTAGTAATTGATTAGATACAATTGATGTTTCTACCAGACGCTTTACAAAAATTTTGTATAAAAAAAAATTAAAAAAAGAAATAAATAAAAATACAGATTACAATTTAAAACAAAACCAAAAATTGCTTCAAAAATTAATAACTTTAAAATGCAAGTTATTTTTTTCTATTAAAAATAAATTTAATTTTTGAATCAATTAAGTAAATTTCTTTTTATTTAAAATCAATTAAAATATTCTCACTAAATAAAGCTAATTTTTATAAAAATTTAATTTTATAAATTAACTAAATTGAAAGAAATATCAAAAAAACTATTAAATGATGAATTTATTTTAAGAAAATAAATAACTGTAAAAATATATTTTATTTAAATAATTAATATTTATTTTACTTTTGTTTAAACTATACTAAAAATATACAAATACTTACATAATTTATAAAATTTATTTCCTAAATAAAATATAATATCTAAGAAATTTCTAGCTTTTAAAATCTATTTAAACTTGTTTAAAATATATTCTCTTTATAGGATTAATTTTAATAGTTTGTTCAAGTATTTGCTCATACTTAAAAACTCTTTTTACTATTATGAATTTAATTTCCTTCAATTTTAATAACAATTCAGCTTTCATAAGTTAAACATTAAGTTAAAAGATGTGAACAATTTTTAAGTAACTGATTAACATAAGAAGAAGAGGGAGGATTCTGCATTCAACGAGATGAATTAAGGATAAGAAAATTAAGATTTGCATTTTCATATTCAATAAAAAATATAAAAATTTATAAAAAATTCATAATTAAAAATAAATTATTTTTGATTTCCGAATAACAAAAATTAAATTAAAGAATAAAATAAATAAATAAATAAATAATTTATATCATGCTTTTGTAATATTTTTCAAATTTATTTATTTATTTAAAATACAAAATAAATGGACAAATTCATACAAATATTTTTAAACAAACTTTTAGAATTTAAAAAAGATGGGATTTAAAATAAAGCAGAGTATAAAGTAAGTTGTTTTCAATTTTCATCTTCAACTTCCTCTTCTTCCTCTTCTTCACCCTCTTATGCTTCTTCTTCTTCTTCCTCTTCTTCCTCCTCTTCTTCTTGATTTGGATTGAAATAAGGATTTTCAGCAGGTATATTTGGAGGTCTTAATGAAACTGCAGCTAAGTTTCTGTTAGGATCTTATTTTAATGCGCTGAATAAATCTACATTCAATCTCTATTCATAAATATCAAAGCTGTAACTAGGGATATCTTTATTCTTTTCTCTTTGGTCTTTGTAAAATTGTTCAAGCTTTAAGTTTTTATTATTTAAATTAATCATTTTTGATTTCTTTTCTAAAATATTTTACTTTTAAAAGAATTTTTAAATCAGAGAATGAGTCATCTTCAATATAATCCATAGGGTCAGCTATTTTCTATGCAGTAAACTAATGATGAGTTTTAATTAAATCTTCTTTCCATAACTTTGTCAATTCGCTTATTCTAGAAGGACAATATGTCTTTGCAAACATAGCTGCTTCGCTGATTCTACCACTTTTAACCAAAACATCAATACATTTATCTAAGTCAGCCAAAGAGAAGTAAATTTAGAAAGCAACATTCTTTTTAAATAGTAAAATATATTATCAAAAAAATTAAAATTCAAAAAATAAATTTATAAAATTGAGTTCAATAATGAACTAAAAAACCTACATTTATGAGATAAAAATATTTTTTAGAGAATTATTAAAAAAATTAAACAATTTATTAAAAAAAATTATTTAATCCAATCAAATAAAAAATTACTAATTTCAAAGTAAGAATTTTAGTTCAGAATTTATTTTATTTTTTTATTTATTTAGTTTTTAATTAAAAATATTTTATTGTTAAATCGTTTGCTTTTAAAAGAAAAATTATTTTTGAACTTTTTATATACTGATAATGTGGTCATTGGTTTATTAGTTAAATTGATTATAAAATTTAGTTATGAATAATAAAATATAAATAAATAAATAAATAAATACCATTCTCTTTTATTCCACGGCCTTTTTACCAAGCTCTTCTAATTCTTCTCTAAGACCAAGAGAGGTGTAAATCAAGAGCAAACTGTTAATATCTTCAGATTGTTTGAAACAGTTAATAGCTCTAGTTAAATCACCTTAGAAAAGGGCTAAGTCACCTACTTATTTCAACTAACTAGGACTTTAAGTTTCTTGTGCAATCAAATTAGCTTCATTAAGCTTTCCTAATAACAAAGCTAGTTCAAATTTATGTTCGGGATCCTAGGCAATATTAAAAGCCATTTCTTTCTTATCAAGTTAATCTAAGAATTTGGCCAATTTATCGTAATATTTAAGATCAATTTACTTAATCAATTCAGCTGCTTAATCATATTGTTCATCTCCTATCAAGCTCTAATACTTGGCTACTTTAACGGGAAGATCAAAACTGCTGATGTTAAAGAATTTGTCAAGCATATAGAGTCTATCTTAAGTAGGAATGTGGCCTAAAATAAATCTTTTAAATATTAAATTACAATTTGTGATGCAATCAACATGAAATTTATCAATAACTAAATTACTTCTTTTTATCTGTATGTTAGAAAGTGAATTATTTTCCTGCGAGAGAATAGCTGATTTTTCCTGTTCCATTTGTAAAGAAGAAAAGAGATTCAATCCAAATACCAGAATTAATGCTTTCAGATATTTCATATACCATTTCAAGAGCTTCGTCAATACCTTCATTACTTTCATCTTCAGCAATATCTGCAATAAGCTTTTTAAATATTTTTGAATGATTAATTTTCATGTTTGCCTATATTTTTTTTAAATAATACTTCTTTTTTGAATTGAAGAACGTAGAATTCATCAGCAGAAGCAAGAGTGACAAAGTCATTTTAGCTCCAATATAATTTTTTGAGACTGAGTTCAATTTTTCTAACAATCTTTGCAGTAGTCCAATCATAGAAAATAATAAAATCGCTGCTCTTGACACCTCTTTTAAAATTTAAATTATTAACCTGAGTTTTAAAATTAAATCAAATCTATTTTTACAATAAAGGACCACCGTAGAGACCTTCAACAATATAGTCAGTAGAAAATTCAAATATTTATTAATTAGAAGAACCATCAAATGCCTTAACTTAAAAGTTTTCCTTAACAGCATAATCACCATTTGTATTGAACACTAAATCAGAACCATTTCCATGAACTAAATTTATAAATAAGTAAGTAAGTAATTAAAAAAATATATTAACAAACAAATAAATCAATTTTAATGAATTTTAAGAGCAGAAATAAACATAAATTTGTTTATTTTATTTACCTATGCTTTTGAAATTGTTTGATCTATAGATAGAATATTCAGTGTCATTAAAAATAGCAAATGAGTGACCATTTGGAGCATGTCTTAAACCCTATTAAAAAATGGTAAGTTAAATTAGCATTTGGAATAATAACTATAATAAAATTTGTACAGTTGGATAAAAATCAGCTGTGCCTAAATCTTTGCTGTTAATATTGGGAATGTTTTCACCTTCAACAACAGCATCTTTATCAGCAGTATTAACGGATTTCAAGTTTGCAGTAAATAATTCTAAGTTTTTGGCATAGATGATCTTACCATTACTATTAAAGTATAATTTAATATTAATCTTTTATTAAAATTGCTGAAATATTTATTTGTTTACTTAATTGAAACAACAGGTTCGTCTGAGCCAATTTTTACTATTACAGAACCTTCATCACAACCAATAGCAAGCATGTTGGATGAATCTTTACAGATGTCTACTGACCATACTCTGTCTAAGTTATAATTTAAGGAAGTTTCTAATCTATAAGTTTATGAATGCCATAATTTAACAAAGCCGTCTTCAGAACCTATTCATTGAATAAATATCACTTAACTATCTAAATTTACACTAAATCAATTAAAATAAATACCAGTTATAATAATTGGGAGTTCGGGGTGGAACAAAGCAACAGAAATATTTTGAGAGTGTCCTTCGATGGTGTGAATGCACTACTTAGTAGAGCAATCCCAAATTTTTACTAATCTGAATTTATTAAAGAAATAAATTTAAAAATGAAAAATGAGTAAATAAATAGTTTGTTTACCTGTCATCACCTCCTGAGATAACGTAGTTGTGTTCTCCTCTGTGGTAGTCTACGCTATTTACACCTTGTTCGTGACCAACCAAAGAAAAATTAGGAGATTTACTTAATATGCTCCAAACCTATTTATTTATTTTATATAAAATATTTTATGAATTATGGATAACATTTTGTGATAACTAAAAATAAATAAATAAGCATTTGTCGCTATTGCACTTTAACACGTTTTAGATTCATGTAAATAAGTTGCTTCTCTCTCTTAATAATAATAATTTATTGTACAAGATATGTATATTTCTAATATTTGATTTCATTACCTTGATTGTTTTATCGAGAGAAGCTGAAGCAAATAAATTTGTGTCACGAGGATTGAAGCACATCTTCATTACATAATGAGTGTGACCTTCGAATGTTCTAGCCAAAGAAAACCCTTTTTCAAAATCCCACATCTTGATAGTAGCGTCATCTGAACTTGTCAAAAAGTAAGGCTCAGAAGGGTGAACTTCGATAGTTCTTTTTATAAAAAAATTAATTTTATCTTAATTTACTTATTTAAGGTAATATGAATTCTATATTAATTTAATTTATCCTCGCATTTACCTAATGTAATCTGAATGGGCTTCCCATGATTTAATCTTTTCCATTGTGTTATAATTGTAAACGCGAACGCATAAATCATCAGAACATGCAACAATCCACTATTTTCTTACAATAAACTTAGCAGCTCTTGTTGGAGTTACTGAATTTTCAAATGTTTTAACAGTTGTCTATTAATTTTATTAATTATATTTTAAGTTTCAAATATTCATTTTGAGTTTTGCTTGCTTTATGCTCGCAATCTAATTAAGCAAATCTATAATAATTACTTCATTTGAATAATCGTAAATAGTAATATTTCCTGAATATAAAGAGACTAAAGCCCAAGGAAGTTCAGGGTGCAATTCAACGCATTTAACACGTTCTGAACGTGTTTTCATTTTCTTCTTAATTTCAAACTTTAAAGGCTATATTTTATAATAAAATGCATTAATTAAATACATTAGCTATCCTATAAATAAATCCAAAATCAAATGAGTTTTTAGAGAATGTTGTTTATCAACTGCTCTAATAACTCCATTCTTTCATTAAATTAAGCTATCTACCATTTCAACAACTAATTTTAATTTTTTCCTATTTTATTAAATTGATCAGCGTTAGCTTTCGTTAGTGTTTATTTATTTATTTGTTTGCTTGTTTCTTCGATTAATCCCTTTTTAAAGCAACGAATCCTATTGTATGAATTTATTAATCAATAATAATTATAGTGATTTTTTGATGAAAATTTTATTGAATTAAATTATTAATCTAAATTATGATTTATCCTTATCTATTACGCAAAAATTATTTATTCTGTGCAGTGACTTTCTTTTTTAAATATCTTTTTATTTATTTATTTTTTTATTTCTCTCAATTAACTAACTAACTAACAAGCAATTAAATAAATAAATGAATTAATTCATTAATTAATTATATTGATTTATTCATTCATTTTCTTTTTCATTTCTAATACAAAATAAGATGAAATAAATCAATCAACTTTCTAATTTTTATCAAATTAATTGGCATTTAACTTGCTTATTTTATTTATTTTGATTTACGTGTAGCAGCATTAATAATTCTAATTTGACGAGCTGAGCATATCCTTTTTGATCCCAACAAAGAATTATTCAAACTAAAAAAAATAACAACATATCATGAAATATTTAAAATTTAAATTTTAAATAAAATATTAATTAAATCATTAAACTATTAAAAATATTTTATTTAAATAAATGGAAAAATGTTAAATTTGATGTTTATTATCATTTATTTTAGCATTAAACTTATTAATTGATATACGTGTAGCAAGCAGCATTAATAATTCTAATTCTAATTTGACCAACTGATCATATCCTTTTTAATCCCAACAAAGCATTATTTAAATTAAAAAATAATAATAACATATCATTCAATATTTAAAATTAAAATTTTAAATAAAATATTAATAAATTAATAAATAAAATTTAGCCATTATTAATACTTTACTTAAACTGAATGCAAAAAATGCTATTATTTGGTTTTTAAATTTTAATTTTAGTGTAAAATTTAATAATTGTGATTATTCTATTAACTTTGGTTCATTTACGATTGTTTACAGAATCGCTAATTTTAATTTTATTAAATTAATATTTATATTATATTTTGAACTAATATATCCTTTATACTATTAAATTTAATTAAAATAACAGATTTTATCATTATTTGAGATAAAATTAAAAATTTTAATTCGAAATTATGAGCATTTCATAACTCATTAAAAAGACGAAAATTCATAAAAATATAAGGTGAAATATTTTAAATTACAATAAATTTAATAATTAAATAAATAAATAAAAATTTAAACAAACTTTATTAAACAGATTATATTTACTTTTTCTTATTTGAATTAACACTTAAATAATTGATTTCAAATTACTTTATGTAAATAAATTCTAAATTATTTTAATATTTGCATTTAAATTTAGATTGGGATTATCAAGCACTTAATTGTTTTTACATAAAAAATTGTATTTTTTATAAGTATTAAAATAAATTTTATCATTTTTATAAATTTAATATGACAAAACAAAAAAAATAGTTATTTGTATTAATAAAAATTATTAAAAACTAAGTAAAACAGTAAATGATTTACTTTCATTATAAGTTTAAACACAATTAATTAAATAATTCAAGTAAAGATTTAAAAAACAATTTTATTAAATAGTAGAAATTAATTAATTAATTACAATTTAAAAAATATATATTGAAATATAAATAAATAAAGATTTTTAAATATTTAATTAATTTCTTGTGGTTCAATCAGCTTTGTTTTGTAAATAAATAAATTTGATTGATTTTAAATAAACAAATTCAAAATTTGACGGAACTTTAATAATACTCCAAACCAACCGCAAAATTTAAATTATTCAACAAATTAATATTGCTAGGCAATCATATCTAAATAGCAAGGTGATTACATCTCAAAAAGTTTGAAAGGCTTTTGCAAATTACAAAAAAAGTTTAATGAGCGACAGCAGCTTTTTGAATTCAAGCAATATACAAAAATTAAATAAAGAATTAAATGATCTGAAATCGCGGAAAGTTTTAACTGATATGCTTAATCAGCAGATTGATGTAAATGAGCATCTCTCACAAGAAAACGCAACTTTAATAATGAATTAAAGAAAGTTATTGAATTTAATTTAGTCAAAGGTATTTATTTATTTTTCAAAGTAGCAGATTGAAATTTGTATAAACATATTTTGATAATAGGATAGAATCATAGAAGATATAAAATCAGGTACTTTATCATTTTGTGATCAAGGATAGGATGATGGAGGAGGCGATCACAATGCAAGCACATATAGATAGATTTAGATATAGTTATATTAGAATAAAGCTCAGTTGATGGCTGATCATTAACAATAAATCATTCTTTAAAAAACTCTACAAGGAGGATTATAGTTAAAAATAGTTTATGAAAAGCATTCGCTTTAAAATAAGTTTTCATTTTTTGAAAGGTTGAAAGAATTACGATCTAGTATTTAAAAGCAATAAATATTTAGTTAAGTAGAAATGAAAAGCCAGTAGAATTAGATTTTAAGACTTTATTCTTTGTTTAAGGTCTTGCTTTCTTTGATTTATAAGAAAAAGAAAACAGGATTTGCTGCTCTGTGCTGCTATTATATAAAATAAAATTAGCAAGAAATATATTAAAAAGAATAGGTTAAGATAATTCAATAAATGTAAAATGAATATAAAAAAAATAATGATCCATTAACTATCTATAAATAATTCTATGATTTGTTTAAGTAAAGTAAAGCTGCTTAAAAATTCAGTAAAAATAAAGGGAAAAACTAAGATAATAAAATTAGTCATGCTTAGTCTTTAAACAAATTGACTTTTGTTGTATCTAATTATTCCTAATAATTATAAAAGTAAGCCAATCAAGGATCATTCATGAAAACAGTTTAAAAATTAAAATAATGCAATAAATATTAAAATTTTTCAAAGCGACTCAAAGCTGTGATTATTTAATAAAAGGATAGAATTTTAGAACTTCTTTAGCAATCCAATTCTAGCTAAGAATAGGTCTAAGATTTTATCAAAAAAACTTAAATTATAGTTAATACTATTTAAAATGATTTCAATGTCAAGTGCAAAGAAATAGAGCAGCTCAATTAGGAAAAAGTGTATTTATAATAAACTCATTAGTAGGAAATAGATAGTTTGGAAGAGTAGCTCCAAGAAATACGTTAGTAGAGAGAGGAATCTTTATAAAATTTAAAGGAAAAATAAGACATATAAAGCAAATATCAGTAGAAATGTATGGAAATAGAGGAATTAAAAGATTAAAATCAAAAGAATTCAAGAGAACTTTAAGTTTAAATTGATGCATACGAATAAAAGTTTAATCAATTCTAAGAGATTCATGACGAAGTCATAGGTTAGCTTTAAGAAGTTTAAGACGCTTACAATTAAAAGTGTGCAGAGAATGCACAAGTAATAGAAGAGAGAGATAAATAGTAGCAAGAAGCTGAGGAATTTATTTTAAAACTTCAAAAATAGTTGCAAGAAAGGCATAATGAAGGTGAAGAAGATAAATCACTAATTTAAGAATAACTCAAAATTTAATAGGAAAAGTACGAATAAAAATGTAATTAATATGATGAATTTTTGGAGTAAAGCTAAAAGCAAAAGAAAGAATTTGATGATGCTATTATGAAATTATAGAAAGAATTAAAGTAGTACAAAATAAATGATGAAGAAGGCCAATAGCAACTAATTTAATATGAGTAGAAAATAGAAATGCTTAAAAAGGAATTGCTATAAAACAAATAATTCATCAAAGAATTTGAATTTCAAAAGGAAGAATCTTAACTTGAAATTGAAACTCTCACTAAAAAAATTTAACAATTACAAGCTGAAAAGAATAATCTTGTCAACAACTTAGAAATAAGTGTAGCGAATCTCAAAGATCTTAAATAGTAAAATGATCACATTAACAGCCTTCTTAATAAAAACAAAGAAGAGAAGTCTTTCCTTTTCTAAGAATTAGAAGACAAAGAAAGCATGATTATTTAGCTCAATGAAAAAATTCTAGAATCAGAAAAAAGAATTAAAGATGCAAATAGAAGAGCATCGCACTCACCGAATATGCAGAATGAAAGAGACGAAGCCATTAAAAAATTTAATAAAATAAAGAAAGAAAAGGAAGACCTTCAACAATAGTTGGAGGAAGTCTCTCAAAAATTACAAAAAACAAAGCAAATTAACTAAGAACTAACAAAAGAAGCAATTGAATTGAATAAAGAAAAATTATAAATGAGTGTAAAATTAACTATAAATATTAATTTTAAATAATAAAAATTATTTTAAATTTAAAGGAAGAGTTTGATAATCTATGCCACTAGTTGGAAGACAGAGAAAACAAAATAGCAGCTATAGAAGATAAATTCTAAATACTTCTTCAAAAGTTAGAAGAAAAAGAAATCCAGCTGTAGAAACAAGCAGTGAAACCTGAACTTCTATAAAAAGTAAAATAAAAATTAAGAAATTAGATTTATTTTTGATTTTGTTTAAATTATTGAAAAATATAGATTACACAGGATAAGCTAGAACTAGAAGAAGAAAATAGAGGGTTAAAAAAGGAGCTACTTGATATCGATCACTAGATTCAGCAGTATTAAATAAATATGAAGAAACTTCAACAGGAAATAAACGAGTATAAACAGAAGGAAATAGAATAAAAAGAATAAATAAATGAAATAAATTAAAACTTAGCAAACTTAACAAGAGATAAAATAGGCTATCTCAGAGAAAATTCTGAAAAGCAGCACGAAATATAAAAGATGAAACAAGAAAACTAAAACTTAAAGAGCATGTGTGATTAATATTAGACTTTAATAGAAGACTATAATGATTAATTCGAGCTTTTCACAAAGACAATTAAGTCTATGGATTCAAAAATTAAAAATCTTGAAAACAGATCTCAAAATACAATGATGGAAGCTATGGGAGAATTTAAACAGAATTAAGAACTACAAAACTCTTAAGTTTCTAAAAGCAGCAACTAAAATCAGTAACAAAGTAAACCAGGTTCAATTTAACTAGAAAATATTGACTTAACTAACATGAACACAGGTCAATAATTAATAAAAAGGATAGATTAAATGAAAAATATGTATTCTAAATAAAATTGATTTTAATTTATTTTTAATATATTTACTAATTAATTAATTAACTAATTTTGTTAGCAAGAAATTATTAAATATTTCATATATATTTTATTACAATATTAATAAGTTTTTATATTAATATCAATACTAATACTAATAAGTAAATTAATGACTAACATAAAATTAACTATTTTTAATTTAGGTTGAAATAAAAATTATAAAACTGACTATTAGTCAATATAAATTAGTTAAACTTAATTTAAAATTAGTTTTTTAAAATGTTTTTTAATGAATAATTAATTATTTTTTTCTAAAAATACCCATAAGTTTTACTTAAATTATAATATTGAAAGGCAGTAAATACAATAAAGTTAGAGAATTAGGGGGGAAAGTTTATTGTTAAACACAATGACTTTTATTTTGATTATATGTTTTTCCAAATTGTTTCATTCAAAAACGTAATATTTTTATGAAAAATGTTAAAATCATCAACAAAAAAAATATAACCTATTTAAATTTAATAAAATCCATAAAAATAACTAATTTACTTCTAATTATACCTAGAATATTGGTGTATTTATTATTTATGTCAATAAAATGTATAACATCTAAAGAATTAAGAGAGAAAAAATAGAATTTAAATGCTGATTTATTGTTGTGTTTTGTGTTAATTAATTATTCAAAAACTAATTGGAAATTATTAAAATAAGCTTTAATATTTATTCAATTGAAAATAAACAAGATAACTAACAAACTAATAACTAAATGATTCATTTTTATTTAAAAATACCATTCATTTATTTATACTAATTATCATAAATAAATAGTGAAAAATAAGTAATAATTCTAAACTATAAAGAGATAATTAGAATGTAATTATATTGAAATAATTAATTTATTTCTTAATATATCATATTAATATTGATCTATTTATTATAAATAAATACATTAATAAAACCTATAATAATTAAGGAATTAAAAGAAATAAAATAGGATTTAAAAACTAATTTATTGTTGTGTTTAGAGTTTATTAATTTTTCAAAAGCTGACTTTTTGGAAATATTAAAATAGGCTTTAATATTATATTTCAATTTGAAAATAAATATGATAACTAACTAACTAATCAGCTAAATAAATAGATAAACAAACAAACAAATAATTAATTAATTAATTATTGTACAAAGCAATAACTTTAATCAAATCCTATTGATTAAAATTTGATAAGTTAAAACTTTAATATTCATTGATTAATACAAAAACTCTGAAATAATTAATTAATTAATAAATATAAGCCTATTTAAATTATTGCACTTTTTAATAGCTTAATTGCATATTTAGTTTCAACAATCAATCATCAAAAAATAGTAAATAAGGAAGCATCCTCATTCATATTGATTGATAAATTATAATTTAAAGAAAGAAATACCAACAAAGAATTTTGTAGAAAAAACATACTGGAAAAGGTTAATTAAGATTAAATAGTCGATTATTGAATCATCTGAAGTTAGTAGAACATTATTTGATAAAAATTTGTTAGATGTAGAAATCAGTTTCTTAATTGTCTACCTAATATAAGTAAAAAAACTCCTAAAACTGTCTTTAGGAAATGCAAAATAGGTTGTAAAATTTTTAATAAAGTTTACTTTAAGTAAACAATAAGCTAATACATACGAATGATAAGCAAGACTAATTTAGTGAAGGATAAGACAGTGAATTTTAGAACTGTAATTCATCAAAAAGATCTAATTATAAATATAAAAAAAATATCAATAAGAATCAAAATTCTTAAAATGAAAAAATTAATGAAAATCAAGTGGCTAAAGATTAAAACAAGCAGCTTTAACCAAATAATTTTACTGAATTTGTTTCAAAAACTGGCGAAAAACAAAATTAAAATGTTAATTCACAAACTATATCTCCGTCTACCAATACTAGAAATGTAGGAGTATTGCCTGACATCAACCAGCAACATCATCATAATCAATATTAAAAGGCAGACAATTATTATCTCCTAAAAGGAAAAAAAAAATAAAAAAACAAATATTAAAATGACTTATATGAAACCAGTTTATCTGAAACAGTTTCAAGCAAGTCCTCACAAAACTTTCAATCTTCAGTAAGTTGCTTTTGACTTCAAAGCATTTATCATATTATTAAACATAAATTTTTCATTAAAATACAAAGAAAATGATTGATTTAATTTAAATAAAAAATACTTTCATTGCAAATACATTTAAATCTTAGTTTAAAATATATTTTAAAAATATATTTAGTCTCACGAACACCTAAATCCTAATCATTAGAACAAATCAATTCAAATAAATAAAAAGGTCCAAGACTTAAAAACTGAAGAGGATTCATAAGATGGGATCTCTTTAAATGAACAGAGAAAAAGAATATTGTAAGGAGTTTAAGAGTTAAAAAAGCTAAGAGAAAGAAGATTTACTTTCAAAAAACTAAGAAAAATAGACAAGCTAAAACAGCGAATTAGTGTGCTTTAGGAATTAGAAAAGCAGATACCTCTGATTCAAAACATTTAGAAACAAAAAGAAATTGAAAATAAATTAAACATGAATGGAGGAGATGGAGATATTTCAGATATGTCTTTTATTAGTTAGGATGAGTGCCAATCAAGAAACAGCGATGACTTTATCTTTGAAAAACTAGATCAAATTTCAGTTACTGAAATGAGTGAAGATAATGAAAAGGATAGAGTAAATGAAATAGATGAAGTCGTGGTATAACCCAAGTAAATCAATAAAAATTACTAAGATGTTCTACCAAGCATTAATAATTCCACTAAATCCACAAAACTTACAAACACGCTAGAAAGCATTATGGAGGAGCATTAAGATTACTTCAACCATATCGCAGGTAATTAATTCTATGATTGAATTTATTCTTAAGTTAATAAAAACAATATTTAAGTTCATTAAAAATGTCAATTCTTTTATTTAACAAAAAATAGCCAACAAGAAAATTAATTGACTTTCTTTCAATTAATCTCTCTAATTCCATCCATTCTTAAATTAACTCATTTTAACAAAAACCAAAAGAATTAATTTCATTCAAAATTAAAAAAATTCATTTTAGCTAAAATATTAAAATTAATTTTGTAATTTTTCAACAAAATTTATCTAATTAATTTTAATTAATGATTTATTTATAAGCTGCTTCATTCAAATAAGAAGTTAATACAAATTGATTGAATTAAACTTTAAAATAAATTTTATTAAACAATTTCTTAAAATATTTAAAAATAAATTAGGCATGGATTAAATAAATAAATAAAGAAAGAAAGAAAGAATTTTTTTATAATTTAACTTTAAAATAATTTTATTAAAAAAATTTATATTAAAATTGAAAATAAATTCAGTTCAGCTCTAAATAAATAAATGTTTAATTTGTTCTTATTCTTTATTTAAATAAAAATTTTTTAAATAGATTTTTATTTTAAAAATGATAGATAATTTTGAATTAAATTAATAAAAAAAAAATTTAAAATTAAAACAATTTTTATTTTATTCTAAAAAATTAGAAAAATTTAACAAGATTAGATAAAAAAATAAATAACACTTAACAAAATTAAATTTAATAAAAAAATTTTTTTTGCAAGATTGAATAAAAAAATTAATTTAATCATAAAAGCATTTTTTTTTTGAAATTGAAGTTTAAAATAAATTTTGTATGTAATAAATAAATAAATAGGTAAGTGCGCATGTGGATAATGTGAATGTGGAAGATGCCATGTAAAATGTTTAGTAAATTAAAAGAAACCGTAAGTTTACAATATGAAATGGGAATCTTCATATAATAGATCTTATAACCATAACTAAAATAATATATTTAAAGATTAATATGACATAAAAATGATGAGAAAATCCTACTAACCTCAATAGTCAATACCTTTTGAATACACTTCAACTTTTAAAGTAAGTAATTCTTTCTAAATTAACTATTACTAAATTTAAAATATTTTTTACAACAAAAGAGAGATTATCAAAACCCACCAGATATTAATTTCTAAAGAGTTGTTAAATATGATAGAATCAAAGAAAGTCCTCTTTATAGCCTTTCTACTTATAAAGTAAATTATCTTTAATTTGAATACGTCCTATAATATTATCTTAATTTTATTTTATAGAGCAATTATGTAGACTGGAAGATAGGAGTAAAAGAAGAACCTGTTTAACTGTAGCCTGCAGAAATGAAAACAGTTGTATAAGGAGTTCCTTTAATTGGCTCTTCAACCATGAAAAAAGATTACTAAGCCATAGACCACGTTAAAACAAACACTGCTAAACCGCCTGATCAAAGTCCTTTACCAAGGTTTTCTATTCACAGAAGCAATTTTAAAAAGCATAATGGTTTTAATCCATTGAATTAAATGGAACCAAAAAGTACTGAATCAGATATTTTCAAGCAAAAAGTAATAAAATATTGATCAAACAAACAAGCAAACTAAAATACTTAAAATATTTTTATTTTAAATAAATATTATTAGAAGCATGAGTTCATTTCAATACCATCATTTGAAGGTCAATATCAAACGAGTTAATCAGTTCATTAGGATTTAGGAAAATAGCATTGCGAGGGAACACAAAAACTATATGCAATGTATCAAAGAAAAATAGAAAAGTATCAAAAAAGACTCTAAGAATAAATAGAAAAACTAGAATAAGCAAAATGAATGAATACTTTAATTGGCAAAATAATTATGAAAAGTTCATTAAAGTAAGCTTTATTATTGAAGACAAAGCTAATATTATATATTATTTATATTAATCTATTATAGTAATTACTTAAATCCCTTTAATAATTTATTAGATTATTTATTTTTTTTTTAATTAGCATATAAAAACATTCTTCAAGTTTTTATAAATTCTTAAACAAAGTATTTATTTATTTATTTACTTAATTACTTACTAACTTACTTATTTCCTATTTTATTGACTATATAAATAAATAAGAAAGAAAGAAAGATTTTTTCATAAATAATCAAAACTAATTGAAAATTTTATTTGAATTTTATTGTTAAAATCAACCAAATTCAGTATCAATAATCAAATTTAATTATTCATTTTAAAATTTAAAACAACTCTTTGATTTTTTAAATAAATAAATAAATCAATCAATAATTATTGATGAAAATATTTTATATAGCTGAAATTTACTTTTTTTATAATTTTTAATTTATAAAACTAAAATAAGAAAATAATAAATCAAATTGGAATAGTTTTATTAATGAATTAAGTATATTTACTATAATTAGTCATAAAATTTAAATAAAGATTTATATTTTATCTGCAAGTATTATTAGAAACTTTTTTTGAAAAGAGTTTTGAAATAATTAAATAATAATTTCATACTAAAAATAACTAAAATTTATTTTACATTAAAATCTATTTAAGAAAATGTTCTTTATAAAAAATAAATCAAAGGCAGTTAAAATTAGTTGCTTTGATGATATTTAATTAATTTTATTTATTTTTTATTTAAATTGTTTCGTTTTTAACTGATTTTTCTGTTAGCTGATTTTAATTATTTATTTATTTATTTTTTATTTATTTTTTTGTTTATTTTTTAATGATTTTTTTTTTAAAGATTCTTTTATGGTTTTTAAGATTTTATCATTTTATTTTAATATCTTTTTTAATGTTATTTATTTATTTTTAGTTGCAGGACAAGCTCAATTTTATCGCGTTTGATTTCTCTTAATTAATAGTTAGATTTTTTTAATGATAGCTTAATAGGTTAGTTAATATTAAAATTTTAATGGAGAAAAAAATAGTTAGATAGTCTCAAAAAAAAGAATAAACTCTGAAGCAAAAATAATAAAAATATATATGATACAACTCAACTTCATTACTTCGAAGTGTTTTTGAGAGGAATAGAGAGGGGAAGTTTCGCCAAAATTTTTTTTTTTGATCTCATTACCAGAGCAAAGTAATCGGAGGGATTGATTACTTTGGATATGGGATATAATCATGGCCGATGAGATATATAGAGACAAAGGTAGCAGTATAGATATCCGATTTAGTCGATAGGGACAATAAATGCAGGTGGCATTGTGCAGAAATATTGCCTTCAAAAACTTATTTTTTGTGTTGGAGTTTAAAACTTATCTATACTTTTACGCTCTGATCTCTCTTCTTAAAAAACTTTTCATTTCAAAAGACTTTGATAAATTTTGATTAATTAAAAATTATATCTAAAGGATTGCTTTTATTTTTTTAGACTTTAATTGAATTAGAAACTAAAGTATTCTGTGTATTTTTCAATATTTTTCTTATTATCATTAATTAATTAATTAATTTTTAACGGAATGAAATAGATTAAATTAAATTTTAATTTAAAAAAATACATAAAAATATTTAATTTTTAAATAATCTAAAAATTAAATTAAAGTTAGTTTTTAAACAAATTATTTTTTGGACTGAACCAAAAGAAAGAGGAAAGAAAGAATCATTTATTTTGTGTGATAAATTTATTAATTAAATAAACAAGATATAACTCTATGCGAAGTTAAGCAAAATTAAATCTATAAATTTTTTAAGAGGTGGCAGGTTTGATAAGATAAAATTAATAATTTAGGTCTCTTATTCTAGATCATGTTCTACTTACTTTTTACATAGTTTTTTTGGGTTAAGAATACGACAAAAAATAATATTTTAATTCTTTTTAAATATCCACTATAACTAACTAAACATGCTCATTTGATTGATTTTCTTCTTTCTTTTTTTCTAATTAATAGTTTTTCTATTGAAATAACATTTGAAAGAAGAATTGATTGATATGATTTATCTATTTATTTATTTATTTACATACTTTTCACTCTTTTTAGAAATTCTCTCTATTTCAAAATAGAAGCATAATTTAGCTAATACTATGAAAGCACCTAAAAACCCGTTTTTTCATGAAGTGGTTTGTGTGATGCTCTTAAAATTAAATATTTATTTTAAGAGAGCGTTTTTACTATTTGGACTATTTAGAATTTGAATGTAAAAAACAAAAAGATTAGCGCCGGAGGGAAGAAGATTAAAGCTTTAATTGATTGATTGAATGAATGTTTTGGTAAATTACTTACAAAAATTAAAGTTGTAATGCAAAATGAACAAATAGCTTTTAATTATTTAGATTATTCAGGAATTTAATGTTTATTCTTTTATTCTAAATGACAAGAATAGCTTTTGATTACTTGAAGATTATTAAGAATGATTTGATTTGAGTCTCTTCTAGAATTTTCAGAAATTAAATTTGAAATAATATTTACAAGTTATTAATTTTCTATTGGAAGAATTAGGTCATTTATTAGCTTGATATGCAAAAATCAATAGATCAAATATAGCGAATAGTGCAAAAAGTTAAAAAAATTAGAAGTGGGAGATTACTAAGGATCATTTGACTAAAAAACTAAATATAATAAATAATCAATTAAAACAAAAACTCTTTCTAAAATAATCAATCAATCAATCAATCGCACATATTTATTTTATCGAAAAATAAGTAGGTGTTAATTCCTTATCGATATCAAATATAAATAAATATATATTGCTATTTATTATAATAGATTAACTACCATAAATAAGAGCTCATTTTCCCTAAATCTTCCCTATAGATTAATAATAAATTTCAATAAACAAGTTAAATAGAATAAGACTATTTGATTGATTTGATTATTCAGCTACCTATTAGATATAGACATATTTTGCACCACGAATTAAGATATAATTTAAGAGTTAACAAAAAAATTAATACATCAAAAATTAAAAAAAAAAAAATCACATACAAATGGCAATTATTAAAATTCAATTCAACAAATAAATTCGCAAATTCAATGACAACTAAAACATCCAATTGAATAAAATCTACAACTTCATCATGAAGAACTTTGAAAACTTGCCTCCTTACTTCGAGTTACAGTTCAGAGATCCCCTAAACAAGATTAAGAGACAGCTTATGAATAATGATTAACTCCAAAGCTTAATCCAAATCAAACAAAACATAACTCTAATTGTAAAGCCCATTATTTTCGAGAACATCAGCAGATACTAAATTAGCAAAAAGAATATTGAGTAGTTCTAGTCAACTGGAATTCTCTCTGATATGGCTTTGTTGCTAGAAAGACTCTCGCTCCACTAATCCTACTCTGATAGTTAATATGAAAAAGAAAACAATAATAATAATAATACTGTTGTAAATAATTGTAGTAAGAATTTAATCAATAAATTTTTAGTTGAAGATTGCAGTGAACAAGAAAATATCAAGAAAGAAGAATGTTTCCAATTAACACCAGGAGTTAATAATAACTACTATTAAAATATCGTCATCTAAGATGAAAAAGACTTCCTTATCAAGGATGAAACAAGGGAATATGTCGATCAAATGTTTGGCCTCTCCTCTGACGACGACAGTTCTCAATAAATTGAATTAAACTTTTGAAAACAATTAAACAAATGAATATTTAGCTAACTTACTTCAACCATCATTAAATAGTTCATTTACTTTTAATTTCAAAATTTGATTCATATTAGAAATGATAATTTTTTAACTTCCCCATCTCTCAAATCTCTATTCTTAAATAATAATAATTAATTAAATGATTGATCGATTAATTAAAACTTAGTCTCATCCTATTAGTAAGTCTTTATGCTGTCAAAAATGACGCTAGTTATTAATCAATCTTTCCATGATAAATAAATATCCCTTAAAATAATTTTATCAATTTAAACTATTTCAAAAATTAATTAATTTCAATACTCCTATCATCAATCAGTTAACATAATTGATTGTTATAATCTTTTGAACCTACTCAAACATATTTAAATATCAATCAACTTATTGATTACAGTATAAGAATATATCATGCTACTACACTTATAAACCTCAAACCCACGTTTTAACTCGAAAATATGTATTGAAAATTTAAATAAAATTTACTTCTATTAACAAATTAAACTAACTAAATCAATCATAAAAATTAACTAAGTAAAATGGGATAGAAATTTAATTAATTAATCAAAAATAAAAAAGTTATTCATTGATGCATCTTAGAAGGAAATAAGAAAAAGCTATATTAAATATTACTCTTCACTCACTCACTCAATCACTGATAGACTTATTTCCTAAATAACTCACTGGCGTTTTTCAAAAATACTTTTGTTTATACTATACTAAAATATATAAATACTATCTTAAATTTCTTATGAATCTTTTTATTTTATTTCTATTTGTTTGTCTGTGTTGTTTCTTAGCTCTTTGCTAAGCTCTTCAATCATTCATTCAATAATCAAATCAATATCCATTTATTTACTTATTTAAAAAAGTACATTTTATCTTCACAATTTTCCTTTCACTCAATATTGATTGACTGACTTATTCGTTTTGTATTTTTTTTACATAATTATAAATTTATTTCTACTGCCTTATAAGGTTTAGTATATAAATGTCCCAGATGTATAATTGCTAAATTTATTTTAAGAAAAAAACCAAGTATGAAAAAAATCTTTTGTCAAAATAATTTTTGAGTAAATTTCATAAAAATTATTTTTATAAAATTTTTGTTTGAATACATTGTAAATTAAATTAAACAAATGCAATTTACTTTTTTACAATATATTTAAGAGTGCAAACAATAAATATTAGCTGTAAAAATGTGAAAAAAAATTAAATTTTTATGGCTTTGAAGAATAAGTGCTTTAGTATAATAAAAAAAGAATTCTTTTATAATAAAATGTAAAATGTAAGTTGTAAAGCAGTATAAAATGGATTCAAAAGTAAATTTTATTATATTTTAAAAAGTTGAGATAAACAATTTTTTTAAATTATAATATTCAAATACATTCTTTTTTCTGGAAAACAAACAAACATGCATGCAATTTTGCTATTTATTTTTCAAATTATCTTAATGTTTTTTATGATTGAATAAGTTGTTTTTTACTTACAAATTTATACCAATAATATATTAAATACTTACAATATTCAATTTCATATTTTACTAAAACTTGTATTAGTTATAGTAATCTAAACAGTTATAGTAATCTAAACTATATACTTGGCTAAAATGAAGAAAATATTTTAAATTGGTAAAATATAAACAAAAATTTGTTTGATATTCAAAACAAAATTCAAAATAATAGTTAATTGCTTTTACTATTTTTTATTTTTAGAAAAAATTATAATTTTTTACACATATTTATAAAATATTTTTTGTTAATTACGATTTGTTTGTTTCTTGAATAAATGAATCAAGTGAAATAATAAAATGATTTTTATAATTTAGTTGTTCAGAATGAAATTATGGTTTTATTTATTTATTTTAGTTTTATAGATTAAATAATTTTGTTCGTTAAATATTTAAAAATATGTCCTTTATTCAATAAAATATTAAAAAGAAATTATTTTTTAGATTTTATTTATTCATAAAAGCTCTTTTAATTTTTATAATTTAAAATTATTATAAATTTTAATTTAAAAAAGGAAAATCAACCAAGCAAATTATAAAAAAATGAGTATAAAAAGCAACGTTTGTATTGAAAATATTTAAGAAGTAAAATGAAAAATAAAGAAACTATAACATGAAAATATTTAATTTTAACTAAAAAGTTTGATAAATATGAAAAAAATTCTATTTCAGCAATAAAAATTAAAAAAAAGTAAATTAAATTTGATAAGTTTTAATATCATATATTTTTTTTTAAAAAAAGCATAAGTGCACAAGAAATTCTTTGTTTTATCTAAAATATATCTAAGTGCTCTACTCTCAGCTAAGTTGTGCTAAGTTTAAGGTATTTTAATCATTTCAAAACATGTTCAATTTTTAATATAAAAATAAATACTTACATTTCAACTAAAGTTAATTTAATATTTAAAAGATTTTTAATAAATTAACAAAAATAATTCATTGATTGATTAATTAATTAATTAATTTCATCAAAATTTAAAAAGTTTAATTATTTTTCGATTTATTTTTACATAAAAATAATTTTATTTAACTTATAAGTATTTGATATTTTTATTAATGTAATTTCTCTTTAAGAAATTCCTACACAAGGTATACAAAATTTTTAGTATAAATCAATATACAAATAAAAATTTAGTGGTTTGGATGCAACCAGAATTTAGATTCTTATATTAAAAAATTCAATTTAAATTAGAAGAAAAATTTATAGAGCTAAATAACATTTTAAATTTGGATAGTTAATGCTAATGAGTATTTACTTAAAAGAAATTTAGACAAACATTTAGCTTAAAAAAAATAATAAATTTAGTATTGAAAATCTTTGTTAATTTTTTGATGAAAAATAGATGGAAACTTTGAAAATTTGTATTTAATTTCAAAATTATTAATATTTCATTGACATATAAATAAAACTAAATAAGTAAATACTTAGAAAATTCAAGAAATATCGATAGAAATAAATGAATTTGTAAGAATTTAAATTCAAAATGTTTAATTAAAAATTAAAATATTCCCCAAAAAGTTTGTAAGTAAATTATCTTAATTAAATCAAAACAATTCCGATACTTTTCGAAATAAGCGTATTTATATAAATAATTCATTAAAATATTTAAATTTTCTTAAATAGACTTAATTAATTATTACATTTTCAGAATATTCTTAACTACTTTTACTTTATTTTTCATAAATAAATAAATTAAACTTACAATTTAAAAATATCTGATAAAACTTTTATTCAATTTATTTATTTATTACACATTCATTTACAAAACTTTAATAAATAAAGTACAAAATAAAATAAACAAACATTCAATAATATTTATTTAGGCATCGCTATACAAAATAAATGGCTATTATTTTCAATCTAATATAATTAATTTCATTAAAATTAGAAGCTATTAAAACTAAGTTAAGATTAAAGTTAAAAATAAACAACTCTTTTTTTCTATTTAAATTAATAATAAAATTAACCAAAAGTAGAAATTTAAATAAAAATAATTTATTTTAATTAAAATTGACCTAACCAAATTATTTTAATTTTTTAAATTTCTAACTTTAAATAAATTTTCAATTAATTAATTAATAGGAATCTTTAAAATTAAATAATTACATCTTATATATTTATGTTTAAAATTTATATTTTAAATAGAGGAAATTATCAAGCAGGCTATGATATCAAGCTTTTGTTAGAGAATTTAACATTTAAAAATGTTACATATTTAAGTCTTGATATGAGGTATTTTCAATTTTCTTAAATATTTTTAATTATTAATTTTTTTAATCATTAATGTTAAGCACAAGTAAAATGGATTATAACTAAGCAACTTTGTTAGGAAACAAAATAGGAACTCTAGAAAATATTACATATTTAGTGCTTTATTTAGGGTAAAAACATATTTTAAAATTTTTAATCAAACATATAAATTTATTAAAGCTTTAATCAAATATCAAACGAAGGAGCCTTTTAAATAGGAGAAGGATTAGGAAAATGCTAAAATCTCAAATTCCTTGTTTTTTAAGCTTTGTAAATATTTATTTATTAAATATTTTGTAAGTATAATAAATTTTTCAGTAATAATAATATAGGTATTAAAGGAGCTCAAGGTTTGAGTTAGGGAATAAGATAATGCTAACAATTAACTAATCTTAATATGGGCATTGAGTATTTTTATTTTTTTAGTATAATTTAATAACAAAATATTCAAAAGGAATAATCACATGTAAAAAAGTGGTGCTGATTACATTTCTGAGATGTTCGTTTCCCTTAAATGCTTAACTCATTTGAATTTAAATTTAGGGTATATAATTTTATTCCACAACTCTTTAATTAGTTTATTAAATAAAAATAAATAAACTTTAAGCATTTATTTTCTTAATTTTGTATTTCTGATTTTAATGATGAATTTATTTCTTAATCTTTAATCAGATAAAATTTAATAGAGTATTATGGAGCTAAAAGCGTGCTAAATGAAATAAATAATTGCAAACTAATGAAGACATTAACAATAAATATGCAGTAAATATTTAATATCAAATCAAAATATATTTTAATTTTCTTATTTATTTATTTACTTAGATAGAATTTAATTTACGGTTCTGGTTTATAATCTTTAGGTTTTTAGATAAAAAATTATTAATATCTAAATCTACTTTAAATTGATTTAAGGTAAAATGTTTAAATATTTTAAATTAATAATTTTTTCAATTAATTAATCCCTTTAAAAGACTAAATTAGAATCAAAACCCAACTTATTTCAAATAAAAAGCATGGAAATAAACAAGACTTGTCAAATTAATTTTATTTGTATGAATTCTTTTAAATGTGTTTGTTTATAAATTTACTTACATATTTTATTTTTAAACTGTAATTTAAGAAATAATTATCATTTAAAATAAATAAATAAATACACACTCAAGAAAAATTTACTCATTAAATTTTATCTAAAACATTTATTCAAATATAAAATTTTAATAAATCTATTTAAAAATTTTAATTTATTAATTTCAATACCCTAAATTTTCTACAAAAAAAATCTTGAAATTTTTAATTATTTATTTCAGTATGATTAATAAAAAATACTCAAATCAAATAATTGATATTTATTTTATCATCTGAAAAATTTTTATATAAGGGTAGCCACTAAATTTCTGATCATAATTAAATTAATATAAGTATTTTAATATTTATAAAATAAAGTTTTTTAAAGGGAAAAAGTATTAAGTCATTTATAGATAGATATACTCAGATAGAAACTCATTATAAATAATTTTTAGTTTAAATATCATTTTTAGTTTTAAAGTGGCTTATTTAGAAAAATTAATTATCTCACTCATTGATGTATATACTCTTCATTGTATTCCTATATTTAATTGAATATTTCAAATTTATTATTTCTAAAAATATAAAAGCATCTTACTTATGATTATTTTTCTTCTAGCTCATTTAGATCAATTTTAGTGATGATAAGCACATCGCTTGGTTTTTTGAGAAAGAGATCTTTTTAATATTAAATTGAATTATATTTATTACCATTAATTAATTCTTTAAAAAATTGATATTTATTAATAATAAAAATAAAATAATTATTTACTCTTTTATAAATGCTTAAATCTAACAATAAAGTTTGATATGTCACTGTACATTAGTTTAACTTTTTTACAGGAAGTTTACTTCATCACAATTTGGCAAGGCATGTATTCGCTGAGGAATTCAGAATATCTAAATTTAGCCAACTAGTTGAACTCTTAATCAATATTAAATATTTCTTAGTTGATTTTTTGCTGAATTTATATATTTAGCTTGGAAGGAATATTATATTAGCACACCATTTTAAAATTGAGAGTCTATTTTTTAAATTAAATCAAAAATTATTAATCAAATAAGAATAATTAATTAAATTTTTACTTAATTTGAGTTGAGCAAAGCATAATCATAAATTGATTTCTCTTGATACTCAGTCAGTTTTTAGTTTTGTAAAAATAATTCAATTATTGTTTTTTCAAAGTCAAGGGCTAGCAAAAATGTTTGACCAACATCAAGCTAATTTATAGTTTCTTGAAGAATAAGGTTCTGTATTATAAGAATTACTATATCCATTCCCGAATAGAAGGACAGAGAAGTTTTCAGGTTAACGACTTAGCTGAGGTCAGTGCTGTTATAAATAAATTAATTGATCTCAGATCTGTTATTACTATATTAAATGTTCTATCTTTTTTATTTCAATTCTATAATTAAATGTTAATAATCCTCTTTTAGTGATTCCAGGGTATGCTATTAAACAAGTTCTACACTTTAATTTAGACTTTATTTCAAATTACTTTATCTTTTTTACATAAGAGGTCCAGTACCAAGAATGGGGTCTTCCACATCTGGTTTGTTTATAAACTTCAGTCTTTAATTTAATCTAGAGTTAAACAATCTCTTTTGTTTGTCATCTATCACATTAATTACTGCAATTACTTTACTGTTAACCATAACTGTAAAATTTACCTTTTTTTGAAGAAAGAAAAAATTATTATTTTGATTAAATTTTTATTTTTAAATTAAAACTTTACTTGGATTTAATTAATTAATATTTTTCTTGTTGGAAGTGCAAATTAGTCTTAGTTTAAAGTTTTTGAGACATTTGTCACCTAAGTTATAGAGTTTTAAAAGTTCACTAAATATCTTAGTATAGGTAATTTCTCCATTATTTCTATAAATTGCTTCTTTGAGACTTTTAGATTTTAATTTGAAAGGGAAATAAGATTTTCATTGTTATGCATTATTTATTGAATGGGTTATGAGCTAGTTAATTTATTTTTTTTAAATATTTATTAATGAATTTATTTTGAAAAAAATTTATATTATTTACTCATCTGGTTTTTTGTAGGGAAGATCTGGTCTTTTGTCAAGAATTATTCTCTTAGTTACTTTCCAGTCTTTGTCTATCAAACAAGTAAACTTTGTTAATATACCTTCAACTCTATATTTTATATTTAGCATATATTATGAGTTGTTGAGTCCTTCGATTTAGTTCTTAATTTTTTCATCTAGCAAGTTCTTCAGTATACTTAAACTATTGCTACCACCTAAGAATATGTCTTTACACTTTTTATTATTTATTTTTAAATTTTTAAAATAAAATTTGTTTTTAATAAAAAATGTATTTTTTTACCTTTACTGCCAAATTGTTTTAATTTTGCATATTAATAATTTCTTTTGTCACATCTATTACAATATTGTCATTATCTCTAACTGTCAGTTCAGCCTTAACTACTCTATTTACAGATCCCAATATCGCGTATTCAACCATATCATAAATTTAGTTATCAGGAATATAAATCATGAACATATCGTAAATATATTTCACAAATTCTAAAACAGTGTTCATATGAACAAGTTATTCTTCTATTATAAAAATTTATAAAATAGATTTAAAAATATGTCAAAAATTCTCTAAATAAATCGATTGATTTTTTTAAATTTATTTAGAATAAAAATACTATCTAAAAATTAATTTACAATCTCTTTAAGAATCAAAGACTTAAAGCAGGTCAAAAAAAAGGTATAATTTTTGCTTAAAAGTAGATGTAGAAAAAAGTATGATTGAAACAATAAAATCCATGAAATAAAATGTCTTATTTGGATTATTTATCACATGAAAGTCAAACACAGTTCTCAAAAAGTTTACATTACTCAAACCACTAATACTCCCATCATTTAGAGATATTTTCAAGAACATTTTCATCACTTCGAAAGTTGTCTCAGAATCTATTTATTTATATTTAGAAATTCTTAAAAAATGAAAGGGAAGGGAGGGATTTATTTAAAATAATTTTAGAAATTCAAACATTTTTTAAATAATCAATGAAAAAAATTTGAATTTTTAAATGAATGTTTGAGATAAAATCTTGCTTCCCCTTTTAAAATAAATTTTTTAAAGGAGAAAATTTATTAAATTTAACTTTAAAGATATTTTACTTAGTCTCCAATTAATTTTTTATGAGGACTCTAATGAATAGTGAGAAATAGCACTAAAAATAGGTATGTTTTATATATCACTTCTAAAAAACTATCTCAAGGTATTAAAATCAGTTGTTTTAGTTTTATCATCAATTTTAAATAAGTAATTAACTAATTTAGTAGGATGATTTTGTAAGGCTAAACTTACTTGGTTTCTAATTGTATAAAGAGGTAAGTTGTTAATTGGAAAAGGAGATTATATTTATTAGGTGTATTTATCAGAGAGCAAAATAACAGAAATATCAATCTCACTTGTAGTGTAATTATGTATTGCTTGTCTGAAAGCACAAATATCATCAAGTAATAATGTTGTCTTTATCAGATAATCAGGATAGTAATAGTTAAGGTTAATTATACATTCTTTTATTAGCCTTTTTTATCCTTAAAGCTCTGTATTTATGCTCTTAGGATCCTCGTAAAGACGGATTGCTATTTTATCATAACCTTCGATGTATTAGAATTCCTCATAGTGATTTAAGAATATACATGTATCAACTATTATCTTTATATCTTATTTGAACTACTATTCATAGTTTATTTCCATCACTATTTCTGTATTTTCTGCCCAAAATAGCTTTAGTTTGTGAAAGTACAAAAAGATTCTCCTCAGCTGTGGCTTTCTAAAAATTGTCAATTAAGACGCTTATTACTATTACTAAACTTGATACTGATCAACGTCTTGGTATTGATTAAAAAAATCTAGATTGAAATTATTGTTCATTGTTGTTTGATTTGTTAAATTCATAGTATTCATTTGTTGCAAATCAGGCTGAGTCATAAAGGCTCCGCCTATTTATTAAAAAAAAATTAAATAAAATAAGAATAAACCACTAAAAAAAATAGTAATAATTGATTGAGAAAATTTAATTTTAATTAACAATTAATTAAGGAAAAAATGGTTTAAATAAAATAAAAAGTAATATTTATCCATCTACCTAGGGTGTTCAAGTTTGATTATTATTGTGCTGCTTTGTTTATCATGTGATTTAAAAATTTATTGTCTGCTAGCTGGTACATTTCTCTTTCATTTTCATCATCAAACTAATCTGGTATTTCTAGAGAATCATCAGGATCTTCACCTGATTTTTGATCCATAGCATACTTCCTTTTATTGTCTCTTTCTTTTAATTTTTCAACTATTTTATAGGTTTCATCAATTTGTATTGAATCGCATTTATCGAATTCGCTTTTAGCATTAACATAACAATTAATTTGCTAATTAAGCAATAATCTAGAATTGTAGTGCACTTTAAGCTCGTCCTCCAAATTTAATAAAATATTTAAGTAAAATGCTAGCTTTTCTACAAATTTTTTCTTGTTTTCTAAAACTTATTTGATAAATTCGCTTGATGACATAACGAAAAAGCCTATTTATTAAAAATTTTCAAAAAAAATATTTGATAAATAAACTAACACAATACCATGTATTTTTAGAACCATCTCAACTTCAGAGGCTCTTGAGCATTTTATTATATCTTCCTTAGAATGTTAAAGCAAAGTTATTATCACTGAAAGCATTAGAATATTAGTATGTCCCTATAAAAATAATGAATTATGAGTAAATTAATATATTTATTTATCTAACTAAATTGATAATTTTTATTTGCTGATTGAATGTTATTTTAACAACTTTTGATATAATTAGGAAATAATATTTTTGTTTTTCTTGTATAAAAATTTTAAATTAATTTGATTACTTTCTTTTAAGATTAAAAACATCTACTGAAAAAATAAATTTTATAATTTTATAAAATATTACTTCATGCTCCAAGGCACTTTCAAATAATAGTATGTCCCAGATTCTGAAGACAATATCGGTACTAAATAGACTAGAAAACATGGTGAGTAGATGAGAAGAAAAGTAATATTCAGTTGGCAATCCTACTTCATTGAGTTTCATTGCCAAATCTGGTATGTTTTCTTTGATTAAAATCTTTAAAAGTAACAGCTCTGCTTTTAAACCAACTAACTTATTACTTTAAAGAGGTGGGAACATATTAGGCATATAGTCTTTGATTTTAAACGATCCTCTCATACCTTCATGCTATATATTTGGATTAAATCTATAGTAATTTTTTAATATGAAATAGACTATGCTAACTAGTAGCCAAAAGACTTCTTCTTCCTTCTTAAATTCAATGAAGTCTTAGTCTATTTATATTTCATCCTAAATACAATAAATCATCACTAAAATGTTATTTTTATTTTAATAAATTTACATAAGCAAGTGATTAGCTAATATAATAAATGCCGATCTTGTCACAAATTTCAATCAGATCTGCTGAATAGTTTATATATGAAAAGTGGGAAGAGTTCGAGTCAGAGCCCAAAATAATGCTCCAAAAAATGAAAGCATTCATAATATTTTCTATTTAGCTCATAGTTAAAGAGTGAACTGATCTGTTAGTATGCTTTTTTAAATAATAAGTAATGTCATCCTTAATTTGTTACTGAAGCACTAAATAGTTTTCAGTTGATCCTCTTAGGAAATGCTCATACAGGGTTAATTGAATATCTTCCTCAGCAGCCGTTTTTAATGAAACCTAATTATGGCTGTAATAATTTCTTATACTTGTAAATTAAGACCACGCTCTCTCAGAAATAATCTTTAACTCTTAAACTCTGCTTAAGCTTTTCCAAATCTACATTCTCATATAGTTAGGGATACCTTAATATTGTGGAAAAATTATTAAATCTTAAAGTGGTATAAAAATATTTAACCTTCTTTGCAAATTTCTTCAAGTAAAGTGTATGCCTAAGGGCATTTTTGTCTCCATGCTTTTCTTTCTGATAGCAGTCTGCTGAGAGTAACACTTCCGAAATCATCTCTTTTTAAAAGTAATAAATATAAAATAATAATAAATAGATGTACTTTCTTACCTATCATCATCGTGGTTTAGTCTTCTTGTTGGGGAAGAAGGAGGATAAGCAAGACTTGCGTTTGATGGAGTATTTGCTTCTCTAACTTTTAACAGAAGCTCTTAAAGCTAAACAATTAAGTCAATATTTTTTTTTAAACGTGCATTTTCTAGTGATATTTGTTTGTTAAACTTTAAAATGGCATTTTTCTTAATCTTTTTGAGAATAAAAATTTCACGCTGATCAATAAATTTTAAATATTTTAATTCATCATTGATAATCTCCTTCTTTTCAAGTGTTTTTTACATTATTTTTACTTTTTTTTTGGTTAAATTTGGAAACTATATTGACTCACCATAAATAGGATCTATGAATGGTAAGTTGTAATCAACATAATATGTTACAATATCATCAAAATTTTTTGCATTTGGTATGAGGGAAGGTGATATGAAACTGTCTAATTTAATAATTGGCAATTAAGTATCTTAACTAAACAGGAAATTTCTAAAATCCAAATTAATCCAATTCCTCTTTCCGATATTTTAATCTACACAAAGTTCTGAAAAGTAAAATTTTCCTTTAGCTTTTTGTTACTTATCTGCAGACCCTAAATCTCTTAACTCAATCACTAAGGAATCATTTAAATCATAATTGTTTATTTTTAATTCATAACTCATTTAACTATCTCTAATTTAAATAGTATTTTAAAAGGGCAAAATCAAATTCTCACTAGGTCCTTTGTAGTGAGGTTAAGACTGCTAAACAGTAGAATCAATATTAAACAAATACCAGCTAATTGTGCTTGGATTTAATTTATTCTTTACTCTACATTGCAATTCTGTTTGAAAATAAACCCCTTCATTATTACTTGATAATTATTAATCGTTGACAATTCGTAAATCAAAATTTTCATTTTCCTGTTTATTTTAAAAAAATAATCTATACCTATCAATCAATCAATCCTCATAAATCAAATTTATTTATATTTATCAAAATTTTAAATTAATTTTGTCAAGTTTCAGTAGAAAAAAATTATTTTTCGATATTTTATTAATGTGGATTTACAGTTTATCTTAAATTGAAATTAAAAATTTTTATTAAAAACATTAAGAAAATGAATTACCTTAATCAACTAAATAGAAAGAATAGGTTTAATTAAATCTATTTTAGATTCAAGTTCTATTTCTTAAAAAGTAAAAATTATTGTTTTCTTTTGATTCTCAATTTCCTACTTCTTCTTAGCTGCTACTTGTTTCCAATAATCAACAAACTAGATTAAAACCAAGTTATCAAACTATTGAATAAATTGATTTTAACTTAGAGCCCACATTTATTTCTTTTACTGTGAAAAATCATTTTGATTTTAATTAGCTGATAAATTTGATTTATTATTATGGCTAACTATATCACTTTGAGAATGAGAGCCTTGTACTTATTTTGAAAGAATTTCTTCTGTGCTAAAGAATTACTACTATTCTTTTTGTTACTCAATAATAAGCTATTCGTTCTCCTATTACTACTTTAACAATTATATTTATTTTTCTTATTCATAGATAAATTGAGCTCTCTTAAATTAGGTTATCATACTGGCTGTATTCATAAAACATTTCACAACTATTTGATCAAGCTTCTAAAGTAATTTATTAGACTATAGAGACTACATTCTTATCTTACATCTATAATCAAAATTTTCTTTTAAGACTTCTCTAAACTATTAATTACAAAGTATAAAAATTTAATATTGTTGTAAAAAGAACTATAAAATTACACTTGAAGCTGCTCTAAGATAGAATATTTTTGATAGCTTTTGCAACGTACTATTTATTTATTACTGATTCTTGATCGCTCTAACTAATTTTTTTATATTCAATTAAAATTTTAATTTATTAAGTTAATTAATAATTTATAGCTAAAAAATATTTTATCTTTTTATCTAATTTATGTTATTTAATACATATTTTATAATTAGAGTGATGAATCAATATATCAATCAAACTTCTACATAACATTTTTAAATTATCAAAATAAATAGATAGATATTCATTTATTTTTTTATAATCCATTTCTGATAAATTTATCAAAATTTTTGAAATATCATTTGATGATTTTCTATTTTTATATTTTCAATATTATTCTTATGATATGAAAAAAAATAAATATCTAGCAACTCTAAAATTTATGTTTTATATTATCTCAAATTGAATTATGCTTAAAATATTTTTTAACTCTTCTCTAAATTAAGTTTAAATTTATTATTAATTTAATTAATTTCTTAAATTTAACCAACCTTTGAAATCTTCTAAAATTAACTATGTTAATTGATTTATTTATAAATATCATAATTTTTGTTTTTGATAATAGAACCGTTAAAATTTATTTAATTTTATATTAAATCCTCAAGATAATTTTTTATTTTATTTTGCTTATCTTAGTTATTTAGTGAAATATAAAATATTAAAAAAATATCTAAATATATTTTGTGGTAATTTAGAATTTTTTAAGGGAAAAATTATTTATGTTTGTTTGCTTAATTCGAGCTAACAAACTATTTAAAAATTATAAAACTTTGCTTAAATAAGAATAAACCAACGTTTTTAGATATTTATCAAACATATTAATAGTTTAATTAATATTTTGATTAATTGTATACCTTAAACTAAAATAGTTTAATTTATGTTTTATTTTGAATGTTAAATATATTAATTAATCTTAATAAGTATTTATTACTTACTGCTGATAAAATAATCTCATTTTAATCTATGCTTATTTATGTTTTGATTTATTTTATTTATTACACTAAAATAGTTTAATCTATTTTTAATTTTTAGTATCAGATATATTAATTAATTTTAATAAGAATTTATTACTACTGATATGATAATCTCATATTTATTGATGTTTTGATAACTGGTATTTATTACACTAAAATAGTTTAATCAGTGTTGATAAATTAATTAATCTTAATAAGTATTTACTACTTACTGCTAATATGATAATTTCATATTAATCTAATTTAATTTGTGTTTTTATTAACATAATTAATACACTAAAATAGTTTAATTAGTGTTTACTTTTTAGTATCGGATATATTAATTAATTTATTTTAATAAGTATTTATTACTGCTGATAAGATAATCCCTGACTGCGATTCCTTATTCGACAGTGTCAAAATAAATTGCCATTCCCTTAACTCTATTTTAGTAGAAGAAGAGTAAACGAGATTATTTTTACACTACAGATTTTGTCCATGGGAGCTCCTTGAGCTTTGATTAGGCATTAAGATTTGAAAATGTATCCTTTTTTAATTAAAAAATAAAAAGATATTTTTAGTAAATAACGAACAATAAATAAATAGTTTTTAAATTATAAAATAACATATATGTTTATTTATATTATATATAGCAGTGTATATATATATAGATATTTATTTCTATATAAAATCAGTAATTAATTAATATTATTTACAAAACTCTCAAACACAAATGATTATGGAAAATCAAGGAGTCTTTAGATTGGATTCTTTGAGTTCAAATCTACATTAATCACACTGGTTAGTTAATCAAATCAATCAATCAATAACTAATTCAAATTACTTTTTGCTTAAAATATTTATTCGCCATTAAAAAATACTGATCTTTTAATCAGACTTCCACCTTTTTTACCTTTATATTTTTTAAAAGTTTCAAGTATTTTTAAGATAAAAATTTTAAAAGAAAGCAGTTAGAAAGTGGTTTTATTTTTAATCAATTTATTTAAAACAATTTTCAAATTCTAAAAATTAATTTTAATCCAAAAATACTGGAAATGATTTCATTTTTCTATTTAGTTGAGTTGATTGTTAAATTAACCATAATTATAATGTATTTCATACCTATTTTTTCCATTTCAAAATATTTAATTTATTCTGCGCTTGCTTAAAAAGCTTAATCAATCCCATTAGAAATGATGTTAGCATTCTTCATATATTCCCTGTTGTATTTAATATTTTATAAATTAGTTATTTCTGATTCTAGTTGCTTCATTTGAGTCGAATTTTGCTTTAATTATGCAAAGATTGAGAGTCTTTTTTCTAAATAAAAAGCATTATTTATAAAATCTTCATATTCCTGCTTAGACATCCCTTTTAGCCATTCCGATTGAACCTTCTTTTTCTCAATAACTCTTTATTGCTAAACTAGACTTTCTTAATTGTTCATTTCTATTTTAAGCTAATTAAGTCTTGCTAATTAGATTGAATAATCGATTCTAATTGATTTGGAATATAAGTATTTATTAACCTTATTAATTATTTAATTAAGTCCAGTTTAATTCAAAATTGTGTTTAGACTAATATTAATTATTCTATCAATTCAAATACAAAATCAAATTCTTTTTATCAAATAAAAATAAAATCATTTAAAATTTCTACCAAACTTAAAGCATTTCACAAAAAAATATCCATAGCTTTATACATATATAAACTTTTATTAAAATTAATTGAATATTATATAAATAAATATTTAACGTACTCTTTTTTTATTTAATAATTTTTATTTTGTTTTTATTATTTAATTTTTATTTATTTATTTATTAATTTAATTGTATTTTTTATAATTTCATTTAATTTCTTATTTTTAATCTTTTATTTATTTATTTATTTTTTAATTAATTAATTTTTTCTTTTTAAATTTTATTTTCAATCTTTTTTTCTTCTTTTTTCTTTTCTCAAAAACTTCAAGATTATTCCACGCTCAATTGCCTCAATGTGATCACTTTTTAAAACTTTTAAAAATATTTTTATATAAAGGAATTGCTAAGAGAGAATTTTCCACTTTGAGCGGAGGTTATTTGGGTTCCGGGTATGAAAAGCATTTTACTTTTATTAAATGAAAATCAATCAATAGTAAAGTTGTGGAGATATATTTACTATGATTTAAATGTTAAAAACTTATAAAATGGAGAGGATTTTTGGAGAATTTAAAACTTTTATGTTATTCATTTAATAAATTTTAAGCTTTTCTATTTTCACTTTTGTCAAGTGACCTCAAAAACTTGAGATGATAAAACTTCATTTATCTATCTATTTATCTATTTTTAAAAAAGCATATTTTTTTGCTTTCTTTTTTTGTTTTGAAAAAATAATTAATTATCTCTTTTTCTTTTTTTAATCTCGTAAGAAAAAAGATTAATTATGAATTTTTTCAAAATTTAATTAAATAAAACCAATATTTTTTGATAAAATTTAACTTTTAAATTTTTTATTATATAAATAAGCAAATAAAAATCAAATTATTAAATTAAAAAATTAATTTGCTACATTCGATCTTATTTATTTTATTCAAAATTTACAATAAAAGTATTTTAGAATTTTATATATTTAAAATATGACAATAATATGTAGAACATAATAGATATGAAATAATTAAATGTTTAAATAAATAAACATAAAAATCTCCTTTTTAAATTTCTTTAAATTTAATTTGTTTCACATTTGTATATTAAATACTTTATTTTATTTATTATTTAATTTTATGAATAAAAATCTATGATATTTAAAAATCATTTATTCTAGTTTTATTTATTTATTTTAAATTAAAAAACATTTAAAATATTTTTAATTTTATTCAATTTATTTACTTTTTCACATAATTAGTAATTTATTTATTATTTTTTAAAGCTTTTTTTGAAGGTTTGTCAACACTCTATTATTTTTGTTTGATAAATTTTTTTATTGTGAATTTATCCTTTGATGGATTAGCATTTTTTATTTTCTCGATTGACTTTCAATTAATTTTTTAATTTGAGTATAAAATTTGCTTTTATTAAAATAATAAATAAATATTAAAGAAAATAAATTAAGTTTGGTGGTTTCTTGCTTAATCGAATGGATTTTTTGAGATCATATTTTATGTGAAAAAAATGTTTATTTTTAGCATATTTTATTAATTTGCTTCAGATTATTAGACAGAGGTAATCACTATTATTTTCTTCTCTCTAGTTATTTAGAGTTTTCATCTAATTAAATAATTTATAGATTTGGAGGGGAATCTTTTTTCAAATTTTTGAAAATTAAGAAAACTAGTTTTTTTATGTGTATCTTTTTATAATTAATTTCATGCGGAAGACATTCACAACGAAAAAATTATAAAAGGATCGAGAAATTTTTAATACCCGTAAATTTCGTTTAATCATGGAAGTTTTTAAAGTTTAACAATAAGTTGTGCATGTCTTCTAAGAGCCCTATTTTTTTTACTCCTCCGGGCTTTAAAATAGGAGTGAGATGGTCTCACCCAACCCAAAATGGGAGCTACTTTTAGTTTTTAAAATAACCAAACCCCGATTTAATAGAAAAGTAGCAAACATTTTGAGTTAAATGTGATCTAAATCGGCTTTACTTATAATAATATACAAGTATTTTTGATGCATGATATGCTTTTTAAGTTTTTAAAAGTTAATGAGTTTTTAAATCCCTAAATTCTAATGGTTTGTGAACCCTTCACGGAAGAAAAAAGCCTCTACATATGCATCATAAATAGTATTAAAAAAAAGTAAAGTCGATACTATCAAAATGTCTTCATCTTATTCCGCTTCTTATCTTACAATGTCTTATTCCCTTAGGTAAATCTTCGCTACTGCTACTGACGATGATGATACAGACAGACACTCCTCTAAAGATAAAGAAGAACAAAGACTAAAAGAGAGACAAAAAGAAAGATGAAGACATATTAAAAAAGAAAAAATAAATAAAAATTAAAAATAAGAAAAATAAAAAAAATAAAAAAATAAAGAAAAATAAGAAAATAATTAATTAAATAAAGAAAAAAAATTAGAAAATACAAGAAAACCAAATAAATTAAATTAAATAAACTCAACTGAAAAAAACAAACAAATTAAATAAAATATTAAAAAAATTAAAATAAATAGTAAATGTAATATTCTATCTAGCCATGTTGCTGTTTTTTTAATTTTTTGAATTTCGATTTATTTTTTGAAAGATTTTCAATTATATTTTTTAATTTTGATATTTACATAAAATTTGTTACATGATTTATTTCTTTATTTCTATAAGAAAAAAAATGAAAAAAAATTTAATACTTTCTAATGATAAAAAATAAATTATAACAAAATGCTATTTTTATAGATATTATTAGACAAATTTTATATTATTAGATATTTAAATTAATTAAAAAAATTTACTTTATTAATTAGAATATCAATAATATTATGCTTTTTTATTTTACAAAAAAAAAAAATTGGATTTTTTATGAAAATGAAATGATTGCACTTTATGTGTAGTGATATTTTGAAAAGTGATAAAAAAGATTATAAATATTAATTGAATTATATTTATTAATCGAGATTGGGAAATAATTAATTAAAAATACATTCAGAGAGAAAAAAAATATATTTAATATAATAATGTGTTTGTTTTTGCATGATTTGTGTTTTGTGGAAATAAAAAAAAAGATGAGGAAGGGAATTGAAATTTGAATAATAGGAAAAGAGGAAGAAGAAATCCGTATCAAAAAAGATTTGTCCAATCAAAAGTGAGATTTAAAGAGTCATCAAGTTTGATTTAGATAATTTGAAAAGAAATAATTAAATAATTAGAACAAGCAAAAAAGAAAAAGAAAATACAAAGGGAGTAGCAAGTTTTAATCAAACTAAGCAACAAGCAAATTTTTTTTTCATTATTAATTGAATAATAAATAAAGAAACAAACAAACAACAAACAATCTAATAAGGTAAATTATTGCAGTTTTTTACATAACAAATAGAATCAAACAATATTATTAACAAGAAAAAGAGGAATATCTAATTTTAAGTAGATTTATTGAATTACGCCATTTTTTATTACCCCTTTATTTATACATAAATAAATTCATTATATAAAGTTATTTTCATTTCTCTCTCTTCTCTTCAGGATTTTTACAGCAATCAACACTCCTTCCCCCCATTTTTGGAAACCAAGAATAAATACATTATTTTAGATATTTTTTCTACATTAGCGAAATGATTCTACAAATATTGATTTTATTGCAAAACCTGATAAAATAAAATGTTAGCTTTTCTTTGTATTTAATTCATTTTTAAATTAATTTAAAGGAATGGGAAAAACAAGAAGTGTTTCAGTAAGTCAGAAGAGCTCTAAGGATAGTAGATCCAAGTCTTCTAAGAAAGACGTAAAGGAAGTCAAAAAGGCTGTGGCCACTCATAATAAGAGAAAGGCTTCACCTAGCCCTTCTCCTTCTCCTATGAAAAAATCTACAAAGGGACCTAAGAAGGCCTAGTCTCCTCCTCGTTCTAAGAGCGCCGTAGCTAAGAAGAGAACAAGAACTCCTAGCTCTAGCCCGGAAAAGACTCCTGTTAAGGGTAGAGGAAAACCTAAAAAGGTCGACAATACTAAGGCTGAAGTTATCAAAAAAAGAAAGGGAAATGGCAAATAAAGCGAAGTCATTAGCATTGAGAGCAGTGATTCAGACAGTGTTCCAGCCACTCCAATCAAGAAGAAAGAGCAAAAGATTAAAGAAAAAGCTAAAGAAAAGGAAGTGCATTAGACTACCAAGAACTAAGGTTCAGTCACTCCTATGAAGAGTGTTATTTCTAAAAAGAAAAAGAAAACTGAGGATGAAAAGTCTGATTTACCTGCTGATCTTGGTGATCTTATTAGAAAAACAATTATTCATGAAAGTAAATCCAAGTTAACAGCCGAAAAGATTATTGAATTGATTAAAGAAGACTATCGTCAAGTCGATGATGTTACTGTTTTGACAGTTATTGCAGACTTATACCGTAGAGGACATCTTAGCGAATCCAAGTCTCACTTCACTGTTGAAGAAGATACTCTTCAATAGTTGAAGCCTCCTGCTCCTGCTATCGTTATTCATGAAGCTAAGCCTCAAGAAATTTAAATTATTGAAGATGAAGATGAAAAGAAAGAATCTGAAGCTGCTATCGAAATCGAAGATGACGCTCCTATTGAAGTAGCTCAAGAAAAAAAGCAAGAAGCTGCTCAATCTGAAGAAACCCATGCTGAAGGAAAAGTCTCTGCTACTAAGGAAAAGGAGAGCTCTTCCCATGAAGGTAGTAAGTCTGTTGCTAAGGAAGCTTCAGTCTCTGCTTCTACAAAAAAATCTACTGCAAAAGAAGATTCTACTTCTAGTTCTGCTGTTTCTACCAAAAAATCTACTTCTAAAGAAGCCGCTGTTTCAGCCAAAAAATCTACCTCAAAAACTTCCGTAGCATCAAAAGAAGTTGTAGCTGAAAAGAGTGCTAAAAAGAGTGTTGCCAAGGAATCTTCAAAGAAGTCCACTTCTAAGGCAGAAAGTGATGGTCACTCAGCCCAATAAAAAAGTGATGAACACATCAATGAAGAAGATTTTGCTAATAAAGTGATCAACAGCCAAGAACAAATCGAAGAAGAAGCCCTTAAAGTTCTTGACAATGAAGAAAAAGAATAATTAAAAAACTAAGAGAATTGAAATGAATGAATGAATTTAATAAATAAACAAATCAATTAATCAATCAATTCATTCTTTTTTAATAATTTACATTGTGAACAAATAAATATTCTACAAATGCTATAAAACTATCTAAATAATATTTCACTCTAAAACGTATATAAGTATATATTTTATTATGACTGAACTAATAAATGAATCATCACCTGCTCTTTCAATGAAAGTGGTTAATTTATCTAGCAAAAATAACAAATAGCTAATCAGATAAAGAAAGAAAGAATAATCAGTTATATCCTTGGCTTAGCTAATTAAGGAAAACATTATATAAACTAATTAAATAGCTAATTCTAACTAAGCTAAGGACTTCACGGATACAGTTAAAATGTTACCGTATTTGTTTGCATTATTTTAAATTAATAAACATTTTAATTGTTGCAGCTATATGTTTTCGTTCATTGTTATTGAGTTTTTAATTTCGAGTTACTAAGTAAATAAAATAATATATATATATTAAACCACTAATTTACTTTTTCATATTTAATTCATTACCTCCAATTTTTTTTCAAAATTTGTATTCATAATGCTATAAATGCATAGATAAATAAATAAAGCTTAAATTCAATAAATACAAATTTCAATTAAGACTTATTAGTAAAAATATGAGAATCAAGTTGAACAATTAAAAAAAATTATAAATTTGAAATTTCCCTCTTTTAATTAAAAATTTAATTAAAAGATATTTGTTTGCTTATTTAAATAATTTGAGTAGAACAAATTTTAATTAATTTAATTTGAAAGAAGAAAAATCCTATATATTTATTTATTTATTTCTCTTTCTATCTATGTATCTATCTATCTTTTCTCATCAGGTATCAGAAATTAATAATTTTAAATTTTAAATAAAAATTAAATCGCATGAGAATCGAACTCAATATGGACAATTTAATTTATCAATTTGTTGATAATAAATAGTTTAAGGTTCAAAAATGAAAAAAAAAATATTTTATCAACACAAAAATAAATGAATAAACAAAAATATAAAATTTAATTAATAGAATAAAAATTTTAAGATAAATTTTATGATAAGGGGAAAAAAGCAAACAATTTTATTTAGTTATTTGGAATTTGCATTTAATATTATTTTTAAACTATCAATATTAATTTTATTTGTTAATAAATTTTTCATTCTTTATTCCGCTTCTAGGTTTTCAAGTTTTTAATTTTTTGATTTTGTTATTTTACTTCTCTACTTTCTCTTTTATGGGATTTATTACTAGTTTGTTTGGTAGGCTAGTATTCAGATTCATGAATTCTATTCAATATTTTCTTATTGAGATTAAATTATTTGTAAGTTAATTTATGGATTGATTGTATTTATAACTAATAATTTTAATAAAAAGCTTAATTTTATAATTTTTTGAAAATAAAATCGATAAATAAACTTGAAAAATAAAAAAACAAAAGATTAGATTTTCGATTTTTTAAAAAAATAATTAAAATGAAAAAAAAAAATCTTAATGAATTTAGTGATGAAAAATAATAAAAAAGATTTGTATTTACAACTCTTTAATTTAATTAATTAGTAAATGATAAAGATATATTTTATTTATTTACAGTTTTTGTTTTCATATTTATAAATTTAATTCACAAAGGTTTCTAACTTTAAATTTTTCTTGCTGTTTTATACCTCCCATTTTCTTCTTTGTGTTTTGTAGATTAATATTCAAACTGTAGGGCTCTATTGTTTGATTTACTATTGAGGTTGCATGATACATAAGTAACTTATCACTAAGTATTTATATCTTATATTTCTTAATAAATATTTTAAGTTGAATAATAACCATTTTTTAATTATAAACAAAAAAAAAGAAAAAGTTAGGATTTAGTTATTTATTATATAGTTAATATGATAAAATATATAAAGCCTCATGAAATGATGAGAAAAAATAGATCTATATAAAGTACAATTTTATTTAGTTATTTAGGATTTATTTTTTTGAAATTCTTTTGTTTTATTTATTTATTAAATGATAAATATTAATTTTAATTAGTTACAAATTTTGTTTTCATTTTTCTTAGCTTTATTCTACAACAAGGCTTTCTAGTTTTTTAATTTCTTCTTCTTGTAGCTTAATATCGCTACTTTCACTTTCAGGAGATTGATTCTTAGTTATTGGTAGGCTAACATTCAAGTTTTAAGAGTTTTATTGTTTGTTTTCTTGCTGACATTGCTAGTTAGGTTATAAATAAGTGTTTATAGCTTGTTCTTAAGTTAGACCAGAATTCTTTTATTGGGATTTTTCTATTTATTGATTATTTGTATTTTCACCTGCTAAGGAAGAGGAAGACTGTAAACTTGAACCATCTTATTTGTTTTAAAGTTATTTATTTTTTGTTGAATTTTCTCCTTGGGCAGTACATGTTAGATTTCCATATTATTTTACTTTGTTAATCTTTTTTAAGAAATCTTCTGAGAAATTAATTGAACTTATAAGTTGTTTCCTTGCCTCAGAATAATTCTATTAACTATTTGAATTGGATGATTATTGCTTAAGTTAAGTTTAATCTTTTGATTGTAACACTCTTTATTGAGTGAGAGTGCTTTTTCCTTTCGTTTCTTCTTCTAATTTGTTCATCATCTCCAATTTTTATATTTATCTCTCCATAGCAAGTAGTGAATCATCTTTATTTTCTTTCTCTAATAAATCATTTATTTCTAGATCCTAATCATCGTTTGCTGCTTCAGATTTATCAATTTTGCTTTAATTCTTTTTGTTTACATAGTTTGCTGTTGAAGATGTAAAATTGTTTTGCAAAAGAGAATTTATTGGTGTTGTGGAATTTTTATTTAAAGAAGGTTTATTAGATTCTTCTTGCTCTTTTTATTGTGAATGAGAAGCAACAAGCTTGCTTAATGTAGGATTTGTAAATTGGCCTAACAAATTACTGACATCTTCTTTTTTAGATGCTGCCTGTAAGTTATTTTAGCTGTTTTGAGAAGCCTACAAAGATTAAACAGAGATAGAATTATTAAGTCCTCTATTCTCATTAAGATTATGAGACTGTGCTTAGCTCTATTCTCCATCATTCTTTTTGAAGTTATACTTAAATTATTATGTTTCAAATGATATAGGTTCTTTTCCTTCTCCTTTATTAGTATTAACTTAATAGGTATAAAGTCTATCGCTTTTTAAGTTGTTTATTCCTTCATTTTTAGTAACATCAGATCTTTAAGTGTTGTGAGTTGTTTCTGATTTAAATTAACTCTCATATCTCTAAATAAATGAGTCAAAATGATGGATATTTTTATCTTTGAATAAATTGCTTGACAAACCTTGCTTTGCCTGTTCTTATTATTGCTAGTATTAACTAAATGTAGGTTAATAAGAGTTATTTTTAACTGATTAAAACGCCTATTCTTCGCAGTTGTAGTATTTACTTTTTGTTGAGGCTATGCTTTAATTTTCATTGATTTTCTCGCTTTTTAAATTAGGGGTGATATTTTGGATTTGGGTAGGAGTGGATGCGGCTGAGTTTCCAGATATTAAATTTCTCATTTTTTACTGCTATTGTTGCAATTAATGTTGTTAAACTTCAAGCTTCTTTTCTTCAATGCGTAGAGCTTCTTGCTCGAATTCTGGTAATAGATTCTTTTTTATCATAATTGAACTTTCATTCATACTTTCATGCTAGGAAACTGGAATGAAGTGTACTTTATCTCCAATATCATCAAGCATCATATAAATATCAGGAAAATCGCTTTCTTAAGTACTTTTAGCTAATTTATCATCATTTTCATTGCATATTTTTGACTCTTCTAATAAATGCAAATCGTTCTTGTTGTCTTCGTCTTATTGTATCATTTCTTTTCTATTTTACTGCAGCAAGTTTGTTTTTAATGAGTATGGGTTAACAGTGAGTTATTGGCTTTAATTAACATTAGCAGAATCTCCACTTTTAAGAGCTTAGCTGACATTTTACATGATTCCATTCCAGCGCAATCTGTAATCATTATCTTTTGTCTATTATTAGATGCTTGGTTGCATATTTTATTCAGACTAAACTAAATTTTATTTATCTTCATTCTAAGAAACAGCCCTATCTGTTAGTTTAGATCCTTAGAGAATAGCTGATATTTCCTAGTCTCTGAACTAGAAAGATTTCTATAATTAATTATCGTTCAATTGATTATTTTATTTAGATCCTAGCTATTGTAGATTGTTAGAATATTCGTTGAATTAAATTTCTTCTTCCATTTTACAATATAAATCAATTTCATCTTAATCTTCATTTCTCTTATTCTTATCTGATTACCCTTCTGTCTTAAAATTGTACTAAGATTTAGTGTTTTCTTGCTTTAAGATATCTTAAATATCTTTTGCAATGCTATTTAATTCCAATTCCTCCTTTAAGTTTTGCTATTCAATAAATTCTAGTTCTTATTTTCTCTTCAATTTTTTAGCTGCCAATTCATCAATAAAAGAATCATATTCCATGGGTTCACTTTGATTATTTTCGAGTTCATCATCGTTATCATAATCATCCAAAGAAGCTTTGTGTTCCCCTTAGATAATTTTTTCCATGAATTCTTTATTTTAATTATTACCATTGTTGTTGGAGCGTTTATATTAATATTCGTCAACCTCATTATCATAAAGCGAATCTTCATCTTAGTGATCTTTTAAATTCTCAATATAATTTTAGCTTTCGAATTTTTCTTATTCTCCATCACTGCTTCCATCATGATCATCTTCCTCCTCCTATTCATCATCATTTTGTTCATGATCATCATTTTCATCTTCTTCTTCTTCTTCATCATCATCTTCATCTTCTTAGTTTTCATCATCACCTTCTCTAGCATCTTCATGATGATTGTAATTATTTTGATTAGCTTCATATTATTCCCCTTCAGTGTCACTTTTAGCGAATTCTTCCAAAGCTTTTTATTTTAAGTAATTTTCAAGTTAAGATCTAATGTTGGAAATACTTCCATTCTCAACTTCATTGATAAAAGTCTCAAGCTCAAAGTTATCAGCCTTAGATTCATTAATACCTTCAACTTTGAATTTAAATTATAAAAATTGAATAAAATTAGTTAAAAATATAAATAGATTTACATTTTAACTACTCACTAACCTAAAGCTGACTGATATCATCATTTGAAATTTAGCGTTGATTATGAGATTAATTTTCTTTCAACTATTTTATCTCTTCTTAAAGAAGTAAATTTTTAGCTTCTAACTCTTCGATTCTATTTTGTTTGCTTTAACAAAACTGGCTATAGCTTGGAGATCTGACGTAATACTTGAAAATTAGCTATCATATAATGTTAAAGTGTTAGTTAAAAAATGAAATATCAATTAGTTTTAATATTTTACCATATCACTTTCTGGAAGCAAATAACCTTCTGATTCTAATTAGCTTAATTTGAAAAATTTTTCATATCCCCATGTTGCCCCTGTTTCAAAAGGGCTGATAAATTCTCTGAATATTAATTAAAAAAATAATTATATTTTTTTATCTAATATTTTTAGATTATTTATTTACCTTGTTACTCTAAGGTCAGGATTAACTTGATTAATCATTTCTACTCTGTATTCGAAATTGCTGGGTTTGACACTGCCCTTTGTCATCTCAACAAAAACAGAGAGAAAACTGTCTTTTGCTTTATCTTTACCATTTAAATAAACCTTTAATCTCCATTCATTTCCATGAGCATAGAGAGTTTCAGAGTAAGAAACATCTGCACTCTTTCTCTTGACTGAATAATTTTGTAAAAAATAATCTGCAGAATCATAAGGAGGAATCATATCATATCTGTTAATAAAAAAAATATTTTTAAATAGAGAATGAATGAATAATCAGTGATTTATTAAATTATTAAAATTATTGATAGACTCTCATTAAAAGTGAAAAATTAAGAGAGAAAATATATTTATTTCTTTTTGATGATTTTCTTTTAAAAATTCTGAAAATAATTGATAATCTTATTTTTTAAAAATAGCAATGAATAAAGTGCACTGTCAATAATCAACCAATTAACTATAAAAATTATTACTAGAATTCTAATTTTTTCTCGTTATCTCCAATGAAATTCTTAATAACTCTTCTACTGTTGATTTCTTCTAATGTTTTGACGATTTCTCCTGATTTGCTAATAAGAATGCTTTTAGGTAGAGTTTCTATATATTCATTTATTTCCTCACTCATATTTTCAAGTAAGTCAATCTCTTCAGAAATAGGTCCTCTTTGTAAAGAGAGTTTTTCCAATTTAGATTTCAGCAGATCATTTAATTTAATATTAACCTATGAAATTTATATTTAAATAGTATTTAATATTATTAACATAGCATGAAAGTTACATAGTCCATTTGCTAAGTGAGTGAAGCAGCTTTATCATCCCTCATTTTAGTAATCTTTTCTATAACAACATCTACTTCTTGTTATTACTTATTTAATTCCTATAATCTATTTATTGTATTTAGATTAAACATTACATATCTATAAATTCATTAATCTTAGTTTACTTTTTTTTAACGGCACTTAGCTCTTAACGTACTTATTTAACGTGTGTTTCATAAACAGAATTTAATTTATCAAATCTATGATTTTTATGTTGTGATCCTATCATACCGCAGTCAGAACAAACAGGATGCTTGCAAATCTAACAATAATAAAGAAGAGGATTGTCATGTTCTTCGCAAATACCTTATTTCTCCTTCTTCTATTCAATTTATTCTATCTTTTCAAGAGCCTATTTATTTGAAATAATAAATAAAAGTTGATAACAAATTTATTATTTATTTTTAATAAAATTTTTATTGATTGGTTCAATGTAGCCTTGATTAACTTAACGATAAAATATTATTTTTCTAAGACTTATTTGCTAAATATCTGAATTATGCCTTCAAAATAATTTAATGAAAGACTATACAGATTAACTTTTCTCATTAAAAAATTGATTTATTAATAAAAATTTTTAGACAAAATAATTGATTGACAATTTGAAATAGTTTTTAAATTTGAAAAATAAATGGCAATTTTTATCATTTTAAATCTCTTAAAAGAGTTTATTACTCCTTATGCAAGCATAATTTTGTATTTACCTCTTATTTTATCAATTTATCAATCTACATACCTATGCATGAATGATAAAAATTGAATATATTTATTTGTATTTGAATCTTAAGTTTAAAATCTTTTTTATTTGGTTTAAGGTTAGTTAATATTTAGCTTAATTCAGTTGATAAATCAAGTTATTTTAAAATATTACTGTTGTGATTTCGTTGACAAATCTACATTTCATCAAATTGGAAGGTCTTAAATGAGATCTGCAGTGAGGACAGTGACTTTTACTTGATAGCCATTGTTTAATGCATGATTCGCAGCACATTTTTTAACAATCTGGACACATATGAGCATTTTTTAATTTTCCAAAACAAATTAAGCAAGTCAAAATATCTTAGATTTTAGGACTAGAATTTTATTTTTTACGTGTATTATTTGTAGAGCTAGATTCGTTAGAAACCTGAGCATTGTTAGAATATCTTTAATAACTATTGTTATCATATCTACTGCTAATGCTTGAAGGCTATTAATATCTAATATGATAGCTAGGTCCAGCTTAATTTTGTTACGAAGATGATTCGCTGTGTAAAAATTAAGCTTAAATTAAATTAGAATTACTATGTCCAACTATAGAGCTTGGTTGAGGATTGCTGCTTAAATTACTATTAACATGACCATTATTTTAATTTGAAGAAGATGTGTTTGTATTCAGGTTGCTTGCTATATTTGTGCTGTTATTGGTATTATTTACAGAAGTCAAAGGAAAACTCTACAAATTGAAATTGATTTCCTCGAGCATCTGAGCAAAGTTTCGATTATTTAAACCATTATTGTAAGTTCCGTTACTTCTAATCATTTGCTGAGATAATTATATAAATAGGCTTTTTTTAATAAATTGAGATTTGATGAGATTTTTGTTTGCTAATTATTTTTTGGTTTGTATTTATTGTTCTTATTCCACTATTGCTACCTACCTACCTACTATTTTTTTTTGATTGATTGATTGATCAACTCAATATATTGCTTAGTTTTTAATTTATTTTGTATTTGATTTTCTTTATTATTTCCGCTGAATTATTGACAAGAGAAGTAATTTCACAAATTAAACAAAAAAAATTTGAATGTTTTTAGATTTTTATAATCAAAACCAAATAGATATTTAATTTAATAAATGCTCTTTATAAATTTTCAAAAATATTCAAACTAATTTGGATGTTTGTAAATCAATCAATCAATCAATATTTGATTCTCAAAAATTTAAATGAAAAATAGATATCAAAAAATTTATCAATTTTATTATTTTTTATCAGTCATTTCATTCTCTTTCCTCACATGATTTGAAAATTAATACAATTTAAACTTAAATTTGTGTCTAATATAATAATAGAAATTCATTTCAAATTTTCTACTTTTACTTATTATTTAATTATTTTTAAATTCTACAATAAACATCTCAAAATAATTAATTTTCTAATTAAATATTTTAAACTTATAGAAATAGTAGAATTTTTATTTTTTTATAAATCCTAAAGTCAAACAATACTTTTTTAGATCTTGCAAAAAATTTTAAAGAACGTTTTTTGATATTGGTTACTACTTTTATTTAATGGTAGCTTTAATTGATTTCCTATTTAAAAAAATATATAAGTACATTTTTAATATTCAAACAACTCTTTTCAAATTATGATTTAACTGATATTTTTTTTAGGTTTGATAATTAAATTAAAATGGGGTTTGTTTGTTTGTTGAAATTCAGATCAAATCGGTTTTGGAAATCTATTTATTAACTCAAAAGACTTTTACTTTTAATTTGAGAATGAAAATTATAAATTTTTATAAAGATACTTTTAAAATAAATTTAAAGTTTGAAAGTTATTTTTTGTTCAGAAATTAAATTGTAATATTTTGGTAATTTATTTTCTGCTTAGAAAGTTTTCTAAGCGAATGAAAAAATAGAATAGATTTTAAATATTAAATTTTTTTTATAATTAAAATTAAAAAAAAAGAATTTATTTTAATCAAAGTAAGATGGAAGAATCAATGAAAGAAAATAATAAATAGCTGGTGATTTAATATTTATTTAAAATACTTAATGGCATCAGGAATTGATATAAGTGAGTTTATGTAAAAAAAAATAATAGAAATGCGATGATTTAAATACTTGGGAGATATTAGGCGTAAAGATTATAAAAGAGATGGAAGATAAAGAAATATTTTAATTAGATAATGTGTTGGATAAAATAAATTCAGGAAGAGTTTGTGATGGCAGGTAAGAAAATTGAGAAGTAATTGAATAGGGAGGTGAAAGGACATTGGAAAGATTAAAAAATGGTGAGGAATGTGAAATTCGGAGAGGTGAAGGAATGGGAAAGTAAAGGCAAATGGAAGGAAAGGCTAAAAAGAAAGGAGAGAAAAATAAACAAATAAGTGATAGGAAATTTTAGAGATTAAAGATATATTGAACACAGCGAAATTAAAAAAGTCAAAAGAGGAAATTATATAGATTTCGCTAATTAAAAAATTAGAAGAATAATTAATATAAATAACAAAGAAAAGAATAATAAGAAATGGTCGTTAGAACTGGTACTTGCTCATTCTGTGAATACAGAATTTACCCCGGTAGAGGTCAAAGATTCATCGCCAAGGATGGTAGAGGTTTCTTCTTCTTAACCAAGAAGGCTAAATGTCTTTCCTTAAGAAAGGTTAAGGCCCAAAAGATCACCTGGACCATCGCCAGAAGAAGATTATGGAAGAAGGTTAAGGCCACCGATATTGCCCAAAAGAAGAAGAAGAGAAACGTTACCGTCGCCAGAGCCATCGTTGGTATTTCTCTTGAAGAAATCAATAGAAGAAAGAATCTCGACGCTTCTCACAAGAAGGCTGAAGCTGAAAAGGCCGTCAGAGAATTGAAATAAAAGAAGGCCAATGATATTGAAAAGAAGAGAGCCGACAGAAAGTTGCAAGGAAAGGACGTTAAGGCTGCTAAGAAGGCTGAAACCAAGAAGACCAAGCAACCCGTCGGTGCTAAGGGTGGCAAAAAGTGAGATAAGCAATCACTAATATAATTTAAATATAAAATATATGCTCTCGTCTAGGCAAAAAAGCATTAAAATTAGCATCATATAAAGCGATTCATATAAAATGTTTATAATTAATGCTAGATAATTCAACGGGAATATAATATATATCATTAATTTTACTTAAAAAACTTAGATGTTTGCTCATTTAATGTATATCAATACTTTTTATCTTATTTAAATTCAAGCAAGACCAATTTCTCTACTTTCTACTTTAGTATGCTATTATCAAATCAATCAATCAACCTATCTATCTATCAAACAATCATACACACAAACATACAAAAAATTAATTAAACATTTTAGTTAGATTTTATTGCAATATTTCCAAAACTAAATTGATAATATAGAAACGGCCCTATTTTAGTATTCTAGCTAGCTAGATTTTTTGCTGCTGATTTTTATAAAATATTATCAACTTTTCATAATACATTTTCATCAAATTTTACTTTATTCATTTTTCAAGAGTTCGTATGAGATAGATAGCAACAAAAAAAACTACTTTAATTTATAATTTTAAATTTTCAACTTTTAAATTAATTGCATTAACTCATTTTTATATAATGTTTTCTTATTAGATTTATTTCCACTTACAACAAAAGCAAAAATTTTTTCAACTAATCAACATCCAGACAGGCAAAGCAATTTATAAAAACTAAATATCATAACTCATCTATCAATTAGTGGCATACATAAAAAGCTATTTCATAATATTTCACATTATTTTTGTTTAAAATAAACAAAATTTTAAATATTTGTCTGATTAATAATTAAATAAATAAATCGCTAAATTTAAATAAGCTGAGTTAGAAAAAATTTAATTGATAAATAACAAAAATAATATTTCACATAAAGATTTTTTTTTTGTAACATTAATTTTAATATCAATTCTCATTAAAGATCAAAGCTTTATTATCTTACTTTTAAAATATGAAAAACTTATTTATTTGATAAATTAGTAAGATATTCTCTTATATTTCTTAAAATAATGACTGATCAATAATTTATCTCATTCAATAATTTTATGAAATAGTTTTAAATTATGAAGTTTTTATGAAATGAAGATTAATTAAATAAAACTCACGCTTATCTTGTAAAATAAATTACAAGTACACAAATAAAATACATTGATTTATAAGAAATTAAAATCAATATTATGAATGTATGTATGTATATATTTATGTATGTTTGTATGTTGTTTAAGGAAGGAACATACACTATTTAATTATTTTAATTAATTATTTTATTTGTAATAAATTATCTGTCGATATTATTTTAGTAATTTAAATATATTTTTGTTGTTTATTATTGTTATTTCTCTGGTTATTAATTATTATTATTTTATTTTATTAGTTTTCTATACATTTTATAATTCATTTATTTAACCTTAATTACTATTTTATATTTAAAACTAGTTTTTTTTCATTTTAGATTTTAATCAATATAAGATTTGCTTGATTCATATTAGACTTGATTATCAATTTTTGGTTGCCTTTTTACGTGAAGCTTTATCCATACCATTGTTCGTAGATTGTTTTTTGATATTTCTTTCGGATTCTTTCTATAATATTATTTAAAAAATAAAGATATAAAATTAAAGCATTATTTCAATAATCTTACACAATCCTCACAAGTAAATTATAAGTCTTCAAGAGCTCTTGGATTTATATTTCCAAGACCTACACAAACAGGGTGGAACCACTTTATCTTGCAGTTATCGTTTGAACACTTTATCATCAGTTCTCCTTCGTATGATTTTTAGCACTTGCAGAAAATTTCAATGAGATTTGTACTCAAAATGATTGGATCCTTAATTTCAAAAATTACACTCTTTGGATTAGCTGTCAATTAATAAGTTAAATGTGATTGCATAATTACATTGGGATTTTTATTCGTAGTTGCGCCTGCCATTGCTGCTGCTGGGCCACTTTAAACCAGTTTTCCATCTAATACGTATTGGGCTCCAGTAACTTATGTGCCATTTATTGTCTTTTATTCTTTTGATTGGATTAGCTTAATGCCTGGCTAGTTATTTTTCCAGTTCTAAGTTTCGCTTGTAAATTATTTTAATAAAAAGACTTAAAAACGAAAAAAATAATTTTATATTTGTTTAACAAAAAATTATTGCTGTCAAAAAGTAAAAATATTAATTTTTCAGATATTTAAAATTCCTTTTTAATAAAAATGATATAAAAGTTTGCTTAAGAATGGGCAGTTTTCTTAATGATTATGATCATTATATCTATTATTTTTTATTTATAGGAAAATTTGTTTTTTCCTAATATCTTTTTTATCTATATTTCTATATTTTATTATTCAAATATCTAAGTAATTGTAAAAGCCCTTTTCAAATTAAAAAAGCGGCTTTATTTTTTTTATTTACTTATCACCAGGGATATTGTTAAGAGGATCGTAAGCATTGTCAAATGCTTGCTCTGTTTCAGATAGAGTTTTGTGATCAATTGCATCTATGTAATAGTATGAATCTCTATATACAATGTTTTAATTATGCTGAATGATATTCTCTCTTTTTAATTCCCTAGTTAGCTATTCATTTATTTATTGTATAAAAATAATTAGCAAGCTATACTTCTATAAAAATTTGCAAAAAAGTGGTAATTGAGTGCTTTCTGATTCTCTTCGATAAAGAGAAGAAGACCTTAACCAACTACATAATCGTTATGCAATTAAAATGCAAATAAATGCAAATATTTACGTCATCCATTGTTAGATTAGATGGATGTCTGAGTTCTTCTATTCCTTTCTATATTAAAAATTAAATTAAGAAATGCTAAAAATGGACTTTTCTTGGATAAAATGGAAAATTAGCAATGCCAAAAATATGGCAAAAGCTTTAAAGAACACAAAATATGTTAAATTTTGTGATAAACTTAAATTAAATGAATATAAATTACATTTTCAGGAAATTTTTGCTTGACTATTTCAATTATCTTAGATTAGTCATTAAAACCAGGAATTCTAAAACCTAGTGGACTATATCTATCGATAACATCTATATTTGCAGAGTGATCAACTTCTATTTCCATACTCATACTTTTTCAATCTACTACTTTATTAACCTTTGTCTCTCTATCACACTTTTTGATGATTCTGGGATACTGCTACTTTTAACTTTTTGTATTAAGTGATTTATTGTTATATAAATTTTTTTAATTAAAATATTCTTTATCAAGTGTGTGCTTTATTTATTATCTAACAAATTTTTTTACTTTATTTCGATTTTACAAGCGATCTATCAAATCAAGTAAATAAGTAAACACATACATATCTCATCTTCTTATTTTCAAACAGTAATTAAATGCAATCATTGATTCATTCATTGATATTCGTATTTTTTACTTAGCCTGTAAATTTGGTAAATTGCTTTTGTTTCCGACCACCATCATATAATATTACTAACATAATTAATAATTATCCAACTACAAATATACATATAAACATATACATACATATCCTATTATTTAATCTTTTCATTTATAACTAAAACGGTTTGGCAATCATCAATTAAAAAAATTTAAATTAAATAAACATTCCAAATTGCTTAATGTTTTATTTATCTAATAAGACAAATTGATAAATAGTTTATTTTTTCCAAAAAAATAACATTTACAATTTGGTTAAATTCTATTAAGATAAGGTTGAATAGTTCATATATTAACAAAAACACTTTTTATCTTTCAAATAATATTTTTACAATAATTTTAAATATTTTAAAAAACTCGATTAAGCAAACTCTAAATTTAATAAATAAAATTATATTTGTCATCTACTTTCATACGTAATATCTAAAATATTTTAATTTTTAAACTAGATTTAAATAGAAAAGTTTATTTTAAAATTAATAAAAAATTTATTCTCACTTTTTTTTTAAATTAATCCAATAAATAAATTTAAAATTCTAAAGAATTATTTTTATTTAAGAGATAGAAATTTAATCAATATTTTTACTTATTTTAGTATAAACTCATTGATTAAATATTTTATTCCAACAAATAAAAAATTATTTAATATTTATTTTTTATTTATTTGAGAAAAATTAAAATTATCAACAAATATTTGAAAACAAAAAGAAAATATTTTGATGAAATAAATTAATTATGAAAAATTTATAAATGTATGTTGATATTTTTTGCCTGTTATTTGGATATCGAAAGTGCTGATAGATAAAATAAATATGGTGAGGCTATAAAAAATTAGGGCTTTAAATTTATTGAATCTAGGAGAAAATATCTGATAAAGTGTTAAATAAAAAGAAGATGAAGCAAGGTAGGTAGGTAGCTAGCAAGTTAAAAGGTAAATAGAAATAAATAAAGCAGACATGTAAATAAAATAATGCAGTAATATGTTAGTGTTATCATAAATGTATTTATTATAAATAAAAATGAATGAATATTAATGAAAAACAGTGAAAATTGAATGAAAAATAAGATTGAGTAAAAATGGTTGTATTTATTTATATATGGAAGATATAATGAAAGAATGTTAGATAAATAGTTAGATAGATAGATATCTGAGGAGAAATTAAATGAAATGAAATGAATAAAAAAATGATTGATTGAATTATTAGGGAGAAATATAAAGCGGGGCGAAATTGTGAAGGGTAAAAGGGAAGTGATTTAATTTAGTTTTAGAGGGGAAGAAACAAACAAGATTAAAAAGGAATCAAAGATATATATTTAAAAAAGAGTAAAAATAATAAGTAAAGAAATATAAATTAACAAGCAAGATTAATAAAAATGGTTAGAAAAGCTGCCCAAGAACCCAAGGATGACACCCTCTAAATGAAGGTAGGACCAGCTTTAAAAATAAAAAAATTTTAATTTCTTCATCAAGTATTTCTTCAGTCTTTGGTAGGAAGGCATATCATGCTCACCTGACTACCTCATGCTCCTTATTAACTTTAAGAATGCATTTTTACACAACATCTCTCTTGGATTTATCAAAAAAAATAATAAGCAAATATTGCTTCAATTAGTAATTTAACCCTATTAAATATTGCTATCATGTCCAAATCTAGCAACTTTTGAAAAAAATGAAAAGCAAAGGAGAGGTTTTGCAATATTGGCATTACGCTTCTGATTTCATTCGATCAGAAATAACAAAAATAGTGTTCATTATTTGATAGGGAGAGATGGATGGAATTAATTAATAATTAATTGCATATTTAGAGAAATACTCAAAATAAAAAGACTGACTTGAATGAAATTAAGTTATCATATTTATAATTATTTATTATTAATCAAAAGGTCAGACAATACGTCGTCTCTGCTGCTAGACTTCCCATCGAATAGGGTACCAAGCCTGAAATTCTCTAAATGAGAGTCTTCGCTAGAGATGAAGTCCATGCTAAGACCAAATTCTGGTAAGATAAATTTAAGATAAATTCAGATTTAGTCTTCAAAACGAATTAGTCAGAGAGAAAAATATTTTAAACCCATTAACAATCACAATCGTTCATTTGCTGTGAGAAAATAAATATACTGGATGGATTAAGCAAAAGGCATTATAGTACAATAATTTAAGGTTCTACAATAAAACATATTATCAGTGCAATCTATAAATCAATCAATCAACCACTGCATACTAATATATCTTCACTAATACAATATATAAATAAATAAATAAATAAATGAGTGAGTGAGTGAGTTAGTGAATTAGCTGCATTAATAACAGCAAGCAACAATAAAAAAACAAATTCATTCTGTTAAATAAATCTAATAAAAATTTAAAAATTTTAATTAAAAAGTTGAATTAACTTAGGCTATAATTCTGCTCTTCTTTAATTAAATGCAAAAATTAGTTTTATGGCTAGGATACAAAAAAATTTAATAACCTTAACTTGTTAGAATAAATTTGATTAGATCAACATCATAGTTTTAGCATTTATTTAAATAAATGAAGGAGCAAACAAACAAGTAAATTAATAAATAAATAAATCGATTGTGAAAATGGGAAAGGCTTAAAGTAAAAATAGTTAAAACAATAATATTTAGAAGGATAGATATATTAATTTATGTAAAAAAAGATCTTAAATCAAAAAAAAATTCAGCGAAATCAAGCAATATGGGTGAACATATTTAGTTGAAAATATTTATAAAGATAATCCTAAAATTATCCTGATGAAAAGCAGCAAATATTTCATTTTTAAATATTTCAAAAAAAGCATAGCTTGTAATTAAAAAAAAATTATGGAAGCAATCAACAAAATAATTCCACTAATTCGATTTGACTGACACTCTTACAAATTCCATTAAATAAATAAATATTAAATATATTTTCTTTTTTAAATAGGTACAACATGAGAAAGTTGAACAAGATTAAAAGATCTTAAGGTAGAATCCTCTCCGTTAACGAAATCTACGAAAAGTCCCTCAACACCGTCAAGACCTACGGTATCGTTCTTAAGTACTAATCTAGAACTGCTATCCACAACATGTACAAGGAATACAGAGATGTCTCTTTAAACGGTGCTGTTTCTCAACTTATCTAAGATATGGCTGGTAACCACAGAGCTCAACCTGATACCATCCAAATTATCAGAACTGCCACCCTTGAACCCAAGGACATTAAGAGACCTGCTACCCTCGCCATGAGAGTAATTTATCAATAATTTATTAAATTAAAAATTCTAATTGAGGACAAACAAAACTTTTCATATTTTATATTTTTAAGAATTCTATTTCCATTTTAAATGAATTATATTGGATCTAATTTATTTTTAATGAGATATGTTTGTTTGTCTTTGATTTACTGAAAAAAATATGCTGTTAAAAAAAACTATTTATTAAAATTTATCTTCATAAAAATTTAGAACGCTGCTCTTAAGTTCCCCATCGTCAAGACCATCCACAGACCCTCCGAAAAGAAATACAGAACTGTTTACAAGGCCACCAGACCTACCACTTTCTAGTGATCAATATAAATATATTAAAAATTTTTAACTCTTTTAAAGATTGAATTAAATTAATATTCATTTTTTATAAGTTGTATCTACGCACTATGTATACATAAAATTATTTAAACTAAAAATATACTTTGCGAAAAATTATACACTTCCTACCTCCCTCACTTCTTATTAACTTACTTAATTACTCTATTAAAAATAATAAAATAATAAATAAATAAATAAATAAAGTGTGTTTGTGTATATGATTCTCATATGTATTTATTTGAAAAAGCACAATCTAAAAAGTATAAAAAGATAAATATTAATTTAACAAAAGTAAATAAAAATAAATTAATCTTCCAGGTAAATAGAACAGTAAATATAGCAAAAAAATATACAATATTTACATTAAATTTAATTTTAAATTATTTAATAATATTGGTTGATTATTGCTTTTATCTCTAATTTATTGTTAAAGTCTTAATATTTTAGAAATTTAGATTTATCTAAAATCATATTAAAAGATTTTTCATAATTTATTAAGTTAAATAGCAAAAGAATTTTTTAGAAAAGTTATAAATTTAAAATATTTAATTAGTGTTTTGTTTTAAAATGCTTGTTTGTCAGTTATTTTAAATAATTTTATTAAGATTATGCTTTCCAATGCAATTATTTTAAATATAATATTCAAACTTTTTAATTTTTAATATATAAAATACAACACCAAATAAAAAATTATATCATAATTATTGCTTAGATTATTCAATTTTATTTCTATTTTCAATTCTTATTTTTTTTAAGACAATAGTTTTAATAATAAATTATTTTAGCCTTTTGGAAGGGTTAATTTCTATTATTCCCTACTTAATTCAATATTTAATTAATTGTTACTAAATTTCAATTTTTTTTTTAGGACGATTCTTTTTAGGTTTCCTCCCCCTCCTTTCCCACTTATAACTCAATAAAAATAAATTAATTAAGTTAATTTACTAGCAGTTTGCATGATAAAGTAAAAAACATATTTTTATCAATATTATAAATTTTTTTTATTTGTGGAAGGAATAAAAAATCAATAGAAAAATATGGAATTTATATAAATTAAATTATTTTTATAGAGCCATTATTGAACTTATAAATCTTAAATTCACAGAAATCTATGTAACTTTGTAAGATTTTATATATATAAAAAATGAAAAATAGTAAAGAGTCAAACTAAAATTAGGATGATATTACTCTTAATAAAAGAGAAAAGAAGTAAAAGTATTTGACTAATACTATTCATAAAAAATATATTTTAACAATTTGCATAAATCAAAATAAACAATTAATCTATTCCACTTTTTTTTCTCAATTTGCCCTGCTTTTATATTATTTTTAATACCAATTTCATTTTTTTAAAGGTGTTACCAAGCAGCCATACTAGTTAAAAGAAGTATTTTGAAGGTGAAGTAAGATAAGTGGTATGAAGTGCTATAACTAGATATATATCAATAGTATTTATTAATCTAAAACTTTAAATGATATTTGTTTGAAAAAGATTGAATTTTAAGGGTTACTCAAGATAATAATGGGTGCCATATATGTTTAATTTCACTAATATTTCTTATTGATTTAATAAAATTTTATTGGATTAACAATGCATAAAAAATTGTGACAATGCCTCTTTTATTAATATATTTTTATGCAAGTAGAATATATAAAATTAATTTTAATAATCAAAAAAATTATAAATTAAACTCTATTTTTATAAACAAGGTAACTTTAAAAAGATGACAAAATATTCTTCATTCGTTCAATTATTCGATGTTTTCTGTGAAATAATTTGTAAAACACTAAAGAGCAGGACTATTTGAAAAGCTACTCAACTACTTTGAGTCTTTCAAATTTTATTTAACAACTAATTTAGCTTTATTATCCATAAATTAGTTTTATTTACTTATTATAACTGGCTAAGCTATTGTGGATACTTATAATTAAGATAAATAATTAGTTGGAGTAACATCATTAATTTAGTAAGTTTCATTAAGAATAATTTAGTCTCCTTCTGTTTCTATGTTAATTGATACATCATCAATTATATCAAAATGGAATTATTTAATAACATATTAATTTATGTCAATTATTCTAATTAATATACTATCTATATCTTAAGATTAAGGAGTTCCTTAAAGAATGATTACCCCATTTTTCAAATTAAATTTAATCCAATTAGGTAAAGCCATATTTTTTGAAATTCCGTAATTGACGTAGTCCAAATTAAAGAACTTTTTTAATGATAGGCAATTCTAATTAGCTACTTTCTAAAAGACTTCTAAAGATTAAATTTGATAAGGAAATAAATGAATTGATTCACCTACACAAGGCGAGAACATAGAGGGAGAATATTCAACCAAACCTAAAGCATCTGCAAATAAAACTTCTCTAATTAAATTAAAGTTAATGTTACTCCCATTTTGTTATTGCACTAAATCAACTGAGTACTATAGGTTAATATCTAATAATATTTAATTTATCTGCAATTCATTAAGTTAGCATTCTGGGAAAGGGACAGGGAACCCAAAAGAATCCCTTTAACTAGTAACAATCAAATTTACGAAGCATTTGTACCAATCATTTTGAGTGTAAGATGAGTTATTTTAGGCATAAAATTTTAGGTAGTTATACACTTCCTATGAGTTAGTATCTAACTTTAAAAAATATCTAGCAGCAAGAGCCTAGATAGATTTAAAAATTTTGGATTGAGGGTCCTTAAAATCTGTCTTGAAATTTTGATAAGTGTAAGACTTTCCTTTCAGGTTGAAACTAACATTAAACTTTTTGATGGATTTAATTATTTTTGAGATATTTATATTGCCATCTTATAGCAAGTAATCTTTTTCAATTTATTATTTTAATTGGTATTTTCTTGATTTTTCAATTGTTTATGCTGGTTTTTTTAACTTTTATTGTAATTTTTATTGAACATTCTTAACTAATTTTTATTTATTTTCATTAAATTAATTTTGAATTGTTTATTTTCTATGTTCCAAATAGTTCTGAGAATTATCTGTTTATTAAATTGTTATTTTTTGATTTAATTTTAATTTTAAAATATCCTACTATTATTATTGGCTCAAGCTTTTTCTTGATTATTTTTAGCGAACTTAGTTTTTATAGTTTATCCCATTTTTTTGTAAAAATCCTTTAAATAACAGTTAACTTTTTTCCATTTCATCGCCTAAGACAGCTATCTTTTTCTAAAATAGTTTGCCTACGATTGCTGTGTCTTTCGAGAACATAACTTTTTCTTTAAAAAGCAAATTTAAAAAGTAACTTTTGTACTTGTACAATCCTAAAAAACCAAATATCGGCCCTAGAACTTTTAGTAGCAAATTAAAAATATATTAAAATGGAACACCTGACACATCTATTTTAAATGAATCATAGTCTTGAGTGTATCCATCAGATGCTATTATCTTAATTAAGAATTATTATTAGAAGCATGAAATTGGAGGCTACCCTTAAAAGTTGATAACTCCAGAGCTATTTTAAAATAAGATCCAGTCATTTTAAGTTAGCTCAATGTATTAATCGTGTTACAGAATGAATGCTTGATAGAATATCTATTAAATATCATCCACTTAGAAAGATTTCTAAGAAAAGGTTATTGAAAACTATTCTTCGATATTAATTATAGCATCAGAATACTATCTGTTAAACTGCTGTTGTAGGCTTAGATCTACATTTTTTTTAAGCTATAATTTTTATTTGATAAAAACACATTCTGCTATCAAAGCAATTTAAGATATATCGTAATTGACTCCATCAATCAGAGTAAAGGTAACAGAGATCGAATTCCATGATGTTTGATTCGCAAATATTATCTTTTATTATAAAACTGAGTTTATGTTTGCTAACGAACCCTCAAGTATTAACTAGGTCTACTCCTGGTTAGTAGAAAAAATTACTCCCTAGAAATTTTATATAACAAATTTACCATCGTTTTATTTAACTTATAAGTAGAATTAAACTTATTATGATAATGTTTGAATGGGAGTTTTTGAATTACGAATATCTAATTTGAGAGAAGATTCTACATAAAATTGAACAGGGTTTATATAGTAGCTTCTTTAAAGTGTCAATAAAACAGCATCAAATAATAGTTTGGAGCTATTTATTCCGCTTAATTAAAATTGCAGATTCTTATCTGCATCGAAACTCTGAGTTATATATCCGGAAGAATCTAATAAATTCGATTATTAAAGGTAATCATAAATAGCCTGGGCTTAATCAGGTGAGGTTTAGAAATCAGAGTTGTTATACTGAAACGAACTTACTTATACAGGTAGTAGTACTTTTAGTAAAATTATATTTTGGTTTGCTTCTGTTAAGCGATTTGTATCAAGACCACTTTTGTCAATATTGAGCACAAGAATTTAATTGTTATAATCATAGTTTATCCAGAAAGGAAGTTCCTATATCTATAAATTAAAATAATATTTTACAGAGTCTATTTTAATTCCTGCTGTCGGGTAGAGAAAAACAAAGTTAAACTAGATATTTTGGCCTACTAATAATGTTTAGCCTTTTTATAACGTAGTATAGGTCTGCTTGCCGCTTCCTAGGCTATTTACTAATTAGAATTCTGCGTGAATAAGCACTTAACTTTTTAAAGGAAGAACAATAGTGCCTTGTTGATTAAGGATAAAAGAATATTCTTAATTTGGACTAGTGCATACTCCATACGCTGATTGTTATTTATATTCATAAGAAGATATTAATTTAGGCGCTGTTACATTTTATATGTCTATTAATGAAAGCATTCCTGAGTCAGCCTCTGCTACTAATAGATACTCATCATTTTTTATAGGATAAATAAAATTTGCCCATCCTTGAACAGAAATGCGACTTAAATATTTAATCTCAGGCAAAACTGTGAGATCTAAAATAGCTATTCCATTTAGGCCATCATATAAAAATGCATAATTATTGTTGTATAAAGATGGAATAATCCCTTCACCTCCTAATGTCTAGCTCTAGTTTTTCAAAACCAAATGCGTCTTGTTAGTAGCATCAAGAATGTAAAACCCATAATTTTCAACTGTGCCAATAATATATTTATTATCATTTGTTATCATAGCCCCTAAATTATCTCCTGCCATTTCAGGAAGAGCTCTCCAAAAATCTAGCAATACTAAGCTAGGTGGTTGAGAGGCATCAATGAGAATGACTCCTACTTCATAGGAACACACAATGTACTAATAATCTTTCGAGAAGAAAAACTGCTCATTAAATTAAATTACATCATTTTTCATTTCAAAGGCTATTTATGGCTAGGTTATATTTGAAATATCAAAAACGTAAAATGATGTTTAGTTGGATTGTCCAGGCACGTAAAGATATCGTAAATCAGATGATATTTATATGTTATCAACAGCATCTGGTGGATTTACAAATAAATAAATTTGCTTTAAGTTATATGGATCGCTTGCATCAGCTATGTAAGCCCCATGAATATCAAATGCTCCAAAAAAGTAATCAGTTCCTTATATAGTCCTAGTGAGACATCTCCATTTAAAAATAGCTGGACTGTTATTCTAAGATTTAGCTTGATGAGTATTAAAGAGATTTGGGTATTCATTATTTAAATTTGGGACAGTTTGCTAAAATATATAAATACTTTTAGCATTCGCATAATAGAGAAATCTCTCATCAAAAGAAAGAGCTATTGATAAAGCTAGCCCTTCTACTGGAATCAATTCAAACAGTTGAGGTTATAATCTATTCTTAATATTAAATATGCATATTCCTAGAGAACGCATTCCTACAAACAGATAGTTATTGTCCATCGATAAAATCAGATCATAAGTTACATATATATAGTCAAAAGGCCAATAATATTAGTAATTTATAGAAATTGGATATTATTCTTAAGTAGCATTCAAAATTTAAGAAAAATCACAAATGTAAATACCACTCCAAGAATCTGTACCATAAACATAGCCGTTATCGCTGGTGATAGCAACAGCGTAAGTCTTCCAATACATTTAAGATTAAGCGACTAGTTGAAAATTTATATTATTATTTTAAGAGTTTTTTTAGATGGATAAGACTGATAGACCTAAAAGATCATCTCCTAAAAGAATCCATTTCTCATCGGATGAAAGAACAAGATTGTTTATTAAATTAGATTGCGTATTAAATTCGCCAATTTAATAAATCTAGCTTTTGTTCGAAATATCATACGCAATGACATAACCACTAAGTCCTACTACGAAAACAATAGTTTCTTAGGAATTCATTTTCATATCTAAAATTCCTGTAGGAAACGCTGCTTAGCTAAGTAGAATTAACTGAGTTTAATTTTTAAAACTAAACAAACTAAATTATTTTTTATATGGAATCATTAAAAACTCACCATCCGATGTAGGCTAAAGAGCAAAAAGAAATTCATCAGAGGTTTATTAGAAAATTAATTGATTGGTTTTCCCATCTATAACAATAACGCCTCCTTTACCAGCTGAAGCAAATACCAAGTTTGCTTTTTTTGCAACTTTTATTTATGTAGAAGAAGCTTAATTCTGTAAAATGTCAATTTTTTCCAAGTAAAATGGTGAGTAAATAAAATCTATTTATTAATTATCATATGATAATTAGCATTATATCAACAAAAAATGACTAAAAAGGAGAAAAATATAATTTTTTCCTAATAAAATATTTACTATAATTTGTAATATATTTCTCATAATAAGTTCTGAATTATGTTTTTTTATATTTATTTATTTTTTGTTTGTTTGTTTGAGATAGAAGTTAATGTAATGAAGTAATAATAATAAAGATTACCACTTTAAATTCAATAAATTATTTAAACCATTACTGCCTTAACTAAAAACTTATGTTTTTCAAGAAAAAAATAAATTAAAAATTAATAATATTCATTCACATTCTTTAATTGTCTCTCATTGATAAATTATTAAAAGGAAATGTGTTCAAAAAAATTATCTCTTTTTCAAGTAAAATAAAAGTTAAATTATTTTCATTCAATAAATAAATTTATTAAAAATCCCTCTTACTTCGGGCAATAATATTGAATAAAGCTTTTGATAAAGCAAAATTTTAAATGGATAATATAAAAGAAGTAATAATTTTTTAAGTAATTACTAGCTGCACTTTTAATAATAAAATATTAAAGCAAGAAGGTATTAAGTTTCATTAGCTAAGCATTGTAATAATCTAAAATAAAATATTTTCACTATTTTTATAACAGTTTCTTTACTCTTACTTCTTATTTTTAACAATGTTATGAAAAAAGGAAAAAAATAAATAATTATTTTGAAAAATATTAAATAAAAAATGAAAATTAAGAATTCATAATTATAATTTACAAAGTATATTTGACTGAATTATAGTTATTTTGTATAAATACTTCAAAACTAATATAGTAATATAAGATATCTAACTCAGTTTAGTATCTATTTATTATAGTGATTATTATTGAATTTTTTGTTATGAAGTGATCTGATTTATTTGATTGATCACTTAATTTACACAAGAAACAATACTAAAAAATAATAATTATTATTTAGAGATGATTAAATCATATTTGTTAGTAAATTTTATTAGTTTAAAGATGAGATATAAAACTAAAATTAATTTTTTGAAATCTTTTGACATATATATTAATTCAATCTTTTGGAGGGACTCTCGTATTTGTGATGTATGAAGAACAAACTTGAGTCAATATCAAAAAATGAAAATATAGAAAGGTCTTTGTTATTTAAATAATTAAAAATTTAATCGCAATCTATAATTATTAAATGAAATGGTTTCTCATTATAACATAAATTTTTTAGTTCTAAAAAAATAAGTATTCATCATTTATTATTAAAAAAAAGATTTAACAGCTTTTGAGTTTATAAAATTATTACTAATGAAAAAATAATCTGATTGGATTTTGATTACTCATTTTTTTGAAGAAATAATAATCTATCTAATAAAAAACAAAAAAATGTTAAATTCACTAAAAAGTAAAACTTATCGTGAATATAAATTGGGATATAAAGAAATTTTTCACTTTTAAATATATATCCCAATATTATAAAATTTAAAAAAACATACGATATTTACCGTAAAACCTCATTCCCTCGTCCCTCGTTTTAGGTGAACGAACGAAAGAGGGCGAGGGTTGTTTGTTTTACTCAAAAATAACTATCTTGTCATTTTTGTTCACAGCTTCAAAATAATAAATTATGGTATAGACATGTAAGTATTAAATATAATTCATTCCTATGAAATAGATTATTAATGATATGGGTAGTTTAAAACAGAAAATGAAAAATTTTACTTACTTTTAAATTTGTGTAAATTATTTAATTAACATGAAACAGGCTTCTAAAAAGAAATTGATATATTCATCATATTTATAAAATAAATCAAACTGAATGTTTAATAAAAATCCTTTATATGATTTAATTTTAATATTATAAAATAGAAGGATTGCTAAAAAAGAATTATTCAAATGCTATAATTTTTAATTTAAAAATTTAAATAATAAGCAATTAATTAAATTTGTATGAAAAAACAAACTCTAAAAATAGAAATATACATTAAAAATGTGCTTTGATCAAAAGATAAAGAAATTAGAAACAAATAGCCTGCCAGATTCATCTTTTAGCTAATTTAATGATGATAAGATTAATAACAGATTTAGAGATTGCAAAAATAACTATATAAGACAATAAAATCTTTAATTATTTTTATCTAGAATAATTATCAAAAATAAAAATTTCTTTCAAAGAAAATTTAATTGAGTTATTGCAAAAATAATAATAGAATAACTTTATAAATAAAAATCAGTTAATTTAAATTAAAAAATAAGTTATATTTTGAAAATTTTAATAAAATGCTAAAATAAATTTTTGTCTTTTAAAACAATAGAAATAATTATTTATTTATTTATTTATTTTATGATTTTTCTATTGATATTATTTGTTTGTTTCATTTACACAAAAATTGTACTTGGAGTGTATTGCCGAAATATTAAGTAAACAAAAATGAAAATAAATAATTAGAGTCTTACTTGTTATAAAGAATTAATCATTCTTAAAAATCATTTGTGGCTTATAAATGCTATTGATTTTTATGATGAATCTTAAATTAATAAAAGACTAAGTTTTAATTAAAAAATACTCAGATTAATTTATTAAGCAATATTTATAAATATAAAAGCAACCTAATAAAAAGAAGAATAATAGCAATCAAGCTAGCAAACAATAAAAATGGATAAGAAAAAGGAGCAGAGGGATATGAAACAAAAATAAGAAAATTAAGGATAGCAAGATTACTAATTAAATAAATATAACCTAACTTTTTATGATAAAGATCTAGAAGAGTAATTTTAGTAGCAAAATTTTAGATAAGTAATAGTTCAATTAATTATCTGTTTGTTTTATTAGCAAGTGTAGATAGAATTACATTATTGTAAATGAAATTTTTTAGCAAATGTATTTTTAGAGATAAGATTATTTATATATTTGAAAATATTCTCAATATTCTTTTTAAAAATTATTTTATATTCAGAAAATAGCTTTAACTATTGTCTTGCAGCTGTAATTTATTGTCTGGCAAATATTCTACATAATTTAGAGAGATGAATTTTTTTACGTTAGATTTGCTTTGATTGCTTATTTGCTCTTAAGGATAGTAACAGTTTAAAAAATAAAGCCTAAATATAATTCAATATTGACATCCTGCGAAATTATTTTTAATGTTGCCTTTGAGGGCTATGTTATAAAAAGGCATATTTACTATAGCTCTGACTTAAACTTATTTTTGCAAGGAGAAGTAAATAATTTATTTATTTTTTTATATCTAGTACTTAAAATCTCTGAAATATGTGGTATTTAGATAAAGTCTGCAAATCAATAAATAGTTTACACATTTAAATCTAAACATTAAAAGAATTTTTAATGATTTTTTATCAAATGTATTAGAAAAATTTAAGTTCAACCTAATCAAAAATGAATTTGTTAATATTTTAATAGTAGTTAAATTAGATAATATTTCCAAATTATTTAATTTGGAAATGAAATAACAAATAAAATGCTTAAGATATTTGTTTTAATTCACTTTGAATAATAGTTTGTTTAAATGAATGAATTAATAAATCAATAAATAAATAAATTGATTGTCTTTTTTGGATTTTTAAAATTTACTGAAATAATATTAATGAATTTTTCTCCTTATAAAATTAATTAAATTAGAGTATAGGAATTTTTCTTTTTTTGGATACTTCGAAATTTGTATACGATGTTTGTGTAATTTTGATAAGCTAATTCAGCCTATTTTTTATGACGGAAATGAATGAGCTGGACACAATTTTCAGGATCCTTTTCTGCACAATTTAGATCCTCTTTTTGAAATACATTTATTATAGGCATTAGAGACAGGGTTTCATGAAGTATATGAGAGAAAAATTACAATATGAATTGATTGATCAAATCATCCCTATGCAATTATTTGTCATTAATTATAATCCCATAACACAAAGAATTGAGTTAGTAGGTAATTTATTTTTTTATTAATTAATTAATTTTTTTATACAAATCTAATATCAATCACATAATTAATAAACGCAAAATAAATTACCTTAATTTTTTAATCATATTTCATTTAAGTTTTATCCCTTAAAACTAAACAAAAATTAATGTATCAAAAAAGCAAACTTATCTATTTTAGCTTAATATTATTTTTTTTAATGAAAGAAGTAGCTTTTAAATGGCATATATATCTCTTATATGCTTTGATTGATCACATAGACTTTTCAAATATTTTTATTGATTGAATTTCTAAAATTTTAAACAATAATTAAGAATATTGCCATTCTTTCCTACTAATTTTTTGATATTAGCCAATTTTTTTGATGTTTGAAATTCTTTTTTAAGTGTTAAGATATAAATATTTATATATATTTTTTTTTGTGATAATTATGATAAAGTAATGAATTTTTATTTCAATTGTAGATAGTAACATCAGAGCAAAGCAAGTTAACTAAATTAGTTCTGATGATAAACTTGATATATTTATGCAATCAGCTCAGCTGAATTTCACTGAAAAATAAAAAAAGAAAATTATTACTCTTAAGCACTTTCTTTTGGAAATGTTCATAAAACTAGATAATAAAAAGTAGACTTTTTAAGAGATATTCAAGAATTCCAAAGAATTTAATAAAATAATTGCTTATCAAGTGAACAAGGATGGTGGAAATACAGTCGGTAAATATAAAGTAAGAAGTTAATGTTTTTAATAATTATTTCTAAATTTTGATAGATTTTGTTTTATTTAAAAATAGATAAAATTGTTTCCAAGAGGGAAAAAAAATAACTAAATTGTTGTAGCTTTAGAAGATCTTAGTCAGATTGAGGAGCTTAAACTAGTAAAATAAAAGGCAAAATAGGCTGATTAGCATCTTTAAATTTTTTTTGAGTACTTCAAATAGAAGTTTGCTAGGATTTTTCATACTATTGACATTTCGTGTTCTATGAAAATAGAAGATCCTATGGTAGAACTTATGTAGGCAAAAAGAATTACAACTAAACTATATTCTACTGTCCAGAATATTGCTGCATTTAGAAAATAAGATAATGATGAATAAGGAACATATAACGCATAAAGATTCAGCAAAAGAGTTAGAATGAAATCACTTAATCCATCTAGCGTTTCATAGTTCAATTTCAATAACTTAATTGACGATGTCAAAAATATTTATCCTGATTTTTTCAATTCATACAGCTATGAAACTCATTCTAATTCCTCTTCTTAAAACTAAATATAAATTTACAGTGATAATGAAAAAATGAAATCAATTTTTATTACTCTGCTTAATTAAATTGAAGAATGTTTACCTGAAAAATACTTCAAAGGATTGAAGGTCTCTTTTACCGAAGAAAAGGAGACGCATTTTGAATTTATAAAGGTCAAGATATAATTTTAAGTGCACAATGATTGTGTTCAGAATACATAGCTAAAAGATGCTTCTTTTTTTCAGCTTGAAAAAGAAAATAAAAAAATTGATTCCTATGAAATACTTAAATAGCTGCTATGCTATTACAATTCAGATAATGATGAAATAAGAGATATAGAAATAGCTATGATAAAATTCTATCTGTCTTAGATAAGTCCTTATGAAATGGAAATCAAAGAAGAAGCTATTGAACAAGAATTCTAACGACTTCTCTCAAATAGTCTTATTGGAAATATGTAAAAAGATCATAATTAAATAAGCGAGCTAGACTCAATTAAAAATACAACTTAGAATCAAGAATTTCATTATTATTAGATGCCATCGAATAGATAAGTCGATGGTATAGAAACTACTCCTTAATCTTTCATTTCAACAAACAGACAGAATGAATTCGAAAATGATTTACTTTCGCAAGAATTAGTCAGAAACACCAATAAGAAACTAAACCAAGATACTTTTATATCAGAAAATGAAAACAATAAAAATCAAATTTAGTATATTAGTAACAATATCTAACATAATATTAGTAACACAATTGAAGGTAAAGTGGATGTAGAACTTACAAAAAGACAATCTTTCAAAAGAGTTAATCAAAAAAAGCTTTCCTAATTTCACAGACAAACTAAATAGCATTCTATCGACTATAAAGAACATAAAAATATTATACTTTCTATGACATTTTTTAAAGATATCAGAGTTATTTTAGAATTAAACTTAAGATAAAATAGTTAGGCTTCTAATAATAATAATAATAATAATAATAATACTAATAATAATTAAAACTACTTAGATTTAAAATCTAGATAAAATTCAACATATTCTTACAATAAAGGCAATACAAATTTTAATTAAACTGATATGAACCTGTTGCCAACTATGTAATTTATTCCAAAGCAATCAATCTTAAAAAAAAATTCTATGTAAAGCAATTAGTCTCCTATGTCCTCTCCTACTCAAATCAAAAGATTACTTAAAAACAATTCATTAGTTTCAAACATTAATATTTTTAATAATCCAAATAAAATTCGTTCTAACACATCTATAGATGATACAGGAGAATCAAAATAATAAAAATTAATTCCATTTTTTGAAATTCATACACTAAAGAAATTGTAATAATAAAACGAAAAAATTAATAAAATTAAATAAAACTTAACTAATGTAACAATCTAATTAAAGTAAAAAGATAATATTTCTGATCTATGAAAATATCAAAGCAAATTTAAATATAAAATTCTATTTAAATTATTAAAAAAATAGTTAAAAAATGTATTAAATTTCATAATTATTGTATAAACATTTATCAAAATTTATTAAAATAATAACATAAATTCTCTATTTTATAAGGAATCTTTATAGTTTTATACATTTTAAATAAAAATTTAAATTTTATTGATATTAAGAAGATTAAAATTTAAAACTTGGTCACAAATTAATTCTAAATAAATTATATATATATAATTTATATTATTTTATATTTTTTCATAAATTATTTTTATATTTAAATATAAAATTAATAAATTAAATTAATCAAAAAATAGCTTTTTAGAGCCTAATTAAAGGTGAAGAATCTTAATTTTGCTTAATCGATCTTATCATTTGCTAAAAACAATATCATTATAAAATTTTCCATAAAATTATTTTTGATTTTGTTTTTTTATATCTTTTAAAAAAGCATATCAAAAACTAAACGTAGAATTAATTATTTTTTGAAAATAAAACTTTATTTTCATTAATTATTTCATAAAGCCCGTGTAGCTCAGTTGGTTAGAGCGCGAGTCTCATAATCTCGAGGCCGAGGGTTCGATCCCCTCCGCAGGCATTTTTTAATTTTTTATATTATTTAATGCAAAGAGTTTTTTGACAAAATTGATAAATTTTGTTTTACAGGTTATTAATAAAGAAATAAGAGTTAGTTTTTATCAAATAGAAGCTATAAAAGTTGAAATTAAGAGCTATTTATATAACTAAATACATACCTAATTTGTAAATTTTAAATTATAAATTCTTATCCATGTATATTAATTAGTTGGAATATGATATTTAAGTTTTTTAATGAAATATTTAGATAATCTTTTTCTTTAACATAAAGTTAACATTTTATAAATTATAAAATTTATGCAAAAATATAAATAATTTTTTTTAACAAAACTCTATTGATATTTTTATTTATTAAATAAATTTATTTATTTATTCAATCATTTTTAATCAAATTTTTTTGTTTGTTTGCTATTACATAAAATATCCATTCAAAAATTATTATTTTATTTGATTTTTAAAATATTAATTCATTAATAAAAGTTATATTAATAATATTAAAATATAGGATTTTGATTAGGGAAAAAAATTTTAGTTTATTAAAATACATTAAAAATAATTTTTTTGTTTAAAAATGGTTGCTTTACCTCATTTTATTTTAATCTTAAATGTATTAAATATTTTTATATAATATTTTAAATATCTCTAATAGTTAAGTCTTAAATAAATAAAAAACACTTATGTCTATTGAACCATTGCAATCATGAAAAAAATAGTTGATTTATTATATTCTTCCTTTTTTTGAAAAATTGATAGACAATTAAATGATAAATAATCTTAATTATGCATAATTATTATAATTTTTCTTTTGATGATTGCTTTTGCATGTATATCTTTTTTTGTATTTAACTCAAATTATATCAAAAAATATTAAAAATCAAAAATAGCTTAATTTTTTAGAAATGGATTAAAACGAAGATTTCTACGTCAGATATTAGTAATTAGTTAATTGAAATAAAATAAATTGGATGAAATAGCCATCATATATAATGCATAATCACTCAATTTTATTCCTTAATTAATAGCGTAGGCCATAAAGGTCAATACGGTCATGAATTCTTAGAATTTGAATTCAGAAAAGATGGAAGACTTAGATATGCCAATAATTCTAATTATAAAAGCGATAAATTGATTAGAAAAGAAGGTTAGAAAATATTAAACATATTAAATAATTATTAATGAATGAATATATTTGAACCAATTCTTTTTAATATCAAAATAGTTTATGTTAATGACATAGTTTTGTAAGTTTTAAAAAGAATCATAGATGACAGTGAAATTTTGAAGTATTAATTTTTAAAAAAAATTTTTAATAAAAAAATGATTTATTTTTTAACAGAGAAGATGACAGCAACTGGCCAAGATCAGATAAAAATGGCAGATAAGAACTTGAAATTAAATTAGGAAAAACCCATATTAGTTTTTCAGTAAATAAGAATCTGAAATGTATAAATAGCAGATATAAATAATAAATTTTTAAAATAAAAATAGACTAGCAAGATAGGATCTCTAAGTGACATTAAAGGAAGCAAGGATGCAGATGGTCTTGCAATATTTTTCTATCTCATTCAAGTAAATATTAGAAAGCAATTTATTAATAGATAGCTTGAATTTTATATGTATTTGTATTTTGAAATATTAATTTTTTAAAACAGGATTTAAAGGCTTTAGTTTTTTCATTAATAGGTCTTCATTTCAGAGTAAACTTTTTAGATGATCCTAATTTAAATGATAAAATATTTTTTAAAATAGATCAAACCAGTATGAAGTGTTAATTTAAATAATTTCTATAAAAATATTAATATTTGTACTATTTTTAAAATATATATTATCCTTAAAAAAAAGTAACAAATACTATTTCTTATTTTAAATTTATCTTAAATTTTTATTATTTTAAAAACTTAAGTATTCTTTCTTGTTTATTTACAACCTAGCAAATATTTCTGTTATCATTCAGCAAAGTAATCCAATATTTCATTGATATTTATTATAAAACAACAATAAATAATAAATATAATTAATCATCTACTAATCTAAAAAAAATTAAAAATATCATATAATGTTTATAAAATATATTAAAAAATAATATTTTTTAGTTTTAAACATTGAATTAAAAAATTCTTCTTACTAAATTCAATTTATAAATATAAAAATTATATTATAATTAACCATTCAAATATCTTCTTATTCTATTTATTAGACAGATTCAATTAATTATTTGTTCTTAAAATTAATTTAATATTTATTCCTCTTATTTTATTAGCAATTAAATATTATGTCTTACTATCAACAAGTTAAATCTGGCCTTGTTAAAATTAATTGTGGTTATAAATTATGTGAATTAATCCTAATATTAAATTTAACTTGATGTGAAAGAATATTACTTTTATCACTTACTTACCTCAAATTTATACAAAAATGGAATGACTTAGTTAACTTATATTATAAAAAAGAAAGTTATTTAAGTTTAGGAAAACACATATTTTATAGCAAAGGAGATTTTTTAAAAATGCAAATGAGTTTTTTAAACTAATTTTTTAATATTCTTTGCTTTTATAAATTGATATTTTTGTGATTATGTGTTTATTAATGTTATTAAATTTGAATTTATAAAATAGATTAATTGTTATTTATTTTAATTAAATTTATTTACAATATAATTCCACAAGCTTTAAAAAAAATATGAAACAAATAAATTTAATTTAATTGTTTTGAATCAAATAATTAATATATTTATTATTTATTTATTTATTTATCTATTTATTCTAAAATTTATCAAATAAAATGTTAATTTAATCAAAAATAATTTTTCATTGATTAAATAAACAAAGAAAGATTGGTCATAAAAAAATTTCTTTTGTAACTTTCACAATTTTTATTTATTTATAAATATATTATGGTTAAATCTCTAAAAATTAAATTTTTTTGAAATAAATAAATCAATATTCATTTGTTTTGTTAGTTTTTTTGCTTGTTAATTAGCAAATAGTGAATAAAAAAATTAGTAGAGTATTCAATAAGCATATATCATAACATAATAAGCTATTCATTAAATAATAGTGTTTGCATCAAAGATTAATTTAGCACAAAAAAGATAGATATGAGTTCAAATGAAAAAACAAATAAATAGTTTCTTCCTAAGCCATATACTTAAAAAAGATATTATACCATAGAAGATTTGAAAGTGCATAATTAGGCTAATGATTGTTGGCTTACATTCTTCAATCAAGTTTATGACATTACTCCTCTAATCTAATAAAATATTAATTGTATAACAGTTAAAATTCATCATTAATTAAATCCATTTTCATTCGCAAAGTCAAAAGCAATTAAACGAAAAATCAAAGCTAAGACATTTATAAATAGATTCGCAATTCATTTAAAGCTAATATTATTCTGTTTATAAAAGCGCCATTGACAAGGCCACTTATAGAGGCGGCAGGTACTGATATTACATATTGGTTTGATCCTAAAAATAAAGAACCTAGGAGAATGATTGATGTAAATACAGGATTAGAGAAATTTTACTGTCCTAAAGGAGAATATTTACATATCCCTCCTTTAGGTCCTGAAACTAATTTTGATCTCTAAGAAGTGCAAACTCCGTAAATGAATTAATAATTTAATTTTTTTAGATATTTAATATACATATCAATAAACAAATTTCAATTTATTTAAAGTTGGTGGAGAAATTCACTCTATTTCATTGGACGCCTTACTGTAAGAAGTGTTAAAATAAAAATCATAAATATGTTGACAGAACATTCAGATATAATTGAAGTATTTTCTTATTCAAATAAATATTGCTTTTAATTCTTTTCTTTTATTTAATCTAAATAAAGGTGCCTTGTGAAGAAACAATAAACGAAATATTAGAAAGATACAAAGAAATAAATAAGCATGCAGCAAGTTATACATGGAAAAGATTAGGAAGGCCTCTTGATATGGAGTTAAACTTAGAGGAAAATAATATTATAGATTAAACTGAAGAGTTTGAAAGGTATTTATTTATTTATTAGCTTATTTTTTTAACATTTTATTTATAAAAAAAATATTTTTATCCAAAATACCAATTCTTTAAAAATAAATAAATAAATAGGTTGGGAGTTCCTGAGAAAGATTGGTATTGGCCTGTAATTCATTTATATTTCGATGATGATTTAACTGTTGCTTGATTTAAAATAATTCTTAAGATTAAATTAAATAAAACTAAATAAATTAATTAATTAATATATTTAAGAGTAAAGATGTAACATATAAAATTATTTACTTATTTATATAATTTTAATCATAAATAGGATAAAATTAATAATTAATAAATAAATAAAATAATTGATTAATCTACTAATTATTGGTTACTTATTTCTAGTAATATTTAATCTATAAAAATAAACATACAAACAAACAAATAAATTAAAGGAATTTTAAATATTAAGGATGGATTAACTCTTGTACTTACTATTTTTATAAGTAAAAATTTATCTGTAAGGTAGATTTTTAGAATATTCATTTTATTAACCGACTATTTTAAGTAAAAATGTAAGTTTAAAATAACTAATTTGTTGTAATTGATATATATTAATTAATAATAAAGGGATGTATTATGATTATTATTCTCAGCAGAATGTCAATCTGCATCAAAAAAGCTATAATTTTTTTTTTTCATTTTTCTTTCAAATAAAATCAACTAAAATTTTAATCATAAACAGGATAAAATTAATAATTAATAAATAAATAAAATAATTGATTAATCTACTCATTATTGGTTACTTATTTCTAGTAATATTTAATCTATAAAAATAAAAATACAAAAAAACAAATAAATTAAAGGAATTTTAAATATTAAGGATGGATTAACTCTTGTACTTACTATTTTTATAAGTATAAATTTATCTGTAAGGTAGATTTTTTAGAATATTCATTTTATTAACCGACTATTTTAAGTAAAAATGTAAGTTTAAAATAACTAATTTGTTCTAATTTATAAATATTAATTAATAATAAAGGGATGTATTATGATTATTATTCTCAGCAGAATGTCAATCTGCATCAAAAAAGCTTTTATTTTTTATTTTTCTTTCAAATCAAATCATCGAAGAAATCATTGTTCTAAGCTTTACTTGCTAATTACTTTTCCTAATTTTTAAATATAATAGATATTTATTTATTAATTTAAATATAAATTTAAAATAATTAATTACTCTCTCTTGTTTATTTTCTTAGTTCTTCTTGCTGCCTAGTCCTAGTGAAGAAGGTTACTACTGGTTTGTAGGTTTCGAAGGCTTTTTACCAAAGAAATCATCATCGTCATCATCATTATAATTTACTTTTGGCTTATCTTATTTTAAGAAATCCAAACCACTTCCATCATCGTCATCATCAAATGGAGATTTATTACTTGATTTTTAATTCATTCCAGAAGGTTGATAAGATTACTACTGTTGAATAGGTTTGCTTTCCCCACCTGCTCCACCAACTTCCTTAGGAGCAGCTAAACTAAATTGTTAGTCACTAGAATCTCCTCCTCCAAAAATATCTCTTTTTTATACTTTAGCAGCCTCTGCAGCATTAGGCTTTTTATTTACTCTTCTTCGGTCATTTGGACCTTAAAATATAACATCATCATCTTGCTTTTTTATTTATTAAGGTTAAGTTTATTACTATTACTGTTATTGTTATTATTTTGGTTATTCTTGCTGAATTTATTATTTATTTACAACAATATCTTACTTATTTTCATTTTCTTATTTTACTTATTGCTGTTCTTCTTACTTTTTCTTAAAATTAAACTGCTTTGGCTGTTCTTATACGCTTTAACTATTAATATTGCTATTGTTGTTATTGTTCATACCAAATGTATTATCGTTCCAATTACTTGCTTGGTTAATTCCTCCTTTACCTAATACATTACTAGTATCGTTATTATTCCATGACCATTTATCATCATTATTATTATTTTTATTTAATAGATTACTTGTTTATTTATTTTCATTATTTTATTGAACCTATTAGTTGTTGCCTTATCCAAATTTATCTATGTTATTGTTTACTGAGAAATTGTTATTATTATTTGTTGCATTTTCATTTCCTGTATTCCAGTTCCATTTATTATCATCAAGCTTATTACTAGGCTTTTACTCATTATTGCTAACTTGATTCCTAGAAAAATTATACTCACCAACTACATTATTTGAGCTATCATCTTTTTATTAATTTGCTACTCCACGTCTTCTTGAAACTGCATTTATATTGAAATCATCATTTTATTGTTGTTTATCATTATTTAAATTATTCGAAACCGAATTGCTGTTTCCGAATGAATTGAAATTGTTTTTATTATCAAAATCGTTATTCTTTTAATTGTTATCTAAATTATTTTAAGCTGCTAAAGTTGATGGCATATATCCTGCACTGATATCACTATTCATATTAGAACCTGCTCCCTGCCTTCTTCTGCTCACTCCTGCAGTAGGTTAATAAGAATCACTAATATTATTTAAGCTGTTTTAGTTTGCATTTTTATTGGAATCAAGTCCGCTAAATGCATAACCTCCACCTAAACCACCTTAAGGATTACTATTTTATGTCAACGCTGAAGGGTTATATCCTCCTCCACTAACTTATTTTTCATTTGAAGTTATTGCTGATTTCTCATTTTCGATTTTGGATTTTTCTTCATCTATTTTAGAAAGTTATTGCTACTCATTTGGTTAACCTTATGTAGCTCCTCCTTTATGACGAACTCTCGAAACTCTGGAATTAGCAGAAAAATTATATCCTTCATCTTCTTACTTTTAAGGTTATACTTATTGTTAATTCTAAGTTTAGTTGTTTTATCCTATGCTCTCTAGTGGATTGTAATCGCCACCACCTCCTTAATGACTGCTTTCGTTATTGTTTTCTTTCTTAAATTTAAACATTTTCTGAGGCTTTGAGAAAACTTCTTCTTATTCTTTATTTTGATCTAACTGAGTTTATGATTATTGTTTATTGTTTAAATTATCATTTGATAGTAATTGCTACTAGCTGCCTTATTAAGGCTGTTTTAATTAATTATTGTCACCCTATTAATCATTTTTCTTTTTAAAGTTAAATGAATGAGGAGTATCAACATTCTAAGAAGTAGGAGTTTATAATTAATTTTTCAAAGGAGACTATTATAAATTACTGTTACTGTTCAGATTGTTATTGCTATTTTAATTATCTTCCGGTTTCCAAACTCTTGCTTCCTAATTGTTATTTTTCTTAAAATTGAAAGGCTTTGAAATAACTTCTTCCTTTGAATCTGAATCAATTTAGTTTTAATTTAGGTTGCTTTTTGAATGTATTTTTTGGTGGAAATTTATACTTTCTGTCTCAATCTCGTCCTTTATTATATCGCTTCCTTTTCTTTCTTTGCTCTTTTCTTCTTTTTTAGTGTAGTTTTCTTTTTTTCTAAATTTATTTTAATAAAAGTTTTATTTAAAATTTTTATTTTATTATTATTATTTTTTTTACATAAACTTAAGATTTGGTTTGGAATTAGATGAATTTTTAGAAGAAGGACTAACAAGGTTATTGTGTCTGACTGGAGTTAGACTGCTTTCTAAATTTTTGTTTCTATTTAAAGATTCAGTTGATCTGTGATGATGCATTCCAATACTGCTTTCAGGTAACCTATTGAAAATTTCCTTTAAGTTACTTGAGTAAATTTTTTCCTTATCAATTCTATCAGAAATTCTATTCTTTAATTCAATGATTTCGATTTCCATTTAATTTATTTCATCATCTTTATTTTAGATTTCTCTTTGGACTTCCTCTAACTCTCTCTTTTATATATTTTCTTTTGTGTTGCATAGTTTTTAAGCTGTTTAGTTGCTTTTTATTAAATTTTCTAAATCTTTTTGCAAATCTCTGTATTTCTCCTTGCGTTTGTAAGAGTTTGACTAAAGACTTACATCAACATTTAGCTGCTTCGCTTCTCTAACTTTTTCATTAAACTCTTTCTCCTTTATTTCAATTTGATCAGCTTTCTTTTTAAACATGTCTTCGATTTCTTCTTTTCTCTTCTAAAGCTCATTTATTTTATTAACATATTGCTAGATTTCTATTTTTAAATTATGAGATTCTTTTACACTACCAGGTATTCCATCACCTCTTTCAATTTTACTGAGTTCCTTAGCTTATTTCAAATTTTAAAATAATAAATTTTAATTTAATTATTTTCATTATTTATTTTTACCTTGTTAGTCATTTTTAAGTATAACGTGCTTAATGTCAATTTTGAATTTGTTGATAACCAACTTTGCAGACTCTATTTGTTGCTTGAGTTTGCTTACATAAGATTAATCTTCTACAACAAGTAGTCTTGATTCCAATTTATCATATTCTTCCTATAATCTCTTCATGATTTTCATGTTATTTTCTTGCTCTGCATCAGCAGTCCTCATCTAATTGCTTCTAGAACGAGGCTAATTAGAAGAATTCTATTAAATTGCTTATTTCTAAATTAAAGTTTAATTATGCTCTATCTTTTCAGTTAATTGCTGATTAAATTATTTTAATTTCTCCCTTAAAGATTCGTTTTCTATTTTCAAATCTTTGAAGCTCATGTGATCATAGTTTTTTTCTTCAAGTAGTTTTTCAAGATCTTTCACTAAATAATTTAAATTTTAATATTTTTAATTATGACATAATATTTACTATTGAGCATCTTAAACATTCTGCCAGCTGAAAACTACCTCGCTTTAAATATAAAAATAAAATATTTAAAAATTCAAACAATAATTTTTTATAAGATTCAAAGTGAATAAAAGTTAGGTTAGTTTACACTTTGGCTAAGATTTACTAGAAGAAGAAGGAGGAATCTTATTTCTTGTTGCTTCTCTCGATGCTACCTTATTATTAGCAGGCTTAGAGGCGAGATAATTTTCAGAGTTTCTTCTCTAACTTCCTGAGCTCAATTCACGAGATTCTAAATTAAGTCAATGATAAATTTGATTGATTTTTTTTTTCAAATAAAATTTTACTCTTTCTTTAACGATCTGCTGAATCATTTGCGTTTCTTTTTTGCTAAGCATTTGTTTTTTATGGTTAAGGTCTTTTTATAAAATTATTTATTGAAATTAATTTGAAAAATTAAAATTCATTCTATGAAAAGAATCATTTAAACTACGGTAAATTTTATTTAGAGGGTGCTTTCTCATTTTTTTTATTTTATATGCTGAATGGTTTAGACTCTTTATGTTTATTATTATAATTATCTTCTTCTTCTTCCTCCTCTTAATCATAGTCTTGTCTGAAGTTGCTATCACTTTTTTTTTAGTTATTTGAGTGAATATTTTTGTTATTGTTTTGATTTTCATATTTAGGAGAAGCTTAATCGATATCTGGTAAATCTGATAAACTACTCAAAGCTTCCTCTTCTTATATATTGTTTTTATTTCTATCATTTTTGTTTCCTTTATCATCATCATCAAAGCCTTCGTAGTACTCTTCTTCAAAATCTTTATTTTCTTATTACTATTTGATCCTATTATTAAATTATTTTTGTCATCTCTACTAAAACACCTTCAAAAATTTAAAATTAAAAAAAAAAAAAAAAAATTTACGGCTCTTGCTTGATTTTTTAATTGGCAAAATTTGGCTTTGATTTAATTGCTTCTGTTACACCTGATCTGCTTTGTGGTTTAACAGGCGATTCTTACTTTTTAGAATTATTTTAATAATAATTATCATCTAAATCTTCAAAGCTATTATTTTCTGATTGCTTTTTGATCCTATTATTAAATCATTTATTTCATCTCTACTCAAAATTTAAAATATAATTTATATTTACTGCTCTTGTTTGATATTTGCTTTACCAAAATTTGGCTTTGACTTAATTGCCTCTGTTGCACCTTATTCGCTTTTATTTTTTATTGGGGATTCTTATTTTTTATTGTTATGACTTTAATCATAAATATCATCTAAATCATCCAAATCATCAAATTCTTATTCTTCTTTTTTTTATGCTGGCTTATGAATTGGTTCATCAATTTTAAATGGATCTAGACTGATAGGTTACTTCGAAGCAGGCTTATTAATTGAAGGAAGACTTGAATTATTTTGAATAGGAGGAAGAGCTGATTGCTATTTTGAATTCGAGTTATTATTATTATGTTAATTCTTTTAGTGATTGCCAAACCCAAAATCATCAATGTCGCTTCCTCTTTTTTAATTGTTTTATTGCTATTTTGGAACGCTTTCTTTCAAAATATCATCATCAGAAAATTCAATATCGTTATAATTGAATTCAGACTACTTCTATTGTTATTGAGCAGGCTTTTTAGCAACTTATGCAGCAGCAGCTCCTCCTCTTCTACTATTGTAGTTGCTAATTTATTAGTAAGATATTATAGAAATGATTATTGAAAAAAGTATGCAATCTAATTTATAATTGAAATTACATATGATTCAAATCATTATTTTCGTCTAATAAATCATCATCATCGAACATTTTTAATTTATGCCTATTTCTACTACTTATAAATAAAAAAAATAACTTAGCTAATTGTATTAGTTTATTCCTATAGCCCTAAGCCTAGTAATTATCTATATCTAAATGTTTAATTATTATAAATTTCTAATTATTGTTTCAAAATTTATAAAATTAAAGATTTGATAATAATAAATCAATTAAACAAACTCATTAATTAATTAATTATTCCCTTCACAAGAAAATTTGATAAAGCACTGGTAAAAAATTAAAAATTAGGATTTCATGAAAGCATTTATTTTTTAAATTTTTAAGAGATATTCTTTGGTAAGTAAATCTTTATTTAAATCACTAATAAACTAAATAATTATCACAAAACTTTCATTTTATTTAAAAAAAGCATTTTATAGAATTACTTTAAAGCTAAAAGTAGCATTTTAAGATAAAAAATCAACTTTTTTTATTAAATTTTAGTTTTAAAAGCTGTCATTGTCAGAAAAAAATATATATAAAAAGATATTTTGAATAAATTTGTATTTCTAATTCTCTTTCTTTATAAAACAATTTAAAAAAATATCAAAAAAAAATAAATTTTCTGCAAAAATAAATAAACTATTTTTATAAAAAATTAATTAAATTTCTTTTAATTTTAATGATCAAGAATCTATAAAATTTGAAATTTTTCTCTAAAGATTCAAAATTTTCTCTCTTTGTTCTAAAAAGTATGAAGCTAGTTATTCTGCTATTGGGTCTTAGCTACTGCTACTACCAGGGAACCATCCTTAATTTTATTGTTTGAGATTACAAAAATCATATCTAGCGTATTCTTCAGTTGTTGTATATGCTAAGTAAACATATCCTGTATTTGTCCCTCTTGATACCCTTCCATCTTAGCTTATTCTAAATCTATAAACTCCTCTCATACCAGGATGCATAATTTCTTCATCCATTTAAATATCAGAATATTATTTCCACTTTCCTTTAATATTTAACTTAGAGAGTAAATAGTTGCAATGATCTACAGTTTCCTTTTTAACTTTATAGATTTGGCTATTTAATTCAAATAAATTAGGTTGAAGACTTTCACTTAAATACTCTAACTTGGTTTAAATATCATCAATTTTTTCTTAAAACTTAAATTATTTAAGCTTAGCCTCTACACTTTTTTAATTTAAATCTACATATTCAATTAATTATTCAAGCAGAGACTGCCTATCTTATGAGAAATTTGTTTCCTTTAGCTGATAAATTAAACTTTCAGGTTAACTTGATACTTCATTAATTCTACTATGCATATTTTCTACTTCTTATTAAATATCATAAATAACTCTTAAGGAGCTTTTTATGAATTACTAAAGTTCTGTAGATTTTTGTAGCAACTAAAGTTTTTAAAATTTCAATGAAGATTCGAATTATGAAATTAATTAATCAAATGATATTTGAACATGGTAAGGCTAAATTAAAAATGCAGGTTTAGACTCGATAAATTCACTCTTTTCCAAGTTTTTCTGCTCTAAAATTTTCTTTTCTTCATTGTTTTCAGCTTAATCTTATGAAACCTTGGACTATATCTTTAGTTCTTCATTATTTTATGATGAAGATTAATTCTATGATAATAAAGAATGATTTTATATTGATTCTTCTTTAATTTAAAATGTAAATAAATCTTTTTTATCTATAAGGCTACAGTCACAAGTAAAAAGTTAAGAAATAGCTTATGAGCTATTTTCTGATATTTAACTCAATAATTTTTATTCTTATTTGTCATTTTTAATAGAGCTTTAATTTTATAATTCACTTCTTAGTGATTAATTTTTTTCGTTTAAACATGAATTAAAAAGCTCTAAACTTTATTAAGACTAGGACTCTTTACACTCACCTTAGTCGTTTTATTAATGTTTCAACACTAAATCAATTTTGTTTTCATTATTTTAATCTGTACCAGTAGTCTCGTTTAAGGAATCAATTTATTTGTTTTGTTATGCTTTCAAACACTGGCTGCAAATAAGCTGAACAAAATTCTTTTCTTTAGGTAGACTGCTGAATATTACTATAGACGGTTCTTCTAATCCTTTACACACAAAGCATTTTTCATCATTATTCAAAATTTAAGATACTTTTTAAGATATTTAAGATTATTATTTTTCCATTTTTTATTCTATCTATTTATTTTGTATTTTATTATCAAATTTTTTTGTTTTTTTTATTATTTTTTTTTTCAGTTTAGGTTAGGTATTACACAAAACAATTATTTTTAAAGATTACTAAATAGAGTCTATATTCAAAAAAATAAAATAATCATTTACTTAGCAATTCATTTATATTAATATAATCTTACGATTTCACTTCTTTAAAAAGATTTTATTTAAATTCTGCTTTTTATTGCTTACTTACCACTCCAAAATATATTTAAAATAATCAATTTTTTTTTTAATTATTCACTTTTATAAAAGAATCTTTAATCTTTACATAAATTGATTACTTTTGATATATTTTTTTTAATAATTAGATATAAAAAATTTAATCATTTTTATTTTGTATTATGTATTTATTTTCTTTTGAAAATATCACTTTTAAAAAGATTTTTCCATTTATATCATTTTTGAAATAAATTTAAAAATAATAATGCACATTTACTAAGCAGCAAATAAAATAATTTAATTTTTTATATAAATTAACTGATGTAAAACTTTTTCAAGATTCTTTTTAATAATTTCAAATTCTTTTTATATACCTTTCAGTTTTTTAAAAAGATTTTATTCTGTTCTAAGTTTACTATTATTAAAATAAATTAAAAAAAAAAAACTTTTTTAAAATAATTATTCCTATTTCTCAAAGAGTAATCGATATTAATTTAATTTTTTGTTTTAATTGATTAATTTTGATAAAAATACTCTAAAAATTATTTCAACTCATTTTAATTCATATTAGAAAATCTCTATTTTTCAAAAAGACTTTATCGTCTTTTTATTTACCTTTTTACAAAAAATTTTAAAGTAATAAGCTTTTGTTTGTTAACCATCAATCACAATCATCAAAGGTTAATTGATATTAGTTTAATTTTTTGTTTTAACTGATTACTTTTTATTTTTCAAGATTTAAAAGATATCAAACATGTTCTTATAAATTTCTTCACACTTAATTTAATTAATATTAGAAAAAATCTATGCTTGAGATTAGAATAATTTTATTTTTCTTAACAAATCAATAAAAAATTGAAAAAAATATAAAGTATTTGAATTCATATCACTAATTAAAAGCTCGAACAATTTAAACTTGCAATAAATAGCTATGTTTAAAATCCTCTCTTTTCTATTTAATGTAGGCAAGCCACCTTATTTAAAGCTACTAAAATTGTGCTTCAAGATTAAACTTAAATTTTATCAATGTTAAATAAAACTATTATCAATCTACCAGTCATTCAGTCTTTAAGCTAATTGTAAATTTTTAATAACTAATTTAATTTTCCTAAATCATGGCAATAAAAGATTCACTTGAATTGATATATGAGGAATTAAAATTAAATAAGAAAGAATTTATTTTACATAGAAACTGATTAAGATTGAAAGGATGGTAAAGGTGTTTTGAATTTTAATAAATTTTTATTAATTATTTATTAGTTATCTAATTTATCTAAAAAATTCAATTAAGAAAATAAAAATATCCAATAATAAATAATACATTAGCATTAAGAATCACTAAAAATTATGGGAAGTTGCTGTCAAAAAAATAGCGCAGTTACAAAACTAGATAATGGAGAAGAAGTTGATTTAGACCATTATTAAAAAGAGGAAAATTTGGCCAAGATTTAAATGATCTAAAATAAATTTAAAGGTAGGCTTATCACTAGTTTTGTTATTTATTAATCATTTTTAATGAGATTAAAATTTATAAAATTGCTAAATTATAAATACTCTACAATAATTTTTTCAAAGTTTTCATTTATATGCTGCAAATTAAAATAGAGTGTGTAGTAAAATCATAACCCGCTTTTTTTAATCTAGCCTATTTTTTAGTTAAATAAGATAATTTCATCTCATAATGAATTCATTTTAAATATTAAAAAGAAAGTTAAAAAAAGGAATCTACAACTACCACAACTACAACCACAAATAAAAAGGGTGAAAAATAGGAATCTACCACAACCAAAACTACAACCACAAAGAAATAGGAAAGTAAGAAGCACTGAAAAGGGAAATTAGCTGGAAATGATGTTTATCTTTTTTTATTTAATACTAAAGTTGTCGAATAAGATCATAAAAAGGGAGTAGAAAAACTTGATAATGGAGAAGAAGTTGACTTGGATTTTTATAATAAAGAGGAGAATTTGAAAAAGATTTCTAAAATCTAAAATAAGGTTAAAGGTAATTTAACCTAATTTCAGCACTTATAAATAAACTTTGAATTAAATATTTAAAACAAAAAATAAATAAATACATACATACTCTACATTAATATTTATTTTAAAGGGCTTCATTTATAAATGATATAATAAAAAATAATAGCAACAATATAAATTAGTTTTAAGCTTTTTCAATTAAGCTTGCTTACTATATTAGTTTAAAAAGTATTATTAAGTAAAATATTTAATTTTTTTTTATTTTCTAAAAAAGAAAATTAAAAGAAGGAATCTACCTCAACCTCAAAGAAATCTGAAAGTAAGATGTGATGGTAGAGCTTCTCAATCAGCAAGAAAAGAAGTTTTTCTCTTTTTATTAAATCATGGCAAAATATAGCAAATTATTGTTTATAATTAGAGTTAAATTATTATAGCATTAAAATTTAATTTGTAAAAATATGCTTATAATCAAGTAAAATAAATAGATTCTGCTTATTACTTTAAGTCCTAATCTACTTTTGTGTTTATTATAAAAAATTATATTTTAATCGTTTTTTTATTAATTAATTTATCGATTTTAATTACCTGTTTTTAAACAAAAATATTTATTTTTTTAAGTATGGAGTATTTTCTCAAAGTATCCTATATAATTTATACGAGATTAAACCTTTAAGTTTGTATTAGATTTTAAAATAATTAAAAATCAAATTTATTAATATATGACTTTTGTTATTTCTAATCCTTAGATGAATTATTGTAAAATAATTATTAGAAATGATCATTTATTCTTAATAAATTGTATATATTAACAAAATTAAGATTATAGAAACTTTTTAATAATCTTGAATGATATTAATTAAATAAAAAATTAATAATTAAAAAAATTTTTAAGAATTTAAAAAAGTAAAGCGAATAAAGAAATTTCTTTCAAATTAATTAGCGACATAAATTTAAATTTTAGTAAAAATATGCTCAAAAATATAAAATGAATGGAGAAATATTAAGTATTAAACTATTATTTTGAATTTATTTAATAGTAAAAATATCAGTTATTTAACTATTATTTATTTATTGCTTCAAAAAAGGGTTGATTATTTATTATTTATTATTTCATTTGATAAAAATAATAATAAAATATTAATCTCAAAAAAAAAATAATTTTTAAAACTGTTAATCTGTTATTTATAATATTATTTAATTTTAAATTAGATATATTACAATTTCAACATATTCTTAATAGAATAAAAGTAAAAGTTAACAATAACTTTTTTAACATTTTAATTTGGAAACAATCTTTTGCTTGAATATAATTCTTTATTAATTTGCTAATAATCTTTAATTAGTATTTAAGAATCTTTTTATAGTTACTTTTTATTTTCAAATTTAATTTATTTTTAGTTTTAAATAATGAATAAATCAAACTTAATTATTCAAAAATAACATGAATTCTCATTTTCTATCTATTTTTTCTATGTCAAGAGTTTTTTTGGCTTACTTTTTTAGAAAGTCATTTAATAACACCGAATTTGTATAAAACTTATCCAAAAAATGAGAAACTAGTATAGCTAAATATTCTGTATTGTTTTTGAATTGAATTAATTAGCATTTTTCATAAATTAAAATAATACAAATATAAATAAATTTAACTACGATTCTAAAAAATTTTGAATATATATTTCTAATATTAATTTACATTTGATGGTATTACTTAATGGAAAAAATTAGCGATTATTTTTCTTAAAAGAAATTAAAAATAGATGCAAAAAATTTGGCTAATTATCAATATCAAGGAGGTTTTTTTTTTGGAAAAATTAGTACAGTATTAATAATACTCCATACATTCTACTTGTTTGAAAAATTTACTGGATATAATAATAAACTTATGTAATAATTTAATTTATAATTTTTGTAAAAGCTGTAATGACATTTTTATGGTGAATTTTTATTAAATACAATATAACATTATTTCAAATAAGAGTCAATGAAGCTAAAATTTAATTCATTAAAATAATTGAGTTTTAATGCTACTCAAATAAAATAATTTTACATATTCTAAGATCAAAAAGATGATCTAACATTATTTTAATAATGTGCATGCAAATAAAGCTTAAAAAGAATAAATATTAAATGACTAACAACTATTTGTATTTTAGTTGTAAAGGAAACTTATTTTTGTTAGTTTTGTTTTGGTATTAAGAAAAAAGAAGAACACATTTAATTATTTAATTAATACACAAACATTACAAATCATATAAATAATTTACGTTGAAAACTGTAGTTGAATTTAATTGCATTAAATATAAAGTTTATTTATTCAAAATTAGAGTCGAATTTATATTTTGCTGGATAGTATCGTAAGTAAAAGTTGGTTTGCTCTTTTAGTCCGCAAAAGTTAATTCTTCATTGCTATTAGCTCTGATAAGCTAAAATAAATTAATATAGCTAAGTATTTCTTTCCTTAAGCGATTGTATTTTGGTTTAAAGCATCAATAGTAGTAATAGGGAGAACTTTGATATTAGGCTTAGTAAATAAATACAATATAAATAATCATATCAAAATAAAAAGCAAAACACAAATTAGGTAATTAGGGATATTAAATATAGATATTTTACTCTTTAAGTAATCATGGGTAATTGCAGTGGAGTTAACTGCTGCTCGAAAGAAAATGAATTAGTTTTAAAAAATAATGAAAATGGAACAGCAGAAATTACTACATTAGAAAAAACCAATTAGCGTAATTATGCAAATGGAATTAATCACGATGAAGACACAACAACATATGGTTTCAGCAAGGAAAAAGATGATACGTATGATCACAATAAGCATTCTTCAGGAAATGATAATAATTAAAGCCCTGGCAACAAGGATAGATAAGGACTTGAATCCTCGATAGCATTATTAAATAGTAAAAGCAACATTTTAAAAGATCAATATTCAAATAAAGCTGTTTCAGATGAAGATAATTAACTCATCAAATAAACATAAAGTTAAAATTTTAGAATGAAATTAAAGTAAATTATATTTGAAAATGGGACAAAATATGAGGGAGAATGGCTTTAGGGCAAAAAGTCAGGTTATGGAAAATAAGTATGGCCAGATGGGTCTTATTATGAAGGAGATTGGAAGGATAACAAAGCAAATGGAAAAGGAAAATTATATCATGTAGATGGTGATATATACGAAGGTGATTGGTTGAATGACAAAGCAAATGGATATGGTAAAATAATTTAATATGTGCATGACAATAAACAAAATATTTTAGAAGTATTTTAATAGAAAGTTTAGTTATTAATTTATTTATTTGTTTGAGCATATAATCGTTTGATTGATTGACTGATTATTTGTTAATTATCTAAGTTTAAATATCAGTCTTAAGAAATTTATCAACCAGAATCAATAAAATGTTAATTGATTACCCAATTATTTTGTTAGTTAATTATTGATTAACATTTACTAATGAACAAATAGAATTTAATTGAATTTCTTAGCAAATTTGAACTAATATTTGAGATAAAATACTAAATTTCAAGCTTTTTATATTTTCAAAGATTTTTATTACCTTCAAGCTAGAAAAATTACTCTATCCTTCATAAGATCTTTGTTTAGATTCTCTCATCCCTTTTATTTAATTATTCTTATATATTTAATTTACTTCCTAATCATTTTGGTTAGAGCTTACTTTTAGCTATTACTTATTTTATTAAAGTTAATAAAGAATAGAAATTATTAATAAGATCTTTTATCTAATTGGTCCTTCACTTTTTTCATGAATGATAAAAATTATTTTTCCTAAAAAGATAAAAATTTTAATTTTTTGTTTAGAAATTCCTTTGATGAATTTAATTAAAATAAATATTTTTATGATATATCTTTCTATTTACACAGATTTCTAAAATTTATTATTTTTAATAAAATTATTAATTACTTTATTATTTTAATAATAAATAGGAGTTTATAACCATAGCAGTGGAGCTAAATTTGTTGGTTAATGGGAAAATGATAAATAGCATGGATAAGGCCTTGAAATTTGGCCCGATGGTACTCAGTATGAAGGAAACTATGTTAAAGGAAAGAAAGAAGGATACGGAAAATTAACTTTCGCAGATAATTCATATTATGAAGGAGAATTTTAAAACAGTGAAATACATGGAGTGGGATATTATGTTTGGCCAGACCAGAGAAAGTATATAGGCTAGTGGAAATAAAGTAAAATGCATGGCTACGGAATGGTTGTTTGGAAGGATTAAAGATCTTATGAAGGCTAATATCTAGATGATAAAAAGCATGGCTTTGGAGTATTTAAATGGGGTGACGGCAAGAAATACGAAGGTCTTTGGGAAAATGGTAAACAGAATGGAGTTGGAATTTTTACTAACTCTAAAGGAGAAAAAAAATATGGGTCAATGAAAGAAGGAAAGAGAGTTAAATGGATAAATGCACAAATTACAGAAGAAAGTGAGTGTTTGGATATTATAAAATAAATTAGAGATTTTGCTCAAAAACACAATTTTCCAAATTTTGATCCAAAAATTTATGACATTTATATTGAGACATAAGTATGCTTGCCTCCAGAAATCTCAGCTAAGTGTAAATGAACAAAAGCAAAAAAGTATTTGTATAAAATAAAAGGAGAGACTTTTTCGTTAGTTAATAAGAAAAAAATAAATACCAAATTTTAATTCCAAATTAGTTTAATTAAAAAAAAAACGAAATGAGTTTATAAAATAAATAACAGCTTTTACAAAAATAAATAAAATAGTTTTCTAGAAATTAAATTTTACAATCAATTTTCACAAATAATTAATAAATGAAGTAACTAACTAACTAACTTTCAATAAATTCTCATAATTCTAATACACAAAATACTCAACTAAGAATACTGCTTTAAAATATATCTAAAATCATATTTAAAGAAATTAGTTTTGATTGTTCGTTCAATTGATTGCTTGCTTATTTATTGATAAAAATAGAGAAATAAAACTATTTCTAAGAGGATTGATCAAATCTTTCTTTCTTTATATTAAGTACTTCTAAATGTATATAGCAGATATATTATTAAGTAAATTAAAATATCAAAATCTCAAATATAAATAAATAAATAATTTATTAATGCAAACAAATTAACATTTATATATTATTTTTCTATCATTAGTGTTATAAAATTTTTCTCTTTCTTCAAAGATATTGCTTAAATACCATTTATATTTATATGTTTTATTACAAACTATTTTATTTATATTTCAAACAAAAAAAGTAAATCTATCTCTGTATCAAGGATAAATTAATTATTTAAATAAATAATATTTACAAATATGAGTTGAACCCATTTTTCATTAATAATCATTAGCTTTACCCTATATTAATAGTAAATCCCACTTATAAATCTGATTAAAAATCTATTTAAATATTTTAGTGCGTTCAGAAGGTGTTAATTATTATAAAATTTTGTAATTTGATTGAGAATAATATTTAAAATAATTTTTCTATTGTAATTAGAATCCTCTTTTATGACAAAAACAAAACTGTTTGTATTTTTCTATAATTTTTTAGGTTTATTTAAAATATTTTAAAACGAATAATACAAAGAAAGTATCTGATAAGCTATTGCAAATTTTAAAATAAAGTGTAAAAATGTATTTTCACTCCCAGAAAATTAAAAATATTTAGAAAAAAATAAATTCTTCAATAAAATATAAATTCATGTTCAAGAGGGATAAAAGGTGGATGACTTAAAGCAATTAAACATAAAAATAATGAACACATTTTAAATATCAAGGATAAAAAATAGAAAATTTCAAATTTTAAAGACTCTAGAAAATATTAGAATATTTTCATTTTTACATTTATTTTAGATTGTGTTCTGTGATCTCATTGTTGAATACGTATTAAGCATAGATGGAGCTATAGTTGTAGATTTCGTAGATTTTTTATTGAATACGAAGCTTTACAAAAATTCTTAGTAGGGAATACCTTTTTTTGTAATTTTACTATTTAAAAAAAATATATATTACACTTTTTAAAGAATTTTTTGTTAAAAATTTTTTGTTTCCTAAATCTGAATGTTTTCTATTATAAATAATTTTTCGCTAATTCGACCATTAAGTAAAAAATATTTTTCATTCTCTTCAAAAAAATATTTGCAATATATTTTTGTTTTTAGAAAAGAAATCTTAAAGATTAAGAATCGAACGAAATTTTATATAAAGATAAATAGAATTTAGAATAATTAATAGCTGTAAAAAATTACACATAATGTTTGTTTTTATCAATGAATGAATTGATAGTTTTTGATATTATTTTTTTCAAAATTTTCCAAAAAAATTAACTAAAAATTAAAGGAGAAAATAATAATTATTATTATTTTTACTGAACGATAAAAATTAAACAAAAACTTAATTATACTTCAAGGAAATAAAAATAACAAAAAGGAAGAAGCTTAAATCAGCTTTATCGTTAATAAAAGAATGATGACTAAAAAAACACATTTTGAAAATTAGCTCATTTACTTTAGCTAGAATATTATTTTCTAGAAAGTTATTTATTAAAATATGATTAAAATCTTAAATTAATTGAGGATAGAAATTATAATCTTAATTTATAGGGGACACAATTTATTTAACTTTTTAGTATAGAAAAAAATATTAGCTAACTTTGTTACATGTGTTAAATTATTATGAATAAATCATTAATAAGAAATACTTTTATTTTATTTATTTTATTTTTTATTCTTTTATTCATTTTTAAGTTGTTAAAATAGACTCGAAAATCTTTTAAAGTAGTAGATTTAGATGATTTATTAATTAATGGAATATATATATTTTTAAATTAATCTTGAGTGTAAAAAATAAAATATTATTTCTAATTCATTGTATTTTTACTTTTTTATAAACTTAAAATAAATACAAGATTTTTAAAGTCTTTTTATTATTTTATTAGCTAAATAAGCTATGCTTGCTTTTGTCTAGTGTGCAAAATGTTTAATTATTTAAAAAATTAAAAATGATCTAGGCTTAAAATAGATAATTTTTCTATATCATTTGAATATGAAGTTAACTTTTTTTTACAAAAAGTAAAAACTATTTAGTCAATTTTTTTTATAAAGCTATAAAATAAGACTTTCAAAAATATGTGATGTATTTTCATATGATAAAATTAATTATTTTTATTTATCTTTTAGTTTTGCTTAAATTATGTGATAAATAAAAGAATTTTAATATTTCTTTATTTAGAATATTTAAACAGTAATTTAAAATTTATGATAAAAATATTAATTAATATATTACAGACCAAAATTTCTTGGTATAGATAAAATTCTTTTTATACTTCATCTCTACAAAGATAACTCTAAAATAATATATTAAATAATTGAGTTAGTTGCTTATGAAACTATTTTATTGGTTTTAGGTGTAATATTTGCAATTGATTAAAATAATTTATTTTTTTGATTTATAAAATTTTTTTCTAAATTAAATTAAACTAAAAATAAAAGTGTTTTAATAAAAGTCTTTTATTAAAATATAAAAGACTTTTATTTTGAATAGTTGTTTTAAAAAGCCTTCGATCTCACTCAATAATTTATTATAATTAATTAACATGAAAAAAAATAATAATAAAAAAATCAAATGACTATTAAAATCAACTAAAATCCTAAAGTCTCTTTTTTGGCATAAAAATCAAAAAAAATTTATAAATCAACAAAGCATACAAAAAAGGCTAGTTATCTTACTGTAAATGAGAATAAATTTAACTAAATTTCTTAAGTTAGTAAACATCATTTATACTTGAATGATTTAATCACTAACCTTAACCCTGATGAATTAATATCTATCATAAGCTAATTTGACTAATTGACTATCTAAGAAGTCTCTCCTTATAATTACATAGCTCAGTACTAAAAAAAGGTTATGGACTTTGATTTCAATGAAGAAACGGATGAACTGTTTGAAGTTTATAATGACATCACTATTGTAATCAAATTTGAAATTAAATAAATTATTGAATGCTCTACTAGATATACAATTTTATTTTAAAATTTGTCTAAATAATATGATATTGAATATTAAAATCTCAAAAGCGACTTGATCCAAAATATCATTTCTTTTTGAAGATAAAGGTCTTTCTGACATGATAGACAATTTTGTAATTAATTTCTACTGCTGCATACAAAAATGAATTGTAAAATTTATTATAAATTTTAAAATTTAACTTTAACTAAATTTTAAAAAAATTAAATCTTCTTGCTTAAACAACTGAAATTAGAAGAAAATATTTAACAAAATAAGAATTATCTCTTCATTTCTTTCTTGATTCTCACTGTAAATAATCCTAATTAATCAACTTTATATATATAAAAATAAGAATTTTAATCTTAGTTAATAATTTATTTGTGTATATATTCATTCCTCTTTATTTTTGTTGAAATCTATTCTAAAATTTAAATTATTTTTATTTTTTATTCTAAATCTTTCAAAAATGCTCAAAATAAAATATTTCAATTCAATAAAAACTAAAAATAAATAAAAGAAATAAATAAATAAATGAATCAATCAATCAAGATTAAATATCATCCTTGAACTGATAGATGAAAAAAAGCTAATTAGAAAACCAATCAAATAAATTATAAATAATGAATGAAAAAAATTTAAATGATTTAATCTTATGAACTAGAAAGGAAATTAAAAATATCAAAATATAAAGGTGACAAGACAAATATTAATTAATCTGTCTACTTTATTAACAATTAAAATTGATAGAAATAAAATTAAGTCTGATTAATTTAATCTTTCTATCTAGATATATAAAAAATACTTTGCCAAGCATGTTTAATTCAAAAAAATAAATATAAGTGGATTTTTTATATTAAAAGCCATTTTTTCTCACTAAATTTTCATTTTATTAAAATTAATTTTATTTATTAAGTAAAAAATTAATAAATTAAATGCCTAAATTTTTCATTCGTTTTTTAAAAGTTTCAAAAAGTTTTGTGCATAAAAGAAATCAAAAAGCTTTATACATTTTAATATATTCATAAAGGTATGCACATAATAATGTAAGAAAAATATGAAAAACTATATTAATCATTGAAAATTTTTTGTATCTATTTCATTATATTCATTATTTTTTTAATATAAAATAAAACACTTTTATTTAGATGATCAAAAGATAATTAATCAAATAAATACAGATACATTAAGATTTTTTTCATAGAATTTACTTATAATAAATTTTAACTACATTTCTTATCAATTATTTATTCATTTTTCCTTTTTATCTTTTTTTGATTTTTTAAATAACAAACAAATAATTTTCTTTTTAGTCTTTTATGATTAAAATTTATTTTAAAATCTACTTTTTAGTTGTAACTCTAAAATATTTTTATATAAACTCTTTAAATAATAAATAAATCAATTATACATATATACTTGTTATGAAATAAGTGTATTTTAACAAACTAAAACTTTGATAAAATCTTACTTATTTACTTTTACTAAAAGAGAATTAATATTTTTTTTGATAGATATAAGCATTTTTTAGACTATAAAAACAAACTTGCCTAAAAATATCTTAAAGAAATTTTAGTAAATGATAATAGTTTTAATATAAGTTAAAGACAGACACTTATTTTGTTAAGTATTTAAAAATAATTTATTTTACCTTCTTTGATTAGAAGAAAAAAAATACACTAAATTATCAAGTTAATACTAAAATTCCTTTTGATTAATATACTTATTATTACATGCTATGAATAAGTGTTTGATAGATTAACTTCTTAAGAGTAGCGTAAATTAAAATATTTGTAATTATTTAATAATACTAAGAAATATCTAAAAAGAATATTTATTTTCTTACCATTTAAATTATTCTATTTGTAAAAAAAAATTGACTATATATTTTATTTTTCTCCTTATTTTTGATCTATCTTTAGTATATATATTCTTAAATTTATTATAAAAATACTATTAGTGAATTTTTAGATTAAAATTTTATTTATGATTTACTAAAATATTTATATTCATTTAAAATCATAGACATTTGCATTTTTATAGCTTCATATTTTAAATGCTCATTAAAAGCCTTTAAATTCCATTAAAGTTTTTGCAATTATCTTCGTTGTTTACAAAATTAAATTTTATATTTTTTTAATTTGAGATAAAATATTCTCATCTCAAAATAAAAAAATTAAATTGGAAATTTATTCTCAAAAATATTGATTTTGTTTTTTATCTATTTTAATATTTCAATAAATTTTACTGGTCAGTAAAAAAAAAGTAAATTAATAGAGGCAGTCCTTTTAGAATGTGTCTCTTCTAATGAATATCTATTTTTTATATATAAATATGTATAAAATAGTTTATTCTTATTTAGCGTTATAAACCAAAATAATTTATTTAATTATTTTATTGATGTAAGTTTATTGAATTAATATAAAATATTTATTTAATTGTTTGAAAAAAAAGAATTTTATACTTATTTATTAATTAAAAATCAAAAAATTAATAAAAGTAAAAAAAAATTGTTTTTGAAACTATGTAATAGCAAAAAAATTAAAAGTGTTTTGTTGTTTTGATTAATAATTCAAAAATTGTATGCGGCGATGATTAATTTACATAATTAATTTCAAAATAAATAAAAATAAAATAACAAAAAAAAATAATCTAAATAAATACATTAATTAATACATAACCAAATGGCAATCTAATTCAACTAAATTTCTCTCAATCTTTTAGGCTAGTCTAAGATAAAAAAGTAGATTTAAAAAATTTCTAAATAATCAAGACATAATAAAAAAAATAATTACCTTGCTGTCAATCAATAGAATATTATCTAAATTTCCAAGGTCAGTAAAAACCATCTATATTTGAGTGATTTAATCACTAACCTTAATCCTGAAGAATTAATATCAATCTTGAGCTTATATAACTAATTGTCTATCCAAGAAATATCTCCTTACAAATACTTAGCTTAATACAAAAAAAAAATAATCGACTTTGATTACAATGAAGAAACAGAAGAAATATTTGAAGTTTATAATGATATCACTATTGGAATAATATTTGAAATTAAATAAATAAGTGAATGCTCTACTCAATATACAATCTTATTCTAAAACTTATCTAAATAATACGATATCGAATATCAAAATCTCAAAAGTGACTTGATTCAAAATATTATTTAATATTGAAGAAATAGATTCAACTTCATTACATTTTTCAATTAAGAAGCTATAGCTAATATAGAATAAACAATAAATTTAGCAAATTATTCATTAAAATATATTTTCTGATAATTTAAGGAAATATTAAAAGTACTTTATATATATTTGTATTAAATGTTTCAATTTTATTACTCATTTGTAAATATTTTAATAATTAATTTATTACTATTTTAAAATTATTTACTGATTATTAAGAAAAGATTAAAAGAACTATATATATTTTTTTATTAATTTCAATTTTATAACTTATTTGTAAATATTTTTTATTATTACTATTTTAAAATTAATTTTAATCTAAAAACCTAATTTTATAAAAAAATTGTCTGAAGTATATTAATTAATACATAGATATAATTTATTCTAAAAAAATAATTTAATAAGTCAGGTATAATTATCAATTAGAGTTTCGAGTTTCTAATTTAAAGTTTTGCTTTTTAAAAATGAAAAATTTAGATTTTTATCTTATATTATTATCAATTGCTTTTCATGTATGTATATATGTATCTTTAACTAGCAGAATATATAAAATTTTAGCTTAAAAAATTCAATTTTCATTGAAGTAATCTTAAATTTATTAAGGGGATATCTGGCGCAAAGATTGATCTAATGCTGTTGTCAATTGTCAATTTTTGCTTTTCATAATTAAGGTAAATAAATTGATGATTTTGTGTTACTGATAAATCTTACAAAAGTATATTTAGTAAAGTAAATCTAAATAAAATAAAAGTTAAAATTATTGAGATAAATAAGAAAAAAATTTTAGCTCTTAATTAAATCTAAAGAAATTTAAGAAAGATAAACATTTCAATATTTTGTGTTTTAAGTAATCTAAAATAATTAAAATTGATTGGACAAACATGATTTTTTCCTTACTTTTTACAATTTTAAAATAACAAAATTAACTATAAGATGCTTAAATATTATAAATAAGCTTACATATAGATAATAAAATCATCACAAATTTATTTTAGAGTTATTTTAACTTTCTTTAAGCTTTTAAAATGTATCTTTACTATAAATATATTTGATATTTTAAATATAAGTTATTTATAGTAAAAAAATATATCAATTTTTATATGAATGTGAATTTTATTTTATTCTAATTTAGGACTTATTGTTTATAAATGATGAATATTTTATATTTGTATTCTTTTTAATATAATTAATAAATGCCTATATTATATATTTAACATGTTTTGTATTCATATTTTAAAATAGTATAATTTGAAATATCCTAGTAATCTAAATTTATTTGTTTATTATTTTTTTGTCAGTACTAACTAACTAACAAATTAATTGTGATAATTAAAATAGTTGTTTCGAAATTAATAAAATAATAACTTTTGATTTTATACTTTCACAAGTTAAGTAAACATTTGTAAAAATTAAAAATTTAAGAATAAATCAAGTAAAAATATTAATAATTTATTTTATTTTAAAAAAATTCTTTTATGTCTCTGTCTAAAAAAATTTTGAAGAAAAATAATAATAAGCTAGCTGCTAAACATTTAAAAATAGAAAGATTAAATATACCCAGTAATATAAAATCTTTAGAACAATTCATCTTCATTCAATTCCTACCCATTTTTAAATTTAATAATATAATTTGAATTTATCTCAACCCCTCTATATCTACTTCATTTTTTGAGCTCGTATAGTATTTATTTGCATTTCAACTGAAATAAAACTTTCTATTTTAATAAAATTCAATTGTTTTACTTAATATTAACTAAAAAATATTTTTAATTATTCATTTAAAAGCTAAAATAATTTATTTTGGTATTAATTTGTTAAAAATAATTTAAAAAAGAAAGAATTTAAGAAAATTTTATATAAAAGTATTTTTTACTCATATTGAATAATATAAGAGATCAGTTGAATCAATAATTTTAATAAACAAATTAATAATTAAAACAAAGAAAATCAATTCAAACAAAAAAAAAAGAAACAAAATTAATAATTTAAATGACTATTAAAACTAGCTAATCACCTTCTCCCTCTATCAATTCTTTTAATAAATAGATTAATAAGTAAATACAAACAATATCCAAAGATAGAAACCACAAGAAAAAAAGCTATTACAATAATGTTGAAGAATAGAAAATAAAATAAATTTCCAAAGTAAGTAAAGACCATTTATACATGGGCGATTTAATAACTAATCTTAATCCTGATGAACTAATTTACATATTGAATTAATATCCCTCCTTTTCTATCTAAGAAGAATTCCCATACTAATACACTGCTTAATACTAAAAAAATGTTATCGACTTTGATTTTGATGAAGAGACAGATGAATTAATTTAAGTTTAAAATTAAATTACTATTAAAATTAGGTTTGAAATTAAGTAAATAAGTGAATGCTCTACTCAATTTACAATTTTATTTTAAAATATATCCAAATAATACGATATTGAATATTAAAATCTCAAAGCTGATTTAATTTAAAATATTATTTCTTTTTGAAGTTATAATTCTAATAAGTTTGATAAAGTGCTATTTATAAAACTATAATAGTTAAAAAATATATATAAATATTAATTAATTGATTGTATTGATAATTTATTTTATTACTTTTGTAATTTTAATTAAAATTTTTGATTTATTAATAATTAATTTCCTTAATTTTTTTGATTTTGTTTTTATTTGATTTATTAATAAGCTTATTTATTAACTTGAATAATTAAAAGATATTAATTTGGTGAAAAAATAAATGATTTACTTATTCATCTTAATTTAAGTATCTGCTCTTGCTAAAAGTTATATATCAAAATAGCTTAAGTTTAGTAAATTTTCATATTGTAAATAGAGGATTTCTTAAGAAGTAAATTTAATATATAAAAAATCTAATTTTATTTTATTAAAGAATAATTGGCAAATAAACAAATATTGTTATTACATTTAATGATTTAAAGTATAAAAGCAATATCATTTAAATAATTAGCAAAAATTAATTCTTTTTTTCTTTTCGAAAATTATAGTTAATTCGCTATAATATTATTTTAGTATGTTCTATATTTAGAATGAATTTTTTAATTTCTGCAGTTTTAAGCAGCTACTTTACTCTAAAATAAATAGAAAATAATGTAATTAAAATGATAAAAAAACAGGATGCTGAAAAATAAAAACCAGTATTTTATAATCCAAAATTTTTAACAAAATTTAAAAGACATATACACTATTTATATATATTTATATAAAGATAATCAAATAAAAGTTAATTAAATGTATTTTTGTGTATTTTTATACTCAAATTAAAGTAAAAAAACTTCAAAATTAAGATAGTTGTTTAAATTTATAATATTTATTTAGTAAGTTTTAAAAAATCTTTTAGATTTATTTCCTATTTTTTTTTAGTTATGGTTTTGTTTCAAATTCCATTTTTGTCAATTTTGTATAACATTTAAAATTTAATTCATAGCTGAGTCATAATCACACTAGCATAGCTGGATGATTTGAAATATCTTCAATATTTTATCCTTATTTGAAGAATTTTTCACAAAATTATTTTCTGCTTATAATGTTTAATCTAAATCTTCTTTATTGTTAATTTATACTGTAGTTTGATTATATCTTTCAGAGCCTTTAGAAAAGTTTTCATTATCTTCATTTTTCTTTTATTTTTTGCAAATAGGAGTTTCATATGAGTTTTATGAATCAAGATCATCTAAATTATTTTAAATTTGATTTATTTTATCATTCTTTTCTAGTTTACTAAAAGAGCTACTAACATCTTCTGTTATGTTCTGTTAAATTTGAATTGAATTTGAATTGGTATTATTTTAATATTCTCCGTTTTAATTTCTATCACATTCTTAGTTGGATGCTGATTCTTAAGAGCATATATTCCTATACAAGATATTACTTTCCTAAGAATCGCTTTACTATGAAAAACTGTTACTCTGATTAATTTAACCTGGTTTTTCATTTACTATTTTGTTTTCATTACAATTAAAGATATTATTTTAATTTTTTTATTCAGCCTTAAAAAAATTATCTTTAAAGTTTTTTTCTTCAAACTAACAATTTTATTAATGGTTTATTGTTTCTGCTTGTGGCTTTTCTTAGTCATCAAATTGTTATTATTATTTATTTTAAGAAATATCTTTTTTAAAAAAGGAATCGCCCTAAAAATCTAATTTGACTTCTTTTGTGATTTATAAATTTGAATTAGATGGTGATTTATCTTCGTACTATGATTATTTCTAGAAAATGTCTAAATTACTTTTTTCAGACGTTTCGCTATTCTTTTTTAAAAGAATTTATGAAACTTCTGTCAATTGTTAGAATTTACTAAGCAAATTGCTAGTGGATAGAGAAGGTGTTTTCTTTTCATAAGATTTATCACAACTAAATTTATTTGAATTGTTGCTACTAGCCGCATCAAAATCTTTCTCATTATTAATATTAAAGAAATTATTCTAATTTGATTAAGAATTAAAATTTTATGCTCTTTATTTACTAAAAAAGCTGCTTTCAATAATTGAAGTGCCTTGATTATTTTGATTTCCTTAATTTCCATATTTATTAGCAATAAATTTATTTTAATTTTAATCATTAAGTTCACTTTATAATTTTTCTTTTTAGAAAAAACTACAAGTGTTGTCTTATGTCTTTTGTCCTTCGCTTTTTCCAAAGAATTAGCTGAATTCCTTATTACTATTACCTGCTTCAAAGAAAGAATTTTTAGGAGTTATTGATTAATTTTACTCTCCTCTTTAAAAAAATGAGTTGCTTGTTTAATTTAAAGAGGCGGATTATTTAGGAGGATTCATTTAATAAGATTATTGCTTGATTTAAGCTGAACCACAACTACTACTTTAAGGGGAGTTATTAGAAAAGAAAGAGGACTATTTAAGGGGTGTACTTTCACTTTTAAAAAGCCCCTAAACATTATTATTGCTAGAGTAGCTTTCACTTTCTGGAAATTCAGGTTCATGTTATGAAGAAAATGAACTACTAGAAAAATCGTCAAGTGTTAGCTTTTCATTAGGATTTCTGAAGAAAAGAGTTTATTTAGGAAGGACACCACCTTTGCAAAATCCAAAATAAGGAACAACATTTCCTCTTCTTTTTAATGCATCATAACCTCTCCCTTTTTCTTTGCAATTGATATCAAAGTAAGCTTTCATCCATTAAGCAAATTCTAAATTGTCTTAGTACTTTGCCTTAGCTAATTTATTGACCTTATTAATGATAAAAGAAAAATATAAGAAAATATTTTGTTTCTACTTATTCTAATTCCAAAAATTATGTGCAAAATGTTTTTTTTATAAAAAAGAAAAATAAATTTTTTACTGGAATCATTTTAGGCACTTAAAGCTTATCAAAAGTTTGCTGCAAAATCTTGAAATTATGCAAAAAATCATATTCAAGCTTAGCAGTCCACTTTACTTTAGAAAGTGGAACTTATCCAGGATATATGACATCCAAAAGTTGGCAGTACATAGTACCACTACCAAGCTATTCTATTAAAGTCATATTAACCTATTTGGATTTAAAAAAAGTATTAAAAAGACAATTTTCTTATAATTATCAGGTGTTTTATTTAAAAAAACAGCCACAGTCTTAAATGAAATGGGCAATAAAATATTAATTACCTTAAGCAAATCATTAATCCATGCTAATATCTCATTTTTGGATATAAAATTTTTGCCTATTACTGAGCTCTTCTTTGCTGAAGATGCTGAATTTGTATGCGACATAAAATTGTATGAGAGAAAGCCTAAACTTATTTGTTTGAGTAGGATTGATTGATTGATTTTAGGATTAACTAGTTTATGTTTTGTTTTTTAATCGCTGATAGAAATATAGATAAAAGTATTAATTTAAAGAAATCAATAAATAATGCAAAAAGATTGTACAAAAACAAAAACAAAAAAAGCAAATCAAAGAAATTAAAATGAAAAATCAATAATTAAATTATATAGGAAGAAGAAGTTATGAAAGAACGTATGGGAATTAAAGAGTATTAATAATTAATTTGATAAATTCTTTCTTATTTTAAATTATTATCTTTCTCATTTTCCCGCAAAATCTTTTTTTTGTTTGTTTATTTTTTCATTCACAAATTCTTTCTTTTATTAATTTTACAATTTCATAAAATAAAGTCGTTAGGATGCTTTTTTTGATTAATAATTAAGATTCGTTTTCATTTCTGCTTTAGATTCGCTTCTCTTAATTCTTAAATAATTTTAAATTTAATTTTTAAAAATGGATTTATTTATTTGTTTTCTAACAGGTTATTTCTAACCAACTCCCACATTTACCCAATGAGTACACATACAAAGATGTATGTATATTTTAATTTAATTATTATTTTTAATTCTTTATTAATTTTTATTAAAATTTGTTATTTTGATTAAATCTTACAACTCATCATTTTCCGCGAAATTATATTATTATTATTATTGAGAAAAATTATATTTCTTTCATTAATAATTAGAATGTAAATCATCTTCAAAATTATTACTATTCATTTAACTTAAAGAAATTTATTTTTTAAATATTTATTGATTATAACCTAATTTACATTAATTTAATATTTTTTTCCTAAACTAAATCTCAAAAATTAAATATAAAATTAACTATTTCTATTAAAAAAAGATAACAATATGAATAATTAAAGCAATATGATTAAAACTTAGCAAAATCACATTTTATTTTAGAGGATTTTTCTAATAAAATATTTAAATTTATTAATTCAATTATTTAATTTAAAAAATTTTTAAATTAAAACAAATTATTTGCTTTATATTTACTTTCTGAGTAAATATTTTTAAATTATTAAAAAAATAAATATCCATAATTTGAAATAAGTACTTTTTTAGAATTAGCTACACAATATATAAAGATATTTCTTTTTAAATGTCAAACATTGATAAAATCTCAAAAGAATTAGAAGCTCATAAGAACGCAATAGTTGATGATAGATAATTAGAAGAAGAAGAGGAATAGAGAAGAAAGAAAAATTAAGAATTAATGGATAGATTTAATGCAATTAATGATTCTCTTAAGTTTGATGAGAATCTTTTGAAACCATCTGCATTCGAACTTAAATTCAAATAAGACTAGGAAGCAGGTAAAAGTAGTAAGTTAGATGATCTCGATCTAGAATTTAAATAAACGTTTGCTAAAATGGGAGAACTTATTTTTAATTCTGGTCTTTTTAACTAACTTCAAAATCATTATTAGGAAGATGAGGAAAATTAATAGTAAAAATAAATAGAAGATGACGAAAGTGATGAAAAGGATTAAATTGAATAACAAGTAAATAAAGAATAATAATAAGAAAAATGAAAATATTATGAACCTAAACAACTTTATTGTTTTGTTTTATTTAAGAGAACCAATTTGCTTTTAATTTTATGAAAATCTATTAAAAAATCTTTAAAAATATTAAGAAAAAAATGATAAAACGTTTTTTGTAAAATAAATCTAACTTTTATCATTAAAAGAAAGAATTCAACTTTTAAAAGAAACAAATTAAAATCTGGATTAACATGTTTAATACATATTAAAAAGTAGGAAAGCCATTAATATTATTTATTAATAATCTAAATGTAATTAATTTATTTATGTATTTTAAATTCATCAAAAAATGAAGGTATTTTCAAGTGCAAATTAGAAGATAATTTATTATTATTTTAATGTAATCAAAATAAATTTTGAAATTAAAAATGGCATGAGGTAATTTTATTGTGAAAGTGTGAAGCTAAGTTTCTATACAAATAAATTTTATATAAATAGTTGATAAATTTAAGTTTTTTAATGGAGAAGAATGTTTTTATTATATGGCTTATTCTATGTAATTTTATATCGCTTTTAATTTTATTCAGAATGATTTTTGGTTCATGCTGGTTCCTAGTGTATCTACGATATTTTAGCTCATTGTGTCATCGATATTCTATTTATGTAAAAATAAATTTATTTGGTTTATATTGCAAAATGTTTATTTAAATATTACAGATAAAAGATGGCGTTAAGGATCAATTTTACCAACATTTCTAATGGCAAGTTAATCTTTTGTTTTTTTGGATTCATCTTCAATCCATCTAATATAGTTTTTAGCTAAATTGCACATGGACTACATTTTTTCAACATTATTTTTTTGCTTTTCTTCATATTTATCTTGCTTAAGTGCTTCGCTCCAATTTTTCTTATACAAATTAAGGAGCATTTATGTTTCTAATTCATTTTTTCTGTAATTAATGTTTATTGAATAATAGTATTTATTTAATCCGTGATAAATAGCCTAATTTCATTCATTAAAATATATAAATAAAATTAAATATTTTTCTCAATAAATTTACATTAAATGAAGGTGGTTGCAAATGTCCTATATTACTAGTTGTCTATCTTGCTTCAATCTGTAATTGCTATGTTGCATTATTTATTAATCTAAAAGCATCCATAACTACTTTTCCCTTAACTGATTGAATTGGATCTATAACCAATGCAACAAATCTAGGATGTAACTGTTCAAAACTCTAATTTTTAAAATAATTTTTTTAACAAAATTGATATTATTAGTTCAATCTCTCTTTCGATATTCACATATTTAAAAGCTATTATTTGTATTCTAATTCTTTTATGCTTTCAAAAATATTTTGCTTTTTAAAAAATTGCTAAAAAATTTAAAACATTTTGAATATATTTTCCCTATTAATAAAATAGAAATATCCAAACTTTATTTATATTTTAATTTTGCTAATTTTTATTTAATTGATTAAATGCAGTAAAAAAATATTTTCTTTCGTCTATTTAATATTTATTTATTCTTTGAGTAGAAAAGCTAAAACACTGATTAGTTCTATCAAGTAGAAACAAAATATATTTGCAAATTAATATTTTACCATTTAAGTATTCATATCAACACTTGATAACCAAGGACCGAAACCAGGGTGAGAGTGATACCACCCAACAACCATTTCATTTCTTTCTGTTTATTTTAACATTTCTAACATTTCTGCTTAAAATACGGGATCTACTGCTTCTACTGATTCCTATGATTTGAGAATAGAATGAAGATCAGAAAGAATTATTTTAATGTAAACTTTAAGAAAAACTCATTGATTTAAGCCGAAACTTAAATCAAAAGTAAAATCACTTCATAAATTTATGATAAAGTAGTTTATAATTATTAAGGAATCTTAAAAATCTTACACCAGTACCAGATTAGGGCATAGCGAATACATCAACAACCTTAACTGTATAATCATCAATAATTTCACCAAGCATCAAACCCATAACTTCCAAAGGAACTCCTGCTCTTGCTATTGTAAAAATAATAAAATGCTTAATTGCGATACTTAATAAAATGAAAAAATATTTTCAAACTAATTCATATTTTATTAACATAACAAAACCTAAACTTTTTATAACTATTTTTTAATAATTAATTCTATTATTTGCTTATTAGAAAAACTTGAATAAAAATGGAGGAAAAATTTGTTAATTACAATGCTTGAGCATTTTTAATAATGCTAAAGATGAGATGTAAATAGTTTCTGAGGTGTCATCTAAAGGCATTGATATATTGCCTGCTTATTAACCACCATATCCTTATTATTGTAAAAATTATTATAAATATTCTTGATTCATCTGTTTTATTTAGTTTTTATCTTAATATATATATATATTTTATTAAATTCAAATATAGTATATCTTATATCCTTCTATTACGTTTTTCTATCAAAATCATATATAAAAATTACATTCATTCATTCAATCAATAAATCTTATCTTTTAGCTAGTAATTTATATTTTGATTATTTAAAGTTCTGATTAGAGAGAAATTGTTTCTGTTGTCTTATATTTTATCTTTTATCAATTCACATGTGCTCATTACTACTAATATTTTATTCAATTACAAATGAGCACAGAAAAAATTTAAGTAAATTATTAATAAATTATTTAATAGCAGAAGAATCGGCAATAAAGAATAGTTTGAAAAAAATACTTCTTTATTTATAAATTAAACATATTATTTTGATTTATTCTGTCAGAAATCAATTGATTTGTAAATAAACAATTTTCATTAAAATGTTTAAATAAAGAGGATTTAATTATTTAATAAAATAAACTAACTATTTTTTAAGATGAATAACAATAAACAGAATTTTTAAATTTTACTTTATTTGCAATAAAAAATATTTAACCTGTTAATTAGATTAAATTTTCTAGCAATTTAAATATAAATTACTCATAATATATTTTAATATCAATTAAAGAAACTAAAAATAATAATTAATAAATAATTTAATGTTGTGTATGTGTGTGAGCTATTTTCAAGGAAATGATACTAAACACGTAATATAAAAAATAGCTGTTTGAAAATTTGTTTGCAATAGATTATATACATTTCTATCTAATTCTGATGATGATTGTTAAAAATTAAAATTTAATTAGAAATTTATAATATGCTTTTCAACTGATATACTTTTCTGCTTGTTCATTTAATAATTTAGCAGAAGATTTAGCATCTAAGAATAATTTATTAATAACTTCAATATCTTCCCTTTATTTTTACAAGAAATTTTATTTAGCAAAATTAGAATAAAAACTAATAATTTACTTAGTAATTTCGGTTCTTCCTTCTGTTTGAGCTAAAACACTTGCAGGAGTTAAAAGTTGAACTGCATATCTGAGAGAAGAGGAGCTACCTACTTGACCTAAAAATGATAAAGCTTCAGTGGATAATTTGATGCTTTCAGTTGAAGCTCTGATAGCAAGAATTTTAATTAAATCTTCTAATCCGTAAGGAACAGTCTTGATAATCAAAAGTCTATTAAAAAAAAAAATTTATTAATTAAATTGATAAGGAGAGCAATGTGATTAAAGATAAATAGTTAGTATAGTGATTACCTGTCCAACAAATCAATAGGAATACCATGAGGAGATACTATGTCAGTTCCTCTAATGGTGCACATACCTCTGTTGGTAGCAAGAATAACAATAGGAGCAAGAGTTGATTCTAAGGCTCTGTTAAGATAAGTGAAACATTCAATATCAAGCATGTGGACTTCATCAATAAAGAGCACACCAGGGACAAGTTCAGCAATACCTTAGTCAATATATTTATTAACGATTTAGTTGATTTATTGACGTAACTTTTCAGTAATTTCAGTCTTTTTTGGTTTCATGATTTGACCCATAAGAGAAACAAAGTCTTAGCCGTGTTGAGGACGAGCATTGGCAACGTCCAAGTCATGGAGAGTAATATCTTACACAATTTCTTTCTTCTTGTGTACATCACCCTTTGGTAAGGGGACATATTCTTCAGCTTCTAAATCATACTCAGAAGCATAAGCGTCACATCTACCAACTCTTTTGACATTACCACTTGAAGCTTCAATGTAGATAACATCACCAACACTAACTTTTTCTCTTTGCATATTTTCATAAATAGAAGGATCTAACTTTAATTGCTTGGTACCTTTAGAAGTCTTCAAAGTAACAATGACACTGCTAACTATTTTACCGTATCTAATTTATTAAAAATATTATTAATAAAATCAATTTTCTTAACAACTTATTTTCAATTATTTTAAAATTAAATGAGCTTCCATTTAAAAATGCAATCATACATAAATTCATTTTAACTTTAAATAGACACTCATAAATTTAATTGCATTTTTTTTGCAAGTTAAAATATTTATTTGTATTCTTCACTATTTTTTCTTAATCTTATAAATTATTAACAAAAAAAATACCCTTAAGCTTCTTCTCTTTCTTCAGTCTTAAGTTCAGTGACTTCTCCTTCCCAGACTTCCTTTGTTTCTTTAATCTTTAAACCAATTGCTCTACGGAAGTTTTCCATAAGAATTTCAGTTTTCTTAACTTCTGTGGAGTAAACTTCAGAACCGACCATTGGGCAGAATGGAACTTTAGGACCTAATTCAGAAGAAATGGCAAGTGAGATAGCAGTCTTACCAGTTCCGGGAGGACCAGCTAAGAGGACAGCTCTACCAGCCATTTTCTTTGTTTTAATTAATTCAACAACAACACCAGCAGCCTATAATAATAAAAATGTAATTAATCAATATATCACTTGCTACTTAGATAAGCATTTAAATGTAGTTTGATGTATGCTTTTTACATTAAATTATATTTCATTTAAGACATATTTTTGATAACTTATTTAATAACTTGTTTATTTTATAAAATAGAAATATTGAAAATTTATATTTTTCTATTTTTTAGATGAAACATGGATTAAGCTTTTATTAAATACTAAAACTATCAATTAATATTAAATTACTTCTCTAGCATTTTCTTGGCCGACCATACCAGAAGCGACTGCAACAGCAGTACCTTCTTCATTTAAACCCAAACCCTTAACGTGAGAGTGAGAGGCGATTCTTTAAGTCTTTGTGGTTGATTTTACTTCTTCGATCTATAAAATAAAAGTATTAGTTAAAATACATTGAGCGACTGCAAAAATATTTTCACTATTTAAAGAAATGCTTATGGAGTATTTATTTTTTGAAGAATTTTTCAGTTTACAAAACTAACAAATTTATTTTCTCAGCACATTTCTTTAAATTTTTATTTATCAAATAAATTAATTTTATTTTATACCTTCATTTCTTATATTGCAATTTATTATTTTCAAAACTTCTACGCTTGCTTGCTTCTTTTGTTTGCTTTTTAAAAATTATATTAATCAAAAAATATTGTTTGATTTTGTTTATTTCTTGAATTTTGATTTAGCTTTTATATGTTTTTATTGAAAGAAATCAAAAACTTAATTTTTTATAAATATAAATATATTTAATTTTTTATATTAAAATATATATAATTTTTTTTAGAATCTTTTTTAATTTTAAAATTTAGGATTTGTTTGTTTCAAAAATCTATTTAATTTCTAAAAATATCTTAGCGTAAATTGCTTTATTTATTTATTCAATCAATTCTTAAAGAAACTATTTAACCTATTTATTTAATTATTCCCGCTCTATTCTTATATCTTTTAATAATTTAGTGAGGATTTATATTAATTAATTAGTATACTCTCTTTAATTTTTATCAGTTTCAAAAATATATTTACAATTTTAAATAATTTTAAAGTATTAATTTATTAGTCAAACAAGAAATTCTTAAAACTTTTATATAATAAATTAGTATTTCAAATTATTGAAAAATTATATATATTTTTTATTCTTTTCTAAGAATTATTAATAATAATCTTAAAATAATAAAATTTTTTAGTATTTAGTTAAAAAAATGTTTGATTTTTTTACTATTATTTACTATTTATTTAAAAGTATCTATAATATTTTTAATTAAAAATATATTAAATAATCAAAATTTGTTTTTATACTAAGATTAATTGATTTCAGATCTATATTCCTATTGATCTTTTTTTAATTAAAAATTAGTTTATTTTTAAAAATTTAAGCTTTACTCTTTTTTTTTTCAGAAATAAATTTATTTGATTAAAATTTTTAATCAGAAAAAAGTTTTATTACTTCATTAAAAATTTAATTTGATGAATTCATTTCATAAATGAAACTATTTTATTTAGAATAATATTTTTCATTGGAGAGGATTATTTAGATAGTCAATCTTATTTATTAATTGTAAATTAATATTTTTTATAATCTCTTATTTATAATAAATATATTTTTTTTATCAAAATCTTTTTGACAAAAATAACTTTTGTATTTAATAATTAGTTGAAAAATATTGATTGAAACTTCAAGATTAAGTATTATTAATTATTTATTCTACTTTAATATTATTTAGATTTAGAAAACATAAAAAAATCTATTATATTTAATTTGTTAGATTTAGTATTGAGAAATAGCTGTATCTATTAAATTCAAAATATTTCATTTATAATTTAAAAAATACTAAAGAAAAACTCAATTATAATTTTATGATTAAAATTAATTTCAAATTAAATAAATACTAAATTAAAAAATTTATTTGTTAGGAAAGTAATATTTAATCATTAAATTCTTCAAATAAATAAATATAGTTGTTTAACTCTACTAAAATGTATATCAAAACAATACTTATATTATCATTACTGTTATAATTCTTTATTTAAATATTAAATGTATTTAAACAAATAATAAAATCTTATTTAATTTAGTCATTATAAATAAATATTTTCTTAATTAAATTTAATTTCAATGTAAACTTCAAAAAAAAATTTTATAAAAATTAATTTCGAGTAAGCTTATTTTTATATAAAGTAAATTAAAAGCTGAAGCAATCAATAGAATTTAGTTTCTTAGATTTTAAAAATAAACATAATAATCGCTTACAAATTTTAAAGAGTAAACTTTTATCATAAACCACTTATATTTTAACCTAACCAGGATATATTTATTATTTTAAATATAAGTGATGATAAAGAAATTAATTTATTTATTAATATTTTAAAAAATGAATAAAATAAGCAAGATAAATCTAATTAATTTTTATTAGATTACAAAAAATATTTTGTAAGAGAAGAAGTTAGTATTCTATTAGCCTTTATTATATAAAAAATAGTAGGCTTTAGTAAAAAAGTAATACCTTTTGTTAACAATTCGAGTGAAAATAATATATAATCTAATTTTTATTAACACTGAAATTTTCAGAAACAAAAATGTATCTTTGATATATATTTTCATAATTGCCTTTTTTGATACATAAAATATGGATCATTTTCATTTTCTATTATTTGTAAACACATGTATTGGTTTTGAAAGATACTGTAATGAATTTTATGGAAAAAAAATATAAGAAATTAAAATTAAGTTTATGTGAAATGGCTCGCTCAGTCATTCGCTCACTTTATTGAATTAAATGACTAGAGATTATATTTTCAAATATATATATTAGATAGATTCTGCAATTTGTTCATAAAGAATGTTCAATAAAAAGAAAAAAAAACTTATCTTTTTTTTACCAAATCAACTAAAAAAAGGCAAACAAAATCAATCTAAAACCCATTTCGTAAATTTGTTTATTATTATTTGATTTTAATAAATATTAAATAAACACTTATTTTTTTCAAGATCTATAAGAAGGAAAGAGCTATCGATTATTAAAAAAAAAAAGAAATTAAATTTCGCCAATCATTAAAATATTTAGCAACGCTGACCAACTGATATTTTAGATAAATAAACAGATAATTCAACTTTTATTCCCTCTATAATCACCTTAACTTTATAAGGCGCATCATATTGATTGAGGTAGTAGTAGTACAAGGTTATTTATAATTCAAACCATTTTCAATCATTAGACAAAAAATTAAGGCAAAAAAAAGGCTTTTAGGTAAAATACAAAAATTTGTGAAATAACAGGAAATTTTTCAGTAAAATAATTATGAGTAATTAGAACAATAATTGGATGTATTACAATATGAATAATTAAGGAAATCAATAATATCATCACATGTAAAATAATAATAATGGGAATGTTAATTCTGCTAATAGTAATTGTGCAAATAATAGTAATAATTCTTAACAATAGCAATAAAATAGTCATTCCCACTCTTAGCATTAGTAATACAATAGCATATAATAATAGTAATATAATGAGTAGATTTATTAAGCCATGTAGTAGTAATTTAATCATTAAATGCATCACCCTCACTCTTAAGGTTAAAATAGCGGAATAGTTTAGCCTCCTCCTGGTATAGCTTTTATGCCATCGACTTTTCCTCAAGGCTAGTATCCACATTATAATTAATAAGTTTATTCGCAACAATAATAACCTTTAATTCTTTAGTAGTAATAGCAATAAGCATCAAATGGCTCAAACAACTCAAGCCCTAACTAGAGTCATTAATAGCAGCCATAAAATACTAACAATAACTAGCAATTTTAAACTCCTTAAAGCCAATCTCCTTAAACTACTTAACAATAGCAACAAATATAATAAAGCTAAACACAGCAATAGCCAAAACTAAGCAAACTTCAAAAATAGTATTCTTTGATAGATGATAGAGTCACTCAAGCATCAGAAGAAGAAAGATCAATTTCTAGCTATTAACAATCATAAATAGGAAATTTCAATAATTAATAGGAAGAATACCTTTTGGAACACTTAGAACTTAGTATTTTTAAAATACAGCCTTGTCCCAATCAAAATATATAGCATAATCATAAATAGTGCTAGTATTATCACGGATTGAAGGACAGAAGAAGAGTAGGTACAAATTATTCACATGATCCTTGCTAATTTATTGATAGTTTTGGAGCTAATTGTCCTCTAGGTGATAAGTGTCCTAAAAGTCATAACAAGGTAGAATAGTTGTATCGTCCAGATAAGTATAAAACAAAATTTTGCACATACTATCCAAATAACTGCAAATCTTGTGAATATGGTATATTTTGCTCTTTTGCTCATTCTGAAAATGACATTAATACTGAATTAATCCATAATTATGAATATGATGTGGACTTCTATATTTTTTATTATAAGACTGTATGGTGTCCATTTAATTATATTAATCACGATAGAGGAATGTGTGTTTATGCTCATAATTGGTAAGATTACCGTAGAAAACCTCACTCAATTGAATTTGGCTATGAACCTGATGGATGTGAAAGTTGGAATCCTAACTCTTTTATCACTGAATATGAAATAGGTTGTCCTAATAAACAAAATTGTAAAAAATGTCATGGTTGGAAAGAATTAGAATATCACCCAAAAATATATCGAACTAAACCTTGCTAGCAGCAACCTTGCCCAAAAGGAAAAGCATGTCCGTATTATCATAATATTTAAGAAAAAAGGTATTCAATTTATTATTTTATAATATTCAATAAAAATTAATAGTTTTTTAATTAGTTCGCCAATATTTATTAATTGATTTTGAGAAAAATAATCAGTGAATAAATCCCACAAAATTAAATTCAAATTAAGTCTATTAAAATTTTCACAAATAAATTAAAACTATTAATACTGAAAGAATTTAAATTTTATAAATAGAATAAAAAATAGTAAAAATATTTAAAAAATTATAATATAGGAACCTCTCTAATAATATTTAGTCTGAGCTTTTTAGATATGCTCCTAGAAATAGAATTACTAAAGGTCTATTTAAAGTATCATAGCATCTAATTCCAAAAGAAATTAAATAGCCTTAGTAACCAGGTGGTGGAGGCAATAACAATCCCACTAACGGAAGTAGCGGAATTAAGTAAGATAAATAAATGTATAAATTGAAATTTATCTTCTATTTTATTAATAGCAATTAGCCATCAAAAATAGCATAATTTAATAGCAGCCATTCCCTCTCTTCTTAGAATAATAATTCAGTAGCAAATTACTAAGGATATTAAGACAATGCTATAATGAATAACCAGTAAGTTAAAAAATAAGCTTCTCTTAATTCTAAAAAAGTAAAAGGCAGCGCTGTCCTATAAAAGATGAATACTTGCAATGATCTCTCTTCTAATATTTACGAAGAGTCTACAGACAACGAAAGGTAAAGATATAAATTTAATTATTTCATGTTAAATATTTTAAATTTTAGTAAAAAAAGAGTAATAAGTTAAAATTTAATTATAAATAAAAGGTATCAACAGTTCTAAAGTGTTTATTAAGAGAAAGGAACATAAAATCACCCAATTACTCAATCTCCTCCTCTTAAAAAACCAGCAGTAGGTGTAGTTAATAATAGCAACAATCCTAATAATTTTAAAAGAAGTGAGAGCTAATAATTTGAAGAAGTTGCAACTTAAAACTCCACTCCATAGCCTTAATTTGCAGGTCAAGAAGAATAAAAAAAATCTTTGAAAATTGCAGTCCCTTTCATTCTTGAAGAGTAAAAGGATTCTGGTAAGAAATAGAGTACATCTGAAATTAATAACAACTAATAACAATACTCATCTTCTTCAATAAAATAAGGTATCCAAGCATAATCTTAAAGTTAACAGGAAATGTTCTCTAAAGATTAATTAGCAGATTAGTTACATTAATATGATTAATTCACTAATGCATTTACAACTTAACCCACTACTCTGTAGCGATAAAACACAAATCCTGCATAAAACATCCCTTTCTAAAACTAATAATTTATGCATTATGAGAATGCAAATTACAATCCTTAAAATAACTAAAACTTCCCTTAGAAAGGAAGAGCTACTTATTCGAAACAAAACTCAATTCAAAGTATTAATAATAGTAGCTGTAATAATTTAGATAATATTTAATAGAAAACGGCTAATGATAAATAAGATGATGAATATGATTAAATTAACTTAGCAATATCTGATTTTAATGGCTTCTAATAGTGAATGTTCTTATATGTATAATTTATAAATAATTATTTAACTTAGTCTCAATAAATTCTGTTATTAGCAATTTACTTATGCAATAAAACCAACTAATCATAAACAAAATGAAATGAACTACCCTTTATAATATTTTCCATAAACCAAGAGGAACCTGAAAATATATTATTAATAATAATAGTAACAACAAACAAATGATCTTATAATACAACTAATAAATAATAAAATTTATTATTACCTAATCCATTTACTTAAAAATATCAAATTTACAAAATAAATTATATAATTGATAAAAGTAAAAAAGTTTTTATTTAAAGAAGAATAAAATAATATTGCTAAAGAAATAATAAGAATAATAATAAAATTAAGATTTTAAAATAAACTCATTTATTGATTTCATAAATGTTAAATGTGTCTTTGATTGATTTAATAAAATATTAAAAGTTATTTTCAAGCATTATTTAACAAAGAATTAAATTAAAAAAATTTTAATCATTTTACCTTAATAGAAAAAATATATATATAATTCATATAATCTTCCTAATATCTTTATGAAACCTTATACTCTGACTTATCTGAATTCTTGAGATTTATCAAAAATAAAACTTTCGTTTATAAAACTCTTAATGAATCATTTTTTCTCTCCATATACATTACTTGATACTTCAAATAAAACTAATTTAAAATTTATTTTTAACATTTAATTCAAAACAAAATTATATTAAAAAATTTCAAATATTAAACTATATTAAAATTAAAAATTGTTTGTTTACTCATAATGTATTTTATCTATTTTATTAAAGTCTAAATAGATTTATTTTAAAAAAAAATTTTTTTATTAAATTTTGTTAAATTTAAATAAAAATTTAGTTTTGATAAATTAGAAAAATTTTTGGTTATTAAAATAAGCAATTTACCAAATTATAATACATATCAAATTGATCAAAATTAAGTGATAACTTATTTAATTCTTTCTATTGATTTAATGTTTTAAATATATTTAATTCAATAAATTAATCTTTTTTGTTATTATTTAATGAAGATATGATGCTTAAAAAAGAGATATATAGTTGATTTTAAAGAATTATTTTGAATATATTTTTTTCAAAATAAAATCTTCTGTATGTTGTAAAAATATGAGTAAAATATAAATTTTTAACTTTTCATTAATTTATTACTTTATTATTAAAATAAAAATGATTTTATTTAAATAATATAAATAATAATTCTGATAAGATATTATATGTATATTCAAATCACTTAATCTATTTATTTTAAATAATTAATAAAATAATCTAACTAAATAATTTTTGATTTAATAAGAAAACGAAGAAATTTTATAAGTTACTATTTTTTGCGCACATATAATAAATTAGGATAGTATATTCACAATAAAAAAGGAGAACTTAGCTAATTTACAAAAAACAGGTAGTTATTTAAAGTAAATTAAAATTTCTGAACTGAAAGATATTAGAAAATGGAAGATGATTATGAAGCGCTTAGAATGAGTTTAATAGATAGAAAAAAAAAGGAAATAATTCATAAGCCTATTTTGAATAATATTGGTGATTCAATAGATTTTGGTTTTCAAGCAGTTAACTAGACTTAAGAAAAGGTCTTCACTTTAGAAAATAAAAATGACTATTAAGTTGAATGGAATTTTGAGTCTGAAATATTCTAAGTATTTCCTTCATTTGGTACTTTAGATGCTAAAGGTGGTAAATAAACAGTAGTTATCTCATTTACTCCTTAAGAAGCATCAGCAATTTTGAATACTATTATTTTAAATATTGACAAAGAGAAGCCCAGGATAATTAAGGTAAGTGGAATTGGAAAATACCCATTTATCTAACCATAAGCTAGAAAAATACATTTTAATACTCTTTTAGTTGGTAAATCTTTAACAAGAGAGGTTATTGTGAAAAATCTAAGTTAGGTGGGTACAAAATTCACCATTACAAAGCTGATAAATGATGAATTCAAAGATTCATCTTTTTCTATAAACTGTTCAAGTGGTTTCATTCCACCTCAATCTTCATTTTTGGTTTCTATAACTTATAAGCCACAAGTTGAGGGATTATGCTCAATAGCTCATTGGAAAATAGAAGCTCCTGGAGGCAATAGTGCTTAAATTAGTGCAATTGGCGATGCTGAAGGATTTAATATAAGATTAAGTGATCAAAGCATTAATTTTGGTGAAGTAAAAATTGAAACAGAAGCAAGTCGAATTTTAACTATTTACAATGATAGTGATTTGCCAACAAAATACTAGTTTTACATAGATTAAAATAGTATTTTTAGTATTTCTAAACCCAAAGGTATTATAAAAGATCATTCCTATGTAAGAATGCTAGTTTAGTTTGTTCCACGCCATACTATATGTTATTATTAGAGAGTATTTTGTGTTGTTTAAAATCACAAAGTAATCTATGTAGATCTTATAGGAACATGCTATGATTTGCTATTTAAACCCCTACCTTTAGTTTAATAGTAAATTGATTCTTTTAGAAAGAGAGTTATAGAAGGTAGATTATCGAATATTGATATGAAATACATGGAAAATTCAATTTTACTTAAAATTCAACAAAATTCACCTCTAAGTAAACGTAAAACAGCTCATAATCTGAGTTAATAATTGGCAATTACAAACGGAACCAATTTTTCTATAGGATAATTCGGGAACTACTCATAACTAAATAATTTAAGCTTACAGTAACAAAGTTAAATAAACAATGGTAGTGGATTACTTTAAAATTAAAAGAAGCAACTATTGCCATCTTAATCTCATCAGTAGTTATCAGTTTTTAAATCATAAAGCCAATAAGAAAAGGTAATTAACCCTAACAATAGGTACACAAAAAACAATTTGAGTCCTTAGAAAAACCTATCTAAAAATAAGAGTCTTCTTTTAACAAAAGAAAAATCAACCCAAATTACTTCAACAGTAGAGAGTTCTACTAAGCAAATCCCATCAATAAATTAAAAATACCCATTAAATTCAGCAACATAAAATACTTAAGGAGGTACTATTGACACTATCAATGCTAACTAAAATCTTGAGTTGTAGTAGTAATAATATTTTGATAGAATTCCTGAAACTTATGAAGATGATACTTCTTAGCTAAATTCATAAATAGCCCTTCATAGAGAATTATTTTTAAGCTAAACAAGTGGAACACGACTGATAAGAATTAGTGTAAAATAAACTAATTTTTATTATTTATTTAAAGAATTTTTTAATTATTTCTTAAACTAATTCACTTGTTATTTTACAAGCTAATTAATTATTTCTTAATACATTTTTTTTCCTTTTCCTAGTCTTTTTTCTTGCATAAATAATATTTTATAGAAAGATATTTTTTATCAAAATTTGATTAAATAATAAAAATATTTTATATTGAAATTTGAAATAATTAAATTTAAATAATAGGAAGAGTTTTTAGATTTTGGATATTAAGAATTAATGACTCTGAGCTAAGAAAGAGTAGTTACTATATTTAATAATATAAATAGTAAAATCACAGTTTTTTGGACCATATTAAAGAAAAACAATAGCTTAGATAATAGTCTATCTGTTTTTAGTGTTTAACCCGAAACAGCTTCAATTAAGCCTAATTCAAGAGCAGATTTTAAAATCTCATTCCGTCCTATAAAAAATTCATTCTATTTCTTTTAGGATCTTCAATTTATAGCTTATAAATATAGTGAAAAGCTAACTAAAAATGTAGTTGATGAATTCTAGAAATCAATTTTAGCATAATCTATGAAATTTACAAATGACTAATTATCTCTTACTCATACACAGTCTTAAAATTCGCTAAAGTAACTAAATAAATATATAAAACTATTAAATTTAAAATTATATTCTATTATAGGACTTCCACAGTGTTCTTAAAGACACTGAATAAAATAGATTACATAGCAGATGAAACTCTGCCACCATTTTCTGGATTTGTAAGTTGTGTTGGACACTCTTTTGGCCCACATAATTAAATATATATTCCAATGGTCGATTTTTCACCTTCTAGTAAAGTAAGTCTAAAGTTTTTTCTTAAAATGTATTGAATAACTAAAAACATGTAAATCAAAAGGTCTATTTCAAGTCTTGTAGAGTTGGAGAAGTTTCTTACTAATCAGTAGAATTGTAAAACTAAGGGGACACACCAGTATATTTTAGAGTTTAGAAGGACCCTAGTAGCATTTATAATGTTTATCCATAAGTAGGTTTAATTTAGCCAAAATAATTCATATTACTGGTAATACAATTTGCTCCATAGAAAGCAAAAAAATATGAGTATTCAATTAATATAGTTCTTAACCATAATAACTCAAATATTAAACCTCTAAGTTTATATGGTTTTTGCAGTGAGCCTTTGGTTGATATAGAAAACGATGGAAAGCTGTTTTTCCCTCCAAGCTTCTTAGGTGTCTACTCTAAACAAAAAATGAAAGTAGAAAATAGATCTAAAATTAATTTAGAATTTGATATATTGATTCCTGATAAATATAAAGAAATGTTGCATTTTGAACCTTAATCAGGTGTTATGAAACCAAATGAGCACGTTTACATAACATGTGGCTTTGTTCCTTACCAAAAAAAAAATTACAAGATAAAGCCTATATTTAAAGCTAAAGAAAGAATAGATTTAACTTAATCTATGGTAGGATACTTTATGCCTGGTAATAAATTTTATTAAATATTTAAATTATATTGTGATTTATTTATTAAAAAAAATATTTACAATAAGAAAATTATTTTACATTATTTAATCATTGATTGGTTTTAATATAAAAATATTGCATTTGAAAAAATGCAATAAATATCTTTGAATTAAAATATTTTATTAATCAAATTTAATAAAAACATAATTGTTAAATTAAAAACTTAAATAGGGTCTGGAAGCAGTGAATAGTAGTAAATTTAATAAGAAGATGAGATACAAAGTTTAAAATAAATTGAAAAACAACTTGAGGTTGTTGCTAGAGGTGCTGATGGATCAATAACGATTAAACCAGAACTGATTGATTATGGAATAGTGAAAGTTAACTTTTAATAAAGGATGACTGCACAAATACGAAACGATTCTAATTGCACTTTTTACATTGAATTAAAACTTGTAAATGATGATGAATAAGAGGAAACTGAAATATAATAAAGTTAAACATAATTATCATAACTGATTAGTGATTAAGATATTGAAACTAGAAGAAGAAAGAACAAGAAAAAAAATGGACATCTTTAAATTAATGAGGATGAGGAAGATGATGAATAAATAAAAACTGGAGAAATTGATTAAAGTCATACTATGAGAAAAAATAAATAGGTTTATGATCAAGAAACTATTCATTAGAATTTTAAGCTTGATTTTACTGAAGGAATAATATCTGCTAACTCAAAAATAGATATTGGAATTGTATTTTGTCCTAATTAAGTTAACTTTTTTAACATGAAGTTGGAAGTTATAGCAACAGAATGCAATCCAAAGGCTAGTATAGTGCGTACTTAAAATAGATAGTTTATCTAAAAAACACATCTAAAAATTAAAGCTAATGGTAATTACCCTCTATTGAAAATAATTGATGTTAGAAATGATGCTATTAGTGTAGCATCTTTATGGGAGAATTTTTAAATTAACAAGATTAACTCAGAATTAGCAACTGATTTAAACGAAGATGAAATAAACTTTTTGAGAATAGAATAGCTTAACATAGAATAAGCTTAGAAGCTCTAAAGAAAATTAAAAAATTATACATGGAATTTTGGATATTTACCAAATAATAAGAATGTAAAACCAAGAAAAATTGTTGTTACAATTCAAAATATAGGAGGGACTGAGCTAGACTTTAATTTTAAATTACCTTCTGATAGTTAGGTAATTTATTATTACTATTATTCAACAATATATTCATTTTTAATTTAAAAAGTTTTTTTTTAATATTTATAATTTTCTATTTTTTGATAATTTAAAAGATTGACTTAGAACCTTGGGCAGATCCAGGTGAGCTTTAGGGAGATGAAGCTTATGAAAAAGCTATCATAGATAGGAAAATATTTTAAATTATTCCTAAATCAGGAACACTGAAACCTTAATAGCTCTAAGATATATAATTAATATATAGTCCAGGAAATATTGATGATGGTTTTTAGATTTTATCATAAAAATAAGAGAAAATTACTTCTGAAAATCACCTATTAAGGGTAGTTTTATAGATAAATAATGGCAAACCTTTGGTTATAAATCTAAAAGGAATGATGCTTTCTCCTACATAAGGCATGCTCTCAGTTAAACAAAATAGAGTAAACTTACCTGACTGTCCTATAGGTATGCTTCTACCTTTGTAGTATCCTATTGAAATATAAAATGTTGGGTTAACAAAATTAAATTACTCAATCGAAGTTTAAGAAATAGATGAAAAAGGATAAAACATAGATTCAAAATTTGAAATTTTCAACATTTCTAATAAAAATGGCTCTCTGATGCCTAATGAAAAATAATACTTATATTGTTTGTTTAAGCCTCTGGAAGCTAAAAAGTATTATCATATTCTAAGCATAAAAGCTACTGATTTTATGAAGCCTCTTAAAGATATTAGATTGCATGTAATTGGCGAAGGATTTTCAAAAATTCCTAAAAAAGTTATTAAAACAATAGAAAATGAGTATCCTTAGCAAAGATCGTCAGTTTCTGCAATAGGAAGCAAGGTTTGCTTTTCGATTGAAGAAATTGATTTTGGTGAGCTAAAACCTCATTAATAAATAACAAGAGTAATTATTTTATATAATTTATCAAACAATGAAAAACTATCCTTTGATTTTACGTATGGGTTTTCTTTACAAACAAAAGCACCAGGATTAATTTGGTAAATATTTCTCTAAATCTAAATTTTTTGATTGATTGATTTAAGAAAGTGAATATAATTTTTAAACTAATATTTTATTTTTAAATAGTGAAGATAAATTTTCAATAGAACCTAGCTAAGGAAGGTTAAATCCGGGTGAATTTATTGAATTAAAGTTAACATTAGAAGCAGCTTTACAACCTTCTATTTATTCTGGAGAAATAGAGTGTGCAATTTATTGGGGAAACTAAGATATCGCAAGTGGAAGTAAGCTAATTAATTAAATTATAAAAATTATTAATTTAAAATAAAATAATAGATAGAATGGTCACAACTATGAGTTCTGTTTCTAGCCATTCAGGTATAGAAAAAGAAACACTGTTTTTAAGAATTAAAAAATAATCTAAATTAAGCAACCACTTGCAAAAAACAAAAGATAACTTACAAAGCTAAAATTCTAAAGAGCACATGATGATGAATATAATAGGATAAGCTATCAAAGATATTTTAAATGACGATAATTTGTTTGATTTAATAAAAAGAATTGATGATTAGCCAGTTCAATTGTATTAACAATTTGATAAGGAAGATACAATGGATATTACTATGGTTAGTAAAGGTTTAAATGATATTTTAGATGTAAGTGGAATAGCAGATGATATAATTAAAGATTTAAAAGAAAACTACGATAACAACTATGAAGAAAATAATAACTTATCTGAACAAAATAGCTTTACAGTGAATCGTTCAGATAGTAAATTTAATAATCAGAATGTTAACAATTCAATCATAACAAACGGAAAACAATAAAAAAATAAAATGTATAATGATTACAGACAGATTTTCCTTTAGGATGAATTCTCAGAATTAGCTGACTTAATATTTGAAAATACATACTTTAACATCATTCAAGAAGCTACAAGAAGGGAATGTGATTTGTTAAGAGTTGGAAAAAATTTTATAATTCCTCAAAAATGATTGGATTTAATTGAAGCTTATTATTTAAAATATTTGAATATTAAACAATATTTATTATTTATTAAAAAGTTATTTTTATAGTCAATTAAATACTTTATCACATACAAATAAAATATTAAATTAAAAAATTTTTTTTTAATTATTCTTCTTTTTTTCTTTTAAATCTATTTTCTAAATTTATTATTTTAATACATTTATTTTCTAACTAATTTTTTAGTACGAAAATAAATTTTTTTTTAGTTTAATATATTAATTTATTTTAAAAAGCTGTAATTTAATTATTCCTTAATGACTTAATATTAAATATTTTAGGAAGCCATAAAATGATTTATAAAAAACGCAATTTTTAAAATTTTTAAGAAGAAATTCAAGAATTTTATAAAATTTTAAAAGGATATTTTTTAATGATTGATTTTTTATTGAGCTTAAAATAAATTTAATTTTTATTTATTATGAGTAAAATTTAGAATTAGAGCAGTTACTTAAATTAAATAACAAAGAAAATTAACAATTATTAATTATTTGATATCTTAAAAAAATCAAGCTACAATATTTTAACAAATACAAATTTTACAAAAAGTTTATAATTTAGCAAATTAGCAATTTTTAAAATAGATGGAAGATTAATTTTAGGATCCAGGCATGTGTCAAATTCATAATAGACCATTTGAGTGTTATTCTTTAGATGAAAATTGGTAAAACAGAGTTATTAGCTTTGTTTATAAATTTTATTTTCAATAAATGAATCCAAAATAAACATAATATTTAATTAAAAGCTTAATATGTCCTTCTTGTTTAATGTTTGGTCCTTATCAAGGCAATAAAGTTTGTAGAATAGAAGAGGCTGCTAAAAAACTAAGAGCGAAATTATCTGAAGCAAAAGATTAAAGTAAATGATTGAAAAAGTGATTTTAAAACAATCTGAATAGAAATTATAAATTAGAATCAAAATAATACACAAAAAACAAAATTCAGAAAATAATTTTTTAAAATAGATATTTTGCAGTACGAAAGAACAGAAAACATTCTATTAGACATAAGACATACTAAAATTGAATGCGAAGAAAAAAAAGCATAAATAATGAAAGAAGTTGAATTAACTTTTTCAAATGTTATTAAGGTTTTAAAATAAAGAAAAGAAGATGTTATTAGTGAACTTGTTGATCACTTTAATTAACAGATAGAATCAGTTTATGAACAAGAATCTAAATGGTAAAAAATTATATTTTTTTTCTTTGTATAATAAATAAATTTACAATTAGGGTAGAGAAATAAGAAACAGGATCAGAGTTAGCAAACCTTTTAAAAGAAGAAAATGATTTAGTATTAATTTAAAAATCAAATTTAATATTGAAAGGAATAGAATCATTGAAGGAGTCCTAGCAATACAAACAAGTTAAAATACTTAATACTTTAGATACAAATTTTAAGGCTTCAAAATTAGATTCATCTATTAAAGAATTTTTAAGAGATTTAGAAAAATTTGTTGTTAAAGGAGAAGTTATTACTATTTAATATAAATGCTGATAAAAATAAATTTAATATTTTTTAATTTATACAATTTTATATGATTTATTATCTACTGCATAAAATTGTTGAAATTAAATTTTAAAAATAGTTTATTTTAATTTTAATAAATTAAATATTATTAAATTTAAATTTAGTAAATTATAATATTATGAAATAAAAAAAAATTTGATTTTTATTATATATATATATATATATATAGCACCCTAAGGTACTGCCTTTTTTCAAGGCTACATACACGAATAATATTTGAGTAAAATATTTGTTTACCTAATTAGAAATTCATATTTAAAATTTAAAGACTATTTGAACCTATATATGAAATATTATAAATTATAGAAACATTTTAAAAAGAACTCCTAATAAATATTTTTTAATAAATATATTAAGTAAAGTAAATTCACTATTTTAAATATTATTTTCATTAATAAAAATTGATTTTTAAATATAAATCTTATTTCTAATAAATTATCATGTTAAAACTGAGTTCATATTTAAAGAAAAATTAATATTTGTATTTTAAAAATTCGCTCATTAGTTAAATTTTGATTGTATTTTAAACTAATAATTACAATTATTAGGTGATATTATACCTACTTTATTGCTTTATTAATACTAAATTGGAATTGGTGTTTTTTTAATTTGTAGAAATAGTAATAATTTAATTCAAGAAAATAACTTTGACAAATCATATAATGAAATATTTTTTTAAATAGTTTGTTATCTAATTTTTGGTAGCATAAATTTAATTTAGACTGGCTTAAGGTATTTAGTATTGTCTTTAATAAAGTTCTGATTAAACTACCTGTCTATAATGTATTGATGACTTAGTATTTGATCCATACATATCTACTAATTCATGTGTTTAAAAAAAATGTTTGGACTTTCTTTTCTATGATATCAATACAAAATAATGCACATCAACTTGTTCTGGAAATTAAATTGGAAATTAAATAACAAAAACGTGCGATTATTATTACAATTGTCCTTAAATAGATTTATTAGGATAATAATTCCATGAAAATGGTTATGTATCTTAAATAATATTGCTAGATTCTACTTTAATAAATTTTTATTCATCTCCAATGATCAACACTATAATAATTTAAGATTAGAGCAATGTAGAACCTATCATAAATAGTTATCTATATTTAATATCTATTAGTAACCAGTCTTCACAGATAATAATATGGGACTCAAATACTGGTATAATAAGAGCAAGCTTAAAGGGACACAAATTTCCTATAATGCAAATTCATTATATTCCTACTTCATAAAATATTATAAGCTTTGGCTCTGATGGCGAAGTTATTACATGGAATTATAAAAATGGATAATTATTAAGTACAGAAGTGATTTTTCAAGGATAAATTTTACCAAAAAGCCCTATCGATTTAAAATAAAACTCTATTTTTACTTTTGGGACATATGGAGATTTTTATGATAATAATTTTATAACACTAGAGTATAAGACTTATTTAGGGCATACATAATAAGTAACACAAATATTTATAATTGATTAAAATATTTTAATTTCTTTCAGTGAAGGAGATAGCATGATAATTGTTTGGGATAGAATTCTATCTTAAATAATATTAAACCTTTATGGAGGAATTAAAAATTTTAGCTCATTACCTATTCAACTGTTTGCTAAACAAAATTCTTATTAGCAATATTTTATTTAAATTGTTATAACAAATAGTTTAACAATGAAAACTTATCTTATTCCTCTTCAAATTAATTTTGATAATTAAAAAAATATTTGGAGTAATTAAATGTTGGATTAAGTTTTATTAACATCAGATAGTTCAATAAATAGCCTATACGTTGATATAAATAATAATTTGATATTTTTTGTTGTTAATTAATAATTAAACATATGCAGATATGATGACACAAAAAATGATTTGATTATAAATCAGTAAATTTAATTATCTTCAATATTATAAATTTCTAACTAAGATAATATTACTTAATTGATTTATAACTCTAACTCTATCCTTTTGATATCTGATTTAGGTTAACTATTTTTAATAAAATATAATCCTGAGAATCCTTAAGCTCAAATTATATTAAATTCAATACCTCTATAAATAGTTTTAAATACCTAAATTATAAATGGATTTATGTACTTATCAAAGTATGACTAACTTTTTGTTTTTGGAGGATAAATTGTTTCTTACAATATTCCTAAATAAAATGTCAACTTTGTTATTTCTTCTTTATAATCTCCCTTACCATAATAAACATAAAACCTTAATCGATTTGACTTCTCAGATATTAGCCAAATAATTGTTAATACCTCTGATGATGGTTAAATATTTATTTATGATTACTTTGATGGAAGTTTTCTTAACAAAATAACACATCCTGATTACGAATACGCTCCTTTCCCTAAAGCTACTTTTATTAGCATAGTTTCTGATGATAATTTTTGTGTTTCTTTTAGTAATTAATAAATTGTGTGTTACTCATCATATGATTATCAAGTAACTAGTAAATTTTCAGTAGACGAATAAATTAATTCATAAATGTTTGATAGCAAGCTCAACTTGGTAATTGTAACATCATTAAATACAGTATATATTTTTGATTTAACTGCAAATAAGCTAGCTAGTTAAATGAACATAAAAGATTAATTCTACTAAACTTAAATATATAGAATTTTTTAAACTTTAACATGTTATAACTAGGCAGGTGATGCTATTATTTTACAATACCCGATTCTTAAAATAATGTACTAAGCTAATAACAGTATATACAATCCAAATAATGCGTCTTTAACAATTTAAGATAATTTAAAGCTTTATGAAATAAATATCGTTTGCTTTCAAAATGGAAACGTTGTTATTAGAGATAGTACTTTAAAACTTATAAAGACTTTTTAATTCTAATTTTCTATAAGCAGAGTAATTTAAATATTTTTACTTTAAAAAAATTTTTTTTCATAAGAAAAATATTTTTGATGGTACAAAATAGAATAAAAATTATTTAATATAATCAATAATTTTAATATTTAATTTATTTAGTGCGGATCAGATCCTAATTCCTTACTTCTTTTAGGAGGTTCTTATGATGGAACTATATTCACTTAATCAATATATGATACTTAAATATTTTATAGTCAAAAACTTTTACATTTCCCTATAATTGGTGGTATGATAGACTCTGTTAATAATAAAGCAATATTCGTGGTCGATTATGGATCTTATGGTGGAGGAGTACTTATAGGTGACACAAGGTCATTTAAAATAGAATAAACATATAACACACAGAATTTGATAAGCTACTATAATTTAGATAGCTATAAGAATAGAATGATTATTTAAGATTTAAATAATTTATAAATTAGCAGTTATAGTATATCTACTTATTCAATTTATTAACAATAATTAGCATAAAATAAGGATTTAAGATACTCTAAAGTGCTACTTATACAATCTTAGTATTTAATTGTTGTCATATCTTAAATTATAACTATATAAAAATATATCTCTCTTGATATATTTAGGTAAAAAAAACAAAAATTAAATATATATTTTAATAAATTTTTTATAAAAATATTATTTTTTTAGGTAAAATAATAGACATAATTCATAACCTATAGACATAATTATAGATCAAGACAGATACACAATAATAAGTATAAGTGGTGATAATACAAATAATCTTTAAGTATGGAATTACTAAATAGATTCTTCTCAATTTTTAATAGGGCATTCTTAAGGAATTAATGGAATTTTATTTGAGACTAATTAAAAAAATTATTTTATTACTTATGGAAAAGATGGATTAATAATTATCTGGAGAAATAGTGTTTATTAAATTTTTTAATAATTTAATTTACATTCAGGTTTTGAGATAAATTCTATTTAAATTATAGCTTATAGTCAAGACCAGAGATAATTTTACAAATAAAATATTTTAATTTCTACTGATTTTAATTAGAATATCATAATATCAACTTATTAAAATTAAACTCAAACTCTAATGAAAATATAGAATAGCAATTATCAAATTTTACCAGATGTTAAACTAGGAAGATTAATACTTTATGGACCAACAGTGTAATTTATAAATATTTAGAATGGTATAAAAATATAGGAAATATATGGATTTGATGGGAATGTTTAAAATATATTTATTTTAGATGATTATATTTTAGCTTATGCTACTTTAGTATTATAATCAATAGATAGAAGCAGCATGACTATATAGTTCATAGGAAAATCATCTTTTTAAATTTTTAAGATAGTTATCATCAAAAATCTAGCAGCTATGATTAGTGACTCAAACGATTTTACAATTAAAATTTGGGATTATACGATAGGATAATTTTAGATAGATATAACTAACACTTATTATCCATAAAATATTAGAAACATTTACATAGATGAAGATTCTGATACTATAGTGGTAATCAATGTTTAAAACCAAATATTTACAATAAATCCATTTTTATAAAGTATTTCTAAAATAATTCATTATTTTACGCCTAAAGAAACTCTAATTTCTTAGCTAAATTACATAACGATTGATAGTCAGAGCAATATAATATTAATTTATTCAGATCAAGAAATCATATTTTGGAATTACTACTCTTATATTGGTAATCAAGGAAACTATTTGCCTAATAATTTTTAATCATAATATGGTATCACAATAGATGATAGTAATTTATTAATTAAAAAAAAAAATTATCTTCTTTTTTACTTAAATTAAAAAATAAATTTAAATTTATAAAATAGATCTTTATTTTTTGTCAGGTGATAGCAATCTTTGGAAAATGCAAAATAGCAGTTTAATTTTTGTTAAATAATTTTAAAATATACCTACTTTATTAAAACTTGTTGGAAATGTTATTGTAATAGGGGATACATAATTTGTTTATAGTTTAATGAATGAATAAGTAATAGTTTCTAAATTGAAAATATTTCCTATTTCATTTCACCCTGAAAATGATTAATTTTAACCAGATGCAATATAGGGATTAGTATTTATTATTAGTAAAATAAATATAATCTACTAGGTTTAAGTAAATTACCAAACATCTGAATTGATAATAAAGTAAAATTACACTTTATTCAGTTAAAATTCAAGAATTAGTAAAATAATTGTTGTTAAAGAATTTGGTCACTTAATTATAACAGATATTAAAGGTAGGATGTTTTTAATAGATTATATAAATTAAGTTTTAGTCTCTCAACTTAGTGATCATTAAATGCCAATAAGAGACATCATAATAAACACATAACTTTAGATGTAAGGAATAAAATTATTTTTTAAGTTAATTTTTCTTATTTATTGAAATAGTTTAATATCTTGCTCAGAAGAACCTAATATTATCATCTATTAGTACGATTAATAATCTATTATACAATCCTAAGTTATAAGTAGCCTATAGGCTCCTTCTTAGATGCTCTTAAATCTTGAATAGAATAGATTATTAGTTTGGGAAGATAAAAAATAAATAATAACTGTTTTGAACATTAAAGAAAATTATTAATTTTAGTAATTTATATTAGCTCCAGGAAATAACTTAGTTTAATTAAAGGCTTTTAAATAAATCAATATATTAGCTATTTTTAATTAATTTTAAATAAACTTTTATAATTATGATTAATTATAATATTTATTTAATTTTAGGAATCCTTCAAACATTAACAGTATTGCAGATTTAATATATATATCTGATTAAATTATGCTGTTGCTAACATAATCTAGCTTATTAGTTTTATAATTTTAAAATGATACTATTTTAGTTTTATAACAATATACCATGTAAAATCCTATTATTGTAAAAGCTTCTGTCTATAAAAGTGATCCCTATTTAAACATAGTAGGTGTAAGTTTATAATAAGCTTTCAATTTAACCTTAGTGTATGGAAATTAATATAACAATAAAAATTTATGCTATTACTAAATCACTGATAATGGGAGTCAATTTAATCTATTGGATCGCGTAAATAATCTTTACTAATAAATTAACTCATATAATTTACCTATTTAATATGTTAAAGTTGGTATTCTTTTGAATAATAATGCAAAATTTCAATTTATTGATACTTCAAGAATATAAAATATTAATATATAAATAGATTATAGTGCTTAATACCCTTTTAATGAATAAAACATAACTTCAATCTTGCTATAATAGTCAGATTAATTCCTTTAATAGAAATTTATAATGGAAAATATTTCAGTTTTCACCTTACCTAATACAAACTACATTTTCTTCTAAAGTACATAAATATTTATATTTAAAAATTAATTTTATAGAGATCTTTAATTTAGAAATGTAAGCCTTTAGCTAATGTAAGGGAACTTAGCTGAATTAGATTTCTAAAAATTCCAAAATATCAGTTTTAAAGCAATTTACTACTCATAAGCAGATGCCTATATTTATCCATCTTTGTTGACCATTTAAAATATCTAGACAGGATATTTAAACAATTTTCTTATACTTAATTGTTCTTTAGAAAAAGCTTCTATTTATAGATTTGAAAACATAAAATCATTATATTTATATAATATACAAATTGAAAATATCATAACAGAACCTTCTGATTAAAATTTAAAATATACCATTTTTTATTTAGCTAATATTAGCAATGTGTATATTAAAAATGTTACACTTATTAACAAGTAAGGGCAGGAATAACTAACTCTATTTTACATGCAAGGAATACATAATACCTACATTTAAGATTTAAATGTATAAAACATCCAAAATGTTTAAATAATTAACTACTAGAATAAATTTGAAGATGGAGATGGAATATACTATCTTAAAAATGATAAAATTGAAATAGTTAATGTAAATATCTAGCATTCATTTTCTTCTTCATCTGAATTAATGTATTTTTAATCTGATTAAATAATAATTAAAAATATGACGTCAGATGATGTAGTATGCTAATCATGCTATGGTTCAGTTATAAATACATTTTAAAGTTTTATTAAGCTGTTTGACTCATTCTTTAGTGATAATATTTCATTATTAGGTGGTTCCATTTTTTTAAGTTATTGTAATAAGCAATCTGCTTTTTAAAATACTAATATAACTAAATGCTAAGCAGAAATAGGTGGGGCTTTGGTTCTTATTTCATGTGATTTGATTCTATAAAATTCTTTTATTTATAATAATGAAGCATATATTGGAGGAGGTGTAAGATACCAGGTTTAAATTCCTTCTTTTATAAGAGATATTAATCTTAAGGATAAAATTTTTAACAACAAAGCTAAAATTTATGGAGATAACTTTGCTTCCTATCCTTAAAGCTTGAAAATTTCTTTTTATGATGACTAATAAACAGGATTGAATAGTAAATTTCTTTTTTTTTATTAACTTAAAATTGTTATTTTAATAAATATTAAAAGGTGTTTAATAAAATGTAAGTGATTTATAAAATTTCCAGAGTGGTAGTTAATTAAAAATTCAAGTTTAGTTTATCGATGAAGAAAATTAACCTTTAAATCTAAACTAATATTTTATACAACCAAGTATATCAAATGAAATTAAATCTGAAATATAAAGTTTATCAGTAGGAATTGCTTCTTATAGTTAAAATGTTATCCTAAATGGAGAAACTGTCAGCTTCATAAAACAATATGATTAAAAATCCTTTTCTTTTAAATTTACATAACTTTAGGTTACTGGTATACCTGATTCATAAGGTTTAATTTCAGTATATAGCCCGTCTATTATAGTCCCTAATCCTTAATCTAGTAATTTTTCTAACTAATCAGTTATCTATTCAATAAATATTTACTTTAGAGAATGTATAGAAGGGGAGTAATATATAAAGTAATATTTTTAATTTAGTATTTAATAAAAAAAACATGAATTTTATATTTATAAAAGGGTTTTATAAGGTATTTATCAATGCTAAACATGCCCCCAAGGCATGTATTCTTTAAAAAAACCTGATTTTGATTAAAAGATTTATGGGTAATGCTAAGTTTGCCCTTCAGCAGCATCACTTTGCCAAAATAACACTATTATTTTAAAAAATGGCTACTGGAGGGATAGCAATTCGACAGATAAAATCTTTAGTTGTTACAATAACATGGATAATTGTATAGGAGAAGATCCATAAAATATAAACTATTGCAGAGAAGGTTATGTAGGACCACTATGTGAAACTTGTGATTTTGAAGGGAAAATTTGGGGTGATAAATATTAAGAATATAATAATTACTATGAATGCTAAAAGTGCTAAAATTAAGCATTTAGATCTTCTTTCTAAGCATTTATATTTATTTTCTTAATTTTATATATTCTGTTTTGCTTAGAATAAATGATTAGATAAAATAGAAGATCTGCATATATTTATTATTTAAGATAGATGAACATAGCTAGCTTCGGAGTAAGCGAAGATTAAAATATGGTTACTGTTTACCTTAAAGGGATGATGCATTATATGTTTATAAGCAAAGTACTCAGCTAAAAACTTACCTTTTCTTAAATTTCTGACAATTTAGGGGTCTTAAGTCTTCCAAGTAGTGGGCTGAAAAACAATATTTCCTGCTATGAATTTCTTTTTCATTTTAATTTAGGTTTTTACATGATAAGAAATTTAATCACTATATTTATATTTCCTTTATTATTAATAATTATTATATAAATAATATCTTAGTTGGTAGCTAAATTATTTCATTATTGCAATTACGATGGTTTTATAGGATTAAAGTATATGCATTCTTGTATAATTATTTTTACCCTCTTTTAACCAAATGCTGTACTTGATATTGTCTAATTTGTTTCTTGCAGATAAATAGGTAACAATCTATATATAGTTGATTATCTAAGTAAGGAATGCTATACGACTGAACATTTATAATTCATTCTTATTTTTAACCTTCCTATGTTGCTATTATGGGGATTTATACTACCACTAGTTATTTTAGCTCAAATGAAAAAATATCGTAATAATCTTCAAGGCATTTTACCTACACTTAGATATGGATTCTTTTATAAAGAATATAAACTTAATAATTACTACTGGGAATTTATTAAATTTTATATAAAAACTGCTATATCAATAATTGATTCATTTTTTAGAGATTAACAGGTTGTTAAATATTCTCTTGTTTCCTTTATCATAATTATCTACTTAGCTTTTTTAAAAAGCTAGAATCCTTACAAAAATTAATATGTAAATAAGCACGATTAAATAGCTCATTTAATTCTTTTGATTAACTTAACTATAGGTAACATTTCAAACTCGAACTCTTATTAGTTATTAGTTGCTATCTGCTTAAATTTAATTTCATTTCTACACTATTTACTTATTTTAAGCTATCTCCGACACATTCTTTAGGAATATACAAAGCAATTAGCTATTAAAATTTTATAACTTTTCCCTTCTCTTATATAAAAATTTTAAAGTCTCCAAACCTTTGTTAAGAGATCTAAAAATCTAATTTAAGTATTTTTAAATTGGAAAAAAGTGAAAAGAGCTATTTTTAGATTTGTTAAGAATAATAATTAAATTCAGTCTTTAACTCAAATTTAGAACAATAATTAAAATTCTGAATTTTCTATTTCTAAAAAAGAGATGAATAAAAATAATACGAACGAACAAATTAGTTTTAATTAATTTAGTGGTATTCATTAAAAATTTTTCTCTTCAGTAAACTTTTTAAAGCAAACAAGTGCAACCTATTTTTAAAGAAAAAAGACACTAAAATTAAATAATTTTGACTCACCGACATTATTCTTGAATAAGAGTAAGCACATTATAAATAATACCAATACTTCCACTGATTAGAATAACATAGAAAACATAAATCAAATAGACAATTTAGACTTTAATATTGACTAAGAAAACCAAGTTTAAGAAAACTAATTAGAAAATTACAATTTTGATTTAATTAAAAAATGTAACAAAAATTTTAAGTAGAAATGAAAATCATATTGATAAATAAGAGAAAAAACAATATTTTATTTAATTCATTAAATTTAATAAAAATATAATTTTCATTAACTTGTATTTATGAAATGTTATTTTATTTGCTGCATAATTTTCATGTTATTTTGTTTATAATAAAAATTTTATTTTTTGAAGTCCAAAATTTATTCAAATTTTCAAGTTAAAGATATTATGGCTTTATTAATATATTTATTAATTCAATCTAATACTTATAATACATATTATTTTTTTAATAAATACAAATATTTAAAAGTCTTATAAAAAGTTATTATTTATTTAGTAAAATTAAAGAAAGAAAATAATGATTAAATATAGTTTTTTGATTTAATAATTAGCTATAAAATAAATTATATTAATTCAATTTAAAATAATTATCATTATTTTTGTCTTATCTAAAAATAAAATTATAATTTATGAATATTTAATACTATTTTAATTAAAAATGCTAATTTTTTTCTAATTTATTCATTTTGAAAAAAAATTATAAATAATTGTTATCAATAAAATAAATTGCAATATTTTTTGCTTTTCAACATAAAATTTTAGTAAAAAAATTTAATATAAAAACTAATATACTAAATACATTTATCAAAAATATGATATATTTAAATTTTAATTTATATAAATCAAATTATTTTAATGCATTATCACTATTTAAATCAGAGCAAAGTCAACCTAAATAGAAAACGCTCTAATTAGATAGTTGCTGACTGTTTTTAATAGTAAAGCTTCAAAGAATTCATAATAATTACAATATGTGAGGAATAAAATATTAATCTAAATTCTAATATTTATATTTTAGTATTTTGAATAAACTATTTTTTATTATTGTAGCAATACAGAGTTTATTCAATTTAATGTTGATATAGATTAAATTTCAAACTGATTAAAGCTATTTTGATTGTTTTAAATATCAATTTCTATGCGAAAAAATTTTTGACTATTTCAACTAGAAATATTGATCAATGAATTTAATAATTAGCAATCAATTGAATAATTTATTCAATCCCTGCAATATTTGTTAAAATAAATTAGATGAATATATAATTAAAAATCTAAACAAATATATATATAAATAATATCTCTTTAAACCACTAGTTATTATTAGATGGCATCATTTTTTAAATTTAGTTCTGAGAAATCAGCTGACGTTGAAAGTTAAAAGCCTTCTAGCACTTCAATTAGCTAAAATGATTCTTGCTTTCCATAATTGAGTTTGAAAGAAAGATTGTTAGGTTTTGGAATGTGCTTTATTTTGGGTAATAATTTTTTTCAATATTTATAAAATTAATAATGATCTAAAATTATGAATAATATAGGCACTATGATTTCTTTCCTTTCCTTTTTACCAGGGAAATCAATTTATGCAACAGCTACTCTTTATAGTATTGGAAATGTCATAAGTATTACAGGGTAATTAAAATTTATCAATTAAAAAAGTATTTAAATACTAATATCATAAAATTAGAACTGCATTCTTGGTTGGATTTTAGAAACAATTCAAAAACATGAAAGATAAAACAAGATTATTAACCACTCTTGTATTTTTGTCTTCTCTTATAATGACTTTTGTTAGCGTTTTTGTTTTCAAAATGAAAATTTTGGTACTCATTTTCGTAGTCATATAATTCCTTTCATATTTTTGGTACACTTTAAGCTATATTCCTTATGGACGTACAATCTTAACTAAATGTTTTGAGTCTTGCATTAAATCATGAAAAAATAAATTAGAATTCAATAAAAATGTTATTGCTAATAAAATATAAATTAAATAAATATTCTTTTAAATAATACTATATAAGAAGTTTAATTTTATATGTATTGACAGAATAAATACATTTTCTAAAACAATTTATTGTATAGTTATTCAAATTAATTTTATAATATTATTATAATTATAATAAATAAAAAAATTTGTATTAAAAGTTTTATTTAGATAATGTAAATTAGATTTTTGAATATAGAAATATTTTTTTAAATATAATTTAATAATTAATAAAAGATATTTAATTAAAATTTTCTAATCTAATTAATTTAATAAATTTTTTTGAATAATTTTACAGATAATAATAATAAAAACTCATTTTACTTTTAATTAAAATATATAAAATTTGTATGATTGTATTTATTAAAATTAATGATATAATATTTAATTAGAATATTTATCATTTTATAAAGTATTTCAATAGTAATTAATAGTATCATTAAAATTTGATAAACTTTTGGAAACATCAATTGTTTAATTTAACAACTCAGGATGAGAAATATATCTCTTAAATTAAAGCATTCCAGATCTCTTAAACATGTTATTAATTTGCTAAGAGTTGTACATTTAAAGACTTTAGACATCTTCTTATCTGATAGATTTTTCTACTGAATTTAATTGCTAAATACTTATTGTTGACTAGTTTTGATTTAGTACTTATCTAAATTTTTATTTTTCTTCATCTTGTTTTATTGATCTTTCAACAGTGTTATGAAGCTAAAATCCTACACTAGATTAATTTTATCTATTTATTTCATTATCTTTAATTATCTTTTACTAGTTTTCAATATCTTAGTCTTGGTCCTTGGGTTAAAAGTTTTCTTTTGTATTTATAAATTTCGATTCTTCTGCTTTGATAGTAGAGTTGTTTAAAATAGAGCAATCAATTATTGTATTCGATTTCTCAAAGAATAAAGCTGGCTTATCTGGGCATTTACTCACAATATAGCAGAAATTTTTTAGAAGTTTGTCATTAAAATATCCTTTACCTCTTCTTGTCCTAAGACCTTTTTTTGTAAAAATATCTTTCCAGTCATAAATAGACTTAGTGTGGTCATAGATGATACATTCTTTTTTATCAGGATTTAGAAGCTCTTCATTTTTTTATACTATTAATAAATCTTTATTTTTCCTCCAAATATCATAAAAAAAGAAATATAAATAAGAAAGGAATGTATTTTTCCTATGAAATTCTATTTTTTGATATAATTTTTCAAATTCTTCAGGGTAGTCCTCCATTAGTGTATGAAAAAGTTTATTTTTTTCAGCCAAGAGCTAATTTTTGAGATATTATTTATCTTTAAAGAACCTAAATGGAACTGCAAATATAGATATATTAAAATCATAGGATAAAGTTTCTGTTCTTCTTTCACACTCTCTAACTACATCATCCCTGTACTACTTGTAAAGCATTTCAATTTTAATTACTTCATCCTTCCAAATAGGTCTGTTTTTCTCTATTATATCCGCTAAGACTTTTGAGATCTCACCTTAATCACTAATGATCCCAAAAAATGAGTTATCTAAAATTAACTTTCTGCTATAATTAAATTTTTATCCTTCATTGTCTATTCCCACTCCTTCTAAAAATTCTATACTACAATTAAAGCCTGTTCCAACATCTATCACTTCTCCAGTTGAAAGCTTGACATTAGCTGAAGACAGAGCTTAGTACTTAAATACTCCTTAAGAATAAGTTACTACAGCATCACTATAATAATCTTCTTTAAATCCGTTCGTCTCTCTGAATTTCATATGCTTAACATTCACATTATACTCAAAATTAACAGTTTTACCAGATAATGCCCTAAGAATTCTTCTAATTCTTCTCTATTTTATAATTTCTTCATTTTAGTTTTATTCCCAAATATCTTTCAAGAGATCTTCTCCCTTTAATTCCAAAGGTGGATTGGAAATAGATGATTATTTAAGAAGGTCTTCGTCATCATACTAAAGAACTAATGTAAGAGGGAAAAAAATAGCTGTTACACGACAAAAGTAGCTTTTTCTAGGAGGAAGATTCTTAAATTTCTTACTATAATTATAGTAGATATCAACTCCAGGTAAGCAATTCAAGCAATTTAGAATAGTAAATTTGTAGGTGTTATCTTTGAGTCTTAATGCTTCTAATTCTTTTATATACTCTTCTTTACCAATTTTTTGCATAATTCTTATGTTTTCCTCAAATCTTTCTTATACAGTACCATTAAAATTACATAAAAATGGAGGTGATTGTGGACCAACATTAACAAATTTCATGATATGATTATTTTTAATCCTGAAGTCTTTATCTTACTGCATGAGCTTCAACCAGAAAGGCTGCCATATATTAAGTAGAACTTCTCTGTCTTTCTCATAATAATTTTCATTAAAATAAAGATAATTTGAATATCTATTGCTTAATCCAGCATAATTAAATATTCCTCTTTCATTAATTGAAGTAAATTCAAATTCTTCAAGGACACTCTTCATTATACTCTAAAGAAAAGAAAACTTAACGATCATCATTTTCAAAAAGTAGAACCCAAAAGATAAAAGACAAATTAAAAATTGAATTACAGAAAAAATAATTTGTATTGTTTTATTATTTCCATCTTCTATCCATAATAATCCAAAATTGAATAGAGAGCAAATTAGCACATCCACCTAAGAGATTAGCAGCAATCTATTTTCCCTATAATCATGGTATGGCTAAGTTCTTATGACATAATGGATGAATATGCAAATTTAAACAAAAGTAAAGACGTACTAGCAAATAAATCCTACTAAATTAGAAGAAGGATTAGTTAGGAACTAGAATGTAAGGATAAGCATAAACTTATATACCATAACTAGTAACTTATGATAGCTTCCATTATAGTTGTATAGATTGCTTAAAGCTGCAAAATTCTTATAATCTACATATTATAATTTTATTGATTAAGGGATGAATTCTACATCGTAATCTACTATCTCTCCATTATGATTATATAATGTTTGGAGTTATTTATTCATTCTAATTCCCCTAATAAATAAATATGGGTTTAATAAAAGCATAAAAAAAAGTGATATTCCGCTAAATATTTATGCTAACAGAACTTATTCATTATCTAAAACATCATTTGGATTTAAGAATACTTTCAAACTCTCATCCATTAAAGGCATAAAAATACTTGTTAAAATAAAAACTATAGTAGTATCATAAATTTTTCTTTACTTCCTATTTAAAATTTCTTATGTAGTCCCAACTCCTCTAACCTCAGCCATTCTTTTTTTATCAAATATTGAGGCCAATATGACATAGATTTCGCATAGTATCATTATAATAAAATGCACAGTCATCATAGTCATAAAAGGTACTTAAAAATGTGATGTAAAATCAAGTGATAATATGTCTGAAATTATAACAAAAGTATAACTTAACACTGGCCCTGAACAATTACCTAATGCTAATGTAATAATTCTAAGTACTTATGTAAAGTCTCTCAAAACTTCTAAAAGGACTAACAGCTAAATCATGCTAATTTATATTGATTATTATTTACAAAAAATCTACTTTTCAAGAAAGAATAAATAATTAAAAAATAAGTATATTTTTTTTAACTTATTATTTGTTTTTATTACTTTCTTACTATAGTTTTTCTCTTGGTAAATATTAATCGATTTTATTAAAATTACATCAAACATTTATTTCTTTTCATCATTAAAAAATACTATGTAAATTTTGTAACAAGTTTAGTAATAGTTTGTTAATTATATTGAATTATTTTTTTTGTGTATGTTTTACTCTTCGTTCATATTTGGAAGTAAGTTTTAAAGGGATACAGGCTCAAATTTATTAATCAAACTAAAATCTAATTTTATAATTTATTCATATTTTTTATTTGCTTTTGATATAAATAGATTCTAAAGTATTTAATGTGAATGTATTTTTTATTCAAATCATTTCTTTTTAATAAATTTTTTCACCCAAAACCATTATTTTGAATAATGTTATTTTATTATCTTTAATGAATACTCAAATTATATTAAATTTTAGTAATCAATCAATAATTTGAAATATCCAAAATAAATCCTACAGAATTTAAGAAATATTATATGGATATTATTAATTAAATATTTAACTACTAATTCATAATCACAAACCAAAGTTTTAATTACATTTCCAAAAAATAGAATACTGCAAGTATTATTGATATAGCATTTGTTGGTTACAATTTTTAAAATTAAATACAAACTTCATATTTAATTATCATTGCATTTAAATATAAAATTAATTTAATTTGATTTTATCTTAAAATTAGCATTAACGCTTAAAATTAAGTAAATTATTTTTAAAAATAAAATTAATGAAATATTCTTTGTTTTTTCCTAGTAAAAATTTATTTATAAATATTAGTTAATATAATTAAATTCATTTATTTTTTTATAATTAAATAACATTATTTTTTTAGTATAATTTGTGAATATTTTTCACTTTTCAAAGTTATTTAAAAAAAAATATTTTTCTCAAAATTCATTTTTGATGTCATTAAAAAATTTAAATTAATAAAAAAATTTAGATTTTATAATTAAATATGAATAATCTTCATTGATAGATGTGTAATAATAGAAGTAATTTATATAAGAAAATCAAAATTAAAACATTGAAATAATTTTCTAAACTAAAAGAAAATATATTACTTACTCACTCAAAAAAATATAATTAAATCCACAATTTATTTTATAAAATTATTCAAAATTTACTTAATTTATTTATTTAAATTACTTTTCAAACCTCATCATTTAGATTTGAAATTGCTCAATCATCTTTCTTTTCTTTTTCAGATTTTTCTTTTGTTTATTCAGATTCATTTTCCTCGATTTATTAAGTATCTTTGCTATCATTCTTTAAATCTGTATTAGAATCCTAATTTTTTTCTTTTTTATTTTCTTCTTCATTCTCTTCTTAGCCTTCTTCTCCATCTTCTTCTTCACCTTCCTAATCTTCTTCTCCTTTCCCTTTTGTCAATTTTTTACCATTTGGACCTAATTCTTTTTTCAATTATTTAACTCTCTCATACATCTACTCTCTTTCTTCTTTTTCTCTGCTAAAATTAAAGAATAAGCAGCAAGTAGAAGGTATCAAAATCAGTAAAACTAAGCAAAGTAAATAAAGTCCAATAATCACGCTATTAAAGTGCATTCTCTGTAAATGTCTTGAAACATAGAAGCAATTATATTGAGGGATTCCTATGTTAATGTCAGACATTGAAAAAATATCTTTTTTCTAACAATATCCTGAACATCCAAATACTTCAAGCTAAATCATAGTTTATAAATAATGTTTTTTTTCTGGTTGTAATTGTATATCATCTAAAAAACCTGGGCATTGGGCTGCTGATTTAGCACCTTCATACTTATTTAAAACATAATTTTAAGGATTCTTTCTATATATTTCTGTTGTATTTTGCCATTTACAAGGACACTACTGAGAGCAAAGAAGCTAAGTAGTTTAGTCAAAGTAATTATCTAATTCTCTATCTATGAAAACTTAATAAAGTGGATTTATTTTAATTAAATCATCGCATCCTTTACTTAAATCAAAATAATCAGCTAGCAATCCATTTATCATAAACACTATGACAAATGTTACCATTCCAAACATAACTGTGCAAAACCCTGAAATATAATTCTTCTTATTTAATCCAATACAAGAACAAGTACTTGTGAATAAAAAGATAATTAGTATAATTAGTATGGGTAAAGATGTTATGAATCCGCTCTCAACAGATTTGTAAAGACAATACAAACTAAAACCCAGTAGATATATGGTACACGTTTTAGCTATAAAACTCAAAAAGCCTGATGGACAGCACATAAGAATCTAATTTTCTTCTCTTCCTATATTTAAATTTTTAAATTTATATGAATATTTAAAATCTTAATAATTTTTTTGTATATTTTAAATTATCAATATAATACAAGATATTGCTGTTTTTTAATATTTCTTCATTTACACTACCACAAGATAAACAAAATGAATCATTTAAAAATATTTAAATCAAATAAAAAGTTAATTTCCAGTTTTACCATTAAACAAAAAATATATTTATGGATTACAATATAATAAAATGGTAATTTTGAAATTCATATATTTTTTTTCACCATTATCTGTTTTAATTCTTATGCTCTATATTTCTGATTTAAATGATCTTTGATTTATCACTTCCTTAAGATTAAGGAATAGACTCATCATTCACTAAATACTTAATCGGAGTTTATTCATTTAAATCAGGAATATTGATCATTTGAATTTCTTGTTTTGGTTTATGTTGTTATTCCAACTATTCTTGCTTAGGATTTTTTTACTTCTTTTGGTAATTTAGAGGAATCTAGTTAGTAGCAAATAAATTGAAAATTTATTCTATGGTTGCTTACTTAACTGAGTAGTTTTAAATAGAAAGTCTTGATTTATTTTGTTCGAATGCTTCAAACATCTTACCAATAGAGATAGATGCCTCGATTCTAAAACGATAGAAATCATCGAAATGTTCAATAACACTAAAATCACCTAATTGTTCTTTAATGTATTTTTTGATTTACTCACCAAGATTTTCAAGAATAATATATTGTGCTAGTGATACTAAACTAACTCCAAATGTTGAGTTAAGTCTTGAATAAAGTTATGAACCTTCCTTATCAGGTTAGATTTAAGCCTTTAAATGAGTTGCTTTCATCTTTTCAAGGAAAAAGCCAAGGTCTTTCATGTGAATATTTGATGAAATATGCTCCTTTTCAACACCAAATGATTAGATATATTCAATCGTTTATTCATCTGAAGGTACATTCAGCTTGATTTCAACTTCGTAACCTTCACCAAATTTATCTTTAATCTACTAAACTGTACCTATGCATTTAAGAATACCTTCTACTTAAATAGCAATACGAGTCGATAAAGCTTCAGCTTCTTCCATAGAGTGAGTAGTAAGAATGACACTTGAGGTTTTACGTTTTGTTGATATTCTGGATATAACACTCCACATAAAACGTCTAGCAGCTGGATCCATACCAGTAGAGGGCTCATCTAAGAAAACAGTAGGGGGATTACCAAGCATAGCTATTGCCACAGATAATTTACGCTTATTTCCTCCACTGTAAGTACCAGCCAATTTGTGTTCGAATTCAGTTAAATCCAATTCCTTAATTTTTTATGTGATTAAACGATCTCTAAGATCTTTAGGGATACCTTTAATCGCAGCGTAAAGCTCTAGATGTTCTCTTGCTGTTAGATTTTCAATAAGAGCATCGAATTGAGGACAATAGCCAATATAGTTACGAGCTTAAGCTAGTTAAGTCTTAACATCAAATCCGTTAATATGACAGTCTCCAGAAGTTTAATTAATTTCACCTGAAAGAATTTTAAAAGTTGTAGTTTTACCAGCTCCATTTACTCCTAATAATGTGAAGCACTCACCATTAGAAATTCCAAATGAAACTTAATCAACTGCTACCTTTATACGATCTTTTGAAGGTACAAAAACTTTTCTAAGTTTATTTACCCTGACAACATAGTCAGATGGTGTAGATTTCTCAACTTCATCGATTTCTTTTTAAACGTCGTCATCATATTATTTTGGAACGTAGGGAACAGAATTTTCATGGCTCATTAACTAAGTAAAGCTACTAATATGAGAAGCATATTCAATTATGAATACTAATATGAAATACAAGAAACCTTCTAAGAACATCATAAGCAAATCTCCACCAGCAATATTCCAGGCGTAGGCAGATTAAACAGTTTTAGATCCGCTATCAGAGAAGGCATATAAACTCCTATTACCGATATTCAAAACGCCATATCCAAAACTAAAAGATGGAATAATTCTTAAAATCCAGCCAACATATATACCTGCGTTTCTAGTTGAGTCAATTATTCTTAAAATAGCGATAATTAATGGGATTATACCTCCGCAGAAGAAATTAATAAAGAAGGCAGCAACTTGTGCATTACCATAATCTGCAAAAAGGAATCCAGAGACATAAGTAAATGGAATAACACTCCATCCATATAAAAACAATAGCATAACAAGAACTCCTATACTATCGCTGTCATTAAAACCTTTGATATTGTATGCATATATCATAAGATAAGAAAAGATTGCTGGAACAATGTGCTTTACAAAATCAATCAAGTAGTTGCTAAGCCAGTAACTAAAAATACTAACACCACTAACAAGTTATTGATGTTTTATTTTATCTGTACGCTCTTTAACAGTGAATGTTATAATAGAAGCAGGAATAAACGCTAAACCAATTGAATATATAAAGCTTGCCACTAATCCACTAGCAGAACCTTCGAAGTTGTTTATTTCATAAGTATTTAAGAATGGGTCAGAAATAACTTGAATTGAAATGGTAGGTTTATTTAATTATTTAAGCTAGTAATTTATTGCTGCAACATTCATTTAGTTTATAACAAATGGGGCTCCGTCTCTATATATGCTATTTACCTAAGAAACATATGATACTTAATTGCTAGAAACTTAAGTTATGAAATATGCCCCAACAGAAGTAGTAGTTTTTTCAGAAAATACTTATTAGTCCCAAGCATCAGGTGTAGTGATAGATGCGTAGTCTTTTTCAAAATTATATGACTAATAGCTTGCAAATGAGCTGTAGATTGAGTCTGCAATATTGTCTGGTACAGAAGGAGATTTGGAAACTACTTCGTTTAAAGGATTAGGAAAGTCTGATGGAGAAAAGCTAACAGCAGGAGATTCGTCAATGAATTTAATTAGAGTTAAACTCAAACCAAATACTATGACCAAACATGGAAGAATAACTTCACAAAGAAGAGATCTGATATCCCTCTTGAAGTAAATAGCTCTTTTTACAAACATAGCCCACATATGTATTTTAAAAAGCTCAAATTTTTTTGTAACTCTAACTTTGTTTAAGTCAAAACTATCTTCTAATTCAGCAATCTAACTCTAAGAGCCTAAATCAGATTTGTTTTTATCATTCCCATTTTTTATCCTTTCTTCTTCTTCTTTTTTCTTTTTTTCAAGTAATTTTTTCTCTTCTTTAAGATGGGCAACTCTTAAGAATACTTCTTCAAGTGTTGTAATAGAAATACCATAAGACTAGATGTTCAAGGCATCCAACTAAGAATCTAAGTTCTTAAATAACTCTGGGAAACTGCTGATTTATTCATTTTGCAATTGGAAACACACTTCTGCTGAGACATCAGACAGAATTTTGACATCCTAGATATACTATTTCACAAATTCTTTGATAGGCTATGAGCTGTCAGTAGGATTCTTTTTAACTAATGTTAAGTTATAACCTGTACCAAATTTATTTTTTAAGAAAAGAGGACGACCAAGACAAACAATTTATCCATCAGCCATTATACCAATTCTATCACCTAAATAATCAGCTTCATCCATGAAGTGAGTTGTTAAGCAAATAACTTTATCACTTTTGTAACGTTTTAGCATATCCCAAATGTGTCTTCTTGCTGAAGTATCCATACCGCTTGTTGGTTCATCTAAATAAATCAATTTACTGCCTCCAATAAAAGCTATTGCAACACTTAATCTTCTTCTTTATCCTCCAGAAAGATTTTTGGATAATTCGTTTGTTTTTTCTTGCAAATCTACATCTTCAATATGCTTTTTAACTTCTTCTTCTATTTTTTTACTATCAGACATTCCTTTGAAAACAGCAAAAAGCTCAAGGTGCTCTTTTACAGTTAAATCATCAAATAAAATATCATATTGAGGACAAACACCCATGAAGGTTCTAATTTCTTCCATTTAACTTTCAACATCTTTTCCTAAAGCCACTGCTTCACCATCTGTCATTTCATACATTCCTGTTAACATTGAAATAGTAGATGTCTTACCAGCACCGTTATGACCCAAAAGTGCAAAAATCTATCCATTGTACATAGTAAAGCTTAACCCGTTAACAGCCTTCTTTCCTGAGGGATAAACCTTCCTTATATTTTTAAGGGAGACAACTTGATTTAACTCTTCTTAGTCCTTTAAGTTTTTGGCTACATCTTCAATGTTATTATCAAAATTGATGTATTCTTCTTCGTCATTCATTTTATCAAGTAGAATCTTCTTTTATTATTCTTTTGTTTATTTTTTCTTCCAAATCCACTAGATAAAAAATAGTGGATGCAATTTTTTTCCAAAGTCATTAGGGAAGACTAAATCAAAATATACAGATAGGACAAAGAATATGAGTATATTGATAGCATCCATCCATAAATTAGTGCTGATTCTATAATTATTCACTAGTAATGTTAGGTTATCCCAAGAAATACCTTTCTCTTATCCTTCAACTAAAAGAAATACATCACAAGAATATGTAGTGCCTGTATGAGAAAAGATAGATGTACTTAGTCTAGTACTTTCACTAGGAACTGAGCTACTATCCAAAACGAACTAAATCATATATTGAAACAAGAAAAAGAGCATAGCAGCTATATTACCAATTCTAGCTTTAGTGAAAAAAGTTGTTATAAACAAACTCTAGAAAAGAAGGGAAATACCAAAGAGGAAGTGCCATACAAAAAGAACACTCCAGTCACTATGCTTGAATATAGCCGTTTTTAATATAGTTGCGACAAGGATACTTGTCAAAACAAATATAATAAGATAATAAAGCACCCAAGAAATGTAAAAACTTGCTGTACTCATACCCATAATTTTCATTCCTTCTCTTATTTTCTTTTCTTTTTCTATGAGAAGCCCATATGTCATTCTTAAATAGCCTAATATCATAGGGAGAACAACAAAAACTGAGAAATTACCTTTTAAAGTGTCTGCTAAATCATCCTTTCTATGCTATTCAACAGTCATAGAAGTAATAATAGGATTTATTTTTTAAGTTGGATCACCACTTGCAGTTCTTAATATGATATTATCTTTTTTATAAGAAGATAAAATTTGTAAATGTAAGATTTTAACTTTCAAAATACGTATTCATTTAAAAATGTAAGCTAATAATGTATGCAGAAATTTTTGATTAAATCACTTATTATTTTTGATAAGAAATTTATTTGAGAAATTTATATTTTTTTGATTTATTTAAATATAATGAAAGTAATCTTCAAATATGATTAAAAATTGATGAATTAATTGTTTGTCTATTTGTAAAATTTTATTCTTATGTTTTAATTATTTAGATTGAAGACTTTTTAAAAGTGATTTTTATTTTATTAATAATAATACGTATAAGAGGAGATAAAAATCTAAATTATTCAAAAAGCTCAATATAATTAATTACCTATCCAAGTCTGCAATTGGAGGAAACCTGAATCTCTCCATGGCAAAAATTATTATGTAAGTTATTCGGTATAGTAATCCAATATAGAGGGAAGAGAAGAAATTGGGATTTCAATATAATCATAATCAGAGGAATTAAACATTAATCTATATTTATATTAGTTATTGGTATATTATTCCATATAAATACCCATACAAACATCATTTTAATATCCTTGGCTAGTTATATAATCATTTAGGGTATCTATATCAGGGTATTACTTTATTTGGTAACCATAATCATTTTACAAAATGTTTGCTACATCTGTCAGAAATCCGCTGCTATCTATCATAGCAACATGGCCATTTCTAAAAGATGGAAAGTCGCTATTAGATCCAGTAAGACAATCTTTTATGTATGGCTTAAATGTCTAACCAGTGAGGGGATTAGTAAGTTATTGATAGTCTGGTACCAATTCAGTGTAAACATTTTCCTTAAAAATAATATAAAATTATATTAAATTTAATATAATTATTTTAATTTAGAAATAATTTTTACTGATGTTTATCCAGGATCATATGTCATATAACTGTATTAAGGAATATCTTAAATTTAAATTTTAGCTCTTATCAAATAAAAGAAAGCGACAAGCAATACAGGAAGAAAGACTTCGAATATAGAGCAGCACCAATTTCTTTTCCACAAGATATAGTTCTTGCGCATAAGGGCTTTCAAATGTATAGAGAATTTAGATTTCATAGTTTTCAATTTTTTGTAAGGACTGGTAAATTTATTTTATTTAATTTTTTTTCTAAGTTTTAATAATTATAAAAATGTAAAGAGGTAATTATTTTTACTTTTAATCTACTTTTTAGAGATCTATTTAGGATTATTCACTTTAGCATGAATTTTATTATTTATTAATTTGATTTTCCTGTTTTTCTTAATTAATTTAAATTTACATGATTTTAATTGAAATTACTTTTTACTTTGAGTGATTACTCGTTTCTCACATCCCTTTCATTTTAATACAAATACATTCTCTTCTATTTTAATTTCTTATTTTTTAATTTTTGATATATTGTCCAAATTCAAGTGAAAAATACAATCTTTCAAAATTTATTCTTCTATTTTTGAAAAGTCTTCTTATTTCACCAGATAAGCCATTAATATAACAACATCAATTTATAACCTGAAAATTCAAAATTCCCAAAATCTCCGAAACTTAAAAATATAATTAAGGCTTAAAAACCATTTTCACTATGAAAATATTGATAAGTATAAATTTAATTTAAAGTTTTTATTTACATCTAGTTTTCATTTTCAACCATATTAAAAAGATTGATAATTTATTAAATGATATTTTTACAAAAACCCTACATGATATTTATAAAAAACTATATTAAAAAATGATGATGTCTAATTAAAGTAAACAAAGTAACAATAAAATGTTTTTCATTAATTCAAAATTAATTTCAGTAGCATCTAATCATCTGCTCATATTTCATATTTGATAAAAATAGAATTTATAAAAAATAAATAAATATTTTATAAAATAAAATTTACTTATAAAGAGAGATATAATTAATAAAAATAAGTGAAATGTAATTAATATAAACTTATTAATTGAAAAGAATAAATCAATAACCTTGATTGTAAAGATGTGATAAAATTTAAATTATTATATTTAAAATGATGCAAATTTATTCAAACTCAATTTTGTTAAAAATTTGAATAAATTAAGAATTCATCAATTTAAATTAGTGGGTTCAAATATATTAATTAAATAAAGAATAGAAGAAAGTGTTCTATAACTTTTCGAAAATTTAAATTATTTTTCATTCATGCTTAATTTACATTTTTGTGATAATACGTACTATTTAATTTTTAGGAAATCAGCAATATTTTAAATATTTTATTTATGGTAAAAACTTTCATTATTGATAAAAATACTACAATAATTAGGAAGATAAGATTAAAAAAATAACTATTTTTACCACTAATTATTTTTTTAAAGATTTTAATTTGAGTTTATAACAAATAAATAGATAATTTATATTCAACAAAAGTAAATCAAAGATTTTTTTTATTTAAAATTTTTTGATAGAAACAAATTATTTAGATCCATGAATGAAATAAATAATATATATAAACTAAATCCTCATTAATTCTCATCTAAATTAATTATCTTTATTTTTGATAAATTGTTATACAATATTCTCAATCCGCTCATATTAAAATCCAAAAAAATATTAGAAACCAAATTTTCAATTATGAGCCAAAATTTTTTTTGAGTTGATCTTAATTAATGAGAATATTTTAACTTTTTTAGAGATAAAAAAATTAATTGATAGCTGGATCATATGATTATAAACAAAATTTATTTGAATATGATAAAAAAATTAATAAATTAAAAAATATCTATTTTAATTTAAATGATAATTTTGATTAAATCTTACTGTATCATTTTGTTAAATATATTTATCATTTTCTTCTTATTTTTTCTGTTAAGGCAAATTATGACAAATTTTAGGGTATTATTATTCTATTTATTTTAATTAAATAAAATTTAAAAAAGTAATTAAGTTTAATTAAAACAAACACAAACTTTAAAAAATTCAAATACAAAAATATTATTTATTCATAAAATTTTAAAATAAAATAATTATCAAGATTATTTTTATTCATTAAGTTTGTCATAAAGCTATCCTAGAGTAAGCTCTTTGTTTTCAAGCATAAAATTTCTAAGATCCTTTTAAGATTTTCCTGTTATTTTAGATAGCTATTCAAGCTTTTCGTCAAGACCGTCTCCAAGTTTTTCAGTAGGAATTTCTTCTTATGATTAAGTTTATTAAGATTATACCTTTTATTCAGCTTTATTTTACTCTATTTAAGGATTAGATTGATTACTGATGACTTAAGGTATTTCACCTTATTTTCTTATTATTTTGTAGCAGTTTTTAGGATTAGTACTGTCATACTATTCTTCAATCTCCATTCCATCTGAAATATAATGGACTCTCTTAAATACACGATTTTCTGATTTAAGCTGGTCAGAGCTATCAAATTTCTCGCTATTCTAAGCAGCAATATTTTGCTTATTTTCTTATATCTTTTTATTTTCTTCAGCAATTCTTGCAATTTAATCTGTAATTTCGTTTCTTTTTTTCTCAACTTGATCTCTGTTTTTCTTTAATTATTCAATTTAAGACTCATATTATTTAATATAATGATTAATTTCATTCTCTTAGTTATGAAGACTGTTAAGTCTTCTTCTAAGTTATTCTTCTTTAGAAATTTTTCTATCAAAAATATTAAAAGGAGTTCTCATTGTTGAAAAATAATCAGAGAAATCTTCATCCCAGAAAGAATTAAATGCTCTGTTAAACTCCTCAAAAGGATTGTATCTAGAAGTATGAGAAAGGAACATTAATTATTTATTTAAGTATTTTGTAATTTTGATTAGCTCTTTTTATATATTTTTTAATTTATTTTTTATTTTGTTTTTCATAAGAGAGAGCTCATTTTTAAACCTTTTTTTTATAATGATTAAATGACAATAGAAATAATTAAACATAATAAAATAATCATCTAGAAAAAATATAATAGAAGTTTAGAATGATTCTTAATAAATGAAAATTATATTTTGATAATCTATGAATTTATCTACAATAATACAATAATAATATTTTTTATCAATACATATAAATTTAAAGCATAAATCATACATTAATAAAATCATTTTATTTTTTTTATTTTTACTTTAATTTTTGTAATGAATATAAAAAAATAATCATTTTAAAAAATAAAATTAAAGAATAAGTTACTCTAATTTAAAAAAAAGAAATTCTTTTTATTTCTAAGTATTTATAATTTTAAAAATTTCTAAGAAATTCTAAATATAAAATATAGCAACAAAACAAAAATATAAAAATAATATTTTCTACATTACTTAGTAATATTAATTGCATTATTGATATTTCTAGCGTAGATAAAACAATTTAGATCTCTTAATTAAAAGTTAAATTTTTAATAATACATTTATTATTTTTTTCTTCTATAAGGTTTTAAATATTTTTTTTTTTTAATTTACTATATTTTAATAAAAGATACTAATTATTTTATTAAAAAGAAATTTTCTTCTCACAAAATAATTAATTGAGAATAATTATAGTATATTTAAATATCTTTATTTTTATTAGTATATTGCTATACAAAACTAATATAATTTTAATTTCTAAATTATTTAAACGTTCTTAGAGGTAAATTGACAAAGAATAAAATAAGCTCCTAATCACTGCTATTTTAATTTATAAAAAGTGTATCTTATTTTTTTTAATTTTAAATTACTTTTAGATTCTTCCTTCCTCTTAAAAATAGAAGGATTTTTACTTTAATTAATAGTGAATAAAAAAATAATGATTTCATTTTATTTTGTAAATTTTCTTATTTTAGAAAATAATTAAGAATTTTTAATTATGGAAATAAAGCATAAATAAATCTAAATATTTATTTTTAATTATGATATATTAAAATGAAAAATATATTTAAAACACCTTCATTTACAAAATAAATTTCATCCTCCTTTAAATTTACAGAAGTGGTAATTGATAATTACTTTGACTGTGTCATGAAGATTTTTTTCTATTTTGGTTTGTCATATATTTTTAAGGTTCTTCATTTTATTTTAATTAGAAGCAATAGATTCTAAACTTAATTTAACATTTAAAATCGTTTGTAGTTTAAAATTAATGAACAAAAAAATAAATAGTCTAATAGCTTTAGGATTTTTAATTAAAAAAATATATGGATTTGCTTGTATTAATTTATATTTTTAACAGAACTTAAACTATAAAAATAAAAATTAAGTATATTATTCTATATTTGTTTTGGAAAAACTTTTGTTATTATGATAAAAAAGTGGGATATTTAATAAAAATTATTTTCAAAATTGTAGGTAAAAAGTACTGCTTAATTTAACTAATATCTTTTGTTAAATGCAATTTTTATCAAAATGAAAAAGATATCAAATTTCATCTCAAATATATTTTAAAAATAAGAAGTTAATATATTTTAATTTAAATATAAATTTATTTTTTTAAGTTTGATATTTCTAAATTAGAATTTTAATAAGTAAATCTAGATATTATACGTTAAAAATAAAATTAAAATTATTAATATGATTCAAATATCTTCAAACATTTTTAAATATTTTCGAAAATTAAAAATCTAAAACAATAGAATTGCTAAGATAATTTAAAATATATACTTGTTAACAACATATAATACGTAAATGCATTTAAAACATATTAAATCATATTAATTTTAGCTCATTTGCTTTATCATAAAGTTATCCTATTGTTAAATCTTTATTTTCAATAACAAAATTTTCTAGTTCAGAAGCTGGTTTTCCACTCATTTTGCATAATTAGTCTAGTTTTTCGTCTAAACCATTTCCCAGCTTTTATCTTTTTTGTTATTGTTGCTCTTCAGTTTTATTTTATTAAATTTAAGCTTGCTATTATTCACCACTTATTATTTATGGAGTTTCGCCTTATTTTCTAATTATCTTATAGCAGTTCTTAGGATTTGTACTATCATATTACTCTTCTATTTCCATACCATCAGAAATATAGTGAACTTTCTTAAATATGCGATTTTCTGATTTTTAATTATCATTATTACCAGATTTTTGATTTTGATTTGTTTCTAGTTATTTTTTCTTTTCTTCAGCAATTTAGGTAATTTTATTAGAAATGTCGCTTCTTTTTTTCTCAACTTGTTATTTATTTTTTTTCAGTTATTCAATTTGTGATTCATATTACTTAATGTAATGATTAATTTCATTTTCTTGATTATGAAGCTTATTAAGTTTTTTTTTCAGCTTTTCTTCTTTTGAGATTCTTTTTGTGCGTGGTACTCTAATTGTTGAAAAGAAGTCAGTGTATTCATCACTATCATCATCCCAAAATGAATTGAAAGTTCTGTCTAATTCTTCGAAAGGATTATATCTATGAGAAAGGAACATTTTATTTAAGGTTTTTGTTAGATTTTTTGTTGTAGAGTTATTTTTTATTTTTTTATGAATTAATTAATTATATCCTAATTAGAGTTTATTTTTCTGTAATTTAAAGTATAAAAAAGAAAAATAGTAAGTTCCTTACTTTATTATAATTAATTAAGCAGAAAGAATCTAGAATATAATTAATTTTGATAGAAATTTTCTTTTTTCTTCATTATTAAATTGTGATAGACTGAATCATCCATAATCTATTTCATTTTAAATTTAATAATAAATGAGCAAATAAAATTAATCTTTAAAAGAAAAGACTTCAGCCATTTTCTAAAATATAAAATCTAAGTATTTATTGTTTTTGAAAGTGTTAAAATCTTTTAAAGAAGTTAAATATATTTGTAGGAAAAATAAATAAATAATATTTTATATTTCACATAAATCACATCTATTAAAATACTAAATATAATAATATTTATATAAATAAATTTATTTATCCTACTATAGAAAATTAATTGGTTATTAAAAGGTTTCAAAAAAGAAACAAAATTACAAATACTTATTACACTTAAAATCAAAAAAAATTTTTATTTTGTTAATTTATTTATTAAACAAAATTATTTTTTTCAAAAAAATGGAATATTTAGTATAAATTTAAAGTTTAAACATACATAAATATATGAAAGACCATTTTTGAATAATCAACAATATATAAACCATTTAATTTTTTAATATTTATAATTAAAAATTAGGTTAATTAAATAAAGTTTATTTTTATATTCACCACATTTTTACTAATATTAACTAATTTAATAGATAAATTTGTATAGCTGAATAACCTAATCTTATTGATTTTACTTTATATCTATGTTATAAATATAAAAATTAGTATCCATTTTTATACCAGTTAATAGATTTAAAAAAAATAAATAACTTTTATGAAATTTAATATAAAAATGCATTAAAAAATGTTTAAAACACAGTTTTCAAATTGTTTTTTATTCAGATGCTTTATCATATAATTATCTGATACTTAAATCATTGTTTTAAAAAATAAATCTTTCAAAATCAGATTCAGTTTTTGCACTCATCCAGAAAATTTATTCTGTTTCATTATTAATCCCTTTTCCTAGATTTTATATTTTTACTATTTGTTATTTTTTAGTTTTATTTTATCAATTTAAGCATTCTGTTATTCACCATTTATTTCTGTGGAGGTTTCCCTTGCTTTCTAATGATCATAAAGCAACTTTTATGATAAGTGCTATCACATCCATTTCATTAATAATCTAATCTTTTTTATTTATAAAACTTTATTATATGAATATTTTCAAAACTAATTAATTAATATTATTTATTACAATTTTTATTAGTACAAAATTATTTAAAACTTAAAAAAAAATGTTAAAAAATTAAATTAAATTATAAAAATATATTTTTAAAGAAAAAAATTGATTTTTTTACTAAAATAAATATTCCTAATAATTGATATTCATAAAATTATTGGCAGTATGGACATATATACATACAGATAAAATATAATTATTCAAATTAATTTTTATTCAGATGCTTTATCAAATAATTAACCAATTGTAAGGTCTTTATTTTCAACAACAAAATTTTCAAGTTCTGAAAATGTTTTTCCAGTCATTTTGCATAGTTATTCTAATTTTTCATCAAGTCCATTTCCTAATTTCTATCTTTAAACTTATTATTGCTCTTCAGTATTGTTTTATTCAATTTAATTATGTTATTATTCACCACTAATTATTTGTGGAGCTTCTCCTTATTTTCTAATAATCTTATAACAGTTTTTAGGATTAGTGCTATCGTATTACTCTTCTATTTCCATGCCATCAGAAATATAGTGTACCTTCTTAAATACATGGCTTTCAGATTTTTAATTTTAATTATTTTCATTTTGGTTAGTTTCTAATTGTTTTTTCTTTTCTTCTACTATCTTAGTTATTTATTCAGTAATAACATTTTTTTATTTTTCAACATGCTCTTTATTCTTCTTCAATTATTCAATTTAAGATTCATATTGTTTAATATAGTGATTGATTTCATTTTCTTCTTCATGAAGCTGATTAAGTTTTCTTTTCAACTGCTCTTCTTTTGAGATTCTTCTAGTTTGTGGAACTCTAATGGTAGAGAAGAAATCAGAGAAATCATCATCCCAAAATGAGTTGAAAGTTCTGTCGAATTAGTCAAAAGGATTATATCTAGTAGAGAGGAACATTTGATTTTGGTTTTTTTATTGTTGAGTTATTTTTTTATTATTTTATTAATTAATTGAATATACTGATAAGACTAATTTATTTTTGATGAATTTAAAGATTAAAAAAGAAAAATAGTAAGTTCCTTACAGAATATTTATTTATTATAATGAATTAAATAGAAAGAATCTAGAATATAATTAATTTAAATAGAAATTTTCTTTTTTCTTTATTACTAAATAAAAAATAGACTGTCTTGCAATCTATTTTAATTAAACCTAATAATTATCAAAAATAAATTACAAAATGAAATCTTTTTTTGATATAGACATTAAATAGTATTAAATATTTGTATTTAAAATATATTTCTCTTTATGATTTTTTTTAAATAAGTTTTTCTTTCATTTAAATAATATTTCCTATTAGCGAAAAGTTAAATATTTTTTTCGCGGATAAAGAAACAAATAAAATTATATTTTGAACTTTATTTTTATTAAATTTTTACTAATTTAATTTTTAATTTTTTTGATAGAGTATTAAAACACTTTTTTCATATATTTTAATATTTTAACTTGTTATAAATAAAAAAAAACTTTATGAAATTAATTTAATTTCTAAATAAAACTATTTTTATCTTTTTATTTAAAGCTTGAAAACAAATTTAGCTTACCATTAATTATTTTTTAAATTTAATTCTTAAAATTTATTTTTTTTCTGTAAGTGGGTCTAAAATTTTAAATTAATGTATATTTTAACTTTAATTTATAAGTATTTCATTTAATTATTTTTAGTAATCAATTTAAAATAGAATACAAACATATAATAAATAAATAACGATATATTTACGATAAAATAATTTTATTCAAATTAATTTTAGTTCATTTGCTTTATCATAAAGTTATCCAATAGTTAAATCTTTATTTTCAATAACAAAATTTTCAAGTTCTGAAAGAGTTTTTCCACTCATTTTACTGAGTTATTCTAATTTTTCATCAATCCCGTTACCTAGTTTCTATCTTTATTCTTTTTACTACTCTTCTTTATTGTTTTATTCAATTTAAGCATGTTTCTGTTCTCCACTAATTATTTATGGAGCTTCTCCTTATTTTCTAATTATCTTATAGCAGTTCTTAGGATTAGTGCTATCATATTGCTCTTCTATTTCCATTCCATCAGAAATGTAGTGAACTTTCTTAAATACATGGCTTTCAGATTTTTAATTTTCACTGTTATTAGGTTGTTAGTTTTAATTGTTTTCTAGTTCTTTTTTATTAATTTCAGCAATTTTAGCTATTTATTCAGTGATGAAATTTTTTTATTTCTCAACATGTTCTTTATTTTACTTCAATTATTCGATTTAAGATTCATATTGCTTAATATAGTGATTGATTTCGTTTTCTTCTTAGTGTAGCTGATTAAGTTTTCTTTTCAATTGCTCTTCTTTTGAAATTCTTCTCGTTTGAGGAACTCTAATGGTAGAGAAGAAATCAGTAAAATCGTCATCCCAAAAATAATTGAAGGTTCTGTCTAATTCATGAAAAGGATTATATCTTGTAGAGAGGAACATTTTGCTTAAACTTTTTTTATTTACTTTTATTGTAGAGTTATTTTTTATTTATTTTATGAATTAATTTAGTATATTGAAAACTTTGTTTTATTCTTGATGAATTTAAAGATTAAAAAAGAAAAATAGTAAGTTCCTTACTTAATAATAATTTATAAAAATAAATTAAATAGAAAGAATCTAGAATATAATTAAAATTTATGGAAATTTTCTTTTTTCTTATTTTATAAATAAAAAATAGAATGGACTGCAATCAATTTCAATCAAGAATATTTTAAATTTCGAAATTGAATGCAATTAAACAAACATGATTGAAGTAAAAAAAATTATAAATTGTAATATAATTTATTTTACTCAATTTTTACAATTAATTGAAAATAAATATTTTTTATTTAAGAATATTTTTGTTTGTTCTTTTTAAATTTAATTCAAATAATAAAAGTAAACATTTTTTTTAAATATCTGAAAAGATAAATATTTTTCTCATATGAAAATAAATAAATTATTTTATAAAAGTGCACTAAAGCTACACTTAATAATATTTTATGTTAATTTATTTTTTAAAAAGCCTTAAAATAATAAATATTGCTTTGCTAAGTGATTTAATCTAGTTAAAAATATTTTTGGATATTTCATTTATTAAAAATATCTTTTAATTTGTTTTATATTTGAGAATAAATTAGTAAAATATATTTTATTAACAAAAATATAAAATATATATAGATATATTTAATGCTATTTAAATTTCGATTTATTAATATCAACAAATGAATTTAATTTTGATGGGTTTATTTTTATAAATTTCAATAAGCATAAAAATTATAAAAAAATGCAAATATGTAAATAAAAAATTATTATTTCATACATTTAAAATATAATATTCAAAACAATTTTAATTCATTTGCTTTATCATAAAGTTATCCAATAGTTAAATCTTTATTTTCAACAACAAAGTTTTCAAGTTCTAAAGCTGATTTTCCACTCATCCTGCATAGCTATTCTAATTTTTCATCAAGCCCGTTACCTAGCTTTTATTTTTATACTTGTTGTTCTTCATCTATTTTATTTTATTCAATTTAAGCATTTTATTACTCACCACTAATTATTTGTGGAGCTTCCCCTTATTTTCTAATAATTTTATAGCAGTTCTTAGGATTTGTGCTATCATATTACTCTTCTATTTCCATACCATCAGATATGTAATGAACTTTCTTAAATACACGGCTTTCAGATTTTTAGTTTTAGTCATTGTTAAGTTTTTAGTTTTTATCTGCTTCTAATAGTTTTTTCTTTTCCTCAGCAATCTTAGATATTTTATTAGTGATATTATTTACTTAAATTTCAACTTACTATTTATTCTTCTTCAATTATTCAATTTAAGATTCATATTGTTTAATATAGTAATTAATTTCATTTTCTTATTCATGGAGTAAATTAAGTTATTTTTTTAATTGTTCTTCTTTTGAGATTCTTCTAGTTTAAGGAGCTCTAATGGTAGAGAAGAAATCAGAGAAATCATCATCCCAAAATGAGTTGAAAGTTCTGTCTAATTCGTCGAAAGGATTATATCTTGTAGAAAGGAACATTTGGAAATAGGCTTTTTTATTGTAGAGTTATTATTTAATTTATTTATTAATTAATTTAATATATTGAAAACTTTATTTTATTTTTGATGAATTTAAAGATTAAAAAAGAAAAATAGTAAGTTCCTTACTTAATATTTATTTATTATAATGAATTAAATAGAAAGAATCTAGAATATAATTAATTTTAATAGAAATTTTCTTTTTTCTTTATTATTAAATAAATAAATAATAGATTGGCTTTTGAATCTATTCTAATGAATAATTAAGATTTTTTATTACCAAAAAGGTTTACTTTTATAAAAAAGATCTATTTTATTTATTTAATGATATAAAAATATTATTTTTTTTTTACTAAAATCTGGCTGGACTTCGATAAGGTCGACCTGCGCAAGCATACCAAGTCTTTAAATGTAGTCAGCCTACTAGACTTTAGTTTGTTTTTGCATATAATTTTTCAAAAAAGTTTAAAAAATCAGCTCAACCATTAAAAAAAGAGTAAATATAAATTTTAGGAAAATATTTTATAATTTAAATAAATTATTTTCACTAACATATTACAGATAGATTGTTTTTATATAAACAAAATAAAAAAATTTTTGATAAATTTTAACTATTTTTAAAATAAAATATTAACTTATATTAAGAAAAAATGAATTATGCAAAGAGCTTATTCAATCTAGAATGGATATTGTTAATCAAAGTATTTTTGATAAAAATAAGAAAATTATAAAAATCAAAATTTGCATATTACAAAAAAAGCTAATAAATGTTTATACTAAATACATATAATATAAATATTACAATAAAAAATATATTTATTCAAAATTAATTTTTATTCAGATGCTTTATCATAAAGTTATCCAATAGTTAAATCTTTATTTTCAACAACGAAGTTTTCAAGTTCTGAAGATGTTTTTCCACTCATTCTACAAAGCTATTCTAATTTTTCATCAAGTCCATTTCCTAGCTTCTACTTTAATACTTATTAGGATTCTTCAGTTTTATTTTATTCGATTTAAGCTTTTTATTATTCACCGCTTATTATTTGAGGAGCTTCACCTTATTTTCTAATTATCTTATAGCAATTCTTAGGATTTGTGCTATCATATTATTCTTCAATTTCCATTCCATCAGAAATATAGTGAACTTTCTTAAATACACGACTTTCTGATTTTTAATTTTCAGTATTAGTAGTGTTATTAGATTATTAATTTTGATTGCTTTCTATTTATTTTTTCTTTTCCTCAACAATCTTAGCAATTTGATCAGTGATATCATTTTTTTATTTTTCAACATGCTCTTTATTTTTCTTCAATTATTCAATCTAAGATTCATATTGTTTAATATAGTGATTGATTTCACTTTCTTGTTCATGAAGTTAATTAAGTTTTCTTTTCAATTACTCTTCTTTTGAGATTCTTCTTGTTTGAGGAACTCTAATGGTAGAGAAGAAATCAGAGAAATCATCATCCCAAAAAGAGTTGAAAGTTCTGTCGAATTGATCAAAAGGGCTGAATCTGTGAGAAAGGAACATTTTATTGAGTATATTATTTTACAGCTACTTATTGTTTTTATTGTTTGTTGATTGATTGATTGATTTATTTTATTGTTATTTAATTGATTATAATTAAATTTGATTTGATCGAATTAGCTTTTAATATCATAATTCAGAAAATAGTAAGTTTCTTACTTAATAAAAATTATTAAAATTTTTAGGAATAAGAAAGAATCTAGAATATAATACATTTTTATAGAATCTTTCTTTTCTTTTTTTTAATTTAATAAAAATAGACAGTTAATTATTTAATCAATTTATTTTTCAATTTTATTTTAATAAATACTCAAATAGAATTTCATACTTTATTTCTGATTATAAATATATTATAAGTAATTCTTATTGTCTATCATCTAATCTTGATTATTTTTTTTAATTCAATAATTTTATTACTAATTATTATGAAATCATTTATTTATGAAAAAATGATTTTTAGATATTTTGTAATTTATTCTTTTATTTTAATTCTATGAAATATTTTTAAGTATTTAAAATTTTTTACTTCATTTAAAGCAAAAAAATTAGTTTTCATAAAAAATTAAACGGCCTTTCTTTTTAATAAAATCACAGGTATATCTGATAAATTCTGATAAACAAAAATAAAAAAAGCAAGAAGGCTACTTAGCATTTTATTTTTAAATAAAAACTGATTGAAATTCGGCTGACTGGATACATAATGTCAGCGGAATTTCAATACCTGGATTAGCAATATTATTAAATCAAATTTATCTGCTTATTTCATTATCTTTTTAATTTGTATATAATTAATATTATCTTGAAACAAAAAATGAAAATAAATAACTAGAAAAAAGAAAATGTTTAAAAATAATAAAAAGGTGGATCTGTAAATTTAAATTGGTCTTGTAATAAGTGCTCGAGCAATAAATTAGAATTATTTGACTAAGATTTGTTGAAAAGATAATATCTTGTGAAATAATTGATTATTAATTTGAATGAGAGTCACTTAAATGATAAAACAATGAAAAATTTATCAGAAATTCTATTAAAAGCTAAAATTTAAGAAAATTTGTAATTGAATTTAGTAAGTTGCATATTTGAGTCGTACTATTTTATATCAGAAATATTATAATCCTAAAATCAATTAGTTAATTTGAGTTTAAATTTTGGTGCTGTTAATATGTTTAATGGTTAAATTGATTTTATATGTAAAGGAATTATAAATTACTATAACCTTTAAAAATTCAAACTCAATTTGACTGGATGTTCTATCTAAGATTAAGGTATGGAAACATTAGCTGACTGCTTAGTCTAATTTAAAAAGCTAAAACATTTAGATTTAAATATTTAACAAAACAGATTAGGAGAAAAATCTGGGAATCACTTTTCATCAGCTATTTGTAGTTTATAAGAATTAAGTATTTTGAAGATAAACCTATACTAAAATTATATATTTACATCTGACTTACTTGCGAACTCAATTAAAAACTTAGGATCCTTAAATAAACTCTAAGACATATATATTTAGGTATCATACAAAACATTAATTATTGCTATTAACGATTATCCAGATTATGTTAATTATCTAACTAATTTTTTTAATGAGCTAAGTAAATGTGTAAATCTTAAATCATTTAGCATAGATATTTCATCTTCTGCATTTATGAATCAATTGGTGTGTTAACATTTTAATAAAGCAATTATTTCTATGTAATTTTTAAAAATACTAAGAATAAGTGCCTTTAGAGGTCAACTTGTTAATTTAAATTAACTATTAAGTGGTATAGAATTTCATTAATCTTTAGTTTATTTAAATATAGATATGGATACATTACCAATATACCTCATCTAGCATCAGGCCTTAAAGAAAGCCAAGAGATTAGTTATATGTTAGCATTGAAAAACAAATTTAAATAATTTAATTAATAAATTTATTTATAAAATAAATGAGTTTAATTAATTATTAAGACAATTAATTAACTTCTCATATTATAATATAATAAATATCGTTAAGTGTACTAAAATAATGTTTAGTAAAAATTTCAACTTATCCATAAATAATTATTTTAATTCTCTCTTTTATATAAAATATTTTAATTTATTTTACATTTTTTAATGTAAAACTTAAATTATTTAATATAATAGAATACAGTGAGTATTAATATTACTATTTTTTAGAATTTATCAAAATTAATATAGAAGAATATTTGAAATAAAAATACTGTAAAATTAGAATTTCATACTTTATTTCTCATTATAAATATATTATAAGTAATTTTTATTGGCTATCATCTTATCTTGATTATTTTTTTAATTCGATAATTTTATTATTAATTCTTAAGAAATCATTTATATTATTTTTTTATATTTTTATAATTAATTTTAATTTTTTTAAATAATTAAATTAAAATTTTTTGTTTCAAAAATTATATTTATTATCTAATCAAATTTTTGTGCTTTTTTCATGCTCTTTTTAATTTGTATAAAATTAAAATTATCTAAAAAGGAAAAATGAAAATAAATAACTAGAAAAAAGAAAACGTTTAAAAATAATAAAAAGGTGGATCTGTAAATTTAAATTTTTCTTGCAACAAATACTCAATCAATAAATTAGAATTATTCTAGCAAAATTTGTTGAAAAGATAATATCTTGTGAAATAATTGATCATTAATTTGAATGAAAGTCATTTAAGCGATTAAATGATGAAAAATTTATAAGAAATTCTATTAAAAGCTAAAGTTTAAGAAAATTTTGAATTGAATTTAGTAAGTAGTTTAATTGAATCGTACTAATTTATTTCAGAAATATTATAATCCTAAAATTAATTAATTAATTTGAGTTTAAATTTTGGTGCTGTTAATATGTTTAATGGCTAGATTGATTTTATATGTAAAGGAATTATGAATTACTCTAATCTTTAAAAACTTAAACTCAATTTGACGGGATGTTCTATCTAAGATTAAGGTATGGAAAAATTAGCTGTCTGTTTAGTCTAATTTAAAAAGTTATAACATTTAGATCTAAATATTTAACAAAACAAATTAGGAGAAAAATCTGGAAATCATTTATCAGCAGCTCTTTGTAGTTTAAAAGAATTAAGTATTTTGAAAGTAGACCTTAACTAAAATTAAGTATTTTCGTCTGACTTACTTGCTAACTCAATTAAAAATATAGGATACTTAAATAACCTCTAAGAAATGTAAATATATGTATCTCACAAAATATTAGTGTTTCCTCAGAAAGATCATCCAAAATATGTTAATTATCTAAGTAATTATTTTAATGAGCTAAGTAAATGTGTAAATCTTAAAACATTCAGCATAGATATTACTCCTTCAATATTTAATAATCAAATGCTGTGCTAGCATCTTAATAAAGCAATTATTTTAATGTCTTTTTTAAAAATACTAAAAATAAGTGGCTTTGAAGGAAGCCTTTCTAATTTAGATTAACTATTAAATGGTATAGAATTTCATTAATCTTTAGTTTATTTAAGTATAGATATGAATATACAACCAAAAAACCTCACTAAGCATCCAGCTTTAAAGAAAGTCAAGAGATTGGTTATGTGTTAGTCTTGAAAAACAAATTAAAATAATTAAATTAATAAAACTATTTGTAAAATAAATGAGGTTAATTAATTATATTTACAACTATTTAACTTCTCATTAACTTATTTATTAATTTTTTAATTAAACTCCTTATTCATAAGAAAATATACTAAATTCAAATATTTATCAAAGCTTATATTTTTAATAAAAAATGTAAAAACCTTCAAGATCTTCAAAATTTTTTAATTTGAGATAGGTTTTAAATGATTTAAATAATAATATTGAGCAAATTTTTAAAGAAAAAATGAGTATTTAATTATTTAATATAACATACTAAAACTAAAAAAATACTTTAAATAGTAATAATTTTTTCTAAAAACTAATACTGTTTTTGCAAATAATTTTTTTAAACCATTTTAACAAATATTTAGTAAAAAAGGTAATTTTTTACTGAAATTAAATTAAAAAATAAAATATTTCTAAAATGAAAGATGTAAAAATTTATTTATGATAAATTCAGATATTTAGATATTTTTGTTGAACTTAATTAAATTATTAAATTAAAAAAGTAAAAAAAATAATTTGATAGATATATATTTATATATATAATTATTATATTTCTAAAAAAAATTATTATATTTAAAAAATTTTTAATTTTAACATTTATCGTGTTTACTTATATAAAAACATCAATAGCTTATTTCATTTTTGTGTGATTGTTTGTTTCTTTTTTCCGAATAATAGATATTCAACAATATCAGTTCTTGAATTTTCTTTAAGAGGAGTTCTTAAATTTTTATTTTAAGGAACTTCTTGCTTTAATGCAAAACTGTATTATTTCACTGTAGATGGATCACGAGGAACATCACCATTTTTTAAATAATATTCAATTGTATCTCTTAAATGCTATTAGACTTCTTTATAAGAAGAAGCAAGGTCTGATAAGTAAGAAACAGTAATATTTACTGGTTAGGGATTTTAAGGAACTCTACTTTCCCATGCGTCCCAAGCTTTTTCTTCTTTCGAATGGCTTAAATCAGGAGTGAAGAAAATATAGTTTTCAGCATCTTTTTAATAAACAACGGAGGTAGTATTTTCAGTTTGATTGAAACTGGCATCAAAATTAAGATTACTCATGATATAGTTAACTTCTAAATTAACCTAGTTTTTAACTTCTTAAAAATCATGAGTTTCTACGTAGGTTGTATTTAATAATGTTAATATTTTAGCAGTTCCTCCCATAACTATGCTAGAAACATAATGAGTTCCGTAAGCTTGAACAACTTAGTTATAAAAAGTTTGTCCGTTTTAATCCTAAGGAATTTTGACATTTTCATTAAGATATTCTAAAGCCCTTTTAAATTGATTGTTTAATGGCATCAAGAAAGCAGGAGAATTAGTTAAGCTATATTTTGACCAGTAAGATTAAGACATTGTAACTGATTTACCCTCTTTAGTAATCTTTTCATAAATTTCTTCTAAAGAATGATTAAAGCCTAAAGAAGCTTTTATATCTCCAATTTGAATACCGCCTTAAATACTTATTGATTCAGTTAGTTTTTTTTAGAAGTCTGTAAAAGATGTGTAGACATTTTCGCATGTGACTTCCTTTCTTGTGAGTTCTGAAGTAGCTTAGACAACTTATGAAACCTTATATGTTTTTCCTTCATATTCAAAGTCATAAAAGCCTTAAGATGAATCATTAAGATCAAAAATTGCAGCTTTAGTTTAACCTATTCCAGTAGTTTCCATGATCTTAGTTGCATCAAATCCACTTTTTAAGTAATCAAGCCCAGGAAGATTTTAGGCGAGAGTTAATGCTAATTGGACGATAAGGCAAGATACAATGTGTTTAAGTTTCATCATCGTTTTTTTTTTTATTTAATGTTTTTTTATTTTAAATTTAATATCCCAATAAGCTTTTTGAGTTTTTGAATGTTAAATCCTTGATATGTTCCCTAATAACTTACTTTAAACACAATATTAAAAAGTAAATTGGGTAATTATGATTAAAATTTAGAATGTGATACTTTACTTTTACAAAATATCAAAAGTTAATTAAACACTAATATCTAAGTAAATCAAGTTATAATTAAAGTAAATTATTTTTAATCTAATCAATTTTTACCATAAAATCGATTATTTTAATATTTAGATCAAAAGTTACTTACCTATGACTTTCAAGCCATTGGTATAATTTTATTGTATCGCTTACCTCAATGCCTAAATTTACAATTAAAATAAATTTTTAAATCAATAATGAGATATTTATTATTTGTTTATGAATAGAATAGAATTTTTTGAATATTACAAATATCAAAAGCAAAAAAAAATACAAAAGCAGTTTTTGCTCAGGATTTACTGACTACTTAGATCTAAATAAGTATTATGGAATAATATAATTATTTTAAATCAATAAATATTTAACTTACCATAAAAATTAATTGGAATAAATAATAGTTAAGTATAATAAATAAAAAGTTTATAAAATGATAATAAGCAAATCTTTGAATACAGAAATATTAACATAAAATATATATAACTTATCTATTATTAATGATAAGTATTTATAAATAAAGTTTTCTAGTTATTTTATAAATTAGATTTTAACTTTTTTTTAAACGAAAATTGTATTTAACTTTTTAAATTTGGTGATAAAAAATATAAATAGAAATTAAACAAATAAATTTGAACTCTAAAGTAATAAAGAAAAAATCAAATGTAAATAAATTAATTGTAAATTTAATAGTGAAAAAAAAGAAAATTATTAATCTATTTAAGGAATTATATTTATTTTTTCATAAAATTATTAACATATATTAATTTTAATAACTGGCTTCTTAAAAATATTTTAATTATCTTTTTTATATTTTAAAAACAATTTAAATCCTTTATTTCTATTGATTATTTATTACAAAATCTAACAGGGAAATTATTTATTTTTTTTAACTGAAATTGCAAGAAAAAAGTTAATATCTTTTAATTATTTAATAATTTTTTTTAGATTATACAGTAAGATAAGCCAATACATAATATATTAATAATTTAGATTGCATAAAAAAACTATTTTCTTTAATTTGTATTAAGTATTTGGTTAACAAATATTTTCAAGATATTTACAAAGCATAACAATTGGTTAATTTATTTAAATAAAATATACTTATTTATATTTATAAATCATTAAATATAGTAAATCTAATATTAATAATTAAGGTGAGGATATTGTATTTTTATTAAATTATTTAGGATTTGCTTTTGGTATTTTTCTAGTAAGATTTGGTTGAATCTCTTTAACTTAATTTATGATTAATTATTTTTACAATAAATAGTGAGCAATTTTATATTAATTATAATTTAATAGATATTAAAATATATCTTTGTATATGCTGATGATGTATATTTATTTGTTGATTGTAAACTTAATTTAATAAAAATATACTTCTACCCACTTACGCCTTGCTTCTTAAGAAATCCAAAGTTATTTTTAATTTATAAAAGAGTGATAAAACTAGCAATCATTTTTGTCTTAAAAAAATCAAAGCAAACTCTTTTAAGCTATTTCAGACCTTTAAATATATTATTAAGATATTTAAATATCATAAAAACTATTTGTAAAGTGAATACTTCATGTTTTAAAATATTTAACAAAGAGTTATTTAAGAAAAATTCAAGAAAAATTATTTTTTATTTTTTCCCACCTTATTTCCTTAACAATTTAGCCCAATAGTAAGATATTTTCGTTTTATATTCTTCAAAGTAATTGTTAAAATTATGTAGGAAATAACAGATGTTGGTCAGGTACCTGATTATCTAATATATGATAAGTGAAGATAAAATAAAATCTAAAATTATGACTCATTTCTCTGCTTCAAAATTAATAGATTTAGCATAAGATAAAATAATAAAAAATAATCTTTTTTAATTTAGTTATTTTTATATTTTAAATATGTAAATAGATTTTAATTTTTAAATGCAATATTTAATATTTTTATTAAAGTAATAATGATTAGACATTCTATTGGGTATTTAAATTTTAAACAAAACATTAGATACATTATTATATATTGAACTTTTTTAATAGCTTAATTTGATAAATACTTTGCAAAATTTTTTCCAAACAAACTAAATAAAAAGAAAAATAATTTTCCACTAAAAATTTAAGCAAATTTGTGTCATAGAAAAAAAACAAAAAACAATTAATCAAAGTTTAAAAAACAATTTTTTTAAAGAATAAAATTAACATATTAAATTTTTTAATAATTTATATTATAATCATTATTTTTGATTTGGTTTAAAGTATGTATTGTTGCTATGATGTTCGAAACCTTTTATATTTATTACATTAGCTTCATTATTAGGAGGTGTTTACATCGAGTCAGAATTAGCTATATATTTGTCTTATACATGAAGCTATTAGTGCTATGGATTGTATTCTTCATTTTTATTTACATGAGTTAATTCAATTTATTGAGGATTTTATTAAATCATGTTTTATTATTGTTATTAATGATTATAGTGGTTATGATTTCCCTTTTTCTTAAAGTTGAGGGGAATAGAATTTGTAGCAAAGAGATTAAAAATTTATTCAATAGTGGCTTATTTAACTGAGTAATTATCCACTTGTAACTTAGCTTTATTTTATTCAAATAATTCGAACATTTTTCCAATTGAAATATCTGATTCAATTCTAAAACGATAGAAATCATCAAAATGCTCTATAATAGTGAATTATCCCAAGTTTTATTAGATAAATTATTTAATTACATCACCGCGTGTTTCTAAAATAATATATTAGGCTAATGATAATACACTAACACCAAATGAAGAATTCAATCTGGCATAAAGCTAAGAACCCTCTCCGTTGGCTTAAATTTTTTCTTGGTAATGCATTCCATTCAATCTTTATAAGTAAGAGTGGAGTTCATTAAAGTGAATATGCTTTAAAGCTTCTTATTAACTAATACCAAGGCTTGATAAGTTGCTAATCAATTCATCATCTGAAGGTACTGTTAGCTTGATTTCAACTTCATAACCTTCACCAAATTTATCTTTAATTTGTTAAACCGTTCCTATACATTTAAGTATACCCTCAACCTAAATAGCAATACGAGTAGATAATGCTTCTGCTTCTTCCATAGAGTGGGTTGTTAGGATTACGCTAGATGCTTTACGTTTTGTTGAAATTCTAGAAATGACACTCCACATAAAACGTCTTGCAGCAGGATCCATGCCTGTTGAAGGCTCATCTAAGAAGACAGTTTCAGGATTACCAAGCATAGCTATGGCAACAGAGAGTTTACGCTTGTTACCACCACTGTATGTACCAGCTAATTTATGTTCAAATTCAGTTAAATCCATTTCTACTATTTTTTATTTGACAAGACGCTCTCTTAGTTCGTAAGGTATTCCCTTAATTGCTGCATAGAGTTCGAGATGTTCTCTAGCAGTTAAATTTTCAATTAAAGCATCGAATTATGGGCAATAACCGATATGAGCACGTGCTGAAGAAAGCTCTTTTGATACATCATAGCCATAGATATGACATTCACCAGAGGTTTGATTTATTTCTCCTGAAAGGATTTTAAAAGTTGTTGTTTTACCAGCTCCGTTCACACCTAATAAAGTGAAACATTCACCATTAGAAATACCGAAAGAAACTTAATCTACAGCTACTTTAATACGGTCTTTATTTGGAATGAAAACTTTACGAAGCTTATTTACTCTGACAGTAAAATCACTTGGTTTAGAATTTTCAACTCTTGTAATTTCTTTTTGAACATCTTCATCATATTCTTTAGGTACATATGGAACTGATGCTTCGTTACTGATTAAACGAGATATACTGCCAATATGTGAACCTATTTCGATTGCAAATACTAAAAAGAAGTAGAAGAAACCTTCTACAAATGTAAGAATAAGGTCACCACCAGAGATATCCAAAGAAAAGGCTGATTGAGGTGTTTTAGAACCATCAAAGAAGGCATAAAGATTACGATTTCCTATATTTAATATACCATAACCAAAGCTAAAGGAAGGTATGATTCTTAATATCCATCCAACTATTATACCAGCATCTCTTGTTGATTTGATAATTCTCAAGATAAAAATAATGAGAGGGAAAATACCACCAGCCATAAAGTTTATGAAGAAAGCTGCAACCTATGCATTACCATAATCTTCAAAAAGGAAACCAATAAAGTAAGTGAAGGGGATAACACTCCATCCATAAAGGAATAGAAGCAAGACAACAGCTCCCATGCAATCATCAGCTGTGAAAGCACTGATATTATATGCATAAACCATGCAAATAGCAAAAACGGCAGGAATTATATGTTTTACCATATCTATTAAATAGTTACTGAACCAATAACTAAAAAGTCCAACACCACTAACTAATTATTAATGTTTGATTTTATCAGTACGTTCTTTAACAGTAAATGTGATAATGGAAGCGGGGATGAAGGAATAGGCTATAGCATAAATAAAACTAGCAACAATACCAGTTGCGCTACCTTCAAAGCTTTTAATTTCTTTTGTTAAAGGTAAAGGATCGTTTGTAACAGTAATGGTTATAGTTGGCAAGTTATTTTACTTCAGGTAATAATTAATTATTGCATTATTCATTTAATTCATAGCAAAAGGTGCTGCATCTCTATAAATGGTGTTAATTTCTGCTGTATATGAATAAGTAGTTGGTGAGATAGAATTGATATAATAACCAAGAACAGAATCAGTATTTTTTTGATTAAAAACTTCGGTGTCCCATAAATTTGGAGTAATAGCAGTTTGATATGGTTTGGCAAAATTGTAAAGTGAGCTATTCACGAAGCTGCCAAATATACCATCAGCAACTTAAGAAGTTATTGAAGGATCTTTGCTAACTACTGCATTTAAAGGAGTGGGGAAATTGCTTGGGACAAGCTCAACTGCAGGTGATTCTTAGATAAATTTAATCAATGTTAAGCTTAAACCAAAAACAACAACTAGGCATGGTAAAACTACTTCACAAAGAAGAGAACGAACATCACGTTTGAAATAGATAGCACGTTTAACAATTTAGGCCCAAACATGAATGAAGAATAATTTGGATGACTTTGTGATTCTTATCTTTTGGAAATCAATATTATCAGCTTCATTCATGGTATCTTCTTCAATTTTTTATTGTTCAACCGATAAACGCTTTTTTTCTAGATGTAACTTTTCTAAACGTATTTATTCTTTCTTTTCTTCTTTTAAGTGAGCAACACGCAAGAAGACTTCTTCGAGAGTGGTAATAGAAATACCATAAGATTGGATATTTAATTATTCCAAACTTTAGTCAAGACTATTGAACATCTGAGGGAAGGCGCTTATTGATTCATTCTTTAATTAAAATCCTATTTCAGCTGAGACATCTGAGAGAATTTTGGCATCTGGAATAAACTTTTAAATGAATTATTTGATTGGTTCTGAGCTATCAGTAGGATTCTTTTTAACTATTGTAAGATTATATCCAGTACCGAATTTATTTTTCAAAAATAGAGGACGACCTAAACAAACAATTTAACCATCTGCCATAATACCTATTCTATCACCTAAGTAGTCAGCTTCATCCATGAAATGTGTAGTTAAACATATAACCTTATCATTTTTATAGCGCTTAAGCATATCCCAAATATGTCTTCTAGCTGATGTATCCATACCACTTGTGGGTTCATCTAAATAAATTAGCTTACTTCCACCAATAAATGCTATTGCAACACTCAATCTTCTTCTTTGACCTCCTGATAAATTTCTGGCTAACTCATTAGTTTTTTCACCAAGATCTACATCTTGTATATGTTTAAGAGCTTCTTATTAGATAAGCTTAGAGTCAGTCATACCTTTAAATACAGCAAAAAGTTCAAGATGTTCCTTCACAGTTAAGTTATCAAACAAGATATCGTATTAAGGACAAACACCCATGAAGGTTCTGATATCACTCATTTCTTATTATACATCTTTTCCTAATGCTATTGCCTAACCATCAGTCATTTCATACATTCCTGTTAGCATAGAAATTGTTGATGTCTTACCAGCTCCATTATGTCCTAGAAGGGCAAAAATCTAACCATTGTACATAGTAAAGCTGATTCCATTTACTGCTAATTTTCCTGAAGAATAAACTTTCCTTACATTTTTAAGAGTTACAACTTAGTTTAAGGCTTCTTAATCCTTCAAGTTTTTAGCTACATCTTCAACATTATCATCAAAATTGATTGCAGCTTCTTCATCATTTACTTTGCCTAAAAGTCTTTATCTTTTTTACTCAGGAGTGAGCTTCTTTCTCCATATCCAATTAATGAAGAATAAAGGATGTTACTTTTTACCAAAATCATTTGGGAAAACTTAGTCAAAGTAAATAGAAAGAATAATAAATATAAAGATATTAAGAATATTCATTCCCATATTGACAGAAATTGAGTAATTATCAATGGTTTATCCTAGATTAGACCAAGTAATACCTCTCTATTAGGCCTCTATGAGCAAGAAAACATCACAGGCAAAAGTAGTTCCTGTATGAGAGAGAATAGATGCACTGACCTTGGTTTATTCAGTTGGATCAGAATTACCTTAAACGATAAAAACAACCATGTACTAAAATAAGAAGAAAACCATTGCGACTATATTTCCAATTCTTGCCTTTGTGAAGAAAGTTGTAATAAAGAGACTCTAAAAAATGAGGGAGATACCAAAAAGCAAGTGCCATATAAAGAGGACACTCCAATCTGTGTGTTTGAAAATTGCACCATTTAAAACTGAAGCAACTAATAAACTAATCAAGACATATATAATGAAATAATATAAAACCCAAGAAACATAAAAGCTCGCATCGCTCATACCCATAACTTTCATACCTTCTCTAATTTTCTTTTCTTTTTCAATTAGTAAACCATAAGTCATCCTGAGGTAAACCAAAATCATAGGTAAAATGACATATACTGCAAAATTTCCTTTCAAAGTAGTGGAAAGAGGATCATTACCATATTTCTCAATAGTCATAGAAGTAATGCTAGAGAATATTTTCATATTCTAATTATTTGCTACCTGTCTAAAAATGATATTATCTATTTTATTAAAAAAATATTACTTTTCTAGTAAATAGACAAAACTTTTAAAAAATTCAATTTTAATTTTTAAATCATTAAGATAGCTCTATGTTATCAAAATCCTTATGCTTATAATTTCTGGCTAATAAAAATTATGCTATTATATCTATTTAATATGAATAAAGTATATATCTCTATATTAATTACCTATCCAATTTTGAATTGTCAAGAATCCATTATCTCTCCAAGGGTAAAAATAGTCTTTAATCATTTGATAAACATAAGTGAGAACACTTGGATCTAACGTATTCGGAACTTCTAATTGATTTTAATCAGAAGTATTAAAGAGGAGCCTATATTTGAAATTATTGTTTTAATAAGAATCTACTGCTACACCAAAGCAAATATCTTGATTGTATCCTGAACCGCTAATATAATCTGTTAAATCTTAAATATTGTTATAGGATTTCACTTTATATTTTTTGTAATTAGTAAAAATATTTGCTAATGGTTAAAGCAGGTTTCCTGGGTCTACCATAGCAATATAACCATTTCTATAATCTGGAAAATCACTAGTTTTTCCAGTTAAACAATCTTTTATTTAGATTGGCAGAGGTATGTTGTGAATGGGATCGTTGACAGGAGTGCTATCAGGAAGAAATGTAGAATATACTGGCAATAAGTTATCAGCCTAAATTAATAAAATGGTAAAATTTAATTGGAATATATACTTAAATATTAAATTCTACATAATTTTTAGAAACATAATATGGGTCTATGAAACTCTCTTAATCTAAGTAATCGATTGAAACCTATGATCTAATTAGGAAAAAGAAACAGCAGAGGAAAACTGGTAGAAATACTTCTAAGCAAGAGCAGCAGCAGTTTCTCTTCCATAGTATATAATTTTTGCGCATTAGCGCTTTAAGGTGAGTTGAAAATTTCATTTTGAACTCTTTTTTTGTAAAAATTGCTCTATTGTTTTACTGAATATTAATTTTATTAAAGTTTTATAAAAAATTTTTGATGATTAATTAATTTATACTACCTTAGAGCAATAAATAAAATTAAAAATATAAATAAATATAGTACGCCAATCAATCAATATCCATGAATTATATTAGCTTGATTGAATGTAATTTAAGCGTAGAATTTAGTACTAAATAAATTGTATTTAAAAGACTTTACAATTCTTTTTTACTCACTCAAATTGCCTAATTTACCAGACGAAAATTTATTTATCTAACTTGTTTTTTTTTTTTTCTAGAAGAATTCTTATTAAAATCTATTACATCTTTCAAATTTAAATTTCAAGATTTAATATAATAAAATTTAAAATTAACCATTTCTATATCAATAAAATAATAAGCACTTACTTCAAACTGCATTTTTTTAATTTTCATAAATCTATTTTTTGAAAATGTAAGATAACATACAGATGAATGAATATATTTGATTCTATCCAAAAAATATTAGTTTAAGTTAATTTGCCAATAATAAAATATTTAAAGTTATTAAAAATTTAACAAGTAAAATTGTAATCTTAATTTTTATCCATCAAATTAACGTTTAAAAATTTAAAACTATGTGACATATTTTTTTGGAAATTTAGGTACAGCGTTTACGAAAGTTCTAAATAAAAGTTAATAGAACCAGTACTTAAAATAATATATATGCTTTAACTTCAAAATAAAATTGAGTTATAGGCAGTCTAAATACAGCTTAATAAAAAAAATAAATTACAATTATATGCAATAGATAATATATTTAAGTAAAATAATATTAACTATAGAGGACAATTAGTCAGTCAATAAAATTTAAATTCATTTGATAAAAAATACAAAGGAAAAATAAGTATCAGAAATGATTAGTAAATAATTTACTTTACTCCAAATTATGTGCTAAGATAGCTCAAATCACAAATTAATTTATTTACCTTTGAGCAAATAGATTTCGATTATATTTACATCATTCTATCAATAAATTAATTAATCAATACAATACTATTATTTAAAATGAGAGATTTCTTTATTGAAAAAACATAACTAAATTGATATTTTTGTTTACAAAAATTTTTTACATTTCAAATTTATTACAAAAGCCTGAAATAAATAAATAAATTTAAATTTCAATATTCCAAAATTCCGTCACTTTCTTTAATGAATATAATACAATAATAAACTCCTTTATTTCATATTTTATTTATGACATTTAGAAGAAGAAAAAAATGCAAAAATACTAAAAAAAATAAGTAATTAATTATTTTTTTTACTATTTGCAACTTGCTTATTTTAAGATTAAAGAATTTAAAAATATTCAAATTACTCTTTTTATAATGTTTTTTTAATACTAAAACTTTCTGAAATAAATTCAGATTTTAATCGATAACTTTCTATTTTACATTTTTTATTGCATCAAATCGCATTTATCAGATTTTACTTTAATAAAATTAAATTTTACAATATTTTTCAAAACTTTACAAATTATTATGTTGGTGCTTTTTTGATTATGTAATCCTAATAAATCATCAATATAATAGCCTAAAATGTTAGCTTAAAATTTTAAGTGTTATCTCAACTACAAAGTCTAATAAAAAGGTTAAAATTTTATGAATTCAAAAAATATTAAAAAATATAATTCTAATTTTATAGTTTGAATGATATTTTGTTAATATTTCAATAAATATTAATGGAAGATTACTCACCATTTTATGTAAATTTATATAAAAATAAATGATAAAAATTAAATAAAGAAGTTAATCACTTTTAAAAAGGTTTTCTCTAAAATGCTATTTTTAAAGAGCATTTACTTCAAAAGTAAATTTTATAATATTAAACAATATATTTTAAATAGCTTTTATAAAAATGCATAAAATAAAATCTAAAAAATATCTGTAAGTATTTATTTAAGTAATATTTTCATTAGTTTTTTAAACAAACAAAATAAATAATACAGTTAAAACTGCCAAACTGGGCACTCTTATTGGCTGAGAACTGTTTAAAAAAGGTTTAATATTTTGTCACAAATTAAATTTTTCATTATAAATTCTATTTTAAACAGAACACTTCGATATTTTGAATAAAATTTTATGTCCCACGTGTTTGTTCTTAGTTTAAAAAAGTTTCACTTTATTTAATAGTTTTAATAATAAGTATTTCAAATAAATTTTTATTTATTTTACTACTTTATAATTATAATTTTAAAATTATTTCATAATCAACTCTGATAAACCCCGCCAAAATTAAAGTAACTAACTTGCTCTAAATTAATTTTTGTATTTTTATTGTTAGTTTTTTACAACATTCATAGAGTTTTTCAAATTCTAATAATAACTTAGTTGAATTAAGCAAAAATAAAAATAAATAATTTTGATAATCAATTTTTTAAAAATTTTATTAATTAGCACAATAAGAAAACTTAAATTAGTTAGATTTGTAATTAAATTGGTGAAATATTTTATGATAATGTTATTAACTTCTACATATAATACCTATTCAGAAAATACGTAAATTGTAAAAAATACAAAATATAATGATTATTTTGGAGTAATCATTGTAGTTTCTAATAGAAAACACTGAGATAAAATAAAAATTTTTGATAAATCAAAAATATAGAAATAAATTAATCGCTATTAAAAAATTTACTTCTAATATAAGATTTATTGATTATATAAAAAATGATCATATTTTAAAATTGAATGCATAAAAAGTAAACAAATCAAATAATGCTTTTATTTTTTCTAGAGTGATACTAAAATCCAAGTATTCACTTTTTGATTAACTAAAAAATTTTTTAATTTTAAATTAAATGCATTTTAATCATAGAAAAATTTAAAAGTAATAGGATAAAATAAATTTAGAATCATCAAATTTAATATAGTATTGAGAAAAACAATTTTAATTTCTATATCAAATGTTTTTTGATTATTTTTTAATTTTATGTGTTATTTATAATATTAGAATGCAAATAGTATTTGATAATATTGATGCCAAAAAAGAACATATAAAAAAATATAAAAGTTATAAAATCAAGTTTTTAATTCGGAATTTTAGAGATTTAATTCATTAAAACCTAAATATAGTTTAAACTCAAGAATTATTGAAACTAATCTAATTAATTTAATCAAAAATATTTGTACATCAAAAATATAATTAAATTGTTAAAATTTAAATTGTAATAAGTAAGTTAATTGATTTTAAAGAACTTAGTTAAAATGCAATTACTATTAGGATTAAAAGCATTAGAATTATTGAATCAAATGAAAAGACTTTTTATTCTTAATTCAATTTTTTTTAGATCCATAAATATTAATTAATTAAAAAATTTTTTAAGTAAATTTAATGAAAGAAATTATTTAAATAGCAAGCAGTTAAATAAATTATTTATTTTTTAATTTTTATTCTTATATCAGATATCTTGAATTGCTTAAGAAATAAACAAAATTAAAAATGAAGATGTGAAATATTGTTTTTTTATTTGATATTTATAATTAACTAATTTTTTGAAATAAATTTTATCAATAATATCTAAATTAGAATGTTATTGCAATTTATAAACCTAAAATTAGAATTTTTTAACTTTAGTTTTTTGAGATTTTACATTTTACAAATTTTTATTTTTCTACTATTTAATTGATAAAATTAATGAATAAAATTTATTTTTATTTAAACAATATTATTTAATTATAATTATAAATTTTTTCACTTATTTTATTTTGAATTAATAACAAAATAAAATGATAGGACATTTAAGCAATATTAATTAAATGATGTTTTATAATAAATGCCTCAGTAATTTTAATTTTTTAATTTTTTTCTCTTAATTATTTATATTGAAGAAAAGCAAATGTAAGTAATAAATTAAAATTTTTATATGAAATTTTTACAAATAATTAAAATATATTTTAAGTGTTTCCTAATTCTTAAAAAGTATTTAATTTTAGATAAAAATTTGAAACTAAAATTTATTTAGTGTTTTATTTAATTATATGCTTAAAAAGTCTATATTATTACTAGATATGAACATATTAACAATCGATTAAAATAATTAGTTTAATAAAGGGAATACAAAATTTTAGTAGGTAAATTAACTATAATAAATAAATGAATAAATAATATTAAAGTTTTAGTATTATAATTAATTATAAAGTAGTTCTATTTAATATAAAATATTTTTCTTTCAGTCTTGGTAAGATTTTATTTACAAAATTTCTGTTATTTTTTTGCTTGGAATTTTTAGTTTTTTAATATTATTTTGGGGAAAGTGAATATACCCGTTTGTATTTGCTTGTTCTGAATACTCATTAAATATAGTGCTTAATTAATTTTATCCTGCTTTTTTTAGAGTTGTAGATAAGTTTGAGAATGTTTAATTACTTTTTAATTATGTTTGACTATTTTAAATTTCCTTTTTAGTTTGTGAAAACTACTGATTTAAGCGCTTATTTAAGATATTAGAAGCTTTTTGTAGTGCTGATGAAGGGCGAGTGCTATTTTTAACTTTTATTCTATATTTATCAATATTTATAATTTTCTAATTTTCTATATACGCAAAACTCTTAATTGATGTATTGTTAGTTTTAGCTTGTTCATGAGACTATTCTTACTAAGTTATATTTAATGGTGGCTACTCAGCATAATTTTGTTCATTTTAGGATTGAGATATCACTCTTCTTAAGAGGCTAATTGAAGAATTTTTAGTTATTTAAGATCTATAATCATTATTATGTTCCCCATTCAAGTAATGTGAGTTGAAATAGAAAATATTTGTCATTACTTTATTTTGCTGCTGATTTTCGTGTTGGATCTTACATTATACAGAAGTGGATTATCTGCTTGTATTTTTTGTGCTTATGTCTGACTAAATGCAATTATTATTAATTAAATGTTTTTAATCATTAGTTTCTTCAGTCAAAAACTCCTTTTTGATTTTATTTTCATCAATTTTTAATAAAGTCTTGGCAGCAAAATCTTAGGATTTTGCATTGAAATTTGCTAAAACACTATGAGTTTGAAGCATTTTTTTATCTTTAATCTATTTTTTAGTAGGGCTTAGTGTAATTGCTCTTTTTCTTGAGAGCATCTTACTTTTTAAGTGCTATTTATTAGATTCATCATTTTCTTCCTAATCTAAGTCTTACATAGATGTTTAATTACTCCTAAATGAGCTATTTTATTGCTACGAAAAGACTACTTTAGATGTTTAGCTTATTGGTTTAGGGTGTTAATTGTTAACATGATTAAAAAATTATATTTAGGATTTTAAAGTCTAAGGATGCGTATGTATATTTTATATTAATTCGCTTTGGGAGGATTTTAATTATTGTAGTAATTAAGATTTATCAAAATTTAATTGATGGTTTTCAGTGTCAGTATAAATTTATTTTTCTTGCTAATTTTTTTAGTCAAAGTTGTTACTTTTATTAATTTTATCTAGTTAATGGAAAAGTTAAATACAATTAGTAGGTTGAATGAGTTATTCTTTAAAGAAATTTATATTATTGTTAATGGAGGATTAATGCTATTTCATTTACTTAATTTTCAGTAATCTTGGTTTCAGTAAGCTGCTTTAGCTCTAATTCAGCTCGTTTTTATCATTTTACTTTTTGCTTTCAGAATTTTGATTTGTAGTTTTGGTTTCTGGATTTTAATATGTGGTTTTGCTTTCTAAAATAATTGAAGGAACTTTTTGTGGGCTTTTTGACAGCTAGCTTAAATCAGATGAAAAGTGTATTGTACTTTTTGTAGAATTAGATGCATCTGATATATTTTTATTCCTGATGCTTACTTTTTAAATTGAGGAATGCAAATTTATCATTTAGTTGAGATGAGACGAGCTCTATTAGGATAAAATTCCTGATTAAAATGGTTATTTTTGATCTGTCAAATTAAATTAACAACTATTATTTATTTAATTATTTTAATTTAGTTAAGCGCAACCCTATTAGACAGAATTTTTAATTAAAAGAGAAGATGATTAAAACTCAAGTGATTTGTTTACAATTGCTTTCCCAATATTTTGTGCATTTTCGATATCTGAATGTAAAAATTCATTTATATTCAAATAATTTTTACTGTCCATTAAATTTTAATTTTATTTTTATTGTATTACTTTTCCTTATTCATCAAAAGCTTAGCACACAGCAAATCTATCTTTAAAGTCGCAAGATCTAGATTGCGTCATTTAAAATCTACTGTTTTGCATAATTTATTGTTTTTCTTAAATTTTTTGATCCGTATAATCTAATCTCTGATTGTAAGCTTGTTAAACGCATTTCTCAAAAATACTATCACTTTGATTTGAAGTAAGATACTCTCTAAATTGTGAATAATTAAAAGCATATACTTCACTTTTTGAACTAGAACAAATTGCTTTAAAAACTCTTTTTGGAAATCCATCCACTAAATTGATCTCTTCGCCAAAAATATCACCCACCTTTAGCTTACAGATTTCAATAGATTATCTTATTTTCAAGCTAAGAGGTACTTAATTTTCTTAAGACTTATTCTAAAAAATAATTGCTTTCATTAACTTGAATTCTCCTTATTTGACCATGTAAATCTTATCACGCTGAGAGTCTTCATCAAACACAACTTGGCCTAATTTGAATTTTTCTACTTACATGTCCATTTGCATGTACTTAAGACTATCAAAATTCCAGTTCATGCAGAAAGGATATTTAGCTAGAAATTATATTTTTTCATAGACTTCTCTTTTCTCGTATTGTCCTTTTGTAGATTGAAATATTAGAAAAAAAATATTTAATTGATATTCAAATTACTCTAATATAATTTAATTAAAGCAATCTCTAATAAACTACCATAAAATTAATTCTCTTGACAAATAAAGTTTTCCGAATTAATTAAATTACTTGAGAGATTTTTTTTATTTTTTGCAACAGATTTTAAAAAAGTAAATAAATAAAAAGCAAAAGAAGTATTTTCAGTTGGATGAATTTTTTTACTTTTTTTTTTCTAAGTTTACAAAATAACAATTTTCTGTTGTTTTATTTGATAATTAAATTGAATAAATTAGATTATTTTTACCTACAAGATTAAAGTAACTCTACTTGCTAAAAACTATAAACTCACAGTCTCTTTCAGTCTCTATATACGATTTATCACTAGCTGTAGAGTTGAATCTAACTTACTACCCAAATTAATTCCCGATTTCCAAACCTTCTTAGCTATTAGAGTTAGTATCTTTAGTTATCAAGCTTCCTTGAATCAATATATACATAAATGGGTTATTACATCTTGGGTTCAAAAGAATTTATCCTTTCTCTACAAAGCAATACTTTAAATTATAAATTATCTTATCGATTAACTTTTATCCATATCTTTCCTTCTACATCATGAAAAATTCCATACCATCTAGCAAATCTTAAATGCTTTTAACTTGGCTAAATGATCGCTTAGTCGATTCAAGCTTGAGTGCCTCGATTCCTTTCTAATTAAAAGTGTTATTTTAAATACAAAATTAAAAATGATGTTTTATAGGATTAATTTAATTGCATTCACATCTTAATTGCAAAAATAACCATTGTAAATAAAAATAATACTTGTATAAGTTCAGTATTATCGAAAATCTCTGAATCACATCTCCTAAGTACACATTACTCTTAAGCGTTTTAATCTAAGAAAGCTTAATTTTGAGCAAAATGGCAGCTTTATTATTGATGCAGAAAGAAATGATTTGTACTTTCTAATAATTAGCTATTCATTATACAATTAATTAACCTTTTTTTCTTAGTTATTATTTAATAATATTCCAAGAGAGTATTATTATTATTAAAATTTACAAATTAGATTGAAGATAGGCAAGGGTTATTAGGAAATCTATTACTTTTAATTAAATTCAAATAACCCTAACTATCAAGATATAATGACTTATAATAACCAATTACCTTTTGAATATTAATATAACAATAATTTATGTCTCTGTTGATATAATACCTGACATTCTCTAGTCTTATTGCTAAATTTGTGGTCTTAAAGCTTGTGAAATTGATAACAAATTCTAAACTATAGATACTAGTAATAAAATACTCTGTAAAAATAATTGATTTATGTAACCAATAAATAAAAGAAATTATTTGAAACATACACACATTAAATTTTTAAGGCAAATATATAAAATTATTCAAAAATTTATTATTGATAATTGTTTGTATGACCAAAACTAAGCACAAACAAGCAAACTAACAAAAATAAAATTAAACTTTCAAATTCTCACAATATTTTTTGCTTTATAACAAAAAATCTATTTAAAAAACAATTTATATAGAAATTATGAGTGACAAGCATTAAAATACTTATTTCTAAATATTTATTTAAGGTTTTAATTAAATTAAGTTATTAATATTTAGATTTCGAGCTCCTATTAAATACAAATAAAAGTTTATTTTTTATCGAATTTTATATTTAGCTCGAATACAGCTAATATTCACAATCACGAGCAAAAATACATTTTGAAAATAATATAGTTATTTTATATATTTAGGAATAGTAAGAATTATTTGATACGTTTATCTAAAATATTGTCTTATTATCTTTTTTAGCTAGTAAAGCTGTTTATCTATTAATTGAGATATTAAATACAAAAATAGACTTTTTAAAAAATAAAACATTAAAAAAAATATTTTATTCATGTAAAAATAAAAATTGCAGTTCATCAGCTTTTGAATAAGTAAATTATTTTTTTGATAGAAAATACTCTGAGCAATAATTATTCAATCATTAAATTTATTTGTTTTAGTTTGCAAAGGATTTAGATTTTAGAAATCAATTAAAATCACTAAAAGAAATTAAAATTTTAGACTTTGATAATTTTATAAAGTAAGAAATGAGTTCAGCTGTTAAAAGAAATCCTACTGATTTTTTAAAGTAAATCATGGGTCGTTTAGTTAGTGTAAAATTACATAATGGAACAGAATATGTAGGAGTTTTAGCTACTTTTGATGGTTTAATGAATGTTGTGCTTCAATAAGCAGAGGAATTTGAAAATTCAGAATCAAAAAATAAATATAGCGAAATATTTATTCGTGGAAATAATGTTTTATATTTATAACAAAAAAAGAATAAAAAATGATTGCTTACAAAAAATTTTTGTATCATATATTTGAGACTATTTATTTTATATATTGTTATAACTCTATCTATTATGCAGCTTTTGCTTGCGTTTTGCTAAAAATCATTTATCTGTTTAAATAAATTTGATTGATATTATTTAAAATAAATATCTTTTGTCTAGAAAGCAAGCAAGTATATTGAAACCTAAAATAAAAATTATTGAATTTATAAATAAACAAATAAATTAATTTTATTTTTTATAGCTTTTCTATTCAAATGAAATCTCTAAAATTAATTATTTAATACTCTTACATGTGATTTTTAAAATTTGCTCACATCTGAAAGATTTTAATTTTGATTTTATAACTTTTAAATTTAATATTTTTAAAAATTTTAATATTATTTTTTAAAATTAGGTAAAAAGAGCAGATTTTAAATTAAATTTTAAAAATATTTTTTATACCATTATAAAACTAAAAAAATAATAATTAATCAGAAAAAGAAATTTTATTGGATCAGTTAACTTTTAAATAGAATATTTTAAATTAAAATTTATTTTAAAAATACAACACAAAAATAAATTTAAAAAGATTTTGAAATTATTTTTAAAGTAGTTGAACTAATTTTGAAAAAATATTTTTTAAATCATTCAATTATTTTAAATATTAATTAAAATTTTAGTTCTTTTTAATTTTTTGATAAAGAATTTATTTTTAATATAAAAATAAAAAAAAGAATAAATTACTATTTAACTTATATCAAATAATTACAAAAACATTTTATTGTATTTTTTTAAGTAATTGTAGAACAAATTTTTTAGAATTTTAGATAAAGCATTATTTAGATAAATATCTATTTTTAAATTTTCTAAAGAAGATTTGAGAAGAATTTAAATTATCAATAAAATTAATTAATGGCAATTTAATTAATTTGTTTCGTTCTTAAAAATTATAAAAGATAAACATTTTTTATGATGCTTGCTTTAATTTAAATAGGTTAAGCTCTTAATGAGACATGATTTAAAGGGAAATAAAATTGGAGGTGATGACTTTTATAGTGAACACTCTATGAATGTTTGTATGAAAAAATGAAGTTGTTTTAGTAACTTTTAAATAGATATTTCTGGAATTGATAGTTTTATTGATGAATTGAATAAATTAAATTAGATTATAGATAAATAAATGGTAGAGTGGATGGGTGTAAATACAAGATATATAACATAAATTAGTTGTTTATATGAGAAAAAGAATAATATTTATAATTTAATTTGCGATTTCATTGTTATTTTCATTAGCTAATCTGAAAACAGTAATCTTTTTTCGTATTTGCTAGCTACTCTTAACTCAATGCTTTATTTAGATCTATTGATTTAGTGTTGCAAATGATTATTAAAAAATTTAGTCAATACTTCATGTCTATCACTCAAGCTCACTCTGCTTCATATATTTGTTTTTTGCTTATTTTTTGGAATAGATAAGATTAATTTATTAGCTAAATACATGGATGCGAGTTATGTCTATCAGTCAGATTATGGTGATGACTGATTAGTTACTTTTGTTTGTTTTAGTGTAGTTATAATAGATATTTTTGCTGCAATTTGAGTCCTTTCAATTTTAAATTTCTCTGATGAAATCATCAAGATAACGCTTAACATTACTTTTGGCATTTTACTTGCAAATATCATATTTACCGCTATTATTATTTGCCTTAAAACAGTTATAAGTTTCATTTTGGAGGAAAGCCATTCTAAATTCAAACTTTTTTTCTTCACTGCTAATTTTATCAGTGGCTTTGTTCATACAGGTGACAAATCTTTCAACATCATCTCTGCTATCGCTGAGGCATCTCTATTCGACGCCACTGAGACTTTGAAAAACGAGCTATTCGGTTTATTGGAGCTATTACTAGAATTCGCGGGAGAAATTAAGCAATTCTTGTTCAAATTATGACATGATGGTTCTTTATTTTATAGTTTTTTTGTTAATTTATTAGGTTTTATTCCTCTTTATAAGGTATTTGTTGTTTATTTAGAAATTTCTTCTTTTTTTTTATTTGTGATGAAAAATATATCTTCTTTTTTAATTATGATTTTTTGAATGTTAAATAAATTTAATATTTGATAGTCCTTCGTTTTGGGTTATATTTATATTAATTGTTCCCTAATTTTTACATTGAAAGAAATAAAGAAACAAACACAATTTAGTGAGATAGCTAGTTAATAATTCTGCGAATAAGCATTATTTTCGCAATTACATAGATATCTTTTTCTATTACTTACCAAAGCTACCTTTTTATCTTAACTCTTCAATACATTATTAGCTGCTTGCTCGTCTAAATTATCTTTCATCAAAATATATTTTAAAGTATTTATTTATTTCTTTTTACATTTTTTGCAATTAACATTACTAACTAACACTTATTCACTTCATTTTTATCATTTTTACTTTTATAAGCAATATTTCTCATTTAATTTAAGAATTTACTATTTTTTTTAAAATGAATCTTTCTAGAAAACGCTTTTTTCTTTCATAACTAATTGTTTACATTATTTGCATACACTTAAAATTTAATTCTGATAAACCATGTCTTATTAAATTTTCTAAGAAATATTTGAAAGACTTTGCCAATTTTAATAAAATGTTAATTCTACCTAAGCTTCTATTATTTAAATATCTTACTTTTATACACTTAAACTCTCATTTAAAAGTATTAACTTCTGCTTTCATCAGTAAATTTATGTTGAACTTTTTAAAAAATTTTTCTTAGTGCGTAGCATTTAGAAAATAAAAGAACAACTTAGAATTTTTATTTCCAAAAGATATTATTCTTATCAATTCAAATTATTAATTTTTTTCTACTGTTTGATAAATGATTAAAAACGCCATCATTCAAATAGCAAGGAGCCCTCTTTAGGCTTAAAAACTTAGATTAGCATAATCCTAAATAGCTTGTTTCTTGACCAACAATAATTATAGCAGGATTAATAGTTTATTCTAAAAAAATGTGTATCATTACAAGCAATAATACAATGTTTTCGGAGAGGAAATAGATCAAGTAACAGATCCAGCAACAGATGTTCAAGAAACAATCAATCATTTTATTCAGTATTACGCTAGAAAAGATGTCAATACTCCTAATGTTCTTGTTTCTGCTTATTTCAAATTACAAGGAGCTCGTCTTGGTACTCATTAATCTGCACTTATTATTCCTTTCTGTTTCTGTTTTTAATCAGTATCATTTAAGATTGATTCAATTTAAAAATAGGAATAATACCATGTCATTTTTAATTAATTTTTCAATATTTTTATAGGAATTAGAGTAAAAGATGTTAAATTTTAACAATTTTTGAAACTCACTGAAGATATGATTGTAAAGAGAGAATTAAAAGGATCACATGTAAAAAATATTGCCTTTAAATTACAATAAATAGGTGTTTATACTTCCTCCATATGGAAACATATTCTTGAATATGCTGATTAAGATTTCGATAAAATAGATGGAACAACATATATAGAAATAATTTATACTATTTACGACTCAAAAAGCGATACTGAGGTAGAAAAATACATTCAGAAAAATGAATAAAAGATAATGAAAGCTATTCGTAATTCATCTAACAATGTATTAGCTTTTGTCTAAGGAATATATTTAATAAGTAGAATAAGAGATATCAGATAAAGTGAGAAAGAATAAATGCATTATTTAATTTAAAACAGAATTAATGATATTTATTCAGTATTTACTTCAAATTAACTTGCTGATATCCTCTATCTCGTTTATGAACTGTTTAATGATGAGCTTAAAACTGAATAGATCAACTCATTCATTAAAAAAACATTAGATACCTTTATTGTAAAAGATCTAGCAGAATATGACACTATGCTCTAATAATACGAATTTGTAGATAGGAAGAACGATGAAATAGGAATTTTAGACAATCTTAAATGGTCTTCAGCAGCCAAAGTTCTCACAGTTGTGTCTGATGAAGTATTTTATGACTAGAACTTGTTTAGAAGGTGATTATTTTAATTGAAAAAATAAATAATTTATGTCCTTGGAAACTAAAGAATAAATTGATATTTTTGAAAGCTTACATTTATTAAAAATTTTATTTATTTTTAGATTATTGATCTAATAATATATACTAAAAAAGAATTGAAGACTTAACAATGAGGAAAAGTGAAACAGATATTATAGATATTGATAGTGCAAGTTTATTGTTAGAAAGTTTGATATTAATAGAAATAACAGAAGTTTAAGTTCTTTTACGTATACTCGAAATGGTTGATAGAAGATTATAAGAAGAAGGCAATAAGGCTTTTGAAATTATCCATCCTTCTAGCATTGTACGAATGATGACTGTCCTAAATCATTTCCTCGAAATCGATATTGGTCTTGAATTTTGCGATAGGTTATAAAACTATTTTGCAGGTTTAGTAAAATCAGGTGATATAGATTACAAACTCACTTCAGAATACCTAATTGAACTTAAAATGGCCTTCGAAGACTCAGCAATAACCCATATAAACAAAGAACTATTTTAGCATATAAATGAGCTATTACAAAAAAAATAAATTGAAGAAAACTAATAATAATGAAAAAAATTTTAATATTTATAAACTTATTTTGTATTTTTTATATTTATTTTTGTTTCATTTTACTTTTTAAATGGTAAAATAATATGAAAAATTTATGATAAAAATCAACTTAAAATAATTTAAAGTAGATAAAAACCATAGTCAATTTATTATTTTATTTTTCATTTCTCTGCTAAAAAAGTATGTATTTTTTTAATGTGCTATCTCTATATATTTATTTATGAATTAATTTGATGGATTAATTATGAATAAATTAGATCAATTTATCTTTGTTAAAGGAAATGATTGTATTTATTCATTATTAAAAATCAAGAGTAAAAGAGTCAAATTTATGTGGTTAATATAAATGAATTTATTATAAAAATACAAATAACAACAAAATTATTACAATAAATTTTTAGTTACTTAAATACTAAAGCAATATTTTAATATAAAAAAAATTATTATATATCTATAGTAAGCTGCACATAAAAAGTTGAAATTAAAAAGATAAAAGACATAAGAAAGATAATAAATTTATAAAAATATTCACTTTTAATTATATAACATAAAGTAATAAATATATTCATACACACTATTATAAATACTTTTAATAAAAAAAATGGGCATTTGCTGTTGTAAAAACGAGCCATAAGTTTAAGAAAAGATTCACTAAACTAATATAACTTACAAAGATGTATTTATTACCTTCAAGCAAGGATCTATTAAAAAAGAAGAAGCTGACGTCTTAGTCATCTCTACTGACAGTTTTATTAGCAATAAGTCTACATCAATATTTAATGAGGATATGATCATCCAAAGTATCAACTAAGAAATAAAAAGTTCCAGAGGTAGAAACGAAGAGCCTCTTTAAACAGGAGAAATTATCTTTTCTAGCCCAGGTCTGCTCAAAAATGTTAAAGAATTAGCTCACTTGGCAGTCCCCATTTGGAGAGGTGGCAATTATAATGAAATAGAGAAGATAGTAAATGGTTATGTTAACATTTTAAAGCAATGTGAAGAAAAAGGATATTCAATAGTTATGTTCACTGACATTACATCAGGTAGATTTGGTATTCCTAAATAGCTAGGAGCAGAATGCTTTATCTCTGCATTAAAAATATACCTAGAAAAGGAAAAAAAAACTAACTAAATTACCACAATAAAGTTCATTCATTAGTTGAAATCAAACTTAATATTTTTTGAAGAGTTCTTCTAAAAAGAAGCTGGTACTAAAGAAAAAAGTCAAGATTCTGAATATTCTGATCACCTAAAAATAGCATATGCATATAGTCCTGATAACAACAATTCAAAATTAGAAACAGTTGTAGAAATGAATGGATTGATTAATAATAAAAACAATCATAATGAAAAGGATGAAAAGAAAGAATGAAAAAATAGCCCTAATAAATTAAAAAGTATATTAAAATATCAAAGATTTTAAAATATTTCTTTGAAATTAAATTATAAAAAATCTTAAATCATGCTAAATTAAAAAATTAAATATTTATAAATTTATTTTGTAAAATTTTTTTATCATAAATTATTTTTTTAATTATTCATTTTAGATAATTTTATTTATTTTATTCATTTTTAAGATTATTTTATCACGATTTATTTATTTTTAATATTATCAATATAGAATATATTTAAAAGTTATTATTTTATATAAAATGTTCTTTAAATAAAATAAAAATTATTAAATTTTCTAAAGTATTTTATTTCAAGTTTTTATTTTTATACCTTAAATTATTTTTTCTTTTCGTTATTGCTTATCAATCAATTTTAAAATATTAAAATTTATTGAAACAAAATTCAACAAAAAAATAAATAAATTTAAATTAATTTAAAGCTTTTAACATTTAAAGAAAACATTTATTAAAATAAAATATATTTAAATTTACTATTTACCTTTTTATAAAATTTAAAAGAATTATTAGTTAATTTTTTATTAGATTTTTTGATAATTTTATTATTTTTATTATAGTCAGAAATTCAATTTTTATGATTTTTTTCAATTCAAGTTAGATAATTTATATTCGTTGTAGAAATCATTAATAATATTTTTTAATTTATCTGTCTTTAATATAAATTTAGTTAATCCATGATTTCCATTTTCAATTGTAATAAGTTGACAATCTTTTATTTATTTTACACAGTCTACGCTGTTTTCATAAGGAACTATTTTATCGCTAGTACCATGAATTATTAAAATATTTTTACCCATGTTTCTTTGATTTATTTTTTCAACTATTTCATTCCATTTAAAGTTTGGGGTTTATCCTACTGTGTCAAGTAGGTGTTTGAGAGCTGGACAGCAAAGCACTATAGGGCCATCCCAAATTCCTTCAGAGACTAACAAAAGTCCTATTGCTCCTCCCCAGCTACTTCCTAAGATTATATCAGGTTTGTTTATTTTTAGCTCAGCTTCTTATATGGCAAGGCAGCCTTTTAAACTATCTTCTACAGCTCTAGAGGGTCTAAAAAAATTCTTAATTAAAGTACGTAGAAAACTATTTCTTTTGTTAAGTTTCCACTTAGACATTTCCATAGAAACAAAATAGCATGTTTTGTAATTCTTTTTTAAGTATTTGTGTTTAGTTCCATTGTATCCGCATTCAAGCCCATGAAGAAAAGAGATAGACTGAGGAACAAAATGATGTTCCTTTGAATCTAAATGCTATTTGTTATTGTTATCTTTAAGTAACTATTCCATATCTTCTTTTTTTATTTATTTTTTAGTTTTTAAATTAAATTATTTACATCTAAATATGTAGATTAAATCTACTGAATTTAAACCAATTCTAATTAGGATTTCCTTAAGACTAAATTAATTCACCTTTATTTATTTTCAATAAATACAAATATAATAAGTAAAATGGAAGCTAAATTATACACGACTAATCCCAATAGAAATTTAGTCACTAAAGAGTCAAACAAATTTTCAAAATTTATTAGGTGTTTTTATGTTAGAGGCGCTATCCTTACAAAACAAATTTTTTCTGGTAAGAAACAATTAAAATTTAGTTTTAAAAAATTGAAGTAGAAAACAAATTATTTAATTTTATTTCTTCATTTTTGAAATTCAAACTATCTATTTTATTGATTAATGAAAGGAATAAAATTTTTCTTTATTACCTGATATCAACAAAAATTTTACTCTAAACAATAGAAATAATATCATTTAGGAGTTAAAATATTATTTTCTAATTAAAAAGGAATCTAAATGCATCAAAACTCAAAAGTCAACTCATTACCTAAGGAAGAGACGCACAAAAAAGATATAATTTTAAAATAATATAATTAATTATGTTTTTATATTATTCATATTTAGTTTTTGTGTAAGAATATTATTTTCTAATTGTACTTTTAAACAAATTATTATCAAAAAAATTTAATACTAATTTATTTCAATATAACTTCAACAAAATTACATAAAAATATTTATTTTAATGATTATCTTTTTTAATAATTCTTTTAAAATTATTTTCCTTCTTTTTTTATTTAAACTAAAATAAATTTTATTTAACTTTAATATTTTATTTTTAATTATTTATCAAAACATTTATTTCATTTATTTAGCTACTCGAGCTTGTATTTTTTATATAAATCATACATTATTCCTTTTAATCTATCATTTTTTATTATATAATCATTTAACTTGTGGTCACCGTTTTCTATAGTAATTAATTAGCAATCTTTTATCTATTTAGAGCAGTCTACGCTATTTTAATATGGGATTGTTTTGTCTTTCGTGCCATGTATAATTACAATGTTCTTACCTAAATTTTTCTAATTTATTCTATCTACGATTTCATTCCATTTATATTTAGGTGTTTACCCTACTTTATCAAGAAGGTATTTTAAAGCTGGGCAACATAGAACTATAGGACCGTCCCAAATACCTTCAGATACCATTAATAATCCAATTCCTCCTCCCCAACTACTACCTAAAATTATATCAGGTTTGTTAACTTTCAATTCATCTTCTTAAATTTTTAAACATCCTTTTAAGCTTTCTTCGGCTGCTCTTGATGGCCTAAAAAAATTTGTACATAAATTACGTAAAAGAGAATTCTTTTTTTAGATATTCCATAATGACATGTTCATAGAAACATAGTAGCATTTTTAAAAACTATTCTGCAAATATCTGTGTTTGGAGCCATTAAAGCCACTTTCAAGTCCATGCACATAAGATGCAGATTAAGGAATTAGCTGGCTGTCTTCTTTGCTTTCTTCAACTTAGTTAAACTCTTAATTTACTACTAATTATTTATCCATATTTCTTTGAAAAAAAACTTTTTTATAATCTTTCTTTCTATAAAAAAATATTAAATTTAAAACAAAAGCTACATAACATTCATTTAACAAAACAAAATCACTGCTATATAAATCCAAATCAGTACCATACCAATGAAAAATGTTATATCTAAAATATAGAAAAATATGTTGATTATTATTTATTGAAATAATACATAATTAATATTTAAAAGTCATATTTTTTGCTATCAGATAATATCATATCATATACCTCTATTTTAATTATAAAAAAGTTGTTTTAAATTTTAACTGCAGATTTTTTTTTCTTTAAATTTGTTCAAAAACTTCATTTTTAACATAAAATTATTGATTTTTTTAATAGACTTTATAATGTATAAAAATCAAATAATTTAAATTAAAATTTTTAAATCTACTTTAAATAATATATATCTATTTACATAGCTAAATTTGCTTCAAAATAATATGAAAAACCAAACAATAATTATATATTATGACAATGTATTAAAAAATTAATAAAAATTTTATTTGTTTTATTTTTTACTATTTTTTACACTTTATTTTGATTTAGAATTTTAATTTTAAATATCTTCATTTTCAACTTAAATTGTTGATTAATAAACTTGTTCAGGTTGAAAATAAACTTTAAGCAACACATTTATAAATTAAAAAACAACTAAATTTTCTTTATAATAAAAAGTAAATGAATAATTTTGATAGATTATGTTTTTTAAACTTGAAAAAATTTTGCTTATTTTTTAATATTTAGTAATTAATATTTCTTTATTTTAAAATAGAAGAACTGTCAATTAATAGATTTATAAAATTACAATATTTAATCTATAAACATTACAATTTTTATGGATGATATTATTTTTTTTGTGTGAAATAATAAGTTTTTATTTGATTTAATTTTTAAAACTAAATTATTATCCACAAATAACCTAATAAAAATTTTAAATGAAAGGTTATTGTTTTCAAATCATAACTTAATCTATTTAAAAATTTTAAATTAATTATTTTAAAATATTAACTTATTTGAAAATTATGATTTAGCCTTACATTACATATTTCTAATTTATGATTTTTGTAACTAAGTACTTATATTTCTTTAATATTTGATGAAATAAAAGTTGTATCTTTTATAAATTTGAAAATATATTTTTGTAATGAAATAAACGTAAAGTGATATTTTTACAATTTATCTTGAAAGATATTTTTACTTTTTTAAATAAATTATATGGATAATTTATTTGTTTGGATAGTTCATATATTAGAAGTAAAATAATAATAATTATTATAAAATTAAATTGGGAAAACTATAATAATCTAATTAAAAAATTCTCTTCAAAACTAACAAAAATCTTAAACATATATCTAGCTTTTCTATACCAAATTTATTTATTTTTTTTAAATAAATATATTCCAAGGTCATTGCTTTCAAATAATAGCTTTATCTATTTATTAAAAAATGCTAGATTAATTCTTTAAAATATTAATTTATTTAAAAATGATTTAGTTTTACATTCCATATTACAAATATATAATTACTGTACCTCAGTTTTAATGAATTCTTTTGCATATATCATTCTTAAAATATAATAACACTTAATAAAATGTAAATTAATTTAATTTTTTCTTGCTTTTAATAAAAAAAAGTACAATTAAAATCACAGTTTAGAATCAAAAAATATCACTTTTATTCTAAAACTATAAATTAAATTTTTCAAAATTTCTTTTTAGAGACTAGCTGAATTTATGTAAATATTTAAGAAGAGTATTATCAATCTAATAAAATTAAAATCGAAGTCATTAACAAATTTGGCTTTATGATAGATAGATAGATAGATAGATAGATAGATAGATAGATAGATAGATAGATAGCTAATTAAAATAAATAATAATTTATTAATGCTTTTTTGATTAAAAAGAAAAGTTAATTTTAAATACAGGATTAATTAAACTTTTTGGTAGATAAATCTTCTTAATTTTATAATTTTGTTCATTATCAAATTTTAAAACTAACAAAATTAATGTAGAAATAAAAACTGATTTCTGATAAACTAATTTGAGCATTTTTTATAAATCCTAAATTAAAAAAAATTGATTAAATTTTTACTGATGTATAAGAATATTATAAATACTAAGTTACATCATACTACTAATACAGAAGCAATAAATTAAAATAATATTTCAAGTGTAATAGAAAATTTTTGATACTCTTATACTTATTAACTTTTATATTCATTTGTAAAATAGAAATAGCTTTTTTATACCTAAAATTTGTGTATTATATGAGATCTCATAAAAAATTTTTAAGTTTTGAACTGATTTTTCTCAAAATAATAAAGATATTTATATATATGCACTTGAATAATTCTAAACCTAACATTTAAAGGTACAAAAAAATTGTTATATGAATTCATTTTATAAACCATTAAATTAATACTAAAGAATATTTAAAATATCAAATAAAAAAACTTGTAAAAGGCAAAGAAAAATTATGATAAATACAAAACCAAGTAATTTTTAGAAATTTAATATAGTAAAATCAATAAGATATTTACAAAAATTAATAAAATTCAATATTAAAGTTTATAGACTGATCAATACCAAAAAAAAAGTTATTATTAAAATAGCTTATCTTATAGTTTAAACATGTCAAATAAAGAGCTTAGAAAGCAATATAATAAAGATTTCACAATAAGGATAATAGAATGAGAAATATATTATATACTTAAAAATATTTTGATTGATAGTAGATTTTTTCAAGCAAATATAAAATTAATTGTCATAAAATTATTGAATTTAAGATATCAAACAATAAAAGAACTTAAATCAATTGCTTAAATAGGAGAAAAATTCAATAATTCATTTAATTCTACAGCTAAAAAGGAATTCGATTGGTTTTAAGTTGAAAAAAGACCTCAATGAAACTTTTAATTTCTTTATGAGATATTATTTAATAGAATAACTTATTAAAACTAATATTTATTGCACAGAAAGGATTACTATTTATTTTTAATTTTTATAATAATTTCTTCAAGAAATAATATAAATATTTAACAAATAAATAAATATTATGCTAATCTAATTATTTTTACAAGATTGTACTGAGTTGTTATGTTATTTTTTAATGTCTATCCTAAGCTTTAATTATTTTTCAAAAAAGAAAAATACAATCATAAAAAAAATATTTTAAATATCATGCAATCTAAAAATAATCTTTAGACTAAATTTACTTTCTCAATAAATTAATTACAATAAAGTAAGTGATCACTTTGATTATTAAAATTATTTTTAAAAATAAAAATATATGATTAATTTTAGTTAAAAAAAACAATTTCTGATTGATATTTTAGTTTTTTACTTTCTACTAATAATAAATCCACATCTCTATCTATCTTGGTGAAGCTTTTTTCTATTTGCTATGTATTTAAAAAAAGTATTAATTCAAGAAATTATAAATAATCATGAAATTTAAATAATAGATTTTTATTTTAGATTAAATTACTTCAAAAAAAATAAAGCTAAAAAATCCCTATACTAATAAGTGCCTTTAAGTTAAATTAAAAATTTATTTAATTCTTACTTTTATTGAGGATTAAAAATAAATACTACAAAACAATTTAATTTCTAAGACTAAAAGATAATCTACATCAAAAACTACTTTTCTTGATCCTAAAGTTATATATTTATTTTATAATTCAAGTTATTTGTTTGACGAGTAATTTGCCTTTCATTTTAGCAATATCTTTTCACCTCGGTTTATTATTATTTTTTAAATAATAAATAAATAAGTATTAATTGATTTATAAAATTTATGATATGTTTTTGAGGTTAACTTTTATAAAATGATTGAATTTATTTAACCATTAGCTGTTTTTTTTCTAAAAACTTATTTTACTGTTTTTCATGCTTTTAATAATAATAGAATAGTACTTAATATATGCAAATTTGTTATATTTTTATTTGTTATTATACCAGTTTAACTTTGCCCTTAAAATATCTTTCAAATAAATTGTTCGACTTAAAATAAATATTATTAAAACTCCTCTTTTTCAATATAACATTTGATATTTACATTGTGAAATAACTGCTTAAAATTTCACTTAAATTAGTTTTGAATTAAATAATAATCATTGATTGTTACCTTAAATTTAATAAAGAATTCTCTAAAAAAAATTTTAAACTTAATAAATGATAATTTTAAATAAAATTATTCATATCTTTAATTTCATTCTTTAAACGAAGGTAGATTTTTTACATAAATAAGATTATTATTTATTTTATTGATGCTTGAAATATCTTTCAAGTATTAAAAATTATATTATATATGTAAATAGAGTTAGCTGTTCAATAAAAATTAAATTTATTGAAGCTTGTAAAAAAAGTCCTTTCTTATTTCTAATGAAGGTAATGAAGTAAATTTCTTTGACTTAATATTTAGATAAACATTATATTTTTTACCATTTAGCCAAATAGATTTTAAAGTATAAATGACAAGGTCAAATAATTAGTGTCTTAGAAAAAAAACCACTATTTATGAATTGTAAAAATTGCAAATATTTGAGAAAAAAATCATAAAATATATTTAAATAAATAGTATTTATAAAAAATATGATTATTTAATAATATACAGTAGATCGTCTTATCACATTAAATCAATTCTCAAATACTATTTTGGTTAAGATTCCAAATTATCAGGGAATTACATTATTGTATTTTATAATGAAATTTGCAATAAATAAAAAAGAATCACATTAATTTGTTTGAATATATTTTTAAAAATTATTTAAATTGATATTTTAAAAAAATAAATATATTTCTATTTCAAATAAGAAACATAAGATAAATATTATAAATGAATAAAGCATTAATTTGATTATATTTGCAATTCAGATTTAATTGATAAGATTTATTTCCGTAATATTTTTTTCATTCAAATAAAGTTATAATATATCAATTATCTTTTTATTTTAGAAAAATTTTACATTTTTATATTAGATATTAGTAATTCTTATTTTTAAAATCTCTATAGTATATAATAGGATTGTTATAATGATGGGAGAAAGAGAAAAATATAATTTGAATCAATGAATACTAAATGATGAAAATTGGTTGCTTGATAATAAATAGTTTCAAGTCAATCTTAACTATAAAAGAATTTTTGATTGATGTAAGTCATAATCAGCAATTATTAAATAGATAAATATAAAAATCAGATAACAAATAAATTTGAATATCTTAAAACTTAATTTATTAATTGTGGATATTTACAGTCTATTTATCATATTTACAATAAATATATATCCAATTATTTAAAAATCTATTATTTCAACTAAATAAATTTACTTTTTAAAACAAGTTTTCTAATATAATTTAAATTTATTTAATCAAACATATAATTTATATTTGTGATACTCATTCAAATAGATATATTAACATCTAATAAGATTTCTTGATAAAAATCAAATTTTTTATAATATTGAATGAAGATTATGAAGTTTTAGTTTTTTATTTATTTAGATTTATTTATTGAGGTAAAAACCAAAATGTTATAAATATTTTAGAAACAAAATGGTAAAAGCTATTTTTAAAACTGCAGTAAGCTCTATAAAATTAATAAGATTTTGTAAGCTAAATATTCATTTAAATTACTATATTTGTATGATTTATAAACCAAACAAACATTGAAATACAACAAAAATTAAAATTATAAAAGATGGAAATGTTTAAATATCGAACTTTTTAAGAAGCAGAAGGACCTGAATATTTATTAATTTATTTTAATTTGGCAATTTAGTATTAAATATTATTTAAAAAAGCTTATTACAGAATAGAATCTTTACATTCATTTCCATAGAACCTAACACTAATTATTATAAATAATTTAATAATTTGCCATAGGATTTTTTTTTAAATATGTAATATAATTATATTTCTAACATTAAAATCATGTATTTGACAAAAATATGAATATCTTTTAATGTTTTCACTTTTCTTATTTCTTCTATAGTGTTAAAAACAAAAAAATTAGGGTTTCATTTTATCAATCCTTATATAAATATTAAATCTTACTCAAATATATAGCTAGTAATTAAATAATTAAACAAAAACTAAATTTCTGAATAAAAAGAAAAATTTTATCAAGTAAAAATGACCCAGTTGCATTAATTTTTTTCTGTATTTAATCACTGTTTTGTAATTAAATTATGCTTTTTTACAAATTAATTATAATAGATGCTGCTAATGATATCATACTATCGAGTTACCATTTGTCATCAAATTTTTAAGCTTGATAACAAAAAATCATTAAAATTTACCACAAACCTAAAAAGAAATTTTCATCATCATAATTATTCAATACATCATTAAGTTAGTGATATCTTCTTTAATTTTTTCACTTCTATTATTAGCCATATTTTATAATACTCCTTTAATAAGTGATCAAATATTAAAAAAATAATATGATTTGTTATTTTTAAATTATTTTTTCAGTAATTTTTAGTCTATGTTTCACTTAAAGTATCTAAAATAATTTTTTTTCTTAAAATAATGAATCGGAAACAGTAAATAAAATATCATATTTTTATATGTTTTTATTTATAAGAAAAAATTTATTTTGAGATTTGTTTGATTACTCTATTAAAATTAATATTATGAACATTTTATCACTTATTCTTAAAAAAGCTTTTAGTTAATAAAAATCGTTTTCATAGCATTTTTTGTATTTAATTTGTAAAAATTTAAAATATATTATAAATTTTGCAACTTGTTACAATATATGCTTTAAATACGCAACCTAAATACATTAGATAAATTATATTAAATGCTTTGATATTAAACATTCTACTATTATAAATTAAGGTTAACCAAATTACATATTGAAATAAACTAAAATATGCTGAATAGAATATAAACCATATTTTCTCATAATATTTTACTCATAAATTTACAAAAAAAATTTTAAATAATATTTAGAAAAGCTCTCAGATAAGAGAAATAATTTTCAAATTAATTTACTGTAGGAGAATTCTTATTCTACAATATATATTATTTTAATGTTTACATAATATATTTGAAACATCATTTATTTACAATCAAAATAGAAAATCATAGAACATCAGAGGAAAAGCAAATACTAGCTTCAATAGAATTCCAATCAAAAAGAGTAAGTTAGAACTAGTTGATTGGTATTTGATTGCTTTTTAAGCTGTAATAAATATAAAAGAAATATATATCTGAGTAAATTAATCATTTAAAGATTGATAAATATGTTTATAATTCAGGTTTTAAAATAAAGGTTTTCTCCCTAACTGTTTTCAATATTTAAATATATGCATTGATTTATATTCTTAGCTTTTTTATTAGCCTTTTTCAAAAAAATTTTTAGACAATACCATAACTTTAATAGTAAGATAATATGTATAATTACAGATTTATGTATATTTTAATTTATTAATTTTAAATAAATATAAAAATAATTATTTTTAAAACAATTGAACTAAAATATGTTATAATTATTATTTGAATAATTTATATAATTTATTTAATATGAAGTTTTATTTTATCAAATCTCTTTTAGAAGTATATTTTATTTCTAATTGCTTTATCTATTAGAAAAAGGTAAAATAATTATAATAATATAAAAAGTTTTTTTAGTTTATGATAATTCTAACAAGTATTATGATCTCTTTTTGACTAATTAAATTAATTTTTATTTAATAAAATTATTTATTCTTTAAATAAAATCGCATAAGGTTAACTTTGCAATCAAAGAATTTTAGAAGCTTATCATATTTGAATGCATTATATATATATTGTAAGCAAAAAAGACTTGTTTTGTTTAATAATTTTTATTGGGGATTCAAGAAACTATTAAAACCTAAAGCAATAAAAATAAGTTAATAACTTACCATAAAATTTTTTTAGAATTCAATAAAAACTTTTTATTCTTTAAAATAGATATAGATTGGTTTTTTATTATTTTTTATAAAAAATTTGTATTGTTTCAATCAAATGAAAATATTTTCTATACAATTTTCTTATTTTTCATAAATTATTTATTGGTAGAATACTCTATATTTAGTTTATGTGATGTTATCTTCTGAATTAAATTTTACTCAGAGATGTAGATTAGATATAAGTTTTTAATCGTGGAAATTAGATTCTGAAAAATACGAAAATTTTTAGTGATAAAAAAGCAGTCAGCTGAAAAAAAATTTGTTTTTTTGCCAATATTTTTAAATTAAAGTTTAATTTTTAAAGCCGAGCGCAAAGAAATAATAATTTGTTATTAATCTGGTTTATTCTAATTGATTATAAAGGCAAAAACATAAATAAATTGAATAAATTTCCTGCAAAACCTATTTATCAATTTTTATATATTCTTAATTTTTGTACTAATTTTATAATAAATCCTTACAAGCAAAAAATATATAATTAATAATTTTTGATTTAAATAAAAAAAATTTAGATTAAAAGTATAAACAAATGTTTTCATCACTAATTTTTACATTCTTAAGTAACTATGATTTAATCGCATTAAACACTAATTTTCATTTTTATAAAAAGTTTCTAACATTATTGCTCTATCTTATGATTATGAGCCTTAAATCAGGTAAAAAATATAATATATTATTGATTTCCTTTTAAATAAAACTTAATATTGATAAAATTTGGTATATTTTCAATACTGAAATAGACCTATTTTTTATTCAAATTAATTAAAAAAATAAAATTTTAATTAAAATTTTTTGAAAATTATATTAATCTATCATTTGTAAAAGCAAAAAATCATTAAGAAATTTAGCATATTGTAATACAAGTTGTAAATGTACTGTATCATACACATGTACTAGTTGCTCAAATTCAAGTTATTACTACTATCCTGACACTAGTGAATGCTATCAATCTATGTACTGCACATAAGATTATTCTGGTGGCGAAATTTATACTCCAGATCCAACTAATAAAGTATGCTGTATAAGAAACTGTGCAACATGTAAAAATAATGGTAACGAAAACTAAGTTTGTTTTACTTGTTTAGTAGGCTATTATTTACCATCAGTAGGAGCTAATACTTGTAATTAATGTAATTCATTATGCTATACTTGTAATGGCCCAAATTCTAATAATTGTTTGAGTTGTGTTACAGGATAATTTTTATATCAAAACAATACTTGTTAAAAAACTTGTAATACTAATAATGGGTATTACGTAAATGGAACTAACTGTTTACAATGCAATTCAAGTTGCTTAACTTGTAATGGCCCTAATTCAAATAATTGCCTCTCATGTCCTTCAGGTTCATATTTCTTTTAGAATAATACTTGTTCATCCACTTGTAATACTAGTAACGGATATTACATAAATGTTAATAACTGCCTATAGTGTAATTCAAGTTGTTTAACTTGCAGTGGTCCTTCTTTTAACAATTGTCTTTCCTGTCCCTCTGGCTAATATTTATTTTAGAATAATACTTGTTCTTCTACCTGTAATGTAAATAATGGGTATTATATAAATGGAACTAACTGTTTATAATGTAACTCAAGTTGTTTAACATGTAATGGTTCTAATTCAAACAATTGTCTATCATGTCCTTCTGGTTAATATTTATATTAGAATAATACTTGCTCATCTACTTGCAATACAAGTAATGGATATTATATAAGCAGTACTAACTGCTTGAAATGTAATTCGAGTTGCTTAACTTGCAATGGACCTAATTCAAATAATTGTCTTTCGTGTCCTTCTGGTTAATATTTATTTTAAAATAATACATGCTCATCAACTTGCAATACTAATAATGGATATTATATAAACAGTACTAATTGTTTATAGTGTGATTTGAGTTGCTTAACTTGCAATGGATCTAATTCAAATAATTGCCTTTCTTGTCCTTCTGGTTAATATTTATTTTAGAATAATACTTGCTCATCTACTTGTAACATAAATAATGGGTATTATATAAATGGAACCAATTGCTTGTAATGTAACTCAAGTTGCTTATCCTGTAATGGACCTAATTCAAATAATTGCCTTTCATGTCCCTCTGGTTAATATTTATATCAGAACAACACTTGCTCATCTACTTGCAATACAAGTAATGGATATTATATAAGCAGTACTAACTGCTTGAAATGTAATTCGAGTTGCTTAACTTGCAATGGACCTAATTCAAATAATTGTCTTTCGTGTCCTTCTGGTTAATATTTATTTTAAAATAATACATGCTCATCAACTTGCAATACTAATAATGGATATTATATAAACAGTACTAATTGTTTATAGTGTGATTTGAGTTGCTTAACTTGCAATGGATCTAATTTAAATAATTGCCTTTCATGTCCCTCTGGTTAATATTTATTTTAGAATAATACTTGCTCTTCGACTTGTAACATAAATAATGGGTATTATATAAATGGAACCAACTGCTTGTAATGTAACTCAAGTTGCTTATCCTGTAATGGACCTAATTCAAATAATTGCCTTTCATGTCCCTCTGGTTAATATTTATATCAGAACAACACTTGCTCATCTACTTGCAATACAAGTAATGGATATTATATAAGCAGTACTAACTGCTTGAAATGTAATTCGAGTTGCTTAACTTGCAATGGACCTAATTCAAATAATTGTCTTTCGTGTCCTTCTGGTTAATATTTATTTTAAAATAATACATGCTCATCAACTTGCAATACTAATAATGGATATTATATAAACAGTACTAATTGTTTATAGTGTGATTTGAGTTGCTTAACTTGCAATGGATCTAATTCAAATAATTGCCTTTCTTGTCCTTCTGGTTAATATTTATTTTAGAATAATACTTGCTCATCTACTTGTAACATAAATAATGGGTATTATATAAATGGAACCAACTGCTTGTAATGTAACTCAAGTTGCTTATCCTGTAATGGACCTAATTCAAATAATTGCCTTTCATGTCTCTCTGGTTAATATTAATATCAGAACAATACTTGCTCAGCTACTTGCAACATAAGTAATGGATATTATATAAACGGAACTAATTGTTTATAGTGTAATTCAAATTGTTTAACTTGCAATGGACCTAATTCAAATAATTGTCTTTCGTGTCCTTCTGGTTAATATTTATTTTAAATTAATACTTGCTCATCAACTTGCAATACTAATAATGGATATTATATAAACAGTACTAATTGTTTATAGTGTGATTTGAGTTGCTTAACTTGCAATGGATCTAATTTAAATAATTGCCTTTCATGTCCCTCTGGTTAATATTTATTTTAGAATAATACTTGCTCATCTACTTGTAACATAAATAATGGGTATTATATAAATGGAACGAACTGCTTGTAATGTAACTCTAGTTGCTTATCCTGTAATGGACCTAATTCAAATAATTGCCTTTCATGTCTCTCTGGTTAATATTTGTATCAGAACAATACTTGCTCAGCTTCTTGTGACACAAGTAATGGATATTATATAAACGGAACTAACTGCTTATAGTGTAATTTGAGTTGCTTAACTTGCAATGGATCTAATTCAAATAATTGCCTTTCATGTCCTTCTGGTTAATATTTATTTTAAAATAATACTTGCTCATCTACTTGCAATACTAATAATGGATATTATATAAGCAGTTCTAATTGTTTATAATGTGATTCAAGTTGCTTAACTTGTAATGGATCTAATTCAAACAATTGCCTATCATGTCCTTCTGGTTCATATTTATTTTAAAATAATACTTGCTCAGCAACCTGCAATACTAATAATGGATATTATATAAGCAGCACTAACTGCTTGAAATGTAACTCAAGTTGCTAATCCTGTAATGGACCTAATTCAAATAACTGCCTTTCATGTCCCTCTGGTTAATATTTGTATCAGAACAATACTTGCTCAGCTTCTTGCGACACAAGTAATGGATATTATATAAACGGAGCTAATTGCTTACAGTGTAATTCAAGCTGTTTAACTTGCAGTGGCCCTTCTTCAAATAATTGCCTTACTTGTCTTTCTGGTTAATATTTATATCAGAATAATACTTGTTCAACTAATTGTAACTCTAGTAATGGGTATTACATTAGCAATAATAATTGCTTGTTATGTAATTTAAGTTGTTTTACTTGTAATGGCCCTAGTTCAAATAATTGTCTATCATGCCCTTCTGGTAAATATTTATTTTAGAACAATACCTGTTCAGCTTCTTGCGACACTAGTAATGGATATTATATTTAAGGTACTAATTGCTTACAGTGTGATTCAAGTTGTTTAACTTGCTATGGTCCTTCATCAAGCAATTGTCTTTCCTGTCCATCTGGTTAACTTTTATTTTAGAATAATACTTGCTCTACTACTTGTAATATAAATAATGGGTATTATATAAATGGAACTAACTGCTTGTAATGTAATTCAAGTTGCTTAACATGTAATGGACCTAATTCAAATAATTGCCTTTCATGCCCTTCTGGTTAATATTTATTTTAGAATAATACATGTTCTTCTATTTGTAATACTAGTAATGGATATTATATATTAAATTATTAATGCCTTCTTTGTGATATATCTTGCTAAACATGTAATGGGCCAACTTCAAAAAACTGTTAATCATGCCCTTCTGGATAATTTTTATATGCCGATAATTCTTGCTAAATAAGCTGTAATACAAGTTTAGGATATTTTGTACAAGGCAATAATTGTCTTGTTTGTGATTCTTCATGTTAGTCTTGTTCAGGACCCTTATCTACAAACTGCTTAACATGTTATACTGGAAATTTTTTGTATGCTGATAAAAGTTGCAAACCTTGTAATATAAATAATAGCTACTTTATTAGCTAAAATTAATGTATATAATGTAGTCCGTCATGCTAAACATGCAACGGAGAATTATAAACGTAATGCTTAACATGCAAATCTGGTCTTTATCTCTATCCAGATAACTCTTGTTAATAATGCAATATTTCCAATTAATAATTTTTAGATTCTTAACAATTATGCAGAAACTGTAATCCTTCTTGCTTGACATGTAATGGTACAGGTTCTAACTAGTGTTTGAGCTGTCCAGCTGGTTAAAATCTATATCCTGATTATAGTTGTTAAGTATGCAATATCTAAAATAAGTAATATATAGATAATTAAGGTATATGTAGATAGTGTGATCCTTCTTGTTAAACATGTAATGGATAGTAATCAACCTAGTGTACAAGCTGTCCAACAGGAACTTATCTATATCCTGATAGCAGCTGTAAAATTTGTAATACTTCTAATTATTAATACTTAGATACTTAAAATATATGCAGATCTTGCGATCCTTCTTGTTTAACGTGCAATGGCCCTACATTTACTTAGTGCTTAGCATGCTCAAGTGGAAAAAATTTATTCCCAAACAATAGTTGCAATATATGTGATATAAATAATAAATACTATTTAGACAATACATAAATTTGTAGATCTTGTGATTCTACTTGCTTAACTTGTAATGGATAAACTCCTTAGTCATGTACAAGCTGCCCTACAGGAACTAATTTATATCCTGACAACAGCTGTTAAATATGCGATATTACGAATAAATAATACTTAGACAACTCTAATATTTGTAGATCTTGTGATCATACTTGCTAAACATGTAATAATTCTTCACCTAAATCTTGTCTAACCTGCCCATTAGGGACTTACTTACATCCAGATTAAAGCTGTAATACTTGTGACACAGCAAACTAATTTTATTTAGACAGTTAATAAATATGTAGGTAATGTGATCCTTCTTGCTAGACTTGCAATGGATTATCAGCGAATTAATGCTTAACATGCCCTTAAGGATCTAATTTATATCCAGACAATAGCTGTAAATTTTGTGATACTTCTAATAAATACTATTTAGATAGTTCTTATGTCTGTTAATAATGTGACTCTTCTTGTTTGACTTGCAATGGTTCAACTTTAAATTCATGCTTGAGTTGTTCTTCCAAACCTCAGGGTAAGTTATGAAATTAATATAACTTATAAATTAAAAAAAACGTTTACCATATTTTAACATTTTTTAATTTTACATTTTTAAGCTATGAACTTTTTTTTGGGTTTTTAAAAAAGAAATTAAAATATTTTTTCAAACAAAAAATCAAAAAATTATAGAATTAAATAAAATAAAGTATATATTAATTTAAAATTCTAATTTATTTTTCTAACCTTCTTAATTTTAGCTTTCTATACTTTACTCATTATTAAAATAGCTAATATTAACCTATTTTTATAAACATAAAAGGTGTTTAACTCTATTTATATCCTGATAATTCCTGTAACACTTGTGATACAGCAAATAAACAGTACCTAGATGCTTCAAATATTTGTAGATAATGTGATTCAACATGTCTAACTTGTAATGGTCCATCTGCTACTTAGTGTTTATCTTGTCCTTCAGGAACATATTTATATCCTGATTCTAGCTGTAAAATTTGTAATACTCAAAATTAATATTATTTAGATCTTCAGTAAATTTGTAGAAAATGCCATCCTTCATGCTTTACTTGCAGTGGATCATCTTCAAACTAATGCCTAAGCTGTCCGTTAGGGACTAACTTATATCCTGATAATAGTTGCTAGGTTTGTTATATAAATAATTAATAATTTTTAGATTCATCAAATATTTGTAGAAAATGTGATTCTTCTTGCTTAATGTGTAATGGTTTGTAGCCTAATTAGTGTTTAAGCTGTCCAAATGGGACAAATTTATTCCCTGATAATACTTGTTAATTTTGCAATTTAAATAATAAATAATATTTAGATATGTCTTAAATTTGTAGATCTTGCGATTCTACTTGTTAAACATGCACAGGACCTGCTAAAAATCAATGTTCCAGTTGCCCTTCTGGAACAAATTTATTTTAAGATAATACCTGCTCGCTATGTAACATAAACAACTCATTTTACATAGATTCAAACTCTATTTGTAAACCATGTGATTCTTCATGTAAAACATGTAATGGATCTTTACCTACTTAGTGTATATAATGTCCTAGTGGAAAATATTTATATCCAGACAACAGTTGCTAAGTATGCAATACAAATAATCTTTAATTCTTAGATTAAAATAATATTTGCAGGTCTTGTGATCTTACATGCTAAACTTGTAATGGGTCTACACCAAATTCTTGTTTAACATGTCCTGTAGGATCTAACTTATACCCTGATTTTAGCTGTAAGGGTTGTAATACAAATAAATAACAGTTCTTAGACTAAAATTAAGTCTGCAGAAATTGTGATCCTTCATGTTAAACATGCAATGGATAGTTAGCTACTTAATGCTTAAGTTGCCCTTCAGGTACTAATTTATATCCTGATAAAAGTTGCAAAGTTTGTAATTTAAGCAAATAATAATTTTTGGACTCAAATTAAGTATGCAGATCTTGTGATCCTACTTGCTATACTTGCTCTGGATAAACAACATAGTAATGTTTAACTTGTAATACAGGAAGTAATCTTTATCCAGATAATAGTTGTAAATTTTGTGATACTAGTAACTAATAGTATTTAGATTCAAATTAAATATGCAGATCTTGTGATCCTTCTTGCCAGACATGTAATGGATCTTCAGCTAATTAATGCTTAAGCTGCCCATCTGGAAAAAATTTATATCCAGATTTTTCATGCAGAGTATGTAATGTTAATAATATGTAATATCTAGATTAAAACAATATATGCAGAAGCTGTGATTCTTCTTGCTTAACTTGTAATGGATCTACTCCATAATCATGCTTAAGTTGCCCATCAGGTAATAAATTTGAAAAAAATGATTTTAATATATTTTTCATTTTAAAATATAATATTTATTTGTTATTGTTTTTAATAACAAAAATCTAAATTTTTATTAACAAATGAAAATTTTTAGAATAATAAACAAAAGATAAATAATTTAGAATTCACTTAATAAAAATAATTTGAACACTAAAAAATTTTAGCACAAAAATTAATACTAAATTAATTATTTTAAATTTAAAAGGTACAAATTTATTTCCTGATAACTCATGCAAAGTTTGTGATATAACTAAGTAGGTTTATTTAGATTAATCAAATATTTGTAGAAATTGTGACCATAGCTGTTAAACGTGTAATGGACCTTCTAAGAATTAGTGTCTGACATGTCTTACAGGAACCTACCTCTATCCAGATAATTCCTGTTAATAATGTTAAACTAATAATAAATAATATTTAGATAGCTCTAATATTTGCAGGTAATGCGACGATTCATGTTTGACTTGTAATGGACCTAATCCCACTTCATGCGTTACATGTCCTAATAATAATTCACTTTTCCCAGATTTTAGCTGTAGATTTTGTAACATAAACAAGTAATTTTATTTAGATTCTAATAATATTTGTAGATAATGTGATGATACATGTTTAACATGTTCTGGACCTTAAAGTACTCAATGCTTGAGCTGTCCGATTGGATAAAACCTATTTCCAAACAACTCATGTAATATTTGTAATATTTCTAATTAACAGTTTATTGATTCTAATAAAATCTGTTAAGTTTGTGATACTAGTTGTTAAACATGTAAAGGGCCAAATAATACTGATTGTTTAACATGTATTACAGGAAAATATTTTTATCCTGATAAAACTTGTAATGTATGTAACACAAATAATAAATTTTATCTTGATAGCAATCAAATTTGTCAATCATGTGACAGTTCATGTAAAACATGCAACGGTTCAAATAAAAATTCCTGTTTATCTTGCCCCTAAGGAACAACACTTTATCCTGATAATTCCTGTTAATTTTGTGATATTTCTAATCAATATTATATAGATTCAAAGAATATTTGCTAAAAATGCGACAATAGTTGCCAAACCTGTTCTGGATAAACCGATAAATAATGCTTAAGCTGTCCTGCTAATACTTATTTATATCCAGATAATTCTTGTAATTCATGCAACACTTCAAATCAGTATTTTGTAGACTCCAATTCAGTATGTTAAAAATGCGATACCTCTTGTCTTACTTGTGATGGATTATTTAAAATTAACTGTACTTCCTGCTAAAATGGTTTTTATTTAGATACTAATAAAAGTTGTAAATCTTGTGATTCAACATGTTTAACTTGTAATGGTTCTGGTAAAAATAGTTGCTTGACTTGCCCCAGTGGTTAAAATATTTTCAAAGATAAGTCTTGTAATATCTGTTAAATTAATAATAAGTACTTTATAGATAGCTCATAAGTTTGTTAATAATGTCATCCTACTTGCTTAACTTGTAATGGTTTGCTCTAAAATAATTGCCTATCTTGTCAAAATGGGTTTTATTTAGATTCCACAAAATAATGCTTACCATGTGACTCCTCATGCTCAACTTGTAATGGTCCTAGTCCATTATAATGCTTAAGTTGTAAATAAGGTTGGAATTTTTATCCAGATAAACTCTGTAAATATTGTGATTTATCAAATAAGTATTTCCTAGACAATTAAAATATATGCCAATAATGTTCATCTAATTGTTAAACTTGTAAAGGACACCTAACAACTGACTGTTTAAAGTGTGTAAGTGGAATGACTAAATTCCCTGATTAAACATGTAACATCTGCAATATAAATAATAAATAGTTTATAGATAGTAATTAAATTTGTTAAAACTGTGATAATTCTTGCTTAACATGTAATGGTTTGTCATCAACAAATTGTACCTCTTGTATGTAAGGATAGAATTTATATCCTGATAATTCATGTTAAGTCTGTGATATAAATAATTAAAAGTATTTGGATAGCTAAAATATTTGTAGATCATGTGATAAATCATGCTAAAAATGTAATGGTCCATAGAAAAACTAATGTATATCATGCATCTAAGGATTGACACTCTACCCTGATAACTCTTGTAAATTTTGTGATTTAGATAATAATCAATTTATTGATAACAACAACATTTGTTAGCAATGCCATAGCTCTTGCTAAAAATGTAATGGTCTATAAAATATAAATTGTACTTAATGTTCTTAGGGTTTGAGCTTCTAAAGCGATAATACTTGTAAAATGTGCAATGTTTCAAATGGATTCTTTATTGATTAAAAAAATTATTGTAAAAATTGTGATTAAAATTGTATAACATGCAATAATACAAAATAGTGTACAAAATGTGCTTTAAGTTTCACATTATTTAATGGGATGTGCTTTAACTGTTAACCAGGAACTTATATTGGTAAAATAAAATTTATTTATTTATTTTCTAAACAATAAAATCATTTTAAAATTATAGATTCAATAACGATGAGTTGCTAAAGTTGCAACAAAAAATGTAAGACATGCTTTGGAAGTCTAGAAACATAATGTATTTAATGTGCTAACCCATCTTAATTTTTTGACTAAAATAATTATTGTGTTGATTCTTGTTAAACTGGATATATTAAAAATCTGAAGACAAATAAATGTTAGTAATGTTTATATTATTCAGCTAATTTAGAAAAATCTGTTTGTGTTGTGGAATGCCCAGATCAATTTTATGCAGATTCTAATAATAATTGCTAGAAATGTGGAAACAATTGTAAACACTGTCTAGATCAATAAACGTGTACAGAGTGTAATAAAAATTATAGCTTTAAGAGTAGTAGTAATAGAGAATGCACAATTTGCTAAGCAGATGAATACAAAGATGAAAATAATACATGCCAAAAGTGCAAAATTTTAAATTGTGAAACTTGTTAAAGTAAAGATATTTGCTAAACTTGTGCAATAGGTTATTTTAATAAATAAACATACTGTGAATATGATTAGAGATATAACCATTATACTTGCTCCTATTCAACTTAGGAATAATGTGAATAAGAACTGAAATTAATTACTAAAGCAGACATTAGTATGTAGTCTGCTCAAATTGCTTCATTAGGAGTACAAACTGTCAATACATTATTGTTTGCATAAGGATCATAATTTACTTACTCATTATAAATATAACAAATGATAGGAAATACAAAATTTTCAGATAAATTTAAATAATTAAGCATAGGCTCAACTTTTATTGATCTAAATTATTAAATGAATATTTTGAGTGTTATACCTAGCCCATTAAGTTCGAATAACTCATAAAATGCTTCGTAAACATAATCTAATAGTAATTTGTAAAGCTAGAGAATACTTGAAGACAACGCTTCATCAAGTGATTTAAGAAAAGTTTAATCTATTGATTTAAGTAAACTCTTTTTAAGTGATGCCCTAATTTATATCATTATTACAGGTATTTTTATCATAATTATGGCAATTTGTAAGTTGCTAAGCAAAAGATATGAATATTTTAGTGATATTAATGAGAAAAAGTATTCTTATATAATCAAGCTTTAGCTTTTGTTTTCAAACTACATCCTAATTTCTATTTTTAAAGCATTTAAGAACATAGACTTTTCTACAACACTTCAAATAGCTAGCTTCGCTTTATAAGTATTATATCTGATATGTTATGCCTTATTCTTAATATTTTTTTATTTCTAAATTCGAAAATTTGATAGAAAATCTAATATTAATTCAATTAATAAATACTATGTTCTCATAGATAATGTAAATATTGACATTCCTTTTGGAAAATATTTTTGGTTCTTTTTTGAAATAAGAAAAATATTAAATATAGCGTTTACTTTTTTAATTCCCTCTGTAGTTTGTTCTCTAGTTTTAGTGCTATCTTTAAATTTAATATTTTTGATTTACATGATTTATTATAAGCCAATCATAGCTTTGAATGAATAGAGATATTATTATGTATTAGAATTCTTATAGTTAGCTATTAACATAAATATAATTTTAGTTTACAGCTTTGATGATGTAAGATTAGCATGGTGTACAGTATCCATAATAGGAATACTCTTCTTAGTGATATTATTATATTCGATCTATATATCATATAATATTTTGAGAATTAAGTATTGCAAAAAAAGATTTATTATATCTAAGAATTCATACTATGAAGAAGACATTAGATAGAAATCATTCTAATAAATTATTGATAAAAATTAAATGAGAATCAAAGTCAGGTCAGGAATCCTAAATAAATTAGAGAAATCATTAAGTTTATCCTCAAATACAGAGTAAGGAACTTATTTATTTATAAATTTTATTTTTAATTTAATTAAAAAATATATTAGAAGTGATTCAAGGATAGAGTATATGGACAATATACACTAACTCTCGATTAAATGGAATAAAAATCCAATATATACTAGAAATGTTGCATTGAGTGAATAAAAAAAATAATGATAAAATATATTTTTTATTTGTCTTTTAAACTTGAATAAATTTGTTATGATAAAAGAATTTCTGTAATTATTAGATAGAAAAATTAAGGGAAAAATTTTAAATAAAAGATTTTTGTCGAGATTTACAAAAATTAAAAAACTTCTCTTGATACTTTAATACCTTTAATCTTTTTTTTAAATAACATTTTAAGGTGAGATATTGTAGATTTTAATTACAATCTTAATATTGAAAAATTTATTTTTTGATATAAGGTTTAATTAAAAAAATTTCTAACACACATAACATATAAACGAGGTTTCAAAATTATATATAACATTCATTTTTTATTTTACCTAATCAATTATTTTATACATTCTTAAGATGAACCTTCCAAAAGATTATAAAAGAATTAATCTTATACAATTTAAATAATTTATCTTCATTTATATTATTTTTTAATTCTTCCAAACTAACTCTTTTAGAATTGTGCATAATCCTTCTATCAAATTAAGATCAAGAAGATTTATTTGGTAGGTCATTATAAATTAAAGATACCATACCATTATGATCAGCCAATATATTATGTGATCCTCCATATGATGTTGTCCTAAATATTTTTAAAAATGATACTCTACTTCTAGTAAATTATTTTCTAATTCCTCTACATACTTTTAAGAATTTAAGACTTCATTTAATCTCTAAATCTTTAATCCTAAATTACTATCAATCATTCCCCAAACGGATATTTTTAAATAATTCGCACTAATTTTTAGAAAATTAATTATGTATTATCTCTATTATCATTAACCCTTATACATACTTTCTATTCATCTAAGTAGAGATATAGGATTCATCTTTATATCATTTAAAAAAAAAAAATCACTATAATATTATTATATACTGTAAATGCTCGTTAATTAAGGCATATTTTAATTAAAACATTTTTTTCTTAAAAATTATGCCAAAAAAAAAATTAGAAAAGATGGAAATCATTAATTATCTAACTTTTTAAGAAGCAGAAGTTACTGTATATTTTATTAATTTATCTTAATTTGGCAATTTTAGTATTAAATATTATTTAAAAATGCCTATACACAATAGTAATCTTTACATTCCTCTCCATAAAACTTAACACTGATTATAAATAATTTAATAATTTACTATAAGATTTTCTTTTATTTTTAAAAATATGTAATATAATTATATTTCTACCATTAAAATAATGAGATATTTTGGTAAAAAAATGAATATTCTTTAAGGTTTTCACTTTTCTTACATCATCTATAATGATAAAAACAAAAAATTTAGGTTTTATTTTATAAATCCTTATTTAAAAATTGAATCTTACTCAGATAAGTAGCTCGTAATTATATTAATTAATCAAAAATTAAGTTATTGAAAAATAAATAGGAAAAATTTTATCAAATAAATATGACCCAGCTGCATTAATTTTTTTCTTTATTTAATCACTTTTTTGTAATTAAATAATGCTTTTTACACACTAGTTATAATAGATGCCGTTAATTATATCATACAATCGAGTTTCCATTTGTCATCTCATTTTTTAGCTTGAAAACAAAAATCATTAAAATTTGCCACAAACCTAAAAAAAATATATAATTATAATTTTAATGCATCATTAAGTTAATAAAGTTAATAGTATCTGTTTTAAGTTTTTCACTATTATTATTAGCCATATTTGATGTTAATCTTATAATATGATATTAAAAACTAAAAATATTTTATAAATTATTATTTTTAAATTATTTTTTCAGTATTTTTTAGTTATGTATAAAGTATTTAAAATCTTTATAAGAAAAATTTATTTTGAGATTTGTTTGATTACACTGTTAAAATTAATATTTTGAACATTTTATCACTTATTCTTAAAAATAAGTAAAGTAAAAATAGTTTGTAGCATTTTTTTTATTTAATTATAATAATTTAAAATATATTTTAAATTTTGCAACTTGTTACTATTTATGCTTTAAAATAGCTAACCTAAATGCATTAGATTAATTATATGAAATGCTTTGATATTAAAGTTTCTAATACTATAAATTAATTTTTGGTACTGATCGAAGGTTATTTTAAATAAATTAAATATTGAAATAAACTAAAAAGTATACTCAATAGAATATAAACCATATTTTCTCATAATATAAAACTCATAAATTTACAAAAAAATTTAAAATAACTTTTAGATATTGGGTAAGAGAAATAATTTTCAAATTTTTTTACTGTAGGAGAATTCTTATTCTACAATATATATTATTTTAATATTTAGATAATATATATTTTTGAAATATTATTTATCATAAGAAAAAACAAATAATTAAAAACCTCAAATAGGATTCCAATCAAAAAGAGTAATCTAGAAATAGTTGATTGGTATATGATCGCTATGTAAAGAATATAAAAGAAATATATCTTTTAGTAAATTAACCATTTAAAGATTGATAAATATGCTAATAATTCAGGTTTTAAAATAAAAGTGTGGACTAAAATATATAATATTATTATTATATGAATAATTTAAGTAGTGTATTTAAAATGAAGTTATATTTTATCAAATCTCTTTTATAAGTAGATTTTATTTCTAATCGCATTATCTTTAAGAATGAATAAAGATAAAATAGTTATAAAAATATATAAAGTTTACAAATATTATGATCTTTTATTGCTGATTAAATTAATTTGCATTTAATAAATTTATTTATTCTTTAAACAAAATTGTAAAGATAAACCTTTAAAATCAAAGAATTTTAGAAATTAATCTAATTCGAGTGTATTATATATTTATTAGAAGCAAAAAATATCTGTCTTGTTTTATATTTTTTATTGGGGATTCAAGAAACAATTAAAAACTAAAGCAATAAAAATAAGTTAATAATTTACCATAAAAATTTTTTAGAATTCAATCAATAAAAACTATTTATTCTTTAAATAAATATTGATTGGTTTTCTATTTTTATAATAAAAAATTAGTGTTATTTTGATTAAATGAAAATATTTTCGCTATAATTATTTTATTGGTAAAATAGATATTGAATTTATCTTATTTTATGTTCTTACTTAAATTTTACTCTGGGATATAGCTTACAAATTAGTTTTTATCATGGAACTTAGATTCTGAAAAATACGAAAAATTTTCGTGATAAAAAAAGCAGCCAGCTGAAAAGAAAAATTCATTTGTTTGTCAGTCTTTTTAAATTAAAGTATTATTTTTAAAGCCAATCTATAAAAAATAATAATTTGTTATTAATTTGGATTATGCTAAAAAGTTTTAAAGGAAAAAGCTAACATATGTTAAATAAATTTTCCACAAAACCTATTAATCAATTTTTATGTAATCTTAATTTTTTTGTATTCACTTTAAAATAAATTCTTACAAGCAAATATATATAATTAATAAATTTTGATTTAAATAAAAAAAAATTAGATTAAAAGTAAATACAAATGTTTTCATCGCTAATTTTAACATTCTTACGTAAATATGATCTAATTGAATCCAACATTAATTTTCATTTTTATAAAAAGTTTCTAACATAATTGCTCTATCTTACGATTATGAACCTTAAATCAGGTAAAAAATATATTATATATATATTATATATTAAACAAATTATTTATAACCTTTTAAATAAAATTTAATGTTAATAAAAATTGGTATATTTACATTACTGAAATACCTATATTTATTCAAATTAAAAAAAATAAAATTTTAATTAAAAATTTTAGAATAATGTATTAATTTATCAATTCTAAAAGCAAAAAATCATTAAGGAATCTAGCATTGTGCAATTATAATTGTAAATGTTCTGTATCATACACATGTACTAGTTGTTCAAATTCAAGTTATTACTACTTTCCTGATACAAGTGAATGCTATCCATCTTATATATGCGATTAATAATATTCTATCTTTGGCGATGTTTATACTCTAGACCCTGCAAATAAAGTATGCTGTATAAACAACTGTGCAACATGTAAAAATAATGGAAAAGAAGACTAATCTTGCTTTACTTGTTTAGCAGGTTATTATTTGCCATAATTAGGAGCTAATACCTGTTATTAATGTAGTTCATCATGCTATACTTGTAATGGCCCAAACTTTAATAATTGTTTGAGCTGCGTTACAGGATAATTTTTATATGAAAACAATACTTGTTAATAAACTTGTCCTTCGATTGGCTATTATATAAGTGGTAGCACCTGTATAAAATGTAACTCTTCTTGTTAAACATGTAATGGCTAGACAAGTAACACTTGCTTATCATGTCCAACAGGGGTATATTTTTATCCTAATAACAACTCTTGTTAATCAACATGCATAAGCGGTTATTATATAAATGGAACAAGTTGTTTATTGTGTAACTCAAGTTGTTTAACTTGTAGTGGTCCTTCTTCAAACAATTGCCTCTCTTGTCCAATAGGCTAATATCTATTTTAAAATGGTACTTGCTCTTCGACTTGTAATACTAATAATGGGTATTACATAAATGGTACTAACTGTTTACAATGCAATTCAAACTGCTTAACTTGTAATGGCTCTAACTCAAACAATTGTCTATCATGTCCTTCAGGTTCATATTTATTTTAGAATAATACATGTTCATCTACATGTAATACTAATAACGGGTATTATATAAGTAATAATAAATGTTTGTTATGTAACCAAAGTTGCTTATCCTGTAATGGACCTAATTCAAATAATTGCCTTTCATGCCTCTCTGGTTAATATTTATATCAGGATAATACTTGCTCAGCTTCTTGCAACATAAGTAAAGGATATTATATTAACAGTACTAACTGCTTACAGTGTGATTCAAGTTGCTTAACTTGCAGTGGCTCCTCATCAAATAATTGTCTTTCGTGTAATCCTGGTTAATATTTATATCAGAATAATACTTGTTCAGCTAGTTGTAACACTAGTAATGGATATTATATTAGCAGTAATAATTGCTTGTTATGCAATTTAAGTTGTTATACTTGTAATGGCCCTAGTTCAAACAGTTGTCTTTCATGTCCTTCTGGTTAATATTTATTTTAGAATAATACCTGTTCAGCCTCTTGCTAAACTAGTAATGGATATTACATAAGTGGCACTAATTGCTTAAAATGTGATTCAAGTTGTTTAACTTGCAGTGGTCCTTCATCAAGCAATTGTCTTTCCTGTCCATCTGGTTAACTTTTATTTTAGAATAATACTTGCTCTACTACTTGTAATATAAATAATGGGTATTATATAAATGGAACCAACTGCTTGTAATGTAATTCAAATTGCTTAACATGTAATGGACCTAATTCAAATAATTGCCTTTCATGCCCTTCTGGTTAATATTTATTTTAGAATAATACATGTTCTTCTATTTGTAATACTAGTAATGGATATTATATAACAAATTAATAATGCTTTCTATGCGATATATCTTGCTAAACATGTAATGGACCAACTTCAAAAAACTGTTAATCATGTCCTTCTGGATACTTTTTATATGCCGATAAATCTTGCTAACTAAGCTGTAATACTAGTTTAGGATATTACTTACAAGGTAATAACTGTCTTGTTTGTGATTCTTCATGCTAGTCTTGTTCAGGACCCTTAACTACTAACTGCTTAACTTGCTTTACAGGAAATTTTTTGTATGCTGATAAAACATGCAAACCTTGTAATATAAATAATAGTTACTTTATTAGCTAAAATTAATGTATATAATGCAGTTCATCATGTTAAACATGCAACGGAGCATTATAAACACAATGCTTAACATGCAAATCTGGTCTTTATCTCTATCCAGATAATTCTTGTTAATAATGCAGTATTTTTAATTAATAATTTTTAGATTCTTAACAAATATGCAGAAACTGTAACCCTTCTTGCTTAACATGTAATGGTACAGGTTCTAACTAGTGTTTGAGCTGTCCAACTGGATAGAATCTATATCCTGATTAAAGCTGTAAAGTATGCAATATTTAAAATAAGTAATATATAGACAATTAAGGTATATGTAGATAATGTGATCTTTCTTGTTAAACATGTAATGGATAGTAATCAACCTAGTGTACAAGCTGTCCAACAGGAACCAATCTATATCCTGATGGCAGCTGTAAAATTTGTAATACTTCTAATTATTAATACTTAGATACTTAAAATATATGCAGATCTTGCGATCCTTCTTGTTTAACGTGCAATGGTCCTACATTTACTTAATGCTTAACATGCTCAAGTGGAAAAAATTTATTTCCAAACAATAGTTGCAATATATGTGATATAAATAATAAATACTATTTAGACAATACATTAATTTGTAGATCTTGTGATTCTACTTGCTTAACTTGTAATGGATAAACTCCTTAGTCATGTACAAGCTGTCCTACAGGCACTAATTTATATCCTGACAATAGCTGTTAAATATGCAATATTACGAATAAATAATACTTAGACTACTCTAATATTTGCAGATCTTGTGATCATACTTGTTAAACGTGTAATAATTTTTCACCTAAATCTTGCCTAACTTGCCCATTAGGGACTTTCTTACATTCAGATTAAAGTTGTAATACTTGTGACACAGCAAGCTAATTTTATTTAGACAGTTAATAAATATGTAGATAATGTGATCCTTCTTGTTAGACTTGCAATGGACTATCATCTAATTAATGCTTAACATGCCCTTAAGGAACTAATTTATATCCAGACAATAGCTGTAAATTTTGTGACACTTCTAAGAAATATTATTTGGATAGTTCTAATGTCTGTTAATAATGTGACTCTTCTTGTTAGACTTGCAATGGTTCAACTTCAAATTCATGCTTGAGTTGTTCTTCCAAACCTCAGGGTAAGTTATCAAATTAATATAACTTATAAATTGTTAAATAGGTTTATTAAAAATTTGTTAAAAATGTTTTTAAAAAAGTGTTAAAAAGTAGCCCTCCAAGGAAAATACTTGGAAGGCGAAAAAATAGTAGGCAGAGAGGTTTTTTTTGCCTACTGATCCTAAAAAGCCCCGATTGTAAATTCTCTTGGAAGTGCTATATATAAATTTAGAATTCTAATTCATTTTTCTAATCTTCTTAATTTTAGCTTTTTATATTAGATACATAATTAAAATAGTTAATATTAACCTATTTTTATAAACATTAAAGGTGTTTAACTCTATTTATATCCTGATAACTCTTGTAATACTTGTAATACAACAAATAAATAGTACCTAGATGCTTTAAATATATGTAGATAATGTGATTAAACATGTCTAACCTGTAATGGTCCTTCTGCTACTTAGTGTTTATCCTGCCCATAAGGTACATATTTATATCCTGATTTTAGCTGTAAAGTTTGTAATACTCAAAATTAGTATTATTTAGATCTTCAGTAGATTTGTAGAAAATGCCATACTTCATGCTTTACTTGCAGTGGATCTTCTTCTAATTAATGTTTAAGCTGTCCGTTAGGAACTAACTTATATCCTGATAATAGTTGCTAGGTTTGTTAAACAAATAATTAATAATTTTTAGATTCATCAAATATTTGTAGAAAATGCAATTCTTCTTGCTTAACTTGTAATGGTTTGTAGTCTAATTAGTGTTTAAGTTGTCCAAATGGGACAAATTTATTCCCTGATAATACTTGTTAATTTTGTAGTTTAAATAATAAATAATATCTAGATATGTCTTAAATTTGTAGATCTTGCGATTCAACTTGTTAAACATGCACAGGACCTGCTAAAAATCAATGTTCCAGTTGCCCTTCTGGAACAAATTTATTTTAAGATAATACCTGCTCGCTATGTAACATAAACAACTCATTTTACATAGACTCAAACTCTATTTGTAAACCATGTGATTCTTCATGTAAAACATGTAATGGATCTTTACCTACTTAGTGTATATAATGTCCTAGTGGAAAATATTTATATCCAGACAACAGTTGCTAAGTATGCAATACAAATAATCTTTAATTCTTAGATTAAAATAATATTTGCAGGTCTTGTGATCTTACATGCTAAACTTGTAATGGGTCAACACCAAATTCTTGTTTAACATGTCCTGTAGGATCTAACTTATACCCTGATTTTAGCTGTAAGGGTTGTAATACAAATAAATAACAGTTCTTAGACTAAAATTAGGTTTGCAGAAATTGTGATCCTTCATGTTAAACGTGCAATGGATAGTTAGCTACTTAATGCTTAAGTTGCCCTTCAGGTACTAATTTATATCCTGATAACAGTTGCAAAGTTTGTAATTTAAGCAAATAATAATTTTTGGACTCAAATTAAATATGTAGATCTTGTGATCTTTCTTGCAATACTTGCTCTGGATAAACAACATAGTAATGTTTAACTTGTAATTTAGGAAATAATTTGTATCCAGATAATAGTTGTAAATTTTGTGATACTAGTAACAAATAATATTTAGACTAAAATTAAATATGCAGATCTTGTGATCCTTCTTGCCAGACATGTAATGGATCTTCAGCTAATTAATGCTTAAGCTGCCCATCTGGAAAAAATTTATATCCAGACTTTTCATGCAGAGTATGTAATGTTAATAATAATATGTAATATCTAGATTAAAACAATATATGCAGAAGCTGTGACTCTTCTTGCTTAACTTGTAATGGATCTACTCCATAATCATGCTTAAGTTGCCCATCAGGTAATAAATTTGAAAAAAATGATTTTAATATATTTTTCATTTTAAAATATAATATTTATTTGTTATTGTTTTTAATAATAAAAATCTAAATTTTTATTAACAAAGAAAATTTTTAGGATAAAAAGCAAAAAATAAAAAATTTAAAATTCGCTTAAGGAAAGATAATTTTAATTGAAAAAATACTAAAAAATTTTACCATAAAAACAAATGCTAAAATAATTATTTTAAATTTAAAAGGTACAAATTTATTTCCTGATAACTCATGCAAAGTTTGTGATATAACTAAGTAGGTTTATTTAGATTAATCAAATATTTGTAGAAATTGTGACCATAGCTGTTAAACATGTAATGGACCTTCTAAGAATTAGTGTCTGACATGTCTTACAGGAACCTACCTCTATCCAGATAATTCCTGTTAATAATGTTAAACTAATAATAAATAATATTTAGATAGCTCTAATATTTGCAGGTAATGCGATGCTTCGTGCCTGACTTGTAATGGACCTAATCCCACTTCATGCGTTACATGTCCGAATAATAATTCACTTTTCCCAGATTTTAGCTGTAGATTTTGTAACATAAACAAGTAATTTTATTTAGATTCTAATAATATTTGTAGATAATGTGATAATACATGTTTAACATGTTCAGGACCTTAAAATACTCAATGCTTAAGTTGTCCGATTGGATAAAACCTATATCCAAACAACTCATGTAATAATTGCAATATTTAGAATTAACAGTTTATTGATTCTAATAAAATCTGTTAAGTCTGTGATACTAGTTGTTAAACATGTAAAGGGCCAAATAATACTGATTGTTTAACATGTATTACAGGAAAATATTTTTATCCTGATAAAACTTGTAATGTATGTAACACAAATAATAAATTTTATCTTGATAGTAATCAAATTTGTCAATCATGTGACAGTTCATGTAAAACATGCAACGGTTCAAATAAAAATTCCTGTTTATCTTGCCCCTAAGGAACAACACTTTATCCTGATAATTCCTGTTAATTTTGTGATATTTCTAATCAATATTATATAGATTCAAAGAATATTTGCTAAAAATGCAACAATAGTTGCCAAACCTGTTCTGGATAAACCGATAAATAATGCTTAAGCTGTCCTGCTAATACTTATTTATATCCAGATAATTCTTGTAATTCATGCAACACTTCAAATCGGTATTTTGTAGACACCAATTCAGTATGTTAAAAATGTGATACCTCATGTCTTACTTGTGATGGATTACTTAAAACTAACTGTACTTCCTGCTAAAACAATTTTTATTTAGATACTGATAGAAGTTGTAAATCATGTGATTCAACATGTTTAACTTGTAATGGTTCTGGTAAAAATAGTTGCTTGACTTGCCCAAGTGGTTAAAATATTTTCAAGGATAAATCTTGCAATATCTGTTAAATTAATAATAATTACTTTATAGATGGCTCATAAGTTTGTTAATAATGCCATCCTTCTTGCTTAACTTGCAATGGATTGCTTTAAAATAATTGCCTATCTTGTCAAGACGGGTTTTATTTAAATTCCACAAAATAATGCTTGCCATGTGACTCCTCATGCTCAACTTGTAATGGCCCTAGTCCATTATAATGCTTAAGTTGTAAATAAGGTTGGAATTTTTATCCAGATAAACTCTGTAAATATTGTGATTTATCAAATAAGTATTTCCTAGATTATTAAAATGTATGCTAATAATGTTCATCTAATTGTTAAACTTGTAAAGGACCCCTAACAACTGACTGTTTAAAGAATGTAAGTGTTGTTGAATGCCCAGATCAATTTTATGCAGATTCTAATAATAATTGTTAGACATGTGGAAATAATTGTAAACACTGTCTAGATAAATAAACATGTACAGAGTGTATTGAAAATTATAGCTTTAAGAATAGTAATAATAAAGAATGCACAATTTGCTAAGCAGATGAATACAATGATGAAAATAATACATGCCAAAAGTGCAAAATTTTAAATTGCGAAACATGTTAAAGTAAAGATATTTGCTAAACTTGTGGAATAGGTTATTTTAATAAATAAACATATTGTGATTAGGATTAAAGATTTTACCATTATACTTGCTCCTATTCAACTTAGGAATAATGTGAATAAGAACTAAAATAAATTACTATAGCAGGCATTATTATGCAGTCTACTCAAATTGCTTCATTAGGAGTACAAACTGTCAATACATTATTGTTTGCATAAGGATCATAATTTACTTACTCATTATAAATATAACAATTAATAGGAAATACAAAATTTTCAGATAAATTTAAATAATTAAGTTTAGGCTCAACTTTTATTGATCTAAATTATTAAATGAATATTTTAAGTGTTATACCTAGTCCATTAGGTTCAAACGACTCTTAAAATTCTACCTAAACATAACCGAGTAGTAATTTATAAAGTTAGAGAATACTTTTTGAAGACAACGTTTCATCTAGTGATTTAAGATTAATTTAATCAATAGATTTAAGTAAACTCTTTTTAAGTGGTGCCCTTATTAATATCATTATTACTGGTATTTTTATCGTCATTTTGGTAATTTGTAAATTGCTAAGCAAAAGATATGAATATTTTAGTGATATTAATGAGAAAAAGTATTCTTATATAATCAAGCTTTAGCTTTTGTTTTCAAACTACATCCTAATTTCTATTTTTAAAGCATTTAAGAACATAGATTTTTCTACAACACTTTAAATAGCTAGCTTCGCTTTATAAGTATTATATCTGATATGTTATCTTTTATTCTTAATATTTTTTTATTTCTAAATTCGAAAATTTGATAAAAAAATGAATATGGAATCATTTAATAAATACTTTATTCTCATAGATAATGTAAATATTGACATTCCTTTTGGAAAATATTTTTGGTTCTTTTTTGAAATAAGAAAAATATTAAATATAGCATTTACTTTTTTGATTCCTTCTGTAATTTGTTCTCTAGTTTTAGTGCTATCTTTGAATTTAATATTTTTGATTTACATGATTTATTATAAGCCAATCATATCTTTGAATGAATAGAGATATTATTATATATTAGAATTCTTATAGTTAGCTATTAACATAAATATAATTTTAGTTTACAGCTTTTATGATGTAAGATTAGTATGGTGTACAGTAACCACAATAGGAATACTTTTTTTAGTGATATTAATATATTCGATCTATATATTATATAATATCTTGATAATTAAGTATTGCAAAAAAAGATTTATTGTATCTAAGAATTCATACTATGAAGAAGGAATTAGATAGAAACCATTCTAATACATTATTGATAAAAATTAAATGAGAATCAAAGTCAGGTCAGGAATATTAAATAAATAAGAGAAATCATTAAGTTTTTCCTCAAATGTAGAGTAAGAAGCTTATTTATTTTATAATTTTTTTTTTTAATTTAATTTTAAAATATTCTAGAAATGATTCAAGGATAGAGTAAATAGACAATATACACTAACTCTAGGTTTAATGGAATATAAATCCAATATATTTTAGAAATGTTGCATTGAGTGAATAAAAAAAATAATGATAAAATATTTTATATATTTTTTACTTGTCTTTTAAGTTTGAATTAATTTGTTTTGATAAAAGAATTTTTGTAATTATTAGATAGAAAAATTTTAATTAAAAGATTTTTGCTAAGTTTTACAAAAATTAAAAAACTTCTCTTGATACTTTTATACCTTTAATCTTTTTCTTTATTTAACATTTTAAGGTGAGTTTTGTAGAGTTTAATTATTATATGTAGCAGAATTAATATTGAAAATATTATTTTTTGATTTAAGCTTTAATTTTAAAAATCTTTAACACAAATGACATATAAATGAGGTTTCAAAGTTATATATGACAGCCATTTTTTATTTTACCTAATCAGTTCTTTTATAGATTTTTAAGAAAGAGCTTCCTATAGATTATTATACATTATTATTACTATAGAATTAATCTTATACATATTAAATAATTTCTTTTTTGAAATCTTTTTTTATTTTTCCAAACTAAATCTTTTAGAATTGTGCATAATCCTTCTATCAGATTAAGATCAAGGAGTTTTAATAGGCCATTATAAATTAGAGATATTTTTATGGTCTAGAAAATTTATTAGGTGTGACTCCATATGATGTTGTACTAAATATTGTTTAAAAAAATAGTCTGCTTCTAGCAAATTATTTTCTAATTTATCTACATACTTTTACTAATTTAAGACTTCATTTAATCTCTAAACATCTAGTCCTGAATTGTTATCAATAATTCCCCAAAATAAACCTATATATTTAAGTGGTTCGCTCTAATTTTTAGAACATTTCTCCTGTAATATCTCTTTTATCCTTAACCCTTCATACCTACTTTCAATTCATCTATGCAGAGATATAGGATTCATCTGTACATCATTTTTTTAAAAAGAAAAGTAATTAAAAAATTATTAAGATAAAAAATATTAAATTTAAAATTAATGATTTCACTATAAATTACTTAAATTATTTATATTTTACTAAGTATAAAATGTAAATAAATTTTGAATCTTTTCTATATTTTTAAACAATTTAACTTGCATAAAATAGAATTTTAATTTATATTCTTATGTTTCTTTCAATTTAATATATATTAATAAAGCCATAAAATAGGAAGGAAGATAAATAACTAATTTACTTTTCAAATATTAAGTAATTCCACATAGAGGTAAGTATTATAAAATCTATTAATTTTTCTATTTTATTTCAAATGATTTTAAAATATAGATTTTATGATTACTTAATTATAAAAGATAAATAAAAACCTAAAAAAAATAATTGTCTATATTATTTTTATGAAAATAAGTATTTCATTTTAAGTTTATATTAATTCAAATGTAGAAAATTGATTAATTAATTAGTGTAACCAAAATCAAAAATAAATTAATGTTTAGATTTTCAGAAAGAAAGATAAATAAAAGAAAATATATATAATCTATATATTTTTCTTTTCTAATTTTGATTTAAAAATGTATCAAATTTATTAAGATTAAATAAACTTATATTATGGTTTAATTAGCTGATTATCAATAAATAAAAAGTTCTAGACACTACAAAGGGAATTATTAGAAAAAACAAATGATAAAATGAAAAGTGGATATATCAAAACCTACTAAATATATATTTATAAGTTTAAATTGAGGAAGATCATAATATATTTAATATTTAATTAATAAGCTCTCAAAACTAAAAAAATAATATATCAAATATAGCTTTTAAAAACTGGAAAGACATTTAATAATTAATTGATTTCTTCAATCTAAATACTAAAGCTACTTATCATTTTATTTTAATAAAATAATTAAGTTTATTAATGTAATTTAATATTTAAGAACAAAGTGGTTAGCAAAAAGCTTAAGCAGAGAACAGTTAATTAATTACGAAATAAATAAGTTAAAGAAAATATAATCCTAACAACGAAAATAGATAAATTTAAGAAAATGTCTTTGAATAGAAAAAAGATTTGATAGAATAGTTTGTTCCTAATAAAAGCATTAGAAAAGAAATTGAAATCTTAGAGGAATGTATAGTTAGTTCAATCAGAAATAAAAATATTGATAAGGAAACAGATTAAAATATTTAAAAAAATACAATTAATAGAGGTTAAAAGATTAAAGAAAATGAGAAAACTGAAAGTGACGAAGAATTTGATTATAACAACTTTTTATCTTACGATTAAGAAAAAATTAAAAGCAAAAGAATGAAGGACATGAAGTGGAAACAGTTTAATTTTTCATATAATGTAAGCTGTTTCTTTAAATTTTTCCTGATAGATTATTTGAAGCACCTTTTAGGGATTTGCAGAAATATCAAAGTTTAAGGATTATTAGATTTAAAGAATATTCCTTTACTCAAACCGGACGAGAGAGTAGAAAATAATTATTAGTAATTATAAAAGAATATGGAAAAAGTTATTTTAAAAAGAGAAAAGGAAGGTAAAATGCTAACTTCACTCGATATGCTTTTTATCATATTTCGTACTTTTTCTTTACCTATTATATTAATCATTATCAATTCTCTTCTTTTCCATTCGCTGAAAATATTCTTTTCATATCAGATCAACTTTTTAATTTCTGCAGTGATAGATAAAGAGAGTTAATATACTATCTACGGGTGGGCTATTGTAATGGCTTTTACATAATTTTTCTACATATCTGTAGTTCATCATTCAGTTCGTCCATATTCTGCCTTCTTTTTACAATTTAAGGCTACCTTTAATCGAGCTCTCTTCCTTAAAACTTCATCTCTTTCATCTTTCTCAATAAAGGAAGCAAATATAGGAAAACTTGTCAACTTAGTGTCTAACGATTTAAATCTTCTCGAAGTGAAAGGTTTTTTTATCATTACTTTGCTTATTCTACCTGCCCCAATTATTGCAGTAGCTCTTATTCTCTACTACAGGTAAAATTAAAAATTTATTTTATAATGATAAACATCTTAACTTAATCTTCTTAATTTATTGAAGAACTTAGAATATTACTCTAATCCATTTTCTTGGAATAGTTTTTTTCAAATCTCTCTTTAAGAAAATCTTTAAATTGGATAGTCTTAAAAATTATGAATTAAAAAGGTTAGAAGTATGTCTTTAACAAATCAGTATTTTATCCTACAATTTATGATAGGGGATTTATTTTGATAAAATCAAACTATCATTTTTTTAGTAATAATATTTTTTTTTCTTAATCTCCTTTCTATTCTAAATAAAAACCATTAAATTTAAAAAAAATAAATTTCAATGATAATAAAAACATAAAAATTTATTTTCTTTGAATCACAAAAAAAAGATTTTAAACAAAGCTTTCAAAATTCAAATGATTTTTATCTATATTCCTACAGCTTTAAGCCTTTAATTTATTTTAGTCATAAAAAAGATTGCATCAAATTGATACATTTAGATAAAATTTTATCTAAAAAAATAAAAATAAAAATATATTAAGAAAAAAATCTTTGATATTTAGTTAAAATATCATTAAAGTTAAATTTATTTTTTGCTAAATTATTAGTTTACTTTAATTTATTTTTTCATTATTTTTTAATCAGCTATTTCTTATATCTGATTATTGAAATTTATGTTGATTTAAAAAGGTTTGATGGATTCGCTGTTATAGGGCTAGTAGTTATGATTGGATATATCCCTTTTTAGTTACTTATTGCTAAAATAAGCTCAAAATTTTTTAAAGATAAGACAGTTTTAGTAGACCACCGTGTTAAGTTTACAAATGAAATTATAGAGGGAATCCGTTTGATTAAAATGTATGCTTGGGAAGAGGCTTTTTTGCACATTGTTTAGACTTTCAGAAAATCTGAGCTTAGAAAAATATTTTACATCCAATTTATTTACTCAATAGAGCGCTCATTTAGTTTTGCTTCAGGGCTTTTTGCCAGTTTTATTGTGTTTTTTGTAATATATTAGCATGGAAATCCTGGTTCATTAAACATTGCAAATATGTATTCTACCTTAGATTTACTTCTGTATGTTAAATAGTAAATTATTTCATCAGCTGGATCCGGAATAGTTGGTTTGTTTGAGCTAAAAGTAATATTAGAGAGAATGATTACAGTAGTTACTATAAAACCATCATAAATGATTTGTATAGAGAGTAATTAATATTATGTTTCTTTATACTCTTTACTTATTAATTCAAAAATAGATATACATGATTACAACGGAAGAAATCTTGAAAATGGCGAGATTGAGATCAAAAATTTTACTGCTTTCTGGAAAGATCAAAAACCTGTTTTAAACAACTTAAATTTAGATATTAAAAAAGGAGAGTACATTGGCATCGTTGGCTAAGTAGGAAGTGGAAAATCTTCTTTCTTGAGTTGTATCGCTAAAGAAATTCCTAAATATTCAGGTTACTTCAGCTTTAAGGGTAAAATAGCTTACGTTGAGTAAGAACCTTATATTTTTAACAAGACAGTCAGAGAGAATATTTTATTTGGTACAAAATATGAAGAAAACTTTTATACCCAAGTGATAGAAGCTTGCTGTTTGGTAGATGATTTCAAGCAATTTAACTGTGGAGATTAAACTTAAATTGGGGAAAGAGGTATTAACATAAGTGGTGGATAAAAGGCTCGAATCTCTTTAGCTAGAGCAATATATTCAAGAGCTGACATTTATTTGTTAGACGATCCTTTATCAGCTGTTGACTCAAAAGTAATATTTAGTTACTCTATTCTAATTAATAAAATAGCTATTTTAAATTATTTTAGCATTCTAATTTCATTCAAAAAAACACTATCATAAAAATTCATTTATAGAATAAAAGTTTTAATTAATTGATTTGAGACTAAACTTAAAATTTTTTATTTTTTTATGAAATTTAAAAAAGATTGTGGCTAAATAAGTTAATTAAATAGCAATTATTCTACACAACATTCAAAAATTTGAATATTTTTAGTTCACATATTTTTTATTTAACAAAATTTTTTGAATTAATTTAATCCTAACATATGTAAAATATATTCAAAATATTTAAAAAATTATATCAATTACTTCTTATATATTATTTAATCATACTCATACTGAAAAAATTTTTTATGAACACTTACAATATTTATTCTCAATTAATCAATTTAAAATTTATTATTTTAAGATAATTAAATATGTTTAAAATAAAGCATATTTAATAATAATTGCTGAAAAATTATAACTTTACAAATTATAAAATTATTAACATTTAGGTAGCTAAAGCTTTAAATGATAAAGCTATTTAAATATTATTGAAAGGAAAAACAATACTTTTAGCTACTCACTAAATTGCACTCGCGAAAAATACTGATAGAATAATTATAATGAGAGATGGCTATTTTTAAAATATTGGAGTTTATAATGATCTTTAGGAATCTCTAAAAACAATTGGGCATTAAATATAAATCTAAGATACTTAAGCTTAAAGCAAAGATTATCAATTTTTCTAATAATAAATTTTATAGAATGAAGAAAAATAGGAAGATTTCCTCAATGATGGTTAAGAAGATAAAATATAATAATACCAAAATTCAGTTGAAGAAAAATAGTAATAAGAAAATAAAGCAGTGAAGCAAGTTGAAGAAACAAAAAAGAAGAAGGATTAGCTTTATTCTAAAGAAGAAGATGAAAGAATTGTAGTTAATTTGTAAACATATTTAAATTACTTTTTAAGCTCTAAAATATGGTATTTAGCTCCTTTAATATTTGGCTTATTTGCTTCATGTGAGGTCGTTTTCATATTCTACTCAAAGACAATAGGAAAATATGGAGATTAAGATTTTGATTAATTTTACTGCATCAGCTTACTTGGCTATTTATCACTTATTTACTTTATAAACCTAGTATTAAAATACTTTTTATTAAATTTTGTTGCTAATCGCAGCAGTTTGCACATACACAACTAAATGATTCAGTCTGTTATTAGGGCTAAAGTTCTTTTTTTTGACAGAACTCCATCAGGAAGAATACTAAATAGATTCTCATCAGATTTGGGTAATTTGATTAAATAAAATAAATTATTATTCAAATAAAATATTTTTACTATTAAGGAAATATTGACTAAGAGTTAATAAGAGTATTAATGGACACATTTGAAATTATTTTCAGTTTTTTAATATTAATGGGTATTATTATTTCTATTAACCCATACTTTTCTATAATTGCTGTTGTCGAAATTTTTATTCTTGGTTTGTACTTAGGAATTTCCAAAAACGCAATAATCTAAATAAAATAACTTGATTTAATATATAGATCTCCTGTTTATACATTCTTTAATGAGGCCACTTAAGGTGTCTTGCCAATTAAAATATATGAGAAACAGTAGATTTTCTCTGATAATTTTGATTTCCTTATAAATAATTCTCTCAGATCTTCTTATGCTTTTTGGTTTTGTTAAAGAGCATTTGCTTATTATGTCCAACTAGTTACAGCTCTTTCAGCTATTATTGGTATCTTTATGCTTCTCTCAACCGATTAAGATCCTTCGATACTAGGACAAGCAATTGTATATTTTCTCAGTATCAGTGATAGTATTTAGTGGGGTTTAAGGTATATTTAAAAAATATGATTTTATTTTTACATTCCTCCAGTTAACTTAATTATATTTTAATTTTTTTATACTTTAGGTAAATGATTCAAACTGGTGTTGTTATGTCTAGTGCTTAGAGAGCTATGAATATGACTTTAATTAATTAAGAATCAGCATTGAGGACAGAATATGATAATAAGGAGTTCAAGATAACATAAAAAGACAGAGCAAAAGTGGGATAATATTCTTTTCCAAAGGAAGGGAGTGTAGAATTTTAAAATGTGAAAATGAAGTACAGATAAGATCTGAATTGTGTTTTAAATGGAATAACTTTCTCAGTGAAAGCTGGATAAAAAGTTGGTTGCATAGGTCGAACTGGTGCTGGAAAATCTTCTATTATTTAAGCTCTTTTCAGAATGACTGAAATAGAATCAAAAATTGAAAAATTAGTGGATGAAGAATCAAGATTCAATTAAGAAACGTGTATTAAAATCGATGGACATAATATTAAAGATTTGGGTCTACAAACATTGAGAGGAGGAATAAGCCTAATACCATAAGTACCATTCATATTCTCAGGAACTATAAGAAGGAATCTAGATCCATTAAACCAATTTACTGATAAAATGATTTTTGATATTTTGTAAGATATAAATTTACTAGGTATATTAATTTTTTTTTAATTAGAAGAAATATCCATTTATTAATAATTTGATTTACTAGATAAAGTAAATAGCTTGGATAAAGGAATATATACTGATATGAGCAATATTAGTGAGATATTTAGTACAGGATAAAAATAATTAATTTGTTTAGGTAGAGCTATTCTAAAATAGAGCAAATTGATTGTGCTAGATGAAGCAACATCAAATTGTGATATGCAAACTGATTAGTTTATCTAAAGAAAAATTCGAGAAAAGTTCACAGACTCTACAGTAATTACAATAGCCCATAGATTGAACACTATTGCAGATTATGACAAAATAATAGTCATAGATAAAGGTGTTGTAATTGAAAATGGAGTACCTTATGAATTACTATGTTAAGAAAATAGTATATTTAAATAGATGGTAGATCACACAGGTTAATATAATTCACAGCTTATCTTAAAAATAGCCTAATAAGCATACAAAAAAATTATTAACCATAAAAAGTGACATCTATATATATATTGTATTAATAAATTTTTTTATACCTGTTATTTTTTATAATCATTTTTTACTCATCATAAACAAACCTAGCATACCCTTTTAAAATTTTTTAGATAAATTTTAGGAAAAAAATAAAAATTATAGTAAACAAAATAACTATTAATCTTTGATAATAAATTTATCATTTTAAATTAAATAAAATTCTAAAAATATATTTTATCTTATTACTAATTCTAAAAACCAGATAGGTAAAATTGAGATATTGTTATTTTCTTTAAGATGAATAATTTACTGATGAAATCGGATTTTATTAGATATATTTTGTAATACTTTAGCACATAAATAATTATGTTAATTTTAGTATGAAGTATCTTATGAGTAAAAATAATATTAATATTAAAAATTTTGATGGAATTATAACTAGAATGTATATCTAATTAAAATATAATTTCGTTTTAATATCCTAGTAAGGACTCCATTTTGAAATATGTATTTGTAATCTAATTTATATATAAAAATACAAAAAATTCATAAAATCCATGAATTTTTTGGTAATTAAATTAGATATTTTGACTGTAAACATCTAAATCGAACAATTAATTAATTTGAATATATATCATTCCTTTAATTTAAATAAGATCAATAAAAGAAATAATCTGTCATAGATAAGTAAAATTGTCTAAATGATGACTTAATTTTTTTATTGCATATCACTAATAATATTATTAATTAATTTATTAGTGTAAGATTGCAAAAGAAGAAACTAATCATTAATTACAAGGTAACTTTTTTTATTCAATATATTTCAAATATATTTTGCAAAATCTAAAAATTTCACTATCTTTATATTTATAATTATAAATCGCATAAAAAATATTGTAAATATTTGCGTGATTACATTTAGTGAAAGAATTTAATTGTAAAAAATTGGGTATTAATAAACATCTATTTTCATGATCCTTTATTAATAAATTAGTAAATTAATTAATTTTTTGCCAGACCTGATCTGGTAAATTATTTAACTAAATAAACTCGATTTCTTATTTTTTTTTTTCGTAATGAGCTAATTTATTCTTGTAGTATGTTTTTAATTTCAATTTTATATGAAAATGCATAATTGCTTATTTTAGCAAATGTTTTTTTATAAAATTTTGAAAAAAAATTTAGAATAAACTTATACAAATTAGTAAATAAATAATTCCAAAATTAAGGAATATTTTTAAGTTGAATTAATAATCTGTAAGCTAAAATATTTGAACAAATAAAGCAAATTATCAATTAATTTCAATAGAATAAAGTTAAATTCAAATACAAAGAATTAGATACACTTTTTTCATGTAATCAATAAAAAAAATAAATTGGTTATTTATATTACAAGTAAGCAAATACAAATAATTTTTTCTCAAATTGATTATCAAATGAGTAAAAAAATTTCAAATCTTATTAAGTTAAATAATTTTAAATTTATTAATTATGCTATTGTAAAAAAATCGCTTGTATTTAATTTATATTTTAAGTGAAATTGCTTAAAAAATGTTAAATTGTATGAATATTATCAAGGAAGAACAATTAATTAATCGTAGAAAATAATATCAACATGAAAGCTTGATTCAGAATCTTACTTGTTTTAATTGATCAACTCCTGGATTTTATTTATTATTTTACCTTACATAATTTCTAACTAAATTAAATTATATTTGTAAAAAATTCTGGTAAAATAAAATTCTAACTATTACTGAACACAATTACAATAATTCTATTATTTGTTAAGAAAATTTTTTACTTTTAATCATAAATAAATCAATCTTAAGATTATCACAAAATCTTAATAAATAAAAGACATAGTGAAGTTAATAAAATGTATTAAAGGCCTAATTTATTATTATACTTGATTTATTATTTTATCAAAAGAGTAAATTTTTTAAAGAAATTTAATTAATTTATAAAAATATAGATTTCCTAATGAATAGATTAATTGATGATTAAAAATGATCTCAATAATTTCTTTAATTTGTGGTTAACTTTTGTTATTAATCTAATTATTTTTTTTACAAATTTAAAAGCTTGATTAATGCAAAATTAACAAAAAAATTATGATTCCTTGAATCAAAATATAGAGTTACCCTTTTTGCTTGAAAGAAATTTTTAATTATAATAATTAATTGATAAAAAAATTGAATACAGACGACATACTCTAGTAAAATGGCCTAATTTCAACTAAAATCATAAATAAGTATGTTAAAAATATTTATTTAAAAAGATTATTAACATATTTTTCTAAATTAATAGTATTTTTGTATATAATATCATATTCGTTTGTTCACACACTAAGAAGCGATGGAATTAAGTTGCATAAGTAAATGCCATTTTTTTAGAACTAAATTATTTTTATCACAATTTTTGAAATATTTTAATCGCTTATCTTGTAATAGAAATTTAAGACTAATATTCCAGCTTTTTATAACAAAAAAATGTGATAAATAAAAAAGTATAAGCTTAAATATGAAATAAGAATAGTTTTTTTTTTTTTGAAGTAACAATTTTTTCTAGAAATTGGATTGAATTAAATGTTATATATCTTAAATTGAATTTCATTTGAGAAATAATCAAATAAATTTTTCATCTTAATATTTTTAAACATAGAAAAGTTATTTAAATATAATACAATGGAGATCAAATATTAAAATTTTCTTTTTTATAAACTAAAAATTTTTAAAATTAAAAGAACATGCAATATTACCGAATTCTATTTTTCAAACAAATAAAGATGTAGGATGTAATTTGATACATATTTTATATAATAAATAACTTAATGCATCTACTTTAGTTAAAATAAAAAATTAAAAGCCCTTTAAAATAACTCATTTTATTTTTACATCCTACATACTTTAAGCAATTTGGTTTAATTTTTTAATTAAAAAAATTTCATATAATAATAAATTCTATATATTATTAGAAAAGAAAATCAAAGAAATCTTGGTCTTTTTTGTGGCAATAACTGTAATTGTATTCTTGGTGGATGTAGTTCTTGTATAGGTAGCAATTATTATATGAGTGGCGGAGATTGTTATCTTTGCGATACATCGTGTTCAACTTGTAATGGAGGATCCTCAACTAATTGTTTGACTTGTCCTACTGGTAAATATTTATTTGCCAATAAATCATGCAATACTTGTAATGTGAGCAATGGATACTATATAAATGGAACATAGTGTATTGCTTGCGATCCCTCATGTTAAACTTGTAATGGATCATCTGCAACAAATTGTTTGACCTGTTCTTCTAGTAAATATTTAACTGCAAATAATTAATGTATTGCTTGCGATACCTCATGCTCAACTTGTAATGGAGGTTCATCAACAAATTGTTTGACTTGCCCTTCTGGTAAGTATTTATTTGCCAATAAATCATGCAACACTTGTAATATAAGCAATGGTTATTATATTAGTGGAATTTAGTGTATTCCTTGTGATCCATCATGCTCAACTTGTAATGGATCATCTGCAACAAATTGTTTAACTTGTCCTTCTGGCAAATATTTGTTTGCAAATTACTCATGTAATGTTTGTAATACTAGTAGTGGATTTTATATAAGTGGAATTTAGTGTATTTCTTGCGATCCTTCATGTGCCACTTGTAATGGATCATCTTCAACTAGTTGCCTAACATGTCCTTCAAGCAAATATTTATTTGCAAACAACTCATGTAATATTTGTAATACTACTAGTGGTTTTTATATAAGTGGAATTCAGTGTATTGCTTGTGATTCTACATGTACTACATGCAACGGATAATCTCCAACAAATTGCTTGACTTGTCCTTCTGGTAAATATTTATTTGCAAATAACTCATGCAATGTTTGTAATACGACTAACGGTTTTTATATAAGTGGAATTTAGTGTATTCCTTGTGACACTTCATGTGCTACTTGTAATGGATCATCTGCAACAAATTGTTTGACTTGTCCTTCTGGTAAATATTTATTTGCAAATAACTCATGTAATGTTTGTAATACTAGTAGTGGCTTTTATATAAGTGGAATTTAGTGTATTGTTTGTGATCCTTCATGTGCTACTTGTAATGGATCTTCCACAACAAAATGTTTGACTTGTCCTTCTGGTAAATATTTATTTGCAAACAACTCATGTAATGTTTGTAATACTACTAGCGGTTTTTATATAAATGGAATTTAGTGTATTTCTTGTGATCCTTCATGTGCTACTTGTAATGGACCATCTGCGACAAATTGTATGACTTGTCCTTCTGGCAAATATTTATTTGCAAACAACTCATGTAATGTTTGTAATACTACTAGCGGTTTTTATATAAATGGAATTTAGTGTATTGCTTGCGATCCTTCATGTGCTACTTGTAATGGATCATCTCCAACAAATTGTTTGACTTGTCCTTCTGGTAAATATCTATTTGCAAATAACTCATGTAATATTTGTAATACTACTAGCGGTTTTTATATAAATGGAATTTAGTGTATTTCTTGTGATCCTTCATGTGCTACTTGTAATGGACCATCTGCGACAAATTGTATGACTTGTCCTTCTGGCAAATATTTATTTGCAAACAACTCATGTAATGTTTGTAATACTACTAGCGGTTTTTATATAAATGGAATTTAGTGTATTGCTTGCGATCCTTCATGTGCTACTTGTAATGGATCATCTGCAACAAATTGTATGACTTGTCCTAATGGCAAATATTTATTTACAAATAACTCTTGTGATAATTGTAATACTAGTAATGGCTATTATATTAGCGGAATTTAGTGTATTGCTTGTGATCCTTCATGTGCTACTTGTAATGGACCATCTGCAACAAATTGTATGACTTGTCCTTCTGGCAAATATTTATTTGCAAACAACTCATGTAATGTTTGTAATACTACTAGCGGTTTTTATATAAATGGAATTTAGTGTATTGCTTGTGATCCTTCATGTGCTACTTGTAATGGATCATCTGCAACAAATTGTTTGACTTGTCCTTCTGGTAAATATCTATTTGCAAATAACTCATGTAATGTTTGTAATACTATTAGTGGCTTTTATATAAGTGGAATATCGTGTATTTCTTGTGATCCTTCATGTGCTACTTGTAATGGACCATCTGCGACAAATTGTATGACTTGTCCTTCTGGCAAATATTTATTTGCAAACAACTCATGTAATGTTTGTAATACTACTAGCGGTTTTTTAATAAATGGAATTTAGTGTATTGCTTGCCATCCTTCATGTGCTACTTGTAATGGATCATCTGCAACAAATTGTATGACTTGTCCTAATGGCAAATATTTATTTACTAATAACTCTTGTGATATTTGTAATACTAGCAATGGCTATTATATTAGCGGAATTTAGTGCATTTCTTGCGATCCCTCATGCTAAACTTGCAATGGATCATCTAAAACTAATTGTTTGACTTGCCCTTCTGGTAAATATTTATTTGCAAATAACTCATGTAATATTTGTAATACTAGTAATGGTTATTATATAAGTGGAATATAGTGTATTTCTTGTGATCCTTCATGTGCTACTTGTAATGGACCATCTGCGACAAATTGTATGACTTGTCCTAATGGCAAATATTTATTTACAAATAACTCTTGTGATAATTGTAATACTAGTAATGGCTATTATATTAGCGGAATTTAGTGTATTGCTTGTGATCCTTCATGTCAAACTTGTATTGGATCATCTGCAACAAATTGTTTGACCTGTCCTTCTGATAAATATTTATTTGCAAATAAATCTTGTGATGTTTGTAATATTAGCAGTGGCTTTTATGTAAACGGAATTTAGTGTATTTCTTGCGATCCTTCATGTGCCACTTGTAATGGAAGTTCTAATACTAATTGTTTAACATGCCCACCAGGAAAATATTTATTTTAAAATAATTCATGCAATAATTGCAATGTAAGTGGTGGATATTTTATTAGTGGAAATAATTGTATAGCATGCGATTCATCATGTGCTACATGCTAAGGAAACACATAAACAAGTTGTTTGACTTGTCCGACTGGAAAATATTTACTTTTGGATAATTCATGTCAAAGTTGTATAGTAAATAATGGTTTTTTTATAAGCGGAAATAATTGTTTGCAGTGCGATCCAACTTGTTAAACTTGTAATGGTCCTTCACCAAATAACTGCATTTCCTGTCAAATTGGTTAGTATTTATTTAAAAATAATACTTGTTAATAAGCTTGTAATATTAATAACGGGTATTATATTAATGGAAATAATTGTTTATAATGTGATTCAAGCTGTTTAACTTGTAACGGTCCCACTTCAAATAATTGCCTATCATGTTTATCTGGTTAATTTCTATTTTAGGATTATTCTTGCTCATCAAATTGCAATGTTAATAATGGATATTATATTGATGGGACTAATTGTTTAAAATGCCATTCGAGTTGTTTGACTTGTGATGGTCCTTCTTCAAATAATTGTCTTTCATGTGCCTTAGGTTAGTACATATTCAAGAATAAATCTTGCTCACTAATCTGCTAGACTAATGGTTATTATATAGATGGAATTAATTGTTTAGAATGTAATTCAAGCTGTTTAACATGTAATGGTCCATATTTAAATAATTGCCTATCATGCCAACCAGGCTAGTATTTATTTTAGAATAATACTTGTTCATCTTATTGTGATACTAATAATGGATATTATTAGTTTAACAGCTAATGCCTTCTCTGTGATCCATCTTGTTAAACATGTAATGGACCAACTTCAGTAAGCTGCTTGTCATGCCCTTCTGGAAACTTTTTATATGCTAATAATTCATGTCAATCTAACTGTAATACTAGTTATGGATATTTTATATAAGGAAATAATTGTATAGCTTGCGATTCTTCATGCTAGTCTTGCTCAGGACCCTTATCTACAAGCTGCTTAACATGCTTTTCTGGGACCTATTTGCACAATGATAATTCATGCAAACCTTGTAATATAAATGAAAGTTATTTTATCAGTTAAAATAAGTGTATTTAATGTAGTTCATCATGTTAAACTTGTAATGGATCTTAAGTAACTAATTGCTTGACATGTAAATCTGGTCTCTATCTCTATCCTGACAACTCTTGCTAAGTATGTGATATAACTAATAAATAATTTTTAGATACATAATAAATATGCAGAAACTGTCATTCTTCATGCTTTACATGTAATGGTCCAAATGTTAACTAATGTTTGACTTGCCCAGCTGGATAGAATCTATATCCAGATAATAGCTGTAAGATATGTAATATTTAGAATCAGTAATATTTAGATAATTAAAGTATATGCAGATAGTGTGATTCTTCTTGCTAAACATGCAACGGATAGCAATAAACTTCTTGTACAAGCTGCATATCTGGAACCTATTTATATCCTGATAACAGCTGCAATATTTGCAATACTTCTAATTAATAATATTTAGATACTTAAAATATATGTAAATCTTGTGATCCTTCTTGTTTGACATGCAGTGGACCCTAAGCTACTTAATGCTTAACTTGCTTAAGTGGAAATTATTTATTCCCTGACAATAGCTGTAATATATGTAAAATAAGTAATAAGTAATATTTAGATAGTGCATAAATTTGCAGGTCCTGTGATCCTAGTTGCTTAACTTGTAATGATTAAACTCCATAGTCATGTACAAGCTGTCCAACAGGCACTAATTTATATCCTGATAATAGTTGTTAAAAATGTGATATTGCTAATAAGTAATACCTAGATAACTCTAATATATGCAGATACTGTGATCATACTTGCTTAACATGCAATAATTCTTCACCTAAATCTTGTCTAACCTGCCCTTTAGGAACTTACTTATATCCAGATTAAAGTTGTAACACTTGCGATACAGCAAATCAATTTTATTTAGATAGTTAATAGATTTGTAGATAATGTGATTCATCTTGCTAAACTTGTAATGGGTAATCAGCAAATTCATGCTTAACTTGTACTTTAGGAACTAATTTATATCCGGATCGCAGCTGTAAATTTTGTGATATAAGCAAAAAATATTATTTAGATAGCTAGTATATTTGTTAATAATGTGATACTTCTTGTTAAACCTGCAATGGCCCTACTTCAACTTCATGCTTGACTTGCCCCTAAAGTGAAAGTAAATAAATAAATTTTTTATTATTTTAATAAGTCTAAATTAATTCATTACTATAAATTTAAATGAGTAAAATTGAATTTAAAAAGTTTTTTAATTAATTATTAACCATTAACCATTACTTTTTTTGTTATTCGGATTTTTATAAAAATTTTATTTTTTGATAATAAAATATCAAGTTTATAAAAAAAATTTCCCAAAATTTTTATCGATCTTTCATCTTTCTTACATATTGTATAAAATTTTTTATAAATTTAAAAGATGCTAAATTTTACTTATATCCAGATAATTCTTGTAATAGTTGTGATTTAACTAACGGTTAATATTTAGATGCAGCAAATATATGTAGGTAATGTGATATATCTTGTAAAACATGTAATGGTTCGGCTCCTACTTAGTGTTTAACTTGCCCATCAGGGACAAATTTGTTTCCAGATTTTAGCTGTAAAGTTTGTAATATTAAAAATTAGTATTATTTAGATCAACTATAGATTTGTAGACAATGTCATCCTTCATGCTTAACTTGCAATGGATAGTCTTAAAATCAGTGCTTAAGCTGCTTACCAGGAACTAACTTATTTCCTGATAATAGCTGCTAAGTTTGTTAAATAAATAATTAATATTTTTTAGATTCATCAAATATTTGCAATTAGTGTGATTCATCTTGCTTGACATGTAATGGATTTTAGCCTAATTAATGCTTAAGTTGTCCAAATGGAAAATATTTATATCCTGATAATACATGCTAAACATGTAATTTAAATAATAAATAGTATTTAGATGCATATTAAATTTGTAGATCTTGTGATTCTACTTGCTTAACTTGCACAGGATCATCAAAAAATCAATGCTCAAGCTGCCCTCCTGGGACAAATTTATTCTAAGATAATACTTGTTCAGTATGTAAAACAAATAATCAATTTTATATAGATTAAAATACTATTTGTAAGCCATGTGACTCTTCTTGCCAAACTTGTAGTGGACCCTCATCAACTGAGTGTATAACATGCCCAAATGGAAAAAATTTATATCCAGATAATAGCTGCTAAGTATGTAACACAGATAATCTTTAATATTTAGATTAAAATAATATTTGTAGATCTTGTGACTTAACATGCTAAACTTGTAATGGACCTACAGCAAATTCTTGTTTAAAATGTCCTACAGGGTCTAATTTATATCCTGATTATAGTTGCAAAGGATGCAACATAAATAAACAATAATTCTTGGACTAGAATTAAATTTGTAGAAGTTGTGATCCATCATGTTAAACATGTAATGGATAGCTAGCTACTTAATGCCTAAGTTGTCCTTCAGGAACCAACTTATATCCAGATAACAGTTGCAAGTTTTGTGATTTAAGCAAATAATAATTTTTAGATTCAAACTAAATTTGCAGATCTTGTGATCCTTCTTGCTACACTTGCTCTGGATAAACAGCTTAGCAATGCTTAAGCTGTAATCCAGGTAATAATTTGTTTCCAGATAATAGCTGCAAAATTTGTGATATAAGTAACAAATAATATATAGATTCTAATTAGATATGCAGATAATGTGATTCTTCTTGCTAAACATGTAATGGATCTTCAGCTAATTAGTGTTTAAGTTGTCCATCTGGCAAAAATTTATATCCAGACTTTTCATGTAAATATTGTAATACGAACAATATGTAATATTTAGATTAAAACAATATTTGCAGAAGCTGTGATTCTTCTTGCTAAACTTGTAATGGATCTACTCCATAATCGTGTTTAAGTTGTCCATCAGGTAATTTATATGAAAAATTATTGAAACACAAATATTTATCAAATTATTTTTCATTTTTTTATTCATCATATATATTTAATTTTGCATTGTAAGTTTAATGATATACTGACTCTTATTAATTAGCACATCATATCCCAATACTATATCAAAAAATTAATTTTAGCATATTATATTTCTAAAAAATTTTAAATTAAAACCATGCTCTATTTATCAAATGAGTATACCGTAATTTCAAAGAAAAAATGCAAAAATTAAATAATGTTAAATATTCATTTAATTTTAAATATGAGATTTAGATTAAAATTTTGTAAAATATTAGGTACTAATTTATTTCCAGACAATTCTTGCAAATTTTGCGATGTAAGTAATCAACTTTATTTAGACTAATCTAAGGTCTGTAGATCTTGCCACTCAAGTTGTTAAACATGTAGCGGACCTACTAAAAATGAATGTTTGACTTGTCCAAACGGGACTTATCTTTATCCAGATAATTCATGCTAACTATGTTAAACCAACAATTAGCAGTATTTAGATAGTTCTAACATTTGTAGATAATGTGATCCTTCATGCTTAACATGTAATGGATCTTCTTTAAATTCTTGTGTCACTTGTCATCCAAATAATTCACTTTATCCTGATTTTAGTTGTAGTTTTTGTGACATAAGCAAATCCTTTTACTTAGATTCAAATAATATTTGTAGATAATGTCATAGCACATGCTTAACTTGCTCTGGACCTTAAAGTACTCAATGCTTAAGTTGCCCTAATGGATAAAATCTTTTTCCAAATAATTCATGTAATGTATGCAATGTTTCTAATTAATATTTTATTGATTCTAACAAAATATGTTAAGCCTGTGATTCTAGCTGCTAAACATGTAGTGGACCAAACAATACAGATTGTTTAACATGTGCTACAGGAAAATATTTTTATCCTGATAAGACCTGTAATGTATGCAGCACTAATAATAAATTTTATCTTGATAGCAATTAAATATGCCAATAATGTGATAGCTCATGCAAAACATGTAATGGATTAACTAAAAATTCATGTGAATCATGCCCCTTAGGGACGACACTTTACCCAGATTATTCATGTTAGTTCTGTGATACATCCAATCAATTTTATATAGATTCTAAGAATTTTTGTTAAAAATGTGATTTAAGTTGTCAAACCTGCTCTGGGTAAACCAATAAACAATGTTTAAGTTGTCCTGCTAATACTTACTTATATCCAGATAATTCTTGTAATTAATGCAATACTTAGAACTAGTATTTTGTAGATAAAAATTAAATTTGTTAAAAATGTGATAGCTCATGTCTTACTTGCAATGGATTGCTAAATAATAACTGCACATCATGCAAAGATGGTTTTTATTTAGATAAAAATAATACTTGCAAGCCTTGTGATTCAACCTGCTTAACTTGTAATGACTCAGGTAAAAATAGCTGCTTGACTTGCCAGAGTGGATAAAATATTTTTTATGATAAATCTTGTAATATTTGTCAAATAAGTAATAAATATTTTATTGATAGCTCACTAATTTGTCAGAAATGTCATCCTACTTGCTTAACTTGCAACGGCTTACTTTAAAATAATTGCTTATCTTGCTAAGATGGGCTATACTTAGATTCCACAAATTAATGCTAGCCATGCGATTCCTCATGCTCAACTTGTAATGGCCCTAGTCCATCATAATGTTTAAAATGTAAACCAGGATTTAATTTTTATCCTGATGGGCTTTGTAAGTATTGTGATTTATCAAATAAATATTTCTTAGCTAACTAAAAAATCTGCTAATAATGTTCACCTAATTGTTAAACTTGTAATGGGCCTCTAACAACAGACTGTTTAAAATGTATAAGTGGAATGACTAAATTTCCAGATTAAACTTGTAATTTCTGTGATACAAATAATAAAAAATTCATAGATACTAATTAAATATGTCAAAACTGTGACTCGTCTTGTTTAACATGCAAAGGTTTATCATCAACTGATTGTACTTCTTGTAATTTAGGATAGAATTTATATCCTAATAATTCCTGTTAATTTTGTAACCTAAATAATTAATAATATTTGGATAGCACAAATGTTTGTAGATCATGTGATAAATCTTGCTAAAAATGTAATGGTCCATTGAAAAATCAGTGCATATCTTGCGTTTTAGGATTAACTCTTTACCCTGATAACTCTTGTTAGATTTGTGATATAAATAATAAATAATTTATAGATAATAATAACATATGCTAATAATGTGATAATTCTTGTTAAAAATGTAGTGGTCCTTCTAATACAAATTGTATTGAATGTGCATATGGATTGAGCTTTTAAAGTGATACCACTTGTAAATTTTGCAATACTTCAAATGGATTCTTTGTTGATTAAAATAACTATTGCAAAAATTGTGATTAAAATTGCATTACTTGTAAAAATAATAAATAATGTACTAAGTGTGTATCTAATTTCACACTATTTAATGGAATGTGCTTTGACTGTTAACCTGGAACTTATATAGGTAAAGATTTTTTATTTTATATTTCTTCTTTAATTAAATATTTTATTATTTTAGATTCTACAACTATGAGCTGCTAGAGCTGTAATATAAAATGTAAGACTTGCTTTGGAGGTCTAGAAACATAATGTATCCAATGTGCTAATCCATCCTAATTTTTTGATTAAAATAATTATTGTGTTGATTCTTGCTAAGATGGGTATATCAAGAATCCAAACACAAATAAATGTTAGAAGTGTTTGTATTATACAGCTAATTTTTAAAAAGCTATTTGCGTTTTGGAATGCCCAGATCAGTTTTATGCAGATTCTAATAATATTTGTTAGAAATGTGGAAATAATTGTAAACATTGCATAGATTAGCTAACATGTATAGAGTGTAATGAGAATTACAGTTTTAAAAGTTAAATTTTAAGAGAGTGTGATTTTTGTTAAGCAGATGAATATAAAGACGATAATAATGTTTGCTAAAAATGTGAAATATTAAATTGTTAAACTTGTTAGAGTAAAAGTATTTGCCATACCTGTGCAATAGGATATAAAAATAAATAAACATATTGTGAATATGATTAAAGATATGATCACTATACTTGCTCTTATTCAACTTAAGAATAATGTGAATCAGAATTGAATTTAATTACAAAGGTTGATACAAGTATGCAATCTGTATAAATTACTTCATTTGGAATACAAACTGCAAATGCTATATTATTTGCATAAGGAACATAGTTTTTATATTCTCTTTAGATTCAACAAATGATAGGAAATATAAAATTTTCAGATTAATTTAAAACATTAAGCCTCGGTTAAACTTTTATTGATTTAAATTACTAAATGAATATTTTAAGTATTATTCCCAATCCAATAAAATCAATGAATACATAAAATTCCAACCAGAATAAATCATCCAATAATTTATAAAGTTAGAGAATACTTGATGAAAATGCATCATCAAGCGATTTAAGAAGAATTGAGTCAATTAATCTCAGTAACCTGTTTTTAAGTGATGCTTTAATTTATTTCTTTATTACTGGAATATTTATCATAATTTTATCCATTTGTAAGTTGCTAAGTAAAAGATTTACCTTTTTTAGTGAGATTGAAGAGAAAAAATACTCATATATAATCAAACTTTAGCTTTTGTTTTCAAACTACATCCTAATATCTATTTTTAATTGTTTTAAAATCTTAGATTTTTCAACAACTCTTCAAATTGTCAGCTTCGCCTTATAAATTGTATACTTGATATGCTATGCTATATTCTTAATATTTTTTTATCTTTAAATCAAGAAATTTGATAGAAAATCTAACATGGCTTTAATTAATAAATATTATATTCTCATTGATAATATTAATATAGAGATTCCTTTTGGAAAATACTTTTGGTTATTTTTTGAAATTAGAAAAATATTAAATATAGCATTTACTTTTTTAATACCTTCAGTGATCTTGTCTCTTTCTTTAGTGATGTCTTTGAATTTAATATTTTTCATTTACATGGTTTATTACAAACCAATTATGTCGTTAATCGAGTAGAGATATTATTATGTATTAGAATTCTTGCAAATATTAATTAATCTAAATATTATTTTAGTCTACAACTTTGATGATGTAAAATTAGCTTGGTCCACAGTCATTAATATTGGAACACTCTTTTTTGTGATATTTGTATATTCAATATTCGTGTCCTATAAAATCATAAAAATAAAATACTGCAAAAAAAGATTTATAGTATCAAAGAATTTATACTATGAAGAAGATGTTAGATAAAAGTAAATCTAATCAATTATAGATAAAAATTAGATGAGAATCAAAGTAAGAAAAGGGGTCTTAAATTAATTAGAAAGTTCATTAAATAACTCCTTAAACACAGAGTAACAACACTTTTTTAAAATAATATTTTTAAATTATTTAATTAAATTAAATAGGAGCAATAATAGTTCAAGGATAGAATACATGGATAACATTCACCAACTATCTATTAAATGGAATAAAAATCCAATATATACTAGAAATGTTGCATTAAAAATCCATAAATAATAATGATCAAACTTAACAAAATTCTTAAGATATTATATTTTGAAGTGTTTTGTTTTATTTGATTATTTATAAAATTGTTTTTTTATTTATTTTATGATGGTATAATTGAAATTATTGATTAAATACACACTATTGTACATATATTTTGGATTGCGCACTTTATGCACAAAATAAATCATAATTTAAAAAATAAGCATTATATGTTCATTAATTAATAAAACCACTTTTTTAAAAATATAGAGTAGATTGATAGCATTTCAAACTGCTTAACATTTCGAGTTTTTCATCTTCAGTGCTTACAAACATTTTCCTACTATTTTTTTATGACATTTGCAAAAATTTCTGCAAAGTAATTTTAAATAAATAAAAAAAACAAATTCTTCAAATTTAAAGGTTAACTCTTATCATATTCTGACTAAACTCAACTTACATAAAATTAACCTTAAATTGAAATATAAAATGTTATTTTTCGCTTAAAGGTTTAGTTTGAATTTATCATATTAATTATTTTCATTCAAGCAAGATTTTTTTTAAAAATTTATTAAAAATTTTAAATTAAAATAAAAAATTTTTTATTTATTTTATTTTTTATGGTTTTAACAAAATTTAATAATATGAAGTAATAAACTAAATTAGATTTAAAACCTAAGATTATAATTGTATTTTTTATAAAATTTTAAATAGTAGTTTAAAATGACATAATTTTAGAATTTTTATTTACATTTTTAAAAATTAAATTTCAAAATGAGAACGATAAACATTCAAAAGTAAGTATCACTTTCAACCAAAAGATATAGTTCTTTTTTATATTTTTCAAATAAAATTTTAATTAACTTGAACAAGAATCATAAAAAATATTCATTTAATTTTTCTAAATATTTAGGAATTAAGTATTAAAAATATTTAATATTTTTACTCCTATTATATCATTTAGTTTTGAATATTAATATTTATTTTAGAAGTAATAATTTTCAAATGTAAATTAAAAAGACAAAACAAAAATAAACCCTATCTAGTTATTTAAGTTAAATAAATAAAGTAAGATTAATAAGATTTAATGATTCATGCATTTCTTTAATCATTAATTGAACATGTAATAACAAATTTCTTTATTTTTAGAACAAAAAAGGATATTTTTTATTATAGTAACAATTCATTTAAGTGATATCTTACGAATTTTATATAAAAAAAACACTATAATATAAAGATAATAATATAATTATTATTTTTCATAAATAAAAAGATAAACCTTAAAATATGTTTATATTATTGATTTTTATATGGTATTTTCATGTATTTATCATCAAAATCAATCTCCTTTGCAATCAAGGGTTAAAGGATAGCAATAAAAACAGTATTTTTTGTTTCAGGTGAATACTAAATAAAAAAGATAAAAATTTTTGATCTAAAAAATAATTTGGGGAAGCTAGTTTGTTTGATATTTATATTTATGTTTTTTAATTTGTAATTTAAAAATAAACATTAATCTCAAGTTTAGTAGCTCTTTATTAATATAAAAGAGTAATCTTATAGATTGATATTACTATTCGCAACACTTAAAATAAAATTTTTATATTAATATTAATTAAGAAAAATAATGGTTTTAGGCATAAGAAACAACTAGTTTTTTTATTTATTCATGAAAATGGGTAGAATTTTTTTGATAAAATAGAAAAATAATTTAAAAAATTCTCGATTGAAGTAAATTTACAATCTTAAAAAAAGAAATTGAGTTATCATACATTATTTATTTAAACATTTACCTAATTTAATTTAATTCAGAAAAAATTGATTAATACATATTTTTTATGTAAGAAAAAATGTGATGATATGATTAAATCTTAAATTTTATTTGGTTTAAAACAAAATATTATATTTTAAGATAATTAATAGTTGGTATTATGACATAATAATATCAATTAATTCTATAACATTAGCATTTGAAAAAGAAAAACTATCTGTTAGAAAAACCCACAAAAGTCATAATATCAATAACCTATACAACAAAAAACTTATAATTTTATATTATGCTGTTTTAGTTTTTTTTTAAATATCTAAAACATTATCACTTATTCAAGAATATCGTAATGAAATATTTTAATTTTTGCTTTTAAAATATATTATGATTATATAAATGACGAAATTTAAATAGTTTTTGTCCACAAAAAATTAAGTCTATCTGTTAGGAAAACCCATAAAAGTCATAATATCAATAAACATATACAACAGAAAACTTATAATTTTATATTAGGTTGTTTTAGTTTTTTTTTTAAAATCTAATACGCAATCACTTATTCAAGAATAATGTAAAGAAAAATTTTAATTTTTGTTTTTAAAATGTATTATGATTATAAAAATGACAAAATTTAAATAATTTTTGTCCAAAAAAAATTAAGTTATCGAATTATTTTCTGTAAATATAAAATCAATCTCAAATTTCTTCTTAGAGTTTTTATAAATTATATCTAAATTGCTATGGATTATAGAAAGTATTTCTCAAATCAATTCAAATTAAGTAAATTAACCCATTTTTTTAAAAATTATTTAGCTAAATAGAAATACATGTCAAAGAGCTAAATTAATAAATGCATTTAAAAACTCTAAATTTGCTTACAAAAAGCAAAATTGGCCTTATTTTAATCCATTTTAATAATTTTTCTTTAGAAAAAAGAATTTCTAATTATAAAAAATATAAAAATTAGAAAAAGGTTAAGTATTAATGAGTGCTAAGTCTTTTATTTCTTCTTCATCGATCATTATGAAATAAATACATTTCCTTTTTTCCATCTTAAATATGTTTAAACCACTCATTAAACATTTGATTGAATTTGTAAGCAAATATTAACTATTACTATAATATACTAGTCAATTTAAATAATATAGAATAAAAAAACATCAAAATATATATATTACTCCTCTAATTAATAGATTTGTTGCATGATAAAGTTTGAAAAATATATTAATGTTGCAATTCAAAATAAAATTTAAAGATAGAAGTTTCCTAAACTAAATTTATTTAAAATAATATGGGTCGATCTTTATAGAATAGAATGGTAGAAATTAGGTAATAAAACATAAAAAAAAAGGTATCTACTCCATCAGTATTGATTACTAACAATAATACTATATACTCTAAAGAAAAATGTAAGAATCAAAAAAGGTTACTCCTTTAGCTTTTGCGTTTATATATTTTATTCAAAATCACTATCAATTTATATTATTCCTATTTTAATTAAAAAATATATTAAACTCATTTATTATAGAAAATAAATTTTTAATCTATCTAAAAATATTGATAAAATTAGATTAATAATCTTTCTTTTTATTATTTATTGGTTAGAAATTGAAAAGTAGATTATTGGAATTAATAGACAGATTAATCAACTTCTATTATTATTAAACTGAAAAATTGATTCAAAATATTGTATTCTTTTCTTATTAAAAACTGATTCTTTTCTTTAAATATTTAATTTAATTTTTAAATGTATATTTATAAATTGCCTGAAGAGAAATCTCTTCTACATTAAATAACGAATTTTATGTATTTAAACAATAAATATAGTAGGATAACATTGTTTAGGCTAAAATAAGAATATTTAGCAATTACATAATCAACAAATTACTTACAATTTTATAAACGTAAAATTTTTTAATTTATTTAAATTATAATAAACTAAGTACAAACTACCTAAAAATAAATAAAATATACAATTATATAAATTTATTTAATATTATATTAAATAAAGATAAATAATTATAGGTGTAACCTATCACTATTTATCTCTCTATTACAAAAAAAATAATCCATAATTTAGAATTTTAATTTACATTTTTTAAAATTAAATTTCAAAATAAGAAAGATAACCTTTCAAAAGTTTCTCAATAAAGATATAGTTATTTTTGTTAATTTGTATAATAAAATTTAATTTACTAGAATAAGAAGCATAAAAATATAAATTATTTTAATTTTATAAAAGTATTAGAGTTATTTAATATTAAAAAATATATGAATATATAAAAATGATCAAAAGTCTTATTTTAATAATTAATTTATCTCCTAATATATCAATTTGTTTGAATTTTGATGGTATTTATTTAAGCGGTAATAATTTTCAAAAGTAGATTAAAAGACAAAAAAATATACGTATCTAGATATTTAAGCTAAATAAATAAAGTAAAATTAATAAGATTTTAAGATAATGCATCTTCTTTAATATTTAAATGATTATATGATTACAAATTTCTTTATTTTTATAAGCTAAAAAGATTATTTTTTTAGTTACTGTTGATTTATTAAAATAATGAATAAATCTAAATTATTTGCTTCCTTAAATAAATGGATTTATTTAAGTGATATCATAAAATTTTAAAAAATAAAACATATTTTAATCTACAAAAAATAAAAATATAATTATAATTTTTCATAAATCAAAAGATAGATCCTAAAATATATTAATAATATTAGTTTTAATATAAGTATCTTCATTTATTTATCAGCGATCAATCTCCTTAGCAATTAAGGACTAAAGCATAGCAGTACATAGAATACCAACCGTCACCATAACCAGTAAGTCCAATATCACAGCAAAGATATCTATTATATTGGTAGTAGTTAAAACTGTTACCGCCACTAGCTTCGCAAGCATTAATACACTTGGTGTTGGCTTTTGTGTAATAGGTAGGAATAGGAGCATTAGTAGTTGATTTTATTCCACTTCCAATCAGCATTGGTACACCTCTGATTTCTTCTGTGGTTTATTTTCTAATATGCTTTTTAGATTCTACAACTGATAGTAAAATTGCAGAAGCGATTATTAATATTACTAAGCTTTTTCTCATTTCTTTTAGATTTACTTATTTTATCTATTAATAAATAATTATAACATTGTTGCTTATTATTTTGTAATTTATAGTAATCAAATTTATAAAACGTATTTCTTTGTATCTTTGTTTCTAATTTATTTTAAAAATGGGTGTTGAAAAAAAAAGTTAAAAAAATTATCCGATTAAGTAAATTTTCAATTTTCACAGTGATAAATTGAGAAAGATACATTATTTATTTATTTATTTATTTGCCTAATCTGATCTAATTAATTTCAAAAACGAAATATGATATTTTAAGCAGATTTTTTATTTTAAAATTTTTGTGTTGATATTTTTAAAGCTTGAATATTATTCAGTTCAAAATATATTACCACATCTTAGGATAATTAAAAGTTGTAATTATGACGTAAAAATATCTATCAATTTTTAAACATAAAGCATTTTAAAAAAATAAAATCTATAGCTTACAGAAGTATTACTATCCATAGCTTATATATCATAGAAAATTTATAATTTTATTTTAAGCTATTTTAATTTTTTTTCTCTTTCAATCTAATGTGCAATCATCCAAGTATAGAATAATGAAATATTTGATTATTTGCTTTGAAAAATATGATGATTATGTCCACTAAAAGTTAAGTTATTAAATTATATCTTATCAAAGCCTTTAAAAATTGCATCTAAATAATGTTATAGAAAGTATTAATAAAACAAATCATATTAAGAAAATGAGTTCACTTTTCTCAACAATTATTTCGCTAAATACAAATACTATGTCTAAGAGATAAATTAAAAATGCATTTAATAACTCAAATTTTGCTTTCAAATATAAAATTAAATTTATTTTAATCCATTTTAATATTTTTCACTAGAAATAAGCATTTCTAAACATCAAAATTATAATCATTAGTTATAAGATTATCTCTAAATTTTTCTTCAGTAATAATGAAACAAATACATCTCCTCTTTTAATCTTTCACCTTAAATATTTTTAATACGCTCATAAAATATTTGATTGAATTAAAAAGCAAATATTAACTATTTATAAAATGCTTTAGTCGATTTAAATGCTTAAATTATATATGATAAAAAATCATCTAAAATATATACAGTACTACTAATTATTAGGTATGTTAGATGATGAATTTATTCTTTTAATTATTTGATATTAAGATATTTTTAATACTGTCTACGCTCTAATATAAGAAAATTATTTAAGTGAGCTCTAGAATTAAATTAATTAATTCAAAAAATTTTTTATAGTTTATTAATCCCCTTATCTAAGACTCTCTAAATGTAAAGAGTGGACTGAATATATAAATATAAAACCATTTAATATAGAAAATAAATTTTTAATCTATAATAAATATTGATAAAATTATATTAATAATGATATTATTGTTATTTATTTGCTAGAAATTGAAAAGTAGAATATTGAAATTAATAGACAGATTAATAAATTTCTATTATTAGACTGAATAACAATACAAAATATTCTATTCTTTTCTTATTAAAAATGATTGACTTATTTATCATTTATTTAATCTATTTTTAAAACTTATGTTTATAAACTGCCTTAAGAGAGATCTCTATTGAATTAAATGACGAATTTGATTTATTTAAGCTATAAGTATAGTAGGATAACACTGTTTAAGACTAAAATAAGAATGGTAAGTATTTACATAATATTTTTATTTTAGGAATATTCAGTAATGCTTGTTTAGCCCATAGAATTCAAGTTTCTATCTTTTTCTTGCATAGATTAATAAACTCTTTCTTAAATACTGAAAAATAAATATTCAAATAATTTAATAAATATCATCATTCTTTTTAACTACTCATTTCTCTAGAAGACTAAAATATTAGCACTTAATTAAATTTAATAAAATTTCTTATAAGCATTCAAAGTCAGCTAATATTTCTCCTAAATATTTTTTCTTTTTTATTACCATTCTAATATGTTTAAGTACTTGGATTAACTTTAGCTATTTCTATTAAATTTGGGATTTTTTACTCATTTAAAAAATAAAAAAACTAAGATGTCCACTTCTTTGTAATTTTTTATACTAACAAATATTTATTTTGCTTTTTAAAATGTATCGAATAAATTAATATTCTATTTTTAATAAACCATTTTAAAGATTTTGAAAAATTTTTTTACATTTTAATGATTGTCAAAAATGACAAATAAGAAAGGAAATTTATGTAACTAATTTAAGAATCATAAACTAAAAGTTAAAAAAAAGTGAATTAATTTCATAAAAATACAAAAACAACTTACTTTTTAGTTTAAAAAATTCTTAAATATTTAAATATTACTTTTTAAAATAAAATAGTCACCATATTATTGCTTATAAAGAATATTTATCATTTATTTTCCTTACTTAAAAAATTTTTTAATTTTCTATTTTGTTTTTTATAAATTTATTTTATTATAAAATTCATTACAGAAAATCATTACCATATATAATAGCAGATTGATTTACGCTCTTTATCTTATCACAGATAGTAAATAAGAATGAAATATTTATTTGTTTAATAATTCTTGAAATATAATAATTTAAACAAAATTTAATAACTTAAATTTTCATTTCTAATTTGATAGAATTTTAAAAATGAATGAAATGTAATTATTTTAACTTTTAATTAGGCAATTAAATTGTTTTTGTTTTAAAATTTTAATATAATTTAAAAAAAAGCACAATAATTTTAGATTATATCAGGAATAGCTATATTAAAATATCCTTAAAAACAAGAAAAATTGCTTTTTCTTTAAAAAAACAAACTAAAAATTGATTAGTTGAGTAGATAGATAAATTGTTTGGTAATCCTCTAATTAACATCACTCTCTATTTATTAACTTTATTTTGTAAATATTGCTGATAAAAGATGTGGTATAAGCGGATTATATTCTTGTGATAGGTAAACAGAATAAATATAACACAACATATAAGCAAATATCACGTACTCTGAATGCTCTAATCTTAGATGCAGTAATTCTACCAAGGTTTAGAAATTTAATCCTATTTCATCTTCGTCACTCTTCTACTTATTTGAGTCTGATAAAAATGTCACTTACAAACTATGTAGGAATAGAATTTAAGGCTATTATCCATTTGCTAAAAAGGTTCCTATTGATTAGAAATGCAGACCAAATTAGAAATACTGCAGTTGGAATCGCACTATAAATTGAGAATTTGATATAAATTATGGGTATTGTATTCCATAAGATAGAGAGTGTTTTTCATATGCTGTTTAGTTATCGGATTTCAATAAAAATTAACCATAACTACCTTTGATAGATTTTTCTTAAGATGATTAAACTTCTAAATTGAATAATATTGAAGATTATCAGAAAGTATTTACTCAATAGTTATTAAAAATTAATAGAATTAATTTTGCTACTGAATACAATAGTTTTCTTCAGCAAAGCCATTTTTTCCACATAGTATTCATGTCAAGAGTGCAAAATAGATGCAGGCAAAAACTCAAAAATACATTAAATGTCTACATAGGTCTAGAAGTAGCTCTTCAAATTTAGACAGCTATAACCATTTTTTCATTCATTTCAATTATTTCATAGTTTTTTATTACTGGCTTAAAGGACTTTGAAGATTTCTAAGATTGCAATAAGTAAACTAAATTTCAAAGTTACTTGCAAAAAAGAATATGCAATCGCAAACACCCACTTGATAGAAAGCTTTATTACATCAAAAAATAATAGTGCATATTATTCAAATTGCACTATATGTTTGTATTTTAAGCTTATATGTACCAATGATTAATGTATTTGGCGACATGATAAACTGTCACTATATAGAGAGTCAAATTGGTGAAGTGATAAACTTTAAAAATCTAAATGGTGATGTTTTTAATTATAATATCTCAACAGCATTTTAGCTCTGACTTTTTTCTGTCTGATCACAGACATTAATTTTTATGTATTTTTTAAAAAAATATTGAGAAAAATTGTTAGAATAATAAAAATTTTGTTTCTAGTAATATATATTTTATTCACTTCTAGAGATTTTAGTTAAATTTAAAAACAAGAGTAACCTCTTGATCCAGATGTAGTAGATTAGTACAAAATTAATAGAAATAATAAAAAAGATCTAGAAAACTATAAAATAGAAAAAAAATCAACCACCTATCTGCTCAAATAAGAATTAAAGTTTCTAAGATATATCAATCATGAACAATTTGAAAGTAAATGAATCTAAATAAAATAATAAAATGACAGATGAACCTGAAAATGCTAAATATGTGCAAAAATTTACTTCTAGAAGTGACAATGTATTTGCAGTCTAATTTAATAACCAAATCAATTAAAGTTAATATTTTGGTAATTGAAAATAAATTACCTAATTAAGAAGCCGAGGAAAAAGAAGATATGAATTCAAATATCAGATTTCTAGAGTCCTCAAATATTTCCTAATTCATACCATAAAATGCTAATGATCACAAAAAAAAGCAATAAAAATATTTTAAAAATGAAGAAGTTAACTAAAATAAAAAAACAGCAAAAACTTAGCCAATTTTTCTAAAGAAAATAATTAAACATAAGACTTAACAAAATAAATAATTAATGATGACTTTTAAATGTAAAAAAAGGACAGTGAAGACATATCTAACAATAATGATTTTCGAACACCCTTAGTATTAATTACCTCTAAAAAATGTAGTAGCGCTGATCCTGTTTAATTAGATTTTTAAATAGTAACACAAAATTTATGAAATATTTTGAAAAATAATATTTAAAAATTTACCATTTATTATAAGTCTAATAATTTGGTAAATATCTATGTTGATTATAGAAATTTATTAATGTTTAATTACACAATTGAATCAAACACCAGATTTCAAAATAGCTCAAAAATATAGTTATTTAATAACTTAAGTTTTATAAATTGTTTTAAAAAATGTTTAATTTTTTTTTAAACGTGTAAAATAAAAAATACATTTTAAGTACAAATTAAAATTTATTTATCAAAATAATTATTTTTAAAACTTGATTTTTTAAATAATATGATATTAAATTAGCTTTAAATAAAATATATAATTGATAAGAATCAAAAGAATATTTAAGTGAGAACACTTTTATAATATTTCTTCCTAAAAGCAAACATTATAAATAATTTTTCATTTCTTATTTTTTGTTTAATTTATTCAAATAAATTCTAAATAAAACCAAATTAATTTTTTAATATTTTTATAATTAAATTAATTTCCATAAATTACTATTTTGAAAAAAAGTAAGAAATTAAGTAAGTAAGTAAGTAAGTAAGTAAAAAAATAAATGATATAATTTGATAACTTTGGCAATCTATAAAATGTAATTATCTATATATTTTTTATTAAAATTATTTAAATTTATTTTTATTAATAAAAAAAGTTTTTAAAATCTTCTCTAAAATCCCATTTAGCTCTCAATATTAATCTTTAGTAAATTTAACTCATTAATATAATAATTTTTCTTTTTTTTAAATTTAATTTTCAAGTTATTTAAAATATTATTTTTGTAAGAGATATTATCATCTATATTCTATCATTTTTAGTTATATAAATATTTCTTTAATTATTTTAACTTATTTTTAACTTTTGGTTTGATTATCAACTAATTAATTTGTTATTTTCTCATCATTTTTTTCTTCTAAATAAAAATAAATAAATTATATCCCATCAATATTTAAAAAGTGGAAATTAAATAAGTAACGAAGTTACATCAGGCCTAGGTCCAGCTTTAGCAAAATGCACTAATCTCGCATATTTGACACTTGAATTCTTGTAAAAACAGTTTATTTGCATTGGATTTTGATATTGTTAAATATAAAATAAAAAAAGTGGAAATTAATTATGTGATGAATGTTTATCAAGCTTAGGTTCAGTTTTAGGAAAGTGTACAAACCTCTCGAATTTGACACTTTTTCTAGGGTATATACAGTTTATTTGTTTTGGATTTTGATTTTTTTTAATATAAAAAGGAATTTAAAATAATTTAATGGAATCTTTTAATTTATTTATTAACTTTTATTTGATTTATTTTTCTTTTTTACTCTGCTTTTTCTTCTTCTTATTTTAGCTCATTCATCTTTTCATTTTCTAATTTTGCTTTGTTAATTAATTAATTAATCAATTTATTTCTTATAATTTCGTATTTCTTCTATAATATTTAAAAAGTAAATGTTAAATTGGTGCAACCGGTGTATAATGCTTAGGTGATGCTTTAGCTAAGTGCATTAACCTCTCAAGTTTGAATCTTGATCTCTAGTAAAAACATTTTATTTGTTTTAAATTTTGATATTTTTAATATCAAAATAAATTTAAAAAAATAAATAACTTTAAATATATTTATTTGCTTATTATTTGAATTATTTTTCTTTTTTATTTAGCTTATTAACTAATTCATTTCTTATTATTTTATTTTTATTTTTTCCTTGTAATCTACTAATTAATAAAATATTTTTTCTTCAAAATATAAAAAGTGGAAATTAAATTGGTTCAATTGGTGCATCAAACTTAGGTTTTACCCTAGCAAAGTGCACTAACCTCACAAGTTTGACACTTTATCTAGGGTAAATACAGTTTATTTGTTTTAAATTTTGATATTTTTTAATATAAAAATGAAATTAAATTAATAAAACTATTTTGATTTATTTGTTTATTAATTTATTTTTTGGCTTTTTATTTGATTTATTTTTCTTTTTTTCGAGTTCTGTTATTTATTGATTCAAAATACTATTTTTAATTTAAACATATTATTTTATCTAATTTTGATTATTAATATACTTTAATTTATTTGAAAAGATTAAACAAAATCTAAGAATCAGAAGTATTGAAAGTAAAGAGCAAGTATCTTAAATCAAAAAGATTAGTTCATTTTTATATAAATTTCTATTGATAATAATTAAATGGTGAAAATAGTACTAATAAATATAAAAATATTTGTAGAATGTATATAAATAATTTATTAAATAATTGAAATTTCAAAAATAAAGTAATTTCTCTAAGAGTCAGCACTCTATCTATACTAAAAATGACCAAAGTCTTCAATAATTTCTAGCAAAGTCTCAAAAAATACAGAATATTCCAAATAATATTCTTAGAAATATTAACAACACTTTTATTCAAGAAAAATAATATTAAAATATTTAATAATTCAGAAAAGAAGAATATTTGAAAGGAAAGAATAGTATTCTTAACAATATTGAGAATATTTAATTGATTTTCAAATTGTAAATTTTTAATTTTTAATAATGTTAAGTTAAAATTTTTGGTTCAACAAAAATGAAAAAAATTATAAAAATTAACTTGAAAATTCTGTCTAAACGACCCTTTTACATTATTTCTCTACTACCAAAAATAAGCAATATCAAAAGCCAAACTTGAGAATTAAACATAAAATTAAATTTTTTATTTAAAATTAAGAGCAATTTCTAATGTTATGAAATTTTTAATGTAATTCTTATTTATACAGCAATAAACAAACGTTATTATATTTTTTTAATAAAAAAAAAGTAAATACATTTTGTGAGCTAAATGACGGTTTCAGCCTTTTTTCTGGAAAAAGTTTTATATCTTCAGCTTTTTTAGCTTTATTAATATTTAATTCTTGAATATTTATGTTTAACTGAACTATTTCGCTCTCATTAAAATAAAATAGAAACTATTAAGTAATAAATAAATTTTAAATTTCTGAATAAATTAATTTTTGTAAATTACTTATTTTTGTTTGAAGTCGAATTTATTTTTAAATGAGCAATCATAAACTGAAGATTATCAGATATAGTAAATACAAGATGAAATATGACTTTTTTTTGTAAAATTTTAATTCTTATCATATAAATTGCTTTAGGATTTAAAGGATAGGAATCAATTTTTTTATTTATAACATCAAAAATTTATTTTTCAAAATGAAACCAGTAAAAAATATTTACATATCGAATTTTTAATGGTTTTTAGATCTTTAATAATAAGAAGTCATAAAATTAGTTAGATATAAAACTTAAGATTAAAATCGTGTTTTTCATAAAATTTAAAATTAGTTTTATATGATATTATTGTAGAATTTTTATTTACATTTATAAAATTAAATTTCAAATTAAGAAAGATAACCATCCAAAATTATCATATTTAACCAAGAGATCTATTTAAATTATTATATTCATCTAATAATAATTTAATTACCTTGAATAAGAAGCATAAAAAAAATATACATTAATTTAATTTTATCATTAACTGTATTTTAAGTTTTAAAGATATTTAATATTATGAAATATTTAAATAAAAAAATTGATTAAATGTCTTAAAGTTTAAAATTAATTTATCCCTTAATATATCTATTTATTTTATATATTTTTGATATTTATTTTATTTTAATGATTATAATTTTTAAAAATAAAATTAAATAGATAAAGCAAAATAAACAAAAGAGTGCTTTATAAAAAAAAACAAATAAAAATAGTATTGATAAACAAATTTCTAAATTTTTAAAAGCTAAAAAGGATATTTTGTATTATTTCATAATCGCTTATTAATTCAAAAATGAATAAGTTAAAATTAGTCTAAATTATTTGATTTTAAATAAATGGATTTATTTAGATGGAAACTTTAAAATTTGATAAAAAAAAAATGATTTTATTATTCAAAAGATAAAAAATAATTATAATTTTTTATAAATCATAACATAAATTGTAATATATATAATTATTTATAATATTGATTTTAATATAAAAATCTTCATTTATTTATCATCTATCAATTTCCATAGCAATTAAGGCTCAAAGGTTAGCAACTCATCCAATACCAACCGTCACCACCATCCGAAAGTCCTAAATTACAGCATATATATCTTCCATAATAGTAGTAACTAACATTGTTACCAAAACTAGCTGTACAGGCTCTCATACATTGAATGTTGTCTCTATAGTATATGGTAGGATTATATGAAGTAGATTCTAATCCACTTTCTAACAAAATAGGTATATCTTGGGTTTCATCTGGATCAATTTTTCTAATTTACTTTTTAGACTCTACAAATGATACTAAGAGAGCAGAAGCAACTATCAATATTATTAAGCTTTTTCTCATATCTTTCAGATTTAGTTATTTTATCTTTTAATAAATAATTATAACATTGTTGCTTAGTTTTTTTAATTTAAATTTGTTAAAATTATAAAACGTATTTTTTTTCAATAGAAGCAATAAGTATTTTTTTGTTTTTTTGTTTTTCGTTTCTAATTAAAAATATTCTCCAGTTAAATAAATTTCTAATTTAAACAGGAGGAAATTGAGAGAAAATACATTGTTTGTTTATTAAACTAATCAAATTGATTTCAAAAACAATATTTTAAAACAGATTTTTATTTTAAGATAATTTTTGATATATTTCAGAATTGATTGATGAATATTATTTGATAAAAAATAAATTAATAAATAGATTATCTCATCCAAAGATAATTAATTAATAGTTGAATTATGACGTAACAATATTAATTATTCTATAACTTTAAGTATTTGAAAAAAAATTATTGACAAGCCAAAACTAACAAAAGTCATAATATTTATATACATATATAACATACGAAATTTATAATTTTATATTATATTTTTTTAAAATTTAATGAGCAATCACTTATCCAAGAATAACAAATTGAAATATTTTACTATTTGCTTTTAAAAATACATGATTATATAAATGAAGTAATTTAAATAATTTATGCCACAAAAAATTTAGTTATCGAATTATATACTGTAAATATAAAATCAATCTCACGTATCTTCTTAATTTTTTTATAAATTGGATCAAGCTTGTATGGATTAATAAATTCAATCCAAAATAGAGTAAATGAGTCCATTTTTCTCAACAATTATTTAGCTAAATACAAATTCTATGTCTTATAGCTAAATTAAGATATACATCCATCAAATAACTCACACTTTGATTGCGAAAATCTAATTGAATATACATTAATCCATTTTAATAATTTTCACTAGAAAAATACATTTATTAACATTAAAAAATAAAAAAATTAGAAAAAGGATTAAGTATTTTCAGTAATTTGTGATTTTGAGAGCTAAATTTTCTTCTTTTTCTTCATTCATCATAATGAAATAAATAAATCAGCTCATTTTATCTTTGCGCCTTTATTATTTTTAACACACTCATAAAATATATAATTGATAATGTTAGTAAATATTAAATTATTGAAAATATTTTTTAGTCAATTTAAATGCTTAAACGAGATTAAATAGAAAAAATATCAAAAATATATGTATAACTCTACCAAATACTAGGCATGTAGATGATAAATATGCTCTTTTAATTATTTAAGATAAAATCTTTCATATATTATTTATATATTATATAAGAGGCGATTCCACACAGGTCTCCTTATTTTTACCTATATATTTTACCCTATATATTTTATATATAAAATTTTTAATGGTTTTAAGAACCGTAAATAATAAGAAGTGATATAACTAACACATTAGATATAAAACTTAAGATTATAAATGTATTTTTTATAAAATTTTAAAACATAGTTTAATTGTAGAATTTTTATTTATATTTCTTAAAACTAAATTTTAAAATAAGAAAGATAATCATTCAAAAGTATCACATTTAACCTAAAGAAATTGTTAATTTAGTATATCTGTCTAACAATAGTTTAAAAATCTTGAAATAAAAAGAATATAAAAATTCATTTAATTTTATAAATAGCTGTAATTTAAGTATTAAAGATTAACAAAGTAAAACAAATTTCATTATTTTTACAAGGTAAAAAAGATATTTTTTATTATGTAATATTAGTTAATTAATTAAAAAATGAATAAGTCTAAATTATTTTCTTAAGAGATATCTTTAAAATTTGATTAAAAAAAAAGAAATATTTTATTCTTCAAAAGTAAAAAAATAATCATAATTTTTTATAAATCATAACATAATATATATATTTATTTATATTACTGATTTTAATATAAGAATCTTTATTTATTTATAATCAATCAATTTCCTTAGCAATCAAGGATTAAAGGTTTGCAACTCATCCATAACCAACCATTACTATCATTAGTATACCCTAACTAACAGCAAATATATCTTTATTAAATAGTGTAATAAAGACTGTTACTATATTTAGCTGCGCATGCTCTAAAACATGCAGAGTTGTCTTTTGTATAAAAGGTACCACTAGCTAAAGAAGTATCTAAACCATTTTCAATTAAAATTTTCATATCTTTAGGTGGACTGTATTTAGTAATTTCCTAATTAGACTCCACAAATGATACTAGGAAAGCAGAAGCAATTATCAATATTATTAAGCTTTGTCTCATATCTTTTAGATTTATTTATTTTATCTTTTAATAAATAATTATAACATTGTTGCTTAGTTTTTTGTAATTTAAATTTGTTAAAATTATAAAACGTATTTTTTTCAATAGAAACAGTAATTATTTTTTTGTTTTTTTGGTTTTTCGTTACAAATTAAAAATATTCTGCAGTGAAGTAAATTTTCAATTTAAACACAAAGAAATTGAGAGAAAATACATTGTTTATTAATAAATTTGACAAAACCAATCAAATTTAATACAAAAACAAATTTTTGTTTTAAGACAATTTTTGATATTTATAAAGCTTGATGAATACTATTTGGTTAAAAAGAAATTAGTAAATAGATTAGTTCTTCTTCAGATAATTAAGAGTTGGAATTATGACGTAACCATATTAATTATTCTATAACTTAAAGTATTTGAAAAAAATAAGGTATCTACTACCCAAAACAAACAAAATTCATAATATATATATATAATACGAAATTTACAATTTTTTTTACGTTATTTTAGTCTTTTAAAGTCTAATGTGCTATTTAAGAATAAAAAATAGAATATTTAATTTTTGATTTCAAAAATATATGATCCTATAAATAAAGTAATTTAAATAATTTATGTCACAAAAAATTAAGTTATCGAATTTTATGCTGTAAGTATAAAATCGGTCTTATGCAATTTCTCAAGTTTTTTATAAATTGGATCTCAGTTGCTATGGATTAATAAAATAAATCCTAAATAGAGTATATGAGTCCATTTTTTTAAACAATTATTTAGCTAAATACAAATGCTATTTCTGAGCTAAATTAAGAAATCCATCCATCTTATAACTCACACTTTACTTGCAAAAATCAAATTAAATATATGTTAATCCATTTTAATAATTTTCACTAGAAAAATACATTATTAAGCATTAAAAATAAAAAAATTAGAAAAAAGATTAAGTATTTTTAGTAATTTTAATTATGAGCTCTAAGTTTTCTTCTTCTTATTCATTAATCAATATATATGGAATATATTCACCAGCTCTTTTCATGTTTGCGGCTTTATTATTTTTAACGCAATCATAAAACATTTGATTAAACTTGTAAGCAAATATTTATCATTAATGATACGTTTCAGTCAATTTAAATATACAAAATAGAAAAAATGTCAAAAATATATATAACTCTACAAAATATTAGGCATTTTAAATGATAAATATATTCTTTTAATTATTTAAGATAAAAATATTTTATATACTATCTATATAATATATTGTAGGTGGTTCCGCATAGGATTCTTTATTTTACCCAAAATATTTCAATTAATAAAATTTAATAAGAAAGATAACAATTCAAAAGTATTACACTTCTTGACCAAAAAATATAGTTAATATAGTATATCTGTGGAATAATAATTTAATTACCTTGAATAAAAATTATATTAAAAAATATATATTCATTTTATTTTATAAATAAATGTTATTTAACTATTAAAGGTATTTAAAATTAAAACAAATTAAGATAAAATAAAAAAAAAATACTATCTAGCTATTTAAGTATATAAATAAAGTAAAATTAATAAACTAATTTCTTTATTTTACAAACTAAAAAGGATATTTTTATTATGTAGTAATTTCTTATTAATTCAAAAATGAATAAGTCTAAAATATTTATTTCTTTAAGTATGTCAGTGATATCTTAAAAATTGTATTAAAAAGATATTTTTGTTTTTCAAAATTCAAAAGATAAAAAAGGTTTTTTTATTTTTATAAATCGTAATACAAATTTTAACATATATTTATATATATTATTGATTTTGATATAAGTATATTCATTTATTTTTCTCCAATCAATAATCTCCTTTGCATTTAAGGACTTAAGGATAGCATTCCATATAATACCAATCGTAGTAAGGATTAGTAAGTCCTATATGACAGCACATATATAATTGATATTAGTAGTAATATAGACTGTTACCATGAACAGTTTCGCAAGCACTAAAACAATCATCATTGTAAGCATTGTAAAAGGTAACTGAAATTGAAGATGATTCTAATTAACTTTGATTTAAAAGTGGCATCTATCTGACTTCTTCGTATTTTTATTTTCTAATTTACTTTTTAGACTCTACAAAAGATACTAAAAGTGCAGAAGCAATTATCAATATTACTAAGGTTTTTCTCATTTATTTCTGATTTATTTATTTTATCTTTTAATAAATAATTATTATATTTTTGCTTAGTTTTTTATAATTTAAATTTATTAAATTTATAAAACGTATTTTTTTCATTTTAAAGATTAAATGTTTTTTTGTTTTTCGTTTCTAATTAATTTTTAAAAATACTCTCAAGTGAAGTCAATTTAGAATTAAAAGAGAATGAAATTGAGAGAAAATACATTGTTTATTTAAGTATCTGCCTAAACTAATCAAATTGATTTCAAAAACAATACTTTAAAACAGATTTTTTATTTTAAGATATTTTTTTGATATATTAATCCTTGATGAATATTATTTGGTTAAAAAGAAATTAATAAGCAGATTATTTGGTTTTAAGGTAATTAATTAATAGTTGAATTATGACGTAACAATATTAATTATTCTATAATTAAAAGTATTTGAAAAAATAAGGCATTTAGAAGCCAAACTAACAAAAATCAAAATATTTATTATATGTATTACATAAATGGAGATTAATAATTTTATATTAAAATTATTTTAGTTTTTTAAAATGTAATGTGCAATCCCTTATCTAACAATGGCATAAAGGAATATTTGATTTTTTTATTTGAAAATATGTGATAATATAAATGATGTAATTAAAATAATCTATGTTACAAAAACTAAGTTATCGAATTATGTGCTTTAAGTAAAAATCAATCTCATATATCTTGTCAAATTTTTTATAAATAGGATCTAAGTTTTTATGGATCAATAAAGTCAATTCAAATTAAGTAAATGAGTCCATTTTTCTCAATAATTATTTCGCTAACTAAAATTTTCATGTCTAATAGCTAAATGAAGAAATACATCTAAAAACTCACTTTTTGCTTTTAAATGCAAAATTGAATTGACGTTAATCCATTTTGATAATTTTCACTATTAAAACGCATTTCGAAACATTTATAATATAAAAATTAGAAAAAGTTAAGTTAATTTTGAGCACAAGCTTTTCTTCTTGTTGATTAACCATGATGAAATAAATAAATCTCTTCTTTTTATTTTTCCGCTTAAAATACTTCTAAAATGCTCATAAAATACTTGATTGAATTTGCTGGCAAATATTAATTATTGATAATATGTTTTAATCAATTTAAATGCTTCCATAATATATAAAAGAAAAAATATCAAAAATATATGTAGAACTCTACAAATTACTATGAATGTAATATAATAAATAGGTTCTTTTAATTTTTTAAGATTAAACTAATATATATACTATCTATATAATATAAAATAGGTGGTTCCACACATGGCTCCTTATTTTACTCTCTGTTTTTCAATTACAAAATATATAAATCTAAAAAGAAATCTTTTCCCTAAAATAAAGACTGAAAAAGTTATTTTGATTGATACTATATATTATTTATTTTACTAAATTTATGAGTATATTTTTTTTCTATTTTTTTCATTTTAAATTAAATTAAATTTAATCCATTCATTAAAATATAATGCTATCCAATTTATAATATTTTAATACCGAAAATAAGCAATATGTCAAAATTAATTTAGATAGATTATTATATAAATTATTTTAAACTTCATATTTTTTTGTTATTTTTAATAAAATTAAGAAAATAATTATTGTCTACTAAATCATTTATATTTATAATTAAATATATTATCTTGTAGTATTGATTTCATCATCCAGTATGCCTATTAAATAGTTCCAGCCTAAACCAAATATAACTACCATTAAAAAACCTAGAAAATAAGAATTACTAATTAAACTTAGATTATATATGTAAAGTAAATATAGCTATTAATGTATATAAATTACTATTCCATAGTAAATTGTTATCCAATAATCTATAAAATAAGTGTAATCGGCTATATTAATTGTCTCAAAAAGATTATTTTCCATTGATTAATATATAATAATATCATTATTATAAATCATTTCACTCAAATCATCAATATAACTTCAATACTTTTTAGCTTAAGTCCTTATTATAAGAAACCATTTTAAATTTAATTACAAGTGATTAAATCAAAGTTCGTTGAAATTCAAGATATATTTTTGGTAGTTTAAAATTATTGAACAAACTTCACTTTAAAATATTTTAAAGAAATAATTATAATAATCTTCAAATTATACTTAATTATTATGAATTAATTTAATAAATTATTTAGTATTTATAAACTAATATACCTTTTTATCAAGCCCTATTAATTTGTTATATTTTACATCAGCTCAACAATAGAAGTTTCTTTTTACTCGGCTTTGTATATTGTTTATAAATAGTCTTAAATTTTAATAGCTTTCAAAGAAGGGAATAATCTCATAACTAATGTAAAAGCAATAATTTCAGCTAAGCAAAGCCTTATTAAATGCTTGCTTATTAGTTTTTTTTAAATTAATAAATATTCATTTTTGTTAATTTCAAAATTCAAATAAGAGTGTTAAAAATAGTTTCAATAATTTACTGAAAAGATAGAGATAGTTTTTTTATTAATTTACATATTGCTAAGAATAATGATGTTTGCTCTAGGGTAAAACGTATTGATCAAATATGTAATCGCAAGGCCAAATAGTAAACATAAATTAAATATCTGCGATTTAGCCAATTGACTCATAGATTAATTTTTTACTTGTGATTAATTATTTAAGACATTAAAATTTTAAATCTCTCTGTGGACTATTTTATTGAAATTTTGAGTAATATGTTTTTTATATTAAAAAGCATATTTTTTATTTAGCTTGCATGGAATGTACAAATAAGTTAAGTAATCTATCTTTTTTAGATTAGATAAAAGCATAAACAGGTATGATAATTACTTGGCAAGATGCTGAAACTACTAATATAATTATTAAAAGATTATATAATTTATCTTCAAAATAAGCATTAAGATCTTCTTAAATTTATCTATATATGAATTAATTAAATATAGGAGAAGAATTAAGTTGAGAAACATCGATACTTTCGAAAAAATAAACCTTCATTGTTGAAGGTTAGCCTACTTTATATGTTTGGCTGTAGTAAAGACGATTTTACAAAGTTATGGGTTGATTAGACATTATGGCAAATAAACTTGAACCAGTTTAAGATGATTCTATTTATAGTAATATTTATAAGAAAGAATCTTTTATATCAAATAGTCTATTTATTATTAAAGAGCTGAATTTGCTTTAGCTTAGGGGGAGTCAAATTAGAATTAGTTTTATGCAACTAAACTATTAGTGTTACAGTTTATTTATAATTAGCTTATAGTGTTTAAAACATTATAAGGCCAATCAGCCTACTAAATATTATCTTATGTAGTATAAAAAGCATTAATTATTGTAGCATATTACTAAACAGTTACAGATACTAACACAGTAAAAGTTAAGAATCCAATTAGATTTATTATTTGAATACCTAGTTTTTTTATTTTGCTTTAATCATATGAATGATTATATGTTTAGTAGAAGTTGATGATTTCTCTTGATTTTGTAGAAGCATTTTCAATACTTTCTTTGATCAATAATTATTTTTTTGTTTTAACCATTTTTTAAGACTAAAAAAATTTTTCTTGACTTTCTTGAGTTTTTAAAAAATCGTTCTTGATATTTTGATCAGTTGTAGAATTGTCTTAGTAAATTTTTTATTGCAGTGGCAAGGAAGTTATTGATGTTGTTAATCGAAATTTTAAGATTATTTTCTCAAATTATTATTAAAATTTTTTGATTGACATAGAATTTTTAACTATATGTTTTCATTTTGAGGAATTCATTCTGTAAATGTGTTTTTAATTTAAATTATTTTTCTACTTGTTTAAACTCTTGATGACTTTGTTTCCTTCTTCGCTAAAAACAACCTCAAATTCTTTGTGCCTGTAGTTATCACTTAGAAATACTACTCCTGTTTTACTGATGGAGATAGCAACAAATTATTCCATAATTTTGTTGTTCCAAAATTATTGCTTCTAATTGTTTTCTTCTTATACATATTTCCGCTTTAGTATTTATGTTTGATTGTATTTGATTATATTTTCATCATTATTTTTTCTTTCATTTTATTTCTGTTGTTCTTTGATATTCTACAGCAAAATTATTATTATTTTTAATGTATATCTTTTATTGAAGTAAATTATATATTCTTGTTTAAAAATGTGATCTATCAGATTTCAGTTTCACTTATTAGTTTTTCTTCTAGGAGCTCACTCTTTTTCCTTATCCTATAATTATTTATTATTATATTTTATCTTATTTTTTTTTTTTTTTGCTATTAGAGTCATTCTTTGTGATCTCATTATTATTATTTTTAGTTTCTTAAGACTATTTTCCTATAATTTTATAAATTCTATATATAAAATTATTTAAAAAGAATATTTTTTATTTAAAAACCTAGCTATACTTATGTAATTAAACATCTTAAAATATAACACAAAGTATGTTATTTGTTTTTGTTACTTTACATAAAAAATTTTTCAATTTTTTTTTATTTTAAAATAAACTAAATCCATGTATTAAAATAAAATTTTATCATTTTATTATCCTTTAATTCCTGAGATAGCAATATATCAAAATTAATTTACATAGATTATTACATAAATTATTTTAAATTTCATATTTTTTTGTTATTTTTAATAAAATTGAGAATATAATTATTGTCTACTAAATCATTTATATTTATAACTTAAATATATTATCTTGTGGTGTTGATTTCTTCATTCAGTATGCCTATCAAGCAGTTCCAACCTAAACCAAATATAATTACCATCAAAACGACCTAGAAAATCAGAAGAGCTAATTAAACTTAGATTATATATGTATAGTAATAATTGCTATTAATTTATATAAATTACTATTGCATAGTTAATGTTTATCCTATATAATCTACAAAATAAGTGTAATCGGTGATATTAAATGTATTAAAAAGATTATTTTGCATTGATTAAAGTAAATTAGTATCATTAGTATAAATTATTTCAGTCAAATCATCAATATAACTTAAATACTTTTGAATTGATAGCTTAAGTCCTTATTTTAAGAAACCATTTTAAATTTAATTACAAGTGGTTAAATCAAAACTTGTTGCATTTAAGATATATTCTTGGTAATTTAAAATTATTGAACAAACATCACTTTAAAATATTTAAAAGAAATAATTATCATAATCTTCACCATTATACCTAATTATAATGAATTAAATTATTAAATAAATTATTTAATGTATATAAACTAATATACCTTTTTATCAAGCCCTATTAATTTGTTATATTTTACATCAACTCACCAATAGAAGGTTCTTTTTACTTGACATTATCTATTGTGTATAAATAGTCTTAAACTTTAATAGCCTTCAAAGAAGGGTATAATCTCATAACCAATGTAAACGCAGTCATTCCAGCACTATTGTAAACGAAGTCTCTTAATTATCCAATGCTTGCTAATTAATTTTTTAAAATATATAAATGTTCATTTTTTGTTGTTTTCATATTTTAAAAATAAAAGTGGTAAAAATAAATTTAATAATTTACTGAAAAGATAGAGATCGTTTCTTTATTAATTTACATATTGTTAAGAAATAATGGTGTTTGCTATAGGGTAAAGTGAAATGATCAAATATGTAATAAAAAGGCCAAATAGTAAACATAAATTAAATCTCTATGATTTAGCCAATTGACTCATCGATTACTTTTTAACTTGAGATTAATCATAATTATTTAAGACATTAAAATTTTAAATCTCTACAGGAACTATTTTAATGAAATTTTGAGTAATTTTGTTTGAGTAATATGTTTGTTTTATATTAAAAAGCATATTTTTTATTTAGCTTGCAGGGAATGTACAAAATAAGTTAAGTATTATATCTTTTTTAGATTAGATAAAAGCATACACAGGTATAATAATTACTAAACAAGATGCTGAAACTACTAATATAATGATTAGAAGATTATATAATTTATCTTCAACAGAAGTATTAAGATTTTCTTAAATTTAATTGAACTAATTTTCCAATTTTTAAATACCATCTACGAAATTTGGTAGATTAATAATAGTCATATATTCATTGAATTTAGCTCCAGGAGAAATAGCTTATCTATATATGAATTAATTAAATATAATAGAAGAATAAAGTAGAGAAACATTGATGCTCTCCGTAAAATAACCCTACCTTGTTGAAGACTAGCCTACTTTATTTGTTTGGTTGTAATAAAGAGGATTTTAGAAAGTAATTGGTTGATTAGACATTATTTCAAATAAACTTGAGCCAGTATTAGATGATTCCATTTATAATAATATTTGTAAGAAAGAATCTTTTATATTGAATAATCTATTTATAATTAAAGAACTGAATGTGCTTTATTTTTAGGGAGAATCAAATTAGAATTAATTTTATGCAACTAAACTATTTGTGTTACTGTTTATTTATAATTAGCTTATAGTGTTTAAAACATTATAAGGCCAATCAGCCTACTAAATATTATCTTATGTTATATTAAAAGCATTAATTATTGTTACATATTGCTAAACAGTTACAGATACTAACACTGCAAAAGTTAAGAATCCAATAAGATTTATTATTTGCATACCTAGTATTGTTTATTTAGTTTTAATCATATGAATGATCATACGTTTAGTAGAAGTTGATGATTCTCTTGATTTTGTAGAAGCATTTTCAATACTTTCTTTCATCAACAATTATTTTTTCAATTGTTTTTTCGTTTTAACCATTTTTTATGACTAAAAAAATTTTTCTTGACTTTCTTGAGTTTTTTAAAAATCGTTCATGATATTTTGATCAGTTGTAGATTTGTCTTAGTAAAATTTTTATTGCAGTGGCAAGGAAGTTATTGATGTTGTTTAATCGAAATTTTAAGATTACTTTCTCAAATTACTACTAAAATTTTTTAGGTTGACAAAGCTTTTTTAACTATATGAGTTATTGACTTCATTTTGAGGAATTAATTCTGTAAATGTATTTTTACTTTATTTTTTATCAAATTATTTTTCTACTTGTTTAAACTCTTGATGATTTTTATTTTCTTCTTCACTAAAAACAAACTCAAATTCTTTGTGCCTGTAGTTATCACTTAGTAATCCTACACCTGTTTATACTGATGGAGATAACAACAAATCGACTGCTTATTTTTTAAATCTTATAGATTCTAGATTGGTTTCTTTGTGCTATTCCAAATTTTACATTTGCTCAACATTTGAGGTAAGTGCTTATATTATTTCTTATTTTTCATAAAAAATTTCTTAATTTTAAATTATATCATGACTAATTTCTTCATTTTAATTTAAATTATTAATTTAGTTTTAGCTTAGTTCATTAAGTGAAATTTTGCTTTAAATAAAATCTTAGTAATTGTTATTATTTTCAATTTTATTATGGCTAAATTAATTTTATTTTAAAGTTTTTTTGTAAGTTATGTTTTCTTCTTCTATTTATTCAAGTTTTTTTTAAGAATTTAACATGAATGTTTGATTAGAATTACTTATTTTTTCAGTTAGGTTACTTCTTTATTTAAATTACTGAAAAAAGGTGTTGGATTTATTTTTAACAACCTGCTATTCACCAGTTATAGATGATGCATATTAAGGCCCACTGTTATGTAAATATTTTAAATACTTTGATTAAAACTAGGAAATAATTTAATCAAAGTATTGATTTGAATAAGCTAGTTAATATATTTCATGATTTTCTTTAAGATGCTATAGAATTTGAAAACCATTTTAATATTGGTTTAAACTTCTTATATTAGTGATCTATAAATAGTTTATATTAGGAAAATATTTATACTATGTAGATTAAATTTTTATATCCATCAAGTAATATATATATTGTCTTTCGCCAATATATTTTTATATATTCTTAGCCATCGTAGAACTTAAGCTTATAGAATCTGCCTTTCTAGACTCAAGCATCATCATAAATTCAAACTCGAATTCATATTGGTCTTCAATACCTTCCTTTTTATTATCTTAATCTTATTATATATCATTTGCTTAATAATTCTCAATTGTTTTATTCTTTGCATGATCAAATTTATTTTAAAAATTGTTATTTTCTTTTTATCTTTTGATGTATTCTAAAAATGGAAAAATGTTTGTTAAATTATAATTTTTATCAAGCTTGATATTCTGAAAAATCGATTACTATAAATCTTAAGTTATTCCTATAAAATGGTTATCAGTAGTATTGTACATTATATATTCTGATTTATTCTTTAATATTTTAAACAGGGAGCTGAAACCTATTTTTTGTATTTCAAAACTGTAATTCAACCTCAAAGTTAATTATGTTGGAATTATAAACCCATTAGATGTCTACACAAATATTATTTTATTCATTAAATTATTATTAAGTAGATTATTATCTTAAAAGTAATTAAAGATATAATATTTATGATTTTATGGCAATAATGTATTTTGAGGCATAAATTATTCCACATTTTTTCCATAAATTTCTTTTTGACTTGTTTATAAAATTTCATAAAAGTTCTTAGAAGCATTTTAAATTACCAAACGATAATTTTCATCTATTGTTGCAAATAAGCAAAAAGTATTCTCATCAAATATATTTTAACTAGATAATTCAATTTCATCCATAGCTTATTTTTTATCATTTTCATTAAGTTTCTATTTCAATATTTTTGGATTTTAATTATTTGATGGGAAAATATTTTTGCTTTGTTTTCGTTTACTCGAAAATTAATGATCTCTGGTGAAACTATTAAAATTGACTACTATTTCATTGCTATCAAATGCCAAATTATCGATATAACAAACTTAAATAGTTATTAAATCATAGTTATAGCTATTTATTTTTTATAATGAATTTAGCTGATTGCAGAGAAAATTTTATTCTGTTCTTAAACAAGATAGATTCTTTGCTAAATCTTTAGCTTTTATTAATTTTTACTTCATCAACGATAGGAGATTTACTTTAATTCTTATTGCATAGTCCAGTTTTTCAAAAGCTCTGATAACCCTAGCTTCAAAATCAAAAACTGTTTGAATAGAGTTATTTAATTAATGGCTCTACTAGTATGTGTAATCTAATATGTTCTAATTTAGTAAGAATTGATAATGTATAGAAAATATTATTTACTTTTCTTTCATGCTCAGTTTTTTTTGTAAAATATTTGAGTATTCCATCCAATAAGATTTCATATTTTACATAACGTGAAGCAAATATACTAAGTAGAAGTATTTAAATTGTTTTGATTTACTATTTTAACTTAGATTTTTTAAAAACTCCTTCAAGTATATTTTTAAACTTCCATTTTCATCATTTAATTGGCTTGATTCTTATAGTTCTTAAAGTTTTTATTCTTCTTCTTGTTATCTTTAGATCATAGTGCGAAAAAATAATCTTTAAGACAATTTTGCTTTATTATTGGTTTAATTTATTATTGAGTGTTCATTTTTTAATTCTTGTTTTTAAATAATCAAACCTAATATAATTATTCTCCTTCTTAAGTTAGCTTGCAAACTATCACTTTCTTCTTATGTAATATAGTTTATTACATTTTATATCTGACATAAATCAAGCTAAAATTAATTATCAAGTATTTTCTGTAATATTGTTTTACCATTTTCGCTAAAATAAAAATGAAGCAATCTTGCAATTTTATAGCTTAAAGGAATTAGTATAAATATTGACAAAGTAAAAATGCTTGAATAATAGTTTGAAAAATATACTAATGTTGTAGTTAAAGATAAAATAGCAAGATAACAATTTGAGAATAAGTTCCAAAATTAAATTTATTCAAAATAATATGGACAGATCTTTATAGAATATAAGGTGGAAATTAGGTAATAAAACAAAAGAAAAATGATATCTACTCCATGAGTATTGATAACTAGCGATAATATTAGATACTCTAATAAAAAATATAAGAATGTGATATTCACAAAAGGTTTCGCCTTGAAGTCTTGCTGTTACATATTATATTCATAATCGCTATCGGTTTTTATTATTCCTATTTTAATTAAAAAAGATATAATTATCATTTGATATAGAAAATAAATGTTCAATCTACCTATAAATATTGATAATATTAGATTAATTATCTATATTGTTGTTATTTATTAGTTAGATATTGAAAAGTAGAATATTGGAATTAATAGACATGATTAATAAATTTCTATTATTAAACTGAATAACCAATTCAAAATATTGTGTTCTTTTCTTATTAAAAACTTATTCGCTTCATTATCATTTATTTAATCTATTTTTAAAGCCTATGCTTATAAACTGCTTTATGAGATATCTCTATAGTATTTAATGAGGAATTTAACATATTAAAACAATAAATATAATAGGATAACACTATTTAAGGCTAAAATGAGAATACTAAGTATTTAAATTGTATTTTTATCTTAAAGATATTCAGTAATACTTGTTTAGCCCATAGAATTCAAGATACTATCTTTTTCTTGCATGGATTAATACACTCCTTCTTAAATACTGAAAAAGAAATATTCAAATGATTTAATAAATATCATTATTTTTGTGAACAACTCATTTCTTTTAAAGGCTAAAATAATAGCTCTTAACTAAATTTAATAAAACTTCTTAGAAGCATTCAAAGTCAGCTAATATTTCTCCTTAATAATCATTTTTTGCTTTTTTATTACTATTCTAATGTATTTGGGTCTTTTGATTAATTTTAGTTATCTCTAAATATGAATTTAATTATATATTTAAATTTAATTGTATTTGTTGCAATGTATTTAAAAGCATCATTTTTAAAAAATCGAATCAACTTTTAATAAATTACCTGATTTAATTCAATTAATCAAAAACCTTCTATAATGTCATTTATTTATATTTTTTATCATTAATATTTTAAATTTTAAATTTTTGGAAACATTTTTAATTAATAATTTAATTTGTCATTTACACTTTTCCCTTTCAATTTAAGACATAATTCTGAGTAATAGCAACACAATTATCTTTTGCAAGATGATTATCAATTTTTTTATTTAAATAAATTGTAGATTAATTTAATCAAAAGAAAATTTTACATTTTTTTTTTTTACATCTATTTTATCGATATTGAAATTTAAATAGAACAATAATTAACAATGACCTTTCTTCAAATTTCAGGTTTCATAAAGAATATTTTTAAAACAGCAACCAATTTTTAAAAAATTTTAATTTTTAAGATCTCATTAGCATAAAGCTTTAAAAGGATTGAACCCTTATCTGAAATGACTCTTATTTATATTTATATTTCATTTTTTAGCTAAGCTTTTCTTCTACTTATCTTCTAAAGTTATTAAAGTATTTGGTGTTAGTAATTACTGTAAATTAAAAAAGTAAACATGATCTCATTCATTTACATTAGTTTCAAAACTATTTTAAGTAATCATAGTAATCACAGTAGATTTTTTAAAAAATATAAAAAACTATATTTTTTAAAACTTTAGTAGTATCTTCTGAGTAGAGTATTTCTTTTTTGAAGCCTAAAGCGTATGAAATGTAAATAAAAACTAATACTTTTGAATAAGAACAAAGAAATATATTTGATTCTGTTTATGTTTATTTAAATTATTATTTTTTTCTTCTTTCAAAATATGATGGAATTATTTTAAAAACTAAACATTTGAAAAACTGTTTATCGTTTGAAAAAAAACTTAAATTGATATCTAATTTGTTAAAATGGTAATAGCAATTTGATAAAAAACGAGATTTAATAAATATTTATAACATTTTATTATATTATTTTAGTAAAGAACTCTCCAAAAAAAGCATATTTTGTATAAAAGTAAAGATCAGAATAGTTTGAATTTATTGTTTAATCAAAATGAGACAAATGAAATTTCCATTTAAGATTTTTTAATTATTTAAAAATAGAATATAAAAATTAAGATATTAGATCAGTTAAATGTAATTAATTTTTTATACTAACAAATATTTATTTAGCTTATTAAAAAGTATTAATAAAATATTATTCAATTTTTAAATACAAAATCATAGATTTCAAAGAGTTTTGAAAGACTTTTTTATATTTTAGCTTTTGCCAAAAAATGATAAATTTAAAAGGAAATTTATTTTTTAAAAATGTAATTATTTGTAGGAATCATAAACTAAAAGTTTAAAAAAAGAGTAATAATTTCATAAAAATGACATATGCAAAAAATACTAAAAATGAATGAAATACCACCTTTGCCACCCCCGAAAATATAGAATGAATAAATTAGTATAAATTATAAAAGTTAAATTTAAATATTGTCAATCTGCACCTATACAGTTGGCGCTATTTTAATTTCCCTATTTACTATATTTATATCAAAAAGGTGATTTAATAATATAAATATTAGCTTTAGTCTTAAAATCAGTCATTCATAATAAAATTCTTTTATAAAATTGATTATTAATAATAGTATTAAAATTTTATAAAAATAAAGTGATTAAGACTTTATAATTCGATTTTTGAAAATATGTTTTTTAATTTCTTTTTTGTGTACATAAATTTTTATAATAGAGAGTCTCTGAAATATTAATTACAAGCTATTTTTTAAATCTTTCTTATTGACTCTTTGATTTATATCCTAAAATTTGTTTGTAATTAAAAAAGATATAAGCATTTTTGATTTTTGTAGAGTTAACAAAAGTTAAATTTAAAACCACACAAAATAAATTTGCAGTAAAGATTAAAATATTACAAAAAATAAAAAAAAATGAGAGAGATGATAGAACCATTTTAATTAAAAAAATTAGACGAAACCTACTTAATTTTTGATAGAAAAATAAAGAATAGATTAAATAGCAAATATTTTTTATAGAATTAAGATTTAAATTAATTTAAAAAATATTAAAAATTAAAACTATGCTGAATCTTAGTATTTTTATTTATTTAATTATAGTAATCCTTAATGATCATTACATACTACCAGATATATTAAAGATATGATTGTATTTCAAAAACAAAAAATTTTAATGATGAAAAGTGTAATCAATTATGGTTATTAATAAATACCTTTTTTAATCATTCTTTTTTAATAAATTTCTGGTGATTTAGTAATCAATTTATTTGTAATTACATCTTTTTTGCCAGATCTATATTTTAAATATTTTAACTAAATAGATTTGATTTCTTTTATTTATAAAACTAATTTATTCTTGTGGTATATTTTTTATTAAAAATTTTATGTGAAGACACACTTAATCACTTAGTTAAGATTATGTTTTTTTTACAAAATTTTGAAAAAAAATTTGGAATATATTTATAAAAGAAGTATTAAAGTTAATAGAATTTATTCAATTTTTAAAAAGAATTTAATTAATTTATTAAAATATTACTTTTTGAATTAGATTAATTGGTGATTGCAATAAGATCTGAATAATTTCTTAATTTTAGGTTTAATTATGTTTTTAACCTTTTATTTTTTTACGAAAACAGAAATTTGATATTTCAAAATTCATAAAAAAAGTGATGATTTCTTGATTTAAAATATAGAGTGACAACTTTTGCTTGAAAAAAGTTTTTAATAATAATTAATTGATAAAAAAATTGAATATAAAAGAAATTCTTTAATTAGATGGCCAAATTCCAACTAAAATCATAAATAAGTAGCATAGAAAATATTTATTCAAAAAGAATAAACTATTTTTTTAAATAAAATAGTATTTTTGTATATAATATCATATTCATTTGCTTAAACATTGGAAGAGATGAAATTAAGTAGCAGAGGTAATTGCAATTTTTTTAAGACTAAGTTATTTATCTCAAAATTTTAGAAATATTTTAAAGATTTATTTTATAAAAGAATAAAAACTAAAATTACAGCTTTATATCAAAAAAAATTGTAATAGATTAAAAATTATAATTTACAAATATGAATTAAGAATAAATTTTGTTTTAGTATTTTATAAAATTAGATTGAATAAATATAATAATTCACCATTGAATTTTATTTTAACAAAAATGATCAAATAAATTTTATTATCTTAATATTTTCTAGATTAAATACAAAAAAATTTTCAAAATTATAAAAATAAAAAGAAGAAGTTATTTGGCGGAGTTTTTTCATGCATTTCTAAAAGAATAAATCATAATAAATAAATTTATTTTTCAATTAAAGAATAAATATAACAAAAAAAAGCAAACGGCTCTTTGTATTCATATAACATACACAATAAATTTAAATTTTATTTAATTATTTAAATATAAAAAAAATAATTCAATTTTAAAAATAAAGTGTATATAAAATTAATATGAAAAAACTTTAAAAATTATAAAATAAAATACATACTTAAATTAATTTATATTTTAAAAAATAAATTATTTACATTTACATAAAAAAATACTGAGAATTGATATTGATAAAAATATATAAAAATAATCTAAAAAGTTAAATAAACTGTTACAAATCGATATTCAATTTTTCATAGAAATAGAGATGAAAGATGTAATTTGATAAATATTTTTTATAATTATTTTCTTAATGTGTATATCTGCTTTATTTAATTAGTGAATAAGAAGTATTTAAACACAATTCATTTTATTTTTACACCTTACATACATTAAGCAATTATAATTATAAAAATTCATAAAATAATTAATTCTATTTATTATTAGAAAATATAATCAAAGAAATCTTGGTATTTATTGTGGTAAAAACTGTAACTGTATTGTTTGTGGATGTAATTTTTAGGTAAAAATTATTATATGAATGACAAAAATTGTTATCTTTGCGATCCATCTTGTTCAACTTATTACAGGGGATCTATAACAAATTGTTTAATTTGTCCTTTTGGTTATTATTTATTTCCTAATAAATCATACAATAATTGTAATTTGAGTAATGTATATTATATAAGTGGGGTATAGTGTTTTGGTTGTGATACCTCATGTTAAAATTGTATATGAATAATCTGCAACAAATTGTTTGACTTGTTCTTCTGGTAAATAGTTAGCAGCAAATTAATCATTTTTGTATGTGATAACTGATGCTCAACTTGTAATGGAGGTTCATCAACAAATTGTTTGACTTGCCCCTCTGGTAAGTATCTATTTACCAATAATACATGCAACACCTGTAACATAAGTAATGGTTATTATATTTGTGGAATTTAATGCATTGTTTGTGATCCATAATGCCCAATTTGTAATGGATTATCAGCAACAAATTGTTTAACTTTGTTCATCTGGTAAATATTTATTTGCAAATAACTCATGTAATGTTTGCAATACTTCTAGTATTTTTTATATAAGCGGAATTTAGTGTATTTCTTGCCATCCTTCATATGCTACTTGCAATAAATTGTTTGAGTTGTCCTTCTGGTAAATATTCGTTTACAAGACACTCGTGATGCATTATAAAATAGATGATTGGACTCAGGGTTCCATTATTTTCCCTTATTTAATTCAATTATAAAATTTATATAATTAAATGAAATATAGTCCATCTGTGCTTACTCGTTTGGCGCTTTTTTAATTTTCCTATTAGACTTTTATCAAAAAGTGATTAATAATAAAAATATTAGTTTAAGTTTTAAAATCTGTCATTCATTATAAAATTTTTTATAAAATTGGTTATATAAGCTTTTTTTTGAAAATAATATCATAAAATAATTTATTTACAAATATTTAAGATGTTATACCATCTATAATTGAAAAGTATGTTTAAAAAGATTATTTTTTCATCCAATTTTTTTTTAAAAGAAAAAAAGAAAAAGTTTGTAAAAATAAAAAATTTATTAAATTCTAATTATTTTCATAACTTATTAAATTTAATTTAAAATATTTTAAATAAGTGTTTTAACTAAAATCAAAGTTATGTTATAGATACTTCATTATGTATTTGTATTTATCTGTTAAAAGTATAATTAACTATTTATTAAGCTCTGCTTGCCAAAAATATATTTTTACCAACTACTTTGAAATTAGGCAATATTTTTACTAGATTACAAAAAGTAGTAATAAGGAATTAAGTATATTAAATCTTTAATTTATATCTTAAAGTTTATTTTATAGTTAAAAGACCATAAAATTTTTAATTGTTGTAACATTAAAAGAAATTAAATTTAAAACCACACAAAATACATTTGCGGTAAAGATTAAAATATTACTAAAATGAACAAAAAAAGAGAGATTACAGAGCCATTTTAATTAAAAAAATTAGATGAAAGCTACTTAATCCTTATTGGAAAGATAAAGACTAGATTAAATACTAAATATTTTTTAATAAATTTAAGATTTAAATTGATTTAAAAAAAATAAAATCTTAATATTTTAATTTATTTAATAATAAGTAAATCAACAAATACTAATACTGGAAACATGATCTCTCTGCATTTAATGATTCTTATATACTGAAAGATCTCCTAAATCAATGATCATATTCCAAAAACAAAAAAAATTAGAGATGATAAGTGTAAATAATCTTTATTAAACTGCTTTCTTTTTTGATTGAACCATCAATTTTAAAAATGACTAAAATATGGCTTATTCATAAATATTTAAACAATTTAAGCTGATTATTAAAAAAATTAAAAGTATTAAATTTGTGTAATCTTTAAATTATTAAAATTTGCAAGCAATAAATAAATATAGATCAGCGAAAATAAAAATCTCTTTCTTTATATACTGCCTAATTATTACATTCTCCTGTAAAATTAAATTTTTTGGGTATTTTTTAATCTTTTTAGCTAAATGAAATTTATAAATTTATTTTAAAGCAAATAGACTATCTAACTGATGATTTTTACAACAAGTTAAGAAATAAAGATTTATTTGTTATGTAAAAGTGAAAATTTTAAGTTTAAAATAATTCGCTTACATATTTCTTGCTTACCTTTTTATTATATTGTATTGAAGTAAAAAAAAATATTGATAAAATATGTATTAATTTTTTTGCTGAATAAATTAATTTACTACCAAAAGGAAATTTTTTTAATTACTAATACTTTACTAAGCTTTTTTCTTCCAATACTTTAAAAATAATATTTGTGGAATAATTATATTCACATCTTCTTGTTTATAAAAATTAAATTTGTTTGCAATAAGTTTTTTGCTCTAACAATTTTTAGTTAAAAAGAAATAATAAAACATTATTAATAATAAATATAATTTAATATTTAAGAAATATGTAAACTAATATTTAAATTAAAATATGTTGTATTATGCATCCAAATTAAAAAGGAAAAGAAAAGATATAGCTCAAATCTTAAAACTACATAGTTTATGGTATGTTGCTTTAAATAAATTTCTTTAAAAATTCATAAAATAATTAAACAAATAGTATTTAATATTTTGCCTATTATCAATTAAATTATAAATATAATATATTATTATTATTTCTAAATTAAATATTTTGATTATCGTTTTATTATATTTTTTATACAATTTAAATAAAATTTATGTAAATAATATAAATTTTTTGTATTAAAAAATCATAAAAAAATAGCATTCATTAAAATTTTAAAGAGTTTTATCTTATAATTAGGATTAAAGAAATGATAACTATTTTATTAATTAAGATTTTAAAAATTTACTAATTCAAACTAATTGTTATATTTTTTAATGAGTTTGTTTATATTTAAGTGTATCTCTTAAAGAGTTCAGAGCTAGTCCTTTGCTTAATAAATAAATGGTAAAATTATTTGCTAAATATAAATTAATATATTTATTTTATAAAATTTAATGTTGTTAAAAATAAATTTATGAAAATCCTTGAAAAATAATATTTTAATTGCTTATGAATTAAAAATAAATAAGAAAAAATTTTTAATAATCAATTTTTTTTCTTTTTTCTCAAATATATTTTTAATATAAAAAGAAGTAATATTGAAGTAGTTCTATAAAAATATGATTAAATAGTATTCAAAATGTATCTTTTTATTAAAACAATCCTCTATAACAAATGTATAATCCTATAATTTTTGATGTGTTAACAATTAAAATTAATTTTATGTTAAGCTCTGCTAGCCAGTATATATTTTTAACAACGATTTTGATCATAGACCATATGGTTTTGATGTTTCTGGAGATTAAATTAGAATATGAAGGTATTAATAACTTAATTAAGGTTATTATTTCTTCTCTTCATTCTTTCTTACTTTAATTATTTCAGATTTAATTAGTAATTAAAAAATTCCATACAAATTTTTGATTATATCAAAATAGATGATGTAAACTTTAAAACCACACAAAGATATGATTATAAACGAAAAATAAAGTGTTACCAAAACCACAAGAAAAAGCGAGATTACAGAACTATTATAAATCAAAAATCTAATTTTTTGTGATTTAAATCTTAATGAACAATCAAAACAATATATTAATAAACATTTTAAAAAATAAGATACAAGTATTTCTATCACTAAAATAATAGCCAGATAAATATTTTTCAATTTTATTTTGACCTAATTTATTTCTAAGGAATTTATTTTTTATCATATCCTTCTATCATTTTATTTTGTATTTTTGTTATATTTTTAATTATTTATAAAGATAATCAACATTGATTATTAATTTAATTTATAAATAGAATTTTTTTTTTGTAAGATTTATCACGAAAAACATACATAAAAGAATATAAAATTGAAAAATACAAAGTTTGCTGAAGCAAACAAAAGGTATATAATCTTTTTTAATCAAACTAAATCTAATCAAATTAATATTAGCCTACTTAAAATGAAAAACTTATCAGCAATATTCATAATTATTGGTATTATATTTTTAATAATCTATTATTAATATTATTTCCTTATATAGCTATTTTTCACATTTTGAAATTTGCATCAAGCTTATCTATCAGAGGTGGTCTAAATAACGAAAATACTGAAGAAAAGTAAAAATATCTTTAATTATATTTTTTTAAATACAGAATTACAAAATCTCTCTTATCTTCATATCTAATTAATACTTAAATTAGAGAGGATTTTACCAAACAAAGCATGCTAAATACAATCAATTTTGACATGATTTAATATTTTTGTTTCCTTAATAAATATTATTGAGAGATAGATTTAGTAAATCCAAAGTTTGAGTTAAATAAATTAATTTTACAAAATAAAATATATTAAAAGTACTCATATTTTCTTTTAAAAATATTATTAAATAAATCTAAGGGCAAATAATAATTTAAAGAGAATACTTTAGAAATGTGGATAATATTGTATTTGTGATAATCTTTAAGTTTCTGTTTGTGCTTCATGCAAATATGCTAGTGATGGTGATATTTATTTTCCTGATAAAAAATAATGTGATTATCCCTCTGTTTGCCAATCCCCTTCTTCAACTAAGAACGGTAATATTTGTTGCCCTAATTATTGTAAAACGTGTAGTAGAAGCTAGGATACCTATATTTGCTAATAATGTTAAAATGGATATTTCTTAACCCCACCAAATACATGCACTAAATGTGATCCTAATTGTTAAACATGCTTAGATTCTGCTAAAAACTGCACTTCTTGCCCTGCCGGTTAGTATTTGTTTATTGACAATAAATGCGGAATTTGTGATGTTAATAACAAATATTACCTAGATAAGTCATAAATTTGTCAAAAATGTCACCAAACATGCTAAAAATGTAATGGATTAACAAGTTAATCATGCTCTACATGTCCATAAGGAAATAATTTATTTCCAGATAATTCCTGTAATTTTTGTGATATAAATAATGGCTATTATTTAGATGATAAGTCAGTTTGTTAAAAATGTCATTCTTCATGCTAAACATGTAATGGAAGTTCCTAAAATTAGTGTTTGAAATGCCCATAAGGTACAAATTTATATCCAGATTTTAGCTGTAAGTTTTGCGATTTATAAAATAAATAATTTTTAGATCTTAAAAGTATTTGTTAATAATGTGATAATTCTTGTTAAACTTGTTAAGGTAATTTAGAAACATCATGTCTATCTTGCCCTCCAAAAACAAATCTTTTTCCAGATAATAGATGTAAAATTTGTGATACTAATAATCAAAAATATTTAGATGATAAATAAATATGCAGAGATTGCCATTCATCCTGTTTAACATGTAAAGGAAGTAAATCTACTGACTGCTTAAGTTGTCCTCCTAATACTAACCTTTATCCAGATGGATCATGCAACATTTGCTCAATAAAAAATAAGTAATATTTAGATGATTTATAGATATGTAGAGATTGTGATCCTTCTTGTTAAACATGTGATGGTTAAGAATCAAATAAATGCTTAACTTGTCCTTAAGGCTCTTATCTATACCCAGATAAATCGTGTAGGAAAACATGTGATACAAAGAATTAAATGTTTTTAGACTCTTAAAATATATGTTAAGCATGCGATATAACATGCTAGACATGTACTGATAAATCAAAAAACTCCTGCAAGACTTGCCCTATTGGAAAAAATATGTTCCCAGATAATTCTTGTTAATTTTGTGATATAAATAATTAAAAATATTTGGATAATCAATAAATTTGTAGAGATTGTCATCCTTCTTGCTAAACTTGTTAAGGTGATTAAGCAAATCAATGTATATCATGTCCTCCAAACACAAATTTGTATCCTGATAAAACATGTTAAATATGTGATATTAATAATAAGTAATATTTAGATAATATGCAAATATGTTAAAAATGCCATAATTCTTGCCAAACATGCAATGGACCTTAGGAATTTAATTGCTTAACCTGTCCAGATGGAACTAATTTATACCCTGATAAAACTTGCAGAAAATGCTCTATTTTCAACTAACAATATTTGGACTCATAAAATATTTGCTAAAGTTGCCACAACTCGTGCTTGACTTGTAAAGATTCTACTTTAAACGGTTGTTTAACATGTATTTCTAATTTAAAAATGTACCCTGATAATTCTTGTAAAATTTGTGATATAGCAAATTAATAATATTTAGATGACAAATAAGTTTGCAGACAATGTAGTAAGTCTTGTTTGACATGTAGTGGCCCCTTAGAGACTTAGTGTTTAACCTGTATTCCTGGAACTAATCTTTACCCTGATAGATCTTGTAAAAAGTGTGATCAACAGAATAAACAATTTCTTGACTCAAACTAAATATGCTAAAATTGTGATCCATCTTGCTAAACGTGTGATGGAACTAAAAGTAATTAATGCTTAAGCTGTCCAGATGGAAATAATCTATATCCTAATAAATCCTGTAATGTTTGTAATATTGACAAAAAGTAATTTATAGATAATAAATAAATATGCTAAGAATGTCATGACAGTTGCTTAACTTGTAATGGGACAACACAAAAAGATTGCTTGACTTGTGATACAAATAAATATTTTAATACTGAGCATCTATGCTAAATTTGTGATACCAAAAACTAACAATATTTAGATTCTTTTAAAGTTTGTTAATCCTGTCATCCTTCTTGTCAAACATGCGATGGTTCATCTATGAATTCTTGTCTAAGTTGTCCAAATGATTAAACTCTTTATCCTGATAAATCTTGTAAATTTTGCGATACTTAAAATAAACAATTTGTTGATGATAAAAAAATATGTTAATCATGCCATAATAGTTGCTAAACATGCAATGATGCTACTTTAAATTCTTGCCTAAGCTGTCCAAAAGGTAAATATATGTACCCAGATAATTCATGCAATGATTGTAATGTATAAAATCAATACTTTATTGATAGTTCCTAAATATGCCAAAAATGTCATAGCTCATGTTTAACCTGCAATGGACCGCTTAGCAATAACTGCACTTCTTGTTAAAAAGGGTTTTTTTTAGATTAAAAAAAAACTTGTTAACCCTGCCATTCTAGTTGTAGTACTTGCAATGGTTAAACAGAATATGATTGTCTTACTTGTGAATAGGATAAATACATTTTCCCAAACCATTCCTGCAAAATATGCTATACTGATAACAAATATTATTTAGATGAGAACTTAATTTGCTAGGAGTGTCATTCTTCGTGTTTAACATGTAGCGGAAACTCTGACTCTAATTGTTTAAGTTGTCAAGATGGATTTTATTTAGACAGTCTAAAGAAATGTTAGCCATGCCATTCATCATGCTACACATGCAATGGACCTCTTAAAATAAATTGTAAAGTATGCAAGACAGGATTCATTTTTTATCCTGATCGTAGCTGTGATTTTTGTGATACATAAAATAGATACTTTATAGATGATAAAAATATTTGTTAGAAGTGTAATGAAAACTGTTAGACTTGTTCTGGATCTTAAAATACTGAATGTTTGAAGTGCTTAAGTGGAATGAATTTCTTCTTTGATCATACATGTAATGTTTGCGATACAAATAATGGTTATTTTTTGGATAAAAACTAAATATGCTAGAAATGTCATTTTTCATGTAAGACCTGCACTGGTACTGAAAATACTGATTGTACTTAATGCAAATAAGGTTATTCAGTCCAACCTGATAAAACCTGTTAAGGATGTGATATAGATAACAAACACTACATAGATTCTTAGAATCTATGTAAAAAATGTGATGATAGTTGCCAAAAATGTAGTGGCCCTTCACCCTAATAGTGTATATCATGTTCATAAGGATTAGCTTTGTATCCAAATAATTCATGCAAATTATGCGATTTAAATGATAGGTAGTTTATAGATTCTAACAATATTTGCTAAGACTGCCATAGTTCATGCAAAAAATGTGTTGGTCCGCTTCCTACTTAATGCTCTTAATGTAATTTAGGTCTAAGCTTTTCAGTTGATAGCAGTTGCTAGATATGTCCTATTTCCAACGGTTTTTATGTAGATTCTAATAATTACTGCTTAAGTTGTAGCTCTAATTGTAAGTCTTGTCTTGGACCAGATAAAAACTAGTGCATAACTTGTAAAAGTGGATACTCCTTGTTTCCTGATAAATCTTGTGATGTATGTAACATTTAAAATGGTTATTTTATAGATAATTAAAATAATTGTGTAAAATGTCATGAAACTTGCATTAAATGTAATTCCAGTATGGAAAATGATTGCATAGAGTGCAAATAAGGACTGAGCTTTCAATAAGATAATACATGTTAGGTATGTGATACTAAAAACAGAAAATTTGTTGATTCTAACAATAGATGCTAACTATGCCATTCTTCTTGCTAAACTTGTAGCAATTCTCAGTCTAATTCATGTTTTAGTTGTTAGAGCCCTAGACAATTATTCAGTAATTTATTTATTTAAATTTTTAAAATATTTATGAACAAAATGAATTTTATTTCAAAAAATTTAAACTCAATTGATTATTTAATGAATGAATAATCCAGTATAAACTTATTATAAAATAAATTATAAAAATATTATCTTTTATTTCAATAATAAAAAAATTATTCTATTTATTTAACTTTGATTTTATTAAATAATAAATAGATGGAATATGCAATATATGCCATTCTTCGTGTTTGCAATGTAAAGGTGAAACTGATTAAGATTGTTTGAAATGCTAACCAGGGTTTTATTTCTTAGCTAATGGGAAATGCGGTATATGTCCAGATGTTGGGTTTTATAAATTTGAAGGAAAATGTATGTAATGTGATTCGTCGTGTTCTACTTGCACTGGATCTACAAAATATGATTGTATAAGCTGCTCTTATCCCTATTCATATTTTGATGAGAGTCATTAGTGTTTAAAATGTCATAACGATTGTGAATCTTGTTTTGGAAGTAATAAAAACTAATGTTCAAAGTGTCTAAATAAAAATCTTTTTATCTCTCTGAAAAATTAAAATTGTGAAATATGCTAAGAAAATGAATTCAATGATGGAATAAAATGTATTAAATGTTTAGATCATTGCTAAACCTGTACATCATCAAATACTTGCGAAAAATGTGAAAAGGGTTACTTTTATAAAGAAAATTAATGCCTAAAATGTGATTAAAGCTGTCTTTCTTGCTCTGATCATCTAAAATGTGATACTTGTGCTCCAAATTTTAAACTTTATGATGGACTTTGCTTTAATTGTAAAGAAGGCGAATATTTAGGTAAATTTATTTATTTATTTTTCTTTAAGATTTTTTTGAATAATTTACTTAATTTTCAAATATAGATTTGGATACAAAATAATGTGAAATTTGCCATTCAAAATGTAAATCATGTTTTGGAAAAACTGAAACAAGTTGTATTAAGTGTGCTAATCCCTTGGAATTCTTTGATGAAGATAATTATTGCGTTGATAAATGTAAAGAAGGTTACATTAGAAATCCTAAAGTAGATAAGTGCTAAAAGTGTTTTTATTTTAAGACTGATAAAAATAAATTGTAATGTGTCTTAGATTGTCCATTAGGTTATTTCGCAGATAGCACTAACATCTGTTAAAAGTGTGGTCCTTTCTGTCTCAAGTGTTTAAACAAAGATACATGTTAATAATGTGAGCCAGGCTTAAGTCTTATGAGTTATTCTTAGAAGGTTTGTGTTAAGTGTAAGGCAGACGAATATGCAGATGAAAATAACACTTGCCAAAAATGTTTAATTTAAAATTGTGAAACTTGCCAAAGCAAAACAATTTGTTTAACTTGTGCAAAAACTTATAAAAATAAATCTTACTATTGTGAATACGATAAAAGGTATGATAACTACTCATGTCTTCACGAAAAAATAGAATAATGTGAGAAAGAATTAGAACTAATTACTAAAGTAGATATAAGTACTCAATCTATTTAAATTTCATCAATAGCAGTATAATCGGTTAGTGCTTTATTATTTTAATCAAGTGGTTCTTTTCTCTACTCAATTCAAATGTAATAGCTAATCGGAAATATGAAATTAGCAGGTGATTTTAAAGTGGTAAGCTTAGGTTTTACCTTCCTAGAATAATCCTATTAAATGAATTTTATAAATTTAATTCCAAGCCCACTAAATCTTGAAACTTAAAATGATAATAATTAGAATAATAATTAAAAAAAGCTATAGTCGAAGAGAAGCTTAAGTGGATCTGATGTATCTTCAAGCAATATAAAATCAATAAGATCTTAAAATCTGAGTAAAATTTTCTTAAACAACATAATTATTTATGTGATAATAATTGGAATAGCTGTTACAATATTAGCAATCTGTAAATTACTTAAAAGTAAATTCTAAATATGTGAAACAGTTGACAGTAGAAATAGGTCATACATGATAAGGTTACAACTTATCTTTTCAAATTTCATTTTGATTTCTACCTTTAACTCTCTAAAAAATGCTGAGTTTTCAACTGAAGCTTAGATTTTAAGCTTTGTATTTTCCATAATTTACTTAATGTGCTACATTTTGTTCTTGATATTCTTTTACTTGAAAGTAAGCACTTTTAAGAAGCTAGCTGATATGAATCAAGTCAATTAATATTATGTATTTGTAGAAAATCTAAATTTAGAAAACCGCTTTTAGAAATATTTTTGGCTATTTTTTGAAATGAAAAAAATATTAAATTTGTTGTTTATTTCATTTATAAGCATCCCTGGCATATCATTATCTCTAATATTATTATTGAATTTATTGTTTTTAGGATACATGATTAAGTATAAACCTGTTTTAGTGTTGCATGAATAAAGGTATTACTATACTTTAGAAATGTTATAGATTCTCATAAATTTGTTTGTACTTTTAACTGCAATATACAATAAAGAGTAATTAGCTTGGTGTGTAATTGCTTTCATGGGAATAATGTTTATAATAAATGTATTGTATGCTTTCTTTTAAATCTACAAGATTATTAAAATTAAATGGTTCAAGGAAAGATTTATAGTTTCAAAAACTACTTTTTATGAAGAAGAACTAAGAAAAAGCAAATTTGAATCTGTAAGCAAAAGCAAGTTAAAAATTAAAATCTTAAAAAGTTAGCAAACATCAAGGCAAGAAGATTTAACAAATCGTTCTACAATTAGCGAGTAATTTTTTTAATTTCAGGTTTTTTAAATTAAAATTTTAAATGTATAAATAGCTCTAGGACAGTAGAATACTTAGATAATATTCATCAACTCTCTATAAAATGGAATAAAAATCCATTTTATACAAGGCAAACATTATTTAATGATAATTTCAAATTATGATAATTAGCCAATTACTCAAAAAACTTTAATATTGAATTCAATTATTATTTATGATGTTATGAAAAAAATGCTTTTTTTTTTGTTTTCTCACTTTTATATCACTAAATTTATCTTTAAATTATTTTCTTTTCTCAGCCTATTATTTAATAAAAAAGGATAATTTTGTTTGATTTTATTCTTTTATAAAGCATTTTAATCTAATAAAAATAAGTTTATTTAAACTAAACTTATTTTTTAGAACCAATTTAGAATTTAATATTTTGGTTCCTATTTAAAATATGATTTTTTGCTTATTCTTGTACCAAACAATATATATCTATATATTATTTTAAAGCTTTTTAATTAATAAAAAATCATTTTTATGTTTGATTTTATTATTATTTTTTAATTTTAATGTATATTCTTAATACCCAACTTATTGAGTAATTTATTGAGATTTGAATTTTTAATAAGTAAAATTAATAAATTATTGGTATCACTTTTGATTTCAATCTATGATTATCTACTTACAATCTACCATAAATAAGTTACTAATTATGAATTTAATTAAAATTTGATTGATTTTATAATATTAATTTAGTTTCTTTTTATATATTTTAATGCCTAAAATATTGATTATCATAGCATATTTTTTACTCAAATTTGTTAATAAAAACTTTATTCTCATAAAAAATTAGTAAAAATTTTAATAAAATTTGTAAAGTTTTTTAAACTAATTTGATTACATAAACAATACAAATAAGATTTTAATTATTTTATGAAAATACTTAAATTAATTATTTAAATATTTAAATCACTTTTTAGGTTATAATCCTTTTGCTTTGGGGTAATTATCAGAGTCAGCTGTAACAGAAGAGCTGTTATTTGAATTTTTAACACCGCTTTATGGTCTTTTTGATGTAGCTGATTACCCTGGCTTTGAAGTTGGACGTTTTTTGGCACTTTATTTTCTAGCTTGTGCAACTGCTTTCTTTTTTCTTTGCTCTGGGTCTATGTCATCTTCACGAACTGGTCCTTCTTCAGTGTATACAAAGAATACATTTGGATGACCTTCTTCTTCTAGTTTAAGAATTTCTTCAACATCTTCTTAAAATTTAATCTCTTATTCTTATTATTTTCTTTCTTCTGAATTTCTAACTAAATTTCCAGCCAGGTGTAAGTAAGGATACATCCATTCATCTAGCTCTTCATTATACATTGCTCTTAACTATTTAAATTTATATCGAAGTTAATAAAAATTTGAATTAAAAAATGAAAAAAACATACTTATAATCTTTCTAACTCTTTTTCAGGAATGAAATATTCAAGTATTAAATTCTTTAACTTGAGTTCTTTTTACAAATCTCTACGTCTTTCTTAGAGTTATTCTATTTCAGAACCATAGAAATCATCGAGTTCTCTGTTTTCACTTTCAATTTATTTAAGTCTACCAACCAATGCTTTTATTCTTTTTGTTTTATCCTAAGCTTCTTCTGCTTAACTTCTATATTTTTAATTAATTTCTAAAGCCAAATCTTCATTTCTTTTAATTTATTCAGCTATTTAACGGTCTCTTTCCTTTCTTTGTTGCAATTCTTGCTGGGCTTTATTTAATTCTCTTTCTTTTTCAAGAGCCTTTTACATAATTTCATCTCCTTAAATAACTTTTTCTTACATTTTTTATAATTTTTTAAGCAATTTTTCTTGTTGTTCTCTCTACTTCTATTCTCTTTCTTCTTTATCCATAAGTTGTTAGAGAAGTTGTTGCTTTTCTTTTTCTTAAAGTTTTTTATCTTCTTCAATCTTCTTTACTTCATTCTAATACTTCTTCTCAACTTCAGACTTTTCTTGCTCTAACTTTTGCTATAAAAGCTTGACCTTTTCATCATCATTAATAGTAATGACTTTTTCAACCTAAAATTTAAATTAAAAGTAAATAAATAAACATTTTTATTAAATTGTTAAATTGTTTTTATTTTTAAATTTAAAATAAATACCTAGATGACTTCTGCTTCCATCATGACAATATTTCCATCTTTATCAACTGAACTGGCTAATTGTTATTTCAACTTAGCAATTTCTTCTTAAAACTATCTAATCATAGCATCTTTAGGATCTTCATTAATTTTAGCATGATTCTAAATGGATTTAGCTCTGTGGGCATATCTCAAAGTTGAAATAGTTTCATCATAGTTAAAGTCGGCAGGACCTTTAATTTTTTAAAATTTATTATTTATTAATTAATATTTTATAAAAATACATTTAAATAATTAGTTTTTTTTACGATTAACAAATGAAATTTAATTTTGAAATTCTCAATTATCCATTTTTATTATTAAATGTGTTAATTTAATCTTAAAGAGGATTATTTCTTTTTAAAAATTTTTATTAGTTTAAAATAAATTACCAACGTTAGCAACCATAACAGTTTTAGTGTTACCACCAAGTGAATCTTAAAGAAGTCTTGTTAATTTAGAATCTCTATAAGGAACGTGGGTAGCTTTAGGATCGATAAGAGAGGAGATAACGTTACCTAGAGTTGTTAAACTTTAGTTAATATTAATGGCTTCTTTTAGTCTAGAACCAGTAGCTTGAGTTTTACTCTAACGTTCAGAACCAGCAAGATCGACAAGATTTAACTTACCGACTCTAATGTGGCTTTCACCATTAACAATATCGCATCTTTCAATAGTAATTGCAAAAATAGAGTGAGAACGTGAAGAATCTTGATTCATTTAAGTAGCTCCTACAGCACGATTTTCACGACCATGTAATAATTTTTCTCTCAATTCTTCTTAATCTTAAATCATAAAAGTAGACAAATCTTTTACATAAACACCACTGCCTGGTTTTTCTCTCAATTCTAACTTTTTGATATTCTTCTAAAGTAGATCTCTAATTTCTTCATTGTACAATTCAAGAAAACTAACTCTAACTAAAAACTGTACGTTTGGAGTTCCCTTAATTGAACGGAAAATATGGTCGAAAGTTCTAGGAATGATACCTCTTAAATGTTTAGGTTCATCTTTACCTTCCATAGTATGGGTTTTACCTGTACCAGTTTGACCATATGCAAAAATAGTTCCATTATAACCCTCAAGAACACTTTCAACAATTGGATATGCAGTATTTTTGTAAACAGTTTCTTATTCAACTTCAGGTTCAAATGTGGAATCAAAAGTAAATACTTTAGGTGCTTCAGCTGAATCACCTTTTGGGTTTGTGACTGAAATTTCACCTCTTGATTAATTTACAAATACTACTTATGTTCTTCCATCTTCTTTTTCCTTTGAGTTCAAAGGTCTACATCTAACGACGACCTTAACACACTCATCATTTTTACTATTTTTTTCTTATTTGCTCATTATACTTAATTGATATGTTGTCTATGAATGAATCTATTATCTTTTGTCAAATTACTCCCTATTTATTTGATTTTCTAATTAAACAACTCAAATATTGTTGCTTTTTTTAATGTTTTTTAGATTTATTAATTGATTAAAAAATATATTGTTTTTTTTTTATTAAATTAATTTGAAAATTTAAGATTTTAATTTAATAACTTAAACAAAAAATTTCTTTCTTCATAAATAATAAAATGTGAAGTGACATGCATTTATAGATGAAGCATACAAATACCAAACAAAAAGTCTTTATTAATATTTAATCAAATAAAAATAACAACAATCATTTCCATTTTTTCAAACAATTCTCAAAAAAGTTGATTTTTTTTTTTTAAATTGCTTGTTATGTTATTAAATTTTGAAATTAATTCATCCATAAAATAAAAATAAAAACAAAACATTTTAATTAAGAATTGTATTATTTTTAAAATTTAATTCAATGAATATAAAATAAGCTAGTTTTAAATAAAAAAATACTCTTTATAATTTTATAGTAAAGAAAATTAATCTTGTAAATATTGATTTTTAATTTGTAAAATACTCTTCTATTGATCATTTTACTACTTATTTATTTAAATTATTTGATATAAATATTTCATGATTTAAATTTTAAATATTTTTTAATCTAAAATATTTCAAGACTTGCTTATTCAGGTATCAGAAGATCCAAGATTATATTTATTTAGTCATTTTATTTGATGATACAATTGCATTTTTTATCTTGCTTGCTTGATCTGACTACAAATTTAATTTACAAATTATGTTAAAAAGTTTTTTTTGAAAAATTTTTATTAACTTTTTTGTTCATAATATAGAAAAGTTAAATTTTTTTACATAAATATTTGATTTACGATTAATTATTTTTAATCGGATTTGATTAGATTTTTTTAATTTTCTTATTTTAAGGCTTAAACAGAAAAGTTTTGCTTTCCACATAACTTAAATATAAATATAATAACTTTGATTTGATTTGATGAAAAAGTCATATAATAACATAAATAAAAATAAAATTAATAATGTTAAATAATTTATTTGCTGATTAATAAAAATCATTCCAAGTAGCTGTTAGATACTTACCTTTGTAAGTACATCATATGTAAAATCTGCCAGAAATACTTTGTGTTGATAAAAAAAATAATTAAATAACTCTTGTAGATTCTAATTTACAAGAAAAACTAAATAAAAAGTTTTGTCTAGATAAAGTTTATGACTTATAAGATAACTAATCTATGGTATATAATGAAATCGTTGAACCTTTAGTAGAAAGTTCGCTTAATGGTTTTAATGCTACTCTTCTTGTTTATGGTGAATATTAATAGAGCAAAGATTTTACTCTAGAAGGAGATAAATCTAATTTGGAAGAAATGGGAATAATCCCTAGAGTATCATAGTAAATATTTTCTAAAATAGAATAAAATCCGAACAAAGAATTTATTATTAGAGTTTCATCTTTACAAATATTAAATGAAAATATAAATGATTTACTTTAAAAGTAAAACTAAAACCTATTTTTAAGAGAAAACTAATATCATTAAGTTTTTGTAGAAAAACTAACAAGTGTTTTAGTAACAAATCATGAAGAATTTATGAAATAAATTGAATTAGCAAAGAAAAATTCCCTAGGAAGTTCAAACACAATGAATAATAATTATGTAAGAGGTCACACAATTCATTAAATTTAAATTTAAAAATATGATAAAAATAGTATTGAAAATGCGCTTAATGTAAGTATATTAAATATAGTTAGCTTGGCAGGATTTGAGAGAATATCTAAAGTTGGATGCTTTGGAAAAAATTTGAGTGAATCCATCTTAGTAAATAAGAGTTTATCAACTTTAGAAAAAGTGACTATAGCTTTATCTAAACCAGGAAACTAACACATCCCATATAGAGAGTCTTAGCTAACTAGAATCCTACAAAATTCTTTGGGAGGAAATTCTAAAACTGTTTTACTCACAGTTATTTGTAAATATAAATTTATTAAAATTAATTGTTTTCTCAATAAATTATTTTTAACTTTAAAAATTGTATTTTAACAGCCATAGAAAACTATGAAACTTCACTTTAAGCTTTAAAATTTGCTGAAAGAGCTAAAAACATAAAGAATAAGCCTAGTGTAAATAAAATTTAGGATAATGATATTATCAAATCTTTTAGAGAATAATATTCTTCAATTTCTTTGAGTAGAAATTCATCATTTTCTAATCTTTCTTAAACTAATAATGCTCTATGATATTAATTTATTAGCCAATTTAATATTAATGGTTAAAATTACTCCTCAGAAAATGTCCTTTTGTTGCAATTCTTTTAATCAGTTAATCGAAATTTATTTATTCAATATAATAAAAAATTATAGAAGTTTATTACCTAATAATTAATATTAAATGTTTGTTTATCTATTTTCTTTCATATTAAATTTGAAGTTTAAGTTAATTTTAAAATATAAATTATTAAATAATAAAATAAAAGCAATCTTTTAAAATGCACAAAATAGTTGTCTTCAATAATATTTGGAAGGATGATAAATTTAACTAGATTTACATAGAAAATAAATTATAAAATTATTATTTTTTGTTTTTCATTTTTTTAAAAAAATTATTAGTGATTTATTAAAAATATTCTATTTATATTCATATTAAATTATTTCAAATAAAGTTAAAGTAAAATATGATTAGTCAATAAAATTACTTTTATAAAATGAGTATATAATTGGTATTAATTTAGCATATTTTTTTTAATAATATTTAAATAAAAAAACCAAAAAAAAGAGAAACTTATCGTGATATTTTATTAAAGATGCTAATTATTAGTAACTAGCAAATAAATATCGAAAGAATTTAGGTTAATTAACTCATTAATTTGTAAGAGGTTATTTTTAATTTGTTTGATTTTATGAATATTTAATAAAGTTAATTAAGTCGTATTTATGTTTTTTTTAGAAAATTTTACTGAAAATTCTTGTAGTTTCTAATTTACTTATTCAATTAACTTTCAATTTATTATTTTTAAATTCCCTACATTTCCACCAATAAATAAATAAGCAAATAAAATTTCAAATAGTAGAAGAATTTGTAAATTACACAAAATAATTAAGTAATTAAAATTAAAAAGCAAAAAGAGAGGGTTAAGATAGATGTTCAAAGAATTATAAATTATATAATAAGAGGATTTGAAAGGACAAAAAAATGAAGAAATTAATATCCTTTCTGATATGAATTATTAAATGAGAGATTCTTAGAGTTTAAAATCACAATATTAATTTGATAATTTTTTAAGTGTTTAAACAGAAAACTAAGATAGCGAGAATATGAGTAATTTGATTTGAACAGACATAACAAAAATATTGAAACAATAATTTATCAATACATATAGAAGAGTTAGATGGTAAAGAGAAGAACGATTTCAATAATATAAATGAGATAAATGCATTTTCGCCTCTTTTTTAGCAATGTAAGAAATAAAATAAACAATTATTTGTTTTATTAAGGTTTGTTATGATATAAATAAAAGGCTTTGATGAAGACTTAAATATGAAAGATTTAATCCCAAAAATAGATCTAAATAAAGGTATGTATAAAATCTTAGTAATATTTTAAATTATAAAAATAATTAATAAAAGATGGTAGAGAAGTTAGATAATTGGAAACTTTATTTACTTAAGAAGATGAATAAATGCTGGAAAAGAATATACTTAGATAAGATCAAAGTAATAAAATTAGAGCACATAATATTTTAACTTAAAAATCATCAGATCAAAACAGTATTTGTTTATCATAGTAGAATTAGCTTTTTGATTTAGAATTAAAAAATACTTAAGATTCAAAAATTGTAGATGCAAACTCTAATAATATAAGAAATTCATATGCATCTTACAACCTTAGCTAACTAACTGAAAAAATAAGAAACTCAATTATTAAAAATAGGAAAATATAACAAATTTCACCAAATTTTTAACCAGAAAATAAAAGCAAAAAGAATTCTTTGATTAATTTTACTGGCCTAGATTTAAATCAGAAAAAAAGTAATCAAAGCAATAGAAAATGGAACGTAGCTGTAAATTTATCAACGGCTTTAAGAGTAAAGCAGAAGTTGAAGAGTTTTTTACCTCAGAAATTTTCAAAAGTTAGCCAATATGAACTCACTTTGATTGGAGATGCTTCTTACATGAATGAAAAAAATAATTTAATTGAAATAAATCATAAGTATAAGCTATTAAGTGATTTAATATCCCACAAATTTCATCCAGAATCTATGTTTGTTATAATTTTCAAGTTAATTACTCTCATTATAACAACTCTTAACATAATAATCATACCAATGATCATTACCTTCAACTTTCAATCCAATCAAATATTCTCAACGTTTTATACTTTAAGTTTGATTGTATTTTTTATAAGAATGATTATTAAGTTTAAGACAGCTATTTATGATAAAGGAGAAATCATTTATTCATCAAGTCTTATAATTAAAAAGTAAAATATTTTTTTAAATAACATATTTTATTAATAATCAACAAACATATTTATTAATTTATTTAAGTTATGTGAAAGATGGGTTTATTTTGGATGTCATTAGTTTGATAGGATATGTATTAGGAATTTATAGTAGCTATTTTTTCCTATTTACATTCCTAAGAGTGAATAATATAATGAAATTAATGGATGATATCAATAACCGTTTTTATCTGACTGAAAAATATTAAAAATTTTGGGTTTTAACAAAACTCTTTGCTATGATCATTTTGATGAACCATTTCTTTGCCTGTTTTTTTCACTACATAGGAAACTATTTTCAAAACGATCCATCTGATACCTGGATTAAAACTTAAGGCTTGGATTCCTGCGATTGGATTTAAAGATACACAGAAGCATTATATTTTTCATTTATTACTTGCATTACTATAGGCTATGGAGATATTACACCTAAAAATGACTATGAACGATTAACTGTGATAATATTTAGTTGTCTTTCAACTGTTTGCTTTTCTTACTCAGTTAACACAATTGGCAGTATCCTTCAAGATTACTAAAACAAATATTAAAAATATATGTAATTAATTATATCCTTTTAATTATTTAATATGAACAAAGTTTTATTGTAGATAAATGAGATATAACGCAATTAAATTCATGGGAAATAGAAAAATAAATAAGGAATTGTAAATGAGAGCATTGAAATACATTGAGTATATTCAAACAATTGAAGAAGACAGTCCAGAAAATGGGCTGTCTGTGGTAAATCAGATGTCTAGTTAACTTAAGTTTTAGATTTTCTCTGATTTCTATGGAAAAATACTATCTTAACATAAATATTTTGCACTGAATTACAGTAAATAAACAATCAATAAATTATCTTCGAGAGTTTAAGAAAAATTATTTGTACCCGGAGAAGTCATTTTTGAGCAAGGAGAGCAAGATATGAGACTTTTCTATCTTATAAAAGGTGAGTGTGAGTATTATTTGTAAAATAAAGGAGGAAATAAACATTCATAAATTTAATCTATTGCTTTTACAAATGTAATTTTAATCATTTTTATTTTTTTATTCACTAATTTTGATAAATAATTTATAAAAATACCCTAAATTTCAATTATTTAAACAATTTTTAATGGTTATTTAATTAATCTAGTTTTAAATTTGCATTTGCCCTTATTTAAGTTTTTGGATTTTGTTCTTAAATTGAGACTTTTCTAATATTATAGTATTTGTTTTAAGGAAAATAAGCAATCTCAACTGTTTGTTAATTTCTTTATAAATAAAATTTTTAATTTTTCACTTACACCAAGAGAGAAAATATATTTTTATTAATTTAAATATACATTATATTCTTTAATTCTTGTTTTTAAATCATATTAAATTAGGAATAAAATTTTTTTGGATACAAAGGGTTTATTTCAGGTATTCCAAGAGAGATGAGTTGTAGATCTACAAATATCACTCATGTATTTTACATCTCTAGAGATGATTTAATTAGTGTTTTAAAAGAAGATCCTTTAGATTATGTAAATTAACTACAACTAATTTTAGTGATTTTTTTCTAAAAAAATTTTAAAATTAAGGAATAATTTTGCAAAGTTAGAGATCAATACTAGTTATACACTAGTTCTCTAGGAGAGCAATGCTTTACTTGCAAAAGTTATAAACATACTATGATATAATGTCCCAAGATTCACTTTAGTAAAAATAGATAGCTATTAATGTATAAATATAACTATAGTGCTGATTAAATTAGATAGTACAAAAAAAGAAAATGTTTAAAATATGCTACTATTTTAAATATGGATTTAATTTCTTTTTGTGCTAAAAAATATAGAAAAAATATAACAACTTCTTTAAATAGATAAAGAAATGATGCTCCAAATAATAAATTTAATGAAAATTATCAAGAATGCTTGATTCCTGATAAAATATACTCTCTTTAATATCCATATGTAATTTAATAAAATCATGAAATTTCCATTTATCTTATTATTAAAAATAAGGTCAAATTTTAAGGTCAAACTTTTAAAGATATTAAATTGTATGATAACTAAGATTTAGATAGCGATTCATTTAGTGATTCAGATAGTAGCTATTCTTAGTCTTCTTTACCTAGTTAATAGACTATAAACGAAGATTAGTACAATGAAGACTTGGAAGAGAATGATGATGATTAGGATGACTTTAATAATTAAAAATAACTTTTTTTATAAAACTCTAAAAAATCAAGTTAAGATTAAGAAAATAAATAGTTACAGTCTAATGATGACATAGATTTATTTTAGGAGAACAAAATAAAAAGAAATAATTTCATGCAGAGAAAATTAAGCTATTCTCCAACTAAAAAAAAATCTTCAAGCCCTGATCGCAAAAAAGATTCACATTAAAATTCTTAATAAAAGTAGGAAGAGGGAGAAATCAACATGAAAAAAAAGTTATTTACCAAATAGGTTGAATCGAAAAATTAAGGAGATATTGCAAAGAAAATAAATTCATAGAATAAAATAAACTCTCTAGAAGATTTAGAAAAATAATAATGCAACTAACAATAAAATAACTCATCAAACCCAACCTCTTTCTCACAAATGTGCCTTTCTAAGAAATCATCTAAATAAAGAAATTTAAATGATTAAAATAAAAATTAAAAGTAATTATAAAAGCATCATATTGAGTTTAATATTGATAATATATCAATATAAAATTGGTTCGAAAGTAAAAAATCATACAAATCATAAAAAAGTTAAAAATTGTTTGATAGATCTGATAAACCTGGTAGTATAGAGTCATTATAGAATGAAAATAAACTCTATAAGTCTATGAGTCATAAAATGTAAGAAAAATGTAATATTTAAAAGCAATAAATTAGGAGATAAAAAGCTATAAAATCTATGACGCTTTTGTTAAAATAAAATAGCTATAAAGAATAAAAATAAATTAACAATAACATAAATGAATTACATCTAGAGTTAAGTAAACAAAAATTTAACTAAATTTTAGAGAAGCAAAACCAATTCATGTAACAAATTGCTAAAAGTATTTAATAATTGTAAGAAAGCTAAAAAAATAATATTTTAAATTTAGCTGATCATAGTGCAAGCTAGCATGAATAAAATTCTAAAGATAATGAATAAATGAAGCTGCATAGAATAAATGTAAAAAATACTTAATAAATTGATTCAGATTTATTCTTTTATGAGTTTGACAGTGTCAAAGAATTCAAAAAATATTTTCCTTACAATAATGCCTCTTCGGTGTGTTAGAGTCTTAAACCTAAAGTGAATTAAAACCAATAAATTAATAATTAAAGATACAGCTTCTTGAGTAAAAGATCGATCTATTAAAAAAAGAATAGTCTTCTCTTAAAATCCAAATCAGAATTTTATAAGTAAAAATAGTAACAAGATAAAGAGTGATTTGCTGATAAATAAATTACATAATTCTAATACATAAAATACTATAAATTTAGCTTTTGGGTTTTACATAGCATGAAGCACTAATAATATTTTTACTTTTACAAGATTGAGGTTGAATTAATTTTGAGGCTAAAATAATAAATATTTTTATTTATTTTGAATTTAGAGTTGTATTAGATTTATAAATTATAAGGGAGTATTAAATAAATTTTATTAATACTGAATTATACTATTATTTAATATTGTATAGTCTGTAAAAAATAAAGTGTTTTAAGTGTTTGAAATTCTGATAATTAAAATAAACATTAATAAAATATTTTTGATTAAAATTTAAAAATCTGCTTAGTTATTTTTTTTCGAGTTTAATTGAAACTTTTAGGTATTTATTATGATAAAAATAAAAAAATTCAAGATAATTAATAGTAATTAACATTTAACAAATTTGTTACAAAATAATATATTTATTAAGAATTGACTAAAATTTAATCCATATCTGACAATATTATTTAGTGATCTGATTGAGTTTATAATTAATTAATTAATTTATTTTTTTATTTTACAAATAGCTTGCTAGCTACAGAAAAAATATTCCGAAAATAGCAACAATATAGTAGAAAATAAATGTCTTACTTGGGTAGTCAATGTCTGAGCAAAAGTGTTGTGAATTAATAGTTAAAAATTTCTTATACTTTGAATAGATAATTTGATTTTCCATTTATAAATATACTTGTCTAGCAAATTAAAAGAAATCTTTTTTTGAACAAATTTTTTTATTTTTCTCAAATATTTGTTTTTGTAAATTTTAATTCAATAAATAATTATTTCTGTATGCATTAAGATTCTTATAAAATGATTATATTAGGTAAACTAATGGATATTAATTAATGTTAAGTTCATTATATTTTAGATTAACACATAAAAAAATAAAAAATAGTCTGAAAAAAAGAAAGAATTGATTATATATAAATGATTTTCCTTAACTTATTGTGTCTATTACATATTTTAGTCTTGAGTCAAAATACTATTAATTTAATAATATAAAAGAAATTGGTTTTAGAATTATTATTAAAATTATAAAGTGTCTTATAAAATACTAATGTATTTATTCTTTTCTTAAATATTAATTAATTTTCTTTCAAATTCATGGTTCTAATTATTTTAAATGCATCTATAAGTTGAAAATAATTAATATAAAAATTAAGAAAATAAAAAATCACCTAAATTATGAGTGGAGTAAAAATTTAGAAACATCTTCCTTGCCATGATTATCACATGGGCAACTGTACTTTAACAAAAGCATAATGTCCATACAGTCATGAAGGAAGGTCTTGGGGAATTTGTCCTAATAAAAACCACTGTCCTACTCCACATAAGCTTGTCGACTGTCCTCTTTTTCTTAACAATTGCTGTCCTAAAGGTGAAAATTGCTCATATAGGCATAAAAGTAAAGAGGATACAACTCAAAAATCATGCTAAGAATAAATTACATGCGCTAATGTTGAAGAAATTTAAAAAAACGATAGCAGTTTAGAATTGAAAAATAGCCAAGTCATCAAAGGATTAACTATGGAAGATTTTAAGTCTTCTTTAGTTGAGTTAAACTAAGATTTGAAGATATTGCTACCAATCATTTTAGAAGAAAAAGAAAAAGCTAAACAAATGCATTCTTCATGCTCGTTGGATTTATGCTTTGTTGTTGATATTAGTGGCTCAATGTCTTCTTGGATGAATCATGTTGTGTAATATGTAGGAAATACTCTTAACACTATTTATTAACAATTTCCTGCTATTACACTGAGGGTTGCTTTTTCTGGATACAGAGACATAAATGATTTCGAATAGTATGTGCAAGTTGATTTCACAAGAAACATTGAGGATTTCAAGACAAGATTATCTAAGGTTTCATGCGGTGGAGGTGGAGGTGATTGGCCGTAATTTTATTTATTTATTTATTTTTTGTTTTCTTTTTTTTAGTAAGAATTTCTTAAAAGAATTGATCAGTTCTTAATAATTTTTTTTTAAAATTTTTTAATTTATTTTTTAATTATTTAGAGAGGATGTCACTGGTGGTTTAAATAACGCTTTGAACTTTGGTTGGGGATCAGCTGCCAAACAGTTAATATTTATCGCAGATTATCCAGCACATGGATTAAAATATCATGATAATTTAATTGATAATTATCCTAAGGGATGTCCTAATGGATTAAAATTAGAAGATCTCATGAGTCAATTTAGTTTTAAAAAAATAGATTTTACAGTGGTTGAGGTAAGCCAAAGTACAAAAAAAATGTTCTAAATCATGACATAATATTATGGATAAAATTTGGTTATCAAGAATTTGCTAGATAATAATGAAGAGAATGGAACTGCATCATTTTAAAATGTGGTTCATGACTCAATTAAATCTACGGTTACTGCTTCATTATCTAAAAGTGGTTTAAATAATGATAATTCTGCCCAACCACAAGGGTAATTCAGTTAAGCAATCAGATTTATTTTATAAAATAAAAGATTCAAAAAAGGATTATCTTGGAGCTTCTCAAAAGAAAAATCTTCTAAACTTCCATAAACCTTAATTTAATAATAAGCTGAACAAGAATAGGTTCTAGAAGAAGAAGAAGAGTATGATTCAGATGATAGTGAATATGAAACTAAATTAGAATAAACAGCTTAGAAATAACTAAAGTAGGCCATTAAAGACAAAGAATATCGTAAATAAAAAGAAAAGGAAGAAAAGTTAGAAAAACTAAAAAAATCTTTCCCTTCCCACTACTTTGATACTGTTGAATAACATGAAGAGAAAAATAAAAAAAAGCAAAAAGAAAAGGTTTAGAAAACATTATATTAAACTGGATACTTTGATTGGGATAACTTTGAAAACTATAACGACTATCAAGCAGTTTGCTATTCATTTGAGTTAGTGAAAAACTATAAAGAAGGTCAAGAAATAAATTGGAAGAATCTTGAGATTAAGACTTTCTATTTGGGAACTAAAGTAAGAATAAGCAACCTTGTATTTTCGGAAGGTGCTATGAGATACGCATATCATGCTAAAGATTTATATCTCAATTAAAAAATGGTTGCTAAGCAATACAAGAAACCTGAAAAATAAACTAAAATATCTATTGAAGAGATGAAGAGAGATATTATTTCGTAAATTGTTTGCAAATACATTGTCAAGGAATTCAACAGTAAACTTGTTGAAATTGAATAGAGTGAAGCATTAATTTTATAGTTTATTGATTGTTATATATATGAAACCACACATCCATATAATGCAAGTCCTCGCTATTATTTCGAAAAGTATATTGATGGAACTTACGAAAAGTTTAATAATAATGCTGGTTATGTTTCTTAAACAGATAACCCATACAGTTCTTTAGCATAAGCACTCTCTCACTTCTCTTGGCAAATTAGTAAAGGTTATCTTGCTATTGTAGATTTGTAAGGTAATCAGGAAGGTATTTTGACCGATCCCTAAGTCCACTGTTTGGACTAAGAAAAATTCGGAGATGGTAATTTGGGTTATGAAGGTATTTTGAGGTTCTTTTCAACTCATGATTGTAATGATCATTGCAAAAAGTTGTAATTGATTCATCCATTTGATTAAAACTAAATTCCTGTAAATAATACTTTCTTCTAATAATATACTAACTCTGATAAGGAAAATGAAATTAATGACTCTTAACCTTTAATGAGTTAATTATGTGATATCTGTTAAACAACAAGCTATTTTAATATAAAACGTATTGTAGAATCTAAAAAGAATAATGAAAGGCTAATTTGTAAAGATTGTATAGAATAAATAAAAAGAACTACATTCTCTAAGAAGTGTGTTTAATGCCCAGATTAATTGCAATTTAGTACATATGAATGCATTCAGCTAAGAAGAGATGCTCCTCCTTTGTGTAATAAGTGCTAATTAAATTAATGACTCTTTTAATACCATTCTAGAAAAATTCTTAGCCTTTTTTTATCATCAATAATAATTTCAATCTATTTTTTTTACTATATACATATTAACAGCTAAAATCTTTTAAAAGGTTTATAGATTAAATTAAATTAAAATATATTATCTCACCCATAAATTAAATTAAAATATATCTGTAATGTAAATTAAATGTCAATACTTAATTTAATCAAATACCTTTTTTTTAATTTTTGAAATAATTTATTTTTTTCTAATTAAAAAAATTTTTTCCACAAAACTTCGGGGTTTTTTAAAAAGCTAAAAAATGTAATTAATTTTGTAAAAAAATAGAAAATAAAAGGTAAAACAAATAAGTCTAAGAAAAGTTTTGCAAATAATTTAAATCTAAATAAACATGGAATTTAGATGCGTTCTCAAAATAATAACAAAATCTCAAGATTAATGAAAATTTTGAGAAATAATTTAGCAATTTAGCAATTTATAATTAAGAGATTTAATACATAAAATATTTTAAAAAACGCTCTCTTTTTGCGATAATTTCTTTAATTCATAAAAAACTTAATTTTTTGGAATAGTAAATATGAGTTGAAACACTTTTATTTTTCTGTAAAGCGTCTAGAAATATGGAAGATAAGATATTTTTTTGATGCAAAAATAGATTTGCCACAGTTTCATTCTATCTTTTCTTTTTCTGGATGAGGTTATAGCGTCTAATAAAATACTAATAAATATATTCTTTCATCTGTTAATCTCATATTCTAAAATATAAGTAATTCTTAAATAAACTCATTATTATAAATTCAGAATAAGTCTTTTGAAAATAATAATTTATATTCCAAAAAATAACTTTGATAAAACATAAGGCAAATTAGAATAATTTGCATGAGTAATTTAAATATACAAAAACACTTACCATGTCATGATTATCACATGGGTTAGTGTCTCTTACCAAAGGCTTAATGTCCTTACAGTCATGATGGAAAGTCTTGGGGTATATGTCCTAACAAAAACCATTGCCCAACACCCCATAAGTTAGTAGATTGTCCTTTATTCTTGAATAATTGCTGTCCAAGAGGTGATAATTGCTCTTACAGACATAAGAAAACTGATGAAAATGGTCAAGAAATAAAAGAGGAATAAATAGTTTAAGACAAAGCTTCATCAGACGAAATCTAGATATAATAAGATAGCGAGAATACTGCAAATAAGAAATAAATTATTAAAGGAATGACCTTAGAAGATTTTAAATCTTCTTTAGTAGAATTAAACTAAGATTTAAAAATTATAATGCCAATAATTCAATCAGAGAAGGATCAATCAAAAAAATGGAATTCCTCTTGTTCTTTAGATTTATGCTTCATAGTAGATATTACAGGATCTATGAGTCCATGGATGAATTAAGTTGTTCAATATGTAGGAAATACCTTAAAAACTATCTATGAAGACTTTCCAGCTATTGATCTCAGAGTTGCTTTTTCAGGTTATAGAGATCATTGTGATTAACATAAATATGTTACTTACGATTTTACAAGAAATGTTGATAGTTTTAGATCATAATTAGCTCAAGTTACCTGCTTAGGTGGTGGTGATTGCCCGTAATTATCTATTTTAATCTTATTATGATATCATTTTTTTATTTATAAAGCTGACATTCATTATAATTTTTAAAAAATTTTGAGTAGTTAAAGTTATTTTAAATTATTTTTAATTATAAAAGAGAAGATGTTACTGGTGGTTTACACAATGCTTTAAATTTTGATTGGGGCTCATCAGCTTAATAAGCTGTTTTTATTGCTGATAGTCCTGCTCATGGTGTAAAATATCATGAAAATATAGCTGATGATTATCCTAACGGATGTCCTAATGGAAGAAAGTTAGAAGATCTTATGATTCAGTTTAGTTAGAAAAAAATTGATTTTACAGTAGTTGAAATTAGTGGTATGACAAAAAAAATGTTTAGTATAATGACATAGTGCTATGGATAGAATTTAGTTATCAAGAATCTCTCATCTGGTACAGCAATTAATGGTCCTACATCCTTTTAGCATGTGATGCATGAACAAATAAAATCCACTGTTACTGCTTCTCTATCAAAGAGTGGATTAAGTGGTGGTGGTGGCCCTCAAATTTAAGTATCAGGAAAATCAGGTAAAGCTTTTAAGGCAATTATGGAAAGCAAGAAATTCAAGAAAAACTTTTCATGGAGTAGATCCAAGGAAAAGTCTTCTAAAATTGCATCAACAATTATCCAAGAGCAAATCTAAGAGCAACAAGTTTTAGAAGAAGAAGAGTATGACTCAGATGATAGTGAATATGAAACTAAATTGGAATAGACAGCCTAGAAGTAGTTAAAGTAGGCTATCAAAGATAAAGCTATTAGAATTTAAAAAGAAAGGGAAGAAAGATTAGAAAAATTAAAACAATCCTTCCCTTCACATTATTTTGATACAGTTGAATAGCATGACCAAAAAAACAAAAAGAAATAAAAAGAAAAAATTTGTAAAGTTTAATATCATAATGGACCTTTCGATTGGAATAAATTTGAAAGCTTCAATGATTATCAAGCCATTTGTTACTCTTTTGAATTGGTTAAAAACTATAAAGGAAACCAAGAAATCAATTGGAAGAATCTTGAGATTAAGACTTTCTATTTGGGAACAAAAGTAAGATTAAGCAACCTTGTCTTTTCAGAGGGTGCTATGAGATATGCATATCATGCTAAAGACTTGTATCTCAATTAAAAAATGGTCGCCAAATAATACAAGAAGCCTGAAAAGTAGACTAAAATATCTATTGAAGAAATGAAGAGAGATATTATTTCATAAATTGTTTGCAAGTATATTGTCAAGGAGTTCAATAGTAAACTTGTTGAAATTGAAAAAAGTGAAGCATTAATTTTATAGTTTATTGATTGTTATATCTATGAAACTACTCATCCATACAATTCGAGTCCTCGTTACTACTTCGAAAAGTATATTGATGGAACTTACGAAAAGTTTAACAATAATGCTGGTTATGTTTCTCAAACTGATAACTTATACAGTCCTTTGGCCTAAGCACTTTCTCATTTCTCTTGGTAAATCAGTAAAGGTTATCTTGCTATTGTAGATTTGTAAGGTAATCATGAAGGTATTTTGACTGATCCCCAAGTTCACTGCTTGGACTAAGAAAAATTCGGGGATGGTAATTTGGGCTATGAAGGTATTTTGAGATTCTTCTCAACTCATGAATGCAATGATTATTGCAGAAAACTTTAGTTGATTCATCCTTTTGAATAAAGCTAAATCCCTCTAAATAATACATTCTTCTTAGAATTTAACAATTCTGATCAAAATAGTATAGCAGATGACTCTTAAGCCTTGATGAGTTAATTATGTGATATCTGTTAAAGTGCAAGCTCTTTTAGTATAAAATAAATTATCGAATCTAAAAAGAATAACACAAGATTAGTATGTTTTGGCTGTATAGAATAAATAAAAAAAACTACTTTCTCAAAGAAGTGTGTTCAATGCCCATAATAATTATAGTTTAGTACATACGAATGCATTCAGTTAAGAAGAGATGCCCCTCCTTTGTGCACTTCTTGCTAATCTAAGCAATGAATTAATAATAAAAATAACATTTCAATTAAATTTTAAATTATCATAAAATTAACTTAAAAAAAAAATTTTCAAAAAAGATTTTAGAAATATAAATTCTAAACAAATTAATGGATTATTTATTCATTTTCTGTATATAATTATATAATTTTATTAAATTTATTCGCTTATCTTTATATATTAATAAATAAGACATTTATATAATATTTTATTTCAAAAAATAAACATCAAACAAACTACAGGTGAAAAAAAAGTAAAATGAAAAACAAAAAACTAAAAGCCCAGTTTCTTTCTTTCTTTGTTTATTTATGTGGGGATGGCGTAAAAAATTGGAGTTTGTTTGTACTGTTCTCTCTATTGTAGTAAGAAAAAAAAAAGCAGAGAAAAGTTTATAATAAATAATAACAAAGAATAAATATTAAAGAAAAGAGAAGGAAAGAAAAGCGAAAGAATTTTTTTGGCAGCTTATTAAGTTGAATAGAAAACAAAAGTATTTAAAAGTAAATAGAACTTAAATAAATAAATAAATTAGAGATTTGTACATAAAGGATGGATTAACAAAATAACCAAGTTTAAGCCACAAAGGAGCATTGCAAGTACTGCTTCGATGTCTTGAAAGCTGCCTTAAACAATTAGCCTATCCCACCATTCCCATCCCAGCTTCCTAAGTATAAATGCCCTCTTTTTGTCACTTGGCATATTGATGGTGATGATTTGAGAGGATGTATAGGCACTTTTTAGCATGAAAATATCGAAAAGATACTTCCCTAATATGCAATGATTAGTGCTTTTAAAGACTCTAGATTCAGCCCTATTACTTTAAGCGAGTTACCTCGTTTGAATGTTTCTGTCAGCCTTTTAGTTAACTTTTAGGATAACAAGAAATCTTTTGATTGGGTTATTGGTAAACATGGTATTATTATCGATTTTTAGCACAACGGACATACTGGAAATGCGACCTTCTTGCCAGAAGTAGCATCAGATCAAACATGGGATTAGCGTACAACATTAGAGCATCTTATTAAAAAGGCAGGATATAGAGGAAAAGATCTTGATATAGTTATACATAAAATAAAATTGACAACTTATGAGTCTTCAAAATGTAGCTTAGATTACTCTGAATATATCAATATGTGAAAACAAAAAATCATACCAAAAATCAAACAATACAGACAGACAGCATTTTATATATATATTTTTTAATTTTTTTTTTAAAAATAAAACTAAAAATACCAACTAAAAAACAAAAAAACAAACTAATTATCGAAATGTCGTAAAATTTATTGATTGAGCTCAAAACAAAAACCAAGCAAGCAAAATAAATAAAATTAAAAAAAGCAAAACTTCATATTAATAACAGCACTTGATTATGAATTAAAATATTTGATGATTAACTGAAGACTTCATTTAGTAGAATTTTAAATTAATAAAACTAATGGCATAAATCCTAAAATAAATAAATAAATTAATACATAGATAGATAGACTGATAGCTTGTAAATAAAATATAATAATTAAAGATAGAAAATCAGAATAAAAATGTTTGTTTGTTTATTTTTAAGCAATTTTTAAAGATCTGAAAATGTAAAATTTTAGTTTATATTAAAGTAGCAAAGATGATAAATTTATTTACCTAATTCAATTTAATTCCTGTATGAATTTCTATTATATATTTGATAGTTAGACAAAATTTACTTACTTATTACTTTTCTATGTGCTTATTAACAAAATAAATTTATCATTTTATTCAAATGATTTAATTTCTCATCAACCAAATTTTCCTTTTTTCAGGCTTAATTTATTTAATCTTTCATTAAAATAAATAGAAGAATATTGAGTTTGAATAAAATAAAAAAAATTTAATTTAAAGATATTCCTCAAATTTAAGACCATAAACAAAGAATTTATTAGTCATATTAAATTAATATTTTATCACTTTATTAAATAAGCAATTAAAAAAGTCTAGTTATCAATCGACTACATTTGTAAATAGATCAAATAAAGTGCAATTTAATCAAAAATAGTTATAGTAATAGTGAATGTCTGGCTGCTGAATCGTTTAAAGTAAATTATAGCACCAAATATTTTTTTAATTAAAATGTTAAGCTTATATAAATCGTTAAAGAGTCTACATTTATACTTCTTAGTATTTAATCAATGATTTTGATGAGAATTTAATATATTTATTGTTAGTCTCTTGATTATGTCTTTATTTACTTTACATAAAATCTTCATTTAAACCAATTTGTTAATTTCATGTCTATCTTTAATTATTTAAATTTCTAAAAAAAAGAAAAAAGAAAATGTCTAAAGCAAAATCTTTATTTGAATAAAAAAATTTCTCTAAAGTAAAATCTTTTACTAAAAATATATTTTAATTTTGTAAAAAAATGAATTAGGTTAAAATGATAATTATTTTTTTAGTTTCTTTTATTAATTATTAAATGATTTTGTGATGATTTTCTATTTTTCCTCTTAAAATATTCATGATTTAAATTATTTTTTTAATTTATATGATGCTTTTAAAATCAATAATTCTCAAACAAAACACTAAAAAATGTTATTTATTTTTTATGTAAACTATTATAGTTTAGAATAAAAATGATTTTAATTAATTCTTTTTTATTGTTTACCTTTATACTTTTAAAGTAAATGTTTTATATATTATTTAATTGATAAAAAGCAAAATTAATTTTTGTTCTTTATATTAAATTGTTTTTTAAGTGTGATAAAGCAGTTAATTTAATAATAAAAATCAAAATCTAATTATTTCATAAATTAATAAATCAGTAGGAAGTTGATATGACACAAGCCTAATACCTAAAATAAATCATTTTTTTTGAAATCCAAAGTAAAAATAAGAAATCTTCATCAGGTTGAAAAGGTTTAAAAAATAAGTAGATATTTTGAATTTATAATAAAATTTAATTTTGAATAAAATAAAAAATTGAAATCAGTTATTTTAGTTTTTATTTCTAAAACTGAAAAACTTAGGTTTATTTGTTAATATTTTTATTAAATATTTAAATATTTACTCATCTAAAAATCTAATTAAAATTTTAGCAAATAAAACTATTAAATTGATATTAAATTATTAGTCAATTTCTAATTAGCAAATTAAGTTTTTGATTGTAAAATATATTCAAATAGGCTATTTTAATTGTGATTTACTTAATCTAAATGAGAAATAAACCTAGAAATAAATTTATTTGAATAAAACATTATTTTTTGAAATATTTTTGAAAAAACTTGAAAAAAATTTTTTATTTTTTAAATAAATTTTAATTTAAAATATTAATATTTTATTGTTTTTTGCATAAATATTTTTTACTTACTTCATTTGCCACTGTAAGCTATAGATAAATAGAGTTTTTTCTATATATTTTATAATAAATTTTTCATAAAATTTTAAGGCTTATAGAAATTGTAAAGTTTTATAAATAATTAATTATCAAGGATTAAAATGGTAATTGAAAGATTGCTGGCTTACTTTAAACTTAAAAGTGAATAAAAAAATTATTTTATGACGACTTTCAGTAGGTTATCATCAAAAATCCTTGAAAAAAAACTGATGAAAGTTTCTATTTTGCTAATTTAGAGGAAAATGACCTCCCTATTTTATTCTATGATTAAAATTCAATATAACTTAAAAAATTTATTTTATTTAAGTTAATTCAATTTATAAAATAGGTTATTTTATTTGAATTCATGAATTATCTTTCAGCATTTTATGGTAAACTAACGTGAGTTATTTTACTTTAAAAATAAACCTATCTATTTTTAATGGATCAATATTTAATTAAATCATGCAGAAACTTAATAAAGTTAGAGCTTGCTGGTATTTTTCATTAAAAAATAAATATAGAAATCCAAATTCATTCATTGAGTAATGATCTAAGAAAATTAAAATTTCATTCTATTTTATTATTTATAAACATGATAAACGCTGTTATTAAGTTAGTTAGTTAATTTAATTGAGATGTGAATAGATTTTAATTAATTTCAAAATGACCTATCTAATAATTTAAAAATAATAATAATATTTAAAAAAAATATTTGCTAGTTGATTGATTTCTATTTAATCAAAAACAAAGCAAACTTTTACAGTCTAATTATTCGATTGCTAACTAAATAAGTAATTGCAGCTAACTCAAATCCATCACTTAAACACAGCTAAATCTCTTAAAATCAATAAGCAAATCTAAATAAATAAATGTCTACTAATTCATTTTACTCTACCTCAGCCTTCATGACTGCAAGTTCTTAAGAAATAATCCCAATTTTACTTGGAATATATATTGTTCTAACAAATATTGCTTGCTTTATTTTCTTAGGCTTAGATAAGGTCTACTCAATCAAAAACAAAAAAAGGATTTAGGAAAAAACTCTATTAGCATTGATCAATTACGGAGGATACTGTGGAGGATATATTGGCATGACTCTATTTAACCATAAAAAAAACAAAAAGACATTTTAGTATTATGCAACAAGCTTAAAAAGCCTAATTTTTAACATAACTTTGATAATACTATACTATGTTTCAATAAATTTCCATAAGCTGGAGGGTCTATTCTGAAACAAGAAGATATGTTAAATGTTTAACACTTACTAAGAAATATTAATTACTAAACTACTTACTTACTCCTTACTTAAATTACTGCCTAAAACTATCGAAATTTAATCCTTATTTTCTTTGACTATTTTAAAATAGCTATATAAAAGTACTGTAATCATTAGAACACTTCAAAGTAGAAATTTATGTAAATAATATGTATTTCCTTTATATAAACAGTATTTAAAGCATACAAATTCGATAACTATATTTTAAATAAAATTCTATTTTTACTATCAATTTTTTATTTATTTGCTAGCAAAACCATTTATTTCTTCTATTTTCTTTTAAAAATATTTAAATATTTTAAATTTAATTTTCTGTTTAGATAATTCTTTTAAGCTTTCAAATTAAAACGAATTTATTGAGGGATTAATATATTCTTACTCGAAACAGTTATAAAGATTCAAAAAAAAAGAATAATATATTTTTTATGCAATAACAAATAAAATAAATAAATAAATGTTTATCAATAAATAATAAAAATATTGAATTTTTAAATTTAACTTATTCAAGTTTTATGTAATGCTTAATTCTATTACTTTTTTATTCATGCAAAAAAAATAATTGACTTCTAATTAAAAAAAATAAATTAAAATTCCTTATGAAATAATAAATCACAAAACACATTTTATTTTATTAATTTACTTTTTATAATGAAAATTATGCGTAAATTTAGATTGTAAAATTATTTAAAAAGAATAACAAGGCATTTAAAATTTTTTATTTTTGAATTTTATAAAGTGATTTGTAATTATCGTTTATGTTATATTCATCATTTTTAAAATCAATTTTTTTCAGTATTTACTTTAAAATCTGAATATTTTTTGAAATAAAATTTTAGATTCAAGTTATCATTATTATTATAAGTGTCTCCAATAAAATGAATCTCAATGTTATGAAAACATATAGAAAAGAAATAAAAAATTACAATCTTTTCCATATTAATAATAAGCTATAAAGATGAGAATTAAAATTTTTAATTACAGAATAGGAAGGAACTAGTAATATTTCTAAACATAATTTAATTAATTAGATGAACTAATTAAATTTGCTAAAAATAGAGATTCTAAATAAAATTTATTTATAACTAAATTATAAATAAAAATTAAATTTTTTTATAATGAACTAAAAATTTATTAAAATCTACTTCAATCAAAAAATACAAATTAACTAAAAGCATCATAGCATACATTTGTTATTTATTAATTCTTTTTAATTATTACATAAACTGTAAATCAGCCAACCAAAACTTAAATAAAACAAACATATATAGATGTACTGGCTTTCAGCAAATCTAATCAAAAGAATAATCTAATTAATGGAACTCCTTTTAATTAGTTTGTATATTCTGGAGTTTGGGTGAAAGTAACATTAATGTCAACGAAATTATCTTCTTTTGACTTAAAAAAAAATTAAATTAAAATATTTTTAATATTTAAAAAAAATAATTTACTTTAAGTTCTAATATTTTATTCAGTTTTGTGGATAGTAAGTCTTTTCTTTCTTAATCGCGGTTAGGAAGTAACATCAATTATTCTATGTAAATAGGTTTATTTCCTTAGAATACATCATGGGGATATATCTTGTAGGTTTTTTACAAGTAGCTAAATAGCTTTTCTAAACTATCGTTTTCTTTACTTATTTTAATTTCCCATCTGTCCCAAACAGTTGTATTTAAATTTTATGCAAGTTTGAATTACTCAGCTTTTTATGGCTCAGGCTAAACAAGAAGTGGCAAACTTAGATTCAAGAAAGCATTTTTATAAAAGTCACTTTTAACTTCTTTCAAAATTTTTATTGTTTCTATAATTTAAAGACCTGCTACAATCGATGTTGTTGTTACTAAAGCAGGTATAATTTTTCCTGCCTTGAGCTTTACATCTATCCATTCCATTGGCTCTAAAGTGTAATTAATAGCACGGCAATTAGCCATTGAATGCAATAAATCTATGTGATAGTTATCATCAACATCTTTTTCAAATTCCTATGGCGATATTTGAATTTTATTGACATTAAATTTAGAACAAATTGTCTTAATTTCACTAACAAGCTGCTATGGAGTAAGATTGTTTTGAGGCTTTTCTATTTCCATTTCCACTTTATTTTCCTATTTATTCTTTTCTTTATCAACATCTTGCTTCATTGATTTCAATTTATTTTCATCTATCTTGAATGAAGGTATTTGCATTTTTTATATTTATTAGGATAATTTAGCACGAGTGTTAGCATCCTTTAAATTGTAGTTAATTTTAATGTTAAACACTGTAGCTTATAAGGCTGCACATGATAATATGAAATTTAAATGGTGATCATTTGAAGGATTGAACTACTGAGCATTTGGGGGACGTTTTGGGAGTGTCCAGAAGAATGAACCGTCTTTATTCTTGTGATTGTGTGGGTATATGTGCAATAAAGAAAGTATATTATGATTGTATAATTTATAGAATTTATTTAATCCATATTGCAAACAATCATCAAAATTTTTAGGATATTTTTTCAACATTTTTAAGCCTTCATTCAAAGTCTTTTCTTCTAAAGAATTCAGCTAGTTATTTCTAAAGGCTTCTAAAACTCTCTGTAAACTCTAAGGCTTTTGTTGGTACATTCTTCCGAATTTATCTCTAGCCCACTCTACACAGTGAAGGGTTTACTCAGGGAACATTTTTAACGTGCAGTGAGGAATATCACCTTCCTCTTAAGGGTCTTATTAGCTTCCATAAGTTTCAGTTAAATGTGGAATGATAACCTTTTTATAAATGTTAATTTTATATATAAATATATAGAAATTAAATAAAGGTTTAAATCATTTACTTGAACATGACCCTTTGGTCCTAAGGTACCTGAATCTATTAAAGCCCTTCTATTTTAAATACATCTTATATCCATGTATTTACGTGCCTAGACATTATCAAGTGCATTCAGTATGATATTTTATTTTTAGAAAAATGTATCATTGAATATATGCTCTGTTTATTCATAAACCTTGTCTAGTCTGGCAGTGATACTATTTTTCAAGTCCTTATTCATGAAAATAGCTGCTGCAGCTGCAACGCTTATTTATAAATTAAACAAATTTTGTTATCTTTGTTGAGCTGTTTGTTTTATATAAATTTTAAATGAATAAAAACTTACCTAGACTTTGGTTGACGAATGTGCTTTTCTCTGAAGAGGAATTGCCTATTGAGATTAGAATTTTCTATGATATCTGGATCTGTCAAAGTTATTGAGCCTTTTTTACCGAAACCTATCATGGAGAGATTTTTAATTAGCTCACAGCCTATAGCACCAGCACCTATCATAAATGTATTAGCATTGCTGATTTTTTCTAAAATTTCCTCTCCAATTATGACTCTTAAGCTATCATATTTATCATTCTTGAAATTAAGTCCATATTTATTAGAAATATTTTGTAAGTAAGAATCGATTTATATAGATTTTTAATCATATTTTTATATATATTCGGCTATGCTTACATCAGCTGCTAATTCTTCACAGCTGTAAATAAATAATTAATTTATTGGTACCCATTTCTTAGTAATACTTTTAACGGCTTCCTAAGCTACAATACCACCAATGATAGCTCCTTAAGAAGGAATATATCCTTAGCATGTAAATGCAAATCTGAGAATAGCAGTCTAAGCTAACTATATTGCTTTTTCTTATTTACTTTCAATAAGCTTTTAGATTGTCTATGAGCTTTAAATAGCTAATTAATAAAAATTAGATGCATCTTCTGTATTCCAAGGGCGTGGAAGTCTGCTATAAGTAGAAACAAACTAATCCAAAACATTGAAGCAAATATTCTAAGCATTTCTAGAAGCTGTTTCTTCTTCTGTAAAAATAGGAAGCAGATTTTCTTCAAAAATAGGATTGCTTATATTATCTTCAAGAGACTTAAATTTCAAAGTTAGTGGTTATTTAATGTGTTTTGCAATACCATTTCTGCTGTAAGTTCCAAACTATTTAGTATCTCCAATATAAAATGAATTCTATTTATTTATTTAAAATTAAATATGAGGTAATAAGGAATAAAAAATTTACATTGTCTTTTATTTTAACTTTGAATTATTGTAAATTAAAGCTTTTTCCATCATTCTAGCTAATTACTTCTTTAAGTTCAATGATATCGCCATCCTATAAATAATGTTTGGTACCTGTTTAAAGAGTGACAAGTCCTTCATTATCTCTCGAAATATTTTTGATCAAATATTCCTAAGCTTGTTCTCTATTTCAATTTAAAAAATAAAACAAATTAACTAAAAAACCTAATCATATTCTAAAACAATTTTAAAGATAAAAAATTAGGGTTCGACAGTAAATATATTTTTGCAGTATTTTATTCGGTTTTTTTTCAATAATTTATTGGTTGAAAATAAAAATAAAAAGAATAAAAATTACCCATCTTTATCTATAACAGTGAAAGATGAACCAAAATCACAGAATATTCTACTGTATACAGAGTAGCTTTATGTGTAAATAAATCCTATACTTTTTTCTCTACAGATTTTATTGATTTTAGTGGCCATTTTAACATCTAAGTTGCAAAGGATGACAACATTATAATTTTCAATGAAAAATGTTGTTTGATTTAATAAATCATTGTAATTGGCTGAAAAATCGCATGAAACATATTCATTTAGAGCTTGTATTTTTTTGATAGAAACTTCAGCACGATTTTTACCGATGTCTTCTTCGCTCAAGAAAAATTAACCTATTATATTTTAAAGAGTGACTTTTTCTTGGTCAACTATGCTGAATCTTTTAACACCACTTAAGACTATGTTTTTAGCTATTTCAACACCTACATGGTTTAAACCGACCAAAAGGACATTGGCATTTGCTTACTTTTTGACTGCATCTATTCCTAAAGCTCCTATATAACGAGACCATCTATTAGTAACTTCTGAATTTTCAACATTTATTTCTTTATTTTGAGTTTTCTTTACCTGAAATTTAAAATTTAATTAGATATATAAATTTTCAATGTTAAAAAATATGTTTACATCGTCGTATGAAATATTGACGTTATTTACATCGACTACTCTTCCTTCATCAAGCATTTTATCTTGTGTTTAAACTTTAGGCTTGAATGATTCTTCAGATTAAAATAATATTGAAGGCTTTTCGTAATCTATTTCTACAATTTTTTTCTTTTTTTAGGTGAATTTGATGGTTTGAGAAATATTGATTTTTAGTTTTTCAAAGCATGTCTTTAGATTATTGATTTCTTTTTGTAAAACTTTTTTGTATTTATCTCCACTTAATTCAGAGCAGAAAGTACTATTATGAGAACTAACTAATCCAGTATATTCAGCTGGTTGATCAGCTTAATCAAGCCACTTCTCGCACTCTTTCAATATCATATCCTTCTTCAAAAAGAAGCTCATCATTATAACTTCTTTGAACTCTGGAAGAGGGTTATTTATTTATTCGATCATAGCATATCTGATATTACCAATTTTAACTATATTTTGATATCCTCTATTTAATTTTTCTCCTTCAGCAGTACCTGCATGCCCTTCATAGCCTGGTTCATTAAAGTAGACATATTCACTCATGACAATTGCTTAGATAGATACTAAGAGCTACAATATTCTATTTTATAAGACAAATGTTAAATTAAATAACCAATTTTTTATAAGTTATTCTATTTTTTAAAGCAACATTTTTTCTATCAAAATAAATGATAAATTAAAAAATTTCCATTTTTAAAAGTTTTGCTTGATAATTAAAATGTTTTTTTAAAGAAAATTTGAATGAATTACGTTGAGATATTTGGATTCCAATTTTCATTCGATGAACCTCTCCAAGTTCCTAACAAACTGAGACAGACTTTACCACAGTGATATAAATTAGGGTTGAATCTAATTTTTGCAGAGCCTATTTTTGTAATGAAAAATTAGAAATTTGAAATATCTTATAAAGTTTATAATTACCTGTTGTTGCTAAGTTTACTTTGGGAGAGTTTTAAGGATAAGAGTCATCAAAAAACATATCAAAGACAAATGCACCATGTGCGTAAGGAGTATCTTCAGCACCAAAAATAAGACTTTTCATTACATCCATTCTAGAAGTGTCATATCTAACAAATATAGAACTTTGGGGAGTCATAGGTAGTGAATGAGCTAAGTCTGCTATTTCTTTTATGAGTCTCTGCATTTTTATAGGAGAAGGATTTCCTGAGTTAAAGTAACTTGAGTAGTGGTGCTTTTAAGTAACTCCTACAGAGGTACTTACACAGAGAGGTTTTAGCAAAACATTGAAGAACTACTCAGTGTGCATCTTACCAACTTCTAGTTGATTTAAGGTTTCTTAATTTTAGTTGTCTTCAACTTCCTTTATTGAAAGATAATCATTTTCTTTTAAAGCCTTTTCCATTATTTCAAATGTTTTTAAGTACAGCTAAATCATGGATTTTTATTCTTCGATCTCTTTTATCTTTGCTTCTCTTTAAGCAGGAGACAACTTAAGAGCATCGAATAAAGATTCATTCTAATCCAAGTTTAATATATTTTTTTCAAAAAACTCTGCTTAATCTCTCATTGAGGAGAGAAGTGAATATAGGCATTTTTAATTTTTCACATCTTCAACTTTTATTTTATCATTTTCTTCATAATCTCCTTATAGTTTCTCTAAGTGGTCTTCTGTCCATACAAAGAAGTCTAAGAGTTCATCGGTTTTAGCAATATTTTAGAGCAAAATCAAGATTGGTTTAAAGAAAGAAGCACGCTTTGTTGAGTCAAGTAAACTGTTTGTATCAAAAATATTTATGAGTATTGGATTAAGTGTTGATAACTTAATTTTATGATAAATATCAGTGGTTATTTAAAAGCTATAATCAAACTCAAAGAAATGCTAAATACAAGCAGAGAGCTGCTTCAAAATTTTAGCTACAAATTCAGAACCAACATAACTTTTAATAGTTGATGTATCGTTGTAAATCAAATTATCTTATTTTTATTTCAAGCCTAAAATATTGTTAGAAACATTTTATTTTGGGGGTGCTGGAGCATAATAATTATTGTAATTATTTTAATTATTTAATGCATCCTCAGAGACAGCAGTGCTATATCCGCTGCTATAGTTTTTCATCCAAGAAGTATCTGAGCTACCGTTTCCATATCCAACACCTTTCTTAGAAAGATTGGAGCTTCCACCGCTACCATAGGTTAATGAAGAGCTTGCATTATTTTTAGAAGAAGATTCTTAAAATACTTCATTAACAACTTTTGGCTTTTTATTCTTTTTTTTAGTTGGCAAATGTCCATTGTATATTTCAAATTTAGAAAGTATATCCTATAGAATGTTCTTTCTAAAACATAATTGTCTCAATTCACTACTCTAATATAAATGAATAAAAAACCTTAAAAAATAATTTGATAAAAATAAAACTTACTTTGTCATATTTAAATAATCTTCTTAGTGATTTGAAGAGCATATAAACAGCCTAATGGAAGTTTACAATACCAACTTTGTTGTTAGCAAATTACTGAGTAAATAGCAATTGTAAAATTATTTTAAAGAAATCCTTTTAAATAATTAAATGATTAGCAAATTGAGGAAGGGTCAAGAATTTTTGGGCTTCAAAGAAGAAGATCATAAGGTTTTGAGAGTATTGCTATTGTGCCTCTCTATCCATTATTTATATGATTTTTGTTATTCCCTAGCACTAATTCTAGAAAATTTCAATCATTTAATTTTTACCAAGCTTATTAACTTCATAGAGCTTGCTAAACTCTTCTTCAAAGGGAAGTTTTAACAAGTTTGCTTACTGTTTATTAAAATAGATTAATTTTTTTTAATTTATAAAATAAATTATTTACTGAATATGGAACAATTAAATCAAGTATTTTGTTGGTGTTGCTGCCATCATAAATATATTCTAATTATTTAATTGTGGAAGAAAGCTGCAATTCATCATCCAACTTGCTAGCTATTTTCTTTACTACTTTCTATAATTTAATTATAAAATATTATTAAAACAAAAATTTTTACAAAAAATTCTAAAATTTACTTTATTGCTATTATCTTAGTGGATAAAATTAGTTATCAAACCTTATAATGTAATGTAGTGAGGAACGATTGAAATTTTCTCTAAACGGAAATATTTTAAATATTGAATGTAGATAGATTGCAAGTCTTCCTTCTAAGAGAACATTTATAAGTAAGAATCTATCTTTGCATTAGCATTTTCTTATTCTAAATGCCAGATTTCTGCGTTTTCAAGGAAAATCTCTTCGATATTAAGCTTAGAACTAGCAATAAAGGCATCTTCTAAATCGATATCTTAGAAAGGAATATCGAACTTGCTCAAATCAATATTACCAAAATTAATGTAAATGGCAATATCCTCATCTAAAATGAAGCTAATACCTGAATATTCTATTCTGATCAAATCTTTCATGTTTGGTGCAAATGGTTCCTAGTTGCTTGTAATCCATTTTGTTCCTTGTTGTGTTTTTAATTTTTTCCTTTAATTTGATTTTAAATGGAACATTCTTTAATCATCCATATAAAAGAAGAAGCTTTCTGCATTTGAAGTAGCCCTTAAATTTTTATTTGATTTGTCGAATACGCTATTCTGCTAAAGCTTATTATTAAAAAAAATTTTTCTTAATAAAAATTGCTAGCTTTAAAATAAAGAAATGATTTTTAAATAAAAATTTTATATTTAAAATTTACATTTTTGAAGCTTTCAATTTTATTCTTTACATAGACACCAAACTTAATATTTGTTCCCTAATAAGTACAGTTGAAAATAAATAAAGTTTAAGGTTCGTTTTCTAGAAGTGGGAGAGTCTTATCTATGCTTATTGTGGGGTTATCTCTGTCTATTTGCATAATTTTACGCCAGACACCTTTTATATCTTTATTTTATCCAGTTTTGATAAAAGAATTATAAAGATATTCTCTTTATCTTTCGTCAAGCAAATCAGTAGGTACTCTGCAATCTGTAAGAATTTAGTTTGCGTTTACTCCTTTTTTAGATATATCTTTCAAGTATGAGTTGAAATTTTACACAGAATTGATATCCCAAGTTTTATGTAAGCAGAAAGGAATGTATTGTGTATCGTTTGTTGTTAAGATAGGTACAATGATTGAATAAATAAAACTAAATTTGTTCTGATTTATCAAGAAAAGGAAGTCATCAAGTAAAGTCTAAGCGAATCTTTAATCAATTTTCTTTTTGCCTGATATAATAATCTTAATTAAAATAACAATACTTTAGATCAGTCTTGCATCGTCAGACCACTACTTTTTACCATCTCCAATAAAAGAAACATCAGAGAATTTAACTGTATCATATAGTCTTTTATCTAACTCTTCGCTGATCAGTATGTTAAGTATTTTAGCATCACTTTGACTGGCAAAAATAAGTAGCTAAATCATTTTTAAAACAAGCAATTGTTCATTTAACTTAAGAGCTTTGTCTACTGATTATAGGTAGCTTTCTAACTATGAAGTTATTTGCATAATATTTTATGCTAAAACAACACTCATTCTTAAAGGATTAGAAAAATAAGTTAAAATTAGAGTGTCAAAGACCAGATGAGTTGGTTCCATACCCATAACATCAATGAGCTAAGCTGAAATTGTATTCAAAATACCATCATCTTGATTTGTAAAAGGTTCGTTAGGGTTCAAACAAAAGACAAATACCTTCTTGATGTTATCAGTAAATGTAAACGAAATGCTTTCTGCATAGTCGTCTATCTTCAAAAGCAAATTTAAAAGAGTTTTGGTAAAGGGCTTATCAAAATCTAGCTTAAGTAAGATGGTCTTATCAATGAATTACTCCAAAGAACTGTATTAATAAATATACAAAAACCTGAAAGTAAATTCAATAAGCTCATTTAAATTATCAATGCCATTTTTATCAAATTTCCAAGACCCTCCATTGTGTAACAATTGAATTTATCTCTTTATTTCATTTAAAAGCTTTCCTATTCTTAAAAATATGAGTTGCATTTCCTCTTTGTTCAATAACAATGGTTCAATTTATTGTAAAAGGACTGCAATAGGCTTTGTGGCTTTGTGATCAGAAATTAAAAAATCTATTATATCTTGCTATTCTTTCACTGAAACCTTATTTTTAATTGTATTCTTTGCTGCTTATTCTAACTACCCTAATAATTTGAAGAAAATTTTAGATACTGTAATCCTAATGAGCTTTATCTTTTTTGTTAATTTAAGCTTATAGAAATGAAAAAAAAAGTAATTATTAGTTCCAAACCTTAAACAGCTGGTGTCTCCTCCTCCATTTAATGATTATAATCTTCCTCGTTATGTTATGGTTCCTCATCGTATCCATAATCGTCATTGTTTTCATCATAGTAGTAATCATCCTCATTACCCATATCCTCATTGTAATCGTAATCACCTTCAGACATTTCTCACTGACTTGCAATAAATTTTGTTTTTATCTAACTAATAAAATGATTGAATTGAAACTTTTTTAATTATTCCTAGTTAAAAAATGATAGGCAAATCTAGATACTAGCTTAAACAAATAGAATATCTCTTAAAATAAAATATATTACAATTACTTTTAAGTATTGACTTTTGTTTGCTAGTAGTTATCCCTATTTAGTTTTTATTTGTTCTTCTTTCCACAAATCTTTACTTAGTAATTATTAAATAGATAGACTCTTTTATAAATTATTATTTGTATTTCCCTTCTTATCTTATTTTTTTTTCTTTTCTGATAATAAAAATACTTGATGCATTTTATTAGGTTTTTAATTAAACTTTTTTATGTATATCAGATAATGATTAATTTTCTATAAGCAAATCATGATATTACCAATCAAAAAGATATCATTTTGTAATTTCAATATTAGTGCAACTTTCTTATAAAATACGATTGATTTTGTCTCAAACAAAATTTTTCAAAAAAAACATATTTTGCTTGTAATTTATTTTAAAAGAAATCGATTTTATACAAAATATTTTTATTTTGTATTATTTGAGCTTATGATTAAATAATTTAAAAGCTTTTTTTATAAGATTTAGTAATAATCTTAATGCATAAATAAATATGAGAAATAAATTGTATTTGAATCTAAGTGAATTAATCTATTTCACTTAAATAAAAATGAAGAAGTATTAGAAATTTTAGTAAATTTTAAAGGAGTGATCATAAAAATATAAAAATATACATTATAAAATTTAACCTTTGCACAAATAAATTGTTTTTCTTTTTATATAATCAAAAAACTTTTATTTAATGTTAAGAAAAATCATTGAGACTATGATTTATTGCTTATTCATTCGTCCTTCTTTTAGCTTTTCTTAATAGCTTCTTCTACAACTGAGTAAGGAACAGGTCCTAAGGTTCTAACACCAGAGGTAGTCAAACCAGCACGAACAACGGGGACACCTAAGGTTTGAGTTGAGAAGGCAGTGGGGACAGTTTAAACAAACTATGCAGTTGGAACGTTTTAAACAACAGTAGAAGCTCCTTGGACAACATGAGTAGCACCTTGGACGACTTGAGTGGCAGGGATAGTAGTGTGGACAACAGAAGCAGTAGGAACGAATTGTTATTATACTACAGGGACAGTGACTTGAGAAGATTAGAGGTAGGTGGTAGCAGGTTGGACAACGGTTTAAAGAACTTATTATTATTGTTAAACAGGTTGGTGAACTATTTGCTTTTGAATTGCTTGATATTCAACTCTTTCTTAGATTCTTTCAGTGGGAATGTATTCAATATATCTGTCTTAGTAAACTTGAGGAAGGTACTCAGTTTAATATTCAACGGCGTAGTAATCAGTGATTTTCTTTTCCTTGGGAACGTAATCAACTCTTTGAACGGCTTCATATTCGATCACAGATTTTTCATAAGGAATGTATTCAATTCTGGATTCACCCTTGACAACTTCTCTTTGAATTTAGGTTGCAACAAGGCCAGAAGCAACAGCTTGGGATTGAGAAAGGGCAGATTAATGAACTCCTTAAACAGTTTATTAGACATATTAAACTGGTTGCTAAACATATTATACGGGTTGAGTAACCAATTAAGATTAAATCAAAGGCTATTATTAGACGTATTAGCTAGTATAAGCAGGGTATTAGTAGACAGGCTTAGTTCCTTGTAAGACTTAAGCTTTTTCTTGTTCAGATTGGTTTTCGTTTGAGGACATTTTATTATTTTTTTAAAATAAAAGAAGAAAAATTTATATTTTTTATATGATTACGTTTTGTTTTTAATAAATTTTTATTATAAAAAGTTTTTGCGATAATTGCTTTTAATCTTCAAATTTGTTGCAATCCTTTTTCTTTTTGAATATCAATATTAATAAAAATTATGTAGGTAGGCTCAGCTAATTAATTTAGTTAGAATGTGATGTTAAAAAGATATTTATTATCATTTATCAATTATTAATAAAATCCACATTTATTTGAATTAGCTATTATTTATTTATTTTTTTTTGCAACTCTTCTTTTTTTGACAATAAATTTCTTTTGATTCTTAACCAACCTTTAGGTTTTTGTAAATCTGCTCAATTTTTTTTTAAGTGATTATAATTTTTATTTGTTTCTGAAGAACGCAAAATAAATTTTATTTAGAGCTGATTCTTCTTTAATTAATAGATCTTTCTTTATTTCTTTCCTTCTTTTTTCCACTATTATTTACAAAAGTTCTAAGTGGGCAAATTAATTATAATCAGTCAATAAATCTTAAATGAATAATATTTATGCACTTTTTCTACTATTGTTTAAAGATTTATTCCATTAAGTAACATGAAAAATTTTCTTTATTTTACTCAAATTTGTAAGATTAAAGTATTTGAAGATACTTTCCTTAAAATATTGATTTCCAAACAGATAACAAAGATATTATAGAAAAAACTCACAAAACGAATAAAGTAAAAAAATAAAATTTACTAGCTGACTATTTTAGATTTACTCCGACTGTGAAAACATTAATAAAACAAAATAAAAGATAGTACTTTAACTAATAAAAGGAAACAAACAAGCTAAAGTTAAAATAAAATTTTTTATTAGATTTGAAGACATTTATTTTATTTATTTAAAAAGATTAAGGGTTGGATATTTTATTTCAAATAAAATAATTTGATATGTTAGTATGTTAAAATTTAATTTTAATTGAATTTTTAATTAGGAATAAAATCTGAATATAAATCATTTATTTAGTAATATAAACTAGCTCTTAACCTTACTTCTATTTATACTAAGTTAAATTCTTTCATAGATTTTAAATATAATCATATTAAATGTTTGGCTTACAATATAAATGAATACATAAATCAATTTAAACCTCTCACCTAATTTTATTGATAAAATTAACAGTTCTAGATTCAATTATAATTTATTTTATAGGTAAGCTATAGAATGTTATTTAAAATTTATTAATCTTCTTTTTTTATTTAAATTTTATTTATATAAATTCTTATTTACTTTGGAAATTAAAAACTATTTTGTTGATCTTTTTTTATTTGTTTTCTAGTATTTAGTTTTTATTAAATAGAAAAAATATAATAATAAATTTGCATACTTTTTGAATTCAAACAATTGATTCTGGTATTATTTGAAAAAAGGATTATCATTTCTTTGGTTTAAATTAAGTAAATATTGCAAAAAAAAATATTTGATTTTACTATTTTTATTTTGATTTATACTAATAAGTAATGGTTGGTTGATATTTTAGAAATATGCCATACTAAATAAATGGATAGCATATAACTCGATTAAGTGTTAAATCTAAACTGGCAATCGTAGTAAGAGTGAACATTTCAACTTAAGCGCGATTATAAATGGCATTAAAGGCATGTGTTTATTGCTTCAAAATATAACTTTTATTTGGGATTTTATTTATTTAAATTTATTGTCCAGCTTCATAATTTAGTTAACAAACAAAGAAAGAACTCAGCAAAGAATAAAATAAAGAAACGATTTATTACAAACTTTAAATTTAAGAGAGTTTTTAGTTGGATAAGTGAAGACAGTTTAGATTGATTGCTAAATTACATGAATTCATATTACTGGAAGTTATGTATTATTATATATATATTTATATACGAATGAATGGATAATTGAATGCATGTATATATGTATGTATGCTGAATATTTAGTTATTTATTTATTAGAAAAATGAAACCAAAAAACCTTCAAAAATGTAGATATTATAATAAAAATAAAAATTTATGACTTATATTCATTTGCTTAAATGCTTTCACTCGAAGATTCTTTCAAGGAAAGTCTTTTCTTCCTTCTTAGCATTCTATTAAACAGGCTTTTAGGCGATGCTGTTGGTGAGGACAGTGGGACCTCTGTAAACGCTTTATCCGAGTTGAGCGGGGGTAGTGTAAACAACGCTTTGTTGGACGGGAGCATAAGCAAAAGATTAGTTTTGATAAGCAACTTATTGACCACCACTAATGACAGTTTGGGTAGGAGGGAGAACGTGAACTTGAGAAGAAGTTAATTGTTGAGCAACAGGGACTTGAGAGACAGAGCTCACGGGGACTTAAGAAACGTAAACTTAAGATACTTCTTGAGCGGGTTAGTGGACAACTTGCTTTTCAATGGCTTGATATTCAACTCTTTCTTGAACTCTTTCGGTGGGAACGTATTCAATATATCTGTCTTAGTAAACTTGAGGAATGTATTCAGTTTGATATTCAACAGCGTAGTAATCGGTGACCTTCTTTTCCTTGGGGACGTATTCGATTCTTTGGACAGCTTCGTATTCAATGACAGTCTTTTCGTAAGGGATATATTCGATTCTAGATTCACCCTTAACGACTTCTCTTTAGAGGGTAGTTTAGACGGGAACGCCAGAAACTTGGACACCAGATTAGTGGAGGACGGTGCCAGCACTGACTTATTAGGTAGCGCCCTAAATCAAAGTAGATCCTAAGAATTGAGTAGTAGGAACTTGACCATTGGTGTAGATGGGTTGAGCAACAACTTAAGATTATACCAAAGGTTATTGGACGTATTAGAAAGGATATTGCAAAACCTAAGTCTATACGGGGGGTTGTTATTATTGTTATAAGTTAGCTTGTTGTTGGGCTTGTTCAGGTTGGTCAGACATCTTAGTTATATTTGCTAAAAGTTAGAGATTGTTTGTTTCTTCTTTGAAGTTTTCTTTTTCTTTACGAAAGATTTTTTATTTATTAATTAATATTTATTATATAAAGTACTCAGATATCTCTTCCTTTTTGAAACCTTTCAATTAGCAGAAATAAATTTTATTTTCTTCAGCCAATCCATAATCTATCCATGAATTCTATAAATTTTATTCATTCATTTATGCATATAATTAAGCAAAAAAGCTATATTCACTCATTCATTCATTAATTCTTTCGCTCATTCTACTGAAACGTTTTCATTTTTATTCTTTCTTTGTTTTTTACCTCGCATGATTTTTTGTTAATACAAAATTGACTGCATTACTAATTAATTATTCATTTTTTCATTCTGATTTTTCAGTAATTTCAAGCTTAAAAACTATTAAATTAAATGATATCCTCTGTACAATATTTATTTATTAGTAAATTTCTCTCTATTTTTATTTAATGAATTTTGCTTTTGTATATGTATGTGGTTGCTTGACTTAACATGAATTTATTTAATAAAGATTTCAATTATTTTTTATTTTACTTCTACACTAAAGAAAGGACCAGCTCTCTTTAATTTAAAGTATTTTTTCCCAAAACCAATCGCTTCTTTTCTAGATTGTATTTATCAATTTTATTATATGATTGATTATCTTGCTTGTATTATTTTATTATTTTTGCTTACCAAAGTAAAAAGCAAGGTCTCATCCACTAAATATTAAATAATTTACTAAATAATAAAGTAGCGCAATTTATTTAGAACAATCTCTATAATACATACTATTTAATTAATCAAAATAGATCATTCTCAGTTATTTCTCTGTTAAAATCTTAGCTTAATTATATTGTTGTTCTCACAATATGCTCTAGCTGAAGCAACAACATTTTCTTTTTGCTTAAATATTTACAATAAACAATATCCATCCTCTTATGAAGTAAAAAAAATTTTAAGTTTTGTTTTTCATTAAAGATATGTTGAAAATAACAAGAACAAAATAAATTTTATATTCTTTTGAATAAAATTTCTATCAAAATAAATTAAATAAAATTTTAGGCTCAAGTAGAGCAAGTAAATGAGCACCTAAAATTATGTTATTTAATATTTGTTTGCTTAAAGTTTTAAATCATAGAATAACCATAAATCTTTATTTAAGATTATTTATATATGTCATTATGGATTTGCGATTATTTATTTTACCGAAATATTAGAAATCTTTAACTTACTGCTTACTTTAAAATAATATCCATTTTAGTTACAAATTTAATGAATGATAAACAAAATAAAAGAGTGCATATCCAATTAAACAAGCTTAACTATACTATTAGACATTCCATTACAAAAAGGCTATATACCATTCAATTTACCTAATCATATATTTTTTTGTTTATCAATTTACTTAATTTGTTAAATAAAATAAACATCTAAAAAATCTAAAAACATAATTTTTATTTTTCAAAGACTCTGCTTTTGCTTGAACCTCGAACGCTTGAAATTCAAAATTCTGAGCAATGATTTTTGTATTTTAGTATAGTAATACTACTTGAATTCAATCTTTTACCATAAAATTAAATACTTTACCCTAAATAAAACTTACTGGTTAATAACAAATAAAATTAAAAAAAAGATCAAGGTATTAAATAATAAAAAATATTTTTAAAGTTTTCTAATTCTTAATTTAAATTTTTGGAGTTTATAATTCTATTAAAAAGCATTTTTATTTTTACTTTAAATAAATGTGTCTAGAATTAGTTTGTTTATTTTCTGATAAAATTTTTTTTGATTTTACAAATAAAATAATATTCTAATAAATTTTAAAAAAGTAGTTTTGTAGATTTTTTAAAGAATATTTATTTATTAATTGATACATAAGCTTTTTAGGTTTTTTCAGAGCTATCTATCTAACTACATAAATATAAATATCTTAATAATTTTAATAAAATTATAAATCATTTCTGTAGAATCAAATAATAAAAATAATAAATACTTAATGTTTATCTAAATTAACACCCATCCATCTTATAAGTTTTTTGTTATAATTAAGATTTGGTTATTGAATTGCAATTAGCTTTTCGTGGAGTGGGTAGTGTGAATTAAATAGGATTTATAATTTCTAGTTTTAGGTAAATTAAATATTTATTTTTAATGAAAATTGGTAAAAGCTTTTATGAATTATTTGAATTTAAATAAGAAAAAATAATTATTGAATCATTTTATTTCTAAATAAACTATATTTTTCAATCTAAAATTATTTTTCTATTTATGAAATTAAAAAAATTAATTTTCAAAATTTATCACTTTGTTTTTATATAAAAGCTCCCAATAAACATAATTTTTTACTGGATCTGTCTTAATTTATTAATTTTTTTGAATGATAAAGTAAATAATAATTAAAATATAATATCAATATAATACATAAATTATTATTAAAGTTAGTATTTAAAACTAAATATTTAAAGATGAAGCCCATTACCAATAATTCCAAGTGAAAGCTTTCTATATGCAAAAATCATTGTAAGTTACTTATGGAGCCATTTAGAAAAGCTAAACAGCTTTATTGTAAGCAATATACTCGTCATTATATATGTATTTGCAAGGCCCGTATCTTAAACTTGTATGACAATGAAAATTAGTATTTAGTACAAATAAGAAAGTTTATAGCACGTTCTTATATTCTTAATCTCCTTCACTTAATTTACAATAAGAAAAGCTTCCTGGGTTAAAACCACATTAACACTATGTATTACCTGCATCTTAACCAGTAGAATCTACTAATTAACAGTCTGAATCAGTGGCACATGGAAGAGGTCTATTTGAGCTTTTAGAAGATAAGCCTTATGCACAATTTCCTTAGCTTACATATCCAGACGCGCATGCCCCTACAAACATATAAAATTTTATTAACTATTACTAAAACTTAAAAATTTTTACTGAAATTATCTGCAGCAATCCCATTGTCGAGAGAGTAGTAATAAGTACAACTTCCTTTACTGCAAACACAATTATTTTAACAATCATAATCACTGATACAAGCCTATAATACAATTAAATTAATAACTTCTATTTTTTTAATTGGAATTATATTCTACTTCATGTAGACTTTTGGTTATTTTGTTTTACAAATTAAATAACAAGTTTAAAATTGACGCTTAATAATTAACCTGAAAATTTTCTTCATTTGTAGATATAAAAATTTCAATCCAAATCTTTTCATTTTTACTTTTCAAAATTTTTATTTTATTATTTTACTGATTAAACTATTGTTATTCATGATCAATTGATAAAATATAATATTTACTTCACCAAACGGTACTTGTTCTTTGCATACTCCTGTATTAGAGCCTTGAGTAGATATTAAACAGTAGTTTCCTACATCACAATCTCTATGTTAAGTACATGCTTAGCCAACTGAACTACCAACACAGTAGCCACTCTAACAATTTTTTGATTAGCAGTCTGTATTTTATGAACAACTTTCTCCAGGTAATGTTTTTACTGGATCTGGATCTTTTTAACAATATGCAAACTTATTTACAAATGAAGACAAATTGCAACTATAACCATTAGGACATGGCCATAATTCAATTTATTTATTTTTATCATCAATTATTTAAGCACAAAGTGTAGATTCTATGCTAATAATTTGTGAACAAATATATCTCTTTCCTAGACAGATAGGGTTAGACTAAGCAAGTACAACTTTTAATGTAAAAAGCCAACAAAAGCAAAAAAGTTTTATTTGATTTATATTTTTCATTTTTTATTTATTTTGTAGTAATTAGTAACTCTAAACTAAACAAATACTTATATCTCTATAATTAGCATAGATTTTAATAAGAAGAAATATATTATTAATTAATTCATTGTTATTCTTTATTCATAAAACAAAACCAAAAACTAATAAATCTTGCATATTCAATAATGTATATATACAAAATAACTAATTATCAATGAATTTAATTATTCAATTATTTAACATTTATCAGATATTTATTTGGGCATAATTTCTTTTCTTTTTTTTGAATTTTATGAATGAGTTTTTAAATCTATTTTAGTTTGTAAATATTTATTAATGGTTTAAAGAAAAAACAAATCAGATAACATTTTATTAAAAAATTCATTTTTAGGTTATCTATATTGCCTATCTAAATATCTGTCTGTTTGTTTGTTTGATTGATTGTTTTATGTGTATCTTTGATACAAATAAAAAAGAAGTATGTCAAAAATATTATATAGAGATAGTAAATATATTAACAAATAATATTAGTTAGAATGCAAATAGTCATGAAAGTTGTATGAACTGCTTAGTTTTGATACCTACTAAAATGAATGAAAAAATAAATTAATAAATAGTTGCTTCATTCTATTTAGAAACTAAATCAAATATACAAGGAAAAAAGAAGAAAAAAATATAAGAAATAAAATAAGAATAAATAAATAGAAATCTTATTCAATTATCTTAGCGATTATATAAGGAATGGCTTTAAGAAGAGTATTAAAGAATCAATTCAATTTAATTCATAAGGGATAGGCTCAAGCTGTCAGAGGTGGACATGGTTGGGATAGACCTGATGTTCCCCTTAGCTTCAACCCTCTTTATGTTCATAAGCGTGAAGTATGATTGTTTATTAATACTAAGTATTTGTTTAGAAGCAGCGATCAATTAGTTTGATGCAATTAATTAAAAAATTTGAAATTGTGGATATTGATTGAATTTGAAAGTAAAGAATAGCAATATAGCAACATTTTAAATCTAAATAAAATATGATGAATTTATTACAGTTTAGAGATAACTTAAAATCAATTATTGTTTTAATTTAGTTTAAAATTGTTTTAAATTGCAAGAATATTTATTGATTTTTTACTAAAAATTAAGCTTTCTATCTTCGATACTAATATGTGGATGTACGATTAAGTCTATCCTGAATACGTAATTTCCTATAATGAAATTCATTTAGTTGATTAATGGAAAGGTCTCAAGGAGTCATTTTCTTAATCTGCCTACTGGTGGGCTATGATGGCTATGGTTTTTGGATTCTACTTCATTAACACTACTCCTAGAGTAATGCATTTGCAAAAAAATTAATTAGAATTTATATTTAAATGATGAAACAAACAAAGCAATAGGTTTAATTTGTTTAGCAATTCAAAATATGATAAATAATTAAAATTAGTGAGCTAGAATAAGCAAATTATAAATTGAAAATATTGTTTCTTCTTTGCAATAATAAGAAATAATTGATATGTTAGAATTAGTAAATAATATTTGATGAATAAATAAATAACTTTGAAGATCTTAATATATTCTATTCATAATATTTAACTAAAATTGCTTGAGCATTAAATAAATAAATATCTTTAAAAATCATATTGGACTAAAAATTATTTTTAAATATATTAAGTAACTTGGTATTGATACTAATGACTTAAAGGGTTTCCTTGGTGAATACTATGGTCAATACAAAAAGAGAAGTGGTATTAGATCCAATTTCCTTGGTTTAGGTAAGCTTTAATATAAATATTTTATTTGTTATTGAGTTGCTTATTTCTTATATTGTTTGTATTTATACCTATAATAATCTGAAAAACTAAATAAATAAAGATGTCACTGGTGAAAACTCCATCATCCAGCCCAATTATGACAGAAAGAATGGTATCAGAGATGTTATTGACTCTCTTAATGCTGATGCTGGAAAAAGAAAACTCATCAATTTAGAAGCTAAGAACTTTATTGAAAGAGTTGAAAAGGAATGTGAATAACGTATACTCAAGAAAGGTGGTGCTACTTAATCTCACCACTGATTGATTGATTAAGGTTTGCTCAAAACATATGAAATATTAAATTAAAATACTACCTTAATTTAGAAAAGTAGTAGTAAATAATATCTATTAAGTTTGTATTTGTCATGGTTTATAGGAAGTATAAATCTTAATCATTTTTATCTTAAATAGAAAACTTCAATCCCATTTCTTAATAAATTTGAAATAAACAAAAAAATTGATAAATGATCAAAATCTATTTTTAAAAGAATTATTTTGAATATTATTTTAAAAAATATAATTTATGCCAATAAAAAGTAATAAAAAGTGAATAATGAATTAAATTTTTTTAAAATAATAATTAATTATCATTCTAAAAATTAAATTAATCAGAAATTGATTTAATTTTGATAGTTTAGTTTAAATTCTAAAATACTTCTAAAGGATAACATTCACAACTAAATTAAACAAAATTATTTATGATAAATCACATTTGTTTTTGAATAGCATATTTATACTTATTTAAAGAGAAATTAATTTCAAGAAATATCTTTTTCTAATTTATTATTAAATAGAATATAGAGAAATTAATTTCAAGAAATATTTTTTTCTAATTTATTTAAATATAAATTAATATAACTTTAAATATTAAAATACTTAGAATATTATTTTTAAATAATAAATTTTATATATTTTTAATTGATAAAACATTATGATTAATAAGGTGTTATGGGTAAGATATATTTTATTTAAAGCCTATATAAGCAAATAAAAACTAATTTATATTATGAATATGTTTATTTTTTATCAAATATTTGAATCTCAGATTTTATAAGAATAATTCATTCAATCTTAATTTGCATTTGAACAATATCCAAGATAATAATATGGAAAAAATCATTGTAAAAAATTGTAATATTTGACAAAAAAATAATTTAGATAAACCTTAATTAGTATTTATTAGATCATAATTGAAATAATTAAATATGGTTATTCATTACTTAAAATTCTAAAATTCTATTTTTAAGAGATATTAAAAATGCATAAAATTGCATTGTGGTTTTGTTAAATTTAAAAAACATTTACTTATAAAAATAAATTTATTTCTTAATACTCTGACATTAATATTATAAAAAAGACCTTTAAAAAGTTAAAATTAAAACAATTTTTTGGTTTAAGAAATAGAGATTAATTTATATTATGAATATGTTTATTTTTTATCAAATATTTGAATCTCAGATTTTATAAGAATAATTCATTCAATCTTAATTTGCATTTGAACAATATCCAAGATAATAATATGGAAAAAATCATTGTAAAAAATTGTAATATTTGACAAAAAAATAATTTAGATAAACCTTAATTAGTATTTATTAGATCATAATTGAAATAATTAAATATGTTTATCCATTACTTAAAATTCTAAAATTCTATTTTTAAGAGATATTAAAAAATCATAAAATTGCATTGTGGTTTTGTTAAATTTAAAAAACATTTACTTATAAAAATAAATTTATTTCTTAATACTCTGACATTAATATTATAAAAAAGACCTTTAAAAAGTTAAAATTAAAACAATTTTTTGGTTTAAGAAATAGAGAGGAAATTATCATAATTTTATATTTAATATTATAGAATGTGTCTTTTTCATTTAAAAAATGAAACAAAGAGAATTCACCAGTTCAGTGCTAGAAAATTAGAATCGTTTATTTTAGAGCTAATCAGAAGAAAAAAAAGTAGAAGAAAATAATTTAAAATTACTTAATGATTGCGTCAAAAAGGGTAATTTTAAATTAAATTTTGATGAGTTTAATTAGTAATTAAAATTTATGAGCAAGATTTAGAAGTCAATTTTATAGCTTCTAGAATATAGAAAATTGTTAGCTTGAAGCACTAAACTTTTAGTTTTAAAAAATTTCCATAACCATTTAGGTTTAAATAATAATTAATAAATATAAAAATAAATAAATTAGCAAACTAAAATGTCAACAAAAGAATTCAGCCTTAGCTATGAATACTAAGAAGGAAAGTGGTAAGAAACTAAAGAGTCTTCTTGTTTTTCCTCACAAAGTTGCAACAAAAATCTTAAGATAGGAGCTTTTAATGTTTTATGGGGAAATTCTAATAAGTTTATCAACATGTTTAACAGAAACGAGCAAAGATTTAACTATATAATCAATAAGCTGATTCCTCAGACTGATCCAGATATACTCTCGCTATTAGAAGTTTCAGAATAATTTATGGAAATGCTTACTTCAAACTAGCATATTAGAAATAATTATTACTTGAGTCATGTTAAAAGAAAAAGAATTGACTATGTTCACGAAGTGGTAATGATATCCAAGCTTCCTTTTTCTTCTATTTTTATGAATGATGATGATTATGGTAGATGCATATTTAGTATTTTTACTGATTCAGTACCTTCCAATAGTTTTATGGTTTTAACAAGTCACTTCTGGGCTTATGAATAAGATTATGTAAGTAGAAGTAAGTAAATGGAGCTCATAGATTTATCAATACAAACTAACTCTTTTTTAGAAAATGTTAATCTTCCAGTTAAAATATAAAAGGCTGCTTTAGAAGCATCTCAGAAAAGCAATATTATATTGTAAGGTGATTTAAATTTACATTTAAAACACGAAGATTCGTTTATCTATAAATTTGGATTTGTAGATGTTTGGAGAGAAATTTATCCTCATGATGATGGTTATACTTGGGATGCTTAAAAAAACAAATTCGTAAAGAGTATTTACATTTTAGACAATAGAAGGATGAGATTAGATAGAATTTTACTAAGGTAAAATAGTCATCTCTTTAAAATCATAGATATTTAAATTAAAGCTCAGGAATCTATAGGGTTCAATTTATGCTGCAGTGATCATTACATGTTATTGTCTGAAATTTAAATAAACAAAGAGCCTAAAATGTACATTTAAAAGTATGATATCTCAAACATCCTTATGGAAAAAAAAACAGGTTTCAGATCCTTTCCAACAATAATTAAGTTGAGAATTTTACTTTTAATTTCCATACTTTTAGGGATTGTGATTACACCTTTTGGAGTTAATTTATTAAAAAGGAAATTAATGTAATATTGAAAGTGGATTTATTTAAATTAAAAATAATTAATTTTTTATTATATTTTGTTATTATTTTTACTAAAACTTATTTTTTGAAAAAAAAGTATTATATAAATATAAAAGATAAAATTAAATACATAATAAAATAGACATTTTAATCTAATTTATATATTTTAAAAACACAAAAAACAAAATATAAATTTAAAATTTTTGGATAATTGAAAGTTAAGGTTTCCTTATTAATTATCGAAATTAATTTAATTAAAAAATTTAATATCAGTAATACAATCTACTAATATAAATAAATTCATCAACAGGTACTGAAAAAAATGAAAATGAAAAAAGTATTAATAATATTAATTGGTATTAAATAAAAAGACCTTACTTTATCTACCATTTTACTAGCTTAACTTTGATTAAATATAATTTAGTCTATTGATTTTTAACCAAATTAGTATTGCATAAATTTTAAAATGATTTAATTTCAACAAATATAAATGAATTGCATCTTATTTTATTATTACCTTTAAAAATAGCCTAAAAATAAATTATTTTATCAAATTATTTTTGAAATTAAATAATAATATACATACAGTCGTAATTATTTTAATTTAAGAAGACAATCAGATTATATTCTTTAATCTGTATATAAATCAAATTCATTAATTTTAATCTATAAATCATATAATTAAATCTTGTCCTTAAAATATAAATGGTCAGTAAAAATTAATTTTAATTTAAAAAAAGCAATATTGTCTTTTCATCAAAGTTTATTATAATTTATTATAATTTTGTATTGAAATTAGGATTAATTGCATGGTTCTTTTTATATTTATTACTTTAAAATTCATTTAATTTTTTTTTAAGTATAAAAAAATATAAAAAAACTATTTAGTGACTTAAAAAAGTCAAGAATATATTACTATTTACAAATATAGAGAGATAAAAAACTAAAATTTATTGAATTGTAAAACAAACGATGAAAAAATTAACATTGTAATTCTAATCCAAAGCCTTAGAAGAAAAATATTAGCAATATATTGAATAAGTTTATATCCCAAAGCTTAGCAACTTCCTCAATTATGTTTTAATAGTTATAGTTGTACCTTGCATCATAATGGATTTATATTACAGCTAAAATCTAGGAGCGTCTTTATATATATTAACAGCACTCTCAATTGTAATATATAAGATTTTGTTAAAAAAATGCAGACAATTTTATGATATATACATATTTTTCATGGAATTTGGTACATAAGTGCTTATGGGATGTAGAATCTATATTGATGGTCCCACTTTAGACAATTTTGATGTCTATCGACTTTTTTTTTTTGGAGCTTCTATGATCTAAATTTAGTTCATCATGCACAGTATAAGTTAAAACCTTATATTTCCGTTAATTACAACTATGACTCAATTGATCATGTAAATAAAAAATATTATTTTATTCCTTTTTTAAATTGAATGTATTTCTAAAAAACCAAAGTAGAACTAATTAATTTCTTATAAAATCATGTATAATAATTAGATTTATTACAGTCACTTGGAATGTTTCGATGTATGACTATAAATTCACCTATATTATATTCACTTTACTCACAGCTTACTTTTTACACCATAATTTAAAAGAAAAAAAAGAGATATTTATGTTTAGAGAGCAATAAAAGCAATGGATTAAAATTTTAAAAAATGGAATATCTCAAAAAATAATAACGATCCAATATGATTAAAAGTAAAACGAATTAACTTTAAATGTGATCAATAAAAATGCAACAGAGAGGTTTAAAATTTATAATGAAAAAGATTTCAAGGTATTTTCTAGAAGAGTTCATCTATTTAAAAAAGAAATAGAAGCTTATGAAGATTATGATAAGAAGTAAGTAAATAGAGAATCTAAAATTCATGGTGGTAGCTCAATAAAAAATACAACTTTAGAAAGCAGAATTATTTAGTTTATGAAACAAAATATAAACAATTCAAAAAAAAAAGATTCTCTCAAATCTATTTAATCATAGAGTATAATATCTAAATTAAGCAGTGATGCTCCATTTAAAAAAATGAGTTAAGACTGTTCTTAAAAATAAGTATCTATGAATAGCATTAAGCAAGCTGAATACCAAGCTATTATTTAATCTGAAAAATAAAAGCCAGAAGTTTATAAAATTAAAATGTCCTATTTTTTAAATGAAGGATACCATCAGTGTTACATAATCTTTGAATAATAGTCTGAAGAAGATATTATTAAAAATGTTATTGACTCTAAAAAAAAAATCGAGCTAAGATTCATAAACATATGCTAGCAATTAGGTAAGTTTTCATTCAATCATTAAAAAATTTTGATAAACTAAATAAAGTATGCAATATTTCATTCAACCCTTTCTTATCAACTAATTAACAATGATTTAGTTCAAAATTTTCCTTTGCAAGCCAATCAAATTTTTAAGTTACCAAAATTTCTAAATGTATTATTATTTAATTTATTAAATAAAAAAGTTTGTTTAAAAAATATTAGCGAAAAGCCTCTCTAAAATTAATTTAAATTATTTAGAAAACACCTTAATAATACCCAATTTTTTCTTATTTACTTCTAATTCCCCTTATAATAATTTAAAAATAACATAAATTATTTACTTTTTAACAAGATAGCAAAATAATGTTTGAATCAATTTTTTTTTAAAAATAGGAATCTATAACTAGTTCATGCAGAAAAATATACATAGCTTAAACTTTCTAAAATAATATTTATTTCTAAGTTAAAACAAACTAAAGAATATTTGTGATTATTATTTTTATGTTAACAAGGGCTATGAAATAAGTTAAAGCGTAAAGTAGAGTTAGATAAAGCATTTTTCTTTATATTAGTTAAATAATATAATAAAAGAAACATTTTGGTAGATTTAAGAAAAAATAAGTTTTCATTATGTAAATTGTGATAATGAATATATTATTGTATCTTATTTGCAAAAATGCTTACAGATTTTAATCAATTTTATTCAAAACAGTTACACTAAAGAGTTAATAGATAAAAATATTTAGAATATTGAATATTTGGAATAATAAGAAGACAGTATTTCCCAAAGTAATCAAAATATTAAGCAATGTGAGTTAAGCCAAGCTTTTACATAAAATACAGAATCAAGCCCTAAAAAAATTTTTTTAAAAATAAAATCAAATGAAAATTTATTAAATAATGAGAGCATTTTCTAAAAAGATTAAAGCTTGTAAATGCATATGCATAAAAAAAACTCAAAAACTAATTAACTTGATAGTGCATCTAATTAAACTTCCGAATTTCCTATTTCATGTATTAAATCTCCTTAACTAAGTAACTCAAATCATAGAAACTCAATCAAATCATAGAATTTAAGAATAAAATTCAAATTATTTTTAGGTGAAAACACTAAATCTAATGTTCTTAAAATAACAGTTTCTGACAAAAGTGGAGGAATAAATCCTTAAAATTTATTATTAATTTTAAAGGATATGTCTTTCTAAAAGTACAATAAAAATTTAGAAAATTTTGTTTACTAAAATCTAGGATGGAAAATCAGTATGCATAACATAGGATTGATAGGGCCTTATTCTGATTTTTTTATATCTCCCAAAACTACTCAAGTAAATTTCATATGAAAATTGATAACTAAATAATTTTATTTTTAAATTAAAAATAGGGACTTAAGATTTCATTTTATGTTTATAGTGATATAAATATAATATTCTAGTAAGACAATAGAATTGTTTTTTCAAACTAAAATTTCTTCGAGGACTATTAACGTTTAAAATCAACTTATTATCACAAAGACTCAAAATAATTAATCAAAATGTTTCCACTAAAGGATAAAAATTATTTAGAAGAAGATTAATTAAAACTTCCTAAATGAAATAACTAAATAATTCATTTAATGGATAAAAATTATTTTATGCTTACTTTAAAATAAATTAATTAAAAAAAATATTTCATTTTTAAAGAATACATATTTGTATGTGTCTATTTACTAATATCAATCTTTATCAAAAATTATTCCATTTTTCATTTAAAAATTTGCCCAATATATTAAGTGTGCCAAATAAATAACTAACTGTCTAATATATACATGATATTCTGTATACCATTTAACCAGAAATAATGAAAATAATTTTTAATTATCATTCAAATTAATAAATTATTTACTAATTAGAAGATGAAATTTGTTTTAAAATTACATATTTAAAAATGGTAATAAATACATTTAATATCGAAGTTATTGTAATTATCTTTATGATTAAGATTGAGAAATAGATTTAATTATGTTTTCAATTTTTGGTTATTTTTAATAGAAAATGCTTTTTTTAAAAAAAGGTCAAAAAATAAGGGAAGAGATATTTGTTGACTTATTTTTGATAAAAGATTACAAAACAAAATTGATTTTAACTTTTAAAGTGGTAGGATAATAAGCAAGATAATTTTAAGCTAAAAAGATTTTCAGTAGATTGTGTTTTTGATAATAAATATGAACAAGTATTCCCTTCGCTTTGAATCTTCTTCTCTTGAACATAAATTTTAAGAAGAGGTTAGAAAAGTTTATAGTAAGACATTTCTTACTATCTTAAAGTCTTACATATTTTTGGTTGCCCTGCCCTGCATCATAATATCAATCATTAACTTTAACTTATCTAACTTATTAGTTTTCAGTTTTGGATTTACTGCTTGCAGTTTAAACTATTTTACTTCAAAAAAATTTCCTAAATATTACAATATACTAACTAATTCGCTTAGTTTTTGCGTACCTATGGCTTTGTGCTCCTAAGTTATTCTTTTTGGTTAATCCACTGGTGTTAAGGATGTATATTTTCTTTTCTTCTTTGGTGCTTGTGGAGTTTAAATCTAAGTTACTATCGCATTTTTGAGTGCTAATTTTTTAATGACGTTCACTTAAATGGTTTGTTCAATCATTTTGTAATTTTTTTTTAATAAAAATTAAAATTTTTAATTATTAATGGTCTTTTAAACATTGAGGACATATTTGAGTATATATAATTAATTATTGAATGTTATTTAATTAATAATTTACTGAAGTCTCAGCTTATTAATTTGCAAACAATTTTTTTCATCATTTTAATTACATTTTTTTATAAAAAGATATTACTATACTTTTTGGAATAACCAAATTTACGCCTACAAATACGAATTCGGCATATTCTAATTTTTTATCATCTATGTGCTGTATATTGTGTAGAAAAATAGGAGAGAAGTTTTCTTGCATTAAAATTCAGAAAAAGAGTGGTTGTTTATTGTTAAAAAATTGCTATCATAAAGTATAATGACTATTAAATACGATAAAAAAAATAATTTTATAAATTTGGAGATGATAAATGACCAAGCTAAAAACTTACTAATGATAAATAATGAGGAATAATTCAAATAATTTACTCGATAGACTTTAATTTAGGATAAATTTTCAGAGTTTTAATATAATAAATAGATAGCAGAGCTTTCAAATGACAGAAACGAAAATGTAACACCTATTAATTAAAATACTAATTGCTTTTCAAAAAATACTCTTGAAAATAGAATTATAAAAATTTTGAAATAATACATTTTAAACAAGATAAAATTAGATTCACAAAACAAAGTAAAAAAAAATCATTACGATTAAAATAGATTTAACAGTAAATCATAACAAAACTATTCAGTTAACAATAATTAAACAAAAGACTTAGATTTTTTTTAAGACTTATGTCACGGAAATTATAAAAAAAATGATGAATCAGAAGAGATGAAGTTGTAAATAAAAATACAAGCATATTAGCATTAAACAGATTATTTTTGTTGTCTTGTAATCGAAGAAGAAACATTACAGCATAAAATTAAATCTCTTGAAATCCTAAATAAGTCACATTTAAACAGCTTTTTTAGCTTCTTCATTTAAACGGGTAAATATTTTAAAAAATATTGAATTAAATTTGTTTACTTTTTTAATAAATAGAAATTTATTTAACCATCATTTTTTATTTTTGATTATGGATTAAAATTTTTAATTAAATTCATTGTTTTATTTCAAATAGTATTTACTAATTTACCACTTTATAATTTTTTGAATTTTTAAAGATGAATTTTTTTATTTAAATTGTTTAAAATGAAAAAAAATTTTCCAAAAAAAGGTAGAAAATTAGAAGACATTCTTATTAACATTAAAAATGAGTAATTTGTTAAGGCTGTAATTGCTTAGTGCTTTAATGGCATGAACAATTTCAAGGACTATGCCTATATTTAAAAAAATTAATTCAAATTAAATATTGAAAAGTTATAGGTGTAGTAAATATAACTTGAAGAATTTAAAAATCAAATCTTATAAAAATTTAATAACTATTATAAATAAATTGAAATTAAAATTTAATTCATAGGATGCAATTCTACTGAAGTAATTACCACTTATGTTGATAAGTTTTAGCAATTGATAACTAACTTACTTGAAAATTCAATTTAATCTTAACTATAACCATTCACTTATACTAATACTTAATTAAAAAATCATATTAGACATACTTAGAAAAGCAGATAATTTACAGTAAATTCTTTGTTATTCAAAGATAATATAAATAAATCTAATTAAGAAACTAGTTTGATAAAAATAGACTCAAGTTCAAAGCAGAATCTTAATTTTGTGTATTATGAGAAAAGATTTAGCAATTAAAAAGAAATTTTAGATAAGTAAAATCATAAATGCATTGAGTTACAAAAAATCGAGTAAGATAATTTTGATACAAGTGTTTAAAATAAATAAATTATCTTGTCAATTGAACTGCTAAAGGGCGAATCTAAATTATTTAATATATTCAAGGTATCGGTACATGATAACCGAATAGGTATTACTTAAGAAAAATTGCTAGAAATTTTAGATGCATTAGGAATCTAAAATACTGGTTCTAATTTACATTAAAAAAGCTTTAATTTTCTTGAATGGAAAATAAATTATCATATCATTGGAAATATAGGGCCTTTTTACAATTTTTATGTATAAAATACTCTGAATAATGTAAGTTTTTCATATTATAAATTTTTAAATAATAAATTTTAATATTTAAAATAGGGATATGAATATCATTTTTATATGTATTAAGATATTAGTATACTAAATAATAGTGCTTTATAAGAATAAAGATAATTTTAAAACAACCAATTTACTGAAAGTTTAAACAAATCTAATGAGTAATTCTTTCACTTAAATAATATAAATAAATTGTATAATGAAATTTGTTAATAAAATAACCATTTTAATGAGGAATCTCTTTAAAAATTTAATGCTAGTCCTTTTCTTAACTTTAATAATTAATTTTCATTAAGCAAATGCTTGGGAAAGTGCAATGAATTTAATAATAATACTGAAACTTAGTTAGATTAAGACGAATCAACTTCAGCATTTTCCAGAAAAAATACCTTACAATAATTTGTTACTCATTATAAAGATTTTAGCTATCCTTATTCTAAAAAACTTATTTCTGATATAAATAAAAACTGAAAGCTTCAACAAATAATTTTCATTTAAATAATTATCTTATTTTATATCTTACTATCTTTATATACATATATATATAGTGTAATAAAAAAACAAAGTTTTTACTCACTAGTGAGTAAATATTTAAAATTTTCAACATATATATAGCATGTAACTTAATTATTTGGATAAATTTTGTAATTTTAGTTATGTATACAATTACGGTAAAGGTGTTTCATTTTGGTATATATTATCAGTAACTACATTCAATAATATAACTACTAATTTCAATTATAGATATAATAATGAAATTCTATTTGAAAAATATACTTTTTGAATTTTAATTTTTAGGCAGATTTTTGAAATTAAATTGTTTATTTAAAAGATTAAGAAAAAGACTTTGAAAATGGTTTTTAACCCAAAAATATATTAAAAGACAAAATATTTAGTTGTGTATGTATCATAGAGTAACAACAATTGCAACAAAGATTTCTAAGTGACTCACAATCCCTCTATCAATAATTTATGATTGGATTTCCAAAATTAAATAAGACATTGATATTTTTCAAGAGAGAAATAGCTGCTGATAATCTAAAGACAGAATTTCAATTAGAAAGTAGCTTATTAAAAAATTGGGATAAATATACATCTCCAGAAATTTTAATACTATTTTCAATTGGCTACCTGATCACCATAATTAGGTAATATTGAATGCAGGAGAGAGAACATCTTATTGTTAATATCATACAAATTTTATAACTACTTATAAAGCTAAAATTATATTATATTTTGGTTCCAGTCATTTATTTTACATATTGTAGTATTCCAATTTATATATTTAAAAATTATTTTTTAACATAACATTTTTTCCATATATTTATGATTTTTCTCTGTAATAACAAAGACTTAATCAATTATACTAATTATCTGTTTTAACAATATATTGACTATTTTCTATCATAAAAAATACATTATTTCTTTTATCGCTAAATTTGTTCCAACAAAAACAAAAATATAATATATATAATAGATATAAAGATATTAGATATAATAATATATTGATATGTTATGATAATATTCTTTATAAAATAGTTTTTTAATTTATCAGTATTAATTATCATTTTCTATAAAGAAGAAAAGCTTATTAAATCTATTAAATCACTTTGATTGATCACTCACCTTTTAAGGAAAAGACACTTTTATTTTTAAATTTAAATAAGTTCATAAAATGTCTCATAAAATTAACCTTTAAATTGTATCTTAAATCTTTAAAAAATAATAAATTTTTAAGATTAATTTGTTTTGAACTTATTTAGCAACTAAAGTTAACACTAAAATGTTTATAAAAGAAATAAAAGCAGAAATAACAAAAAAATCAAATCCAAACATGATAAAGAATGAGGATATTTTTTTGTTAGAGTTTTCTTCGGATTAACCACTAATAACTGCTAATAAAATGTAGTAGTAAAGAGCAAGTAAAGATAACATAATAAATGATGAAATTACTCTTCCTACTTTTCTTAGCTTATACAAAGTTTAAATTAATATTATACTAATGACTATAATTAAAGTATTTATAATAGAAACTATGATCATCTATACTTCATCATATTACTAATCAAATATTGTTGATATGCTTAGGGAATGCACTATTCTCAAATAAAAAATTGTAAATCTCAAAGTCCTAGGGAGTTATTCATCGTGTATGAAGAAAATGCTAAAGAAATAATGAAAAACTAAGATTCTTTTAATAAAAGATACTTTGAGTAGCTTTTAATATATTTCTCTAATTTTTAAGGTTATATTATCTTCTTCTTTAATAATTTTATCTTCTTTTATGATTTAGTCTTCATATTAATTTTGATTTAAATTTTCTTGATTTTAATTATTATTTTAAGTTTCTAATTTATTTTCAGAATCATTTTACTACAACTTTTAATTACTATTGTTCTCAAAAACATTTTGATTAATTTTATCATAATTTATTTTTTCTGAATTTTATTTATTTAGTTCTGCTTATTATTATGCTTGCTTTATTGAATAAAATATATTTCTTGAATCTTAAGGAATATTCCAATTCATTATATAATTCGTATCTTTATCTAATTAATTTTACACTTTTGATTAATCTAGAATTAAATCTTATTAAATCAATTATTCTACATTTTGTTTGAGCATTGGTGATTATGTAAATAATTAAGGTGATTATTGTTATTAATATTAGTTAGATTATTATTATTATTATGATTATGATTATGATGATGATTATTATTATTATTATTATTATTAAACTTCTTTTATCTACTAGGGTAGTGGATAGATAATATGTGGCTATGAAGATTCATGTTAGATATTAAATTACTTTTTATCTAGTGTTTTACCAATATAACACAGTCCTATTTGCAATAAAGTAAGAAAACTTAAAATCCAGAAGATTGCGTATTCATAAAAATCTGTGAAATGAGTTATATTATATAACCCCTAAGAACCAAACGCTGTTTGTAGATTTTTATTGTTTAAAACACTTTATAAATCCTCAGCGATAGTTGTTGGTTTTTAGTCTTAGCAAAAGCAATAATATCCTCCAATCTGTTTAGAATTAACAATTTCGCAATTCTTTGATGACCAACTAGATTAAGCATCTTGTTATTGAATACAACTAAGATTATACTTAGATTTTTATATGTTAGGAAAAGAAAGTTGGAATGTTTTATTTTAGTTTAAATTTGTTTTGTTACTAATATTTTGAATTAAAGGCTTTATTACGGGATTCATTGATATTTATATATCAGGAGTGATATTTTTAAGCTAATTCACATAGCTCTAAAAACCATTTGTTTACACATAAGGGTTTTAAGAATAATTTGTCATAACTATATTGTAAATACTTTAATCGTTTTACTGAGATTAATTATCATCAAAAAAGTATTTTTGAAGGTTTTTAGAAGTAATTTTCTCACAATTCAAAGAAATTAGATTACCTTAAAGCTAAAATTGTCCTGAATTAGGAAGAGATATAGAATTAAGTAAATTACCAATTTAATCTGATACATTCATTTAAGATTGTAAAATATTGTAAGAAGTATTTATTGTATCAACACTCTTTGTTGTAGCATTGAAAATTTTATAGGAATCAATTATATTTTGAAGAACAATATCATTATTTGCCAATAGTTTGTTATTTATACTATTAGCAATAAGTTATTACTGATTTTATAAAACTGAGTCTATTTGATTTAAAACATTTTAATTTTATTAATCATCAGAATTCATTAAAGTTGATTAGAGCTATGATATAACTTTGCTAGCGAATGTTGATAAAAATGATGAGCTTGGTAATTAATTAGACAAATTAAATATAGTTGATATTAATATTATCTTTCTTTAATTTACAGATGCAAGTGTGTAAAGACTGTTGCTTTTCGATATTTCTTCTGCTATAACACATAAATCAAGGATACTATTTTTTACTGGCAAAGTATTTATATTTTTAATAGATTAATCAATAGTATTCAACAATAATTATTCATTTTATTAATAAGGAAGAACATTTAGCTATATTGTTGAATTGAAAACAGCTAAATATGAGTCCATAGCCTAACCAATTATTAATAAATTTCCAGATGGAAGTATAGTTGTTATTTAATGGGATATACTTTAATCTTAAATTTACCTTCTCAAAATATTTTATGGTTTTTAAATCTCTGATTCTTTATCACTGATTTGGTTATAATAAAAAAATTAGTAGGTGAGAGGATTATTACTTGTAGTACATCCAGTGAATAAAATTGTAAATTTAGTTTGAAGAGCTATTCCATTCAAAGGACTTACAGAAAAAGAACATTTTTAAGGTGGTAAATTAATGTTGAAATTGGTAACACTTAAACTTGGCATTATATTAGCAGGATTATAAACAGTAAATCTAATTTAAACAATAAGATTATCTTAATTCAAGTTTGAAAAATAATCCCAAATTCTCAATTTGACTTTATAATAGTCGAACTTTATAATTCCTACAACGTTATTGTTATATAAAACAGCGCCTGCGTATGTGAGAATATCTGAGGATACATTTGAACCATAAAGAAGTGTTGCAGATATATTGTCATTGATATTAACTTACTAAAGTTAGGTTGGATCATCAAACTAAATATATAAGGGAGGAATATCTATCTCTGTAAATATTAATAGAGCTGTTTGTTTAGAAATTCTAGTATCTTTCTTACCAGTGAGAGTAAATTGCAAGCATTGGTAAGGATTGAAAGTTCCTCCTGCAATAGTGACATTTAATACATTTTATGGTGGAACATACACTTAATTTAAGTAGTCATAACACTATAAATTTCCATTAGATTATCCTAAAATTTAGCATTACCATGTTAATTATATTCCCTATGGTGATGTGACATCTTAAACTTCATAATCTATAGCTAATCCTGTTATAACATATTCTTTTTTATAATTCACTAACCCATCTAAACCACTAGTGATAGCTATAAACAAATTAGATAATTCAGGAGTTATTGAAACATTTTAAGATGAGCTAATAGATTGATTGCTATCTAGTAAAGCTTAAACCTATTAATATAGTAGTTTAATATTAAAATCATAAATAAAAATATTACTTAAATGTCTAATATAGTGCCTTAAGGTATTGAATAAGATTTAACATTTACTTCTATTTACTATCCTATAAATTTATTTTAAGTTTAACTAAGAGAAGGCATATTATTAGAGATAACTTGGATATTCAAAGGTTCTTAAGTAATGCTAGCTCCTGACTGATCACATATTTACACAAAAAAAGAAAAAATAAATTGAAGGTCCATATATCTTTTTTATATTTTTATTTGAATAAAAATGTATTACATATTTATAATTATCTTTACTTTTTGCTTAATATTTAAAAAAAATTACACAATAAAAGAAGAATAAAACAAAAATAATGTTCATATAGAGATTGTAATTTCTCATCTTTAACATCAATTCAAAAAAAAATTTTTTTTAAATTTGGGTTTTAAGTACTTAATAAAAAAATATTTTTAAAAAATAATTTAGATTTGTTTTTTACCTGTATATAGGAGGGTATTTATTTTAGATACTTTAAATAATCACTTATTTACTTTTTTAGTTTAATGTTGTAAAAGTTAATGTGTTAGTCTAATAAACTTTCAATATGTATTATAAGTTAATTGAAATAGAAGTATCTGGAGGTATTGTATATTTGCTTATCAATAATGTTTAGCTTTGTTAATCATTAGCTGTTTGTATTAACGAGTTTAAATTTTTCAGAGTTAAATCATCAAAGTTCTAAGATGGAGTAAGACTCCACTAAAACTAAAGGAAACCTCTTTGTGCATCATTTTAAATGGTTTAAATCTCAAATAAAATATCATCACATGAATTAACAATTTTATTATATTAAACATTCACTGAAGGAGATGCTACTAGCTGCTATACCACTTAAGTTAAATAAATAGTATCAATTGGATTTTAATATCCTTAGAATTGAAGAATATTAGCTTAAGTATTAAAACTAATTGTTGAATTTGCCATAATTGTAGCATCATTACCTATTAATTAATTTTTCAAAAAATTAATTATTTTAATAAAAATTAAATTGTTATATTTACTAAGAGTAACTATTATTTAAGTTGAGGTAATCTTGCAAATTGAATTTGAACCTAATAAGTTTAAAGTAGATGAATCAAATACTTAATTGCATGATAAATTGTTAATTAGAATTAGAGGTGATCCAAACTCGAGTATCAAAGTAGGAGAGCTACCATCGAAAGTTGCTTAAACAACAGCATAATTATTATAACTGCATTAGTAAAAGTTATTTCTTTAATCTTGGTTATTTTTACATACACATGTGCTCCCATTTAAGTTCATTGTTTAATAACAATCCAAGCAATTGTTTGTTTGATCTTTTTAGCAAGATCTGCAAGTAGCAGCACAGTTTAAACAAGCCTAAGAACTTAACTGAAGGCATATTTAGCACTAATTTTATTTAAGGTTATAACCATTTGGACATATTTAATAGCATCTAAAAGTTTAATCTGTTGGTGAAGAATATAAAGGAAAATATCCATTTGAGCATTAAGTGCAGTTTTATGAATTACCAGTGCATGTCTAGCAAGACTAATCACACTATTAGCACTAATTACTATTTAAAAAATAATTATTAGGGCACGTTTAAAAGCATTAGTAGACACTCTGCTACTATCCAGTAATAAGTGGATAATAGCTGTTAGCACACACAATGCAACTTTTTGAGTCACCAGTACAATTCGAACAAGATTAGTCACATTATTAGCATTGCTAGTTACTATTAATAAAATAGTTATTTATGCAAGAAGTACAATTAACTGAGGTACCAAAACAAGTTAAACATGATGGGTCACATAACTAGCAATTTTACTCAGTAGAATTAATATCAATTGCTACATATTAATTTGAGTTACAATTAACATAACAATAATTATTTTTTAGAGTATAGTTTGTTATACAAGCTGAACAAATTCCGCTATTAGTACATTGTGAACAACCTATTGGGCACTATTTATTATATAATTAAAAAAATAATATACTTTTAATTAATAGCAATTAAGATATTAATTTAATTTGATAATATTGATTATAAATTTTGAATGAAGAGTTTTCTTTTCATTTTTGAATAGAAAACCTATTCACTAGTTAGATAGTAGGCTTTTCATTCAAAAATGAATGAGCTTTAACTTATATTTTCAATATTCATTATTTTTAATTTTTTATTTAAATGTGTTTGCTCCTTTTGGAAATTATTTTTATAATTAATATTAGAATTACTCTATTTTTCAAATTTTGGAGTTTTACTATTTTAATTTTTATTGTTTAAATAATGATTTTTATTATTTTAAAATTTTTAACGCATAAGAAAAATTAATTAATGTTTTTTATGAATTGGAAGTTTTTTTAAAAAATATGTAAAAAGAGCTAAAGTTATATTGTTACGATTCAATTTAATATCCATATTAACAGTTTAGTAATAATTTATTTTTCAAAAATTTGGCCATTTTTATTACGTTAATATATGAGGGAAGGATTGTATTTATTTATAAAATGGCCAAATCTTAAAAAAAAAGTAAAAAATATCTGTTTATTATTTTTTTTTTTTTGAATACATTTTCTATGATTTAACAAAATTTTATTTTTATTAAAAAAATATAAGAAATTTATTAATAAAGTAATGATTTGTTTTTTGAAATATGAATTGGTTACTTTAAATTCTATGAAGAAATGCAAATAGAAAATTAAGAATCAAAGAAAATTCTAAAACTTTATTCAAGTAAATTTCAAAGAAGAAATATATTAATAAAGATAATTATTATTTAAGAATTAAATTAAGGATATTACTTTAAAATAGATCATAACTTAAATATTGGATACTATACCAGGAAGGCTACCAGGATGAATATATGTTTAAAAGTGAAAGTATGTAGTATCAGTTGAGAAAGAAATTAGTTAATTTTCAGAATACTTATAATAATTGCTCAGGCATTTCTATTAAGAATTTTATTAACTAACTGGATCTTCTTAATTTAAGTATGAATTTCCGTTTTTAGGTTTGACTACTATACCTACTGCGCTAGGATAGTTTCCATTTTATACGTAGAAATTACTATCGAAACTTATTTAAGCATAAGCTAACATCTATCCTGATTTGCCATTAAAATCAAATATAACATCATTATATGATTTTTCAGGGTTAGGATTTTTCAAACTTTATTCGTTGCAGTCATCTAAAGTAAATAGTGTTTCAACCAATTCGAAATGGTCATTAGTAATGTATATTTTACTAACAGAATCAGCAATGATATTATTTTCTGAGTCTAATATACACTAATACCCTTTATAATTTAAAAATATCATTATTAATGATTAAAATCTACTAAGCTAATACCTTAATAACTTTTAGGTGTTGGGAGCTATTAAAGCAATTTTTTACAAACTTAAGCTTTAACACTAATCCTAAGCATTAGCATTAGTCCAAATAACAAGCCTAGAAATTTAATTTAGGCTAAGCCATAGAGGAAAATCTAATAAATAGCCATTTTTAAACTATAATTATATTTTTAGAAATGGATCTTTTCAGTTTACTTAGTTTTAATCTATTTTTTTGTTTTTTTTCTAAATTAATTAATTTGATATTAAGAACTAATTAGTTTTTTTTTCTCAATAAAACTTAAAGAAAATAATACACTCAAACACATTTATTTCCAAACACTAACATATAAAAAACGAAGAAAATATACACATTAATTAATAGTAAATCTTTTTTAATAATGTATTTTATTAAATTATCCATTCTGAAATTAAAATTTTCTACATAAAAAATTAATGATTGTTTGATTTACATAATTTAAGTTCTTCTTATGACTAGGCTAAGCCATAGAGGAAAATCTAATAAATAGTCATTTTTAAACAATACTTATATTTTTAGAAATTTATTGATCTCTTTTCAATTTACTTAGTTTTAATCTATTTTTTTGTTTTTTTCAAAATTAATTAATTTGATATTGAGAACTAATTAATTTTTTTTTTCTCAATAAAACGTAAAGAAAATAATACATTCTAATATATTTATTTCTTAACACAAACATATTTAACAATGAAGAAAGATACACATTAATTAATAGATACTCTTTTTAATAATGTATTTTATTAAATTATCCATTCTCAAATTAAAATTTTCTACAAAAAAAATTAATGATTGTTTGATTTACTTGATTTAAGTTCTTCTTATGATTAATAGTAAAATGAAAAAAAGTATATTGAAGTAAAAATTAGACTTTATTAGATTTTATTCATATTTATTAGTGATAAAATAAAAAAATATTCAATTTCTTTTAATATTTTTAAGTGTACCATTTAATAAAAAAAGATCATCTTAATAATATTTAAAAAATCAAAAATGTAGATATTTATTAAGAAATAAAATAAACAAATTACATCTTTTCATACAAAAATTTAAAAAATATTTCCAAAAAATGTTAATTTTAAATTAAAGATAATTATTACATATTAAGAAATTGTTTTAAAAATATTTTTTATTTATTCTTTTATTATTTTTCAATAGAAATATTTATTTAATTTAAAGCACTAAAAAACAAAAGCTAAAAATAAGTATTAAAATGTTAATAATATTTACTTCTATATATTTAACATAAGATTTAAATATATATCGTAAAACCCTATTTTGGAAAACGAAAGGGTTGTGAGGTAAGAAGTAAGAGTCTTAAAATTAAAGCAAAAAAATTAATTTTTCACAAAAAATTAAAAGGCCTTTCTTTTTAATAAAATCACAGTAGATCTGATAAATTCTGACAAATTAAAATAAAAAAAGCAAGAAAGCTACTTAGCTTTCAAATTTTAAATAAAATCTATTTGAAATTCCGCTGACATTAAGTATCCAGTCAGCGGAATTTCAATACCTGGATTAGCAATATTATAATGAAATTCTATTTGAAAAATATACTTTTTGAATTTTAATTTTTAGGTAGATTTTTGGAATTAAATTGTGTATTTAAATGATTAAGAAAAAGACTTTGAAAATGGTTTTTAACCCAAAAATATAATAAAAGACAAAATATTTAGTTGTGTATGTATCATAGAGTAACAACAATTGCAACAAAGATTTCTAAGTGACTCACAATCCATCTATCAATAATTTATGATTGGATTTCCAAAATTAAATAAGACATTGATATTTTTCAAGAGAGAAATAGCTGCTGATAATCTAAAGACAGAATTTCAATTAGAAAGTAGCTTATTAAAAAATTGGGATAAATATATATCTCTAGAAGTTTTAATACTATTTTCAATTTACTACCTGATCACCATAATTAGGTAATATTGAATACAGGAGAGAGAACATCTTACTGTTAATATCATACAAATTTTATAACTGCTTATAAAGCTAAAATTATATTATCTTTTGATTCCAGTCATTTATTTTACATATTGTAGAATTGCAATTTACATATTTAAAAATTATTAAATTTTAAAAATTATTTTTTAACATAACATTTTTTCCATATATTTATTATTTTTCTCTATAATAACAGAGACTTAATCAATTATACTAATTATCTGTTTTAACAATATATTGACTATTTTCTATCATAAAAAATACATTATTTCTTTTATTGCTAAATTTGTTCCAACAAAAACAAAAATATAATATATATAATAGATATAAAGATAATTAACCATAATAATATATTGATATGTTTTGATAATATTCTTTATAAAATAGTTTTTTAATTTATCAGTATTAATTATTATTTTCTAAAAAGAAGAAAAGCTTATTAAATCACTTTGATTGATCACTCACCTTTTAAGGAAAAGACACTTTTATTTTTAAATTTAAATAAGTTAATAAAATGCCTCATAAAATTAACCTTTAAATTGTATCTTAAATCTTTAAAAAATAATAAATTTTTAAGATTAATTTGTTTTGAACTTATTTAGCAACTAAAGTTAATACAAAAATGTTTATAAAAGAAATAAAAGCAGAAATAACAAAAAAATCAAATCCAAACATGATAAAGAATGAGGATATTTTTTTGTTAGAGTTCTCTTCAGATTAACCACTAATAACTGCTAATAAAATGTAGTAGTAAAGAGCAAGTAAAAATAACATAATAAATGATGAAATTACTCTTCCTACTTTTCTTAGCTTATACAAAGTTTAAATTAGTATTATACTAATGACTATAATTGAAGTATTTATAATAGAAACTATGATCATCTATACTTCATCATATTACTAATCAAATATTGTTGATATGCTTAGGGAATGCACTATTCTCAAATAAAAAATTGTAAATCTCAAAGTCCTAGGGAGTTATTCATCGTGTATGAAGAAAATGCTAAAGAAATAATGAAAAACTAAGATTCTTTTAATAAAAGATACTTTGAGTAGCTTTTAATATATTTCTCTAATTTTTAAGACTATATTATCTTCTTCTTTAATAATTTTATCTTCTTTTATGATTTAGTCTTCATATTAATTTTGATTTAAATTTCCTTGATTTTAATTATTATTTTAAGTTTCTAATTTATTTTCAGAATCATTTTACTCCAACTTTAAATTACTATTGTTCTCAAAAACATTTTGATTAATTTTATCATCATTTATTCTTTCTAAATTTTATTTATTTAATTCTGCTTATTATTATGCTTGCTTTATTGAATAAAATATATTTCTTGAATCTTAAGGAATATTCCAATTCATTATATAATTCATATCTTTATCTAATTAATTTTACACTTTTGATTAATCTAGAATTAAATCTTATTAAATCAATTATTCTACATTTTGTTCGAGCATTGGTGATTATGTAAATAATTAAGGTGATTATTGTTATTAATATTAGTTAGATTATTATTATTATTATTATGATTATTATTATTATTAAACTTCTTTTATCTACTAGGGTAGTGGATAGATAATATGTGGCTATGAAGATTCACGTTAGATATTAAATTACTTTTTATCTAGTGTTTTACCAATATAACACAGTCCTATTTGAAATAAAGTAACAAAACTTAAAATCCAGAAGATTGCGTATTCATAAAAATCTGTGAAATGAGTTATATTATACAACCCCTAAGAACCAAACGCTGTTTGTAGATTTTTATTGTTTAAAACACTTTATAAATCCTCAGCGATAGTTGTTGGTTTTTAGTCTTAGCAAAAGCAATAATATCCTCCAATCTGTTTAGAATTAACAATTTCGCAATTCTTTGATGACCAACTAGATTAAGCATCTTGCTATTGAATACAACTAAGATTATACTTAGATTGTTAAATATTAGGAAAAGAAAGTTGCAATGTTTTATTTTAGTTTAAATTTATTTTGTTACTAGTATTTTGAATTAAAGGCTTTATTACTGGATTCATAGATATTTAAATATCAGGAGTGATATTTTTAAGCTAATTCACATAGCTCTAAAAACCATTTGTTTATACAAAAGGGTTTTAAGAATAATTTGTCATAACTATATTGTAAATACTTTAATCGCTTTACTGAGATTAATTATCATCAAAAAAGTATTTTTGAAGATTTTTAGAAGTAATTTTCTCACAATTCAAAGAAATTAGATTACCTTGAAGCTAAAATTGTCCTGAATTTGGAAGAGATATAGAATTAAGTAAATTACCAATTTAATCTGATACATTCATTTAAGATTGCAAAATATTGTAAGAAGTATTTATTGTATCAACACTCTTTGTTGTTGCATTGAAAATTTTATAGGAGTCAATTATATTTTGAAGAACAATGTCGTTATTTGCCAAAAGTTTATTACTGATACTATTAGCAATAAGTTATTATTGATTTTATAAAACTGAGTCTATTTGATTTAAAACATTTTAATTTTATGAATCATCAGAATTCATTAATGTTGATTAGAGCTATGATATAACTTTGCTAGCGAATGTTGATAAAAATGATGAGCTTGGTAATTAATTAGACAAATTAAATATAGTTGATATTAATGTTATCTTTCTTTAATTTACAGATGCAAGTGTGTAAACACTGTTGCTTTTCGATATTTCTTCTGCTATCACACATAAATCAAGGATACTATTTTTTACTGGCAAAGTAATTATATTTTTAATAGATTAATCGATAGTATTCAACAATAATTATTCGCTTTATTAATATGGAAGTACATTTAGCTATATTGTAGAATTGAAAACAGCTAAATATGAGTCCATAGCTTAACCAATTATTAATAAATTTCCTGATGGAAGTGTAGTTATTATTTAAGGGGATATGCTTTAATCTTAAATTTGCCTTCTCAAAATATTTTATGGTTTTTAAACTTCTAATTCTTTATCACTCATTTGGTTGTAATAAAAAAATTAGTAGGTGAGAGGATTATTACTTGTAGTGCATCCTGTGAATAAAATTGTAAATTTAGTTTGAAGAGCTATTCCATTCAAAGGACTTACAGAAAGAGAACATTTTTAAGGTGGTAAATTAATGTTGAAATTGGTAACACTTAAACTTGGCATTATATTAGCAGGGTTGTAAACAGTAAATCTAATTTAAACAATAAGATTATCTTAATTCAAGTTTGAAAAATAATCCCAAATTCTCAATTTGACTTTATAATAGTCAAACTTTATAATTCCTACAACGTTATTGTTATATAAAACAGCACCAGCGTATGTGAGAATATCTGAGGATACATTTGAGCCATATATAAGTGTTGCAGATATATTGTCATTGATATTCACTTACTAAAGTTAGGTTGGATCATCAAACTAAATGTATAAGGGAGGAATATCTATCTCTGTAAATATTAATAGAGCTATTTGTTTAGAAATTCTTGTGTCTTTCTTACCTGTAAGAGTAAATTGCAAGCTTTGGTAAGGATTGAATGTTCCTCCTGCAATAGTGACATTTAATACATTTTATGGTGGTACATACACTTAATTTAAGTAGTCATAACACTATAAATTTCCATTAGATTATCCTAAAATTTAGCATTACCATGTTAATTATATTCCCTATGGTGATGTGACATCTTAAACTTCATAATCTATAGCTAATCCTGTTATAACATATTCTTTTTTATAATTCACTAACCCATCTAAACCACTAGTGATAGCTATAAACAAATTAGATAATTCAGGAGTTATTGAAAAATTTTAAGATGAGCTAATAGATTGATTGCTATCTAGTAAAGCTTAAACCTATTAATATAGCAGTTTAATATTAAAATAATAAATAAAAATATTACTTAAATGTCTAATATAGTGCCTTAAGGTATTGAATAAGACTTAACATCTACTTCTATTTACTGTCCTATAAATTTATTTTAAGTTTAACTAAGAGAAGGCATATTATTAGAGATAATTTGGATATTCAAAGGTTCTTAAGTAATGCTAGCTCCTGACTGATCACATATTTACACAAAAAAGGAGAAAATAAATTGAAGGTCCATATATCTTTTGAATATTTTTATTTAAATAAAAATTTATTACATATTTATCATTATCTTCATTTTTTCTTAATATTTTAAAAAAATTACACAATGATAGAATAATTAAAACAAAAATAACGTTCTTTAAGAGATTGTAATTTCTCATTTTTCACATCAATTCAAAAAAAATTTTTCTAAAAATTTGGGTTTTAAGATTTTTTTTTTTACCTGTATATAGGAGGGTATTTATTTTAGATACTCTAAATAATCACTTATTTACTTTTTTAGTTTAACGTTGTAAAAGTTAATGAGTTAGTTTAATATATTTTCAATATGTATTATAAGTTAATTGAAATAGAAGTATCTGGAGGTATTGTATATTTGCTTATCAATAATGTTTAGCTTTGTTAATTATTAGCTGTTTGTATTAATGAGTTTAAATTTTACAGAGTCAAATCATCAAAGGTCTAAGATAGAGTAAGACTCCACTAAAACTAAAGGAAACCTCTTTGTGCATCATTTTAAATGCTTTAAATCTCAAATAAAATATCATCACATGAATTTACAATTTTATTATATTAAACATTGACTGAAGGAGATGCTACTAGCTGCTATACGACTTATGTTAAATAAATAGTATCAATAGTATTTTAATATCCTTAGAATTGAAGAATATTAGCTTAAGTATTAAAACTAATTGTTGAATTTGCCATAATTATAGCATCATCACCTATTAATTAATTTTTCAAAAAATTGATTATTTAAATAAAAATTAAATTGTTATATTTACTAAGAGTAACTATTATTTAAGTTGAGGTAATCTTGCAAATTGAATTTGAACCTAGCAAGTTTAAAGTAGATGAATCAAATACTTAATTGCATTATAAATTGTTAATTTGAATTAGAGGCGATCCAAACTCGAGTATTAAAGTAGGAGAACTACCATCAAAAGTTGCTTACACAACAGCATAATTATTATAACTGCATTAGTAAAAGTTATTTCTTTAATCTTGGTTATTTTTACATACACATGTACTCCCATTTAAGTTCATTGTTTGATAGCAATCCAGACAATTGTTTGTTTGATTTTTTTAGCAAGATCTGCAAGTAGCAGCACAGTTTAAACAAGCATAAGAACTTAACTGGAGGCATATTTAACACTAATTTTATTAAAGATTATAACCATTTGGACATATTTAATAGCATATAAAGGTTTAATCTGTAGGTGAAGAATATAAAGGAATATAGCCATTTGAGCACTAAGTGCAGTTTTATGAATTACCAGTGCATGTCTAGCAAGACTAATCACACTATTAGCACTAATTATTATTTAAAAAATAATTATTAGGGCACGTTTAAAAGCATTAGTAGACACTCTGCTGCTATCCAGTAATAAGTGGATAATAGCTGTTAGCACATGCAAAGCAACTTTTTGAGTCACCAGTACAATTCAAACAAGATTAGTCACATTATTAGCATTGCTAGTTACTATTAATAAAATAGTTATTTATACAAGAAGTACAACTAACTGAGGTACCAAAACAAGTTAAACATGATGGGTCACATAATTAACAATTTTGCTCAGTAGAATTAATATCAATTATTACTGCATATTAATTTGAGTTACAATTAATATAACAATAATTATTTTTTAGATTATAGTTAGTTATACAAGCTGAACAAACTCCGTTATTAGTACATTGTGAACAACCTATTGGGCACTATTTATTTATATAATTAAAAAAATAATATACTTTTTAATTTATAGCAATTAAGATATTTTTTTTAATTTGATAATATTGATCACAAATATTGATTATTTTTAATTTTTTATTTTAATGTGTTTGCTCCTTTTTAAGAATTTGTTTGGAAATTTTTTTTTAATTTAATATTAGAATTATAAAAAAAAAAGTAAAAAATATCAATTTATTAGTTATTTTGGATTTAATACATTTTCTATTATTTAATAAAATTTTATTTTTTATTAAAAAAATATAAGATATTTATGAATAAAGTAATTATCTATTTTTAGAAATATGAATTGATTACTTTAAATTCTATTAAGAAAAGTATATAGAAAATTATGCATCAAAGAAAATACTAAAACTTGATTCCAGTAAATTTCAAAGAAGAAATATATTAATAATGATAATTAATATTTAAGAGTTAAATTAAGGATATTACTTTAAAATAGATCATTACTTAAATATTGGATATTATACCAGGAAGGCTACCAGGATGGATATATGTTTAAAAGGTAAAGTATGAAGTATCAGTTGAGAAAGAAATTAATTAATATTCAGATTGCTTATAATAATTGCTCATGCATTTCTATTAAGAATTTTATTAACTAATTGATACTATTTTATTTAAGTATGAATCTCCGTTTTTATGATAGGCTAGTATACCTACTTCGGTAGCATAGTTTCCATTTTATAAGTAGAAATTACTATCATAACTTATTTAAGCATAAGCTAACATCTATCCTGAATTACCATTAAAATCAAATAAAACATCATTATATTATTATTCAGGGTTAGGGTTTATCAAAATTTATTCGTTGCAGTTACCTAAAGAGAATTTTTAGTCAATAAATTAGAAATTTTAATTAGTAATGTATATTCTACTAACAGAATTAGCAATGATATTGTTTTCTGAGTCTAATATACACTAGTACCCTTTATAATTTAAAAATATCATTATTAATAATTAAAATCTACTAAGCTAATACCTTAATAAATTTTAGGTGTTGGGAGCTATTAAAGCAAATTTTTACAAATTTAAGCTTTAACACTATTCCTAAACATTAGCATTAGTCCAAATAACAAGCCTAGAAATTTAATTTAGGCTAAGCCATAGAGGAAAATCTAATAAATAGCCATTATTTTTAAACAATAATTATTTTATTGATTTCTTTACAATTTACTTAGTTAAATTTAATCTATTTTTTTGTTTATTATCAAAATTAATTAATTTGATATTAAGAAGTAATTACTTTTTTTTTCAATAAAACGTAAAGAAAATAATACATTCTAATACACTTATTCCAAACTCAAACATATTTTAAAATGAAGGAAGATTCACATTTATTAATAGTAACTCTTTTTAATAATTTATTTTATTAAATTATCTATACTCAAATTAAAATTTTCTACAAAAAAAATTAATGTTTATATGATTTACATTATTTATGATCTCTAATGATTTATAATAAAAATGAAAAAGTACCTTGAAATAAAAATTAGATTTTATTAATATTTATTAGTGATAAAATAAAAAAATATTAAATTATTTTTTATATTTTTAAGTGTAACATAAAAAAAAGATCATCTTAATAATATTTAAAAAATTAAAAATGTAGATATTTATTAAGAAATAAAATAAATAAATTCTTTCATTCAAAATTTTAAAATCTATGTCCAAAAAATGTTTATTTCAAATTAAAGATAATTAAACAAATTAAGAAATTGTATAAAAAGTATTTTTTTATTTATGCTTTTATTATTTTTCTATAGAAATATTTATATAATTTAAAGCTCTAAAAAACAAAAACTAAAAATAAATATTAATAGATTAATAATATTTACTTCTATATATTTAACATAAGATTTAAATATATAATTAATTTATAACCACATTTAAAAGTGTGAAGAATATCTGAAAAAAGAAAACTGCTTTCAAAATAGCATAATTGGTTAATTAAGAATATTTAATACTGATCAAAAATTTAAAAAAATTATTAAGAGGAATTTGTTATTTTAAAAATGATTGATTGCTGATAATGAGTGATTAAGCAAATAATTTTATTAATAAGAAAAATAAAATTTATTTTTAATTTAAAATAGAATTATAAATAGTAAATTACAAAAATTAATGATAATTTATTTAGATTTTAAATAGTGTAGATTCAAAAAAATTAATAAAAATTACAAAAAATATGCTCAAAATATAAAATTTGGAAGTTGAAAATTTTTTGTTAAAAATAATCTTAATATTAAAAATTTTTAACAAAAAGGATTAGAGTATCACTTCTAAATTTTTTTGGATAACAAGATATTAAAACAAAATGATCTGTAATAAAAAATGGGTTTCAAAAACCATTAATTTGAGATTTCTTTAGAATAGTCTAATAAGAATTATTATAATATCCACAGAATTGATTAATTATATAAGATTAAGTTAAAAGATAATCAAATATTACAAAAGGTTTTAATAAAAAGCTTAGGAAAACATCTAATTAGTTTACTGAGTAGTCCCTAAAAATTTTGTATTCAAAAAACTAATAAATTTACCAAGAAAACCTGATTCTAAACAAATAAAATAGTCAAGCCAACAATAAAAATACAGAAAGATTAATATAAAATTATCTTAATAATAACTAAACCATGTACAAGTTTATTAATGATAAAATTAAAATAAATAATAACATATAATATAATCATATTTTTAAAAAACTTAGAAAAGAAGGTTATTTTAAAAATATTGCAAAATCAATATAAAATAAATTTATAAAAATTAATTTTATGCTATTAAGTTAAAAAATGTTAGTTCGATTAATAGTTCATGTGTAAGCATAATTATTTAAAAAAGCAAATTTAAAATTATGTAAAATTCTAAGTTGCGTTTAGATAAGAAAAATATGGCAGGTAATAAAAATTTATTTAAATTAATTTAATTTTTAAAAGCGAATACTAAGATATAAAGGTGAATAATAAGCAATATAATATCCACTAAAAATTATATTTATTATAAATTGAATAAATATATATAATTAAACATTTATTTTTGTATGATTAAAAGTTAATAAGAATTTAGAAAGTATCAATTTTTTTATATTAACACTTTTTTAATAAACATTTCTTAAAAAAAACAAAAAGAATTTAATCATTATTTAATTATCTACAAAATTCAGCACAAACTTCTACATATACTCAGAAAAATTTAAAATAAGTATAAAATCCATATTTAAAGTAACTAAATCCAATTTAATTAAATAATTAATAATGAACAAAATATCTCTAAGCTTTTAGTCTCATAAATTAGAATGTAAATACTAAAAAGAAGTTACTAAAATATACAATAAAATTTTTTAGAGGATACTTATATGGTATGTTGTTATGATCAATATTCCTTCATTGATTATATCTATATATATATATAATCTAACAGGAATATTGATTAGTTTGTTATCTATAGGAGGTTGTTCTATTTTTTGCTTTGTTACAAATAAATATTCATAATATTTTAACATCTGGATTAATACTCTTAGCCTAATAAGCACAATTGTGATTTATATGCAAATTAAGGTTTTGTAAGATAATAATTATACTGAAGATAAATACTATCCTTTTTATATTGGAGGATCATACATTTGTATAAAAACTATATTGGCATACTTAAGTCCTAATTTTCTCTTAACGATTTCATAATTTACGGCTTCCAATATTATGTAAGCTATTTCATTTTTTTAATATCATCTTTAAAGACTTTTATATTGAATTAATAACTTTTTATTATTTACAACTATCTTATTTTTTATTTAACTTTGCTATTAAATAGAATTATATGTGCAATATGGAATAGCGAATTTTCTAATTACAAGTATATTTTTATGGTGTAATTCTTTTTCTGGATGTATACACTCTACTTAATACAAAGGAATAAGAGATAAATATTTTTGCATTAGTTTTCTTAAAAAGAATGGTCTGAAATAATAAAAAAATTTATCTCTTAAAGTATAATAACTATTAAATATGATGAAAAAAATAATGAAATTAAACTTGATATGATAAATGATTAAGCTAAAAAGCTTTTAGATTTTAATAACCCTAGTGATTTCAAAGTATTCTCAAGAAAGTCTATAATTTATAACCGCATTGAAGAATGTAATGAGTATTAAGTAAATGAACATTATATTCAATAAAATATATTCAATTAATTAAAATTAGCTTAAAAGGATTAAAAATAAAAGAATACTCTTGAAAATAAGATAATTTAGATATTTAAGAATAGTTTATCAAATAATTAAAAGGATATAAAAAATTCTAATTTATTAAAAGAAAAATTAAGTTAATTATAATAAAGAGGTCTTAGTTTTGATGCTAATATGGATGCTGCCAATAATTATCTAGAAGGTTCATTTTTTTATGCTTTATATCAAAAGAGTGAAGGATAAACATAATAAAAATTGTCAATAAAAGCCTCTACATTTTAGAATCAAACTGATTTTTATTGTTGTTTAGTTATAGAAGAAGTAAATGACTATTAAAGAATTAATGTACTATAAAAAATTGACAAAGATAATAAATAAATTTTTTTTTAGTTCTGTTTATATTTAGGTAATAATTAATTTTTATTTTTTTCCACAATTATTAAAATAAAAACATAAAAATTTAACAGTGGGTAAAATAATCAAATTGCTCATTCTTAAATCTGAAAGATTTTACATTTTTAAGATTATAGATGATGAAAATCTTCCATTCTCTTATTGAACTACCCACTTTACTTTATTTATTTAATAAATATATTTATTTTTATAATATAGGTGATAAACTTTAAAATGTTATTCAAAATATAAACAATTAAGCTATTGTCTAAGCAAGTATACTTTAGTGCTATAATAAAATATATAATTATAAAGATTAAGCTAAGATAATAAAAAATTAGTTTAATAAAAGCTTTTAAAACTTAAAAGTTACATAAATATAAATAGGATATTTAAAAGATTAAATTATTTAAAGGTTTGCTGATAAGTTGAAAGAAATTGATATCTAGATTTCATACATAAAATGTCATTCAAATACTTAAATAAATACATAAGCAGAAAAATTGATGCAATTAATTATTAATTTAATTGAAAATTCTATATAATTTTAGGCAAGAGAAAAAGTAAAAAGTAATTTCTTAAAAAATATGAATGAATTTGACTAAATAATAATGTAAAATAAACTAACTAAAAAATAAATTTCTTCAAGTTAAAAAAGCTTATCTAATTTTTATAATCAAATTTTTAATAGTAATAATTTAGACATTTACTCAAATGGATAATTACTAAATCAATAAAAAATAAAACAAATCTAAATATAAGAAGAAGATTCAAAATCTAGCTTTAACAATTAGCAATCTAATTCAAGCAATGATTTTGATGAGTTTTATTTACAAGATAAAGTTTTAGATTTAAATTAAATAAAGATATAGTTTGAGTTACTATTTGGAGAATAGGAAGTATCTAACATAATAAAAATAACAGTGAAAGATCATGGTATAGGAATGTCTCTAGATAAAATATTAAAGATGCTTGAAATTTTGAATACTAAAAACATTGATTTTTCTTCTCAATATTTAAATAATAGCTTTTTAGGATGGAAAGTTAATTATCATATAATTGGTAACTTGGGTCCTTTTTATAATTTCTTCATATAAAGCTAAGAAAACTAAGTAAATAAAATAATATTTTAATTAATCAAAATTTAATAATTGTACCATATATCCTGAATTAATTATTTTGAAAAAAAATTAGTTTCAAATTTTTTGAAAATATTAATTGAAGATTTTTTGTTAAACATAATTTTAATATTAAAAATTTTTAAACAAAAGGGATTAGAGTATCATTTCTATATTTTTTAGGATATCAAGATATTAAAAGAAAGTAATCTTTAATAAAAAATGGTTTTCAAAAACCATTAATTTGATATTTCTTTACAATAGTCTAATAAGAATTTTTATAATATCCACAGAATTGATGAATTATAAGATTAAGTAAAAAGATAATTGAATACTATAAATGGTTTAAATAAAAAATTTAGGAAAACATCTCATTAGTTTACTGAGTAGTCCCAAAAAAATTTGTTTTCAAAGAATTAATCAATTTACAAAGAAAGCCTGATTCTAAATAAATAAAATAGTTAAACCAGCAATAAAAATACAGAAAGATTAATATAAAATTATCCAAATAATAATTAAACCATGTATAAATTTATTAAAGATAAAATTAAAATAAATAATAACAATTAAAGTAGTCAGAGTAGTTAAAATATTTGATACTTAAAAACTAGGTTATAAGTCAAAATTCAAATAAATTATTTAAAAATAAATACTCAAATATTTTTAGTTAATTACTAATAAATTAAACAAGATAAATAAAGTTTACTAAAAATATTTTTTTTTAACTATAAAAATTCTTATACTTTTAAACTATAAAAGTAAATTATTCTAAAATTAAATAGCATAGAATCTTATAAGACTTTAAATATGTTAATCAATTTTTTGAAAGAATTACTAAATACTTTATTTCATTATAGCTTAGTTTGAATTTTAAGAATAATTTAAAAATAGAATTAAAATTTAAAAATTAATATAAAATTGAAAGTATTAATAATTATTTGGTATAACTTTAATATTTATGTATCATATAAACATTTTTTTTTTAAATAATTAATTTAGCCAAGGGATTTTATTTACTCGTTAAAATATTTATGATCAACCAATCTAGTCTAAATTTTATTTTTAATAAAAAGAATTTAATGATCTTTGAATTATATTACAAATATAATTTTATTTTAATTATAACAAAATTTTATTTTTGTTTAAGATACTCAAAATTGCTAAATTGAAGTTAATTAGGGTAAAAATAATTTTTTATATAAGCTTGGAACGAAATACCATTATTTTTTATAATGGTTGAGATTATTAAATTCTTATTGATCAACCAAAATTTTAAAGCAATTATTAAAATATAATAATCAATTAGAAATTATTAAAGCTAAATTCATTTTTATTCTTTAATTTATTTATAATCTCCACTTTATGAATCCTTCCTTAAAATTAATATAATTATAATATAGAATTAAAAAGGTTCTGTCAACTTGATATAAATGCTCTAACACAAATTAAAAAGTTCTTTAATATTTTTGTTAGTCAACTTATTTGTTTTTACTAAATTTAAAAATGAAATCTCAAATTTTAATATATTTAATTTAAATTTGAGACATAAATTATAAAAATTAATCACAGCTTTTACTATTATTAAGATAAAAATATTCGATAATTAACCTTTTTAATACTGAAATTAAAAGAGCTTCTTTATTTTTATACCATAATTTTGGTATTAAAAAAATAAGTGAGATGTTTTAATTAAGAAAATTAACAATTTTTATTGAAAAATAATTTTGTAGAACTGTTTAAGTTGTTTTGCTTTCCAATGAATTCGAAAAAATTATCTTTAAAATTTTAACTATATTACTTTTCTTACATACTAACTTAAATATAAAAATTATTAAAATAGTGTTTTTACAAATAGTATTTGAATATCAATATGAAATAATTTAATTTAAATATAATTTGATTACTATTTTTAATAAAACAAAATAACTATTAAATAAAGTAGAATTTAATAAAATTTACTTTACAAAAATTCAGGTGAAGAAAAATTAAAAACTATCAAGTATATTTATGAAATGCTCAAAGAAAATTGATTTAGACCATGAAGTATTTGCTGTGGGTTACACATCTCGCTACTTTACCTTAAAAAACTCTAATGTTTCATATAATTAACCTCTAAATTGTATCTTAAATCTTTAACAAATTAAACATTTTCAAGATTAATTTGTTTTAAACTTACTTAGCAACTAAAGTTAATACAATCACGTTAATCAAAGAAATAAAAGTAGAAACAAAAATCAAATCAAATCCAAACATGATAAAGAAAGAAGATATTTTTTTGTTTGAGTTCTGTTCAGATTAACCACTAATAACTGCTAATAAAATATAATAGTAAAGAGCAATTAAAAATATCATGAGAAATGATGAAATTATTCTTCCTACTTTTCTTAGCTTATACAAAGTTTAAATTAATGCCACACTAATGACTATAATTGAAGTATTTATGATCGAAACTATGATCATCTATGCTTCATCATATTACTAATCAAATATTGTTGATATGCTTAGCGAATGCACTACTCTCAAATAAAAAATGGTAAATCTTAAAGCCCTAGAGAGCTATTCATCGTGTATGAAGAAAATGTTAAAGAAGTTATGAAAAACTAAGATTCTTTTAACAAAAGATAGTTTAAGTAACTTTTATAACATTTCTCTATTTTTTAAAACTTTATCTTCTTCTTCTTTTATAATTTAGTCTTCATTTTTATTTTAACTAATATTTTCTTGATTTTAATTATTATTTTAAGTTTCGAGTTTACTTTCCTAATAATTTTGCTCCATCTTTTAATTAAAGTTGTTCTCAAATATATTTTGATTAATTTTACAATCATTTGTTATTTCTGAGTTTTATTTATTCAATTCTACTTACTAGTTTACTTGCTTTGATGAAAAAAATATACTTTTCGAATTTTAAGGAATATTCCAGTTCATTATATAATTAGTTTCTTTGTCTATTTAACTTGGTACTTTTGATTAAGAGCTAATTTAGCTGTCTAGTATTAAATCTTATTGAATCAACTATTCTACCTTTTGGGATTTGGATTAGAATACCGGTGACTATGGAAATAATGAAGGAGATTGTTGTTCTTAATATTAGTTAGATTATTATTATTATTATTTTTAGTTATCTTTTATCTACTAGGGTAATGGATAAATAATATTTGACTATTAAGATTCACGTTAGATATTAAATTACTTTTTATCTAATTTTTTACCAACATAACACAGTCCTATTTGCAATAAAGTAACTAAACTTAAAATCCAAAAGATTACGTATTCGTAAAAATCTGTAAAGTGAGTTATATTATACAGACCCTAAGAGCCAAACGCTGTTTGTATATTTTTATTATTTAGAACGCTTTATAAATCTTCAGTAATAGTTGTTGGTTTTTAGTCTTAGCAAATGCAATAATATCCTCCAATCTGTTTAGAATTAATAATTTCGCAGTTATTTGATGACCAACTAGATTAAGCATCTTGCTATTGTATACAACTAAAATTATACTTAGATTGTTTTACATTAGGAAAAGAAAGTTGCAATGTTTTGTTTTAATTTAGATTTGTTTTATTACTGGTATTTTCAATTAAAGGCTTTATTACTGGATTCATAGAAATTTAAATATCAGGTGTGATATTTTTAAGCTAATTCACATAGCTTTAAAAACCATATGTTTATGCAAAAGGGTTTTAAGAGTAGTTGGTCATTACTATATTATAAATGCTTGAATCATTTTGCTAAGATTAACTATCATCAAAAAAGTATTTTTGAAGATTTTTAGAAGTAATTTTCTCACAATTTAAAGAAATTAGATTACCTTGAAGCTAAAATTATCCTGAATTAGGAAGAGATATAGAATTAAGTAAATTACCAATTTTATCTGATAAATTCATTTAAGTTTGTAAAATATTGTAAGAAGTATTAATTGTATCAACACTTTTTGTTGTTGCATTCAAAATTTTATAAGAGTCAATTATATTTTGAAGAACAATATCATTATTTGCCAAAAGTTTGTTGCTGGTACTATTAGCAATAAGTTATTACTGATTTGATAAAACTGAGTTTATTTGACTTAAAACACTTGAATTTTATGAATCATCAGATGAAAATAATGTTGATTAGAGCTATGATATTACTTTGCTAGCGAATGTTGATAAAAATGATGAGCTTGGTAATTAATTAGACAAACTAAATATAGATGATATTAATGTCATCTTTCTTAAATTTACAGATGGGAGTGAGTAAAGACTACTACTTTTCGATATTTCTTCTCCAATAACACATAAATCAAGGATGCTATTTTTTATTGGTAAAGTAATTATATTTTTAATAGATTAATCAATAGTGTTCAACAATAATTATTCATTTTGTTAATAAGGAAAAACATTTAGCTATATTGTTGAATTGAAAACAGCTAAATATGAATCCATAGCCTAACCAATTATTAATAAATTTCCTGATGGAAGTGTAGTTGTTATTTAATGGGATATGCTTTAATCTTAAATTTGCCTTCTCAAAATATTTTATGGTTTTTAAATCTCAGATTCTTTATCACTGATTTGGTTGTAATAAAAAAATTAGTAGGTGAGAGGGTTATTACTTGTAGTGCATCCAGTGAATAAAATTGTAAATTTAGTTTGAAGAGCTATTCCATTTACAGGACTTACAGAAAGAGAACATTTTTAAGGTGGTAAATTAATGTTGAAATTGGTAACACTTAAACTAGGCATTATGTTAGCAGGGTTGTAAACAGTAAATCTAATTTAGATGATAGGATTATTTTAATTCAAGTTTGAAAAATAATCCCAAATTCTCAATTTGACTTTATAATAGTCAAACTTTATAATTCCTACAACGTTATTGTTATATAAAACAGCACCTGCGTATGTGAGAATATCTGAAGATACATTTGAACCATATATTAATGTTGCAGATATGTTATCGTTGATATTCACTTACTAAAGTTAGGTTGGATCATCAAACTAAATATATAAGGGAGGAATATCTATCTCTGCAAATATTAATAGAGCTGTTTGTTTAGAAATTCTAGTATCTTTCTTACCTGTAAGAGTAAATTGCAAGCTTTGGTAAGGATTGAATGTTCCTCCTTCAATAGTAACATTTAATACATTTTATGGAGGTACATATACTTAATTTAAGTAGTCATAACACTATACACTTCCGTTAGATTAGCCTAAATTTTAACAAGACCAAGTTAATTATATCCCCTATGGTGATGTGACTTCTTAAACTTCATAATCTATGGCTAATCCTGTTATAACATATTGACTTTTATAATTCACTAACCCATCTAAACCACTAGTAATAGCAATAAACAAATTGGATAATTGAGGAGTTATTGAAACATTTTAAGATGAGCTAATAGATTCATTGCTATCTAGTAAAGCTTAAACCTATTAATATAGCAGTTTAATTTTAAAATAATAAATAAAAATATTACTTAAATATCTAATATAGTTCCTTAAGGAATTGAATAAGGTTTAACATATACTTCTATTTGTTGTCCTATAAATTTATCTTAAGTTTAGTTAAGAAAAGGCATACTATTAGAGATAATTTTGATATTCAAAGGCTCTTGAGTAATGCTAGCTCCTGACTGATCACATATTTACACAAAAAAAGAAAAAATAAGTTGAAGGTCCATATATCTTTTAAATATTTTTATTTAAATAAAAAATTATTTCATATTTATCATCATCTTTGTTTTTAGCTTAATATTTAAAAAATTATACGTTAAAAGAAGAATAAAAAATATTAATATTCATACATAGATTATAATTTCTCATTTTTAATATCAATTCAAAAAATTTTTTTTTCTAAAAATTTGGTAATATAATTAATTTAGATTTATTATTTACCTGTATATAGGAGGGTATTTATTTTAGATACTTTAAATAATCACTTATTTACTTTTTTAGTTAAATGTTGTAAATACTAATGTGTTAGTCTAATAAACTTTCAATGTGTATTATAAATTTATTGAAACAGAAGTATCTGGAGGTGTTATATACTTGTTTATCAATAATATTTAACTTTGTTGATTATTAGCTGTTTATATTAGCGAGTTTAAATCTTACAGAGTCAAATCATCAAAACTCTAAGATGGAGTAAGACTCCACTATAACTAAAGGAAACCTCTTTGTGCATCATTTTAAATACTTTAAACCTAAAATAAAATATCATCACATGAATTAACAATTTTATTATATTAAACATTAACTGAAGGAGTAGCTGTTAGCTGCTATACCACTTATGTTAAATAAATAGTATCAATTGGATTTTAATATCCTTAGAATTGAAGAACATTAGCTTAAGTATTAAAATTAATTGTTGAGTTTACCATAATTGTAGCATCATTACCTAATAAAATATTTTTAACAATACATTATTAAATTAAAAATTAAATTGTAATATTTACTAAGAGTAACTATTATTTAAGTTGAGGTAATCTTGCAAATTGAATTTGAACCTAGCAAGTTTAAAGTAGTTGAATCAAATACTTAATTGCATTATAAATTGTTAATTTGAATTAGAGGCGATCCAAACTCGAATATCAAAGTAGGAGAACTACCATCGAATGTTGCTTAAACGACTGCAAAATTATTGTAACTGCATTAGTAAAAGTTATTTCTTTAATCTTGGCTATTTTTACATACACAAGTACTCCCGTTTAGGTTCATCGTCTAATAACAATCCAGGCAATTGTTTGTCTGACCTTTTTAGCAAGATCTGCAAGTAGTAGCACAGTTTTAACAAAACTAAGAACTTAACTAAAGGCATGTTTAACACTAATTCTATTTAAGATTATAACCATTTGGACATATCTAATAGCATCTAAAGGTTTAATCTGTAGGTGAAGCATATAAAGGATTATAGCCATTTGAGCACAAAGTGCAGTTTTATGAATTTCCAGTGCATGTTGAACAAGACTAATCACACTATTAGCACTAATTATTATTTAAAAAATAATTATCAGGGCATGTCTAAAAGCATTAGTAGAAACTCTTTTGTTATCCAGTAATAAGTGGATAATAGCTGTTAGCACATACAGTGCAACTTTTTGAGTCACCAGTACAATTCAAACAAGATTAGTCACACTGTTAGCATTGCTAGCTATTATTAAGAAAATAATTATTTATACAAGAAGTACAACTAACTGCGGTACCAAAGCAAGTTAAACATGATGGGTCACATGATTAACATTTTTACTCGGTAGAATTAAGATCAATTATTACTGCATATTAATTTGAGTTACAATTAATGTAACAATAATTATTTTTTATAGTATAGTTTGTTACACAAGCAGAACATATTCCTGTATTAGTACATTGTGAACAACCTATTGGGCACTATTAATATATTAAAATAAAAAAATAATATTGTTTTTAATTAAGACCAATTTTCATATTTTTTTATTTAAAAAGATTGAAAAAAATCATTCATTTATTTTTTATTTTGTTATATTAATGTCTTTACTCCTTTCTAAGAGTTTGAATGAGATATTATTTTTATAATTGAATATAGAATTTCCCTTTATTTAATGTTGAAAATAAAAAGTTGTCTTTACATATGAGGGAAGAATTACATTAATTTCTAAAATGGTCAAATCTCAAAAAATAAAATAGATAGTAAATAATAGCTATTTATTATTAATATTGAAAAAATACATGATTTGTTTTATTGTTACCAAATTTTATTTTTTATTAAAAAAATGTTAGACATTTATACATAAAGTAATTATTTTTTAATATTATGATTAAGACAGTTTAATGCTTTTTATGGAAATATTTGTAAATTAAGTAGGAAATTTATTCAATTTTAAATATATAATTTATTATTAAAATTGAAAAAAATATGAATTGATTGATTATTAATTAAATTTATTTTTAAACAGTAAATTCTACCAAGAAAATGAAATAAAAATTCTGTATCAAAGAAATTTCTAAAACTTTATTACAATCAATTTGAATGAAGCAAAATATTAATAAAGGTAATTGTTAAAAAAAGTTAAAATTAGAATATTACTTTGAAGTAGACCATCACTTACAAATTGGATATTATACTAGGAATATTTCCAGGATGCATATATGTTTAAAAAGTAAAGTATGAAGTATCAGGTGACATAGAAATTAGTTAATATTAAGATTGTTTATAATAGTTGCTCTGGCATTTCTATTAAGAATTTTATTAACTAATTGGAACTTCTTTATTTAAGTATGAATCTCCATTTCTATGATAAACTAGTATACCTACAAGTTGAGGATAGTTTCCATTTTATAAGTTGAAATTACTATCGTAGCTTATTTAAGCATAAGCTATTATCTATCCTGAACTGCCATTAAAATCAAATAAAATGTCGTTATATTATAATTCAGGGTTAGGATTCATCAAAATTTATTCGCCGCAGTTGCCTTAAGCGAACTGTGAGTCAATAAATTAGAAATTTTAATTAGTAATATATATTCTACTAACAGAATTTGCGATGATATTGTTTTGTGAATCTAATATACACTAATACCCTTTATAATTTAAAAATATCATTATTAACAATTAAATTCTACTTAGTTAATACCTTAATAGTTTTTAGGTATAGGGAGCTATTAAAGCAAATTTTAGCAAATTTAAGCTTTTACACCAGTGCTAAACGATAACATTATTCCGAATAACAAACCTAGAAATTTAATTTAAGCTTAACCATAGAATGAAATCTAATAAATAGACATTTTTTAAAATAATGATTATATTTTATAGAAATTTATTGATTCCTTTTCAATTTATTTATTTATTTTATTTTAATCTAATTTTTGTTATTTACAAAAGTTAATTAATTTGTTTTTAAGAAGTTATTAATTTTTTTGTTACTAATTTAAAAAACTAAGTATGATTTATTCTATTTAAATTATAAAAGCATAAATATATTTGAATAATTAATAAATTAATACATTTCCAAGCACTAACATATTTAAAAATGAAGGAAAATACAAATGTGTTAATCTATCTTAGTAGTTTATTAATAATCATATTTTATTAAATTATTCATGCTCAATTTAAAATTTTCTACAACCATAAATTAATTGCAAAAGATTTACGCCATTTATGATTATTTATAATAAAAATGAAAAAACCACCTTGAAAAAATATAGCACCTCCCAACATTTTTGAGACACTTTTTTAAAAATTAAATATTATTAAATTTGTTAAAAAAATGTATTTAAAATTAAATTTTTTAATTTATTTAAATTATTATAAACTAAATATTTATATATTAATTTCTATTACAAAAAAAAAGATAACAATTTTGTTCTAAAAATAACTAAAATTTATTTTATTAAGGAAATTCCTTAAATAAAAACAGTAATTAGATTTTTTACTTAGTGGAGGATTTATTTTTTATACCAAAATTTTTGTTGAACATAATTTTAATATTAAAAATTTAAAAACAAAAGAGATTAGAGTATTTCTATGCTTTTTAGTATATCAATATATTATAGGAAAATAATCTTTAATAAAAAATGATTTTCAAAAACAAATAATTAGAGTTATCTTTAGAATAGTCTAATATGAATTTTTATTATATCAACAGAATTGATGAATTAAAAGATTTAATTTGTAAGATAATGACATTTAGCAAATCATCTAAATAAAAAAATTATGAAAAAATCTATTTTATTTACTGAGTAATCCCAAAAAAGTTTTTATCATAACAACTAATAAATTCATCAATAAAAACTGAATCTAAATAAATAAAATAGTCAAATAAATTATAAATGAAAGATTAATATAAAATTGTAATAATAATAGTTAATTCATGTATTTTTTATCAAAAATAAAGCTAAAATAAATGATAACCTCTAAAATAGTAAGAATAGCTAAAATATTTGATATTTAAAAAGTAGATTGTGGTTAAAAATTTAAACAATCAATTTAAAATAAAATAGCCAAATATTTTGATTTAATTACTAATAAAATTTAACAAGATTATATTAAAGGAATAAAATTTAAGTGTCACTTTAATGAAGAGAATTTCAAACTAAAAAAGAAAATTATTCTAAAATTAAATAGCATATCTTATTAAACTTTATATTTTTATATTAACTTTCTAAAAGATGGCTGAATACATACTTGATTTTTTAATAATTTGATTTAAATTTTTAACTAAGAAAAAATAAATATAAAATTATTGGTTTTAATAGTTGTTATTTGATATTAAAGTTAATAGATATACAGAGGGGGCGCAAAACTAAATGGACAGATAAAAAAAAATGATAACTAAGAAATTATTGATGGTCAATAACTCATTTATAATAAATATATCGAAGCTAATTGCCCGATCATTTCAGTATAGTTTTGAGCAGTGGTTCAATCTCATTCCTTTTTTATCAATCATTTATAAAATTTGGAAATTTGAAAAAAAATAAGATTTTTACAATTTTGAAATTTTTTCATAAAAATTAAAGGATAGTTAGATTAAGTTAATACAATAAATATTTTTAAACAATAAACAAATATATTATTTATTTCAATATTTTGTATACCATCCTTTTGATTAAATCACTTCTTCGATTCTTCTGGGAAATGATAAGATTAAATTCTTCAACACAGAGTAACGATCTTTGTTAAATCGCATCCATTTTTTTTGAGAAATTTTTTCTAATTCTTATAAAGAAGAAGGAGCTTATTTAGTTATCTATCCTTTTAAGAGGCTCCATATATTTTCGATTGGATTAACATCCGGGCTTGCAGGTGGATAATCTTACACGATATTAAAATTCATTTTTTTAGCAGTATTTTCTGAGGTTTTGCACCTCATAGAATGTTTGGGATCAAGATCTTCAAATATTATAGCGTCTTTCACATTAATATTCATTTTTTATAATGAGTTGACTAAAGCTTTTTCAAGAATTTGCTTTGAGTAGATTTCTCCAGTTATATTTTCTTAAATCATATGGAGTTCTCCTACTCCAACATAACTAATTGAACCCCAAAAACAAATTCCTCCACCACCATATTTTACAGACCCAATAACATTTTTAGGTTCAAGCCTCTCTTCCTTTTTGCATTTGATATAAACATTTCCACTAACTTCAGATTAAAATAATCTAAGTTTGGTTTCATCAGTAAAAATAAAGTTTTTTAAATTTAAGTTTTTACTATCTAATTGTTTTTTGATATTAATTGCAAAATCAAGTCTCTTATTCGCTTTTTCTTAATTTAAAAGCGGTTTTTTTAAAGGCAGGTAACCTTAAATTTAATTTTCCTTTGCTCTTCTAATTATAGTATCTACTGATACATTAAGATTAAGACTTTAGGAGACTTCTGCTTGAATGTTTTACCAAGATTATATATTATTTTATTAAATAATATTGATTATTTTGTTAGTTTTTACCTAAAAACTAAATGCAATTTTTTAACGACCTCCTTTACTTATTTCATTATTTTTTTACATTTTTAACTATTAAGGAATATAATTCATTTATTTTTTAATTCTATAAATTGATTATCTCTTTATTTCTCTATTAAATTTAGTTTTAAATTTTTTTAAAATTTCTTTAATATTAAATTATATTTAAAATATCAATGCTCCTTAAATCCAACCAGTTTATTTCTTGGTTAAATGTTTTCTGTAGTATTATGATTTACGAATTTTTCTTCCTTTTCCTTTACCAGGAGTCATCTTAGTTAATTTAATAGTTTGGAGTAATAATTAATTATAAAGTAAAATTAACTAATTAATAATATATTGTGTTTTTTGAGGAGGGTGAAATATCTTTTTTGAATTTTTGAATTCGAATTCAAATTTTGAAATTTTAATTCAGGATTTAGTTTTATTTGATCAAGAAGATATGTTTTTTGTTATATCCAATATCTCATATTATTTTCAAATGATTTACTTCTAAATTTAAAAAAATAAATTGAGAAATAAAAAAATTTTTTTTTTTCAGTTTTTTAAATCTATAAATTCAATAACTTAACCAAGAAGCAGAATCGCTGAATGTATTATAATTATCGGGCAAGAATATAATTTATAATAATAATAATTGAAAAAAGATTTAAGATATATGTTAAGAGTTCTATTAATTTTTTTACTGTCCATTTAGTTTTGCGACCCCCCTCCCCTGTATTACTTAAAAATTTTAATTTTATATAATTAATAAATAATTTTAGCCATTGTATTTTATTTACTCATGAAAAAATTCATGTTCAATCTATCTTGAATAAATTTAATTTTTAATAAAAGTAATTTAATCCCATTAAAATAATAAAACAAATTTATTTTTTTTTGAATCATAATTTTTACCCTATTATCATCAGAAATTTAGCAAAATAGATTATTATCTTAGAAAAAAAATAAAAATTTTGAAAAATATTTTGAAATTGGAACGAAATATCATTTTAATTTCTTGAATGGCTTCAAATAAACCATCAAAATGTATGTACAAACAAAAAATTAAAATTAAAATCAATTAAAAATATAAATAACCAAAATAATTTTTATACAAATAGAAATTAAAAAGGTCTTTAATACTTTTTGGTTACTCAATTTATTTTATTTTTTCTAATTTACATATTTTTATGAATAAAATAGCCACTCTTATTTTATATAATCTCTTCATTATGAATCCTTATTTTAAATTATAAACAATTTTATATAATTTTATAAATTTAACCTGATATAATATGCCAGACACAAATAGAAATTAAAAAGGTCTTTAATACGTTTTTGTTACTCAATTTATTTTGTTTTTTCTTATTTACTTATTTTATTAATAAAATAGCCACTCTTATTTTTTATAATCTCTTCATTATGAATCCTTATTTTAAATTATAAACAATTTTATATAATTTTATAAATTTAACCTGATATAATATGCCAGACACAAATAGAAATTAAAAAGGTCTTTAATACGTTTTTGTTACTCAATTTATTTTGTTTTTTCTTATTTACTTATTTTATGAATAAAATAGCCACTCTTATTTTTTATAATCTCTTGATTATGAATCCTTATTTTAAATTATAACCAATATTATATAATTTTATCAATTTAACTTGATATAATATGCCATACACAAATAGAAATTAAAAAGGTCTTTAATACTTTTTTGTTACTCAATTTATTTTGTTTTTTCTAATTTACATATTTTTATGAATAAAAATAATCACTCTTATTTTGTGTAATTTAAATTTTATAAAATAAAAAAAACTAATTCTTGTCTTTACAATTAATAAGATTAAAATTTTTCAATTATTAAATATATAATTGATGAATTTAAAAGAAAATTCAAACAATCTTATCTATTTTTGTATAATTAATCTTAACTCTTAACTAAATAAAATAAAAAATTGTGGCTTTATTTGTTTAGAAATTTATTTTTAATTTAAATTGGATAAAAAACTAAGATATGTAGAATAGTCAATATATTTATATTTAAGTTAAGCAAATTTGATTATTTTACTACTTATTCAAAGGTTAAATAATAAAGTAAAATCTTAAAAATTGTCATATAAATGACAAAGTTAAAATAATCAAATTGATAAATATTATTAATAAAAAAAATATATTTAAGTTTGGATCTTACAAAAAACTTATGAAATTTATATTTGGTGCTTGCTTATCCTTAATATTAACTAGTCTTATTGGATTAGGTTATCTGATTTATAAGGATACTCCTTAGAGTTAGTTTAATAAAATTAAGTCTGAATTCGAAAATTTCAAGAATAGATATAACTTGGAGTTCAATGATATCTAGGAAGAGTAGTACAGACTGTTTGTCTTTCATGAAAATTTCAAATAAATAGAACTAGATAATATGAATTCTGATAATGGTTTCATTTCTGGTATCAATAAATTTTCACATTTAACAAAAGAAGAATTCAAAGCTAAATATTTGAATCGTCCTTAAAGACCTGCTTCAGAAATGAAAACCAATTCAATTTTATCTTCTTAATAAAAAACTGACGAAAAACTTCCAGAAAGTGTAGACTGGAGAAAGTTAGGTGCCGTTTCACCAGTTAGAGATCAAGGCAATTGTGGTTCTTGTTATGCGTTTGCTTCTACAGGCGCTCTTGAAGGGTTGTACTAAATAAAAACAGGAAAGTTAGAAGTTTTTTCGCCTTAATATATTGTTGATTGTGCTAAACATTAGTTTTCAAGGGGAGGTAATTATTATGTTATTTATTTACTGTTTTTTCAAAATAAAATAAACACCTAAAAAGGTTGTCATGGAGGATATTCTTCTGGTGTATTCACTTTCGTTAAAGAAAATGGGATGAATTTAGAATCAAGGTAAAAAATTATCTTTAAATATCTTTATTTAATTATTTTTCTGACTTACTTACTTACATACTTACAGATAAAAGTTGATAAAATAACACTTTTACAAAAAAAAATACAAATTTGATTAAAACAACTAACTTTATTTGACTATCTTAACTAATTTAACTTTTAAGTAGAAAATTAAAATATTGTTTGATTTCTACTTTTAATAAAACAAAAATTAACTATAAAATACTTTTAAAATTAATAAATTCTTCAATAAAAAAATTTAATAAACGTTTTAATTAATTAAATAAATATTTTTTATTTATTTAAAAAAAAAGTTTAACTATTTTAAAATAAAAAAAAATTTAATAGATACCCTTATAAAGGTGAAGAAAATGACAAATGTTTAAATTAAGAAACTATCAAGTTTGTTAATGACTTTAAATTAATTAATTAGGGAGATTGCTAAGAGATAGAGAGAGTGCTTTTTAAACAGCCTGTATCAATTTCTCTTGATGCTGAGAAAGTGCAACATTATTAATCAGGTATTCTTAAGTAGTGTTCAGATACAATTAATATAAATCACGAAGTACTTGCCGTGGGTTACACATCTGACTATTTTATCCTAAAAAACTCTTGGGGTTCTGATTGGGGTATTGATGGATACTTCTATGTTTCTAAAAATAATAACTGTGGTACTTGTGATGGGGCTTCATACCCAACTTTATGAGTTTATCTTGAGATAAAATAAAAGAACTTACTTTTTTATGTTTTAATTTGTTTAGTATAATTCATTTATTTGCTCATGATTATATTTAAATTATATTAATTATTTAGTTTAAATATTTAATGTTATTTATAAATTTCATCTAATGTTTAATTTGTAAAAATTATTCAAACAAATAAATTATTTTATTTTTCAAAATTAGCTTTATATTTATTTACCTTATTCCCTCTATTTTCATCAGATATTATGATTAAAAGAGAATTTATATTAAAAATTTTAGCCATAAAAAAATTTTTTGTCCCTTAATTTATGCTGCACTTAATGAATGATGATTTATAGTATGTTATATTTACCAATATAATTTATTAGACTTGAAATAAATTTAAAATTAGAGCCACATTTATCTTTTGTATTATTTTTAAAAATAAATTGAGTAAGTAAAAATCATTTATTTTACACAATACAGATAAGTTAATTATTTTTGCTTTTTAAGACATATATTTTTATGAATAACAACAAAAATAAATAAATAAACAAACAAGTAAATATAAAATGTATTGAATACTCTATATTAAATTGCAAAGAAAATTATAATTTATTAAATAAAACACATAATTTTTATAAATTTGGATTTTGTTTTCATTTTTTTATTGAATAATTATTTAAGAATCTTTCTCTTTATTTTAAATTTATATAAAATAAATAAATGCTTTATTTAAGATTAAAATGAATTATAAGATAAATAAATAGCAATATTTTCAATCTCAATTTCTTTATTATTTATTTTTATAATGATCTAATTTATTGAAATTATTTTTTACAATTCAATAAAATAATATTTTTAGTAATTCAATCTTTAATATTGATTTGCTTGATTAATGAAGCTATTTGTTAAGGAAACATGAAAAAAATAATTAAGAAAAAGTGAGATATATTTTAAGTTAACTAATTTTGAAAGATTTACATGATTATTTCTACTTACATTTAATTAAAAGAGAAAAATTCTTTATTTTAGTTTGTATAGTATGAACTTGTTTTGATAAAATAGAACTAAAGATTATAATTTCAATCTAAAAATAAGGAATTTGATATTATAACAACTGTAGCTACAAAAAATACAATATATTATAAGATAAATATCCTTGCGCATTAGATCTAAATTATAACTTTTTTTGGTAAGTAAACTTTTTAATTTTTATTTTCATAATTAGTGTTTTTATTTATTGGTCATTGAATTTTTAACTCATGTTTTTTATTATTTAAAATAAATTTTATAATTTAAAAGAAATATTTGTTAATAAATAATTTATTTATTTATTTATATATATATATTTAGAGAAATTATTATTATTAAACTGATATAAATAAATTAGTGAATCATGATCATTTCTTGTTAAGCTTTATTTAATGGAAATACCTTAATTATTAGTATATCAATATTTCAATTAAATAACTTTTTAGAAATATCTTTAATAGGATTAAAAAATAATTAATTTTTGATTATACTAAATTTAGTAGATCATAATTCTAACTTAAAAAAAAATAATTACATTATATTACTTTTGCCTTCTCTTTTTTGTGTAATTAAATTAAATTCAAAGATATTAAGTTAAGCTATTAGTCAAAAAATAGTCTATAAGCATAATTTTAAGTTAAGCTTTTAGCTTAACACTCACCTTTTGAGTGAATTAAGATGTAAAGATATAAACAACCCCCTTAAATTTTCTCTCTTAAAAGCGAAGACCGCCAATCTTTGAAAAGAAGTTATTTAATAATTATTAAAAAATTAAATAAATTATTGATAATAAAAAAGATATGAAAATTGTCTTCGGAACTTGCATATTATTAATATTGACTAGTCTTATTGGACTAGGCTATCTTAACAACCAATCTACACCTTTAAGCCAACTTATCAAAATAAAACCTTAATTTGAACATTTCAAGAGTAGATATAACTTACAATTCGATAATAACTAGGAAGAATAATATAGATTAATTATATTCCATGAAAATCTCAAACAAATTGAGCAAGACAATAATGATTCTGACAATGGATTTGTTTCTGGTGTTAATAAATTTTCACATTTAACTGAAGAAGAATTCAAAGCTAAATATTTGAATCGTCGTTAAAGATCTGCTTAAAACTTTTAAAACTATCCAATTCTTTCTTCATAAAAAAACACTAATGAAAAACTACCAGAAAGTGTAGATTGGAGAAAATAAGGTGCAGTGTCACCTGTTAGAGATCAAGGCAATTGTGGTTGCTGTTATGCCATCACCTCTGCAGGAGCTCTTGAAGGCTTGCATAAAATCAAGACAGGAAAGCTAGAAATCTTTTCTCCTTAATACATTATTGATTGTTCTAATGGATAGTTTGATAATGCAGGTATTACAACATTTATAAATTTATATATTTAATTATTAATTTATTTTCAACTAAATGTTATTAAAGGATGTGATGGAGGTACTTCTGCCGGTGTATTTTAATTTGTATAAAAACATGGTATCAATTTAGAATCAAGGTAAAAAATGTTTTAAAAGATATTATTTAAAATAAAATGAAATAAATATTTAAATAAAATAATAAAAAATTACTGAAATGGTTGATTTAAATTAGAAAGAAAAATATTTTGGAATTTGAGTTAATCTAAAAATAACTTGTTAAAAAAATATTAAAGAAAAAAATCAATTAAAAATAAAGAAAAATTATGAATTGTTTTAGAAACAAAATATTCATCAAAAAAGCTTGTAAAATAAATACTTTAACTAATTTTTATCTTAAAAAATACTTAGATATCCTTATTAAGATAAATAAAATAAGAAATGTTTGAACAAAGAAACTATCTCATTTATTAATGGTTTCAAAGAAATTCCTAAAGGAGACTGTAAAGAAATAGAGAGAGTTCTTTCTAAACAACCTGTCTCTATTTCTATAGATGCTAGAAAATTAAAAAATTATTAATCAGGTATTCTTAAACAATGCTCTAAAAAAATTAATTTAGATCATGAGATTTTAGCTGTAGGCTATACTCCTGACTATTTCATCTTAAAAAATTCCTGGGGAACTGATTGGGGTATTGATGGATACTTCCATGTTTCTAAAGATAATACTTGTGGTACTTGCGATGATGCTGCTTATCCTACATTGTGATTTTAATTTAAAATATAAGATATTAATTTCTTAATTTATTCAGTTGTTTGTTTTTTTTTTTGTTAAAAAACATTTAAAGTAATTATATTTTATTTATAAATTAATTAAAACAAATTTTGAGAAATATTTTTAATATTATTTAAATTAAAAACCAAAAAAAACAAATATTTTTAAAGTATGACTTATAAAAAAAAATTTGATCGAAATATTATTGTAAGTTTAAATAAAATCCTAACTTTTATCATTTTATATTAAATCAATAAGACAAATTTAGGTAATTCTATCATCTTGAAATTAATGTGAGCATTCTTATTATAATATCTAATGTTAAAAATCAATATTCTAGTTAGTATTTGGTAGAATTTTAGCATAAAATGTAAAAAGTTTATTGTGTAATAATAAAAATATTAAATTCATATCTAACTGATTTTTTTAAGTTCGTTTTGCTGAGACAGCATACAGTTTTTTAAAAAAATTATTTATTTTGTATCTATATATCAATATGTTTTTATGTAAGTAAACTATATGTTTTAAAAATTAGAAATTTAAAAAAAAAAATCTTTAATGCAAATATTAAAATTTTTTTGCAAGATTAGTATAAAAATAATTTTCTAAAAAAATAAATATATTTGGAATTAGTTACAATATATACATTAGATAGAGTAATAGCTTGCTTGGTAAGTCAGCATAAATATTTGTATTTTAAATAAATTAACAAAAACATAAAAACATATTTTAAATTATTTAAAGTTTTGAATAACCCTCAGTTATGAAAAATATTGAATTAAAATAGCAAGTTATTGAAATTTATTTTAATTAATTTTACTTTTTAAAATTAATACAAAAATATAAAGGTGTATGTATTGATAAGATTAATATTGATTATTTAATAAATAAATATATTATAAAAAACAATTTTTTTTTTTTTGCATGATAAAAAAATTATTAAATTATTAATTAAATAACTAAAATTATAAAAAAAAATTTTAAACATTTAATATCTACAAAATTAAAAACAAACTTCTACCAAGACACAGTAAAATTTAAAAAAAGTATAAAATCCATATTTAAAGTAGCTTAATTCAATTTAATTAAAAAATTAATAATGAACAAAATATCTCTGTGTTTTTAGTCTCAGACATTAGAACGTAAATATTAGAAATAGGTTACTAAAATATACAATAAAATTTTTTAGAGGCTAATTATATGTTTTGCTATAATGGTCAGTATTCCTTCATTGATTATCTCTATATATATAAATAATCAACCAGGAATAATAGTAAGTTTGACAACCATAGGAGGTTGTTTTATTTTTTGTTTTTTCACAAATAGATATTCGTAATACTTCAACATCTGGATTAATGCTGTTAGCCTAATAAATACGATTTTGATATACATATAATTTGTGGTTTTGTACAATGATATCAATGTTGAAGACAAACGCTACCCTTTTTATATTGGAGGAACATACATCTGTCTAAAAACTACATTGGCGTACATAAGTCCTCATTTTCTCTTAACGATTACATAATTTACTGCTTCTAATTTTTTGTAAGCTATTATTTTTAAGATTTTTTAGATTGAATTTTTAAAAGTTGTATTATTTACAACAATTATAAATAACATTATATATTGTTTATTTAATTTTGCTATTAAATAGAATTATTTGGGCAATATGGGATAAGTAGTTTACTAATTACAAATATACCTTTATGGTGTCATATTTATTTTGGGTATACGCACTCTATTTAATACAAAAGAACAAGAGATAAATATTTTTGCATTAGATTTCTTAAAAAGGATGGTCTGAGATAATAAAAAGATTTATCTCTTAAAGTATAATAACACTTAAGTATGATGAAAAAAATAATGAAATTAAATTTGATATGATTAACAACAAAGCTTAAAAACTATTGGGAGTTAATAACGCTGAAGATTTCAAAGTATTTTCAAGAAAATCTATAACTTATAACCTCATTGAAGATTGTGGTGAGTATTAAGTAAATGAACATTATATTCAATAAGGTATATTCGATTAATTAAAATTAGCTTAAAAGGATTAAATGTAAAAGAATACTCTTGAAAATAAAATAATTTAGATATTTAAAAATAGTTTACCAAGTAATTAAAAGAATATGAGAAATTCTAAATTATTAAATGAAAAATTTAGTCAATTTTAATAAAAAGGTAGAAGTTTTAGTGTTAATAATAGTACTGCAAATAATTTGACAGAAGATTCATTTTATGCTTTATATCAAAAGAGTGAAGGATAAAAATTCTAAAAATTGTCAATAAAAGCTTCTAAATTTTAGAATCAAACTGATTATTATTGTTGTTTAGCTATTGAAGAAATAAATGACTATTAAAGAAATGACATACTATAAAATGTTAGCAGAGACAATAAATAAAAATTTTTTGAGTTCTGTTTATATTTAGGTAATAATTTATTAAATCTCTTTTCCACAATTATTTAAATAAAAGATAAAAATTGTTTATTGAGTAAAATAAATAAATTGACCTTTGTTTTTATTGAAATAAAAAATTAATAAGATTATAGAGGATGAAAATCTCCCATTCACTAAATAAACTACTAAATTACCCACTGCATTTTGTTTATTTAATAAATATATTTTATAATATAGGTGAAAAGCTTTAAATAATAATTTAAAATATAAGCAATTAGGCTATTATCTAAGTGAGTATAGTTTAGTGCTACAATAAAATTTATAATTATAAAGATTAGACTAAAATAATTCAAAACTAGTTTAATAAAAACTTTTAAAACTTAAAAGTTACATAAATATAACTAGGAGATTTATAAGATAAAATTATTCAAGGGTTTGCTGATAAGGTCAAAGAAGTTGACATCTAAATTTCATATATAAGATGTCATTCCTCTACTTTAATAAATACATAAGTAGATAAATTAATGCAATTAATATTTAATTTAATTGAAAACGCTATTTAATTTTAGACAAGGGAAAGAGTGTAAAATAGCTTTTGTAAAAATATGAATGAATTTTCGTAAATAATAATGTAAAATTAAGTATCTAAAAAAAGAAGTCCTACAAATCAAAAAAGCTATTGTAATTTTGGATAGCAAGTTTTTAATAGTAACAATTTAGGCATAAACTACAATACGTAATTATTGAATCAATCAAAAATCTAACAAAATATCTACATTGAAGAAGAAGATTCAAAATCTAGTTTTAGCTAATAATATCCTTATTCAAGCAATGATTTTGATGAATTTTATTAACAAAATAAAGTTTTAGATTCAAATTAAATAGAGATATAGTTTGAGCTTCTCTTAGGAGAATAGGAATTGTCTAATGTTATAAAAGTAACTGTTAAAGACCACGGTATAGGAATGTCTCTAAACTAAATGTTAAAAATATTTCAAATTTTAAATACTAAGAACATAGAATTTTCTTCTGAGTATTAAAATAATAACTTTTTAGGATGGAAAATTAATTATCATATTATTGGTAACCTAGGACCTTTTTATAATTTCTTTATAAAAAGCGAAGAAAATTAAGTAAATTAAATTAAATATTTTAACTTAAAATGAATTAATAAAACTTAGAATCTCCATTAACTCGAAAAAAATAATTTTAGAGTTTTTTGAAAATTTAAAAAAATAAAAATTTTTATAAAATATCATTTTAATATTAAAATTTAAAATAAAAAGGGATTAGAGTATCACTTCTATGTTTTTTAGGATATCAAGATATTATAGGAAAATAATCTAAAATAAAATATAATTTTCAAAAATATTTAATTTGAGATTTCTTTAGAATATTCTAATAAGAATTTTTATAATATCAACAGAATTGACTAATTAAAAGATTTAGTTAATAGATAATTAAATTTTTCAAATCTTTTAAGTAAAAAACTTGGGAAAATATCTCATTAGTAGACTGAATACTCCCATAGAAGTTAGCATAATAAGAGCTAATCAATTTATCAATAAAACCTGTGTCAAAATAAATTAAATTGTCAAATAAGCAAATAAAATACAGAAAGGTTAATACAAAACACTACTTTTAATAATAGTTAACTCATATACAAGTTTATCTAGGATAAAGTTAATATCAACAATAACCTTTAAAATAGTAAAAGTAGCTAATATATTTGATAATTAAAACTAAATTAGAGGTCAAAGTTCAAACAAGCCTATTAAAAATAAAATAAATTATCAAATATTTTGATTTAATTACTTCTGAAATTAAACAAGATGATATTAAGAGAATAAAATTTACTGAAAAAATGAAGAAAATTCATTGAATTTTAAACTATAAAAATAAATTATACCTCTATATTTTTCTATCAATTTTTAGATAGAATGATTGATTGATTGATTTTAGATTTATTTATTACTTGATTTGAATTATTAACTAAGAAAAAAAAAAATTAAAAGCATATTTTTAATATAAGCTCGTCTTATTGGATGAGGCTATCTTAACAACTAGTCTATATCTTTAAGTCAATTTATTAAAATAATACCTGAATTAGAACATTTCAAGACTAGATATAACTTAAAATTAGATAACAACTAGGAAGAATAATTAGATTAATTATTTTTCATATAAATCTCATACGAATTGAGCAAGGCAGCAATAAAAATGTCAACGATTTGCTTTTGTGTCAACAAATTTTATCATTTAAATGAAAAAGAATTCAAAGCTATATATTGAATAGTGGTTAAAAATCTACTTCTAACTTTTAAAGCCATCTAGTTCTATCTTCTTAAAAGATCAATGATGAAAAACTACCAGAGAGTGTAGTTTGGAATAAAAAAGGTCATTTTGGTTGTTATTATGTCCTTACCTTTACAGGTGCTCTTGAAGCTTCTATAAAATTAAGGCAGGAAAGCTATAAACCTTTTGCAGGTTTTGCAACATAAATTTGTTTATTTAATTACTATTTTTATATTTAAATAAATTTCACAAAAAGGATATGTATACAAATATGGTATCAACTTATAATCAGGTAAAAATGTTTTAAAATATATAATTTAAAAAGTAAAAAGATAAAAATAATAACTGAAACGTTCATTTAATTTAGAAAAAATAATTTTACTTTGTATATTAAAGTATTTATGTGAGTAAATAAGATGTTTTAAAATTACAAATTTTTAGAAATAAAATCTTAAATATAATTTTTTATTATATATTTGGAACGAAATATCTTAAAACTTTTATAAAAATTTGTAATTATTAAATTCAAATAAACAATAAAAATTAAAACAAAATATTAAAATAAAAAAATCAATTTGAAATAATTATATTATCTATATTTTTTATTCTTTAATTTACTTATAATCTCCTGTTTATGTTTCTTCTTTTAAATTAAGATAATTGTTATTCAACAGTTTTTAAAATATACTGTTAATTAGATATAATATGTGTTATTAAAAATTATTTTATGTTACTTTATTTATTTTTTTTTTTAGAGTAAAAAAAGAAAAATTTGATTAAATTTAGATAGTTAATAGACAATAGTCACACAGTTATGAAAAACACAAATTAATATGGAAAATGTTAGAAAAATATTTTTAAATAATTTTATTTTTTTAAATTAATACTAATATGTAAGATTGAATGATAAACAATCTAATAAATATTAACTAAAATTCATATTGATATATAGCTTAATGAATAAATAGATTAAAATTAAAAATTTTATTTTTGTTTGATTAAAAATATAAAGAATTTTGAAGTAACATATTTATTTATTATATTAATGCTATTCTAATTTATTTACATTACTAAAATAAAACAAAAAAACTTTAAACATTAATTATCTGTTAAAGTAAATACAAACTTCTACATAGACACAGTAAAAATAAATTAAAGAAAAACCCATATTTATAATAACCAAATCCAATTAAATTAAAAAATTAATAATGAATAAAATATCTCTAACCTTCTAGTCTCAGATATTAGAATGTAAATACTAAAAAGACTTTACTAAAATATACAATGTTATTTTTTAGAGGCTACTTTAATGTTATATTTTTATGATCAGTATTCCTTCAATGGCTATTTCAATATATAAATATAATCAATCAGGAATAATAGTAAGCTTGATATCCATAGTTGGTTTATCTTTTTTTTACTTTGCTACAAGGAGATATCCATAACATTTCAACATCTGGATTAATTTTCTTAGCCTAATGAGTTCTTTTTAGATTTATCTACAATGTGCGGTTTTGTAAAATGATATAAATACTGAAGATAAATTCTAAACTTTTTATATTGGAGCATAATACATTTGTGCAAAAACTATATTGGCATACTTAAGTTCTAATTTTCTTTTAATGATTACATAATTTATTGCTTCTAATATTCTGTAAACTATCTTCATTTTTAAATTATCATCTTTAAAGACTTTTTATATTGAATTATTGAATTTGTATTATTTACCACAATCTCAATTTATTTATTTAATTAATTAATTAATTTTGCTATTAAATAGAATTATCTAGGGAATATGGAATAATTAGTTATCTTTTTACAAATATATTTTTATGATGTAAATGATTTTCTGGATATTCACACTCTATTTGATACAAAGGAACAAGAGATAAATATTTTTGCATTAGTTTTCTTAAAAAGAATGGTCTTAGATAATAAAAAGATTTATCTCTTAAAGTATAATAACTATTAAATATGACGAAAAAAATAATGAAATTAAACTAGATATGATAAACAACTAAGCTAAAAGACTATTAGAAATTAATAATCCTAATGAATTCAAAGTATTTTCAAGAAAATCTATAATTTATAGCCACGTTGAAGAATGCGATGAGTATTAATTATATGAAAATTATACTCAATAAAGTATATTTGATAAATTTATAGTAACTTAAAATGATCAAAAATAATAAAAGAATAGTCTTGAAAATAAATTAATTTAGATATTTAAGAAAAGTTTATCAAGTAATTAAAAGAATATGAAAAATTCTAGTTTTCTAAAAGAAAAAAATAGTTAATCTTAATAAAAAGGTCTTACTTTTGATACTAATAATGATACAACCAATAATTCTCTAGAAAGTTCATTTTATGCTTTATATCAAAAGAGTGAAGAATAAACATCCTAAAAATTGTCTATTAAGGCTTCTACATTTTAGAATCAAATTGACTGCTATTGTTGTTTAGTTATTGAAGAAATAAATGACTATTAAAGAATTAATATACTATCAAAAATTGCCTCAGACAATAAATAAAATTTTTTTTAATTCTGCTTATATTTAGGTAATAATTTATTTAAACATTTTTCCATAATTATTTATATAAAAACAAACATAAAAATTTAGCAGTGGGTAAATAAACAAATTGCTCTTTCTTAAATCTTAACTCTCAAAGTTTTTATATATAATGATAATCTTCCATTCTCTAAATAAAGTACTAAACTACCCACTGCATTTTATTTATTTATTTATTTATTTAATAAATATATTTTTATAATATAGGTGAAAAGCTTTAAAATATTATTTAAAATATAAGCAATCAGGCTATTATCTATGCGAATATAATTTAGTGCTACAATAAAATATATAATTATAAAGATTAGGCTAAAATAATTCAAAATTAGTTTAATAAAAATTTTTAAAACTTAAAATTTACATAAATAAAACTAGGAGATTTATAATATAAAATTATTCAAGGGTTTGCTGATAAGGTCAAAGAAATTGATATCTAGATTTCATACATAAAATGCCATTCCTATACTTTAATAAATACATAAGCGGATAAATTAATGCAATTAATTACTAATTTAATTGAAAATTCTAATTAATTTCAGACAAGGTAAAAAGTACAAAATAGCTTTTGGAAAAATATAAATGAATTTTCGTAAATAATAATGGAAAATTAAGTAGTTAAAAATCCTACAAATCAAAAAAGCAAGAGTAATGTGTGTTAGCAAGTTTTTAGTAGTAACAATTTAAGCATAAACTACAATACTTAATTTTTAGATCAATCAAAAGTCAAATAAAAGATCTAAGTTTAAGAGGAAGATTTCAAATTTAATTTTAGTTTTAGTTAGTATCCTAATTCAAGCAATGATTTTGATGAGTTTTCTTAACAAAATAAAGTTTCAGATTCAAATTAAATAGAGATATTGTTTGAGCTACTCTAAGGAGAATATGAATTGTCTAATGTAATAAAAGTAACTGTTAGAGACCATGGTAGAATGTCTCTAAACTAAATGTTAAAAATGTTTCAAATTTTAAATACTAAGAACATAGATTTTTCTTCTGAGTATTAAAATAATAACTTTTTAGGATGGAAAATAAATTATCATATTATTGGTAATTTAGGACCTTTCTATAATTTCTTCATAAAAAGCCAAGAAAACTAAGTAAATTAAAATATTTATTTCAAATTAAAATGCATTAATAATAGAAAAATAAATAAACAATTTTATAATACATGACTTTAATGTTACAAATTTTAAAAAAAAGGGATTAGAGTATCACTTCTATGTTTTTTAGGATATCAAGATATTATAGGAAAATAATCTAAAATAAAAAATTATTTTCAAAAATATTTAATTTGAGCTTTCTTTAGAATATTCTAATAAAAATTTTTATAATATTAACAGAATTGATGAATTAAAAGATTTAGTTAATAGATAATCAAATATTTCAAATATTTAAAGTAAAAAAATTGGGAAAATATCTCATCAGTTTACTGAGTACTCCCATAGAAGTTTGTATTATAAGAGCTAACCTTTTTATCAATAAAACTTGAATCAAAATAAATTAAAAAGTCAAATCAATAAATAAAATACAGAAAGGTTAATACAAAACTCTACTTATAATAGTGAACTCATATATAAGTTTATGAAGGATAAAGCTAAAATAAAAAATAACCTTTAAAATAGTAAAAGTAGCTAAAATATTTGATATTTAAAATTAAATTATAGGTCAAAGTTCAAACAAATAAATTAAAAATAAAATAATCAAATATTTTGATTTAATTACTACTAGAATTTAACAAGATTATATTAATAGAATAAAATTTACTGAAAAGTGTTCTATTAATGAACAAAATTTATTGAATTTTAAACTAAAAATGTAAATTATTCTTAAATTAAATAGCATAAAATCATAAAAAACTCTATATCTTTCTTTCCATTTTTGAATAGAATAACTGAAGGTAAAAATATTTAATTTAAAATAAAAGTTAATGAAAATTTAAATAAAAAGAAAAACAATTACTAAAATGATCTAACTTAGTAAAAAAATATTGTTTATGATTTTGTGTAAATATAAAAATAATTTGTAATTTATTTAAAAGAAAAAAAATTAATAAAAATTTTGAATTATTTTAGAAAAAAAAAAATCTTGAAATTATAGAGGGAAAAAAATTTTTTACAAATATTATATAAGAAAATAAATTTTTAATATATACATAATCTTTAAATTTAATAATGTTTATTTCTAAATTTTATTTAAATCATTACTATTAAATAGCAATTATTATCTTTTAATATTGCAAGGTGATATTTAAAATTCTTAATAGCCCTCAGTTAGGAAAATTATTGAATTAAAATGGAAATAATAGAAATTTATTTAAATTAATTTAAACTTAAAAAATAAATAAAAAAATATAAAGACCTATAAAAAACAATCAAATATCGATTAAGATTAATATTGATTATCTAATGAATAAATATAATATAATTAACTATTTTTTTCTGCATGATTAAAGTATTAAAAATAATTTCGATATTATCATATTTTGTATATAAATAAATTATTAATTAACGTTACTAAAATAAATTAAAAAAGACTTTTAACATAAAATATCTACAAAAGTAAAAATATAAACTTCTACAAAGACGCAGTAAAATTTAAAAAAAGTATAAAATCCATATTTAAAATAACTTAATCCAATTTAATTTAAAAAATAAAAATGAATAAAATATCTCTATGTTTTTAATCTCAGATATTAGAACATAAATACTAAAAATAGGTTACTAAAATATACAATCAAATTTTTTAGAGGCTAATGATATGGTTTACAGCTTTGGTCTGTATTCCTTCTTTGATAATCTCTATATATATATAAAATATATCAGGAATAGTAGCATCTTTGTCAGCGATAGGAGGTTGTTTTATTTTTTGTTTTGCCACAAATAGATATTCATAATACTTTAACATCTGGATTAATGTTGTCAGCCTATTAAATTCGATTTTGGTATATATATAATTTGTGGTTTTGTACAATGATATTAATGTTGAGGATAAACGCTATCCTTTTTATATTGGAGGAACATACATTTGTATAAAAACTACATTGGCGTTCTTAAGTCCTCATTTTCTCTTAATGATTACATAATTTACCGCTTCTAATATACTGTAAGCTATTTTCTTTAAAGGGTATTATCCATAAAAATTATATTATATTATTTATTTAATTTTGTATCAAATAGAATTATATATGGACTATGGGATAAGTAGTTTTCTAATTACAAATATACTTTTATAGTGTCTTATTTTTTCTGTGTATATGCACTCTACTTAATACAAAAGAATAAGAGATAAATATTTTTGCACTAGATTTCTTAAAAAGGATGGTCTGAGATAATAAAAAGATTTATCTCTTAAAGTATAATAACTATTAAATATGATGAGAAAAGTAATGAAATAAAACTTGATATGATAAATGACTAAGCTAAAAGACTATTAGAAATTAACAACCCTGAAGATTTCAAAGTATTTTCAAGAAAATCTTTAATTTATAACCTCATTGAAGATTGTGGTGAGTATTAAGTAAATGAACATTATATTCAATAAGGTATATTTGATTAATTAAAATTTGCTAAAAAGGATGAAATATAAAAGAATAGTCTTGAAAATAAATTAATTTAGATATTTAAGAAAAGTTTATCAAGTAATTAAAAGAATATGAAAAATTCTAATTTGCTAAAAGAAAAATATAGTTAAATTTAATAAAAACGCCTAAGTCTTAATGCTAATAATGGTACTACGAAAAATTATTCAGAAGATTCATTTTATGCTTTATATCAAAAGAGTGAAGGATAAACGTTCTAAAAATTGTCAATAAAAGCTTCTACATTTTAGAATTAAACTGATTGTTATTGTTGTTTAGTTATTGAAGAAATGAATGATTCTTAAAGACATAACATACTTTAAAATGTTGCCAGAGACAATAAATAAAATTTTTTTGAGTTTTGTTTATATTTAGGTAATAATTTATTTCCACAATTATTCAAATAAAAACATAAAAATTTAAAAGTGGGTAAAATAAATAAATTGCCTTGATTTTACTTGAAATTAATTTTGAATAAGAATATAGAGGATTAAAATCTCCGACACTCTAAATAAACTACTAAACTACCCACTTCATCTTTTTATTTAATAAATATATTTTTATAATATAGGTGATAGGCTTTAAAATATTATTTAAAATATAAGCAATTAGGCTATTATCAAAGCAAATATACTTTAGTGCTATAATAAAATATATAATTATAAAGATTAAGCTAAGATAATTCAAAATTAGTTTAGTAAAAATTTCTAAAACTTAAAAATTACATAAATATAAATAGGAGATTTAAAAAATAAAATTATTCAAGGGTTTGCTAATAAGGTCAAAGAAATTGACATCTAGATTTCATACATAAAATGTGATCCCTATACTTTAATAAATACATAAGCAGATAAATTAATGCAATTAATCATTAATTTAATTGAAAACTCTATTTAATTTTAGACAAGAGAAAAAGTATAAAATAGTTTTTAGAAAAATATTAATGAATTTTCATAAATAATAATGTAAAATTAAATAATTGAAAAAGAAAATCTTTCAAATCAAAAAAGCAATAGTAATTAGTGTGAAAAAGTTTTTATTAGTAATAATTTAGGCTTAAACCTCAATTCTTAATTATTAAATCAATAAAAAATCAAACAAGAGGTCTAAATATAAGAAGAAGATTCAAAATCTATTTTTAAAATGTAGTATCCTAATTCAAGCAATAATTTTGATGAATTTTATTAGCAAAATAAAATTTTAGATTCAAATTAAGTAGAGATAAAGTTTGAGCTACTCATTGGAGAATAGGAATTGTCTAATGTAATAAAAGTAACTGTTAAAGACTATGGTATAGGAGCGTCTCTAAGCAAAATATTAAAAATGCTTGAAATTTTAAATACTAAGAACACAGATTTCTCTTCTGAATATTAAAATAATAGCTTTTTAGGATGGAAAATTAATTATCATATTATTGGTAACTTAGGACCTTTTTATAATTTCTTCGTAAAAAGTCAAGAAGACTAAGTAAATTAAAATAAATATTTTAACTTAAAATGCATTAATATTATATCATATTCCTCCCCTCCATTCACTTGAAAAAAAATAATTTTTGATTTACTGAAAAAATATTAAAAAAATAATTTTTTGTAAAACATAATTTTAATATTAAAAATAAATTAAAAAAGGGATTAGAGTATCACTTCTATGTTTTTTAAGATGTTACAATATTAAAGGAAAATAATCTATCATAAAAAATAATTTTCAAAAATGACTAATTTGAGCTTTCTTTAGAATAGTCTAATAAGAGTTTTTATAATATCAACAGAATTGACGAATTAAAAGAGTTAGTTAAAAGATCATCAAATATTTCAAATCTTTTAAAAAAAAGTAGGAAAATATCTAATTAGTTTACCGAATATTCCTGTTTGTATTATAAGAGCTAATCAATTTATCAATAAAACCTTAATCTAAATAAATTGAATAGTCAACTCAGCAAATAAAATACAGAAAGAGTAATACAAAACTCTACTTATAATACTTAACGCATATACAAATTTATCAAGGATAAAGTTAAAATAAATGATAACCTCTAAAATAGTAAAAGTTGCTAATATATTTGATATTTAAAACAAAATTATAGGTCGAAATTCAAATATTCTATTTAAAAATAAAATAAATCGTCAAATATTTTGATCTAATTACTACTGAAATTCAACAAGATTTTATTAAGAGAATAACTAAATAAGTGTTCTTTTAATGAAGAAAATTTATTGAATTTTAAATTATAAAAGCAAATTATTCTAAAATAAAATAGCTTAGAATCTAATAAAACTTAATATTTTCTATCTATTTTTAGATGCTAAAGGTACTTCTGCTGGTACATTTTAATATGTTCAAAAACATAAAACACGGTATCAACTTAAAATAAAATTAAAAATGTTTTAAAAGTTTTTATTTAAAATAAAATTTTATGAAAATTTAAATAAATTGATAAACAATTACTGAAGTGATTGATTTAATTTAGAAAAATATTGTTTGTCTATAATTTTGTGTAAATCTAAAAATAATTTGTAAAAAATTAATTAAATGAAATAAATCAATTAAAAAAAAAAATTGAACAAAAAGCATGTAAATAAATTAACTAGTTTTTTAATATTAAAAAATAACTAGATATTCTTATTAAGGTAAATAAAATAAAAAATGCTTGAATAAAGAAACTAACTCCTTTATAAATGGTTTCAAAGAAATACCTAAAGGAGACGTAAAGAAATATAAAAATTTCTTTCTAAACAACCTATCTCTATTCCTATTGATACTAGAAAATTAAAAAATATTTTAATCAGGTATTCTTAAGCAATTATTTTAAAAAATTAATTTAGAGCATGAAATTCTAGTTGTAGGTTTTACAATTGACTATTTCAACTTTAAAAATTCTTTATGAACTAATTGGGTTATTGATGGATACTTCCATGTTTCTAAAAGTAAATCTTCTGGTATTTGTGATGATGCTTACCCTGGATTTTTATTTTAATTTTAAAATATAAGTTTGAGTTACTTGTTTTTTTGCTTAAAATTAAAATTAATGATCTTTTAATTATTTATTAATTAAAACAAATTTTAATATTTTTTTAAAACTTATAATTTAAAATACAAAAAAACATATTTTTTATTTTCTAAATTTTATTTGCTATTTTTTATACTGGTTTGTTATTTTAAATAAAATCAGAATTTTTTCATTTAATATTAAATCTCTTGAACAAAAATTCAGATTATTTTATCTATCTAAAGAATAATATGAATATTTGTTATTAAGTGAATGTTTAAAATTCAAAATATTAGTATTCGTTTTGGAATAATTTTGCACAAAATACAAAATGTAAAAAATTTATTATTAATAATTCGTATTATTCATTGTTAATACAAACACTAAATACCATCAATCATTATTAATTAATTAAAAACTCTTTATATTAAGACCACTTTTTAAAATTTTCTGGAGTTTGATTCTATTAAGGCCTCTGAATAAAAACATTTAAAATATAGAAAGAGTAAAATTAACTAAAATCATAAAAATTAAATGAAATATCACCATATGTATCAACACAATATGTGATATTTTAATTTCATGATTAGAAATAAATTATAATTATTGTAAAAAATTGTAAAAGAAATTATATTAACACTTTAAATACTTTCTTTATAGATAGATATATTATTTAAAAATAGTAAAGTACTTTAAAAAAACCAAAAAGAAAAAATCATGATTAATAGACAAAATTTTAATTTATTTTAACCACACAATATCTAACAAAGCAAATTTGATTATTAAATTTTATGTAATTTAAATATGAAATAGGTGTTTTTATCAAAAGTAAAATACTTTATAAATTGATTGACTGCCATATATTCAAATAAATTATAATTTTGTTAAATTTATAAATTTTAAATTTATTCATTTCAAAAGAAAATGAAATATTTATTGATAGTATTTCTATGAAGTAAGCTAAATAAATTGTATTGTTTAATAACTTATATTATAAAAATTAGTTTTGAAGGATAAAGTGTTATTTGATCAATTTAAACTGTCTTATAAATATATAATTAATGTAAATAATTTAAAGATTGTAATTGTTTATATCAAGTTAAATTTTACCACACCTTACATACAATTTTGATATTAATATCTAATTTTTTTGGTAATCTAAATTATATAAAAATCACTCAAATTAAAAGATATAAGTAATCCGACTTCGTAAAACTTTAAAAAAAAGATAAGAAAAACAATATATATTTAATTAAATTTATTACATGATACATGCAAACAATTTTCAGAAAAAGACAATTTATGATTTAAAAAAAGATGAATAATTCTTTTAAATATTTTAAGCTTAAAAAAGCAAATAATTATAATTTTTCTAAACTAGAACCATTAAATTGTAAAAAAAAATTAAAAACTGAAAATGATTTGAATCAATTATTTAGTAATTTTGGATACAAATTGATTTTTACTGGAATAATATTTTCAATAATTATGATAATGTAAATCAATAATTTTGAGTGAATATTTATTTTATATTTATATCTCAAATATTACAAAATATCTTTATTGCTAAAAAGTAGAAAGAGTAAATAAATACAATAATTAGATAAGAATATCTTGCTAAAATGGCAATTTTAGGTTTTATTATTTTTTTTTACTGATTATTTTAAAGGACACTATCCTTTTTTTAAAGGAATTATTTACTATAACTTGAATAGATTAAAAATAAATTTTACTAGACCTATTATTTATTGATAAATGATAATTACATCAGATATAAGTTTATGAAAAAGAGTATTTGAAAGGTTAAGCATTAGGAAAAACTCTTTATTATCTTATTATTCTCTGATTGGTAGTTTCTCTACTAAACAGATTTTATGAGTACTTTTGCTTTAAATAAATAATTATTTTTTGCTTTAGATAAATAATTATTTTTTGATAAAATAGAGTAAAATTATATTAAATAATGTCTTATTTAAGATTTACAAATAGATATTTTATTTATTCACATGATAGAGTATTAATTAATAACTTTTTAACTTTAAATCAAATACATAAAATTAAGATATAAATTAAAAGGGTTTGGTTGCCATCTTATTTAGTTTCGATTCTGATAAAAAAGTAATTAAAAATATTGTTTACAGAGACAATATTTTATTAAATAAATAAAGAGAGTAAGTGAATTAAAAACTATTCCTTTTACTAGTTTGAAAATATATTGGTAGATTTACTTAGATTACAAAATGAATAATGAATGATAAATCACAATTTTAATGTTTGTTAACTTTATGGTATATATTTTGTTTGTAATTTAATTAAAATTAAGATGAATAAGACTTTTTTTTTGCACAAAATCTATTAATTGATTAATAATAAATATTGTATAAACTATATTTATATTTTTTAAAGTAAAAGTAAAGAGATATCTATCTATCTTTCTTTAATCATTTTAATATATCTCTTAAAGGATAGTTATGAATCGCCTTTCTCTTCATTTTAAGTCCCAAATTCTAGAATAGAGGTTTTAAAAAGAAATAAGGGGAATTTACAGCAAGATCTTTTTAAATATTTTAACAGCTTATTTTTTTATTGTAGGGATACCTTGTATTATTATTTCTACTATTAAATGGAATACTTCTGATGTTATAGTTTATTCAATATCTTCTTCAACATGTATAACATATAGTCTAGTGCTCAATTACTTTCCTTAGTATTATAATCTATGGATTAATTCTCTTAATTTATTTGCCTCCTTTATGATGGGAGGTTAAATATATTTATTTGGGCCAACTACCGGCATTCATGATGATTATGTCCTTTTTTATTTTGGAGCAGCTGGCTTTTCTCTTCACATAACAGTTGCTTTTTTATCATCCAACTTTATAATGACTCTAGTGTAGACTTTTAGCTCAACTGTTCTGTAAGTTTTACATATTATTTTACATCATAAACATGAAATTATTTTAGTAGGCTCAATAATTTATTCTTTTAATATCAAAAAAAGTGGCTTATTTTGTATGGATTTAATTTAGAGATAAAAAATTGATTGAAAACATCAAAAAAATTTGCTAAAAATTATATCAAATAATTGTTAATTTAATAATTATTAGGTATTATTCAATTTGCTGGTCACCACAAATTTATGCATATAAGTATGCATATGGGGCTTTCACATTATTTGTATTATTTTTCATATATCTGATATAGAAAAATAGAAGAGAGATATTTCTGCTGAGAGAGTATGAAAAGGATTGGGTTTAGATAGTCAAAAAGGGTTTATCTTCAAGTATAATTACTGTTAAGTATGACCAAAAAGATAATTCTATAAGCTTAGATATGATAAATGAATAAGCTAAAAAGCTATTATAATTGGCTACTCCTCAAGAATTTAAAGATTTTTCGAGAAGGACTGTAATTATAGACAAATTTGAAGATCATGAAGAATAGGAGTCGATAGCTAAACTCGAATAAAGAAACTAATTTTATATGCAATAAAAACAAAAGAAGGAAGATAAATCTAAAAAGACATTAGAAAATAGAATTATAAATATTTTAAAGATGCACATAATCCATAAGATGAAGCTAAATTAAAAATCCAATCCCAAAAATGAATAAAAAATGGACAAAAGTGTATATGTAGATGAAGAAATTATCCACTAAGGGATAGATAACTAAATTGAAGATTTATTCTATGGAATTTTTAAAAAGAGTGAAGATTCTACAGAAAAGAGAATTTCAATAAAGGCATCCACATATCAAAACTAAGCTGATTGTTATTGCTGCCTAGTAATCGAAGAAGAAACCAATAATTAAAAAGTAAAAATTTTAGAGAGGGTTAACAAAAGCTTTGAAAGGAATTTTTTTCAGTTCTGTCTTTTTGTAGGTAAAAATATATATTAAAATACGAAAATATATTTTTATGGTTATATCTGAAAACAAGCAATTTTTACCAAATTAAATAGATTAAAAATTATAAATTTGCTTCCTGCCTTCCTTTGATTTGATATTACTTGTTTAATCAAATTTATTATTACTTTGCTAATTAATAAATAAATTTCTTAAAATTAATAGCAAATTTATTAAACACATGTTTGATTTCATTAATTTAATAAAATAATGAAGCTGATAAATAATCAATAAAGTTAATTTTTTATTATTTTTACTTTAAATTAAAAATAACCTTTATTTCATTAATTAATTATCTTTTTAATATTATATTTTTAAATAGGGGATAAGCTTTAAAATATAGCTATGAATATCTAGAATGTAAGTAATATCAAAGCAAACATATGTTAATGCTATAACACTATTTATAACTATAAAGATCATATTCAACTAATTAAAAATTAATTTAAAATGAAAATAAACAACCTAAATATATCGCAAATAACTCTAGAGTAGCTAAGACAATCTATATTTCAAAGATATGTCAATAAAACTCATGAAATAGATTTAAAGATAAAATTTATAAATTGTAATTCTGATACAGTTGTAAATACGTTTGTTGAAAAGCTTAATTAACTTATTATGAACTTGGTAGACAACTCTGTAAAATTCCAACAAACTAATTAGTTAATTAAAAACAGATATTTATTTCCAGTAACTCCTCTCAAATAAAGCAGCAGATTTAGATCATTTAGTAAAAGCTAAACATATGTTCATAGTATTTTAAAGCCTAATGATCATGCAAGATTAGACTAAGATTTAACGGAAACGGTGATACTGCAGAAAGACATTAAGCAATTTAAAGATCTTAAAATTGACTTTAAAAATAGTTTAACTGCTTAAAAAGAAAATAATATATTTTTAACAAGTAAAGTAGACGTTGATGATATTCAATTAGATTAAAGATAGTAAAATGATTAAGTATCAATTAATTAAAATAGTTCACTTTAAAAGGATGTTACAATTTAATTTGAACTGATTAAAGGAGAATGTGAAGAATCCAATATTTTTAAAATCACAATAATAGATTATGGAAAAGGTTTAAGTCATCATAAATTGCTTAAACTTCTACAAATCATAGGAACTAAAAACCCAGCTTACAATCCTCAGTTCTAAAATTTTGATTATCTTGGATGGAAAATAAATTATCACATCATAGGAAACATAGGTCCATTCTACAATTTTTTTGTGAAGAGCAGTGAAAATTAAGTAAAAATTTTTTATCAATTTGCTTTGTAATAGAGATCTAATTTTTATATTTAATCAAAAATAGGGTTTAGAATATCACTTTTACATCTTTTAAGATATAAAAATTCTCTATCAGAATGATTAAAATCAAACAAAAATATTTTCAAACAATCATTTTTAGGAGTACTTAGAAAAATCTAATTAAAATTTCTATCACATAAATAATCTAAATGAATAATTGGCAAAGATCAGAAAATAAAGTGAAGAAAATAATTCTAATATTAAGTCTTTTACACCACTTTAACAAAGCATTAAATTTTCAACAGTCAATCAAAATAAAGTAGTAGAAAATAACACAGATACACACTCTCTATTTGGATATCAGTCAATGATATTAACTGATGATTTTACTTCTTAATAAATAATTCCTCCTAAAAACTTAAATTACTAATTAGCAACAAAATTCATTTTAGATAAAACACCTCCATCCTCACCAATAACTTATTTAAAATGGTTAAAAGAAAAAAAATGATAAAATAATTCCATAATATTTTATTATAATCTGACATATAAAATACTAAATTTTTGATCACTCTTTAATTACATTAAATAAACTTTCAAAACAAAAAATAATTAAGTATTTAAAATTAAAACTCAAAAAAAAAATTAATGAGATGAATTTATAATTTTATATTAATTAAAATCTTTTGCAAAATTATATTATTATCAAGAAGGATTCTGTTTATATGTAATCATCAGAAACTCATAAGTTATTATTCTCTTTTTAACTAATATTTAATTTCATTATCTTCTTAAATATCAATCATCCTTTATAAATTAAATTAAATTTATTTATTTAATTTAATATTATCCATTATAAATTTATTTATTTAATTTAATATATTGAAATAAAATAATTAAAATAGTTGAATATTATTTTGATAAAAAAGAATTAATTATTGATAAAAAAATTTATTTTATTTTTTAAATTTAGATTGTTTTATTAGTTGTTATTGTTGTATAAAAGATTTATTTCTAATAATTAAAAACTTATAAGTTAATTTATTTATCTTTCTTATTATCAAATTAAGAAACAATTAATTGTAAATTTGTCTAAATTAATGAAAATTTATAAAAAGTTTGATTATTCTATTATTTGCTTCTATTTTTATAAATGTTTTTTTTAATAAATATACGAAATATTTTTTGTATTTAGTTAAAAAAATACAAAGAATCTTTTTACAAAATTTTAAAATTAATATTTTCAAAAAATACCAACTTTTATAGGAATTAAATAAATGAAAAAAGCATTTGTGTTTATTTTATTAGCTGTTGCATCTTAATGCTTTTCTTTTGATTTATGGGGTGCTTTAAGTTTTGGGGCAACCAATAAGGAAAAACCTGAGCCAAAGAAAAAGTAATAAGTAACAGGACTAATGACATATTTTGAACCAAAAAGATTAGAATTTAATCTCCCTAAATGCTTGAGAAATATTGCTGATATAATTGAAGAAGTTGAAAGCTTAAAGACTCTAAATTCTTTTGAAGTAACTTTAGAAAAAGTTGTTGAAAAAGTAGCCCATTATTCTGAAATGCTTGTAAGTTGCGGATTTGCATTTTAGTATCAGCAAGTCTTTAAATTGTTTAATACTGTGAAAAACATGTAAATGGATCAACAAGGTACTTGTGGATAAAGTTAATCTGAGTAATGTGGAGGTCAAATGTTAAATATGGAAATCAAAGTAGCTAATTAAAGTGCTGAATAAACATTCTATTAAAAAATATTACCCTGTGCGACAAAAGTCACAGAAATTTTTACCTTTTACTCATCAAAAAAATTCAACTAAGATACAAATTACTTTGAAGAGTTTAGAATTTTTACACAATCAATTATCTATGCAGAGGAGTGTTCTCTTCTTATTTTTAATGATTTTATGGAGAGTAGTAAGCCCTGCTTGACTAATTTTGATAAATTAGTAACCTAATATCATGAAATTACAAAAAGTAGTAGCATATACTTAGGATTAATCTCTCAAGGTCCTACGATGATTAGCACTTTTAACGATATGGTTTCAGTTTGTAAGAATTAAATATTTGAAGCTATTTTACCATCTAATTAGAATGAATAATGATGACAATATCAACAAAATTTAAAAGTAAATCAAAAACGCTACAAATCTGATAATTAAATGTAAAATACAAAAAAAATGATTAATAAACTAATTTGAATTACAGAATTTAATATTCAAAAAGATATATTTCAGTTAATGTAAGCTTTTTTTTACTTGGCATCTTTAGGCAAACTAAAATGTTTTTAAAATATCTTCATATAATAAATTATTTATTTAATTATTTTATCTAATAATGGAATGATCAATAAATCATTAATAATTTATTTGAATATTTATGTTTTTTTATTTTCAGTTGAACTTTTAGAATAATAATTATAAAAAATTAATACTTAAAATAATTATATTTAATTTAAATATTAATATCATACTATAATAATATATTTATTTTACATTAATGTTATTAAACTAAACAATAAACATACTTAAAAAAGTTAATCGATAGATTTTTTATTATAGTTAATAGTTAGAATATTATATTTATTAATCTACCCATTAACAATTTATTGACTTTAAACCTAAGATATGCTTTTAATTTAAATATGATTTATAATGAGCAACATATAAATTTGGCATAAACTTATTTAATAATTTAAAGATATTTTTTATGTTTGATTATTGATTTATCATCTTTATCTAATTTATTATTATTATTATTATATTTATTTTTATAAATTTAATTTCCGCGAATTAGACAATTAATAAATATTCAAAATAAGAAGAGGTATTTAGGAGGGAAAGAAAACAAACAAACATCAAGTGAAATAGTAGAAATATAAGAAAAAGGAAATGTCAGCAAAAATAAAATCTACTTTAAAGTTTGTCACGTAATTAGTTAAGCTTATAGTTAGAGTTGTTAGGAATGACTAAAGCATAATTCTATTTAGAAATTGACATTCACAATTTAAAAAGGCGTTATCGAAGTTAATATTTATTAATTATTTTCAAAAGGGAAACATCAACCAGAAAAGAAGATTATAAAAAAATGAATACAGTATTATAATCACTATTTGATAATAGCGACTCTCTAGAGTTTAGATAACCTGTGGATTACTTAGGTAAAACGTTTACTTCATTAGAATATGCTTTTTTAACTTTTAATCAATAAAATTTAGCTTTAGGATTAACTGACTATCCAAATGTGGTTAAAAAGCCAATGGACTTATCTACTGTTAAAAATAAAATAAATACACAAAGTTATGACACAATAGAAGACTTTTTAGATGATATTTAATTAATTTGGGATAATTGTAAATTATATAATGCTTAAGGATCTGTAAATATTTTATTTATTAAGATACTTATAAACAAATATGATTAGTTATCGATACATAAATATATGTAAATCTTTTAAATAATTCATTTAATTATTAACAGTGGATTTGGAAGTTAGCAGATAAATTAGACAAGTACTATAAAAAGCTTATAAAAAATTATTTGCCTATGGTCCAAGTTCAATAAACAGTTGGAAGTAAATTAATTTACATATTTACTAAATATTGATCGATGATAAATTTTTAAAATTAAAATATTAGAAAAAGAGAAGAAAGATGATAAAGCAAGGTAAACTTAATTTTTTGAATGAGATAATGAACAAAGAATTTTTAAAAGAAAGATAATGAAATTGATTAATCTTTTTTATTAAGGTATTTTAATGAGCTAAAATATTTTTTATAAATTAGCAAATAATAAGATGTGTATATTGATAATTTTTAAGAAGAAAAAAGCTCATTTACTGCTAAAATTAAATAACTTACAGAAGAATAGTTAGGTAGTATAGTAGAATAAATTAGATTAGAAAATCCTTAAGCATTTATAAGATTAGATAATAAAAAGTTATAAGTTATTGTTGATAGCATCAGTTTTGAATCTTTATAAAATTATAATACGTAAATTTTGAATATTTTTTGAAAACCTATTGAAATTATTTCTATAAAAATAGTTAAATCGATAACTGGTTAATCCCTGTTAAGACTACAAATAAAAGAAGTAAAAATAATTGATAAATGATCTTAATTAAAATACTTAGTTTTATATCATAAAAATTATTTTGAATTTTAATTTTACATGTATGTACCACATTCATATTTTATAAAAATTCAAACTCAGGTGATTTTTTTTGTCTATTTTATTTATTATATATATTTTTTCTTAATTTTATAAGTAATATAAAATATTTATCTAAAAATATATCATCTGTTTTCTTATTATTTAATATTAAATTGATTTCTTTTGGTTTTTATTTAAATAAATTATTTGAGTATTTGTTAAAAACCAGCAATATCTTATAAATAGAAAAAACCTTAAATCTAAAAAGTAATCTATTTAAGATTGAAAATGAAAAGAAAATGCAATTATAAATTAATTTATACCCATTTATAAAGTCGTTTATTTTTTTATACTATTTAGTTTTAATAAAATTTATTTATTTCAAAGTAAAATAAGGACAATAATATTTAGTAAAATTTAAAACATGAAGATTTAAATTCATTTTTGAATTTTTTATTTATTTTTATTTTTCGTTTATCATTTTAAATTCTGAGTCAAAGCTTACCTTAAGTTTTAATGGAGAAAACATATGAAAAAATTTTCAAAAAAAAAAAAAATGCCAAAAAAAATTTAAAGATTTTTCATATTTTTTAAAAAATATTCAAATATAAAACTATTTTAAAATTAGAGTAGTTTTAATAATAATAAACCTTCTATTAATTTTATTATTATTTTTGATTTAGATTTATAGCTTATTTGGATATTAATAAAATAAAATTAAAAAATAAGATAAAATATGAATGAATTCATTTAAATAAAGAGTGTTATTTTCATTCAAATTTGTTTTTAAAGTAATTAATCAAAATAATTAGTCAATAAATTTATATTTACATAATATAAAAAATATATACAATATAATTATTTGTTTTTATAATAATTTTATTTTATTCTATATTTAAAAATAATTTAACTTTATTTTATTTATTTATTATTTAAACTTTAAGTGGCAGAGCACTATAAATAAGATAACAAAAAAGGTTTTTATGGACTATTTATTTATTTTGATATCAATTTTGTGATAAAGCTAATATATTTATTTATATATCATATTTATAATATAATTATTTTAATAAGTTAAGGATAGGTTTTTATTTATTTATTTATTATTAGTTTTTAAGTTGGAAGCTTTCTAGTAAATAGCTTATTTGGTTTGATAAATTATAATATTTTATTTGAAAAATTTTGTTTGCTTCATTAGAATAATTTTTTATTGATTAGTAGTGTTTTTTAATTATTTTAAATAAAATATTATAAATTCAAAATATTTAGTTAATTAGTTTGTGAGTGAGTGATTGAGTGATTTATTCTTGTTCAAATCTTCATCATTCTTATTAGATAAGCAAATAAAATAGGCTTCGAAAATTTAGTTTTATTAATTTTAGTATAAATTAAGGTTCCAGTTTTTTGTACGACAAATTAAAGAATTTGTTTTATTTCTACCAAAATTTCATGGATTTCCTACAAAAGTCCATTTTTAAAATAGTTCTTATTTTTATCCAGTTTAAGTTGTGAACTATAATTTGATTTTATTTAATTTAGTAGGGGAGACTTGAAATTCACGATCTTCAAAGATATCTTCGTTTTATGTGTACATTTATTAGGTAAGTTAGATAGACTTAGGAGGTTTTACGTTCCTTTATTCATTATAAAAATAAAAATTTTAATTTTCTATAAAAGTAATTAATTAATTAGTTTTTTACTTTTAAGCTAATTACTTCCAGTCAATGCCCTAGAAAAATGGATGTCTTTTAATTTGATCTGGAGTAGGTCTAAATCTTGGGTCTTTAGAAAGCAGCTAAATTTAAACAAAAATTTTAATTAAATTTTTAAATGGAAAATATGAATTACTTTAATTAGCAAGCTTTTAGCAGTCCTTGAAATAAAATTGGGAAATTTGAGCTGATTCATTTAAATATTGTTGTAAATTGTGTTCCTATAATAAAATAGAATGAATAAATATAAATTTAACTCTTATAAATAAAATATTCTACTCATCTTTTCCATAAAAGGGAGGCTATCCTGTAAGCATTTCAAATATAAATATACCGAGAAGATAAAGATCAATTGACTTTCCGTGACCCTAGTTCCTTAAAATTTCAGGTGGCATATAAGCAACTGAACCACAGAAGCTACGAGCACCCTAATCATATTCTCTAACTCCTTCTTTTGAAAGACCGAAATCTGTAATTCTCACATGTCCATCTTCAGCAATTAAAATATTTTAAGCTTTTAAGTCTCTGTAAATAATATCATGATTATGCAAATACTCTAAAGCTAAAAGAACTTCTGCAGCATAAAATTATGCTTTTGATTCAGAAAACCTGATTGCAATAAAAATTTTATTAATAAATTATTTGACTTATAGAAAAATTAATTAATTTGTTTGTTTGTTTGTTTGTTTGTTTGCTTGCTTGCTTGCTAACTTATTGAGAATAGTTTAATTATTTTATGTAAGAAAATAAAGTTTACTTTTTTTCAAACTTAAGATGCTAGAGGATGTCACCTCTTTTTCCGTTTTCTAATAAGAAGAAAAGTTTATCTTTAGTTTGGAAAGCTTTGTGCATTTTAACTATAAATGGATGATCAACTAACTAAAGGATATTTCTTTCAGTTATTGCATATTTGTACATATTTTATTCTATAATTTTTTATTTGTGAAGCATTTTGAGTGCAAATTATTTTCCAGTTTTTCTTTCTTCTACTAGAAAAACTTCAGCAAAAGCTCCTTTTCCAATTAGGCCATGCACTATATACTAGCTTGTATGATTAAGTATTGATTATGAGTGGAGGTTTGAGACTATGCTTTAGTTATTGGAGAAGAGATTGTGAAGGTCTTCTTCGTCATATTCAATTATTTGCATGTGGGCTTTAATATTTCTTTATAATTCCTTCTTTTGCACTTACTATCTGAAGTAAGTAATTAAATCCTCATTTGAGGATTCCTAGTATGGAAGCTTGTTATTATTGTTTCTTAAATTTATATCAAGATAGGGCTTTTTGAGAATAATGTCAAGAAGGTCTTTGTCCCCTTTTCATAAATTATTTTCATTATGAATATTTTAATATTAAAAAAATTTGTAAGCTTGAATCAAAAATCTATTTTCTAATTTTTAGAAATTTTTTGCCAGTAACTATAAAAAGTAAAAATATTAAAATAAGCTATATAAGAATTTAATTTATTTTTGGTAATAGAAATTCACTAAACTTTTTATTAATTTACCATTTAAAAAGCAGTAGTGAAGAGGTGTATTCAGATATTGATCTTGTGCATTTATGTTAGCGCCGGATTCAATGAGTAGAGCTGCTACGTCTTGCTTATTTTCTAAACAAGCTAGAATCAGAGGAGTCTGTCCTTAGATATTAACAGAATCTAAGTTAATATCTTTCTAAATTAAAAGGTTGCATAATGGGGTATTGCCAAAGTAAGCAAAGTAATGTAATGGAGTCCAGCCTTCATTAATAGGAGCGTTAAGATTTGGCATCAAATCAGATTCAGTTTACTAAACTAATTCTTTAATTTTGTCAGTTAAGTTTAGCTTGCATGCTTTCTCAAATTCTTTTTAGTTTTCTTTCTTTTTCTCCCTATTTATGATAAATAATAAAATAAATATTGAAAAAGCCTTGGCTTAGATTTGAAAAATAATGATTAATTTTAATATTTTCTTCATAAATCAATTCAAGCACATTATAAAGAAAAACCTTATGTAATTTTTAATGAAATTTAATTAAATTAGTAATAAAAGTAATCTTTTTATGGTTTGAGTGAGTTTGTAATTCATTGAAGTGAATTAATTTTGTTTAGTTAGATAGAATGTAAGTCTACGAAAATGAGATATATTATATAATGTTTTGCTCTTGAAGCAATATATTTTATATTTTAAATTTACAAAAAATTTAGAAGGAGAGATTAATATAAAAATAACTATAACAAACTAATAAATTAATTACCACCACTAACTCCATTAATTTGGCTCTTCTATTTTAATGCTAGGTATCACTTAATCAGTTATCTATTGAAAATCGTCTTTCTTTCTGATATCATACTCTTAGCCTATTAAATTATGATAATAACAATAAATTAGAATCATATTTTAAAAATTATATTTGAAGGATGGATCTGTAAAAATTTGTGCACGTTGTCAAAAAATTAGTAAAAAGCAAATATTTATCATTTTTTCATAAAAATTTGATGGGATTTAATAATGAATTTAATTAATTTAGGAATATTTTCTTTTGTCTTTTCGTTCGAATATCTTCTATAACGCTATTAATTTGCCAAATATTTTGATTTCTTAATTTTCTTAAGAATTGTTTATTGCTTACAGTTAGAACACTATCATAAATAATAAATACTCTCCTTTACAATCAATGAATAATTGAATGTAAGTTATTCAAAATTATAAGACTGAAGAAAATAAAATTAACCATATCTTGCCAGCAATAAAATTTCCAATTTTGTTACAAGATATCTTTTAAAATTTAGCAGAAATAAACAAAGAAACCACTTATCATTTCTATAAAAAACTTCAACTAAAAACCCTCTATTGAAATTAAATTTTGCTACAAACTCTATTATTATCTTTCTATCTATTGTTTGATTCTTAATCCCCAAAAAATTCAATTATTATTGATTTTATAAATCTATCTATTGACTTTTTAGATTCTCATTACACATTTAGGTTCGAATATCTAAGTATTTTTGTATCTATATATATAAATTTATTATTATTTCCTTCTTCTTTATTAGGTTATTAAAGAATTAATTAGCGTTGATAGAATATATCACTTAAAGCTGACAGATACATTTATATGTCATTTTCAATAGATAGAATAAAAACAAATTTATTGCACTTTCGTAAATAATATTATAGTCTTATTGATTAAAAAAATTATAATTTTTCTTCATTAAATTTTAATGAATTTTAAGATTTTTAAATAATTTAAGACAATTAATTGCTTGTGCTGTAATCATTATTTAAGTGCTATATAATTTATATAGACAAAAAGTGTTGATTTATTATTTATTACCTGTATCAATGTTTTTTATTTTATGAAATTAATCTCTGTTTTCTTTATCCCAGAATAGTTTTGACTAATGGGGCTCTCTATTAGAGAATCTCGTTTATGGCATAAATACTTCATCATCTAAAATTTCATCTGTGAACGTATTTTTATAGTAGCAACAAACACTTTCACCATCCTCATAATCTTCTTAAAGCTTTGCATGATTAGTTATGTCTTTGAGTTTATTTTATAACGAAAAGCCACGAGTGGCAGAGGTGGTTGTGCTAGAAATATAGCTTTAAGTATCTAAATTATGAAAATTGCCATCCCTAAAATGTTTGCGTAGATTTGATTAAGGGGTATATTAAAGCGATGATTAGGTATCCAACTTAACTTTTGATGAATCACTAGTTTTACAAATCTATTTAAGATCTATTCTTAGCTATTGATTCGATTAAATATACTGTTAGCTCTCACTTCTGTCCTAATTTAAGGCAATTATATTATCAGTTAGGCTATTCATGATGATATTTTAATTGATTTATATTGTACTTATGCTACTTCTCACTCACCTATTTCAAATATTTGCAAGGTGTTTGCTTTAGATTATATTTGTAAGATAGAATTCAGTTTTGTTAAGCAAATAAATAAATAATTACTTTGTTTCTTTTATTAATTATTAACTTTGTTTTTTTTGCTTGCCTATTTGCTTTTCTGCTTGTTTGTTTGATTGATTGACTGAATTATTGATTTGATTGTTTGTAATCAATTTTTTGACTTTAAATTAAATACTTAATGTTCTGATTAACAAAATAATAATAATTTTTTGTTTGTTTGTTTGTTTAATAATAATAATTATTATATAATTAATGATGCAAATGTTTTTCTTAATTATTACTTTCTTAGTTTTCTTATTAATTTTTTATTAGGCACTTATTGTTCGTTCCTTCATTCATTCATTTATTAAAAGTATTATAAATATATTTTTTGCTATTCAATATTTTTCATAAATAGTTAGCATTATTTTTTTTTTCTTGTCTCTTATCACGAAAGACATTATTTGAAGCTAAATCATTCAGTCAGTATAAATATTTTTATTTTTCTATTTTCTTACCACTCTAATGAATTTCTATTTTTAATTATAAATAACTAACTTATCTATGCATTTACATAAAATTTTTGCAATGAAGCTTTTTATTAATTAATTTGTTTAAACTTATTTTGTTTGTTATTATTATATGATTACTTTCAATAAAATTTATAATGTCTACAATATTTATCATATATGTTACTAAATAATTAGACCTCTTCTTTTTTCTACATAAAAAGTATTTATTTCCTATTAAATTATTTTATTTATTTTAATTGATTGAAAAGCAAAATTCTAAATTTAATAATTGTTAATCATTTTTTAATCTGTAAACTTAATCAGCTATTTTTAGAAAAAATCTATTTTTGGCATTAAAAAATTTGATATAACTATTATTAAGCAAATTTAGAAAAATTAAAACATAGATTAATATCTTCTTTCTAGTAATTTTCTTAGTTTAGTTTAGCTAAATTTAACTTTTTAATGTGTCATTAATTCGGAGAATTTATTTTATGGTTATTTGAGTGGTGTATGCATTAAAGGTCTTATTTTTTAGGAGTTTTAAAATTACAGAGTGAGCATCTTGCTTAAATAAAATTCTTAATTTTTAAAAATAAATAAAAACGTCTTTATTTTAAAGAGGCTGATAATATAATTTCAAGTAAGTATAATAATTAATATTAATTTGCTGCTAACTTAATTTATGTTTTATAATAAATATTTCATAATTTAAAAATGGAAATTTATTCATTTTTTAAAATAATTCTTTTTCAAACAAACATTAATCATTATTTGTATTCAAATAAAATTTTTTACAAAATAAAATTGTATTTATTAAATAATAAGAGATACTTTTTACTTGATTTTTAGAAATTAAGATTATCATTTTTTAATTATTTCTATTATTTACCTTTATAAAATTATTTTTATTTGATTTATTTTTGTTTGTTTTTTAAATCTTTAGATGGGAGGGATAAGGAAAGTTTTTAAAAAGGGATTGAATCTTTTTTTTAAAGATTTTAAACTAAATATTTTTCGCTTTTATCATTGTAAAAAGTGTCTCTAGCCCTCAGCATCAACTTACTAATTAGCCTATTTAGAAATAGATTTAAGTTTTAATAAATTAGCTTTACATTGTTTCTTATTAAAAATTAGTTATTTATGAAAGTAAATAAATTTCTTAAAGGTTTTAAAAATAAATGAAATAGATATTTGTCACTTGTTTCACTAGAAAAGTGTCTATTTTTATATATTTGCTTAGCTTATCAACTTATTTAGAGTTTTAAAAAAGATCTAATTAAATTAGAAATTGATAAATAAATACTTAATAATATATATAATACATTATATTTTAGGAAATAACTTAATTTGTTAAAGGTTTAAAAATAATTTAAATTGACTTTGAAGATATTAAATTAATTTTATTTACATTATAATTCTTATTATATTTTATATTAAGAGTATTTATTTATTTACTTACTTACTTACTTTTTAATTGATATTTTATATTTACAAAATTTGTTTGATATTCTATTTATTCTATTCTGAAATTTTTTATTTTTCATTTCAAAATTTGCTCTTTTTTTTCAATACTTTTGGTTACTAGTTATTATGGAGAGGTAAAACTTCAGAGTCATTTCCTAGCTCACCTGCAGAATACACATGACTTAGGCCTTTTATATATGAATTATAATAATCTTTGTCATTTTATCTACTTGATTAAGAGCTAACTTTTTTTGTTAGCAAATTTTATTAGTTCAAAACAGAAAATTTATAATTTTCTTAAGTTTGATGTTAATGCTGCAAGTTATAGTTTGGTGGAGTCCTAGCCAAGTTTCTTTGGCTTTCTACTTAAATTAACTTAGGGGAATTTATTAAATATCTTTTGTCAGTGTTGTAAGATTTTTTAGGAGATTTGTAATTCTTGTTGAATTTACTTTACTAAATGCAATTGATCAACGGGTTTGCTGTGCTCTCATCGATATTATTATTTAATATTATCGTTTTTAAAGCTTAGTTTTAAGATATATTTGGAAGTCCATTTTAGGTATTGTCTCCTTAGTTAAAATTCATGTTAACGTTTAGATTGTTAAATGCGCCTATTGTGGCATTCACAAATGTTACATTACCATAAGCAGCTATTGTTTGGCTATCTTTACTAATATTGTTATAATTATTCTAGATTGAACGATAATTCATTAAATTGTTGCTTTTCGACAAATCTCTTTATTCTTCTGTAAAGAAATCACTAAAAACAGCAGAATTAGTTTTACATATAGAATTTGAATTTTCTCCTGATCCACTTGATCTATTTTGCAATACTCCTGCAGGTTAAAAATAAGTTGGCTGTTCTTTATCTATACATTTTTAAGAGAATTTCTTATTTGTGTTATGAGATAGATTAGTGCTTATAACATCGAATACTTTCTGGTTTGCCAATGAAGAGTGTTGCAACTGCTTCACTTTAAACCATTAATTAAAAGAGCTTTGTTCATCATAAATTTCACTGACGTTTCCTGAATCGTTCAGCTCATTAGAGCTGTTAATATTATTCAAAGTTGTTTAGTACTTTTTATTGGTTATTTGCTAGTTATTTATGTTGCTATTGTTGTAAGTGTTATTAACGTTGCATTCCCCATTTTTTTCTTAGTTTTTCTATGAAGTGTTTTTCACTATTGAAGTTGTTTCGTTGTTATTTTTACCAGAACCTAAAGCGCTACTGTTAGCACCATTCTGGCTGACATCTTAAATCTATGGATTCTATATAATTTACTAAGTTAATCCTAACTTAACGTTATTGCTGTTATTGAATATTTGTGTCTTTATTTACTGAGTTTTAATAACTTCTAAATCAGAGAATATACTAAAACTAGTGAAAAGTATATTTTTATCTGACCTGTGAAATTCAATTTTATTATATGGTCCCATCAGTGTAACGAGTTTAATAGCAATTCTTAAAGATACGAAATAATTCTAGTAGACTTCATAATCGTTGTATAATTCATCGATGTTGAATGTTTATAAATTAATTTGGTTTAATAAATCGCTATCATAAGTAGATTGTATTTAAATTTTGAAGCAATTCGATATTGTTTGATCATTAGTTATGCGTATCGCTAAGTATCCGTCCATGGGAGCATTTACCATCAAGTGTTCCAGAATCATAAAAAATATTTGCTACAGTCTCTCTTCGTCAGTAGAAATTTTGTCTTAGTTTGTGGTGTTTTCATAATAGGTTCTGATTCTCTTGCCTACAATGTAATGCTTTAAAGATCTTAAAATCTTATACATTTCAGCAGTAAGAGAGAACTCGGTGACAGAAAACTCGTGTTTCGAGGAATTTTTGAATTCAAAATACTACAGATAGCTGTTTACTCTGTTCATGCACTTGACATTATGGTATAGCAATTGATTTAAAACAGACTAATTATTGATTCTGTTCAATTCATTGAGTACAACCAAGTAACTTTCTTTAAATTTCTTGAGCTAAAAGCTGAATATCTTTTCAAGAAAAGTGCTAAACTTAATTTGTTTAATATATTTTTCTCTGTATGTCTCGTTTTCAATAGTAATAACTGCGAAGACTTCACTAAGAGAAAATGTGCTCACTCTTATGAGCAATTTTTTGTCAACATCAAACCCATTTGGACGATAAGTACCGATAAATTCACTTACTTTCTTAGTATTTTAAGAGTTAGTGTTTTGGTTTATGTTTTGATTAGAAGTAGATTAGATAGATTTCTTTTTTTACCTGTTGCTGCTTCCTGTGTTAGCCTAAATTACATCATTTATAGTTTCTATAATTCCATCTAAGTTATTTAAAACGTTTGGAGTTTTTTGATTACTCATCTTTCTTTTATTATTAATTGTTTCTTACTCAATTTTCTGTCTTATTAACTAGTACAGAGTGAAGTCTCTTTGCATCCCTCCTTGAGGATGTCCTTAATTAGGAATGCATTATCCGCTAATAGGAATCTAGTGCATTCCCTTTAAAATACGATTTAAATCCTTCTCATTTTAAATAATTTCATTTTTTTAAACTAGAGTGCTCCTTGTAAATTTTTGGAAATTATCATTATTAGTTATACCTAATTCTCTGTTAGCTTTTTTATTTGCTTGTTCTAGTTCTACTCTAGATTCTTTTTAATTATATTTAGCAATAATGAAATTAGTAGGTAGAACATTTTTTATAATTTTATTCCATTCTTCGTCTTTCCTTCTTAGTAAAAAATCCTATCTTTTATTTTTATCTTCCTCATAAATCTAACTCAAGAGTATTCCCAAACATGCAAATCCAAGAGGAATTTAGATAAACGGATTTTAGAGTTCTTTTAAGCTTATAAAAATTAAAGAAACCATAGTTACTGTACAAAAGCATGCTTTCACAAGAAATTTAGTTCCTATAAAACCTCTATTAATAATTATAGCCAACAAAAATCCTTCAAGAAAATGAAACTGAATTAGAGGTTTTCCATAAACGGTGCTATTTGAGGAGATTCTAGAATCATCAATAATTTAATTGCTTGATGGAAATAAGCTATCACTGATATTTAGCTCATAGTAGATGAGGATTAAATGATAAAAAATATTGATAAATTACTAAAATGAGTAAAATAAATTAAACTTATTAGGAATCTAATAAATCATTATAAGGCTTGCTACAATACTTATTATCCATAAAATAAGAAACGCTAATATAAAATAAAATTAGTTAGTGCTGAGCTGACTACTTTCATTAGAATTATTGCTTGATTTGATTTAATTTATAGAGAGATAAACCAAATTTACGAAGCTAATTATTAAATATATAAAAAGTAGCGGTTTAGATTGCCTCTTGCAAATATCAATCTACTACAAATGATATTCTCTTTCTAACCCTTTAGATTTTAATGTAAGAGAATATTTTTGCATTTTTATGATGTCCTCTGCTATATTTGTATTAAGATTTACCTACTTTCTCAGCTACAAGTTAATATTTTTTATCTATTTTTTTGCTTGTTTGATTATTTGATTGAAGCAAGTTTTACTTAATAAATATTAAAAAAATGTAGTATTGATTTATTTAATTAATGAATTAATCGATTGATATCTTGCTAATTACTTTTAAAGCAAGTTTGAAATTTATTTGATTACTTTATTTTTGCAATTTATTAATTATCGAATGCAAATCATAAATTATTAATGCAAATTTAATTAATTTACTGGTAAAAACAATATTAAATTTACATATAATTTTCTCAAAAATGATGATAAGCTGCTCTTAACTCATTAATTCACTAGTAAAGATAATATAATTACATTTAATTATTTATTTGTAAAAAGAAAACCTAAATAAATTTTGTATAAGATCGTTCATTTACTAATTGATAATCCGTAACATTAAAGTCAATTTATTCAATGTTATCAATAGTAATAATTTAGAATTGTATTTATTATAAATATTCATTAATAAACTCCAAATTTAGTTCTTACTTTTACTATTTCATAATTTAATTAATACGCAACTAAGATAGCCTTCTTTCTATAAGCCCTTACTGGAATAAATATTGACATATTAATAAAAACAATGCTAAATTTATTAAATTTTAACTGTAGGATAAAAAATTGAAATATCTGTGAATTTAGGTTAAAATTTGATTTCAAATATTTAACTTTTCCTTTACATTAAAAATGAAATTATTGGTTAAATTTGTTTAATATTTCAAATAAAAATATTTAAATATAATATGCTAATTATACCCAATAAATATATTCGAAAATTATAAATTTAGTCTTTTTTATAGAATTACTGACTTCAATCAGAAAAACTGGACATGCTAAATTCTGTCAAAGTTATCTAAAGTCTTCTTTAATTTCATATTTTAGAACACTCTCAAATATAACGATAACATTTCTTACTCGAATTATTACTTTTCAAAGTTAAAAAAACATAATAAACTAGGTAAAAATTAAATTTAATAAACTGCTTGCCATGAAATTTTAATTGGAACTTTTCTTATGTTTCCATTTATTAAAAAATATTTAAATTAGTTGATATTTTATAAAAATAAATATATTTACTCATAAAAATTACTTGAACTCAGTTCTCAAATTTTCTTTAAAGCACTATTTACTTGTTGAGTTTTGAATACTTTTTATAATGTTAAAGTAAATTTATGAAAATAGTTTTCTATTTTATTTTTAAAAATCGTTGTTTATTATAATTATTATTGAAAAATGTTACAAAATCACTATTAATTATTAAGTATTTATTTACTTACGAAGGTGATGACAATCCTATCTATCTTCTTAAAAATTAATCAAATGTAAAAATTTTTTCATTGAAAAATATATTTAGAAAATTATTTATTTATTTAAGCTTACTTTTGAATAAATACTGAATTTAAATTATTTGGTTAACTAAATGTTTGCCTTACAATTAATTGAATGTGTTTAATTAATATCCTTAACTTTTAGGAGATCAAATTACTTGCAAAATATTTTGCATTCATGCATAAAAGATTCTAACTAAATCCACCATTTCTAAAATAACAAAATCTAATTACTTTTAATAGCAATTATAATGGATCTAAAAATTTTGGACGATTTAAATTTACAATTTTAAAATTCAAATGGATTAAATAAATAATCAAGAAGTTTCTAAAATATCTAAATTAAATCTACTTTCATCTATTCTCTCTATTATCTTTTCTCTAATTAAATTTCAAAAATATTCTTACTTATTCAATTTTTAATGCTTACTTTTATTATTTAATTACCATAAATAAATACTTGGTAAGGTTTATTTTTATATTGGCTCACAAAAGTATTCTTATTTTTTTAAATATAATTTAATCTTATTTTTTGAGAAAAAATTTTTTATGTAACTGGCCTTAATTAATGATAATTCATGGTAAAAAATTATTATCGCAATAAATAAAAATATGAAATAAATTATTTTAAAAATCAGCAAATTAACAATTAAAATTTTAAAGTAGCAACAATAAATAATATGAATTAAATCAGTTTATAATAATTAATGTTGTATAAGCATTAGCAAAATATAAAAAATTAAAAATAAAAAGTAAGAAATATAGTAAAAAATAATTAATAAAAGAATTTAAGCAATTTTTAAGGAAATAGATTTTGTTAAATTTTATTGTTTTTGCTAATAAATAGGCAAAATTAAACTATTTTACTATATTTAAACATAAATTTAGGCATAAAGTTACAAATTAAAAATGAAGTAGATTTTTTCAAGTTAATTTAAGTTTTAAATAAGATTCCATTTTTTTATCTCTAAAAAAAATTCCTTTGAGATATTTTTTATATAAAATTCTATTTATTAAGACTTAGGAGGTATTTTTTCTCAATCCATTTTTTTCAAGATAAGATATCAAGCATCAACTAAAGCTTTTCTGAAAGTCAAAGAAACTCTTGTACTCCTCTAAATAGTCTTTCCATCTATTTTGTCTGATTTTCTAGAAGGAATTGAATGCTTAAATAAATATCTTGCTTTATCTTCTAAGATCAGTATACTTCTTCTTTTCAGGTATAAATCAATTTCTGTCTCACCATAAGTTAATTTCATTATGCAGCCAGATCCAAGTGATACAGAAAAGATTGTTTCACCAAAAATATCAGTCTTATCAATATGTGGATTGATACCCTAACCTGGTAAATACTCGTTAATAATCATTTAATCTGGCATAACTTTTATAACTTTATCATCTATCAGTCTTTAGCAGAAATTGATTGCGTACTTAGGTAGCACTCCTAAAAACATATTTTTATCAATAGATTTTATAGAATAATCATACTTGTATCCATAATGTTAAGTTCTCCTTTTTAATTGTGTATTCCACTCATTCTGATATATTTCTTTGAATATGAAAACCTCCTCTTCTTCTGTTAATATTGAGTCGATGTATCTCAAACCCTATACCTAATCGAATGTCTATGCTGAATCAAAAAGTTTTTGTTTTTAGTCATCCATTTTTTTATTTGTTTTCGTTGTTTAAATTGATAATTCTAAAAAACCTTTTTAAATTATTCATTATCTTAATTTTTTTATTAAGTAGACATTATAAAATGAATGATACAAAATTAATCTAGATTTTAAAGATTTTTCAAATTTCAAATATAAAGGAGGGATATTTTGATATTATTAAATTAGAAGCTGAATTCCAATAAATAAATAAATTCTACATTTTAATTTAAATAATAATAGCAAAAATCTAATTTTCTTTTATTTTAGAAAATAATAACAAATTTTAATGATTTATTTATTTTCTTTCTTTTTAATAAAAAAAAAATAATTGATAATATTTGAATATTTTAGAATATTTATCAGGAATCGGATACACAACAAAATTATTTTTATAATTTAAAAATGCTAAATATCTCCTTATTTTTAAGCTTACAAAAGTATATATATGAAACAAATATTTATGTAATAATTGAAATTATTCTCATAAAAAAAAATTATTTAAATAATCTTTGTTAAAATATCATTAAAAAATTAATTAATTCATTTATAAATTAAAAAAATTTCAATTACTTTTTTAAACTGCGAATAGCAATTTTAAATAATTCCTGATTTAATTAGTTGAATTTATAATTTTATATTTTATTTTTAATTGTCTCTTCTTATTTGATTTGTTTTGATTACATATTTGTTTGATTTATCTTTTTACATTTAAATTTAGAAGATTTATCACTTTTAATTAGAAAATAAATTAGCACTCATTATTGCTAGACAGTCGAATATTAAAGTATCTTAGAAATTTGTTTATAAAAAAGAACTGTTTTGTCAAAATATAGGTTATTTTTTGAGATTGATATAGATTTTACTTTAAGTAACAAAATTGAGTAGATAGTAAATGAAAAGATTAGTAAAGGATTTTTCTGAAGTTTATTTAATAATGTTTTTGAAAATAACAAATTTTATTAATTTATCATTTATAATAAAAGATTAATAAGACGTGGAAGTATTCCTTAAATATTTTTTAGGTAGATTATGAATAAACATAACAGTAACTAACTTGGATAACTCTAAAGAAAGATTTTAAAAAGTTGCTTAGTTGGATTATAAAAATAATATTTATAATTTTATAAAGAGTATTTTTTAATATATTTTTAGTTTTTACTTGCTTAAATAATTTGGATTGAATGTAGCAAAATTTTAGAATCAATAGAAAAGTATGAGTGAGTGAGTGAGTGAGTGAGTATGCATCAAAAAATATATGAAATTTATAAAGATGAAATAATTTATATGTTAATTATAATGTAAAAAGTGTTAATCGAAGCAATAAAATAACAATGAATCTAGCATGCATGCGTGCAAGCAAGCAAACAAGCAAACAAATAATAATGAAGAAAAAGCTAAGAAATAAATAAAGAAATAAATTATTCAAGCAAGTTGGTTTGAAGAAAAAAAATAAAAAATCAAAGAAAAAGAAAAACCATTGGTAATATTATTACAAATTTTATAATAATAATTCGTCAAAAAAGCAAAAGAAACAAGATTTTTTCGATACCTAAATATAAATACAGTTTATCAGTAAATGCTACATGAATAACTCGAGATTCTATCCAAAGAGAAGGTAAAAATTAAGGATAAATCGAAGAGTTTTTTATGAAATTTAGGATGCTTTTTTATTTTTTCCTGCTTAAACCAACTTGAAAGCTTTTTAAGCAACCTGCTTCATTTTTTTTAAGGTTGTGTTTACCATTTTTGAATAGCTTCAAACATGATCTGTTAAGAAAAATAAACGACATTTTTAGAAATTAAATTCGTTCTGAAAAAAGGTGTGTCTCGAAAAACTTGTAATTAAAATGCAAATAGAATATAAATGACATAATTTTTAATTTTAAACGAATATTTAAAAAAATAAAGTCAATTAAGCACTCCAAATTTTAGCTTAATTCAAAGTTTTACCTTTTAAAAGGAGTGTTTTAAGTGCCCTGTTTATAAGCTAGTTTAGAGTGATTTATTCTCAGTTTTTTATAAAAGAGTGTTCTAAAATAGCTTTTATTTAGCAAGCAAGTTAGCTGCTCTTTCGTTTGTTCATTAGTGGTGGAAGTAGATAAGCATTTTAAATTTTATTTAAAGTCTTCTCAAATGAAAAAGTTTTAGTTTTAATTTCGTTAAATACCAATTATTCCATTATCTTATTAGATTTATGAGAATAACTTCATACAGTTGCAGAAGATTGGCTAAGGAGGATTCGCGAGTGTATATCGTGTTGTGCATAAGATAGACGATACTGAATATGCTGTGAAATAAATTCATCTCAAGATCAAAGATATTAAAGAAGACTTGCAGAAGCATTACGAAAAGCTTATTAGAGAAGCTAGGTATTTAGCTTAGGTGAATCATCCAAACGTGATCCGCTATTTTCATAGTTGGATTGAAGTCACTGAAAAAAAGAAATCCTAAAAATAAGAAGAGTAGAAGAGATAAACATTGGAATTAAGCAGTTCATTTGCAAAGAAGAAGAAAAGCAAGGACAATAACAATGTCTCTCCTAGCAAAAAAGACAAGAAAGAAGACAAATAGTTAGCCATTCAATCAAACTAAGCTAATTTAAAGCAGCAAGTAAAATAAAATATTCATAAATATCATATATAGTGATATCATCATCATTCTATATAAAAAAAATTAATAGCCTGCAAATAGCAATAATCCAGCTGGATAAAACCAATAAAAAGTAGTTGATAGCAATAAAGGAGGCATTAGCTAGGTAGCCAGCGTGTAAAATAAAAATAGCGATGCTACTAACATTCATATTTAGGCTTAGACAAACAATTAAAAAGGTAAATAACAGCAGTAGTAGTAGGTAAATTAGGGAAAACAAACTTAGTAGATTTAGTTAAACAATTAAGATTAAAGTGATGAGGATAACAATGAAGATTCAAACACATTTTATTTTGAGGATGAATTTGATAATGAAGTTGTTTTCATCGAAGAAAATTCAAAGTCAATAAAACAAGATGAGAGTCAATAGGAGAATTCACATTCTTCAGGAAATAACTTAAATCAAAGTAACATAAAAAGTAATAATGATATGAGCGACTAATCTCCTATTCCTAATCCAAATGTAGCAAGTAAATAAAAACCCTCATAGATAAAAATTTTTAATAATAATTCAAATGGCAACTCAGCAGAAATACCAAACACTAAAAAATCTTCAAAGGATATCAAAAAGCTTTCAGAATTTTCATCCGCCATGCATGGAAACAATAATGAAGAAAGCCAAGAAAACGATAGTTAGTCATTCAATAAGGGATAATCCGATTTTTAGTTAGTATTTGAAAGCTATTCTGAGAAATCGAAATCTGATTTGAAGGACGAATGCAAACAAATAGCTCCAGATAATAACAATTAAAATACTAGTAAACTCGTATAAAATAAAAAGTAGGATTAAGGAGAAAAAAAAAATATAAATAAATGTAATAACAATAATAATTAAAATAAAAATCAAATTTTAGAAACTAAAAAGCAGGAATAAAATGCAAATTGTGCCATCAACAACAAAAACAACAAAAATAGCCATGACATATTAAAGAATAATTAGATTAGTTAGCAAACTTAAAACAACAACAACAACAACAAAAATCAGTTATAATAGAACTAATAGTAGAATCAAGCAAATTCTATTAGCAATACAAAGTCGTATGAGAGAAGAAAGAACAAATCGATGGACTATTTGACCATAGATTAAAAGCAAAGGGAGTTTCAATTAGATAAATATGATGAAATAATTTTTTATCTACAAACTGAATTATGCCATTAAACTCTTGCTGAATACATAACGAATAGAAATAAAAAATTGTTTTCTTAGCAGTAATTTAATTAAAATCTAAGCATTAAAAATAGCTGTGCAAATATTAGTAATAACAGCAATATAAAAAATCAGAATCTCTGTCTTTAGTCTACATAATCAATGTTCAATATGAATGAAAGCAACAGTTTTAGTGGTTAATAAAATAGTATTAATAATAATTTAAATTAAAATAATCTAATGCATCCAACTTTGACTTATTCAAATTCTTGTAACTGCAGTGATCCCTTTGATATCCTCACATTTGAATATAAACAACAAGCTATAGCAATTTTAAAAGAAATAATAAAAGGATTGTATCACATTCACCACATCTGCAAGATGGTGCATAGAGATTTAAAGCCTCACAATATTTTTTTAACAGATAACATGCAAGTAAAAATTGGAGACTTCGGGCTAGTAAAAAAATTATCAAAATTGATCAATCCAAACTAAAAAATATAATACAACGATCATTAATTGTACGGTAAAAAGCTTGGAAATGATAATTCTGGAATGAAACAGACTTCCACCAACAATTCATTTTCTGGGGCTTCAACTTCTCCGTCGGAAACTAATTCTGGCTATCATGACAAGCTGCCCTTTTATTTACCAAAAGAAGAAATCACTTCCACTTGTGGTACAGCAACTTACGCTTCTCCAGAGTAGCTGTCTCAAAAGGTAAAATTTAAAATGAAAAAAATATATGTGGTGGTATTTAGCAATTTTAAATTCATTAAAAGTTGTATAGATTTTTTCTATGGTAGAATCCATTATTCTATATTGTGTGGTAAAATCAAATAATCTCATTTAAGCAGGGCAGGGTTACTAGTTTACTGTTTACAATATTAATTTTATTTAATCGATTATTTTTTTAGAACTAGTAAGTGATCAACTAATATTTATTTATTTATTAATTGGTATTAATTTTTAAAATTATTACTGCCAGGTTAAGTGATTGATATAAATTAAACAACAATTCGTGAGGTGATTAAGTTATAATTCAACTAAGCTTATATAATTACTTTCGAAGGACACAAATATCCACACAAATTTTAAATTATAAAAAGTATTTTTTCTAAAAAAGAAAGTGCGCATTAAAGCACATTTTCAGGTAAATAAAACTACCTATTAAAAAAATAGGATCTTTGAAAATAATATTTACAATCGCATTTCTGCTGCTAGATTAGTGTGTATAATCTAAATATTTTTATATACTATGGATGGATATATCATTTGTTTTCTAGAAGATCTTTTGAAAAAATTGATTAATAAATAGATATTTTGGATTACTGCATCTATAACATTATTTCCATGAAAATTGGATACTTAAATCTTATAAAATACTAATAGAAAATTAGAGCGCGAATTTTATTTTGTATAATATTAATCAAAATACAATACCCAAATTCAGGCTTACTCTCTGATATCAGATTCTTATTTTTATTTCCTACTTTTTTGGAAAAAAAAAGAGAAGCAATATCTTATAATAAAAATGAATTTATAAAACCAATTTTAACAAAGTTTAATTTTTAAATCAAAATATTTTTAAATAGGCTGAGTTTTTTGATCACAGAGCAGATATATATAGCTTGGGGATTATCATTCTTTAGCTCTTTCACCCAATGAATACTTCTATGGAACTAGTAAAAACGATACAAAACTGCAAGAAAGGAGAGCTTCCTAAGCATTTTTGTGCCAAGTTCCCTCGCCTTGCTGAGATTATTAAGGACAGTCTTTCTAATGACCCTCAGAAAAGACCTCTACTTTCAAAAATAGAGCAAACTTTGTAAGAAATGGAAATGATGGAGAGTTAAGTGCATTGTGAAATATTGGGAAAGCTAATGATAACTTTCGAATCAGAAACCACACAAAGCGTCAAGTAAAATTTTATCAAATAATATTAAAAATAAATGTTCGCTAACAAACACTATTGAAACTTTTTCAAATCAAAACTATTTTGGATAAAGTTATAAATAAATAACAAAATTCGAAAGATTGATTACAAATATTTATTACAAACGTAATATTAAATTAAGTATTATAAGCGGTTAAAATCAATAAAGAGATTACTAGTAACAGTTTTTTCAAAAGATACGCAATTAATTTAAGAATTATTTACATAACAGTGGTAAATTTACGTTCTACAAGAATTAAATTACTTATTTATTTATAAATTTGAAAAGTAGAAAATGTAAAGTCTCCTACCAAATTATTAAAAAGAATATAAATTAATTTAAAAATAGTATATAAACAGTGATAATATCTTTAGATAACTTACTGTTTTCTAATCTCCAACATCTACTTTAAATATTAAAACTTTTTATAGATTTAGTAATTAAAAAAATGTAAATCCACTAACTAAATTACTATCAAACAAAAAGCAAACATTTACTTAATTAATAAAAAAAGTAAGTTTGTCTTTACAAAATTTTAACATTCATAGATTACTCATTCAGAATTAATTTTAAATTTACATAGATCTGTAAATAAATAAAAAATTAACTAGTATTTTTATCTATTGAGCCAAGTTTTTTCTATTTTAGATGCTTGGACAGTTAGATAAAATAAAAAATTTACAATTCTAGCATTCATTTATCATTTTAATTCACTGATTCGATTTTTAAATTGGACCATTTTTAATATATTAGATTCGTAAAAGTAATCCGCAATTCGCTCTATTTTTATAAAAATGAGACCATCCAGAAGGCTGAAAACGTTTATAACATATAAGAGTGTACATTCAGACTAGTGATGGGATAGCATGGAAATGTGGAAGAAATAGCAGTCTAGCATCCCATACAGTAGAATTTTTCAATCCGCGCAATTTAAATTGATAAAAACCAGCTGCTGATTCAAAAACTGTAAAAGTACTCAATTTTTTGAGTTGGCATTCAAAATCTAAAAATAAAAATTTAATCAATAAAAAAATTGATAAGATTTGAATTGTAAAATTTATTTATTTATAATCTGAATGAAGATATCGCGTAGTCAATAGACGCTGATCTTGAAGTGATTGATTATAAATTTAAATAATTCAAATTGACTCATATAATTAAAACCTCCCTACCACCTATAAAACAAAAGTATTTATTTAAAAAGTTGAACAAAATGGAAATAGGTTAATTAATTACATACTCACTAAGGAGAGAAGTCTATTCTTCTACATTAAACACAAACTAATTAATAAACTAATGACATAATTATTATATTTATACTTTGAATATGTTAACCTTCTTTTTTATTCGTAATTTATTTATCGCTTGCTTGGTTTCCTTGATTAAATTATTAATTAATTAATTTTATCTTTTTTCAACCACTCAATATTAATTTAATAAATCTCTACTTTTTGACATTACAATAATAAGTGTTTATATCTCACTAACTTAAAAAAGTACTCACATTGATTGATTAATTTATTGTTGTTTGATTTTGACCACTCTTACTCTCCAACCACATATCTTCAAAAGCAACTTTTTACTGAAGCTAGATTTTTTTTTTTTCATTCAAAAAGAAGTAGACAGTAAATAAATTTAAAAAAGCATTTTTTTAGCTTTACGTTTCAGTTCTTAACACTTTTGAATTCTCTTACATAGACCACAATTTTATGTTATGCAAATATTGTAGTTATTTAAGTTTTGAATATGTATGATATCAGTTTAAGTAATAAAAGAGGAGAAATCAAAAATAGACTTTAGTTTATTATGTATGAATGAATGCCAAATTTACTTATAAAAACTTTTTTTATCAATCAGAAATAGTAACACTTATGTATTCTGAGATTCTTAAATATTTGATTTAAGTAAAAAAGTAAAGCATATTACATATTAAGTAAATATTTGAGCTTAAGATATATATAATATTAGGTAGTGATAAGCAAATCAAATCAAATCTAAAACTCTTAAATAAAACTAAAGAAGAAAGATCTGTAGGATATTAACATTATTTGTACTTACTTTTAAACGAACAAGAATAGAAAACAGCTTCTTTCAGTAAAAACTAATAAGCGTACATATTTTTGAGCTTAAAATAAAAATAAATATCTTCATTCCATTAATTATTTTTAGATGAAAAATAATTCATGAGCTAGAAAAATTGAAGATGACAGACATAATTTTCTCAAAATGCATCATTAGACAGACAATTCATTTTAAGGAAATTGAAAAACTTATCAATAAGAATATTTCTGATGAAATATTAAAGTACCTTTGTTATCCATCTGTAAAAAAAAAAAAATGCAAAACAAATCAAGTATTCTGTAATATTCTTAATAATTCTATTCAAAATACGTAAAAATTAATACAACCTAGGTAAGAAAAAATTGTACGCGTATAATAAAATCTAACGCTCTAATCAAAATTAATAAATTTGATTAATGCTTCTCTATTACATAAATTGATAGATTTTTAATTTGTGATATCTATTTGAGTAAATGCTCAATTATAAATAAAAAACAAATAAACAGACAGATTGAGTGAGTACTATTAATATTAATTTGGATATTTTTTTAATTAGTAAAGGATAACCTGTTAAAGTAATTTATTTTAAATTTTACATCAATATAATTAGGCTAATTTACATAAATCACTTCTTATAAATAGTTAAAAATTATCAATTTTCCAGTAGTTATTATCAACATTTTCAAAAAGATTTTTGATTTAATTCTGCAATTTTAAATAGAGTTGAAGACTTAAGGTATCTGGTGTATATCTATCTCTATTTTTTTATGCCTTTTTTATTATTGTAGGGGAATAATTTTGAATTGATTAACCAAATAATCTAAATACGAGTAGATAGATAGATAGATCTCATTATTATTTAAGTCTGATAATTAAATATTTAAAATGCAACTTGCCATTAATATTGATGTTTTATGCAATATTATATAGATCAAATAAAATTTAAAAGAATCAATTTAGATTTACTAAAATAGGAGTTCAGAGTGAATCCAATTTCTTTGTTATTTACTTAGTTTATTTACTTTGTTATTTTATATATTCTTTTATTGATTAAAGTACAAATTTGAATTTATTTACTATTTAATTAATTTACTTTCCTCAAAATCATCATCTTACTTCAAATATATTTATTTACATAGTTAAACCTTTAAGGAAAACGAAAATTAAATGACCAAGTTTATAAATTTGTTAAATAGTCTTTCTTTTTTTTTTCACGCAATTTTGATAATCAAATAATGACTTTTGTTTATTTATTATTATTTTTTTTTCTATTCTCTAAACAAATTGAAAAAATATGAAATCAGAATTAGCTTATTCTCCCTAGTAAATGATTGGCCAGACAGTATTTTTTAAGTGTGTAAAACCTTTAAATAGAATTACAAACATGTAAAAAGTAATAATTTTAACTTCCTCAATTTTTTGAAATCAGTCTAGTGAAGTATCTCTCTATTTATGAAAAGGGGGTAAGTTATTCATTAAATTTGAAATAAATAAAACAAACAAACAAATTAATATATAAATAATTAATATATCCTAGTTAATTGAGATAGAAAATCTATAGAAGTGCTTACTAACAATCGAAAAAAATATCTATCAGAAATTTACAAAGTAAAAGTGATAAATTCGCTCATGATTAATTAACTTGTCGATTCCATAAATAAAGTAGACCAAAGCGTCGCTTTTAAGAAATATTTTTCTCTCTTTTGCTTAAGTGTATATGAATGAGTGAGCTGTAAATTGCTATGACTGTTCTTAGTAGAGAATATATTTTTAATTTAATAATAATTCTATATAGAATGTATTTAATGAGTATTAGAATCAAATTTTTGAAATCAAATTTCCATTTAATGAATTGTAAACCCTTCCTTGATTATTTTTAATCTGGGAAATGCGATACTTTACTACATTTAATTTTAAGGATCTATTTTTGATTAATAATTAATTAGCAATTAGTTTGTATTTTTATTAATTTTTATGTATCAAATCTTTTATTTAACTTTGTATAATTCATTTATTTAATCCAAGTAACATCAATCCCTGATCAGTGTGTGTGTGTGTGTGTGTCTGTGTTTGGTGTGAATATTAAATTTACTTTATCCTTTTTTATTTTCACAAGAAAGCAGTCTTCTCAACAAAAATTAAGATTTTTCTAGAAGTACACTATTAATCTACAAAGTAAATAAACTAACGTAGATATTCTCAAAATAAATTTAATTGATGCAAAATACTACTTAATTAAAATTTCTATATGCATTATTGCTAAAGCATAATGCTTTCGAGGTAAATCTAAATTATTTTTATCATAAGAAATCATTTGTCAGAATTAGTTGATATTGCAAAAATAAATTACGATGAGTGGCTATACTTTATTATAAAGGGAACATCTTAACTTTTTTGATATAAATAAAAACTAAGGTTTGTTTGTAAGAATAAATTAATTAAATAAGACTTATGTCATTTATTGATTGATTGATTCATTGATTTCTTTTCAAAATTATAAAAAAAGCAGATTTAAGTCTTTGACGTAGAGATTTGTGTATAATTAAATTAAAATCAAAAAAAAATAAAAAAAAACAAATTAAATCAAAAAACAATAAAAAGTGAAAATCCATTCACTTTCTAATTAAAAGTATAGAAAATCTTAAAAACTCGGCTTCTTCATAAACAAACTAGCAAAATAAAATGAGCTACTATACCAATACCATGAATGCTTCTACCAATGATTGCTTTGCTGCTTACAATCAAAACGAATACAGATTCAATCCTCAATACGAGATGAATTATTAACAATAACAAAACAACAATCTTAACAACACCTGTTTGCAAGGCGAATCCTTCCAAGCTCAACAACAACAATACGCTTCAACAGCAACTCCTTACTACTACTAAGAATAGCAAATTTAATACTATGCTCAATATCATGAGTAGCCTGAGTAAATTTACTATAACTATACTTAACAATAATAACCTAATGATCAATGCTTCAATCATTTATACCACTAATCACACTAACAAGTTGTCTACCCTAATCCTACTTTGGAATAGTAGAATTTCTTCAAATAAGAGGCTATTAACACTAAGGAGGAATTCGAGAATAGCTGCCATGAATCAGACAATGCTGAAAACCAATCCATCACCTATTCTCCTAACTCCCCTAATCCTCTTAGAGAATCAAATTCTTCCCTTACTTGCTCACCTTCTTCCATCAACCTCAAAACCGAAGAAATTCTTCCCCTGTCTCCCAAATTACCCCAAAGAAAGAATGCAAGCAAAAAGTCAGCTGCTAACAAATTAGCAGCATAGGTCTCTGAGTCAAGCCAATCTCTTGAAAAAACCAAATAGTCCATCAGCAAGAATAACATTCGTAATTTCTTAACTCCAATTGTTAGAATGAGATCTGGTTTTGTTGATTACCAATTATTAGAAAAGGAAAAGCTCACAACCTTATAGTATGATGCCTTCTTAAAGTAACATTTCTATGTCCCTGGCCAAACCAGATTAAACATCCGCCAAACCATCTTTGACTCTCTTCTTGACCCCTAAGAAAAGAGCCAAATGAAGGAAAAGAAGGTCTTCGCTTTAACCGTCATCAAGAAAATTCAAGAATAATTCTTGAGACTTATCATTGAAAAGAGATCTACCTTCAATCAACAAGAATTCAAGTAATAATTCGAATGGATTAATGGTATTAACGAAACCCTCACTGAGTTCCTTAACTCCATCTCTAATTGATTAAAAAGTATAAATGAATAATTGAATGAATAAATAAATGACTCAATATTTATCATAAATCTAAATTAAATTTCTCTCAAAAATAAATTATCCCAAAACTCTATTAAAAACCTATCAAAAAGCTTTGAATTATCTAAAACTAAAATCGTCAGCCTAATCAGATAGATAATAAGTAGCATTCTAACACAGACAGTAATTAAGTGTTGAATTTCTTATCACAAATCCTCTCTAAAATCAAATTAGTATCTAAATATATAAAAACAAACAAACAAAAAACCCTCTCTCTCAAAAAAAAATCAAATCGAATCCTAAAATATTAATTGTATTTAACCTCTCTCTCAAAAAATAAGTAAATAAATAAATTAATCATAGAACTTTATAATCTCTATTAAAATAACTCTAAACTCAAAAAAATAAACTATCTCTCAAAATTAAAATATGTATTTTTATATTCCATATCTCTCCTAAATAAGTTAATCTATATTATAAACAACTAATAAATTCCTCTTCATTTATAAACAATCAATCGAGTTTCATCTTCCACTCACTCTTTTTTTGCTTCAGTATTTATTTACGCTACTAAAACAAAAAATATACAAAATTACTATGAATAGATATTTTAGAAAAAAAACAAAATGTTGATTAAATTTGAGAATAACTTAAAGCAAATTTTATTTGCTTCCTTTGATTAGTTCCAAGATTAATTTAAATTTTTTAGTTGTCATCCTATAATAATTAAAAAATTATTTATCAAATAAATGCCTTAAATGATTTTCCTCAGAAATTTATCAGATTTAGATGTAATGAATATTTTCATCATTTAATATTTTCCTTTAATGCTTAGTTAGTTAATTATTTTGTCTATATTTATTAGATTTATGATGTAAATAAATCAAATAAAAATTAAAAATTTCAAACACCAAATAATAATCTATTTTATTCAATTTGACATTTTTTTAATTCTTTATTAAACGATGAAAAGAATATTGGTAAATCATACAAAAATGTAACCAAAATAATTCTTTTTCTTTTTAAAGTTGGTAAAAAACTAATTATGAATTGCTATTAAAAGCAAGTTTTAGTGTAATAATTTTAATTTTTGGTAATTATTTAATTAATTGTTATCACATTTTTAGGTAAACAAAATACTTATTAATTGAAAATATGAGTGAAAAAGTTAAAGAAATCAAATCTATTTCTCATTTAGATTGCTCAAATAAATATTGAGCAGATTCTAATTTTGAGTATTTACCTAAAAATAAAAATAATTATTTAAACTATATTTTTATTAGAAATATTATTTGTATATTAGAAATAATAATTCTTATTCCATGCTAATTCGACTGATTTATTTTTCCCCATAATTAAATTTATCAATATAAAATTAAAATGTCTTTTCTCAACAAAACTTCTTTTTAACCTTTTAAAATTTGCAAAAAACATTGTACTTGCTAACGAGCTTTTTATACATGCATGTTTAATATTCGATTATGCAAAGGCACATTTCTTTTAAATTGTTTTACTAAGACACATTTTGCAAATGTTACAAAATTTTTTCAGGTAGGAAGAATTTTTTACATTTAGAAACCTGAAGAGAAAGTTAGCCAAGTAAAAGAAAGTAAAGAGGGGAAAATTTGGCCAAACAAACAAACAAACATCTAAAAATAAATTTTATAATCATAAAAAAAAGCAAGTCATTAAATATTTGAATGTGTAATCAAAAAATATATTTAGTCTATTTATATTAATATTTATAAAATTTATTAATTATGAGAATTGATTGTACTTCATCTTGTATTTTTTTTATTTCTTTGATTTTAATGTATTTTTTTTGAATTTTTTCCCTTTCTTTCCTAAAGGAAAAATTTTTTTTATAAATAAATGATTTTTATTTCAGCCATTTAAAATAAATTTAATTTAGAAGACTTTTGAATAAAATGTATCAAGAAAAGGTTAAATTTTTCAAAATAAATATGGTTATTTATTTCAGCTAGATGCTCATTTTTTAAATGATTTATTTATTTATTTTTGAAAAACAAACATGACCTTACTTTCTTTCTTGTGTTGTCCATGCAAATTAAAAAAAATTTTGAAAAATGATGTCATTCTTTGAATTACAGATTTTTGTTCAATTTGTACACTCCCTTTTCAGAATTAAGCAGTTCGTTTTAGTCAACCTGCGTTTGATTGATTTGATATCAAACATATTTCTATTCCTATCCTGTATCTTGATTTACATTAATTTAGAGAAGAGATAAAACTTTTTTAATAAATTTGGCTCAATAACTATTTCAAAAAAAATAGAAGATATTATTATTTATAAATAATTTGTAAGTATTTGTTAATCTACATCATTTAAGAATAGATTTAATCTATGAATTCTAGTTTATAATTGACTAGTCATCTCATTTTATTATAAATTATTAGCAAATTTGCTTACACTCTTAATAATTTTTTCGAGATATTAATTTTTTCCAAACAATTTTACATGAATTTATGGTAATGTAAATACATTCAAACAATTTTTATTTTACAGTTAAATTCATTTGTAAGTTAAAATAGAAATAAAATACACTTAGAAAAATATTTATTTATTTATTTATTACTACATACATATAATCTACCTAATTCTGTCTATTCATTCAAGGTAGAATTAATACTATTTTGTATGGTCCTTAAACATTTTTTAATCAATTAATAAAAGCTTGAATAAAACTTTCATTCCTTTTTTCTCAATTTTGATTTTTCAAAGAAGATTTATTAACAATGTCGCTTTAAATTATTTTTTAATTTGATTAATAACAACCGAGTCAACTAAATTAAAACTGAGAAAGTTTCACGCAAAATAATAATAGCAATGTTAATAGACTTGAATTAAATAATAAAACTATTATGGAAAATTTTATTTTTAAAGGAATTAAGTCAATAGAACATAATTATTTATAAATGTAGCGATTACACAACATTCTTATAATAGACTCTTCATTATAAAAAAGATTTTTTTTTTTTGATCAGAAATATCTAGAAATATTTTTATAATAGACGTTTGAAATAATAAGTAGACGCATATAGAAAGTTAAGTAAGAAGGTTAAAGAAATTTATATCTAATTTTTTAATAATGTAAAAATTTAATGAGCTAATTATTAGTTAATTAATTGCAAACTTTAAAAGATTATTAAAATATTTAATTTGTTTTACATCTATTTTAGGCTATGTTTACATTAACAAATTATATTTTAATCTTAATTTTTTTACGCTTATTTAAATATACTACTGATTAAATTATTTATTTCTTTTTTTAAATGAGCTTTTTTGTGGTTTTTTTAGTAATAAAGCAATTACTTTAATTTAATTTACACAAATAATAAAATAAAAACAGATTTTATTATTAATAAAAGAGTAATCTGTTTTAGACTATGTTTACATATACAAATTATATTTTAATTTGATTTTTTTTTAGCATATTAAAGTAAAGTACTGATTAAATTATTCATTTCTTTTTTAAAAGAGCTTTTTTGTGGTGTTTTTCATAATAAAATAAATACTTTAATTTAGTTTACACAAATAAGAAAATTAAAAATAGATTTTATTTATTATCAATAAATTAGTAATTTTTAACAATATATAATATATAATGCTCAATAATCTTATTTTTTGTAGCATTTCTTAATAATTTAAGCTTTAAATTTTGAAATTTGTTATAATAAAAAACAATTCTCTTACATCTAAATTTATAGTATCAATCACCTAATCAAAATTATCTTTAAGAATATTGGAAAATTTTATCTAATCATTTTTTATTTACTATCAAAAGCATAAACTTCTTAAAAATAGTGATTGACAAAATTTTTAAAATTCTTTAATCGCTTTGTAATTAATTTATTATTAACTTACTTTATTTAATTAGAGACTAGAATGTTGTCAGAAAATTGCATTAATTTAAATCTATTTTTTGTTAAATTGAATCAAATAAATATTTTTTAATCAAAAGAAAATCTTTATTAAAATCATTTTTTTATTTTTGCTTTATTATTTATTACATAATTTCACATTAACATAAAAAATGAATCAAATTGTTGTTTTTATTCTTTAAATATTCAACCAAAGACTTTGAAATAAATCTATCTTACTATTTTAAAAATTAGCTGATTATTAAATTTATACTACAGCAGCAGTTAAATATAATAATTAAACAAATATATTTGTTTTATTATTATGCATTAAATTATAAATAAATTCATTTTCTAAGCATAATTAGAAATTTTGTAATATAAAAATTGAAATATTGTTTAATATCAAAATATTATTGAATGCAATTTTAAAATAAATAAAAAACAAATTTATTTGAAATAAATTTAGCAGCTTACCATTTTAAAAATTAACTGATTATAAAATTTATACTACAACAACATATTAATATAATAATTAAGCAAATATTTATGCTTTTATTATTATGCATTAAATTATAAATAAATTCATTTTCTAAGCAGTTAGGTAGAAACATCAAAATTTTGTAAGATAAAAATTGAAATACTAATTTTAATTTAAATTTTATTGAATGTAATTTTACAAAAATTAAATAATCAAATTTATTTGAAATAAATTTAGCAGCTTACCATTTTAAAAATTAACTAATTATAAAATCTATACTCAGCAGCAGATTAATATAATAATTAAGCAAATATATATGCTTTTATTATTATGCATTAAATTATAAATAAATTCATTTTCTAAGCAGTTAGGTAGAAACATGAAAATTTTGTAAGATAAAAATTGAAATACTAATTTTAATTTTAATTTTATTGAATGTAATTTTATAATAAATAATAAATTAACAAATTAACAAATTAAATTTTTCATTTTTTAAAATGTTTATGGGAGATTTTGAATAAATTCTAACAAGTATAAAAAGTTGATAGTTAAAATAAAACATTTAAGATTTTTACAACTAAGTATTGATTGATTAGTTTTTGAGCTATAAAAATACTAATTTAATTTAATGTGTGAGAATTACTTTTTTAATATTTTAGTTAATTAGATTATTTTAATTTTCATACAAAAATTTATAACTAAGAAAAGCAAGAAAAAATTTGCTTAATTAGGATAAGAATATTCAAAGTAAAAAACAAGCAAATTAATTTAGTTAGCAAATTACGGAAGGGTTAATACATAATAGGGAGCAAGTAACTAGTTTAATAGAATTAGCTTTAATAAAATATTTTAGAATTATATCTCTTTATATGAAATAAGTTTGAATTAAGTTATTTTTTTAGATTTACAATAATAATATATGCATGCATAATATATAAATGATTATATAAATAGATTATTAAACAAAATTCAAAAAAAGCCAATGAAATGCAAGTGAAATATTAAAATGTTTTATGATTAAAAATATTCCTATAAAGATGATTTGATTTGATTGTCTGTTAAATAGAAATGTTTTCATTAAATTATACAATTCAAAAATTTAATTTTTAGTTAATATTTTAAATACTATAGTGTAATAATAAAAATCCTATCTATTTGAATTTATAAATGCTGTAGGAGGTGGTTATGCTGTTGGTTTGATGGCTGGAGGCGGACTAGGATTTATGACAGGTAATTAATCAATCAATAAATATACCTTTTAGACTATTTTATACTTTGTTTTAAAAAATGCTTAATCAATCAAATAAATAAATAAATTAGCTGATATATACAAACAATTTATGAATTTATTTATTTACTTTAATTTTATATTTTTAGGCTTCCTGAAATATTCTGGAATGACATCAGAAAGAATTAGCAGTGGAATTGTTCACCTCAAATATGTAGGAGCTGATTATGGAAGTAAAATATAGATTAATTTTGACTTATTTGAGTAAGGCATTTTCATAATATAAAAGATTTATTTGCTAAATTTAATGGTGTATTTATGACATACAGATATGGACTTTAAAACTATTGCTAATTTGATGACATTGTTAGTATATTTTTAAGTTTTCCTTTAACAGCAACGACTTTATCAGTAATATATTTCCCTCATTAAACTGTTAAATATTAATTATATAAAAATAAATAGCTCAGATAAGGAGTTAAATAAGCTTTGGCAAATGGAGTGAGATCTTCAATATTTGCTGTTGTTATATTTGGTTATATTGGTTATACTAGCTACTCCAAATGATAATAATGTTTTAATTGTAATTAAAAACCTATTTATAAAATCTTAATTTAAGTATTTTAAATTTTTAAAATATTAATTATAATATTCTCTTAATCAATAAATCAATCAATCAATCAAGATAACTAATTTTTTTTTTCTTAATTTAAAAACCTTTCATGTATTTATTCTTCAATTTCTTTAAAGTATTTTATTTCCTTTTAAATCAATTTTATTTGTTGATTAAATGTTAATTTAACAGCTTTTTTTAAACAAAAATTATTTTGTTTACTTTTGAATTTTCTTTGTAAGAATAATTTTAGTTCTACTTTTTTAAAACAAATTCCAAAAAAAAAAATTAGTTCATCAACAAAAAAACAAATAATAAAATAAATAAATAAGTAAATATATATACTGAGCCTCAAAAAAAAAAATTGAGGATATGAAATGAAATCTATCTTATGATAACTTGATAATTTTTTCTAAAAAATTATTTATGATTGAGATTTTTCAACAAAAAAGTTTATTTAAAAACCCCCCTTTAGTTTGGTTAAATTAATTTTAAAAATAACATCAACAACATATTTTCATTTAAATAAAGAAGTAAATAACTTTTTAAATTATAAAATAAAATTTAAATATTTATTTTACTGATTGTTTATTTATTTATTTTGAATTTAGAAATAAAATAAATTAATTTGAAAATAAATATTAAAATTTAAAATGAAATTCAAAATATAAAATAGAAAAGATATTTTTGAAATCTTCTTATTTTCTTAAAATGAATAATTAAATAACTTTAAAATAAAATGCTTAGAAATAACTTGAATATTTAAATTAATAAAAAATTTAACATGTTTAAAAGATTCAAAGATTTTAAAAATTTAGTAAATTAATTTTTAAAGGAAATTTTACTGTTATTAAGTTTAAATAAAAAATTTTAAAATGGAATCTTTTTAGAAAGTATAAAATGTTTAAATTATTTTAAAAATTAGAGTGAGTATAAATAAGATTTAAAAATGTTAGTAAATAATTAAAAGTAAATTTCTTGTAAATAACTATGGATGGAATTTTCTAAGTAAAATAATAAAAGAATCTTCTAGAAGTGAATAGTTAGTTAATTTGTATGTTTGAATCAAAATTATTATAAATTTAAAGAAATTTTATTTGAGGTGAAACCAATCAATCAAAAAATAAATGAATTTATTAATTAATAAATTATGAGTACATTCTTTCATATTCAATACATGGAAGATATCTAAATCAATAGCTAATTGAAAAAATAGAAAAAGAAAGAAAGATAGAAAGAATGACAGATAGAATTAATTTGCAATTTTAACTTTAATTATCATATCTAAGAGCTTGTTTATCTTTGATATTATCAAGTTTTTAATTAAAAATATATCTTAATAGCTAATTAAAGTTTTCTATTAATCAAAAATACCAAAAACAATACAAACAACTAAAAATTCACTTTTTGAAAAGTAAAACTTTAAATTATAATTAATTTGATTAGTAAAGCTAGTTAAAATGATTGGAGAAAAGCCTTGCCCTTATAGAATTATTGACGATATTGGAGGTGCCTATTCAATGGGTGCTTTTGCTGGTTGCATCATGTATTTCATTAAAGGTATTTGATTATCTATTATTCTGCTTTTAAATAAATAAATAAATATTTGTAAATTTAGATAAAGTAGCAAAAAATAGAATTAAGATGACTTGATTTACTGTTTTAAATTATATTCATTTATTTAATTATCTAAGAAAACATTTATTTATACAAATAGGTATGTATTACGCCCCTTCTTCTGAACGTTTCTCCCAGGGATTCGATCTTCTTAGAAAAAGAGCCCCTATTTTAGGAGGTATTTTTAATTACATTTATCAACTCATAAATACTTAAAAATAACTTCTTCTGAAAGATTTTTAGCACTAAAAGCTTCTTACAAGATTCTAAACTATTATGAAGTTGAGCTTTTAGATTATATTAGATATTTAAACTGATTACTTTTGCAAGAAAAAACTAATTTTTTAAATGAAAATATTTAGGTAATTTCGCTATGTGGGGTGCTTTGTTCACAATTTCAGAATGCGGATTGATTCATGTTAGATAAGTAGAAGATAACTGGAATAAAGTTGCTGGTGGTTTCATTACCGGTGCAATGTTATCAGTAATAAATATTCATTTGATTAGCAGCAACTCATTAATTAATTCTTTAATTTTCATTTGAGCATAAAATAACAATGAAAAAAATAAATAGCCCTCTCTAAATAATAGGAGGAGATAAAAATTAATTAAAATTTTAAAAGCGAATAATATTTAATAATTTAACTGTTTATATTTAATAGATTAGAGGTGGATATAGATAGGCACTCTAGTAAGGTATTTTTGGTGGCATATTTTTAGGGTGCTTCGCATTTATTGAAATGGCTATGATGAAGATGTAGAGAAAAGCCTAATTATAACAAATGGAACATGACTTAAATATGTAGATGGAATAATAACTTAGTTAATTAAAAGAATAAAGACCAGGTAATAAATAAATAAATGAATAAATAAATAAATATATTTTCACAATTAATTATTCAAATAGCTTAACAGTATTTAATTAATTAATTTATTTTAAAAAATAAATAGATATATACGCTGAAATTGAAAGATAATAAGAATTAAGAAAGAAAAGAACCCAAGATTAAACCTCAAATAATAACAGTGGAAAGGTCTTAGCTTTCTCTTGAAAAAAAAAATCAAAGCTAAATTTTATTTAAAATTTTACTACAATAAAAAAGAAAGCTAGCTTGTTTCTCAATCTGCTTTCTTTGATAATAAATAAATAAATAATAAATATAAAAGCAATTATAAATAACTACATACATATATCTTAGCACAATAACTGGATAAATTTAATATAATTTGTTGACTTTCAATACTCTTTGTTGATTATTAATTAATTAATAAACAAATATAAACATAAGATTGAATAAACAGAAAGGAGGCTTACTTACTTACAATGATAGATATTTTACATTTTCATCACTATCTAATTTATTAATTAAAATTATAAGTCAATGACTGACTGAATGAATGAGTACAGAGTTAGTGATAAAGTTAATCTTACAAAATATTACTAAAATACAAACAATTAAATAAATAAATAAACAAACAATAAAACTTAACAGGCTGACAGAAAAAATAATAAAATTAAAACATTCAATATAACAGCTTCCTTGTACTTTAATTCATTCTTTAGCTCTTTGCTTAGGTCACTTGTTAATTAATTAATTAATTGATTTGCTACAAATTAAACTAATCAAATGATTATTTAAAAATTGTTTTTAAGTCTTTTAACATAATTTAAATACAATCCAAATCTAAACCAAAAAGATTTTGTTAATTAATGTCATAAATTTATCTTTAAATATAACGTAAATATAATATTAAATATTGTATTAATTTATCTAATTGCATATAAATACATACATATACACCTATTTTATATCTATCATCACATTTATTATTTACTTACTTTTCTATATTTACAATTATTTAGTTAAAATAAATATATAAAAGTATTAATAAAAAAATAATATCACTATTTATTTAAATACCATACATTTAAATTCTTTTTTAGAATTTTTTATTAGCTATAAATAAATTCAAGTAATTTTTTCTAATATTTAATAAAATGAAATTAATAACCACTGTAATACCTCAAGGTGAATTATGAAGCAAATAAATAACTAGAAATGGCAAATTTTTATGTAATTGGAAATAGTTAGTGAAGTTAAAATATAACCAACAAATAGCATTCATAAGTATTTATAGTATTTATTCATTAACCCAAAAAAAAGTTATGCCCTTCTCTCATTAATTAGCAGCTTTAAAATTAAATTATAATTTTTAAATAAGTTATACTAGCTACATTAATTAATATTCTTTAAACTTTATTTTTTTATTTATCAAATAAATTTCTAATTATAAATTATAAATGTTTATTACGTTTAACTATTTAAAATTTTAATTATAGTTAGCTTTACTTTCTTGATCAATGAATGGATGGATGGATGAATGAATGAATTCATGAATGAATAAATGGATATTTCATATTGATTTAAAATCAGAATCTTTCTTTACAAAACAAAATTTTTGCTTTTTGAGAGAGGAAAAAATGAGAGAAATTTTTTAGATATTCTAAATAGACTTTTAATAAAATTAAGAAAGGCACTAAGAAGAAATATATTTAAGCTTTATATATTCTAATAACTTCTATATTTAGTTCAATAAAGAAATAATAATATTAATCCAAATTCTTTAAATATAAATAATTAATAAAACTCAAGAAATGTCAAAATTATACAAGCCTTTCTTAAGGATTTACAAAGAATTGGAAAATTCAGAAGACATTGCTTAAGATTTTCTTTTTGTAGGTCCTAAAATAAAAAGCGACTTAAGCAGTGCACAAGGGTTACTATTTGGAAGCCTTTATTTCTGCTTTATTGATAACTGCGTCAAAAATTTAGATATACCACAAATTAAATAGGCATAGGATTTTTTTAAAGTATTATTAGCCCAATAAAATGATTTGATTGAAAATGAAAAAAATCAAATTGATAAAATTTTCTATCAAATTAATCAAATCTTGAAATCGCTAAAAATATTTGAAGGTTGTTCCAAATGTAAGAAATGCGAAAATTTAGAAACATGTGAAAAATTTAGTGACATCAATGAAATTTGTAAATCTTTATCAAATTTAGAAAATTTGTTCACTCAAAAGTAGAAATAGGATAAAGAAAACTATAAATTTAATGAATACTTTGAGTTTTGTGCTTCTTTAGCATTGATGGAAAAACTAGTCAGTTATAGCTAAGCTAATAATCTACCAAATGAGGAATTCTTAAGGAAACATAACATAATTTTTAATTAAATAGAATAAAATGATTTCTTTACTGCATAAATGAAGAGTGCTTTCAACTAAATTTGCGAAATATTGCAAATTAGTTGCACATTTTACTATGAATTCAACTAAAGCTTGATTAAAATCAGCCAGCACCAAAGCGTTAGCAAGTAAGATCTTCACATCACATACAACTATAATATAATATTTAGCTAGGATTATTCTAGTTTCAGATTCGGCTATAGTACAACTAAAATAAATGAGCAGAATATGTTAAAAGATAAAATGTATTCTCAAAATGACATCATATAAATCTTAAAGCAAACTGAGAAGACTTGCCTTAATAACAAAGAGTTCCCATTAATAAAATAAAAATTGTAAGACGAAGAAGATTTGAAAAATAATAAATAATATTATCTTCATCAAATCAAAAGCCTGTTAGAATAATAAAATGAATATGCTCCTACTTTGAAAATTTGGATCGACTATATTAATGATGAAAGGAAAAGAAAATATGAGTTGGAATGTGAAATATAACAAATGCAAATAGACCTTAAATATTAATGAAGACAAATAAATAATTCATTAAAAAAATTTATTATTGTAAATTAATTAATATTTCTATTTATGTTGTTTTTTGAAATAGTCACTTTAATCTAATCTATATAAAAATTCATTATATTGTTTTATTGCTTGCTTACATATCCATTTCAAATCATTTTAAAATCTAATTAATTATTGACCAATTACCCTTAATTTTATATTGGTTTTGATTCAAAAATCAAAATCGGCATTATAAATTTTGAAGACACTTTTTATTTTTTAATTTTAAGATTTTATTGTCAGAATTTCTTCTAATATTATTTTCTTTTTTTATTTTTAACTTTTGATGGAGGAGAGAAATAAATACTTGTTCTACTCAATTTTATAAATTCAAAAATAAATAAATAAATATCCTTATTTTATTTATTTATTTATACTTTCATCAATAAAACTTATTTATTGAAGTTTAGAATTTTAATCAATATATCTATCTATCTATCTATCTATTATAAAACATTTATAATTTTTCTATAATATCATTTAACAGCTATTTATCATTGTGGTATTAATCATATAATCCTTTAAAGAAATAAATATTTTTATTAACTTCAATATTTATTAAATGTAAAAAAAAAGAAACAAGGATGATTTTTAAAAAAACTTAGGTAAATTATAAAACTTTCAGTTTCTTTAAAATTTAATATTTAACAAGGAAAGGATTTATTGATTAAAGCATTTTTATTTAATTAAAAACTTTGTTAAACATACATTTAACAAATTAATTATTAAATAGATAAATTAATATAAATTGTATTATAGATCACATGAAGAGCTATGACATTTTTACATCGTACTTTATAGGAATACTAACTCCTTCCCTAAATTTATATAAAAATGAAGCATCTTCTCCTTCTATTCTTTTTTTTCTTTTGTTAGCTTTTTTATTGTATTAATTGTCAAGCATTTCAATATTCATTAATTTTTCTTCAAGCTTCTTTTACTGTATTTCCTATTTTATTATTTTTAAAAATTATCTAAAATACACAATAAATAAATAACTTTATAAATCAATAAAGTAGTTAGAGTAAGTAAGTAAGTAAATAAGTAAGTAAGTAATACATCGTCTGCCATATCTTTTGCCAGTGTTTTTTAATGGTTTATTATATCATAATTTTTTAAAATAAAGTGTATTGATCTCTCATTCAGTCTTTATACGGGTACATCGTTCTAAAATGATTAATAATAATTAAATGTTCCATTTGATTAAATTAAATATTTATTTATTTATTTACTCCAAATAAAAGCAATCTTTCTATTTAAGGAGTAAAATATATATTAAATTTTTGACCGCTTCTATCTATTTTAAAGGGATTATCTAATAATTTCAAAGAGAAGTCTATCATAATGCTCAAAGAAGTGTATAAGTCTTTCTTTTCACTGTCACTGATTATGTTCTAAAAAAATATAATTAACTCTTTTATAAATTTGACTTAGAACTTACAGATGAAATATTAGGCTGTATTATTTAATAAATATTTGATAAATAATCTAGCACGAAATTCTTATTATTTAAGTAAGGAGCATCTGAGTTTGGAAGGTTTTCTAGTAAACTTTCTATGCAATCCATGGCAGCTTTCTATTGAATATTTTAAAGAAAAATTATGTTCGAAATTTTAATGACTTTTCGAAAACTCTATTAAATTTTTTTGATATTTCAAAATGTTGTTAAATAATTTTACATATCTTTTTTTAAGAGTGAATTTGTCTCTAGGGAAGTCTAGCTTTACTCTTTCTTAACCTTTAAGATTGAGACCAAAATTTATAATTGGAAGCGATATAAACTTTGTCATTTCATAATTGTGTTTTAGCAAATTACTTTCTAAAATTTCTGCCAAAGATAAATCATCCTATATTAAAGATGAAATGATTTAATAATTAAAAAACTTAAATTAACTTTTTATAAAGATTTTACCAAAAACTAAGGTATTTTATCAAAGAATCTCTCAGTATTTTTTATTTTGCTATAGTTTAAAAGTGTTGCTTCTATCAGTTAATCAGGTTATGTGTTTTTAATTAGAGTATGTATAGTGTATCTCAAAATACTAATTAATTAAATAAAGAATTAAAATTAATAAATTATTTTTTTATTTAAGTGCTATTTCTATGATCTCCATTAAATCTACTAAAATCTATTAATTTAAATTAAATATTATTTTCATTACTCAATTTTAGAGTCCTTTTTATTGATTGGAGGCATCATGATGCACTCTAAGAGCTCTAAAATACTTTTAGAGTTGTTTTTTTCTTCCATGAGAATTTAGTCGATTGATATTTTAGAGCGATTGTCTTGCTTTTGAATTTTTGATATCATTTAAAGGTTCATTAATGTAGATCTTATATCGTTCTCATTGTGGTCACATATCTTTTATAATCCTGATTAATCTATACTTAACTTTTCTTTATGGCAGATTTCTCTCAGTCTTTGTACTAGCTTATCGCTCCTTGCTTTCGTAAAATTAAATACGAAGGCTTTTTTTCTAAGTTCCCTTAACCCTTTACTGTAAATATCGTTACAAATAAAGATAACTGGTCTTCTAATATGAACGTTTTATGCTGTTTATTTTGTTGTTTCTTCTTCTAAACCTTTATCATCTTCTTCATTCAAGTTATCCTCATCTCCATCTTCATCATCTTCGTCCTTTTTCTTTTTCTTTTTTGACTCAGGTTTCTTTTTTTAATTGCTTTATTTTGTTTGAGCTTCGCCAGCTCCCTTTTTTTGTATATTCTTTTATCCTTTAAAAATGAAGTCTAGTAAGTGATTAACAGCTCCCTATTTTTTTTGTTATATTTTATAATAAATAAAAACTTCTGCTTGCTCAAATACGAAGAAGTCAAATTTTGTATTTAATTAATAGAAAAACTTTTTACATGACTCTCAGATTCCATAGCTCCATCTACTTCGTCTACAATAATCAAAGAAGGTTTTTCTTTTTATTCTTCAGCTTTATTATCGTTTTTGAATTACAAAGCTTCATTTCTTGTCACTGTTTCTATTTTTTCAATAAGCTTTGCTGCAGTTCTTTCCTCTGATGCATTTATCTTTCATTAATAATTAAAAAATAATTAATATAAAAATATTTAGAGTTTTTAAGAATTTACTTCAATAACTTTGTATCCACAATGCTTTGCAACAGTCCTTGCTAATGTGGTTTTACCTGAACCAGGAGGTCCTGCAAGAAGAATAACACTGTTTTACATTTTTTATACTGAATAATCATCACTTAAATCAAAATAAAAAGGCTTTTATCCAGTGTATTAAAACTTATTATTTCCTTATCCTTAAAAGAATTTATTTTAATCTCCTGCTTAAAATCCTTTATTAGCTTCATCTCCAATCTTATTAAAATTATTATTGTAAACGCTGCTGCTGTTGTTGACTTTTTAAACTTAGCCAAAAATATTTCTGCCATAACTTTAGTTATTATACTAATTGTTATATTAATTATTATACTAATTCTAAAAGATGCTTTTTTTTAATTTTTTCTTAAAAACAATAGGATCCCATGCTTTTAACCAGCACATAACCTCCCTATTAATTTTATCAAAACTGAGAAGTTCATCATATCTCTTTGGCATATATTTATCCACCCACAATTACCTATCTTTTAAATTTTCTCTCTTTATTAACTATTTATCTTCGTCCATAATTTCCTACTACAGCTCCTACTCAATTTGAGCAGCTTTTGCCTTTTAATTGATATCAATTAACATTTAATAATAATAAAGGTGAAAATAAAATAAAATAAAATAATTACTTTTCTTTACTCCTAAACTATTTACTCTAACTCTTCAATTGGTGTTATGAGCAAACTTTGTCTCTCAAATAGTTTAATAATATTCTAATTTATACTTGGATCATATTTTTCCCTTTTATTCTTGTAAACGTAGAAGTTCATTGTTGATACAATTTTATCTTCTTCCTCTGTCTCATTTGGATTCTAAATATAAAAGTTAATTTTAAGCTATTCATTAGCATCATCAGATGAATAATGAAGATCCCTATCATCTATATTAATGCCTTCAAAATAATCATCATAGTTATGTTTCCAACTCATGTTTACTTCTTAAATATGCTTGAATGTATTAACTTATATATAATGATTTCCTATAAAAATTAAACCTTTCGCGTAATTATATCTTTAATTTAATAAAAATATTATTTTTTATAAATTAATTTACTATCTTTCTTTAAATTTTGCGCGCTTTTTGAATCACCATTCAATGTATTGATTTTCCGGCAAATAAATAAAAAAGAATATCCAAACAAACAAACAATCAAACGAATAGTAGATATTATGACAAAAAATATTTCTCAATTTGATTTTAATAATAAAAATAAATCCTTTTAAAATTAATTTATCATTGTAGAATTTACTTTAGAAAGAGTTATATTAATTAATTAATTATATTTAATAATAAAAAAATGAATGGAAAAGAAAAAGAAAAATTAATTTAAGAATAATCTGAATATTTTATTGATATAAAAAAATATCATTTTTCCTCATCAATCAATAATGAATAAATTTAATCTTATTTATCACAGTAAAACTAAAAAATATTAAAAATTTTAATTAAAAAAATAATTAAAATTTGTTTTATTTAGAATTGAAGTAAGAAGATTTAAATTGTATAATTGTTAATTTGTTAGGAAATATAAATTTAAATATCTTTTTTAATTATAATTTAATAATAGAAAAAATATCATTTCTTAGAGTTTTATTCATCAGAGAAAATCAGAAATAAGAAATTAATTTTTAAAATTTTGTAAATTGATAAATAAATAGAAATTTAGTTATTTATTTTGTTTATATCTTTATAACTCCTAAATAATTTCAAAAATTATACACTTTAAAAGTTTTAAAAAAAATACAAATTAAAGTTTGAATCTTATAAATAGATAGCTAGCTCTATGGAATATATTAAGTTTAAGAAAGGAAGTCCATATCCTGAAAAAAGAGGAGGATCAACTTTACACTGCGTTGCCAAAAATAAATTTATTTTAATAGGTAATGCATATATAATTAGCTAATTATATAGATTGTATCAAATAAGTGGTAACATTGATAATATAAATAATTAAATTAGGTGGAGGAAATAGATCTAAAGAATTTGGAGACATTTGGGAATTAAGCATTTTAGACAATAATGAGTGTGAATGGAAATAGATTAATATTCCTTTGAGTGCTTTCACTCCTAGGACAGGACACACATCTTCATAAGTTGATGAAAGCACCATTTACATTTATGGAGGATAGAATTTTACAGAAAACAAACATTATAATGATTTTTTAAAGTTAGATCTAGGTAATTTAAATCAAATTTTAAATGAAGCAAATAACATTTTAATTTTCCAACAGATACAAATAGCTTACAAAGGCTTAATAAAAGTAGTGGAGCACTTAATTTGAACGAACCAACAGAAAGAAATTCCTCAACTTTAGTTTATAATAACATCGATAAATAGTTGCTTTTGTTCGGCGGAGCTGATCCTCAAGAACCTCTTAGAGACCTTTATGTCTATGATATTTGTAAGAAAAAGCAATAATTTATATGGATTAAGGATTTATTTATGTTCTAAAAAGTATTAGGAAAATGGACTAAGGTAGAAACTAAAAATGGTGATGAAATTAAAGGATTGGAAATGCACACAGCTCATTTTTACAGTGCAGCTTCCGATTTAAAAAAGAAAAAGAAGAAGAAAGGAAAGAGCAAAAAGGGATCTAATATAGTAAACCTAGATATTGGTGACTTTACTAAAGAAGTAGATAGTTAAGGATAAGCTATTCCTCATGAAGCAATTATGAACATACCAAAGGTGAATATAGAGTTTGATGAAAAGAATGCAATAGTTGAAGATGATAATAATGATGAAATTGAGGAATTTCCTCATGGGGATGAATAAAGTATTTAAAAATAAATATTATTTAATAACTTAAATGATTGTAAAAATAAAAAAGTTATAGGTAAAGAAGAATAAGAGGAAGAATAAAAGAATGAAGATAATAAATAAGGAGAATAATAAAAGTAAAAATACATGATTGTAATTGGTGGAAGATATCTCGATCAAGTAAAAAGTGAAATATATTCCTTGAATCTTTCAAATTATGAATGGAAAAGGATAAAAGATTTGCCATTTGAAATATGTGCTCACACATCAACTGTGGTAGAAGATTCAATTTATATCTTTGGTGGAACTTCGGGCTAAGAGTTCTATGATAAACTTTACATTTTCTAACTCACTAATTAGAAACTCTATGAATTTGAAATCACTCCATAAGAAAAAAAGCAATGCATGTTAACTCCAAGAATGGCATCAGCAATGAGTTATGACCAAGAATCAAAAAAATTGTATATTTTCGGAGGAGCTTCAATTGAGGATGAAACTACAGCTTTAATATCAATCAATACCAATAAAATTAATACTTCAAACAGAACAAAAAAAATTTGAAGTATTTTATTTGCATAAAATTTATTTTTTTACATATAAAGTTTTATTACTTTAAAATTAATTTTCAATTCATCAATTGAATTTTATTTCGATTAACTAGATACTCATTTTTTTATTTAATTATCATTTATTCATTAATCTAATATTATTATTTATTTAAAATCAATTTTCAGATACAATTAATAAATTCTAGCAAGACTTTAATTCTATTTGCTTATTTATTTTATTATATAAACAATCTTAATCACTTACTTTTTACCTAATCTTAAATCTATTTTTTTTAATTAATTACTTTTCTTATTATAAAAAAACAAATAAAATGAATAATTAAATTTGATTTGATTTTATTTAAATGGTAAAAGGTATCTAATATGTATGAATAATAATTTTTTAATAAACAAGTGATAAAATTATTTAAAAATTGATAAAATATAAATCATCTAATTATATTCATAATATTATTTTTATGTAAATTTTAAGTATCAAATATAATTAATATATTTTTTTAAAATAGAAACTATTTCAGAATGTTAATTTTAAAAATTGATCTAATTATTAACAACAAAATAAAGCTTTTTTAACAAGTTATTGAAATATCTAAGATGAATGAATATATTTATAATTTTTTATAATATTTTTACAATTATTATTTTTTTTAAAAATAGATATTAAATGTCTATTTCAAAAATTCGATTGAAGTTTGTTAAAATTATAAAAATTTATTTGATATAGTTATAGAAGTATTAATTAATAGTAATCATGAACAATCTTAGTACTCAATAATTTTTTATTATATTTTTATAGTTAATAGTTTTTTTTTCAAAGGTGTTTGCTTATTAATTTAGATGCCTACTTTAGTAATGAAATATTGCTTAAATTGTAATAAAATATCTGATGATGATTAAAAAAATAAAATCTTAGATACAGTTATTAAAACAAACATTGAGATGGTATAAAAATATTGAGTTTTATTTTGATTTTTATATTTACATCAAATTATTTAAATATATCTCAAAATACCTTTCAATTCTCATTAAAAATCTTTACAATTCAATTAATTTTTACAATATTTTTAGAATTAATAGAATATTTTCTAAAAATGGATATTAATTTAGATATATATTTCAGTAATATTTCTATTTATTAATATTTTCTTCAAGTAGAATTATATAATTATTCATTAAATAAAATCACTATACTTGAAATTAATTCAAATAAGAAAATTTATTTATTGTATTTAAAGTAAGTAAGTAAACGATTGAATTTATAGTTTTATATTTTATTACCTAAAAAACAGTTGGAATAATAAAAATTTTAATAGATAATTCAATCTAGAAACCTTTATTTTTGCAAAAATAATTTTAGATAATGATAAAGGAATTAAAATTTTAAAATCTTTAATAATAATCCTATAATATTAATATAGTTATAGTAACAAAAATAGTACTTGAAAATAGATTATTTAAAGTAATAGCATTCAAATTAGTTATAATAATTTGTGATTAGTAATTAACTATTCAGTGAAAAATCCACTTAATCTAAAACTTTACCTCAATTAAGAGTTTAATTTGCTATACAAAATTAATCAAATTCAATCAATCAATCAGTCATTCAGCAAATTAATATCATCGAATTTTTACTAGCTGATCCAAAGTACTTAAATCAGTAAAATCAATAAGTAAATTAAAAAATAAGAAAACACCAATTAATATATATTTAAATAAGAATATAGATAGATATATTTATTTTTACATTCAAAATTGTCGTGAAATAAATAACTTTTGTTAAATGAATTACAATAGTAGTAAACCTCAAACTGCTTAGCAGGCTAAAAGGCAGGATTCAAACTATAATGCCAAGGATAGAGCTATAAACAAAAAAAACCCAAATATGAGTAAAGGGTAGATCATTGACAGATAGATCAGTAATTTTGAACAACACAAGGCTATAAAAATCCTATAAAAAGAAACTCATTTATCTAATCAAGAACAAAAAATATTTTTGGCAACATTTTTGCGGCGCCATGTAGAATAGTTTAGAGAAATAGAAGGAGATCCTATGGAATTTCTCCTAGCTCTCACTATCAATTTAAAATATGTTTTTGTACCTAAAGGGAAAGTCATATTTCATGAAGACGAGAACGCAGACAATTTATTCTTTATTCTTGATGGAGATGTTCAATTTTACACTAGAAAAACAGAATAAGATATACAAAGAGAAAGATTCTGGCTTCAAGCGGTGTAATCAAAATAATAGAATCCTTACTAACTTAGTAATGTGCAAAAACAGAGATTGCATAAAGATGAAGAAGTCTTAAAATATTATAAATGCGATGAAGATGAAAATGTATTCAGATTTTCAAAAAAGAAAAATGTTTACTTTGTTGATGGGGTTTTATTGCTTAAAAAAACATATTAGAGGAATAAAGGGCAGTCTTTTGGTATCGACGAGAAAGATAATTCTCAAACAGCAGTAGCTTGGACTGATACTATTCTGGCTGTCACATCACAAAGTGACTACATTTAGAGTTATACGAAATATAAAGAAAAAAATTCATTTACTTTTGACTGCTTGAAAAAGCTTATAGCTCCTTTAATTTCTTAGTACCCCACTAGAATAGATGATATAACGCTTAGATTAATATCTTCAAAAACAAAGGCTATAAATGTTCCTCTTCATTAAACAGTTTTCGAAGCAATATCTGAAGCAACACTTAAAGAAATACCTACTCTGAATCAAAAGAGTAGGAGTGAGTTAGGTTTAAATGAGTCTGTGTACATCTTGAAATAAGGTTACATTGAATACTACCTTAACTATCAAGACTCTGAGTAAAAAGGGCAGAAGATATGCTAACTTACTGATGGTGATGTATTTGGGCATGAGTGCTTATTCAAGCCTGAAAAATAAATATTTACAGTTATTTCAATTTCACCATCGACTTAAATTTTCTAGTTAAAAAAAGAGTATCTCTGTGAAAATGAGACTCTTCTCGATATCCTCTAAGTTAAGGGTGAGCAGTTTTGGAAATAACTTCAATCTGCTTAGAATAAAAACTAAAAACCATAGAATAATTTAAGCTTCTAAGCAGCTAAAAGTGAGGTCAGCAGCATAAACAATTAGAAAGTAGAAAAATAATTTAAAATTTAAAAACTAGAAATAAATAATTTATTGTCCAAGTAGAAATTAAAAAATGAGCAATTAGTTAATAATTATAATAATAATGGTAAATAACTACAATAATAAAGTGAAAATAAAGCAAATAATAACTAGTAGACAAATCTTTCAACGGGATAGGTAGAAAAATCAAAAAGATAAAGGAGCTAGTCCAAAAAGTCTTAAACAAATATTCCTTCAATTATAGAACTTTAAAATAATTAGTAGAAGTCAAAACAAATACAGACTTTAAATGTGCCCAAAACTTCAAGCAGAAAAGGAAGTATAAGAATGCATCATTTTGCAAATTTCGAAGGGTCATTTGACCAACTAGATGAAGATGATCAGTTGAGCTAGTCAAATTCGAAACTTGAATAAGATTTAATAAAATATAAACAAAAAAGTAAAACAATTTTATCTGCTGCTAGGTCATGCACTTAAATTCAAGTTGATTCAAACGATTAATTTTAATCTCCTACTTTACATGGTATTAATATGGATAAAAGTAGCTAGCCTTACTTGGCTATTCCTCATAGATAGTCATTAACCCACAGAAAATCTGAAAGCACCCACGTTTCGCCTGCTAAAAAGATCATTTTAGTCGTTGAGGAACTAAACTAATATGGTGAACCAAAAAAAGTAGATAGTAAAGCGTTTTCTTACTTGAAAGCTAATTAAAAATAGGAAGAACTCAAATTTTCTCCAAATAAAGTGACAAGCATAGAGAATAATATCTTTAAAAGCCAAACATAAGCTAAATTAGTTCCTTGTCGGTAACCAGATATTTTCAGAATAAAGCATAATATGTTTGACTCATCTTCCTAATCTAATTCTGCCAACAACGGAATAGAGTCGCGAAACGAAAATGAGCATTCTCCTTTCAACCAACCATTGGTGTCTCCGTTCAATGCTTTCTCAAAAGACTCTGAATTCCTAAATAATTTATAAAAAAGTAGCTTGAAACAAATAAGATAACTTAAAGTTCCTACATTAAACATATAGTAATCCATATATTATTCTTGTGGTGTTATCAATAATATTTAAAGAGAAAATTAGCCTTATTAATAATAACAACAACAATAGCCTCAACAACAATAACAACAGTAATATATGAACTAATATTAATAGATATTTACACCATAATCAAGCCGTTCGAGTGAAGAATAATCAAAGATGGAGAACTCTTACAAACAATAAGTTTAAACTCCTAATAGACTACCTCTAAATAAATAAATTCCTGTGAACTCTCCTATAAAATTATTTGATTAGATAAAATCTCCAATTCAATAAAATTATTTAAATTTTAAAACTAAATATTTCAACCCACTTCATACACAAAGAGAAAGAGGTACTACTGCTACTGCTTAAAAACTTTAAGCAAACTGAATTTTACATTACCCCAATAAAACTATATATATATATATATATATTAATCAACTAACTAATAAACAACTAATTTATGAAAACTTGATACTTTATCTTGATTATTTCTAAAATTAATAATACAATTTTGTTTATTCGTTCATATTCTAAGTTTACATTAAAAATATTACTTTATTTTATTAAAATTTCTAATAGATACTGAATTAAATATTATTAATTAATTTCTTAAAATTATTGATAACAGGACAATAAAATTATATTTAAAATAATATTTATTTTTTTTAACTTTTAAAAAATGAAATATAAAAATATAGCAATTAAAATTTTTTTTAAAATTAAATCTCCTTCATTTTCAACGAATTTTACCCACAAAAACAAAAATAAATGAGATATTATATAAAAAACTTTAAGCAAATTAAAATTTATTTATATTTCTCCCTTATAAAATTTAGAATAAAGCAGCTAACTAATTAATCGAAAAGAACTTTTTATTTCATCTTGATTATTTCAAAATTTAATACAATTTTGTTTTATTCAAAAAATATCTCTCAATTTTTAAGTTCTACCAATTGTTAATGTACCTAAATGTAATATTATTTATTTTTTTAAATATTGCATTAAGGATAATAAAATAATTATATATATTAAAAAAAAAAGAGTTAATTTAAAAAATATAATTAATTATAAAATGATATGTAAACTTTTTGAAAAATAAAAAGTAAATTTTAGTAGCAACCTAGCTAGCTAGCTAACTAGCTGTTAGTTTAATAAATTATCTCGTCTTTAAAAAATAAGTATCTATCTGTATCAATTTGTTTAATTTTTAAGTAAATTTTATATTTAAATTAAAAAAATAGCTTGATTAAAAATGGAAAACTTAGAAAATTTGGAAACTATTGAAGACAGGTACTAAAAGATCAAAAAAATAGGAGAAGGTACATACGGAAAAGTATTCTAAGCGAAAGATTTAAAAACTGATTAAATAGTAGCCTTAAAGAAAGTGAAGAATGACTATGAAGAAATTGGTGACGAAGGTATTCCTTCAACAGCTCTCAGAGAAATTTCTTGCTTAAAAGCACTGGATCATCCTAATGTGGTTAAGTAATAAATAAATAAATAACTATAAAATTAGCATTATTTGTAAAATGATTTTACTTAAACAGATTGGTTGACGTTGTTTACATTATGAAAAAGAATAAGCTTTATCTTGTTTTTGAATACATAGACTACGATCTAAAAGCATATCAGAAAAAAATTGGAAAAATACCTGAGCAGACAGTAAAGGTTTGGTCATATTCTTTCTTTCAATAATACATTCATTCATCCATCCATCAATATATTCATTAATTGCTTTTTTGGAATTTTTATGATTTATTTTTTGATAAATGAATGATGCCTAAAATAATTTAATTTAATTTAGTCGTACATGCACCAGATCTTAAAAGGGATTGAGCATTGCCATTCTAGGAGAATATTTCATAGAGATTTGAAGCCTTAAAATATATTAGTTAATAACAAGGGTGATATTAAGATTGCAGATTTTGGCCTTGGCAAAATATTTGGAATCCCTCTTAACACTATCACTCATGAAGTAGAAACTCTATGGTACAGAGCTCCTGAGATACTTTTAGGTGATAAACTTTATTCGCTCCCTGTTGATGTTTGGTCTATAGGGTGTATATTTGCTGAGTTGATTATAGGTCATCCTCTTTTTCATGGAGATAGTGAAATTGATTAGATTTTCAAAATATTTTAGTTTTTTGGCACTCCAAAATCTTCAAAGTTAGAAGGCACTTATAATTTAAAATATTGGTCAAATCTATTTCCACGCTTTAAATCCTAAAAAGATGAAATTTTAAAGCCAATAATTGAGACCGATCCTCAAGCAGCTGATTTGCTAGTAAAGTTAATAGACATTGAGCCTGCCAAGAGAATATCTGTGAGCCAGGCCTTAAAGCATCCTTATTTCGATAATATCTAATCACCATTGAACAGCTGTAAATTTAATTAAATTAAAATAATAATTTCTGATAAATTAGTTAATTTGTAAATTTTTAATTATTCTAGAGATATTTAATTTTTGATCAAAAAGACTGACTGACTGACTGACTCTGCTGATTATTTAGAAAATTGGAAAACACACTTTAAAAATAAAAAGTTTAAAGTAATGTCAACTCAAGTTAACATTCTTTAAAAAAGTTATTTGAAAAAGTGTTTTCATTTTATAAACTAATTATTTAAATATAAAATCAGTATTTATTCTATGAAAAAAGTTTTATTTATAAATCTTCTATGTAATTTAAAATTATTTATTGATTTTTCATGATAAAAAATAAATTAAATATTACTGTTGATTCTAATTTTTAAGGTGCTGAAAATGACTTTTTGTAAAAAAAATATGAACATCTTTTTTACATTTTTAATTTTTAAAATCAGCTTGAAAAAAAGTTTTAATCTAAGAGGATCTACATTGTATTTGCTTTTATTATTTTTGATTTAAGATGTGTTTTTAATTAAAATCAAAACAAAACAAATTAATAATTTAGTAAAAATTAATAAAAATATTCTAGAAAATAAAATATTTTTATAACTAAGATTACATTTGCTAATATAGGAAATTTTTTTGATAAAATAAATTTAAATTCTAATTATTTTAATTTTTAGGTACTTTTTATGCTGTAAGAAGAAATAGGAAAAATAAAGAAAGAAAAGATGTAAATAAGTTAACAAATAAATAAAATATTTTAGTTTTAGATTATAAAGAATTAATTAATTAATATTTTTTAATCAGAAATATATGGTGCAGTTTTTTTCAAAATCAGTTTCCCATAGATTTAACTATAAATCTTCATATTTAAGGAAACCTTCTTAATTTGTTTCAGTTTCACTAAACACAGCTACAGCTAATCTTTCAATTTCACTTTTGTTCATTAATTTTTCCCCTGTATGAGGATCTGTAAAAAGGAGAGTTATACCTTTAATTAAGTCATCTTTACTAAGCATACCATCTTCATCGAAGTCAAATATTCTGAATAGAACTATGTGAATAGTAAATAAATTGTTATTTATTTTTAACTGAATTGATAATAAATAAATAAATATATAAAGACTTACATCTCGATTTGTTTGAAGATGAGGCTTTGGCTGAAAATACATTTAAAATTTTACAAAATAGCTTGAAATCAATAAAAGAATAATTTAGTTATTTGGATGAGTATTTGTTAGAAGTAATTCCTTCTTATGTATTATTATTAAGTGGAGTTATTTTATATAGTTTTTTTTTTGTTCCATTTACAGACGCAAAATTTAAAAAGTTAGCCTTTGGCAAATCAGCAGCACTTTTTGATTATCTTCTAGAATAGTTTTTTTAATCTGCCTTTTCCTAGTTGCTAGCCTCTTAACCAGTATTATTATCAAGAGTAAGGTTTTTACCTTAAAGATACTTTGACTGCTCTTTTATTAATTCTAATCCATCAATCAGCCTTGATTTGAAAGGCGAATTTTAGAGTTCATCTAAGTTGAGAAATTAAGTTATTGACAATTTTTGCTGAAAATTTTCATTTTTAATAGTAAAAATAGTAAAAATATAAAGTTTTAAGTGAAATCAAAATTAAATAAAATACATTTTCCTTTTAATCCAGCTGATAAAACCTGAAATAGAGGTTTAAAATTTCCTTTTCTGTGACTTTTTTTAGTAAATTTGATTATTAAAATTTATTATGTAGAAATAAGGAAAAAAATAGATAGATATTTTTGAATCTTACAATCTGTATCCTTCTAAATTATATTCAGGTCCGAAGGCGTTACATTTTAGTTCGATAAATAAACAACTTCATCTAAATAACTTCCTTTGCTTAATAATCCTCCCATTTATACGTAGTTGCTAAAATGTTTGATTTTCTTAATTTTTGATATTGCTTGCTTAATAAATTAATTGATTAATAAATAGATATTCTTATGAGCAAAAAGCTGGCTGGCTGGCTCACAACCAAACTTTTTGATTAAGTTAAACTTTTCTATTACTATTTATTAATCTTTTTTTTAAACAGTAAAAAAGCAAAAAAATATATTAAAATCACTTTTTACCACAATTTTTCTCTAATATGATTTAACAATATTCCTAAAAATCATTATTAGAGTAGAAATTTATTATATTATGATCAAAATATATTTTTAATTTATTGAATCTTGGTTATTATTTTTACTCACTACCAACTAAGTTTCAATATTTCTAATAGCCTTCTTTGATTACAAATGTGAAAAATAAATAGTTAACTTTAAACTCTTTCTTCTTTATGGTTAGATCAATAGATTTATATCAACAATATGAGAATAAAATAATTAAAATAAACTATTAATAAGTTTTTAATTCAATTAATCTTATTGAAATTAAACATTTTAAAAATATCATTATAATCTATATGGATAATGTATTTATTTATTCTTAATGAATATTAATCTTTTAATTTGTCTAAACAAAATAAAAACACCTAAAAATTTCAAGAAGAAATTTTATTTATTTATTATTAATATAATCATTTTTATAATATAGATAGATAGACATTCCAATCATAATTTATTCATTCATAATTGTGTGTTTAACAGTTACCATTGTGCAAAAAAGAAATCTTAAGATGGTAGAAATATGTTTTTTTATATTGAAATAAATTAAATAAAAAACATAATTAATTCTATAAAACTATTCGAATTTTTAAAAACTGTTAAATGATAAAAATATTTTAAAAGTTTTGTTGATTAATAAAATAGTTTTTATGATTTACAGTGGAATTTACAAAATAAATAAATAGATAGATAGATAGATAGATAAATAAATAAGATATCATTTAAAATTTTTTTCAGTTCATTTCATATAATAGCAAAGGTGATTTAATATTGACATCAAAGACATAGTATAAATTAAATGATTTTGCATCTTACTTTTTGATCTCTCCTTATGTTTTATATGCTTCACCTAATGTGTCAGTAAAATTGATCCTTTTATTTTATTTATTTAATTAGTAATTAAGTAGCATTATTTTTGATTATGTTTTAAGTTATATTTGTTTGTTATTCTAACTAAAAATATTCAATAAATTAGTATAAAATATGATATTCCATTATAAATAAATAAATGACTTCTTACTCTTCTTTTTTTTCCAGGTCTTTGTACAACTTAACATTACAAATCCTTTTGAATAATTTAAATTAGTTAATCTTTTGGTCTGAGCTCATTTATTTCAATTAAAATTTACTTTCCATGCCTGTTTTCAATTTTGCTCAATACACAAAAAATTGGATCTTTTGCCTTCATATCTAACTCAAAATCAGCAAAGTGCCAATTATTTTCTATCAACTTAGTATTTTAGCAAATTTATGTTATCAAGCGAATTAAAATTAACTTACAATAAACTTAATATGCATCCATCCTTAGTTTTCTGGAGGTATTTCAACTTTTGGCTAATGTATATTTTATCAAAAACATATTGTAAATGCAATTCTTAATTAAGCAATTACATATAAATAATTTGTATATTGCTGTTCTTTTTGCACCTCTTTTTTATCTTTTGGTTCACTCTTCTCTTTTTTGCCCATTTTATCTATACAGATTCGCTTTTAGATATATTATCTTAATTTTTAACACTTTTAGTAAAATATAAAGTTGCTGGATTGTTTTTAGATATTAAAATTATATTTTAATTCAATAAATCGTATAAGATTTTTGCTATATAAGTTCAATATTTCTAATAATCAATCTAAGTAAAATAATAATAGAATAATATTTTTTTTTAATTTAGTAATTTTTATGACAAATTATATAAACTAATTCATAAAGTTGAACTTAATGATAATATCTTTAAAAAGTTTAGCAAAGTAGAAATAACATTTTTGTTTGTATTTTTAATAATTAGATAGATGAAAAGTTAAAATATAATTTATTAGCCTTTACTTCAATATTTTCTAGAATAAAATCAATATTATAACAAAATACATTCAATAACTAAAGTGGGTATTTTTATAAAATGAATTACAAATAGAATAAATTAAAATTAAAAATTTATTTAAAGTTAACATTTTTAAATGTTTGATCATCAAATTTTAACCCTGTATAACAAGTTTTTATAGTTTATATTGATAAAAATGTAGTGAATTTTATTGAATTTTTTTAATTTAAAAAACCACTTTTACTTAAGAATCGAACTTATAAAAATTCTACTTCTTATTTCTTATAAATTTTAATAAAATATTTTTTATTTTAAAACAGTTATTAGTTGAAGATATGATCAATCAAATGATCATTATCATAATTTGTGAATTAAGAAAAATTAATAAATAAATAAAATTAATTTTGAACAAAATTGGAAATTATTAAAATAAATATTTAACAGTTTAAAATTTAAAAATAAATTTAATTTTTATATATTAATTATTTTTCAAGGATTTATTCAATTTTTAATATAAATATCCTTTTTATTATAAATTCAAAATTTTTAATCACTTTTTTACTTAGTTTTGCTTAGAAGTGAATGAGAGAGAAATAAAATTCAGAAGTAATCTTAGCTCATCCCAAGCACTAATAACATACTATATAAAACTATGTCTTGTAATATAATTAGTTGTAATGTAATTTTAATTTTTTGCTGTTTGAAGGTAGTATTTAAACGAATCATGGATTTTTTTGATTCTGTCATCTGTTTATTATTCTTTTTTTATAAGGTTTAAAAGGTTGTTGTAGACTTCTTCTATAATCACTATATTAGCAACTGTGTTCAAGTGTTGTTTGAAGAATGCATCAATCACTTTATTTTCAAATTCCTGTTTAAATAAAATTCTAGTTGAAAAAAAGAAGTCTTGCTATGAACGTATAGGACTTAATATACTTTTTTATGACTTTTAAGGCGAATTATTTCCAGATTTTGTTTTATTTTATGATTTTATCAGTTTTTTAGGGCTTTAACTTCCTTATCTTAAAGGTGTTTATGGACTTGATTATGAATGCATGAAATTCACTATTTAAATATGTCTGAGCTTTGAAGGGCTGCTTTCTTCAAAGCTGCTTAAAGACGATCTATTTAATTCGTTTTAAGATTCAATGTTTTTTGATGTAAAATTTTAAGTTTAACTATTAGCTTATGAACTTTAGATTTTTACATTAAGAGTTTTACTTTTTTATATTTTTTGAGAGCTTTGATTCTGTGTATTTTAATCAACATTTTCTAGCTTAATTTAACTAAATGATTTTATAGAGTTTGAATTCTTGTACTTTTTAGGAGAGTGAGGTGAAGCCCTAGGACTTTAGAAAGATTATCCTTCCTCCACTTGAGCATAAAAGGAATCCTAAGTCCTATTATCAACAATGAAATTGACAAATTTTTGCAGGCATTTAATATTTTAGTCGTAATTTGTTGTTTCAAAGATTTTAACGACATTCTAAAGAGAATAGCAAGCAAATGTATTTTCGTAAAATGCTTTATTATTTAAAGGATAAAAACTAAGCATAGTAATTTTATATTCTTCTAAGGACAATAATTGGTTAAGTTTTTCAAGCTATTGAGTTTTGAGTGCAAATAAAAACTGCAACAATCTTTCTGACTCTATATTAGACACACAATCTATTACAAATTAACCTATGTTGCTCAATGGAACAGTTATTCCTGAGTTTTTCTTTAGTATTTACTTAAACTAAGAACTTTCTTTTGCCTCAACTAAATCAATATTTTATTTTAAAATTTAGAAATTATACTATTTCTGAGTTTAATTGTAAATATGTTAAGTCAATTCTATTTTATTAAATAGCTCTAAGTAATCTTCTAGTTCTTGCTGGTCATTTACAAAAACTTTTAAGTGCTTCGACACAATCTATTGAGCACTTTTAAGAGATATTTCATCGTTTTTTTCATATTAATGAAAGAAGTAAGGTCTATTATAATTTTCTTATTTTTCTTCTAGTTTTTTTCTGTAAGTTGAAGCGACATCATAATATATTTGATAAAATAAATTTGATTGCAGAATGATTGATTTAATGCAAGCTTAGATGCCCTGATTTCCTTTGTTATTTTACATTTCTTCTTTCAATTTATTTTTACTTAAACCAATTAAGCTACAATAGAATTCAATTTATCTATTTTTGATGTTCATTTCTGATAAGCTCTCTATAAAATCATTTAAAAAATGAGATGCTACTTCTTTTTACCCGAATTATTTCATAAACCACAAAGCTGTATATTTATAGAGAGGAATATAAGGTAGTTTAGCTAAAAAGGAAGTATAATCATCTTTTATCTTATCACATAAAATGCAATTAACAAAAGCCAAAACACAATTTTACGAAAATCTAAAAGGAGAAGGATAATAATCCTTTATATACTTCTATAATTTATATGTGTAGTTCTTTGTTTAAGGATGAATAATTATCATATTTATTTAAGAAGACTTGTCTTCAGATTTCTTTTTTTAAGAAAGCAGTTTAAGTCTTTCCTTCAATTCATAAATTTATTTATTAAGCAAATTAATTGTTTTCTTATTTTCATCTAACTCTTTGTTATTTTACTCTTCCGATTACTTGAGCTATGAAATTCTACTAGTAAAATTTTGTTCAATGCTTTGATTTAATTTCAAAATCATTTCTTCCTTTTCATGATATTGCTAATTGCTTTAGAACTAAGATTAGTGCATCTGATTCTTTATTTGAATAGTCTATTCTGCACCATACAGCATTTCATTTATCTCTTTTATCTAATTTTCTTGTTAAATTATGTTATTTTATAGCTAATCTATCTAATCATGGTAACTTTATATTAATTCAAAAAATACTTAGAAATGCAAACAATTTTGTCAAAAATAAAATTTAAGAAATAATTTATTTTGATATTCAATTTTTTATATTAATTGATATATACCATATTTTAAAAATAGGATAAAGTAATTCCTCGTTAAGAAAATCCTTCTGACTTGCTAGAAATAACTAAATTTAAGAATTTTTATTTCACATTTCGGTTTTAAGGCAATCCTAATATGCGAAATCTTATATAACGAGAGGTAACCATATCTAAACTTGGTGTTTATAGAAAATTTAGATTTTATTTACCCAAAATAAACGAGAAAAAAAGTAAAATAAATATCATTAATTATGATACTTAAAATTGAATATCATTTATGATACTTAAAAATTGAATATCAAAAATTAATAATTTTTTGACAACTCTAATAATTTCATATGAATATTTACATATTAAAGTATTTGTCTATGTCATTGAATAATTCGACGAATTTAAGAGTGGAGGGAGTTGGAAGAAGGGAGAGTTCTTGTATTAATTTTAGCTTCTCTTCATTTAATTATAAGATGGTTGGTTTCAAAAACTATTTTAAGGTAGGATTATTCATTTTGACAATAACTTCTAAGAGACTCTTAACATTTTTCATTTAATCAACAGCTATTTAATCAGGTAGAGCGATTACGGTTTTAGAGATAAATGAATTTATTTCAGTAAATACTTTTTATAGTGCGGATAAATACAAACTACAGAATCCTAAATCATTCTGATTTTTAGATATCTCTAATGTGTAATTTTAAAAAGCTTCAAAAATGTATTTGGTGTATTCTTTGATTTTATCTTACCCTTCTAAATAGTAGCTGTGTCTGCACTGAGGTTTTTCTAATTTAGCAAGAATCGATTCTGACATAATTATTTCATGCAGTTTTTAATAATATTCTACGCCTTAACAGCTTTTACTATTAAGATTATTGTCCTCATATTAAATAATTTTATTTATTTCAGTGTTAGTTTGAATAGAATTTGACCTTGATTATTTATAAGAATAATAGTAAGGATTCATATTAGGACTTCTTTCTTTGATTGATGTATTTTAATGAGCATTTTGTAATTTAAATAAATCTTAAGCATCGATAATATCTTCCCTCTTTTTTTACTTAATATCATAGCTTCTCAGCTTTGTATTAGATGAAGGTCGACTCATAGATATAATATTTTTTTATAGATTAGAGTTAAAATTAGAATTAATTTTGCTTTTAACATAAAATTAGTTTGCTTAACACTGTTCTTGTTATTCATTTAACTGTATTTACTAATTTTAATTATTTTATTATTACTTTTATGGGGTTACATATTGATATTACAGCTTTTGTAGATAAATTTATTCATTTTCTTTTTATTATAAATTGGAAGCAAATTGATCTGCAGGTTTCTTGTCTTTTAAAAATACATCAGCATATACTTGATGTCTCAAAGTTAATTTTCTACTTCCTTATTGACTTGCTTAGTACTATTATTCTCCTAGTAATTCTGAAGCAGTTTGCTATTATTATTAAGAAACCTTTTAATCTCGTTATATAGAATCAATATTTATCTTATTTTTAACAGAAGCGGAGAGAGTAGTTCTATTAAGCTAAATATTATTCTTTTATGTCTAATTTTAATTATTTTCAGCAATTTATACTTTTTCTTCATTTTATAAAAGCTAGCTCTTAGGCTAAGCAGCAAATAAATTATTATAGCTATAAACTCTTTGTCTTTTTTTTATTTAAGAAGTTGATGCTTTTCTAATAATTGCTTGAGGGTGCTAAAAATTAAGTGTTTCTTTTATTTTTGAAATGAGCTGACTTGGAACATTTTGATTGATATTTTACATATGATCATCACCAAAATCACATCCTTGTTATTGATTTGCCTTAATCATATTTGTACTAATTGACCTTCTCTTCAGCTTTTAAACGTAAATTGGAGCACTGAGCATATTACATATCTACTAATTATTCGTGATTAATTTACTATGATTTGCAAGATTTATAGCTTCTTTTTAATCTTTCATCATATTATACATGAGATTTTTTTAATAATCAGATTAATTTGGAGTATCTTGAATGCTTTAAAAAGGATTTTCAGGATGATGATGATGAAACTAATTGCTTTGAATTTCCATATTAAAAAAAATATTTATTATTTATTATTTGTCTTCTATTAAAAAATCAATTAATATTTTTGGTTTTTATATATATGAAAACAAATTATATAGTTGTTATAGTTAGTTAATTACTGTGCTTAAGGATGGATATTATTCTATTAAATATGATTTATTCAGTAAATCTCTAATCTTGTTTTGTATTTTGCTTATATTTATTTATAAAAGATCTTTTATTATATTTTTACTAAATAATTAAAGTAGTATTTTTATAGTTTTTTCCTTAATATGAAATTTCTGTTTAATTTGGTTATGCTATCATATTTTAATTATATGTATTTATTAATTAATTAATTATTTTAGTTAATAAAAAAATAAAAAAAACAGGGACCTGCCAGGATTGAACCGGCGACCTAAGGATTTGCAGTCCTCCGCTCTGCCACTGAGCTAAAGCCCCTTTCATGCTATAAGTGATATGAATTGTAGTCTTAGACATATAACTAAATTAAAGCAAGTGGTTATTGTTCATATAAGAGATTCAAAATATTTAATGATACTGTATTAAATTAAAATTTCCCTATTCTTCAATGATAAATAATTTTTTTGATAGTCATCTTTATAAAAGATGCTTCTTTTTATTTTGGAATATAATTAATTTATTTAAATTATTGAGATTTACTATAGTAAATTCTAAAAACTCAAATATTCAACATAAAAAAACAATTTTTAGCAGTAGTTGAATGGTATGATAAACAATATATCTAAAACAGAAAAAATAAAACATTAATTTATAAAAAATATTTCAAATTCAAGAATAAAAAATAAATTTAATAATTTAATGTTAAGTTAATACTTTTCTTTATCATTAAATTTTCTTGCAAACTAAAATAAATAAATAAATAAATAAAATACATTTTTTTGAATTCAATTGTTAAATTTAAAATATTTTAATTAATTTCAAGATAAAAGCTTGCATATTTCTTTAAAATCTCTTTTTTTTGCTTCATCCAAGGCAGTCTTTCCCCATCTATCTTTATCTGTAAATCTGAATTTGCATTAGTATTTAAGGAATCTTATTATTTCGATTTGTCTAAAAGTGGCTGCAACATGGCCTAAATTTCTACCATCAACTGTTTAGAAAGTATTCCAATCTTGAAGACCTCCTAAGTGAAATAAATCAAAAAGTTCTTAGTCTCCAGTTCGTATGGCTTCCATTAGTATACTAGTTATTTCTTACTTCGGAGCCTAAATTATGCCTCCTGCTCTCTATAACTCAACTATAACATCATGGTGTCTAAGTGTAAATAAATAAATTTAATATTACAAATTTTTACTAAAATTAGCTTTATGTTTAATAGTTTTTACCTATTTATTACTGCTTCAAATAATGCTGTTCTTCCAAACTTGTCTACTGTATTTATATTTTTGCATTCTTTTATTAAAAATTTGACAGTTTCTAATTAGCCTTCTCTTGCAGATAGATGCAAACCTGTTCTATTGTCATAGTCTCCTTTATCAAAATCAATGCCATATACTTTAAGCTGCTGCATGCTTTAATGAAAACCTCCCTTACTCATGTAGCAAACAATATTAGGGAGTATCAAATTTTTTAAAATATCAATTTTTTCATTTGTTCTATACTAAAGTGCATCATTTAAAGCTTAAATGAAATTCTCCTGCTGAAATTCAAACATATCATTTTCGATTGGTGGAGATAACTCACCTCTCAAATTCTTTTAAACATTCTTCCTTATGTTTTCGATGGAATCATTCTTAGAAAATAAATATGCAAGTTTACTAGCCATTGCCTCAGTAGTGCAATCCCAGCCACAAAGCACTCCTACCTTATTTTAGAATATATTTTTTTGTATTAGTAATTAATTCATTATTTAAATAATAAAAAATTATTTATTTTCTTTTAATTTCTTTCATACTTTTCATGCTGATTATAAGATTGAAAAGTGTATTTATTGTATAATTTTGTTAATTTATGATTTATAAACCATTTAATTGCTTGCTTTAGAATTTCTTAATAGTTTAAATAATTCTACCTTTAATAGAGCCCTTCCTGTTTCATAAATAGATTCTACTTTCGATTTATAGCATTAAGAGAGATTTACAATTACTTTACCCTAGTCATAAGCCTCTTGGAGCATTTGCATCAACTCTGGTCTATTAATTGGGATATTGCCTGCCTTTTTAAAATGAAAATAAATAAATATTTTTTAACAGAAAACATTAATTGCAAAAATATCTTAAAAGTTAAGCTTCACTTTCACACACACTTATTTTTTTTTTTTGCTTTATTAAAGTCAATTCTATATAAATAAAGATATTTACTCCGTATGTTTCTATTATGATTGCTTTAGTATCTTTATTAGTAAGAATAGCTTTTAGAGTGTCAGAACTTATGAAGGGATGCATTTTAACAATAGCTATTTTATCGCACAAGTTTTTTTATACATGAAATTTCTTTTCAGGATCTCTTTTTAAGACTTTATCCCATTTTATTTTTATTGTTATCTTAAAAGTAGCAAGAGGTTCAAAATTTGGAGAATCAAATGAATCCATAGCACTTGAGTCCATTTTAGTGCATCTATTACCTCTAAAGAGCTTATCATTAAAACAAACTAAAACCTCAGGAATAGTGTAATGTCCTGCAATAGTCAAAGAGCAAAGTAAATTGTTGAATCCGTCGTTTCTCATCATCGAGCATGGAATTTAGCTACCGGTTAAAATAACCTTTTAATTTTAATTGAAAAAATGTTAAATTTATATAAAATTTATGAAATGTGATTACTGTCTTTGATAAATTTTCTAGCATAAAAGATAAAGCACTAGCAGTGTAGGCCATAGTGTCTGTGCCATGCAAGATAATAAAGCTATCATACAAAGTATAATTTGTCTCAATTATCGAAGCAATTTAATCATAATATATAACATTCATATTAGTTGAATCTATTGGATTCTCAAGTTCATAAATCTTATACCAAATACGTTGCTAGTAAATAGTTAAAGGAGTTATTAAAAAACCATCAGAACTATGAAAATAAGTGTAATCTGAATCACAAAAATAGGAATCCTCCCTAAGAAACTTTTCGAAGAAACCCTTTTTTACAGCCAACCCATTTTCTGTTGGAAACATGCTGATTGTTCCTCCTGTGCATATAATAAGTACTTTTCTACTTTAGTTTGCAATTCTAAGGCCTTGAGAGCATTCCAAGTTGTGTTTTTCTCTAAAGACAACTGCTTGATGTTTATCGAATTCTTTTTTCCTTTCTTAGCTTTAGGAATTTTGGGAATGTAAGTGAATAGAATTCTATTATTCTAACTCTAATTTTTGATTCATTTACAATAAATAAATAACAGAATTAATGTGTATGTGTGTGTATTTAATTAATCTAGCAAAAATATAATATTTTTATTTAATTAATTAAGTATAACAAAATATTGATTATATCGTCATTTTAGCCAAAATCTTACAATAATTAGATGTTAACACTCAAATATCAATCAATAGATATTCTATCTACCTTCAAACAACCATAAAATATTTAATTTTTAATATTTTCTAATCTATGTTGATTAAATCAATAAAAAACTCTTTATCTTTCTAATTATTTCTAAACTAAAAATCAAATCAATTCATAAATCTAATTAAAAATTCAAAATATTTGCTCATTTAGATAATTCAGAATATTCCTTTAAAAAATATTCCAAAATCATCTTATGAAATTTAAAAGCAAATTATTAATGTTAATTAAAAAATGCTTTTAAAAGTATTCTTAAATTCAAATCTATTTAAGAAAAATAAACTAATATTTAATAAAAAGTTAATCTAGTGTTTGAGAATATTTAGCAAATGGAATACTTTAGAATTCTTTGTTTTTTATCCATATTTTTAATTCATTTTGATGTGCAAATATTTTTAATTAAATCACTAGTACGTACAAATGAGCAGAGTATCAAATATAATTTTCTTTCTCTCTAACTTACATTAATGATATGGAGGTTATTTTTGAATTAATAATTTCTTTCTCAGTTGAATATTTTAATGTTCAAATTTGTAAGTAAATTAGTTATTTGTTTAGTTATGTATGCTATTCTACTTAAGAAATAGGTTTACATAATTAATTAATTAATTACTGTCTTTTTTAATAATTAAAAAATTATTGGTAAAAGATTTTTATTTGTTTAGTTTTTAGTGGTGTTTATAAAAATTTTATCTGCTAAAATTAATAAAATCATAGTTATTTGCAGATTCTATAAGTCTCAAACAGCATATAATTTACTAAGATAAATAGAAATAGAGCTATTTTATATTTTAAAATAAATAGCTATTAAAAGACAGATATCTAACTTTATAAGTTATATTTAAGATTTCACATTAGGACTTGATTATAAAAATATTTTTGTATGAATACGTTTTCATATAGATAGAAGATCAATCCTGGAAGAGATCTTAAATTATTAAGTCAAGATTGGGTTTTTGTAAAAAAGTAGCAAAAAACTGAATTTCATTCTTAAAACAACTCTCTTGGGATAAGTCAAAAAACAGATCATCCAGTATCAATTCACTAAAATTCATTTTCAGAGCTCAGATTTTAAGAAAGGTCGACTGTAATTCCTTTTTTGAACGGATAATAAACTTTTTACACAGGAATTAGAGATTACTCAAATGAGAATATTAAATCATAAAGAAATGGATAAAATTAGAGCATAGAGAATTTTAATTTAACATAAATCATGAGCTTATCTTTGAATAAACAAAATCGCTCAGGAGTTAACAATAATTCAATAATTTCTTAGGGAACAGGTGGCTTTAACTCAATTCAGCTTAAAAGCCCCTACAAAAGAACTATAAAATCATCAAGAGAATCTACAGATAAATGCTCAGTGATCAACTCAATTAATAAATTTTAAATGAAAGATAACAAACCAAAGAAAATTTTAAAAAAACTAAACTAAACTGTAGATATTGGCCAAATAGACAGCAGTAAATTATTTGTTTGTTTGTTTGATAAATAAAATTATATGATCTTTGATCTTAACTAAATTTATATAGCTATTTTTTATCTATAACTAAAATGTATTTATTAGATATGTATTTCTTAATTAAATTTATTCTTTTATTAATAGATTATGATTCAATGGACTTTGCTAATAATATGCTTTCCAGTATGCATTTTATTCCTCAACAGACTTCTGACTCTACTGCTTAAGGATATAGTACTGATAAGAAGAATCAGAGGAGGAGCAGTCTATTTAAAAATTCTAAAAGAAAATCTAAATTAAATAATAATCTATCTGCGTCTTTTATATTGACTTCTAATGTATCACATGACAGCAAATAGTAAGCAAGAAATACTTAAAAAACAAAAGATCATTGTGAAAAAGAATAAAACGAAATACAAAAATGGACAGAGCAAACTGCAATCTTCGTAAATGAAAAGCAAACACTTGAAAATGAAAAACTTCCTTAAACTACTATGGAAAAGAGTGAAGTACAAGCTATTATAGATGGTCTCTTTCAAGAGATCGAAGAAAGAGATAAAGACAAGTCTTTAGAGTTAGAAATTATGGAAAAATACAAAAAGTAAAAAAACGAAAGATTAGCCAAGAGCTAGCAAGATGCTAAAATACAGAGAATAAATAACACAAATATTGTGCTAAGCTATTCTAGAGGAAAAGACATTTAAAGTAATGCAAATGGGTTTTAGATGAGTAAGTATTTGTACAATTAAAAATATGGCCACTATAAATGCATCCCTTAAAGCTACAACACAGAGCTGATTCCAACTTAGGACTAGTTGATTGCTTAGCAATTAAACAAACCTGACTATACTGTTTAAGAATTAAAAGATATTCCTTTCAAAAGTATTTACAATCCTGAAATCGATGAAAGTAAAAAATATTTATCAGCTGTACGAATAAGTGAAAGAGAGCAGTATTAGCTAAAAGTACCTGCCTCTAAGCTAATGAGAGAAGTGCTTAAAAAGTATGATAAAGATAAAAATTTTGTGGTCTAAAATGTAGAATAGTAAGATAATTAAAATATTATTCAAGAAGTTTATGGGGATTTTCTGTAAAATCCTGCAAAAAGATTGAACATTTCAAAAATAAAAGAAAATTAACTCATCCAAAATAACCTCTATGATAGCAGATACGTTAAACCTTTTGTTATTGAAGAAGAAAATACTTCAGAAGGAAATAGATATACAAATAATTCTCATAACACAGAAGTTTTATCACCACGTAAAAAAGAAATTTCAAATTTTGCCAAAGCAGCTAAGCAGCAAGAAAGCTAAAGAAGTTAATCCCCGCCAGAAAGTAATTAATAATGCTAAAATATTCCAAGAATTGTTAGCGGTTTAAATTCCCCAATCACTCAAAGAAATAGAAATAATATAACTAATTATAATACTTCAAATAACTCATACAATTTTAGTAACTTTGTTCAACCTCAAAAATCTATATTTTCGCCTCAATCGTCTATTCAAGTGTAGCAATCTCCAGAAGGAAGAATAACCCCTCTAAGATTTAAAAGAAACCCATTCGATGTAAGCATTTAAAGCCCTCAAGCTCCTCTAAGTCGTCCTTTACCAAAGAAAAAAAAGATACAAGTAAAAACAAATATAAACGAAGTTGGAAAAATTAACGAAGCTAGAATTTCTTCACCTTTTGTAAAAGTTTCTGACTGTGAAAGAGGAATGAAACAAAATGCCAGCACAGATAGACAAAAATTCTATGACTCTTGGTATAGTCCTCCTAATTTAAGACAACAAAACTTAGATAGACACTTGCAAAAATATATAAATAACGAATAATATCAAAAAAAATTGGTTTAACAATACATTCTTCTCAAATCCAATGGAAACACTGATCCTATTTAGTAAACATAACCAAAAAAATCTTTAAACTAACCAATAAAAAATTGAATTTAATCAAATTTGTATTTATTCATTTATAAAATATAATGTAATTTATATTTTTTTTAATTTCTTTATACAAAAGTTCATTAAGATGATTCAAAATATTACATAAATCAATATTTATAATTAAGTTTGAAATTTGAATTTTAAAATTTGAGGCTTCATGTTACAGATTTATTTAATAAAAACAAACAGTAATTTTAAATTAAACTATTAAAAATTTATGTAATATTTAATAATAATTGCAATTTAAAGTATTTTATAAATTTATTCTTAATTTTATTTGAATATTTTTTACAATAAAATTTTCTTTTTCAAGTTTGTTTTATTGATAATATGCTAATATAATTATAATTAATTTTTTTCAAGTTTTATCATCTTGCTAATAAATCGTATTTTATCAAAGGCATATAGTTGTAACTGTAGATCTCAAAATATTTGCTAAATGCTAATTAGGATAAAATTTCTGAAGTAAGCGTTTTTAACAATTATTTTTCTTCATCTTATTTTAAGATTTAATAAATAAGAAAATTATTTGTTTAATTGTATAAGAAACCTTTAAATATTCTTTTAATAATTAACTTAGACATATTGATTGACTTATCCCTTTGACTTTTATAGTTTTATAGTAATGTGTAACTAATATTTTCTTAGCTTTTTAGTAGCTTTTCAAAATGGTAATCACATTAAAAGTAATAAGTTTTAGTAAAACTAGTATAAATATTTTTTGTTAATTAAATATTTTAAATTGTTTTGTACATTTCATAGTACTCTTAGCAATCCTAATATTGACAGAAGCCATTTTAATTTGGCCTCGAATAATGTAAAAAACTACAATCTTCATCAACAATTATTTTTATTTTTTTAACAAATCTAAAATTTAATCTTAACAAATTTTTATTCACACCTCCAAAAGTTTCATTTCTATTTAACAATATCATTCTACGAGTTAAAACTCTTTGAATTTGATAAATTAAATATATTCCAAAATATGCTAAATTCAGAAAAAAAACTATCATGTTATTCAATTAAAAAATACTACTGAAAGTAAAGATATTATTTAGAATATCTTCTAAAGTAGTTACATTCCAAATAAATATCATTAAAAGCAAAAATCTACTTATTTGGCTTAATAAATCAGCAATTAGTATCTACTTAGGCATGTATTTAGACTTATTTCTAAACAGTGGATGGTTGAAAAACAGGTTTGCAACCAATGATTTCAATTTAATTCCAGCATTTTCTGATTAAAAGAGTTTTCTTAGAATGTATATATTTTAAATAATTCCGATTATAAAATTAAGATATATTAATTTATATCCATATTCATATGAGTAGACTAAATAAAAAAAAGAAGCAAAAGTTAAATGATAAGTCAATATAGTAATTACTTTAACGGTAGGCGTGGTGTATTTTTTGCAAAAATCCCCATCATAAGTACTATATGATATGAATCCTACAAATGCTGATATTTAGATTATAAATAGTATATACCCTAAGTATCGATAAGAAATAGAGATAGAAGTATATTCGATATAACCTAAGCCAAACAAAAAAATGAACTAAATTATATTTTAAAATACTCCTCTAGAAATAACAAATCTCACCAGTATTGCACAATTTTAAGGACTACCCATTTCATTGCAAAAAATAGGATAAATCCATCCTAAATTTAAAATATCTAATAGTAAAAACACAATTTTAAGGCAATGTATACCACAGCAAATAGATGCACTAATCATTATCAATTTATCTATGCAGAAAAATATGAAATAAGTAATAGGATAACCTATTTCATTTGCCTAATAGCAATTAACTGCGAAAATTAAATTTAAGATATCTAAAATATACATAAGCAAAAACCATATAATATACCATTTAGATATTTATTCTAGTTGTTAATCTTCAAATACATAACACATTTTCTTTATAATTGTGAGTTGAATGTAATAAATAATATTACAATTTCTTCTTCCTCTTCTTTAATATCACAAATATTGATTGTTTATCTTACAAATTTTAATTTAAATTTTTATATTTAATTCAAATTTTCTTTCAGATTTTTTTCTCCTTACTTAATCAAAAAATATTTATTCCTAAAAAAAATTATCTTAATTAATAAAACTCTTTATAAATTGTATTAAATTAACATCTAAATTTCTATGTAAAGTTAATATATATACACTATAGCAAATATTAGATGTTACAGATATTATTTTCATATAAAATCATAATGCTTAAAATATGGGTTATTTTGGGGTTTATTATTGTAGTACCGGCGATAATTCCCCTTATCTATTATATTACATTTCACAGTAGTCTTAGCAATTCTAATCTTGACAAAAATTATTTTCATTTTGTGAATAATGTAATTAGTAATCCATTCCATCAACAGTTATTTTTATTTTTTTAACAAATCTTAAATTGAATCCTAACAATTTTTTATTCACACCTCCAAAAGTTTCATTTTTATTTAACAATATCATTTTACATATTAAAAATTTTTGAACTATTTTAGATAAATATATTACAAAATATATTTTCAGCATTAAAACTATAATGTTATTCACTTAAAAAATACTCCTGTAAGTAAAGGTATTATTTAGAGTATCTTCTAAAATATTATTCCCAATAAATATCATTAAAAGCAAAAATCTACTTATTTGGCTAATAAAATTGGTAATTCGTATCTACATAAGTCTATATTTAGAATTCGTTTCATATATTGGATCGTTGAAAAACAGGTTTGCTACCAATGATGACGGATTAATTTAAATATTTTATAATTTATAACATTCTCTTTGTATGTATATATTTTAAATAATTAAGATGATAAAATTAAGGTAGATTAATTTATATCCAAATGAGTCGATTAAATACAAAAAAGAAGCAATTTTAAATGATAAGTAAAAATATTAATGAATTTAATTAAAATCATCTAGTAGAGGGCATAGAGGGTTATCAACTTATCTAAAGAAGTTAAATAATATAACCATTCTGAATTTATTTATAATTAGATTAGAAATAGTATATACCCTAAGTATCGATATTAAATAGAAATAGAAATATATTCGATATAGCCTAAGCCAAACAAAGAAATGAACTAAATTAAAGTTTAAAGTATTCCTCTAAAAATAATCATCCTCGAGTATATTGCTTATAATTAATGTTCACCAATTTAATAGTAAAAAATAGGATAAATCCATCCTAAATTTAAAATATCTAATAGTAAAAACACAATTTTAAAGCAATATCGTCTATCATAGCAAGCAGATGCAAAAATAATTATTAATTTATCTATACAGAATACTATCAAATAAGCAATAGGATAAATTATTTCATTTACCTAAAAGCATTTAACTGCAAAAGGTAAATTTAAAGTATCTAAAATATACATAAGCAAAAGCGCATTTTCTTTATAATTGTGAATTAGATAAAATAAATAATATTAAAATTTCTTTTTTCTTAAAAATTATAGACGAAATGAAATTTGATAATATCAAAAAGATTGTTTGTTTATTGCACACATTTTAATTTTGTTTTTTGCTTTAAATTCGAATTTGCTTTCTGATTTTTTTTCCTTCTGAATCAAAAAATATTTATTCCAAAAAATCATCTAAATTAAGTAAATTATATATAAATTGTTTTAAATTAGCATCTAGGTCTCTGCATAAAGCTAACAAATAAATACATACATATATAATATCAAACAAAAATCACACATTTTAAATATCTTTTATTTTACAAAAATTAACAAATGTTACCTAATTGTTCAGATTATTAATACTTTTTATACTCTTAGAAATTTTAATCAACTCTATAAAGTATTTTTGCAATTAAAATTCATAATAGCCAAATAACTAACTAACTAACTAACTAACTAACTAACTAACTAACTAACTAACTAACTATATTTTGAGTTGTACTTTAAAAATTATACTAACTTATTATATTTTTTAATCTTAAGGGTAAGTTAGTTACAAACTAATAATTCAAATATATTTCATCTCCATAGTATTAAATAGTGCAAACCTTTAATTATTGCCACATGTTTGGACCCTACATACAAATTTGCTGTTAGAACTAATTTGAAATTTGAATTTTAAAATTTGAGGCTTCATGTTACAGATTTATTTAATAAAAAAATACAGTAATTTTAAATTAAACTATTAAAAATTTATGTAATATTTAATAATAATTACAATTTAAAGTATTTTATATATTTATTCTTAATTTTATTTGAATATTTTTTACAATAAAATTTTCTTTTTCAAGTTTGTTTTATTGATAATATGCTAATATAATTATAAATTTATTTTTTTCAAGTTTTATCATCTTGTTAATAAATCGTATTTTATCAAAGGCATATAGTTGTAACTGTAGATCTCAAAATATTTGCTAAATGCTAATTAGGATAAAATTTCTGAAGTAAGCGTTTTTAACAATTATTTTTCTTCATCTTATTTTAAGATTTTACTAATTAGAAAATTATTTGTATAATTGTATAAGAAACCTTTAAATATTCTTTTAATAATTAACTTAGACATATTGATTGACTTATCCCTTTGACTTTCATATTTTTATAGTAATGTGTAACTAATATTTTCTTAGCTTTTTAGTAGCTTTTCAAAATGGTAATCACATTAAATTTAATAGGTTTTAGTAAAACTAGTATAAATATTTTTTGTTAATTCAATATTTACAATTATTTTGTACATTTCATAGTACTCTTAGCAATCCTAATATTGACAGAAGCCATTTAAATTTGTCCTCGAATAATGTAAAAAACTAAAATCTTCATCAACAATTATTTTTATTTTTTTAACAAATCTAAAATTTAATCCTAACAATTTTTTATTCACACCTCCAAAAGTTTCATTTCTATTTAACAATATAATTCTACGAGTTAAAACTCTTTGAATTTGATAAGTTAAATATATTCCAAAATATGCTAAATTCAGAAAAAAAACTATCATGTTATTCAATTAAAAAATACTACTGAAAGTAAAGATATTATTTAGAATATCTTCTAAAGTAGTTACATTCCAAATAAATATCATAAAAAGCAAAAATCTACTTATTTGGTTTAATAAATTCGCAATTAGTATCTACTTAGACACGTATTTACACTCTATTCTAAACAGTGGATGGTTGAAAAACAGGTTTGCAACCAATGTATACCAATCAATTCCAGCATTTTCTGATTAAAAGATTTTTCTTAGAATGTATATATTTTAAATAATTCCGATTATAAAATTATATTATATTAATCTATATCCATATTCATATGAGTAGACTAAATACAAAAAAGAAGCAAAAGTTAAATGATAAGTCAATATAGTAATTAATTTAACTGTAGGCGTGGTGTATTTTTTGCAAAAACCCCCAACATCAGTATAAAATGATAAGTATCCTACAATTGCTGATATTTAGATTATAAATAGTATATACCCTAAGTATCGATAAGAAATAGAGATAGAAGTATATTCTATATAACCTAAGCCAAACAAAAAAATGAACTAAATTATATATTAAAATACTCCTCTAAAAATAGCAAACCTCAAAGACAAGGCATCAATTTAAAGACTACCAATATAATCGCAAAAAATAGGATAAATCCATCCTAAATTTAAAATATCTAATAGTAAAAAGATAATTTTAAGGCAGTGCATACCACAGCAAATAGTTGCACAAATCATTATCAATTTATCTAAGCAGAATAATATGAAATAAGTAATAGGATAACCTATTTCATTTGCCTAATAGCAATTAACTGCGAAAATTAAATATAAGATATCTAAAATATACATAGGCAATAACCCTATAATATACCATTTAGATATTTATTCTATTTCTTCATCTTCTAATTCATAACACATTTTCTTTATAATTGTGAGTTGAATCTAATAAATAATATTACAATTTCTTCTTCTTTTTCTTCTTCCTCTTCTTAAAAACTATTCTCAAAATTTGATAATATCACAAATATTGATTGTTTATCTCACAAATTTTAATTTAAATTTTTATATTTAATTCAAATTTTCTTTCTGATTTTATCTCCTTACTTAATCAAAAATATTTATTCCTAAAAAAAATTATCTAAAGAATTTTATTAAATTAACATCTATGTTTCTATGTAAAGTTAATATATATATACATACATAATATCAAACAAAAATTTTTTAATTAACAAAAGATCCAAAGTTTCTAACATTTGAAATTTGAATTTTAAAATTTGAGGCTTCATGTTACAGATTTATTTAATAAAAAAATACAGTAATTTTAAATTAAACTATTAAAAATTTATGTAATATTTAATAATAATTGCAATTTAAAGTATTTTATATATTTATTCTTAATTTTATTTGAATATTTTTTACAATAAAATTTTATTTTTCAAGTTTGTTTTATTGATAATATGCTAATATAATTATAATTAATTTTTTTCAAGTTTTATCATCTTGCTAATAAATCGTATTTTATCAAAGGCATATAGTTGTAACTGTAGATCTCAAAATATTTGCTAAATGCTAATTAGGATAAAATTTCTGAAGTAAGCGTTTTTAACAATTATTTTTCTTCATCTTATTTTAAGATATTACTAATAAGAAAATTATTTGTTTAATTGTATAAGAAACCTTTAAATATTCTTTTAATAATTAACTTAGACATATTGATTGACTTATCCCTTTGACTTTTATAGTTTTTTAGTAATGTGTAACTAATATTTTCTTAGCTTTTTAGTAGCTTTTCAAAATGGTAATCACATTAAAAGTTATAAGTTTTAGTAAAACTAGTATAAATATTTTTTGTTAATTAAATATTTTAAATTGTTTTGTACATTTCATAGTACTCTTAGCAATCCTAATATTGACAGAAGCCATTTTAATTTGGCCTCGAATAATGTAAAAAACTACAATCTTCATCAACAATTATTTTTATTTTTTTAACAAATCTAAAATTTAATCCTAACAATTTTTTATTCACACCTCCAAAAGTTTCATTTCTATTTAACAATATCATTCTACGAGTTAAAACTCTTTGAATTTGATAAATTAAATATATTCCAAAATATGCTAAATTCAGAAAAAAAACTATCATGTTATTCAATTAAAAAATACTACTGAAAGTAAAGATATTATTTAGAATATCTTCTAAAGTAGTTACATTCCAAATAAATATCATAAAAAGCAAAAATCTACTTATTTGGCTTAAAAAATTAGCAATTAGTATCTACTTAAGCATGTATTTAGTTACATATAGTGGATGGTTGAAAAACAGGTTTGCAACCAATGAATACCATTTAATTTCTTCATTTTCTGATTAAAAGAGTTTTCTTAGAATGTACAAAATTTAAATAATTCCGATTATAAAATTAAGATATATTAATTTATATCCATATTCATATGAGTATACTAAATACAAAAAAGAAGCAAAAGTTAAATGATAAGTCAATATAGTAATTACTATTATGGTAGTCGTGCTGTATTTTTTGCAATAATTAACATTAGAACTATATGAAATGAATCCTACATTTACTGATATTTAGATTATAAATAGTATATACCCTAAGTATCGATAAGAAATAGAGATAGAAGTATATTCGATATAACCTAAGCCAAACAAAAAAATGAACTAAATTATATTTTAAAATACTCCTCTAAAAAGAATAAATCTCGCCATCATTAAACCTTGTTAAATAGTATCCATTTTATTGCAAAAAATAGGATAAATCCATCCTAAATTTAAAATATCTAATAGTAAAAACACAATTTTAAGGCAATGCATACAACAGCAAATAGATGCACAAATCAATATCAATTTATCTAAGCAGAATAATATGAAATAAGTAATAGGATAACCTATTTCATTTGCCTAATAGCAATTAACTGCGAAAAGTAAATTTAAGATATCTAAAATATAAAAAAGCAAATACCATATTGAATGCTATTTTGATATTTCTTCTAGTGGATTTTCTTAATACTCTTCACACATTTTTTTTATAATTATGAGTTGAATGTAATAAATAATAATACAATTTCTTCTTCTTTTTCCTCTTCCTCTTCTTAAAAACTATTCTCAAAATTTGATAATATCACAAATATTGATTGATTATCTCACAAATTTTAATTTAAATTTTTATATTTAATTCAAATTTTCTTTCTGATTTTTTTCTCCTTACTTAATCAAAAAATATTTATTCCTAAAAAAAAATTATCTTAATTAATAAAACTCTTTATAAATTGTATTAAATTACATCTAAATTTCTATGTAAAGTTAATATATACATAATATAATGGATAGTGGGAACACGAGCCCAAATCAGAGTACTATCAAAATATCATATTTTACTGATAAAGAATTATTTTTTAATTTTGCATTCATTTTTGAATGAGAGGTTGGTTAGTTCTCTGAAAATCTAATATATAATAAAATTTTCTTTTTCAAGTTTATTTTATAGATAAAATGCTAATATAATTTATAATTAATTTTTTTCAAGTTTTATCATCTTGTTAATAAATCGTATTTTATCTAAGGCATATAGTTGTAACTGTAGATCTCAAAATATTTGCTAAATGCTAATTAGGATAAAATTTCAGAAGTAAGCGTTTTTAACAATTATTTTTCTTCATCTTATTTTAAGATATTACTAATAAGAAAATTATTTGTTTAATTGTATAAAAAACCTTTAAATATTCTTTTAATAATTAACTTAGAAATATTGATTGACATATCCCTTTGACTTTCATATTTTTATAGTAATGTGTTACTAATATTTTCTTAGCTTTTTAGTAGCTTTTAAAAGTGGTAATCACATTAAAAGTAATAAGTAACAGTAAAACTAGTATAGATTTTTTTTGTTAATTCAATATTTTAAATTATTTTGTACATTTCATAGTACTCTTAGCAATCCTAATATTGACAGAAGCCATTTTAATTTGGCCTCGAATAATGTATATAACTACAATCTTCATCAACAATTATTTTTATTTTTTTAACAAATCTAAAATTTAATCCTAACAATTTTTTATTCACACCTCCAAAAGTTTCATTTCTATTTAACAATATCATTTTACAAGTTAAAACTTTTCGAATTTTATCAATTAAATATATTTCAAAATAGGCTAAATTCAGATAAAAAACTATCATGTTATTCATTTAAAAAATACTACTGAAATTAAAGGTATTATTTAGAATATTTTCTAAAGTAGTTACATTCCAAATAAATATCATAAAAAGCAAAAATCTACTTATTTGGCTTAAAAAATCAGCAATTAATATCTACTTAAGTCTGTATTTAGAATTCGTTTCATATAGTGGGTGGTTGAAAAGCAGGTTTGCCACCAATGAATCTGGATTAATTTGAATATTTTATAATTTATAGCATTCTCTTAGAATGTATATATTTTAAATAATTACAATTATAAAATTAAGATATATTAATTTATATCCATATTCATATGAGTCGACTAAATACAAAAAAGGAGCAAAAGTTAAATGATAAGTCAAGATAGTAATTACTTTAACAGTAATCATGTAGTTTTTGCCATAATACTTATGAGAAGAAGTTATATAAGATATCCATGCTGCACTTATTGATATTTAAATTATAAATAGTATATATCCTAAGTATCGATAAGAAATAGAGATAGAAGTATATTCAATATAACCTAAGCCAAACAAAAAAATGAACTAAATTATATTTTAAAATACTCCTCTAAAAAAAATAAACCTCACTTCTATTATTTCAAATTAAGAACTACTAATTTTATTGTAAAAAATAGGATAAATCCATCCTAAATTTAAAATATCTAATAGTAAAAACACAATTTTAAGGCAATGTCTACCTTAGTAAATAGATGCAAAAATCATTATCAATTTATCTAAGCAGAATAATATGAAATAAGTAATAGGATAACTTATTTCATTTTCCTAATAGCAATTAACTGCAAAAAGTAAATTTAAGATATCTAAAATATACATAAGCAAAAATGGTATAGAATACCATTTAGATATTTTTTATAGTGATTCTTCTTCAAAATAGTCAATCATTTTATTTATAATTGTGAGTTGAATGTATAAATAATATTTCAATTTCTTCTTTTTTTCTTCTTCCTCTTCTTAAAAGTTATTCGCTAAATTTGATAATATCACATAGTTTAAATAATATAATATCAAATATTTATAGTATTACAGATATTTTTAAATCTGAAAATTTTTATTATTTTTTAGGAATAATTTCTAAAATAAGGTACCAATAGACTCTGCTCATAGTTAATGAAGATCTAAAGTATTAAAAAAATAAATTATTTATAAATTGTTGAAATTAAAAGTTAGAAGACCTTTACAAATTTATAAAATTAAAATTTATACATTTTATATAGAATATAAAATAAATATTTAATTTTTCATAATATATTTTATTTTTTAATTAATATTTTTATTATTTATAATATATCAATTTAATTTGTAATTTTTTGCAATTTTTATCATCTTGTTAATAAATCGTATTTTATCTAAGGCATATAGTTTTAAGTGTAGATCTCAAAATATCTATTAAATGCTACTTAGGATAAAATTTCTGAAATAAGCGTTTTTAACAATTATTTTTCATCTTATTTTAATATATCTATAAGATAGCTATTTGTTTAATTTTATAAGAAACCTTTAAATATTCTTAGAATAATTATTTCAGAAATATTGATTGAGTTCTTACTAAATCTCTCATAATATTATAGTAATGTATAACTAATATTTTCTTAACTTTTTAGTAGCTATTCAAAGTGGTAATTACATTAGATGTAATAATCTCCAGTAAAAATAATATCAACTTTTTGTCTTTATTCTTTTTTTGAAATTGTTTTGTATATTTCATAGTACTCTGAGCAATTCTAGTCTTCACAGATGCCATTTTAATTTGGATAAAGATGTATTTACTAACCAATTATATCAACAACTATTTCTATTTTTTTAATAAATCCAAAATAGAATCCTAGCAATTTTTTATTCACACCTCCAAAAGTTTCGTTTCGATTTAACAAAATCATTTTATAAGTTAAAACTTATTGAACTATTAAAAAAAAATATATTATAAAATATATTGAATTTAGCAATAAAACTATAATGTTATTCACTTAATGGATACCTCTGTAGGTTAAGGTATTATTTTTATTCCCAATAAAAATCATAAAAAGCAAAAATCTACTTATTTGGCTTAAAAAATTAGCCATGTAAATCTACCTATACACATATTTAGAACTTGTGAGTTAGACTGGATTGTTGTACAAAAGGTTTGTCAAGAATGTAATTGGTTTATCGTAATATGTTTATAATTTATAGCGTTCTCTTAGAATGTATATATTTTAAATAATTAGGATGATAAAATTATAGTAGATTAGTTTAAATCCAAATGAGTCTACTAAATACAAAAAAGAAGTGATTGTTAAATGATAAGTTAATACATTAATGCTCTTTATAAATATCTTTTAATATTAGGCTACACTAGTTCTCTATATAGACATAAGAGATATCCAAATTGCACTTATTGAAATATAGATTATAAATAGTGAATATCCTAAGTATCTATAATAAATAGAGATAGAAGTATTCTCCAAATAACCTAAGCCAAAGAAAAAAATGAGCTAAATTATATTTTAAAGTCCTCCTCTAGAAACAATAAACCTTATGATTAAAGCCATAACTTAATGTTAACTGATGTAATTGTAAAAAATAGGATAAATCCATCCTAAATTTAAAATATCTAACAGTAAAAACACAATTTTTGAACGATCTCCATTATTGCAGCAAATAGATACAAAAATGATTATTAATTTATCAATAAAGAATACTATCAAGAAAGCAATAGGATATGATATTTAATTAGCCTAATAGCATTTAACTGCAAAAAGTAAATTTAAAATATCTAAAATGTACAAAGGCAATACTAGAATAGACTATTTGTTTATTTATTGTGGTTAGTCTTTAAAAAGAATCATTTCCTTCCTATTTAATTGAGAATTAAAACAAATAATATTTAATTTTCTTCTTCCTCTCCTAAAGCTTAAACTCAAAAATATTAAATATTAAACAAGAAAACAAAACTTTCTATATTTATTATTTTACTAATATTATATGACTAAGTATTTAGCATTTATTTTTTTCAGAAGGGGAGTTAGGGAAAATTTTTTTCATTATATAAGACTGGTTTTAAAAATTTACAATTGATAAATACTCCATAAATTCAAAAATAAGTTACCAATATACCTACCCTGTTCATAATTAATGAACATCTAAAATATTTAAAAAAAATAAATTATTCAGAATTGTTGAAATTAAGAATAAATAGGTAGACCTTTATAAGTTAATAAAATTAAAATTTTACATTTTTTATCTTAAATTAAAAAACAAAAAATATTTAATCTTTCTTAATATATTTTATTTTTTAATTTTATTGATAATTTGTCAATATAATTTATAATTTCTTGCTATTTTTATCATCTTGTAAATTAATCATATTTTATCTAAGGCATATAGTTGTAAGTGTAGATCTCAAAATATCTGCAAAAGCCATTTAGGAAAAAAATTCTGAAGTAAGTATTTTTAACAATTATTTTTCATCTTATTATAAGAAATCTTTTAGATAATTATTTGTTTAATTTTATAAGAAACCTTTAATTATGTTTTTATAATTATCTCAGAAATATTGATTGAGTTATTACTAAAGCTTTTATAATATTATAGTAATGTATAACTAACATTTTCTCAGTTAGAGATACTAAAATTAATCAATGATTTTAGTTTTATATTTATTTTGTGATTTAAATAGATTCCAATAAATATTCTAAGGCTATTTTGTTTTCACCAAGATTAAGGTAGCATAATCCAATATTATTTAGAGATTAAGCAATAATAAGATAATTTTATTTAAACATTTATCTTCTTATCTAAAAGGATTCCAATTTAAATTCTAAGACCTTTTTGTAATCACCAAGGTTTTTATAACATAAGCCAACTTTATCAAGTGATTTAGTAATATAAGGGTGATTTTCTTTGTCAAGTTATTTTGTCATTTAAAGAGATTCCAATAAATAATCTAAAGCCTTAGAGTTGTCACCAAAATTATAAAAGCAAAGACCAACATTAATCAGTGATGAAGGAATATTAGGATGATCTTTATTAAATATTTACTTCCAGATTTTTAGAGATTCCAACGAATATTCTAAGGCGTTTTTATAATCATACAGAGTTTGATAGCAAATACCAATATTATTCAAACAACTAGCAATACCTGGGTGTTTTTCTTTGTATATTTATTAGTATAATTTAAGAGATTCCAATAAGTATCCTAAGGCTTTTTCACTTTCATTAAGATTTAAGTAACTACTGCCAATATTATTTAGATATAATGCAATTAATGGGTGATTTTCTTTAAATATTTATTTTGTCATTAAAAGAGATTGTTAAAAATATTCTATGGCCTTTTTATAATCACATAAAATTTGATAGCAAATACCAATATTATTCAAACAACTAGCAATACCAGGGTGTTTTTCTTTGTATATTTATTAGTATATTTTAAGAGATTCGAATAAGTATCCTAAGGCTTTTTCAATTTCATTAAGATTTAAGTAACTACTGCCAATATTATTTAGATATAATGCAATTAATGGGTGATTTTCTTTAAAAATTTATTTTGTCATTAAAAGAGATTGTTAAAAATATTCTAAGGCCTTTTAGTAATTATCAAAATTAAAATAGCAACTAGCAACATTGTTCAATTATTATGCAATTTATGGATGATTTTCTTTGTAAATTTATTTTGTCATTTACAGAGATTCTTGTAAATATTCTAAGGCTTTTTGGTAAAAGCCAATATTTTAATAGTATAATCCAATATTACTAAGATAGATTGCAGAATCAGGATGATTTTCTTTGAGTATTTATTTACTTTTTTAAAGTGATTTTAGTTAATACTATTAGGCTTTTTAGATATCACCAAGATTTTGATAGCAAAGCCCAATATCATTGAGAGCTGAAGAAATTGATGGATAATTATATTTAAATTTTAATTTTAGCATTTAAAGAGATTCTAGTAAATATCTTAAGGCTTATTTGTAAAGACCAAGATTTTGATAACAAACTCCAACATCTTTCAAAGATACTGAAATTTCAAGGTGGTTTTCTTTGAATATTTATTTTCTCATTTAGAGGGATTTTAATTAATATTCTAAGGCTTTTTAATTTACACCAATATTTTAATAGCATTTACCAACATCAGCCAATGATACTGCAATATCTTATTTCATTTTTTAAATATCAATTTAATTATCTTTTTTTATAAATTCCTTCTAAATAGCTAAAATATTTAAATTGTAAAAAAGAGAAATTTCTAAAAAATAAGGGATTTCTTTATTTTTATCATAAGGATATAATTTTAAAATTTCTTTCATTTCATCTAAGTATTATTTTAAGAAAGATTAACATTAATTTTATTTTAAAATATATTAAAAAAACTCATTTAATATTTGATGACAGTTTGATCTTTATGTTGGTTTTTCTAAAATCATTTTTTCATCAACAATTCTTATGAATTAAGAAATAATTTCTAAATAATTTTATTATTAAACTTACTAAAAAACTTTCAAAATAATTTCAAAAGTCTTTCCTAAGGAATAAATATCGCTCTAATAATCAATATTTAGATCATTATTTAGCTATTCAGGTGAGGCATAAGATTTTGTGAGTCCTTTAATGCTAATTTGCTAATTGTTTTTTTTAAGTGAAGACATTCCAAAATCAGTATAAACATATTTACCAGAATTTGTAAAAAGGATATTTGTAGGTTTAATATCAAGATGTAAAATATTATAAATTCTAAATTATATCAACCCATCTAGTAAGTTAAAAATCATTTTTAATAGCTTCTCTAATGGAAAATCTTTTTTAGTTTTAAGTTAATGGAACAACTCATATTACAAACTAAATTGGCATTTTTCTAAAATTAAGACATGAACATTTTTATTAATTTTGATAAACTCAACAAATTTGACTATATAAATTTCTAAAAGTTTCATAATTTATATTTGATCTTCATCATCATACTCAAATAATATTTTGAAAACTAAGTCTAATTTTCCTTAGATGGATTATCTATATCCATGGAATATAAGTCCTTCGCCTCCTTTACTTAAATATTCGCATAAGAAATAATTTTTCGCTATTAAGCGATCAAGTATTTCACTTTTTTATACTTAAAATTGTCTAAAAAAATAAAAATCTTTACATTCTTATTTTTATTTGCATCTTTCACATTTATTACAACTTAGTTAGTTAATTTTATCTTTATTAACTTACTCAAAATAATTTTTATTCCATTCAATTTTAGTCTAAGCTAAATAATCAAAATTATTGTAAATTTGGAGAAAAACATCTTTTTATAAAATTAAGATGTATGTGAATCCATTTAAATTAAAATAATTCATTTCATCATTAAATTTTTGCATTATTATGAAATACTTTTATAATTCTGAATGAGTAGGATTAAACATAATAACAAAAACATAATCTTGGTATTTATCCTATCCTTCTTCTTAATATCCAATGAAAATATCTTCAATTCTGTTTTTTATGAAAGATTTACATAAGAAATACTTTTTATTTTTAAGAATATAAATTATTTCTTTTTATTACTTTTAAAATGTCTCACTTGTTTGATTTGCATTAATATCATTAAATATATTTGCTTACCATTACCTTTTGTTATAAGTTATTGTTATATTTAATGAATTTTAATCTAAATAATTTCGAACTAAGTAGTCCTTGAATTGATAATCATTAACTAGTTAAATATTACATGTTTAAGCTTAATAAATATCATTTTTAGAAATCTGTTTTTATTTAAAATTGCTTTCTCTTAAATCTATTAACTTCTATTTGCTAGTAGTTTATTCAACTATTTAAATGTCTTTTAAGAAACCAAAAAAAGCTTCGTAAAGAAAATTGATATATTCTTAAATAAATTCTTCTAAATTTAGTTAAAATATCAATCCGTCAATTTGTTTATTTTAATATTCACAATAAAAGTATTTTTTATTTAACAGAAAAGATAGAATACGAGATTTTACGTTTTTGAAGCACCTATAACTTATACATGTTTTCTAATCTTGGCAGATATCGCATTCTTAGTAATTTGTTGAATTTATTTCACAACCCTCCTCTATTTGTAAGATGTTTTATTTGAATTATACAAGCAATTTAATATTCTTTTAAATTTAAAAAAACGTTCCTTTTTAAATAACTAGAATTTAAATATTTTCCTCATCAATTTAAACATGGTTAAATTCATATTCTAGACTTTAAATTATTTAAATTTTTTAATCAATTTCTGATTAAATAGGATTATAAATTATTATAAAAACAAATTCATCAAAATTTTAGTATTTATCATTTTCAAATCCAAGAATTAAGTCTTCTTTAGCATTTGAAACAAGAATCTGACATAAATAGAACTATTTTTCCATTAATTTTTAAAATATTTTATATTTATGTCTTTTAAAAGCATCACTTTAAGTTTGATTGCTTATCAATTTATCAAAAATAGCTGGATCCCATTTTTTAGTAATTTACATTACTCCTTGGTCAATTTATTTATACTTTTCATACTCTTAGAAATTGTACTAATCAATTTCATTTTGTATATTTTGTAATTAAAATTCATAACTTTATGTGAGATTTTTTTATATTTTAACTTTTTCATTTATATCTTTTTAGTTAATAGCTTGGCACATATCCATTTAGAATAACTTGCTTTAACATTTTTTTCTAAGAATTTAGCTTTTTACTTTTCTATTCAGTGTTACATCAGAAATCATGAAGATAGATGAGTTTATTTAGTTTGAGTTTGAACTTTATTCTTACTAAAAAAGTTAGTTTATTGTCAATAAATCATTATTTTAATCTTTTTTATTTTATTTATCCATTTCCTTATTTATTTTAAAAGCTGTTTTTTTTTCTTCTACTTTATATGTTAAAAATATTTCCTTTCAAATTTTTTTATGATATAAAATTAATTAATTTTATCAAAATTGAAATCTATGGTAAACAAAAAATAAAAATATATTTCTTCTAAAATAAAGCTGAATTAATATCTCCAATGTTTAATAACTTAAATTTATAATTTCCAATCATGATAAAAGATTAATTTTTCTCTTTTAATAAATTTATTTGGATAATATTGCGAAATCCAAAATAAAATTTGTTTGTTTTGATTAAGATTGAAAAAAATAAAATAAACTAATTCGATTTGAATTCAAATCTAAATCAATTTATTTATTTATTTATTTATTTGTAAATCAAAAATGAAAACAAATTATCAAATAATTAATTTTGTTAATTTTATTCATAAAATGCTATGATAGAGTTTAAAATTTTTTTAAAATTCTGATAATTATATTAAAAAATATTGTTTATTATATATAGAAAGAATTTCTAAATGTTTTTGATAAAAAATGAAATTTTTATTTTAAATTTGATTTTATGAATTTATAGTTTATTTTAAGCAATGGAAAAAGATAAATTTTTTAAAACCCATCACTGATATATTTTATTATTTATTAATAATTTTATTATCGATAATATGACAATTTCATTTGTAATTTTATCATCTTGCTAATAAATCGTATTTTATCTATGGCATATAGTTGTTAGTGTAGATCTCAAAATATCTGCTAAAAGCTATTTAGGATAAAATTTCTGAAATAAGCGTTTTTAACAATTATTTTTCTTCATATTTTAAGATATCTATAAGATAATTATTTGTTTAATTTTATAAGAAACCTTTAAATATTCTTTTTATAATTATCTCAGGAATATTGATTGAGTTATTCCTAAAGCTTTTATAATATTTTAGTAATGTATAACTAATGTTTTCTTAACTTTTTAGCAGCTACTCAAAGTGGTAATTACAATATATGTAATATTTGTCAGTAAAAATAATATCAATTTTTTTTGTTTATTCTATATTTGAAATTGTTTTGTGCATTTCATAGAACTCTGAGCAATTCTAATCTTCGCAGATGTTATTTTAATTTGGCATATAATCTATTTACTAATCCCTTTAATCAACAATTATTTCTATTTTTTTAATAAATACAAAGTAGAATCCTAGCAATTTTTTATTCACGCCTCCAAAGGTTTCATTTCGATTTAACAAAATAATTTTTTAAGTTAAACCTTATTGAACTATTAAAAACAAATATATTACAAAATATATTGAATTCAGCAATAAAACTATGATGTTATTCACTTAAAAGATACCTCTGTATGTTAAGGTATTGCATAGAATATCTTCTAAAATTTCATCACCAATAAAAATCTAAAAAAGCAAAAATCTACTTATTTGGCTTAAAAAATTAGCTATTTAAATCTACATATATAAATATTTAGAAGATGTATGTTAGACTGGAATGTTGTAAAAAAGGTTTATCACCAATGGTAATGGCTAGAAGAAATAATTTTATAATTTATAGCGTTCTCTTAGAATGTATATATTTTAAATAATTAGGATGATAAAATTATAGTAGATTAGTTTACATCCAAATGAGTCAACTAAATACAAAAAAGAAGCAATTGTTAAATGATAGGTTAATATATTAATGCTTTTAATGAATATCTTTTAATAATAGGCTATTCTTATTTAATAAATAGACATTAGTGATATCCATATAGCACTTATTGATATATACATTATAAACAGTGTATACCCTAAGTATCTAAAATAAATAGAGATAGAAGTATTCTCCAAATAACTTAAACCAAAGAAAAAAATGAGTTAAATTATATTTTAAAATCCTCCTCTAGAAACAATAAACCTAATCATTAAAGCTAGCAATTAATGTTGACTGATTTAATTGTAAAAAATAGGATAAACCCATCCTAAATTTAAAATATCTAACATTAAAAACACAATTTTTGAACAATCTCCAGTATTGCAGCAAGTAGATACAAAAATGATTATTAATTTATCAATACAGAATACTATAAAGAAAGCAATAGGATAAGATACTTCATTTACCTAATAGCATTTAACTGCAAATAGAACATTTAAAATATCTAAAATGTACAAAGGTAATACTAGAATAGACCATTTGCTTATTTATTGTGGATGATCTTTAAAGAAACTATTCATTTCCTTTTTAATTGTGAATAAAAACAAATATTATTAAATTTTCTTCTTCTTAAAAATTACACTCAAAATTTTTTATAATATAAAACAAAAATAACACACTTTCTATATTTATTATTAACTAATATAATATGAATAAGTATTTAGTATTCCTTTTTTAAAGAAGGGGAGTTAGTGAAAAAATTTTTTGTTATACAAGATGGGTTTTAGAAAATTTACAAAAGATAGTTTCCTTCCAAAAAATTACATAAAAAATAAATGTATTATTTTTTTCAAAAATAGATAAATTAGAAAATGAAAAGTTTGTAAGAGTTTCTTATTTCACCAAAAACTATAGAAAAAGAAGATCTTAATTCAATCTATAATTTTGTTTTTGATCTAATTTTGTGAATGAGCTTGAAAAAGTGAAAGAGAAAGCTTAAAGATGATATGCTATTTATATTTATAACAAAAAATTAACACCTTTTCAAAATCATTTTATTTTTTTATAACTCAAATATTTTAATGCTCAACTTCTTATTTATGATATCAAATTCAACAAATTTTAGTTTTTTTTATTTCATATCTTAATTCATATCAAATAATTAAATATAATTCGTTTTTTTACCTATTTTTTATATAAAGATTAAAAATTCTAACAATGATATATGTAGTATTGAAAAATCATATATACCTACCTTACCCCTTTTCAAACTATATTCGATATACAATATAATCATTTACAAATTAATAATTTAATAAATCATATCAGCTATTATATTTTGTATTGCTATTTTTGAATAATTATTTCCTACACGAGAAGATTTATCAAATAGTAGCTATAGGTAACTAAATTGAAGAGAACTTTTATAATTATCTGAATTGATAGAATTCATAAATTTAGCTAAAAAATAAAGTTTTATCTACCATTTTTATTTTAAATCTAATTTCAAATATAAATCACAAAAGAAAAATAAAGAATATATTCGATAAACCCTTCTTTAATTTGTCTATATCATAACAACAATTTCATCATATTAAATATAGCTTTTTTAAGATAAATTTTGAATTCTTGATTAAAAAAATGGACTAAATAGATGATTTATAAATATTAAGTAAATAAATAATTGAATTATGAAATTTATTTCTAATTTGATCTAAAATTTAGTGGCATCTATAATCTTGATTTTTACTTTTGCGATATAAATTTAAATTTAAAGATTAATTTAAATTAAGCTTTAAGTGTAAAAGATTATACAAAAATAGGTAGAATAAAAAATTTAATTGGTCAATGGTGATATCACAAGTCTATAAATATCAATTAAAATATAATCATTGTTTTCTTTTTGTAATTATTATAAGTTTAATTTAAATTTTTGCTTTTGAATTTACTTTTCGAACAATAAATTCTGATATAATTTATTTTGAATTGAAAAAGTCTTCAATTTTGTAGTAGATGAACAAAGTACTTTTTAAAATGTAGATAAGGCTTAATTCTTATAAAATAATCAATTTACAATAAATATAACTCATAAAAACTCACAAAAATGCAAACTCTTCTCAAAATATAACTAATAATCTTATCATTTTAAATTTTAATTTAGACATCTTTTGCTGATAGTTTTAGTTGTGCAAATCATCCTCTTTATTCTTAAATTAAACAACTTATTTAATAATCAGTTAAAGAAGATGATTCTTTGAATTAACAGTCAGCTACTTTCTTTGATTAATATGAAAATGCAAGTCCTACTACTTTACAAGCTGCTAAATTAGGAGTATGCTCAGTATACTCTGGATAGAAAACTTGTTGCAACCTTTAAATCTCAAGGTTTATTGATTCTTTAGCTGTGAAAAAAGTGAACCATATCTAAAAGTCAAAAGATGCTTTCTAAAAATTAGTTTAATCATATATTAATTTAATTTCAAGTTAATGCAGCTAACAAAACATAGTATAGACAACATTAGAATAAATTTTAGCTAATTAGTAACTTAAAAATTTCTAGATATTAAGAACTGCAAAAAAGTAATGCAAAGTAAAGTTTGGAAAAGCTTTATCAGCATTTAACAGAGGTATATTGTGTTCAATTTGCTCAGGTTCAGATAAGATATAAGACTATTATAAAGATAATAAACTTAAGATTTCTATAGATTCTGTAAATGCATTTGAAAGAGATTCTAGTAATGCAATAGATTGTTTATCTAAAATATTTACTTCAGATAATTTAGATAACATACTTAAAGAATTTAATAGCTATTATATTAAAAATAATGATAGTTGCATTAGTTAAATTAATACTATAATTAAATCTAATTTTTTAAATCCTCAAGTGAAAAGTTAAGATGAAAAAGGAAATAAAAAATGCAAAGGAACTAATTTATTTACAGATAACCTTGAATGCGAATAGGCATTATAGGGTAAAGTTGAAGTCTTGAATACACCAAAAAATCGAAATTTAAATTAATATGAAAGCCAATACAGAAATTTACTATAAAACTCAGATGTTTACACAGGAGTAGGTGGTATTTTAATTTATATCAAATCAGAAACAGATAAAAATGTTTAAGAAGATATTGTTTAAGCTCCAACTTTTACGTTTGTTAGTAAAACAACGCATAGCTCAATACTAGATTTAATAATTTATACTTCTATCTTACTTTTACTAAATTGAATTGTACATATAAATAAAATAAAATTACATTTTGCAAGATATATTAATATTTATTAAAAAAATTTAATTTATTATCCAAATATGATATTTATTTTTTAAACCAATAAAATCCTTTTTTCAATTAATTTAGCTAAATTTTAAGTAACATTTTATGTTATCAAATTTTTAACTAATAATTTTTTAATAAATATCCAAAAAAAAATATTTTATTTTATTTAGGTAATTTTAAATGTTAAATTATTAGTTTGAATGAAAAAAATTTAAGATACCATAATTCCTCATTAATTAAGACCACTCCACCCCCCAAATTTTTATGAAAAAAAATGGCCTTAATTTCCAAAAATTTTCTAAAATGGCCTTAATTAAAGAGGAATTAAGGTATCTGGAATTAAATAATTATATTGATAGAATATTTATTATGATTTTATTTATTTTAGAAAAGGTAAATTAGGATTTTTTAAAATTAAAACAAATAAATAATAAATGATATAATAATATTTTTTAAATCAGAAACTAGAAGTCAACTGATAGATTTGTGAAATTTTAATAAAAATTAATTTCCTTCCTATCATTTTATTATTGAATTTTAATTTTTTTAAATTTTAACTAATAAAAAATATTTAATTAAAGAATTAAGTGCTTTGATTCAAGCTTAGAATTAAAATAGCAAGTTAAGCAAAGCTGCAAATATTTGGACCAATATTAATTATCGAATAGATTAAGCTAAGGAGGAGGAGTAGAGAGGCCATCTGAGACTGTAAGAAAATAAAATTGGACAATTAAAAAATTATTTATTAATTTTTTTAAGATGCTTTTTCTGAAAAATTCAATGATTTTCAAAATTTTTCTGAAAATTTTATTAAATTTTAAAACTTAGATTTTTTATTATACTTTGAGATATGAATTAAATAAGAAATATAAAAATTAATTTATTACTTATTTAAAGTCTGTACAAACATACAAACATAATTAATTTTTATGTAAAAGGAAATACAAGAATTCTTGTAAATTTAAAATTAAAAATAATTAAATATTAGCTTTTAAAATTGTTGGAATTTTTATTTCATTAATAAGGATTAGATTAGTCTTGCATCATATAATGAGATCCTTGTTATGATTATTGATAGTTGTACATTTAGCTAACATCATATTATTAGCCAATTTAGCTACTACTTCCTTCATAATATCCATCAGAGGAGATACCAGTTTAATTATCTTAGCTTGGGATTTAATTATTTTGCTAACCGTTCCATTAATTTTACTTCTTGTTACTCATTCCGTTGTTGTTACCATGCCCTTTATTGAATTTATTTCCTCCGTTTGTAAACTAACCTTACTAATTGTGATTCATATTGTTGTTATTTTAGAATCTTCTATTGTTTCCATTATTATTGTTATTACCATTATTCATTCCTGCCCCATTATTATTGTAGTAATTGTTATTTGAGTTATTTTAATTTCCAAAGTTTCTTCCTCTTTTATTATTGTTGTTATGATTATTGCCATTATTTTGATAATTTTAGTTCATACCCTTGTTTTAGTTATTTCCACCACCTTGTGTGTTTGATTAGTAATTGGGAAAGAATCCACTGCCTTCATTGATACCTTATTAGTTTTATCCCTATATAGAATCAATATTTTCTGAAGAGAAACTCTATCTTTGCATGTTATTATTACCACCTAAGTTATTTTACTGATTGCTATTTCTATTATTGTTTTATTTATTGTTTCCTGTTGACATTTATTTATTGCCTAAGCCTCCTATTTAAGATCTCTTGCATGTAAGAGTTCTACCAGCATATTGCATACCATGTAATGTCTCTATACAATTATCAGTAAGAGAAGGATCTTTGAATTCAAAAAAGGCATATCCCTTACTTTAGTTAGTTTGATTATCTTTAACTAAATGGAATGCTTTAATTTCACTGTTTTAATCAAAAAAATATGAATTAACAAGTTTTAAAATATATAATCAAAAGTAAATTATTACCCCATATCTCTAAGTTTTAATTCATCTAAAATCATTAACTCATCCATCTTAGTGGGCAAGTTAGCCAAGAATATCTTGTTAGGACCATCATCAACAATAGTAGGAATAATTACTATTCCAACAGTTTTGAAAAGATCGAAATTCAATTTGGGAATCTATTTTAAATAAGTAAAATTAAATAATTAAAATAATTGAAATTAATTAATTACATTAGCTTCAAATTGTCCTTGAACCTTAGGGAACTTTTCATATTCAGTAGGTCTTCTTATTCTTAATTATCTGTGCCACTAATTTTTTAATTAATTAATTAATTAAAATTATAAAATGTTTTATTGTTTATTTTATTACCAAAATAATTCCATCTAATTGAAGCAAAGCAGTGGTTTCTTCAATTGACCTTAACTCAGTAAATGCAAACCTTCCTTTAGGATCAATTTCACATTTTACTATCTTTTATAAAGTTAAAAATAATATTTTTAATTTTAGAAATATTTATTAATAAAATTTTTTACTGGATTTTCTGAGGGCAAAGAAGGCTAAAGACCTCCAGCTGCTTCAAGAGAACGATAAAGCCATTCACTTAGATATTCTTAATTAATAGTTTCAGGAATGTTACCAATATAAAGACGTCTATAATTAAATTAATTAATTCATGAAATTTCAAAAATATTAAAATTAGCGGCATATTTTCCTGATTTAAATTCAAAAATATCACGAAATAGCAATATTAAAAAGCTATTGATATCGAATCATATTAAAACTGTATGAGAAGATTTTTTTTATTTAAATATCTTTGAAGGTGATACGGATCTTTCCCTCAACTTATAATACATTATTATTTGTTTATTTTTATTTGTTTCAACCCTAAATCAATCCTGTAAATAGTTAGTTTATTTATATGAATGTTTGTTTATTTGTTTTCTTTCTAATTTTAAAAAAATTAAATGGTACGTAAAGGAGAGATACTTTTTCTACTAAAATGATTTTAAATGAACAATTTTAAGTAAAATTAAATAACATATGAAGAATAATAATAAATGAATGAATGAATATTTAGAGCAGAAGCAAAAAATAAAAGAAGAAAGAAGAGAGAAAGCAGTAAATACTACAAAATATTTGATGATTCATAAATGTATAATATCATGTAATTCTCTTTTGTTGACTTTTTCTATTAAAAAGAATGAAAAAGAAGATATTTGAAAAAACAGGTAGCATATAGTTTTTAAAATTAATTTTTGGTCAGTCATAAATAAAAAAAGATTGAAGAAAAGAGGGGGAAAAAAATAATTTTAAATTCTTTATTTGATTGAAAAAGAAGGAAAAGAAATTAAGATTTATTTTTTAATAATTGCTATTGATGATAAAGTATGGTGCTAATTATAATATGATTATAAAATATTATATACATATAATATAAGTATGTATTCATGGTAAATTAGAAAGAAAAAAAATAAGAATCAATGAAGAAAGATTGAATAAATGAATGAATGAGAGATAAGATTAGATAGATAGATAAATAGATTTTGCTTTATAATACAAAGCAAAATATTGAAAGGAGGGGGATTAGAAAGTTTTTTGTAAATTATTTGTGAGGGGTGGTCAATGATAAAAAATCAAAGAAACAGAAAATAAGATGATTTTTTTATTGCTACAAAAATGGTAAAGAGAAAAAATTTGAAAAAGAGTGGGGAAGAAAATTAGGTTTGTTTGTTTGTTTGTTTTTTTTTCTTGCTTGTTTGCTTTTGATATTATGGCGAAGTTATTTATTTAGTTTTTTTTCTTCTTTCAGCTTCAAAAGTATGCTCTTTAAAACAACATGTTTCTGCAAAATAGCATTACTTAATGCAATTAAAGCAGAGCTATGTTATTAAAGCTGCTTTTATTAATCAGGAAGGAAAATACCGTGGTTATTTAGTAAATTTATTAATCTATGAAATTATACCTAGCGTGACGATATCCTGATTAGTTATCTAACTTAATCACAGGTACTTCTACTTTATTGACCATCTCTTAAAGTTATTACAAACTTTAGTTGAAATTCATTTTACTAAAATCAACTCCAGTTGTGTTGTTACTATTCAAATCATTTTCTCCTAAATTTTATTCATTCTATTCATCATTTTACTCAAAGAAATGATTGCTTCTCTAAGCAACAGGCCTGCTATTTTGATTTATATTACTTGGACTCTCTTCTTCGTTGCTATTTTGCTATCTGTTATAATTTCTCTTTCTTTCATTGATTGATCTTGAGCGCGAACGGGCTGAATCTATCGAATTTTCTCTTGATCTTTTGATTATTTCTTAATAACCACTTGTTCCTACTTAATCATAGTCATTGTCATTTTGTTGCTTGAATTGTTCTTCCTATGCTTCAGTTAGCTTTTACATTTCATTCAAGTCATCGTGAATTTCTTGATTTTGAAAACTCATTTTTGCTTTCAGAATTTACTTTATTTTTTTAACTAATTTTAATCTGTAAAATTTCAATTATAATATTCTGAAAAAACTAATTATTTAAAAATTAGTAAATTTATGATTAATTTCTAAATCCTTAAATCGGTATCTTCACATTTAATCTCAAATTACTTCATTTAAATCCTTTTTGCTAAATCAGATTTTTACGAAAAATTTAAATTTAATTTTTGCAACTCAAAATGAAAAAAAGTCTGCCAAACCTGGCCAAACAAACAAATAATTGGGGTTGGGGTTGGGGTTGGGGTTGGGGTT